GATTCTTTATCTTTTTCAAATTCCGTAGACAATCCTTTCAGGTAAAGTTCTAATTTAAAATTCGTACATCTATCTTCTACTTCTACTAATTCTTTGCATCTATCCTCTTTATCTTTATCTCCACATAATTCTTCTAATCCATAATCTAGGTGTTTAAAAGATTCACAATCTTTTAACGCTTCTTTGCATTTTTCTTCTGGACTATTTCCATTCCTTCCTTTGATCAACAATAATGCTAAATCTCGCAACGTCTTATATTTTGGTTTTCCAACAATAATTCCCTTAGCTTCTTCTTTTTTATAAAGATTTTCCACTTCAATCTTTTCCGGAAATCTTGGTTTTTCTTTAACCGGACTAAAATCTAATTTTGGTCCTTCATATTCAATCCCTTTTCCCTTACATTTATTCTTGACTTTATCACATTTTGTATCCTTACAACTTGATCCATAAAAATAACACTTTTCAAGATATTCTTGACATTTTTCCACTAATTCTTTATCTTCAAGTTCCTTCTGTAAAGGCTTACAATTATCTCCATGATTCTTTCTAAAGTATTCACACGTTTCATCTGGATTAAAACATGAAAACACTAATTCATCACTATATTCACTTAATCCTTGACAAATTTCTTTCATTTTTTTTTTACATTCATTTGTATCATTAACCTTCCCTTCAAGAGCTCTTAAAAGAATTTCTTTTGCCACTCCTTGACGTCTCTGTCGATAACATCTATCTCTCAACTTAACGCACTTCTCTTCAAGATTATTTGGATCTGCTTCTTCTAATAATAGACATTTTTCTTCATATTTTCTACATTTTTCATCTGTTAGGTTATTCAATGCATTTTCAACTTCTGTTTTAAAAGCATCCAATTCAGTTTTAACTTTATCTTTCAGGCTTTTGCATTTTTCTTCTTCTTTTCCATTTTCACAAAGTCCCTTAACTTTGACATCCACACTCTCCAATTTTCCATCTATTTTCTTCAATTCCTCACAATAGTGTTTGAGGTTTGCCTTGCATTTATTATCATTATTATAACCACTTTTCACAATTAAACCCAAAACCTGTTCCTCCTTAATCTCATCATTTCCTGCTGCTTGTCCTGCTGCTTGCCTCTTAACCGGCTGTGCCATCGCCGCCTCTTTCTGGGCGACTTCCTCTACCCATCGCTTGTCCCTGAGTAGCATATGACTGGGTGAATCAAATGTAAATCTTGAAATAATTCTTTCAAAATAACCATACATTTTAATTTTTTTATGATAAGCATAGATTTCCTTAATTTTTTATGATAAGCTTGGACTTTACCCTATAAAGCAAAATCGCGGGGTAAAATTGCGGGGTAAAATAATCAAAATTTCAATTCGCAATTCTTCATGCTTTATTAAAAATTTATACATTATTCTTCTACATCTTCTATATTATATATAAACAATGGGTATATGCAAATTTTCATTATTATGGCTTTTTTTATTCATTTTATAACATTCCTATAACCATCACTCCCAATAATATTATTTTTACTATCTCTGGAACTCTCATTTTCATTCCTTCATTCGGTTTCACTTCTTCCTCTTTCTCTTCCTCTTTTTGTGTTTCTGTTTCTTTATTTGAATCACTTGTACATCTCGTAGGTTTGCATTTTCGCATCGACGTCAATGTCACCGTAGATGTCAGTGTAGATGTACTTGTCATCGTACTCGTATGCAACGATGTACTCGTCACCCATGTATCTGTCGTCTGAACTAATGTACATTCATCGGTTACCTTCCCTCCATCTACCGACTCTGTCGTCGTTGCCGTCGTTGTCGTTGTCGTCGTCGTCGTCGTTGTCGTTATCGTCGTTGTCGTTGCTGTCGTCGTCGTTGTCTGTGTCGCCGTTGATGTCACCGTATAATATGGTGTAACTTTTAATCCTTCTATTCCTTCACACAACTTGTCTATTTCTGTACAAACCGCATCACACTTCGGGCAATCCTTTCTAAACCCGCAGTCTCCTTGTAAACCTTTACATTTCTCTTTCAATTCTAAATATAATTCCAATGCTCTCGCCGTTGCAACAAATGCCTTCTTTTCTGCTTCTGATACTTCTCCACTTACAAATGTTCTTCGAACAAGTATAACATTATTCGTGTTTGCCCCTCCACTTGGTGTTGATCCTCCTGGCACTGCTGGTGCTGGTGCTCCTCCTGGTGGTGCCGCTGGTTCAGCTGCACTGGTATTCTGCACCTTTGATCCTGCATCTTGTCCATCTTTCCCAAGTCTTGATAATAGTAACTTAACTTCCTCCGAAAATTTTTCTGATTCCTGTTTCACTTTTTCGTATTCATCTTTCTTCTTCTTTAATTCATCTTTCTCTTTACTCAGTTCACTTTCTAAGGTTGGACATTTTTCTTTTACTTTTTCAACCAACTTTTTGCAAACTTTTTCCTCAACATCCTTATCTTTATCAGTATTACAAAAACTATTGAATTTCTGATTCCCTGAATTTTTCTGCTCACTACAATGCTTTCCCAATGCTTTTTTACATTCAGTTTCATTGCTTAAACTACCTTTTAATTCATGCGTCAACTCATCCTCCAATTTCAACTTTTCAAAGAATGGTCTGCAATTCTCTTTCAGTTGTAAACAGACTCCTTTTTCATTCCCATTGTCTCCTTTTTTCAACTTATCTGGGCAATTTTCCATAAGTTCATCACAATATGGATCCCATAATATGCAGATTTCTTCAACCAATGTTTCATTCCCATTTTTACTTTTATTTACAATATCATGTTTTTCTATGTTGTTTTTAAAAGCATTACAATGGTTTTCAACTTCTGAAACCATAAATTTACATGTTTCTTCTGGTAAAGCACATGAAACACCAAATGCATTAGTTCCTCTTTTAAACAATCTATCACATTTTTCCTTCAAAGCTTTCATACAATTTTGAATATTCGCTAACGAATCACTTTTATCTTTTAAAAAATCATATTTTAGTTCTTTTGTAACTTCCAAATATTTACAACGCTTTTTTAATGTAACACACTTTACATTATTTGAACCTAAATCCTTTAAAATACCTTCACATTCCTTTTTCAATTCAACACAGTCCTCTTCTTTAGGAAAATCCCGTGCTTGATCCAAAGCTTGTTCTAAGTCTTTCGATAGAGTAAAAATAATTTCTTCAAGTCTAAGACATATTTCTTTTGGTCGAAGGCATATTAAAAAGTTCCTAATATCACTATTTGCAAGTGCTACACACTTCTCTATTATTGTTTTTTGACATATTTTAAGCTTTTCATCTTTTGATTTTAAATTGTATTGTTCTTCGATCAATTTACTTTCAATTAACTTAATAAATGATCGTTCTTGTAGCTTTTTATTATTTGCATAATATGCAGCTCTACATCCTTCAAAGAAATTGTTTACGCATGACTTTCGAATAAAAAAACAGTTTGTATTAAAATTTGAAAATTCTCTGCTATTAAATGATGTTGAAAGCCTATCCCGAGAGATTTCTTTCCCTATTACATTATCTTCAAAATGTGAAGAAAATCCAGCTAGATAAAGTGTCATTTTAAGCTTTCTACATCTATCTATTATTTTTGATGCATCTTTGCATCTTTTCTTTATGTTATCTTGACATAATTCTTTAAATTCAGGACTCAGAAATTTAAAAAAATCACAGTTTTTGTTCAATTTATTCTTGCATATATTTTCTGAAAAACCTGTGTATGCGTTAGACAAATAGAGTATGATGTCGTCCGATGTTGTTTCCAAATTTTCAATATATATTTTTTTATCTTTTATTTTTTTATAAAAATCTTCCAGTTCAATCTTTAACAACGTTGTTTCTGGCTTAATTGGATTATAATCTTTTCCTGGAAGCTTATATGTAATATTCTTTTTCTCGCATAACACCTTCAATTCATCACACTTTTTTTCACATTTATTTTTGAGAAAATAACAGCTTTTGAGTTTTTCGTAACATTGTTCTTGCAATTTGTTATCATTAAGGTTAACATTTAAAGAATTGCATGAATAATTAATATATTTATTTAATTCTCTAAAAGATTCTTCAATTTCAAAACATTCAGAGATGAAATTAATGCCTTGTTGAACCAATATTGGACATATTTCTTTCATTTTTTCTTTAAAATCATCATAATTAGCAATACTATCACCGACTGCACGAAGAATAACTCCATACATCAGTCTTAAATGCTCCCTTTTTTGATAATAATATTCTAAAAGATTACAATATGCTAAAATATTTCTAGTTAAATCATGTAAAAACAAACATTTTAGAAAGGCTTTATCGACATCCATATAATCTATAGATCCTGGTATTTTTGTAGAAAGGTCATTAGAAACTTGGTTTAGATTTTTTTCAATATTTGGTTTTAGGTCTTTGCATTTTTGTCCTTTATTATTATTATTACAAATTTCCTTAATATTAGTATCCACTTTATTTAATTCTGGATCTATATCTTTTAATTCTTCACAATATTCCTCAAGTTTCGCTTTGCATTTGTTTTCATCATTATAATCTTCTTTTAAAATAAAAGCATAAATATCTTCTTTAACAATAAAATCTTTAAACAACGGATTTACTGCATTTTTCTGAGAGCTTCTAATACTTAAGTCTACGTTTTGATTTCCATATGTAAGAGCTAAAAATAATTTAATTAAAAATGAAAATAATCTAAAATATAATTACCAATTAAATTTAATATTGCTATCAGTATAATTTTATTAATCATAGAAAAAAGTATATTCTATAGCTTCTTTTCCCTAAATATATAATATAAATATTCGCAATATGCTTTTAATTGAAATTTGTGAAATTTAATGCTTTTATTTTAAATGGTTATCAAAAAGATACAAAATTTCACGATTTTGATAAACCCTAAAAAAATATAAGAGAAACTGTTAAAAATAAAAATCATTACAACTCTTGATTATAAATTTTAAATTTTTATTTTTCTTATTTTTTTCTATATTCTTTCTCATTTTATTCAATAATCTTTTATAAAATAATATATATATACATTTTGTTTTATTTATTAACTTTGAATTTTTTTACAATTCATTCATATTTTTATACCTTTTTTAATACTATAATTATCATTCTTAAATTCAACGTTTTTCTTATTTTTGACATTTCTTCATTTGAATAACTAATTTTTAAATCTTTTTTAATTACTACATTGTTTTCAGTATTTGTTTATAATCAAACCCTTTTTTGATCCTCACTTTTAATCAAAAAATGCTTCGCTAATAATCTTTGACACACACTTTTAGTTTCATCCGATATATTTTCCTGATCATTTTTTCCTATATAAAAAATTATTTAAAAAGAAAGCTGTGTTTTAAAGGCAATCTTTTCTAGAAATTAAGCAATTTGAGTAATCAAATGTTTTATTTTTTAGAAAAAAAAAACAAAAAGATAATTTTAATCATTCTTGAATTTAATCGTCTTTGTTGATAATCTTTTATTAATGTCATTCTTGGTAATAATATTTCTCAAAATAAAAATATTCTTTATTCTTTATTAATCCTATAATAAATTTAAACTGTTACTGTAACTTTTATAAAATGGCTAAAAACAAATTCTAAAATATCAAAAATGCTAAACTATTTCATATTAATAAAGGTAAAAACATTTATTTCTTATGATTTTAAATATTTTTACATTATTAATTCATATCAAGTTTTTTATTAATATTTTAATATTTAATTTTTACACTTGTTTTTAATTTTAAAATTAAAAATTTTAAAAAATATTATAAATAAAAATATTTATTTAATGAATATTCATCGATGCCGTTTTGTTGATTATAATTCTTCTTCAATAACATCCATTTGTTTTTCTCATGATTCATCTACTTTAAATTCAACACCTAAATCTCTTCGTTGTGCAGTTGGACGTGCAAATGGTGATCTTGAAATATGGAATCCTCAGAAACATTGGACTCATGAGATAACACTTCGCGGTGGAATAAATAGGTCTATTGAAGGAATTTCATGGGTTACTACTCGAGAATTTTCAAGACTTTTTAGTATTGGATATTCAACTGTTATTACAGAATGGGATTTAAAGAAATTAGTTCCTTTAAAACATTTAAATATAAATTCTGGGCCTATATGGAGTATGTCTGCCTCTCCGTCTAAAGATAAACTTGTAGTCGGTTGTGATAATGGCAACTTAGTAATCGTTAATATATCTTCTGCAAAAGGAATTATGGAGTATTCATATATTTTAACTAATCAAAGCTGCAAAATTTTTTCACTTTCTTGGAATAATCTACATCATATTATAGCAGGTTGTTCTGATAGCTCTATTCGAGTTTGGAATTCTTGTGATACCCATTGCAATATTATTGCCCAAATGAGTGTTGATAAAGTAGGAAATGAAGATACCCTAGTATGGGCAATAAAAATTTTGGAAAGTGGGATCATTGTTAGTGGCGATTCTACAGGGTCTGTCAAATTTTGGGATCAAAAGTATTATTCATTACTTCAGTCATTTAAAAGTCATACTGCAGATATTTTATGTTTGGCTTCTAATAAAGTATCTTTTTTTTATTATATATTTGCATTAATTTTGAAGGCAGGGAACATTTTATTCTCTGCTGGAGTAGATTGTAAAACAATTATGTATCGTATTATAAACAAGGAAAATCAACAATGGGCAGATGTTGCTGGTAGGAGATTCCATAGACACGATGTTCGTGCTATGGCTTTCTATGAATCTAAGGATATCGATATTCTTGTAACAGGAGGCATTTTATTTGTATTTTTAATGACCATACTAATATTATAAGGTGTTGATATGACATTGGCAATTGTACCTGTTATGAAATTTATGAAGCAAGTTCATAGAATTATACAGCCTGTTCCTCAAAGACCAGTCATAAGTTTTTCTGATTCTCGAATAATGATAAATTGGTCTGATCATCAAGTGAAATTATGGAAAATTAATGAAATATTTTTAAATTCAAGCGACAAGACTGCTCTCACTTTCAATCCTAAAAACAAATATTTGCTGCTTAAAATGAGAATAAATGTAATTTTTTATTTTACATAGCTTTTTTACTTATAATAGTTAGACAGAAGAAAATATTAATGTTGCTGCTATATCTAAGGATGGAAATTATATTGCTATAGCAACATTATCTAAAACGAAATTATTTAAATTAAGATATGGTTCTAATTTCTCACATATAAAAGTTAAAAAACTTAAAATTCATTCTTTGGAATCTATTGGTGCAACTGTTTTATTGTTTGATCAAAGATCAAATCTTGTCATTGCAGATTTAAATAAAGTTTATTTTTTTAATTTATGCTCATTGGAATTTATAGCTACTATTACGAAACCAGAAAATGATAAAAGAATAAGTACTATTGAATATTCGAATATCATTAAGTTTATAGCGCTCTCTAATGATTCTAAATATCTAGCTATCTATAGTTTTTCCCAGGATATATATATATATAATCTTGAAAAATTCATCATGGTTTCACAACTTCCACGGCTTTCTTCGCCAGCAGCTGCTATTTCCTTTTCTTCATTTACTTCATCTCTTATAGTTATAACAGTTGATAATTTTATTTTTGACTTTGATATTAAAAGTGGAAAATTGGGTGATTGGTCAAAAAAAAATTCTGCAAATCTACCTATTGAATTTTTAAGGTTAAAGGATAACTGTATTGGTATCTCTTTTGATTATTATATTGAGTCTAGGATGTGGTTATGGGGTTCAAGTTGGGTAGGATTTCTTGATTTAAGTTTTGAAATGCCCAAAAGAAAGGTAAATAAGCGTAGGTTAAAAGATAATCGAAATTTAGTTAATTTTATCTATGAATCATTAAATGAAAATCATATTATAGAAAATTTGGGATTTCAAGATGAAAAAGAACATTCTATAAATTCTAATGATGTTACTTTAGAAACTTCTAAAGAGTCTATGGATATTAAAAATAGGGGAAAAAGGAAACACTTTTGGATTACATATAAATATCGACCATTATTATTAATGGGTTGTTTAAACGAAAATGAAATATTAATTGTAGAAAGACCTCTCGTTGATATGCTTATTGATAAGGGAGTGCCTCCTCCATATTATAAACATTTGTATGGAACATAATGATATTATAAAAATCTATATTATATTATATACATATATATATGGTTTTGTCTAAAACTGTCTAATAATTGACATAAGTTTATAACAATTTAATTTAATGTCCAGATAATTATTAACATTTAATATAAATGCAATATTGATTTTTTTATATATAAAACTATAGTATTTAAAGCAGAACTTATTTAGATTTCATAGTTATAAAAGACAAAAATATTGTTTTAATAGTAGAAAATGTTTGAATGCTAGAACATTATATTTTTGATTTATAAATATTATGAAAACTTATAAATTAGTATGAAATAATGTTTAAAAAATATATACAATGTCAATTTATATTGCAAATTCTAATAAGTATTAAAATAATTTATTTGCATATACATTGAAATATTTTACAATTTTATTCAAAAAAGTATGAAATCCAAACAGAATTTAAAATAAAACAGACAAACATTATATATTTATAAATCTTTTATAGATTTTTAGGTTTTCATTACTTTTTATTATAATATTATTTTAAATTAAATATTCAAAATTTTTATAAATCTATAAACTTTAGAAAAAAATGAAATTTATATGAGCTTTAATAAAATTTAATTTTGACCGTTTGGAAATAGTATTTTCAAAAATTATAAAAACTATTTAATAAAAAAGGAATATTTAATTATGGAACATAATTTAAGTGAAATTAATATTAAAGATCTAAAATTTAATTTAAAATTCAAAATTATAAAATCAAAATATTAAAAATATTAGAAGGGTTTTTCATTAAATAAATTCATTTAAAATAGCTCAATGTTCAAATGTTATAAAAAAATAAACAGTAATTTAAATATAATCTTTTAAAAACCTTAATTTTTTAATAAATTATAATTTAATTCTTGAAATCTAACAAATAATTTTATTTTTAAAATATATTAAACATTATTATTTGAATAATTTTTGTTTTTTATAAAGATATATATATTTAAATAGAATTCAATTTATAAATTAAAAATTTATACTTTTCCAGGAAGAATTTTTAATTAAAAAATATCATCATTAGATATAATAACTTTTTTGATAAATTTATTTAAAAAATAACATATATTTTATAGAGATTCTATATTGCATTATCGTATGTTATACCCTTATCATAAAATTTTTGAAATATTTTACCTTTTAAAACAATTTCAATTTTTAGGTTCACTAAATCATCAGTTACTTAAATATAAATTTTCATCAATAAATTTTATTAGATGTTAATGTCTTTAGAGAGCTGTTTAAATCAGTAAATTTAATATCAGGTAATAAATGACCTTAATATTTTTTTCAAATTCGAATACATAGAGAAATACTTCTAAGAATATATTCAATAAAGATAAAATTTATAAAAAGAGTAAATCCATCAATATTTTATAAATTGCAATCTCACTGTTATTTACTAATTGAAGAATATATTTTATAAATATTATCTTTAATCTGTTTATCATTAAAAAATTTAAAATTATAACTAAATCATTTTACTAATTTCTAGTATTTTGTCTTATATAAATTATTTTTATTAGAAAATACTATTAAAACTTTATGATAACTGTATTATTTTTAACTTTTAGTTAAAATAAATAAAAATATTTATAATTAGTAAAACAAAAACCTAAAATGAATAAATTTGCAAATTATCTTAAACATTAAGAATTATGATTTTTAAATTCTTTTATTATATAATTTTCAATATAATATATTTTATAGAATATTTTACAATTTTTTTTCTTCAATACAATTTTGTTAGAATGATAGATATCTTTATTAATATTTAATATATTATTAAAAATCCTTAGATATTTTTATTTTTTAGTTGTATTATTAAGTGATTTATGAATTTTATTATTAAGATTATATTTTTAATATTTTTTTATTATGGTTATAATTTTAAATTAAGAAAAATTATGAATTCTTCTGTTTTATTTAAAATATTTAATTTTTTAAATTTTAATATTTAATTAATAATTTTTAAAAAAGAATTTAGAAAGTTAAAAGAATATTATATAATCTAATTATTATTTATGAGATTTCTTATAAAACAAATAGTTAAAATTTTTCATATATTAAATAATATATATAATTATTATAAACGATCTTATTAAAAATTTAATATTTTATAAAATTAAATAAGAACATTAAAATAACAAATAATAGTAGATAACAATATAAATAATTATGAATTTTATTATTATTATTTTTACTTTTTAACAAGTTTATGTTTTTTTCCAAGTTTATCTAGTTTTTATACAAAATTATAAAAAACATAATTTTACAATATAAATATATTTTAACAATATTTTTCTTCTAGGATAAATATTAATTTATTCAAATTTTATCAAAATTTCTTTAACATCTTAAAATCTAGTAATTAACCCAATTAATCCAAAATTTTCAAAAATTAAATTAAAAATGACAGACTTATTTATGAATGAAAAAGATAACACGTATATTTCAAGGCCTGTATTAGATTATAGAGGAGATTCCTTAGAGTTTCTATTTTATTTATTCTATCAATTGTTTATATTAATATAGTATTCTAGGGAAAGTAAAAAATTGGTATCTAAAAAAGCACAAAAAAAGTTACAGCAAAAAGAAAAAAAAAAAGAAAGATTATTGAGTTCTAATATAGAAAACAAAGTTTCATGCGATGTAATTTAATTATATTAAAATTATTTAATAGTTAATTTTTTAGGATTTTTCAAAAGAAAATTATGGAAAAAAAAAAATCAATCAATCTCTTGAAAAATTGGGTACTTTCATATAGGCTATTTGCAAGTTTTAATAATTTTAGGGACAGAGTTCCATTCCATATCTAGTTTATCTAAAATAATGGAAGGTAAAAATATTACACTTAGAGCAAGGGTTCAAGTATCTCGTTTACAAGGTTTGTTAATTTTTTTTTCAAATTGTTTGATAATTAAAAGGGAATAAAATATGTTTTTTATTGTTACGTCAACATTTAAATACAGTACAAGCTCTTGTTTCTGCAAATAAAAATTCAATAAGTAAACAAATGGTTAAATGGTGTAGTCTTATCGCTTCTGAAAGCATTGTTGTAGTAGAAGGAGAAATAAAGAAAAGCCCGTGTATTATTAAAAGTTCTACTCAGCAAGATATAGAAATTCATGTCCGTAAGGTTTGTAAGAAAAAGAATGTATAAAAATAATTAATATAATAGATTTTTATAGAAAGCGAATCTCTTAATAAACTTCCATTCCAAATTGAAGATGCAAGTCGTTCTGAAAATGAGATAAAAGAAAAAGATGATTATAAAGATGATTTAAAATACGTACGTGTTAATCTTGATACTCGTCTTAATAATAGAGTAATTGATCTTCGTACATTTACAAACCAGGCTATTTTTCGTATATCATCTGGTATTTGTCAATTATTTCGTGAATATCTTCTTGAAAATAATTTTATAGAAATACATACCCCCAAAATCATTGCAGCTGCATCAGAAGGAGGTTCAAATGTATTTAAGTTAGATTATTTTAAAGGGGATGCATATCTTGCTCAGTCACCACAGCTATATAAACAAATGTTAATCGCATCTGATTTTGATAGAGTTTTTGAAATTGCTCCTGTATTTCGTGCAGAAGATTCTAATACACATCGTCATATGACAGAATTTGTCGGACTTGATTTAGAAATGACATTCTATGAGCATTATCATGAAGTTTTAGAAATGATTGAGAATCTTTTTATATATATATTTAAAGAACTTCCTAAGCGATATTCTGATGAAATACATATTATTAAAAAACAATTTCCCAGTTCAGATTTTATGTTTTTAAAGGACAATAAACCTGTTCGATTTACATTTAAAGAAATCGTAAATTTACTTAAAGAGGCAGGTATTAGAAAAAATAAAAATGGAGAAGAATATCATATAGATCTTTCGTAAAAACTGTCATATATTACTATTCTATATTAATTTTTTTAGAACTGACGAAGAACGAAAACTTGGATTATTAATAAAAGAACAATTTCATGTGGATTTTTACTCTATTGACAAATTTCCATTAACTGCTCGGCCATTTTATACAATGCCTGATCCAGAAAATCCTAGTCTTTCAAATTCATATGATTTTTTTATGCGTGGAGAAGAGATTTTATCTGGATCTCAACGTATACATGATGCTGAATATCTTCAGAAGAGAATCAAAGATTTAAATATTAATACAATAGGATTAGAAAATTATATTAATAGTTTCAAATTTGGTACAGCTCCACATGGTGGAGGAGGAATTGGTTTAGAACGTGTTTTATTTTTATATTTAGAACTTGGGAATATTAGGTATTATATTATAGTTAAATTAATAGATTTAACTTATTTTAGACGTTCAAGCTTATTTCCACGTGATCCGAAGAGACTTGTTCCATAACATAAATAAATATTAAATAATTAGTTTTATATCTTGTTATATACTTTCAAAGTTGTTATATGTAGATTTTACTTTTAAAAGTTTTATTTGGTTTTATATATTTTCTAAAAAAAATTTGAAAATGAGAAATTTGGATATTATTTTTTAGTAATTATTTATAATAATTAAGAATTTCTATTTTTATTAAATACTTAAGAAATGTTTTTATTGGAATTTTTTAATTTTATAATGTTTTGGGTTGTAAAATTATGATATTTTCATATTTTCTTAAATAGAAGTATCAATATGTAAGAAAAATTTAAATATTAAATAACAATTATTAATTTATTGTTATAATTATAGCTTAAATATGAAATTATAATTATAAATATTAATATTTATATAATTTAATACGATTATATAAATTTGCATTAATATAGATTTTCATCAATTCATTAATTATTAAAATATTTTAATCTTTTTTATATGAGATAAGAATTCTAATTAAATCAAATGTTTTTGGGAATTTGATTTATATAATATTTTTAAAAATACATTATTTTTGTTAAGTATATATAGTTTTTTATTTCGAATTTTATATTAACTAAAATTCTAATCGCTATTTCTATTTTATTTCTGAATAAAGTTTTAAATATTTAAAAAGGTATTATTAATGCTTTCATTAAATTGAATAAAAAAAGAGATAATTTTCATAAATACTTTTTATTAAAAACAGTACATTTATTTTATTAAATTGAATATAGCTACATACAAAACAGTACTTTAAAAAATTGTGAAATCTTTTATGATTTAAATTTATTCTTTATAGGATAATATGAATATTAATAAAGAATTTATTCATAATCTTATAAAACTATTGTCACTTTCTATAGACATTTACTATATTACGTTTTCATTTTTTATTATTAGTAAAACATAATCATCCTTATATGTATCCTGGTGATTTTTTTTTTAGCGTCCATTTCCTTTCCCCTTTTTTATTGATATTTGGGCTTATTTTTTTAAATAACATGAATCTTAGTTTTTTTATAGTTTTAAATTATATAAACTTTTACTTTTTTCTATAATTTTAAATTTTAAGTCACTATAGTCTTACTTTCATATTCTTTTCTTGTTTCTAGTTTTAATTTATTTTTTTTTTACATTATTATATTTATCCGTTTAAGTGTTGCTAACATTTCTGTGACAAGGAGATTTTAAGAAAAAAAAAAAGTTAAAAAAATTGAGAATAGATTTTGTAATCTATTTGAAACCAAAACTTATACAGTTGATATTGAAACAAAAGGAGGGAGAATTTATATAAAAAAAGGAGCAAGGAAATTAAAAAAGAAGCATATATTTCATATATATTTATTTACAATCAAGAATTTAAGACAAATCTAAATATTAAAAAAAGAGGAGATTAGTTCCTACCATAGGTTATCATTATATACAAAATATTCCCACTTATCTTTATTTTTTGGATTTTTTTTTATAATTAGTATTTTTTTTCTATTTTTTTTTCTCAAACGAACGAAGCATTAACAGACAAATAAAGTGATAGTTTATTAGCTTTTTAATTTTAAAGGACAACTTGTTTTAAGGTACAGAACATATTCACCTTAAACTTCATTTCTGAGGCTTATATTTAGTCTTTATTTCTATAATATAAATATTAAATAATACACTTTACCCTCAAGAATAAATATTAATTTTTTAAATAAGTTTATTTTCAAGTAAGCTTTTTTAGTTTTATTTTTCAAAAAATATGTAACTTTATAGATATATTATTGTTTATTTCAAGTAATATTATTAATAAATCATAAATACTTTAACAAAAACAATTATGGCTATGGATCTTCGAGTTGGTAATAAATATAGGATTGGTAGGAAAATTGGTTCGGGTTCTTTTGGAGATATTTATCTTGGTATTTATTTTTTAATGATTTTTTTTTGTTTTGACTGAGCCAGATTTAATTCAGGAACGAATATTATTTCCGGAGAAGAGATTGCTATAAAATTAGAATCATCTAAAGTAAAGCACCCCCAACTGGAGTATGAGGTTGTTGTTTCCTGCATTTTGTGTAATTATTTATTTTTATTAGGCACGAGTATATAAAGCTCTTGCTGGAGGGGTTGGCATACCTTTTGTTCGTTGGTTTGGTACAGAATGTGACTATAATGCAATGGTTATGGATCTTCTCGGGCCTAGTCTAGAAGATTTGTTTAATTTTTGCAATAGAAAATTTAGTCTTAAAACAGTTCTTCTTTTAGCAGATCAGCTTATCTCTAGAATCGAGTATATTCATGCAAAATCATTTATTCATCGAGACATTAAGCCTGACAATTTTCTCATGGGCATAGGGAAAAGAGGAAATCAAGTAAATGTTATTGATTTCGGATTAGCAAAAAAATTTCGGGATCCAAAAACTCATCTGCATATTCCATATAGGGAAAATAAGAATCTTACTGGCACTGCAAGATATGCAAGTATTAATACCCATCTTGGTGTTGGTAGGATCTCTTTTTTATTTAATATTTAATTTATAATATTTTAGAGCAGAGTCGTAGAGATGATTTAGAATCTCTTGGATATGTAATGATGTATTTTTGTAGGGGGTCTCTTCCATGGCAAGGATTAAAAGCAGCAACAAAAAAACAAAAATATGATCGTATTATGGAAAAGAAAATGACAACTCCTACAGAGGTTCTTACTAGAGGCTTTCCAAATGAATTTGCTATTTATTTAAATTATACAAGGTCATTACGATTTGATGATAAGCCAGATTATTCATATCTGAGAAAGCTGTTTCGTGATCTTTTTGTTCGGGAAGGTTTTCATTATGATTATGTGTTTGATTGGACAATTTTTAAATATGTAGTTAACAAAAATCATCTTTAAATATTTCTAATGATTGCACAGAATCAAACTAAACAAACTCAAACTATTACCCAAACACAACAAGAGGAGGGTGGTGTACATGTATTAGATGATCAAAATACTAATTTTCAAAAAACAAGGAATGCAAATACTATTGCTCAAACATCAGCTACTAATGGCATGCAATCATCAGTGTTTCCCTCTCGACTGGGAGGAAATTCTGGATCAATGAACACTTCTCGTCGAAAAATCCAACCTCAAACAAATGAGGCTACCTTATCTATTGCTCCTATTGATTTTTCCAGGACAACAAATGTCTCTGGAAGTGACAGGATGTAAGTTGTTTGTTTGTATATTTTTTTTTAATTTAGATCTTTGAACTTATTATAATAATAGGCTTCGATCTCAAGCCAAAAATGGATCTTCTGGATATACAATTAATAATTCGTGTAAAATCAAAAGAGAGGAGGGTCAGCATGTTTCTACAAGTCAGACTGGATGGTACTGATTTTTTTTTAAACAAGAAAAAACAGTTATTACATTTTATCTGTTTCATTGACTTTAAACGTCTATCGGTCTCTACAAATATATAAATGTTTACATTAATCAATTCGACTAACTTTAAAAAAGAGTTTCACTACCTTGGCAATTTATGAGATTAAGTTTCCTTTTTATTCTGTTTAATTGTATCATTATAATAACTTTCGCTTATTTTTTTATACTTTTTTATATATAACAAAGCAGCTCTAATAAATTCCTATTTGGGTAGCAATTCAATGTTGAGAAATTGTCTATAGAATTTAAACATTGGTTTATTTTTTATAACGAGAGCATTAATAATTTCTAGATATCAAAATATAAAAATAGGATAGGAGAAAATGATCATTTAGTAGGACAGCATTTAAGTAATTTTGAACTTTAAAATTTATTTTAATATAGGCGTTTCTATTTTTATAATTGATAATGATTTTTGCTGTCTTGTTAAATGTTCTGTTCTTAATATCATTAATAGTATCTTTAGAAATTTCTTTTAAGAATGTAAAAGCAATCTAGTTTTATAAAAAATTTAATTTAGTTTTTAATGTTTAAAAACATTTTTAAAATGAAACCGATTTTTAATATTAATTTTTTAAGAATTTTATCTAAATTTATAGTTTTCAAGGTAATTATTAAGTTTCTTTTATATAAAAAATTAGATATACATTTTGATATTAATTTATTTATATTTACTTTATAATTATTCAAATGATTAAGTATTTATCATAAAATATAGAATAATAATAATATTTATAATTTCTGAATAAATATTATTTTAAAGAATAAATTCTCATAAATAACATAAAACATAGAAAATAGCTATTAAAATATTTGAAACTTAATTTTTATTAAATATTTTTGAATAAGTCACTAAAATATGAAATTTATTAAATACATTCCAATTTTTAAATTTTATTCTATTCTATAATTCTGATATACAAAAATTTATAATATTATAATTAAATAAAAAAATATTGATTATAATATTTTAATATTAGCAATTTTTTTGAGAATATTTTTAATGTGTATCTCTAATTGTCCGCATTTCTTTCAAAAGATTATGTCTTTAAAGCCCATAAATCTCCCCAATACGCCTTTCTAGCATTTTGATAATGTATTTTACCATACCTTTTTGATATTATCATCCGTTTTATACTACCATCAGACACACATGTATCCATTACAACATGTCCATGCTTTTTTAATGGTGGTAAAATAAGTCGATGCCAACTATAAGGATCAGAAAATAATTTATCTTTACTAAGGTTAGTCTTCGATTCTTTCAAACTAGGTCTAACAATTTCTTTTCGAATAATGCAATAAGAAAATTTAGAATTTTCTATATTAGAAGCAAAATGCTTTATTTTTTGTAGATATATAGGTCTAATTAATCTTTGACCAAAATGACACCACTTTTTAGGATTGAATCTATGACCATCGAGATAAAGCGGACATTGTTTATCATGAGGACACTAATGAACTTTAGTATTCATAAAGATTCTATTTTAATAATACCGGTGAAATAACATGAGCAACGTTTGTAACTTCTGATTTTTTTGAATTAGAATCAGAGTTAGACAAAATTATTTGTCTAGCCTTAGCTATAGCCTGATAACCAAGAGGATTTCCTCTTTCTAAAAGAAGTAATATACCATTTTCTGGAGAAACTTTAGCCCACAATTTTCTTATAGAATTACTAAAAATGCGTTCAGGAACATTTGTATCCAAAATCATATGATTTGCAATAATAAAATCAAATTTAAACTTCGTAATAGATGAAAAATTAGAAATAATTTTTGTTTTATTAGCTTTATGAATATAGAGAGTACGTTTTCTCATAGTATATATTGGCTCTAGAACCATTATACTCTTTACTTTTTCGATAGAATTTGAAAATAATTCTTGAAAAACTAAAGCACCAATACCAGGTCCTTCGCCACAATCTAAAACTGTCTCTGGAACCCATTTGTCACCAAGCCTTAACCGCAACTCATTAATTACATTATATAATGATGCATAAACCTGAGGCATTATGTAAAAAAGATAAGAATCCGCTTCAATTTCAGAAAAATTGTCTTTAATTTTCCGAAAGCCTCTAAAAGGATGCATTTTTATAAAAGATAAACGAATATTAGACTTATAAGAATCTAGAAAAAGTTAAAAGAAATATATACATATATATGTCTGGTTAAAATACTTTCAATGATATCTTGAATGCTTTTAACAATACTAGAAGGTATTTCAACATTTCCAACACGTTTATTGCTGAATACAGTTGCTGAGTATAATTTCTGTTGCGCTCGATCTAAATCTTGTAGACTTTTATTAGAAAAATAACATTTCATCATGATATCTCTAATTATGAACTCTCTTGACCCTTTAAAAAAGCTTAAATTTCTGAAAAAAAAGCTGAACATAAATATTTTTTAAACTATTTTCTAAATTTTCCAAATTTTTTTCTCATTTTAAAACCTTGAAAAGAAACTTCTATTAAAAAATAAAAAATATTTCTAAAAATATCCTGTAAATATTTATAATAATTAGAGATTAAAACATTATCGCAGATTCCTTTTTTTGTAAATCTTTAAAAATCAAAAACTTAAAATATAATTTAAAAGATAATTTTAGGATAAAAATTATTATACTTAAATACACATGTTTTTTTTTCAAATTTTAATAAAGATTAAATAGAGAATCATGAATTAAGGACAATCTTATTATAGATGAAATTTCTCAAAGATTCAGTTATAATTCAACTATCTCCTATCAAACACTTGGCACATTCAGATCCCAGTAAAAAACTCAAAAAGATTATGCCTTACGAACGAAATAGAAAGCGAAAAGCAAAAGAAAAGGAAGCTATATCAGAAGAACTATCAAATTCCAATTTAGTTATTTATGAATCTAAAAAAAAAAAAAATGAGGGAAACATCAAAAAAAAAAGTATGAAAAATGAAGACTTAGGCCTTTGTAATGAGGGCAGCTATACATTAAATTCTAAAACAAAAAAAAACAATCATATAGAATCAAAACAAAATATATCTTTTTCATTACAAGAACATGACACAAAAGATAATGAATACGTATATCTCTCCAATTCTGTATCTCCATTATTAACATTGAATATTCAGGACGAATTTATCTGGGATATAGAGAATAATATATCTTATAATGTATCATCTGATAATTATTCACTTATTTCTTCAAACCTTGATTATTATAGCGATTAAGTTTTAGTATATAAAAAACCAGGAGATTCTGATAATTGATGGATTTTATTTTAAGCTAAAGAGTTTTTTATAAACTATAACTTATAATATATATTGATCCACGTAATAATTCTATAATATGATTATTCAAAAACATACACATTTTTTCAGCATCATTATCCGTTATATTATAGTATTTAGAATTTATCGCAGATCATAATATTTGTATTTGTTTTATATAAATATTTAAAGCATTAAGCATAAATAAATATATTAATTATACTTAAGATCTCAACTATATTCATCCTGACTATTTTAAGAATTATCAAAAACATTTACATGATTTAAATCTAAAAATAATATCACTATATTTTTTTCAACTGTTTACATAAGAGTTATGAGTAAAAGCTTATACAAAAAATATCGAAAATATAGTTTACGTTTAACTATAAAATCAACAGCGTAAATCCCATGTTTTAAAAAACTTAATAAAAGAACAATGTTCTTTTCTCATACTATATCCATAAATCAAAGGTGCCATTATAAAATAAACAGAAATGACTATTTTAAAGAAAAACAATGTAAACAATTTAATTTGAAGTCTTTGAAGAAATCTAACTGAGATAAAATCCCAAAAAGAACATAGAGATAAAATAGAAAAATACAAAGCTGGTATATACTGAGATAATAAAAATTGCTTTTCCATAAAATAATACGGAAAATAATGAAAGATCCAACCAAGTAGGCTAGTGCCAATAAGATAATCATATCTTAAATAAACCTCTTTTTATAGTTAGTACTTTTTAAATATTTTCTTTTCTTCATACTATCATTATAAGATGGATAGCCTCTTTGTTCAGATAATATAACAAACAGCTTGAAAATACAATAAACTCCTACAAAAGCCAGTGTTAATAACCATATCAATGGATTTCCGAGAAAATAAATCTGATCATTTTTCTTTATCCAAAAATGTATTCCACGTCTCAAAAAAGGCCATGAAAACGGATGAGTACCAGCATTATATAAATCTTCCAAATGAAAGTTTTCTTCCCACATATGTTTATGTAATTCAAAAAATTTTTGAAAAAAAGCAATTTTTTTGTAGCTTACTTTTTCAATATTAATAGAAACTATAAATATTAATGAAAAAAAATATAGACAAAACACATCTTACAATCATCATGACTATTGTCTTCAATATACCACAAACTATTTTCATAAATTCCACTTTTTGCACATGTAACTTCTATTTGACCATGTCCCCATTCAGGAAGATAAATATTATTAGAAAATAATGCACACCCAGTAGATACATGAATTAAACGAAACTTTGTCTCAATTGCACGGACAGAAATCTTAGATTCATCAGTATAACTTCTTGATTTATCAATTTCTATTCTAAAAAGATCATTATGATCCCCAGGAAATCCTTTATGTCCATATCCTGAAACCTCATTTTGCCAATCTATATCAGATAAGGATGGTCGAACATCATGAGAATGCAATCTCCTGTTTGTTTCTAAATGATATAACCTAATTATAGAGCCATCTTGAATTGTTGAAAAAGAAAAAACTTCGTAGTTTGCATCTCCAGAATCTGTTATTAGCCAATTATTATTAGCATCCTCGTATAAATAAAGAGTTACTTGTTGTTCTATAAAAAATATTAGTAATTTTTTTTAGATAAAAAATATAAAAATACGCTTGCTTCCCGAAGGATAAGAATCAAAATGCGAATGTAAATAGCCATATGGAGAATTCAAATGTCGAATAGTTACTGTAGAACCATAAGAAACTGGCGCAGGAACAGACTTCACAATTCTATTATCAAATGTAGATAAAAATTCAGGACTTAGAAATACTCCATCATTTGCATTTTTCAAAAGATTTATATGAAGATAAAATGTAATAATATAAAATAAGGTAGGAATTATAATTAAAGAAAAAAAGCGAAAAAAAAAATGTTTAACCCAAGTTGTCTAAAATATAAGTCTTGAATCGGACAATGTATAATATCATACCAAGGCCATAGTAAGATCTTCTATAAAATGCCATAATTGCAAACACGCTAAAAGACCAATCCAAAAAAATGTAAAAATACCTACCCATTTTGTGCTGTTTAATAATTTAGAAATAAAATATAAAAAAAGTATAAGAACCTTATAAGGGCGCCTAACGTAAACCCAGTTGCCATTAAATAAGCCCACCACGCTTTTCTAAAAGGAATTTGTTGACATGATTCAAATAATCTCCAAAACAAATGTGTTAAAGCGGTAAAAAATAAAGCCAATGAATCATGAAATACAAATCTACTTTGTATAACTACAGAACTTTCAAAAATAATCAATATTGAGCCTAAAATAGCAGTATTTCTCGTAAATCTCATAACCCTCAATGTAAGATATGTAATAGGTGACAATAAAATACCAAAAATACAGGAAAACAATCGCGTAGGTATACGAGGAATACGATACAACGAATAAGCTCTAATACACCTCAATTAAAACTAATTGTAAAGAAAATACTCCTATAAAACAAACTTTTTGATAGTATACAAATTAACTGGTAGATGACCAAGAACCCAGATAAATAAAGCGTAAAGCATTCTTGCATAAGGAGGATCTTTATCAATATAAAATTCTTTTTTAATATAACTAAAAAATCATACGTCAATTAAAAATATTAGAAATTAAAAACAAATACTTATAAGCCAGTTGCATCATATAACTTTCATTAAAAACAAGATCAGAAGGATGATTTATCATATATGTTTGAACACAAGAACCAATAATTGTTAAAATAATAAGATACTTGATATCATTTATTCGTAATTTAATATTGGGTTGGCCAATAAGATTATTGAAATTATATACCATTTCTCTACTTCTATAAAAATTTATAAATAACTTGGCTAAAAAAATATAAATCTAAAAACAACTAAGTTTTTATAATTTTTTTATAATAACGTGACTTAAAATTTTTAAAATATGATATAAAATTCGAGATTTTTAAACTTCGAAACCTTTAAACAGTTTAAAAAATGATAAATTAAAACAATCAATATCCATATATTCACTAACTTTTCCGGATTTTATTATAAATAATGGTTTTTTATTTTATAAAACTATATTTTTATCTTAAAAATAAATTTATAAAATAAAAAAATACCTCTAAAACTTTAAAATGTTAAAATTAATATATATATGGTTATTATATGTGATTATTATATGTGATTATTATATAAGATCAAAAATACTTTATATATTATTTTACAGATATTCTTATTTTTTTTTAAAAAATAAATCTACATAATTTCTAAAAATTTAATGATATAGATGGAATCATATATGAAAATATCGTCCTTCTCACGAATATATACAGTATTTGTTTTGCAATTCCATATTCATATTTTTTTTTTTTCACATTTTTAATGTTATTGCTAACTTTTGTTATATAACTTTTTAATAACAAAAGATATGTATAATATTAATATAAACTAGATATAAGTGTATATAGATTATTGATACATTTAACACATTAAAAATACTTTTAAATCATTTCTTATGAAAAATAAAAGACTAAATGTTAAAAAATATGCATAATGGATTGAAAATTATTAATAGATTTAAAACACTTTTTTTAAAATACGATTTAAAATTATTTAATTATAATATAAAATCAACATTTCATGGATAAAATATAAAATATCCAATCAAAAAAATACTTAAAGAATCAAGAATGAAAGACTCTAATGTAGATAGAGAACGTATTATTAATTTTAGTATTTTTAAAAGGAATGAAATACAAACCAATTCTACAATTGAAACAAAAGATTTTAATAAAACAATTATCAAATATTTTGATTCAATAGAAACAAAAGAAGAAAATAATAAGGATATAAAAAAGGACAAAGATTTAAAAGAAAAATACGTAAACACATTAGTTACAAAAACATCGTCAAAAAATAATGAAGTAAAAATCCAGGCAATAAAAGTTCGCCATGGATTTAAAAACAAAGATTTAGAAAAATGTAATACCATAGGTGAAAATGTTAGTCTATTATTATTGCACTACTATTATTATATATTTAATACGAGCTTAGATATTTTATATGCACTATACAGCTAAACGGCATGAAACATGTGGTATTCCAAGACTTAAAAATGAAAAACTCCAAGATTGGAGAATGAGAGAAAGATTAAAAACAGTTTCTGCGGCATTATGTATATGTATGAATATTGGCGTTGATCCTCCTGACATAGTCAAAACAACTCCTTGTGCAAAATTGGAATGTTGGATTGATCCATTTTCATTACCATCACAGAAGTCATTAGAAGCTATAGGAAAGAATTTACAACAACAATATGAAACTCTTAGCACGCGTACGCGATATAAACAATATCTTGATCCTTCTATAGAAGAAACTAAAAAATTTTGTTCTGCTCAACGCCGTAATGCCAAAGATGAACGTATATTGTTTCATTACAATGGACATGGAGTTCCAAGACCTACGGAAAGTGGTGAAATATGGGTATTTAATAAAAATTACACTCAATATATTCCAATATCCTTATATGATCTTCAAACATGGCTAGGTTCTCCATGTTTATATGTTTATGATTGCAGTGCGGCTGGTAATATTCTTATAAATTTCAATAAATTCGCAGAACAGCGTGATGCGGAAACTCAAAAACAACGCGCATTTGATTCAACTATTCCTATATCATCATTACAAAAAGAATCTATTCAATTAGCTGCATGTGGGCCTAGAGAATGGCTTCCTATGAACCCCGACCTTCCAGCAGATTTGTTTACATGTTGCCTAACATCACCTATTGAAATTGCTGTTAGATGGTTTGTTTTACAAAACCCTTTTCTTTCGAATATAACTATAGATATGGTAATGAGAATACCTGGACGCTTACAAGACAGAAGAACACCCCTCGGAGAATTGAATTGGATATTTACAGCTATTACAGATACTATTGCATGGAATATTCTTCCAAAACCCTTATTTAAAAAATTGTTTCGACAGGATTTAATGGTAGCAGCACTATTTAGAAACTTTCTTTTAGCAGAACGAATAATGAGAGTTCATCAGTGCCATCCAATGTCATATCCTTCTTTACCTCCTACTTATCATCATCCAATGTGGAATTCATGGGATTTAGCCGTAGATACATGTTTGGCGCAATTACCTCAGTTGCTTGAAGCAGAAAATGGAGGTCCTGCATATGAATATAAGCATAGTACATTTTTTAGAGAACAATTAACTGCGTTTGAAGTATGGTTAGAGCAAGGCTCAGTATTTAAAAAAGCACCTGATCAATTGCCAATAGTACTTCAGGTGCTTTTATCTCAGGTTCATCGTTTAGGAGCTTTAATTTTACTTAGCAGGTTTCTTGATCTGGGCCCATGGGCTGTGAATCTTGCATTGTCTATTGGAATTTTTCCATATGTCTTAAAACTTCTTCAGTCACCAGCTTCAGAGTTAAAGCCTGTTTTGATTTTTATATGGACTAGAATATTAGCAGTTGATGGCTCTTGTCAATCTGATCTTCTTAAAGATGATGGTTATTCCTATTTTGTTCAAATTCTTTCCCCATCTTGTGGAAATTTATCAGTAGCTAACGTATCAGAACACCGTGCAATGTGTACCTTTATCCTTAGTATTTTTTCTAGAAATTTTACACAAGGACAAACTGCATGTTTGAATTCGGGAGTTTTACAGGCAAATCATGTGCATCTTCGTGATAAAGATCCTTTATTACGACAATGGTCATGCCTTTGTATCAGTCAAATATGGAAGGATTTTTCCGATGCAAAGCTTCTTTGTATTAAAGAAGGTATAGTTGATTCTTTATGTGATTTATTATCGGATCCTGTTCCAGAAGTTAGAGCTGCTAGCTTATTTGCTTTAACAACTTTTTTGAGTCATCCTATAGAAGATAAAGAAGTAATTGCTAAAGAGGATTATGTCGTTACGTCAGTACTAAATCTTTCTCTTGATGGCTCAAACTTAGTACGTAAAGAATTGATAGTTTTTTTGTCTCGGTATGTTTCACACTATAATAAGAAAATTATGGTTACAGCATTTGAGCATTTAATGCACGAATTTTTCAATTTCGGTCTTAATGATTCTAAATTTCAGAAACCTCTTGTTAATTATAGTACAAATTCTTTATTTTTAACTGTATGGAAAACATTATTATTACTCACTGTAGATCCATTTTTGGAGGTTGAATTGGCTAGCATTCATGTTGTGAACAAAATATATAATATGCTTATTAAATCTCAACTTGGAAGTACAACAAAATTTATTGTTGAAAAAGTAATAGGTATTAAGAATGATACAACATATAAATCGAAATTACATAGTTCTACGAATGAAAATATTAAATCAACATCTTTTGGGACTCAACAAACACCATCTACTTCAAAACTAACTAATACTTTAAAATGCTCTACTTCAATAGCTTTATCCTTGAAAAATCTTAAAATTGGAACTTATAATGAAGCATCAGCACTAGAATCTAATCTTTCCTTTGATGAAGACATTCATCATAGATCAGCAAATCATCATTCAACTTTAATTAAACCTTTCCCTAAAAATTTTAACTTAAAATTTTATAAATCATCTAAACATATAATTCAAAGCACTTTTTTTGATTGGAGCTGTGAATATTTTCAAGAACCCCAAATGAAAGTAGGTTATTTTTTCCTTAACATATTATTTTATTAGTCTTTTATAGCCAGCGGAAGCAGATGAACCAGGAAGTGTTAATTATAATCAACGGTTATGGAGAAGGAATCGTAATGAAAAAATTATAAATGAAGCCTGTAGCTTAAAAGATATAGCAGGTTTTAGCCACAACTTTTTAAATTTAACTTAACTTAATATAGATTCACTATCATGGAGTAATCAAATTTGTAATCTCAAATCAGGTTTTGCACAGATTTCACATCTTTTATTTCATCAATTTGAGTCTCATCTTATTTGCACTGATGATCAAGATAATGTAGAAGTATGGGACTGGGAATCTGGAATAAAATTAAACCAATTTTCAAATAACAATACATTTGGAGCACGAATTACTGGCATAAAATTTATAAATGAAGATGATATTGGATATATATTAGTTGGATCTTCTGATGGCATTATACGAATATATAAAAATTATGACACAGAATCTATAGAACTTGTTACTGCATGGAGAGCATTAACAGATATAATTCCACTAAATCGCGGTAATGGTTTAGTTATCGATTGGCAGCAAAAACGCGGTATACTTTTTGTCGGTGGCGAAGCAGAAATTATCAAAATTTGGGATACATCACAAGAAATGTGTTTAAACGTATAACATTAGTTCTCAAAAATTTAATATGTAACTTTTTTTAGAATATATCTACAAAATCCAGAAATTGTATTACTTCAATTACTTCAGATGAAGTTGACGGTAATATTTTTGTTGCCAGTTTTGGTGATGGTACTATACGTATTTATGATCAAAGAAATTCTCCAAGAGATGCAATAGTTAGGATCTGGAAAGAACATAAAACTTGGATTCCTACTATAAGTATGCAAAAATGTGGAAATCGGGAACTTGTTTCAGGAAGGTTTATTTTTTTACTATTATTATTTATATATCTAATTTTTAAGTATTTCTGGTGATGTAAAACTTTGGGATATTAGGCTTGATAATTCTATAAGAACCATTAATACTCATTCCGATGGTTTACGATCGCTTTCTGTCCATGAACATATCCCATGCATTGCTACGTATTTTTTTAGCCTAATTAATTAATTGATTAATTAATTATATATTAGGGGTTCTACTAATAGTGATCTTAAAGTTTGGAATACAGATGGATCAAATTTATCTGCATTTAAATACTACTATAGTTTTTTGCATCAAGGAAAACCTACATCAGTTAACGCTTTAAATTTTCATCCTCATAAAGCTATTTTAGCATGTGCTAATGGAAATGACAGTCATATAAATATCTTTACATGCGACATTGGACGAAATCATTGATAAACATGAACATTTTTTAGAATTATAATTTATAATATAAAAAGTTAAATTATGTAACATATTAAAAATAAGTACAGACAAGTTTTTTTTTTAATTACTTCGTATACTTGAATATTTTAATGTTTGTTTATAAAAGTAAAGCATATTCTAATAAAAATAAAGATTTATAATTATCTTAATATTTTTATTATATAATATTCAAAACTTCAAGTTCTAATAAACTATATAATTCATCTTTAAATTAATTTTAAAATAAGATAATTTTCTACATATTAATAATATTTTTTAGAAATATTACTAAATATTACTATTTATCTTTATTAATATCCTATCTAATATACTTTAAAACATCAAAATAACTTTTATAAAAATCAAATATAAATATTTTGATAATATATATATATACATATATCCAAAAGTAATATATTAAATAATGTTCTATCTTTTTTTTGAAATTTAAACAAAAACATGTATAAAAAATTAACTATTATTTTAATAAAATCATTTTTATATTTGATATTTAAATTTTTTATTTATAATCATATTTTTAATTTTAGAACAGAAATTTAAATTATTATTACCATAATCTAAAAACATTAACTTATAGTTTAATATATCAGTAAGCCATTTAATAATTTATAAGGAAAATTTTATACAATTTCATTAAAACAAAAACTTTTAGAAAAATTATAAAAAAAACATTATATGAATTTCTTCAAAATTTATAAATGTAAATAAATCTATTAAAATTTAAAACATAACTTTAAATCAATAATATTTACATTATCATATTTTGTAATAAAAATAAAATTATACAATATTTTATATAGCATAAAAATCATTTCTTTTATAAATATTATAAAAAATCTTTTTAAAAAGTTAATATTTAAAACAAAAAATTAAAAAGATAAAAAAAATATAAAAAGAAACTAATCAAAATCTCTTACAATAAATATCTTCGCAAAATTGTTAAACATCAAGTAAAAATAAATTGCATTAATAAATATATTAAATTAATATAAAATAATATAAAATAATATTTATAACTAAATTCGTTAACTCTTAAACTTATTCATGTTTAACTAGATAACAGACAATAATGTAGTTCTAATAAAATTCTCGAGTATTGAAAATGATTTCTTACGAGATTTAATCAAACTTATTGAAATATTATTTTTAATTTTTAATTTATATAGAGAAATACAATAATTAAGGATATTATAATACAATATAATAATTTTATATAATAAAAACAAATTTCAGTACATAAATATACTTATTCTTTTTCTTACTCTTAGAAATATACAAATATAAACAGCACTAACATAAATATCAAATAGAGGGAAATTATTTCATAAATAATATATATTTATATTTTATCTAATTAATAAAAATACCTAAATCTTATTTTTAATCAACATAATTACAAATACTTAAAAACATATTTCAATTTTCTACATATCAGCTTTAACCGAGAACTCCTAGAAACTTGATAAAAAGAAATAGAATATCAAAAACATGTCATAAAACTTATGAACTATCTTATCAACATTGGAATTCTTAACACGATATATAATAATGATTTCTTAATTTTAAAATTTATACTAATGCCAAAAATATTTACTAAAAACTTAAAGACGGATATTAATATAGCAAATATTGGACCTTTTTTCAGTACTATTCTTGTATTTATTAAAAAAATAACTATTTACTAGGAAAATATGTATATATGTTATCTTTAGAATGTAATTCCCTTGATTTCTGAGTTCATTTTTTTTATATATCCTTTTTTTAAAAAAATTTATAAACTATTATAAAATTCAAATATTTAGAGAAATATCTTATATTAATTAACTTATATATATTATAAATATAGAATTTATCTATCTAAAATTTATAAATTTTTTTAAATTTTTAAATTTCAGTAACAAAATTTTTCATAAACGTTAATCAAGTAAATCGATTTTAAAAATTTCATTTAATCAAGATGGTAAGACATAAAGCATATAAAAAAACGTGATTCCAAAGTCTTAATTTTAACGAAAGGTTCTATATGTTTTTTAAAACTAAAAAATAATGCTATCTTAATAAATAGCTAAATAAATAAAAATTTAATTTTTATAAAAAAATATTAAATTAAAAAATATAAATATATTTTTCAGTAAAAATCTTCTATATTTATACTTTGTTAGTTATTAGGGAACTAATTAAATGACAACAAATTATATTTTTCTAAAATATATCACTAACATTTTTTCCAGGCACTAGCAGTTGATCTTTTAAATCCTGTACCTGAAGCGGAAGCACGAAAACATAAACTTAAAAGGCTAATTCAGAGGCCAAATTCCTTTTTTATGGTAGATAACTTTACTTTTTTTTTACTTTGACTTATATATTATTTACACAGGATGTAAAATGTCCAGGTTGTTTTAACATTACAACAATTTTTTCACATGCGCAAACTGTTGTTATTTGTGGTTCATGTGCCAGTGTATTATCTCAGCCTACAGGTGGAAAGGCTCGTCTAATGGAAGGTTGTTCTTTTAGAAGAAAAAATTAACTGTTTAAACATAATTCACTTAAACAATTCTTTTTACACATTAACTCATCTTACATTTTTTTGCATTCTTGAACATTTTTCTTTTGGAATATATTTTTGTACAAAATAAATCGTTTCCTTTTTTCAATTCTATACTATCAATTCTATTCATCAATTTCTTCCTCATTCAATACATTTAATTCTTTCAGCCAATTTTCCACTTCTTTTCATCATAAAAGAAATCTTTTTTATTATTTAATGCTTTACCTTCAATATTGCCTAAATTTACTATTTTTTGCCCTATTAAATTTCCTAATTTATAAATGAGCAATGTTGGCAAATTCTTATCTGGATATCCCTGAATTGCCTTATTTCCCTGTATTTTTACCATTTTTATGTATGGATATTTCATTGCTATCTGCTTTAACTTTTCTGCTAATCGTTGACTCGCTGAAATCCTATTTTTCTTCAATTTAGATCATAATCTTGATTAATATTCATGAAATCTTACGTATCTTTGTATAAAAAAACTAGAACACATGTATTATAACTTGCTTCAGTAACTTCTGTAATCCATTCCTTATACTCAATCATACGTATTTCACCATACTTAGCACATGCTGCATAGGCCTGTAATTCCTGTAAACGCCGTTCACTATTTTATCAAACCAATTCTATATATAATACAAGCTTTACCTGTACGCCTTTACAACTGGGTCATCTAAATCATCTAATTCTGAATGTTCTGAAGATTTCAATTCTTCTACATAAGGCTCTTGTATTTCTTTTGATGAATCTGCCTCTTTCTCCTGTATTCGAGCTGAAACAATACCATAAGCACGTAACAAATCATTCCTATATATATTTAAAGTGTATATGGGCATTTAAAGTCATTTACCATTCAGTATCTTCCATATAGGCAACGAATCATCCGTATATCCGAAGTAAACGATGGATAAAGGAATAGAGAGTTTAAAAGCAGAAGAACGTTTTATATTTCCAGGAGAACAGGTACCTTTCAGTGATAAAGATAAGACAAAGTTACAAATTGGCCACGGTTTAGCTTATTTTTATCAAGCAGATAAGCTTTTTGCAACTCAAACAGGTTGGTTAAAACAGCCAACAAAAAAGAAAATCTCTATTAATTATAATAGAGGAAAAGTAAGTGTTTTAAATATATTTTTTTAAAAAATTTTAATAAAATTTAGTATATACCAGTTATTGGTGATTCAGTCATAGGACAAGTTATGATTCGACATAGTGAAGGATATAAAGTGGATATAGGAAGTATTCGTCAAGCACAATTAGGAATACTTGCTTTTGAAAATGCAACACGTAAAAATAGACCAAATCTTCAAGTAAAAATATAATATAAAAATATAAATTTATTATTAATAAAATATTAAGGTAGGATCACTAGTTTATGCCAGGGTTATCTGTATAGATAATGAAACAGAACCTGAAATAGAATGTGTTAATCCATTAAACGGAAAATCAGTGTACGGAGAGTTAAAAGGTGGATTTCTTGTTCATAAACTATCATTTCATTTATGTAGAAAGTATTTTTTTTTTTTATATAATTAGTTTTAATTAGATACAGAATTCTCGAAAAAGATCATCCTTTTCTATCAATTTTAGGCGCGTCAATACCATTTGAGGTTGCAATTGGATCAAATGGAAGAATATGGATACATAGCGAAAATCTTGGTATTACAATTACTTTAGCCCAAGCATTTAAAAAGTGTGAATATTTAAATGACAACGAAATGATCAAAGTATGTGAAGAGACTATCAGAGAAGCACATAAATGGATGCATCATAATATACCATATGAACAAAAAAATAATTAATAAAAAATATCAATTATAGTCGATAAATATATATTGTAAATCTTAAAGAACAAGACTTTCTTTTAAAAAAGATATAACCATTTATGCAATTCCATTTGTAGCCAATGTTGCCACTAACTTGTTTTCACTTCTAACGCTTAGTTTTAAAGTAATTTCATTTTTTGAAAATACTTTTTTAAATATTAATATAAAAAGAAAAATAAAGCATATTACATACCTAGTTTTGCAACAGCTAAAATTGTAATGCCATTTGTACTTTTTCCAGAAAGCTTCATTATATGAAAAAACGAATTTGTAACATTATCAGTACCCTCAATAGGTTGCATAGATAATTGTTCTGATATTCTATAACATGCATCTAAGAAACAATATTAATGTAATTTTTTATATAACTTAATGACAATAACCCTGCAAAGATGTTATTGAGCTAAGAGAAAACGTCTCTACAACTTCATTTTTATCAGTTAAAGAATCCCAAAGTTGAGTAAAATTATTTATATAAATGGGAGAAATATAATCACCAGGAGATAACTCTAAAGCTTCAATCTAAAATCATTTAATCCAATAATATAGATATAAAGCCATAAACCTGATATTCATCGTCATATCCTACTTTTTCAGGTTCACCCGTGCTTGGATCTATTTCTTTAGTTATAAATTTTAAAACATTGGTGAAAGTTGTAGTAACAAAAAAATCTGGATTCTCTCTTAAAAAGGAAACATAAATAGAAACAGAAGAATTATGCTCTGCTTTTGGTGCCTGTATAATAAACTCTTCTTTTAAAGAAGGATCATCAGGTTCTGAAACCATTGAAATATTTTCTAGAATAGCATCTGAAAGAGTATTTAGAAGATTAAACTATGTTTATAAGAAATAATAAAATAAGGGAAAAACTATACCTGAAGAACAATATGCTCTTTAAATATATGTTTAACTGCAGTAATAGAATACTCAATTCCAGATTCTGTTAATTCTATCGGCTTTAAAGTGCTTTTTAGAAGAGGACCATAATCCTTAAATTCTGAAATAGATTGAAGAATGTTGGAATATTGAGAGATAACATCTTCAGAAAAGCTATTTACAAGAGATAATTGTTGAGTCGCTTCAGTTAATGTGGACAATGATTCCAATTCAGCTATTTTTTGTCTATATGATTCAGAGTCCATTTCTTCCTTACTAATAATTGGTATAGATGAAATATCAAATTGTTTTTCAAAAGAATTAGATGAAATATAAGATACAAGTTGGTATTCCAAAGCAGAAAAGGAAAATGCATTATCTAAATATTTTAAATAAGATCATTAGGATTTTTTACTAACTATTCTTAAAAATATCTGAAATACTATCGTCTTCTAAAAATTTAATATTTAAAACAGCACGATCTCGAACTTCATCATCTGAATCTTCTAAACATCTTTTAAGCAAAGTCTTTATACTAATCTTAAGGTCAGAATTATTTAGCCCTTGACCAAATTTCGACAAAGCAGATACAGCAGCAGCTCTTACTAATGCATTTTCTAAAACAATTCTATTATATATATATCGAATATATTTAGTTGATTGATTAATACGGGGCCCCTCTATACCAAGCATATGAAGAATTCTAATTGTTAATTTTGTAAATTCGCAATCTTCAATAAATTCACAAAGACTAGATAATGCATCTTCTTTAGACTCAGGAATAAATTTAATCATATCAAACAATGTTTCAACTACTGAGTTTTTAAAATCATAACCGCCCTCATCTCTTAAAGCATTGTTCAAAAAAGAAAGCATAACAGCTTGCTTAGATGGAAATTTAAGACATAATGACCTAATAGCATCTATAACAATAATTTTAAACTCATCAGTAATATCACTCATAAATCCTTGAATTTGCTTCATCAATTTATCAATATTGACCTCATTTCCTGTTTTAAGAAGGGTTGTTATGGCAAATGTTGCAATCGATTTATTAGTATAAGAAATAAGACTTTCTATATCGGAATTACAACATCCAACCAAATGTGGTTTTGTCATTGCAAATCTATTCAAAATTCTAATTGCAGAAAACCTGCAAACTGTCCGAGGAGACGATAAAAACACTCTAAGCGCTAAAAAATAAGAAAATATAATTAATATTTGGAATACAAACTGGTTATCGCAGGTAAAGACTCATCCTCAGTCACATCCCTCATCTGAAGGATTATTTTTGCAGCCTCAATGTTGACCATGTCATTTTTATAGTGCAAAAATTCTTCCAATAATTTAAGCATGTTATATCGTTGACTTTTTTTTTTAAAATAAGAACATAAACATTTAAAAATTACCTTTGATCATCTTCAATAACTTTTGCAATATATCTCACTAGCAAAATGACAGCTAAATTACTTTTAAGCTGAATGTTTCCATAAGAGGATCCCTTATTATAATAATTACAAAATCTCTGGACCATTTTCATAACAGCCATACGATCATGATTCCTTATAAGATACAACAAACCTAAAGCATGGTATTGGGTAATAAAACTTTGGTTTTGTCGATTGTTTACACTTGTTAAATATGGTATTATAGACAAATTTACTGCCGGTTTTAAAGAAAGCGCCTCAAATATTTCGTTCGCCCATTTACGTACAATGTCTTTTGCAATAGAGAACAAATGGTAGGAAGAAATCAATCCAGCTGAAGAAACAGAGGGCGTTTTATCAATAATAGCAGTTTTAATAATACGTTCAACAGTAGGAACAGTTGTAGCCTATCAAACATTAGAAAACCATTAGCCTTTCAATCAAAAATAATAACATCGACAATTCTGGATAAAGAACGGATAGCATTTGGCCTATAAATAGCATCAAGATTTACGGTCGTATCTTTTATTACACTCGATGTAATCATAATAATTATTTCTGCTGTTCTAGCTAATTCCTTAATAATAACATATACCATTTGTCGTAATGCTTCCTAAAATCTTTTATTTTTAAAAACAAAACAACCATCAATCTATACATCTTTATGCTGAAAAAGCTTTGTTATCCCAAAAAATAACTCTGTAGCATCTCGCATTGCAAAATGATCACCCGTATGCAAAAGATAAGCAATTTTCATCAACAAGAGACGGCAGACACGAGGATTAATAGGCGATTTATTAAATATTCTCGCTTCCTGAAGTACTGCTGTTTTATCAATATGGTGAAAGATATGCTCTTAAAAATATTTAATAAATCTTCTTATTTAGAAAAAATATACCTGAATCTTCATCCTTCTTTGAAAAACTCATTAAGAATATTGATTATCTATAATTATTTATTAAAAATGAATTAACTTGTGATTATTTAGATGTCTCTTAAAGGTTAGGTTTTTAAAGACCGTATAAACGCCTGTTTAAAAAAAGTATTTTATAAAAATATAAGAGATAAATTAAGGTATTTTTTAGAGAAAACAGAAGGTCTTTTCTTGCATTTTTAGACTAATTTTCTAATCAGAATGACACTAATTACATCTAAAAGAAAACGAAGTTCAGAAATCCAAATATCGAAACCTATAAAAAAAACCTTTGTAAAAAGCACAATTGATGTTCCAATTAAACGTGCTGTACTTAAAGGTATCTCATTTTATTTATTAGGAAAGAAAAAAGTGATTTGGAAGGGCCAGATGCATTTATACATAAGAGATCTATACCTCATCCTGTAGATGTTTCAAATAAAATATTTATCTCAAGAAAAACACTTTTAATGAACGTCATCAAGAAAATAAAACAAAAACTAATGTAGGAATACATACATGTTTTTTATAAATATAAATAGGTAATATATAGGTCTTTTAATTCTAAAAGCAAACCTATTATTTTATATGCACAATCAGCTGCTATTGAGCGTGCACTTGAAATTGCACTTGTTTTATCGCTGCAAATACCATTAGATATTCAAATACAAACAGGTACTATTGAAATCGTCGACGATGTTTTACCATATGACATGGTATAATTTTTATAACTTGTTTAACTAAATAGTTTACCAATTAAAAGGATAAAATGATAACAAGTCAAATACGTCTAAATTCAACTGTTCAAGTAATTATTTCACTTCTTGATCAACCATAATTTTTTTTTTTTAAATTTTACTATTTCAACAAATCATATAATCAGATTTATCATAAGAACACTTCTAATTCTTTTTATAATCAAAATAAATATATGAAATATTAAAATGATATCTTAAATATACACGGTTTTATCGTTTTTATTTAATATTCGTTTTTTTATTTAAAAAAAATAAACCTTAAAAAACATTATTAATTAAATATAAGAACTTAAGTAAAACAATTTCTTTAGAACATCTTTTTTATTTCATGTCAAATTAAAAGCTTTATTATTAACAATAATGGCATTTCTTTTCAAACAAAATAAAAAATTAAAAAAACGGCGCGGGGCTTCAACAAAAACTTTATTCTCAGCCTTTTGAGAGCACAGAATCAGGACACATGAATAAAGAGTCATCTTATCCATGGTATCGACAGAAGATTCTTGGTCCATGTCCATTTCCTAGATATGGACATGCAAGTAATTCTACAGTTAGTAAAACAGGAGATATATATATATTTGGGGGGCTTGTTAAAGAAAAGGTCAAACATGATCTATGGATCATTGACTCCGGTAATTTTTAGTCTTTTTCACATTATTATTTAGTAAAATTTTTGTTATTTTTTACTGATATTTGATCATAGCGACTATGATGTCATATCAAATACAAACACCTGGAGATTGTCCTAGCTCCCGTGTAGGCCATGCAGGACTTGTAATAGGGAATGCATTTATTGGTTTTATTATTTTTTTAAAAAGCGAAATTTTAACATACTTTAGTATTTGGAGGAGATACAAAAACATCGAAAAATAATGTAAATGATAATTCTTTATATTTGTTGAATACCACATCGAAGATATGGACAAAGGCGCTAGTTTATGGAAACAAGCCTCCTGGGAGATATGGTCATACTTTAAATATTCTTGGGACTAAAATTGTTATTTTTGGTGGACAAATGGAAATATACTTTTTTAATGACATGTTTTTATTTGATTTGGATACATGTATGTTTTATTGTATATGTTAACTAAAATATAATATTTATAGTAAATACCCTTAATGCCAAATGGGAATTAATAACTCCTGTTACGAGCTTACCGCCTGCTCGTACTAATCACATAATGATTACATATCAAGAAAAGCTTTATTTGTATGTAAATATTTTTTTTATTTTATAGAAACCTAATGTCTAAGATTTGGTGGTACAAATGGTACTCAATGGTTTAATGATGTTTGGGTCTTTGATTATAAAAATCTTTCATGGAAAGAAATTGCTTGTAATGGTTGTATTCCTCAACCTCGAGAAGGACATTCTGCCGCATTAGTAGATGATATTATTTATATTTTTGGAGGTCGTGGTTTAGATGGTTCAGATCTAGGAGATCTTATTGCATTTAAAATATCAACATCAAGGTGGTATATTTTTCAAAATATGGGACCTTCTCCAAGTCCTCGTTCGGGACATGTCTTAACTAGTTTTGGTCAAAAAATAATTGTACTTGGGGGGGAAGGTTCTTTAAGTAAAGTAGAAGATTCATCAATTACTTATATCTTAGATACATGTAAGTGCTTAATATAATGTTTTTAACATTTCTAAGATATTTACTAGCAAAAATTCGCTATCCACCCGAAATATCCATTCCGAATCTTGGTTCAAGTCCAATGATAAAATCTGGAAGTTTATTAGCACCTTCTCCTTTATCGCCTATGCCTCAAAAAGCCTTATCCATGTCCAGTTCAAAATTAAATCAAGGATCAAAAAGTCCTCTTGGTGTTACTGCCCCATCAAAATTATTACAGCACTCTGAGTCTTTACGAACCGATATGCAAACTATGTCTTTAGAACAGTTTCATAAACAAAGAATATCTAGAAAGCACAATAGATCGAAGGATTTGTCTACTTCCTTTAAAGAAGAATCTAATAGTCTTCATCATTCCAATAGTGTGAACAGTATGTATTTTTATTTTTTTTAAATAAAATTAATTAATAATAGATTTACAACTTTCAAGGTCTCAAAGTCAAGATCAAATAAAGAAAATTACTGTAAATGATATAAAATTAAATACAGATCAAACGAATAACAACAATCAAAATGAAACTAAGCCGGTATCAGCTATGGATGAAAACCAAATTGAAGATATAGAATTAACTAAAGAGAAAAATTTAAATACAGATAATTCTCAAGCAAATAACAAAGATATGCAGCATTCGAAATTTAAAGAAAACATAGATGAACTTAAAGTTAAAAATGAGTTATTGCAAGCAGAATTAGATTTAATAAAGAGCCCTGATTTGGAAAAGTCATCTACAGAAGTTTTTTTTTGATTCTATTGAAAGGCAAAATATGATTGAAAATCTTATATCTTTGAAAAAACAGATAACATTACTTAAATTAGAAATTTTATCACAGACAAAAGCTGCAAGCTTAAAAATAGCAGAAGCTGAAGCAGAAAAAAATAATTGTTTGCAAGAAGCAGCATATTATAAGGCAAAACTTGCAGCTTTATCTACTCCAGAAATATTATCAACTGTAGAAAATGCTCGTATTTCAGAATTAAGCACCAAACTATCTAATACTATAACTTCACGACAGGAATTAAATGAGAAGCTAACATCATTATCTGAGGATATTGTGTTGGAGCAAAGAAAAGTGCAACAACTTGAAGATATGAACCAAAACTATCTTAAAAGAATAAAAGTTGCTGAAAGCGCCCACGAACGAATTTCTACTGAGCTAAATGAAATAAGATTAGCTTGTATTAATGCGGAAGAAAAAATTAAAGAGCAAGTTTCATTAAAAAACAATCTAGAATGTGAAAAAAACCAATTGAACCAGGAAAACATTGCATTAAAACAAGAACTTGATGATCTTAAAGAAAAAAATATGCTTTATTTAAAATCTATTGAAATGATTAATATTTCTGTCTCTATGGCAGAAAATCGTATAGCTAATTCAGAAAGTAAATCTCAAAAAGATCAGGAGGCTCGTGTAGAACTTCAAAATAAAGTTAATCAGCTTACTAGAGAACTTATGTTAGAAAGCAATAAAAAACAAGCTCTTGAAGAAAAAATCACCAATCTTGAATCTAAAATATTAAATATTACTAAGGAAGCTAATGTAGCACGAGAAATTATGAATGAAGGAATTCTTGAATTACTTAAAAAATCTAGAGAAACATCGTCTAGCAATTCTTTAAATGACAATCAAATTAAAATGCTCCAGGAACAACTAGCATCTATTAAGTCTTTATATTCCGCATTACAGGTATCAGCTAATAAATCTGTTAAAGATTTAGTTGCAGCACTAGAAAAAATTTCTCAACTTGAAACCTTAAATTTTAGTTCTAACAGAGAAATTCAAGATTTAAGAGATAAAATGCTTGATTTACTTAAAGAATTAGATGCTCTCAAAAAGGATCATAGAAACATGAAAATTTTATTGACTACTAAAGATAAAGATTTAGAGATAGCTCATATGAAAGCATCTGCTATATCACGATTACTCGAAGAATATCCCTTATTAGAAGAACAGAAAATATCTAAAAATGATGCTGTTTCATGCGTAACTAGAGGCACTAGCATGACTCCTGATGCTTTGAATAAAGATAATTTTAAAAAACCCGAGGAAGCATTAGAGCAAAATAATCATATTAAACTAGAGATTGAAAAATCCGATGACCTAGATGTTTCCGATCTAGAAAATACAGAGAGTAAGACTCTAAATGACAAAGTTATAGAAAACAATTCAAAAAGTTATAAAGATACTCCGTCTGATAATATCTCTTCAATTAATCTAGAAAAAGAAGCTCTTGATCTGGAAAGACAGAAGGTAATCGATGCAGAACGCCGTTTAGCAGAATCTACTCAGAATTTTAAAGAACGCTTGCAGCAACTTGAAAGCGATTACCAATCAGCAGTCTTCTATATGAAAAGTACTGAAAACATGCTAAAACGCATGAAGGTAATGTCTTTTTTCTAACACAATTAATATTTATGTTTTCTAGGAGGAACTTTCAAAATATAAAATACAAAATTTCCATTTAAAACAAGAAAATGATAATTTAAAAAATTATAGAAATATGACTATTCTAAATTTTAAAGACCATAAAATTCATGATAATGAGATGCAGAATAATTCATTCAATCATGACTATGCTGAAATACAAGCTCATAAAGATATTTTATTACAAGAAAAAGAATTAGAAAGTCTTGAAGAAAAATACATTAACTTAAAAAATACATATTATGACAATAACAAGGAATCTACCGATATTATCTTTCCGGAATTGGAAAAAACAATTGACTTAGAAACGATTTCAAAAAATAAAAATTTAATTTTTGAGAATTTGTCCAATGATCAACTAATTTTTTCAGACAAAATATCCGAAGATAATATTATTCCAAATTTAGAAGATTTAAGTAATGCAAATAATTATATAATAGATTCTATGGAAAATGACTCTATATTTTTGAAAGAGTCAGAACAACTTATACCTATAGATCACTATAATATTCATGAAAGTACATCACTCAATTCCGATAATATAACAAAAAATGCTACTTTTAAAGAATCTGTATTTTCAAGAACATCTGATACATTAGACTCTTTAGCAAATGAACTGGATCAATTACGGTATTGAATCTTTTTATATTATAAAAATTCTAACGTTATTAAGTACACAGTGGGAATCTACACACAAAGATTATGAAACTTTGTTATCAGACTAACAAAAGATCAGCATCCAATTAAAATACTGTTCATCTATGAAAGAATATTATTTAAATAAACATTTTTGGAATATCAGATAATCTACAAAATATACATCTCATAAATGTCACGTGTATTCATGATACCACTTTTATCATGATTAAATTATATAATACAAGTATTTTGAAAAATAAGATAATTTAACTGTATACTATACATCTCCTGAATATAAGTCTTTTCTATACGAAAGAATTTGTTTTTCTAAGTTTTGTAATATGAAACATAGATTAAGAATATCAATAATTTTTTTTTAGCCCTAAACCCTTATATAAGAAATTAAATCGTTAAATATACCATCTTTAAAATGCTGCTGCGCATTTCTTAATTCTTGAGGTACTAAAATACCAAACCAATGCACGGGGTTTGTAGGCATTTCTTCTATCTCCATTTTAGAAGTTTCTTTTGTTGTTATAACCGTCTTTAACTCAATTAACTGTATATCCTGATCAGAAATATTTCTATAAATAAGCTTCAATAAACATATTTAATTTACTTACACTCTATATATAGCTTTCATTCGTTTATCATAATTTTCTTGTATTGCAAGACATCTAGGAGTATAAAGATTAATGTAATTAGCTTTTGCTATAGAAAAATAGCCCTAACCAAGTGTTATTAAAGATATTTATAAATATTTTGAATTATATAAAAATAGAGTAATTACTTTTTTTAAGGTTTCACAAAGCATAAAAATAAGAGAAATATAGTCATCTATTAAAGAAAGATATTTAATTAGCGCATCATCCAACAATTGTAGCATTTTTGAGTTTTTTAAAAAAGATTTGAACCCTAACGTCAAGGTGTATATCGAGCAACCGCAGCTGTTCTTAACATCAACGCCATGTCACATGGACCACTAGAAGGGCCTAATTTTGACTTCAAAGAGATTCTTGACTCCCAGATTCCTTGTATAAAGGAATTAGCAAAGGTTAGTTGCTTTTTTTAAGTTTTTTAGATTAATTTTAAGAAAGAACCATCTTCCTAATGCTTTAGAAAAAATATCATTATTAGAGAAAAAAACACGCAAAGTACCAATGATAAAGCTATATTATAACTTTTATTTAATTGAATATAGGCTTCAGATCTTTCTTCTACTTCCAGATTACTAGTTTTGATCGTTGAGCTTTGCAAAGATGCAAACGAATGGACTTTAATGTGTGAACAAGTTCAATTAATGTCAAAAAGACACGGACAATTTAAAAAAAGCCTTGTTGACATGATTCAAGAGGCTATAAAAGCTCTTGATTTTGTACCAAATCTTATGATTAAATTAGAATGTATAGAATCACTACGTTCTATTACAGAGGGAAAGGTTTTAAAAAATAAAAGTGAACGGCTATAAGTAAATACTAAATGTATAAAATAGATCTTTTTGGAGGCAGAAAGAGTATCTCTAACTAGGGATTTGGCAAAAATTAAAGAACAACAAAATAATATAAAAGAAGCAGCAGAACTTTTGTGCGAATTAAAAATTGAAACATTTGGTTCTGTTGATAAACGTGAGAAAACAGAATTTATTCTTGAGCAAATTAGGCTTTGTTTGGCTAAGTCTGATTATAACTTGGCGTCTATTATTTCTCGTAAAATATCAATTAAATATTTTCAAGAGGAAGGTGTTGAAGATTTGAAATTAAAATATTATGAATTGCTTATTCGTATTGGGTTATATGAAGACAATTATCTCGAAGTTTGTAAGTATTATAAAGCAGTCTACGATACACCTAGTATTATCCAAGATGAATCTAAATGGAAGGATGTATGTATAAATCATTTATTTTTTTAAATTGATCTGTAAAGGTTTTGCAAAATATAGTTTATTTTATTATTATATCTCCCTATGGAAATGAACAGTCTAATCTTTTACATCATACATTAGCAGATCCTAAATTACAATCACTTCCGGTTCATTATGAACTTATAAAATATTTCACCAAAATAGAGCTTATGCGATGGCCAAAAATTAAAGAAATTTATGGAGAACTTTTTCGAAAAACTTCTGTTTTTGATCTTAATGATGAAAAAGGTAAAAAACGGTGGGCTGATTTGAAAAAACGAATTATTGAACATGTAGAAATTATTTCTTTTGCTTAAGTATTCATTTTAATGTTAATAGAACATTCGTGTTGTATCTAAGTATTATTTGAGAATTCGGTTAAGCCGATTAAACATGCTTCTTGATTTAAATGAGAGAGAAACAGAAGAATATTTATCAAATTTAGTTACATCAGGTGTTATTTATGCACGTATTGATAGGCCTGCACAAACCGTTAGTTTTATGAAACCAAAAAATGCCAACGTGATATTAAATGAATGGAGCTGGAACATTGGCACTCTTTTAGAAAAAATTGAAAAAGTTAGACAAATGATCTTAAAAGAAGAAATGCAAGCAAAACTCAGTGTGTAGTATTATATTACATATAATTAGATGTATGCATCTATATCTAATACATTACATTATTTCATTTTTTCTATAAAAGACTGCCATATCTATTAAGTATAAGTTCATATTTTAATGTAAATTATATATTTAAAAACATTAAAACATACATTTATAAAATTTGAGATTCGTCTGAAGAAAACGGTGTTTCAACCCGTGGGATATTTTTAAAACATAATAAACTACATATTTTTCTTTTTATTGGAAGTGACCATGTACCTACGAAACCATCCCACCATTCAAATACATCTACATCTGAGTCCACCATAGGTTTCTGACAGATTTCACAAGATATATGATATTTTCCAGCTTCGTATGCTTTTTTAATCTTTGGAATAAAACAAAATTTCGTTTCCCATTTTTGAATATCCGATTTTGCAATTAATGAAGATGCGATTACCCTAGCACTGAGTTCAAGTAATTTTGGAACATTTGAATCCGTTTTTATTAGATCTACACAAGAATATCGAAGAACAGGTGAAGTAAGTGATTGAAAGGATGTTTGAGATGAATATGCAATCGGACAATCTCGTAAAGGATTCGGCGATATTGATAAAATCTGCAATTTTTTAAGGAAAAGTAATGTCGATGGGAAATAAGTCTGTAAAAAGTAAATCTTTGTTTTTATTTTAATGAAAAAACTTTACAAGTTTATTCTGTCCCAAATTCAACTCAACTAAATTCACCAAACGACCAATAGATGATGGTATCATTTTCAAATCGTTGTTTCCTAATATTAAATTAATATTTCCCATATTTAAATAGAAAATAACAACTAAGCGATAAAACTGTAAGAGTAAAAAGATCAAAAAGTCCACTAGGAAGTTTATAAATCATATTTCCAGATAAAAATATTTTAAGACGAGGTATCAACGGCTTCTCATTTTCAGGATCTAATCGTCTAACAAGACTAGTTAACTCCGAGATATTTTCAGGAATTTCAACAATATTACACTCTCTAAAGTCATTAACTTAGACCTCAAAAAAATCCAAACCTACGACAACTGAAGAACTTCCTCTCCTTCTTCAATAGCATTTGTAATCGCTTCATTGAAAAGACTTATAGGAGTCAAATCTCTACGTTTTTTATTAAAATCCTTATTTCGCTGATGATATTGAATATGAACATAAGGCTGCTCAACTAACAAATCCTCCTCGTATTCATAATCATGTTCCCTCTTAAGATTAAACCTATTTGGATCATTTAAACTGCAAATTTTCCGAAACTTCTCTGTATTTGAAATATAATCTCGTTTTGAATATGAACCAAATTCATAAGACTTTTCTCTCGATAAAATAGTACTAAATGGAAGCAAAGGGTTCATTTCTTAATAAAAACACTCTGTTTCATCATATTAGAAGCTCTAAAATATCAAACAAATTCTATAAATTTTTTTAATAAAACAATAAAGTTGAAAATCTGAAAACTCGTCATGGCAACATAACGTCAAAAATAATAAAGGTGAGATATGAAAAAAAGGAGAGAAATTAGAGTATTTTTTAGAGAATAGGGACCCTTTAATAAAGAACAGAGAAGAGTATTTAACATGATTATAGATAGATGAGAAAAAAAACAAAAAAAATGATAAGAAATGAGACTAAAATGATTATTTCAGGACCTATTGATGTAGAAACAAATCAACGTGGAGTATTTCCAGAATTAATAGAATTGAATGAATCATCAGAAAGTGACGATTCACTTCCTCTTGATGGCGTTTCGTATTTGAAGAAAGTGCGTATAGAAGCGAAGCATAGACCAATTATTAAGGCGGTTGAAGCGCCTCCAACAGCAATGACAATAACACAAATATCAGAACCAAAAATAAATAATAAAGCAGAAGAGATATACTCAAGTGTTTGGGAGGAAAAGTTTTTAAAGAGTTTTATAAAACTGCGGAGAAACCTTAATTTGCAAACAAAGTCTGTTATATTAAGACCATTACCAAAAGATAAAATAGAATGGCGCCGATTAATTTTGGAAGAATTAGAACCCCCTAGTATATCATTACTTAACTCTATTAATCAATGTACTGCTTTAAATTTATTAAAATGGAATACAGAATGGTTTTCATACAATAGTCCTGAACAACAAGTAATATTATATGGAAAAATAAATGCAAAATAAGATTGATTGTTGCAGATAATGTGGATATTTTTTCTTCTTATAAAAATAGATATGGTTATGACATCAGATGAACTCAGTATTTTAAGAGAACTTTGTAAAAAATGCTTATTTCTTAGAAATTCGGTTTCATCAAATAAAAGAATACACAATGAAATACTAACATTTTCCTAGAAAAAAAACCTACCTTTACACATTCAATCCAATATAGATATGGTTATTTCAATTGTTGGAAATATATTTGGTCAAAAAGACTTACTTTTAAATAAATTTTAATATAAAAAATTACTATTTAAGTAACTTATCAAAAATGCATATATAAGATCATAAATATGTTATTAAAAATAAAATATTTAAGATATTTAACGTTGTCTTTTTGATCTTTCCATTTCTTCTTTACTCATTGAGCTTCCTTGCATGTCATACATACTTGCAGTCATACGTTTAAGATTGCTAGCAGCACCCTCTTGATATAAATTGCTTGATGCAGATTTGGATTCTGCTTTGGCCTTTTGTTCTTTCCATTTAGGATCTAACATCTCAATACGCATATGTTCTTCAAGTTCATTAGAAGGAATCGCAAGATTGCATTGAGGACAAATAAGAGTATTTTCTATTTTTTTCAAGGCTATTATGTATATTAGTAAAAAATTAGGATTAACGATAAAATAACCTTTTGGAACATAGTTTGTGCGAATCTTCATAGGAAGACCTGCTTTACTTTGTTGTTGTGCATGACGAACTTTTGCTTGATATTCTCTCCTTTCTTTAATAGCTTCATTTTCCTCATCAGAATCTGCTTCGATATCCATCTCTACACCTTCTTCTTCATGAGTTGGTTGCTCTTTTTCAATCTGTGAAGAATATGGCTGAGAGACATTATATGAAATATCCTCAGAAGGTGTATTAAAATCCTGATACATAGCCATCATTTGTTTTTGTTCCAGAGTTGCAGATTGCAAAACATTCAGTGAAATAGGAGTAGGCAAATCCATTTGATCGTCTGCATTTGTAAATTCAATAGTCTCTACAATTACGAAATCATGCCAATCAATCTGTGCATATTCAACTAAATATAATCAGACTTTAGATGTTGTTAAGATAATTAATCTTACTTTTTTCCCGATCCTCCTCCTCTTGTTTTAACTTTTGTTGTTCTTCTTGATATTTTTGCCATGCAACTCTTTTTCGAATAACTTCTAACAGCTGATACTTATTTTCTATATTTCTTTTCAATATGCTATTTGTATTTTTAGGGGGAATTAATATCCTTGTATATTGTTTAACAAGTTTTGTAAAATATTGAAAAAGAGAATGATTCGGACGTAAAAAATCAAACTGAAAATTCCTACTTTCTCTTTGAGAAAGAGTTGTCTGAAACTCTCTCCCATTTCTCGCAACAAACTGAGCAGTTAACTTCAATATATCCCTATAAACGTTTATACGTTAATAATATATAAATATTTACCAAACATACAAATCAGTCGCTGAAATAGCAGGTAAAGAAACAGAAAAATAAAATTTAGGTGGCTCTAGAAAAGACACCTTGTCAGGAATATTTTTTGATGCATTTTTAGCCGTTTTAGAAGAATCTTCCCGTACTACAGGTGACAAGAATTTCCCTTTCTTACATTCTTCAAGACGAAACTCATAATACTTATAATATGGATCAACCGGGTTTAAAAAACAAAATTTAGAATTATTTTTCTCTTTTTCTCTAATTTTCTCCTCAAATCCAATACCATTTCTTGAAACATAATTTGCCGTTTTTTCTACAATTTCTAATCAAAAATAAGACATAAAACATATAAAAAACCCTACAAACAACATACCTCTAATATCTAACGGTGGCAAAATCATACCCATATGTGCTAATGGGGGGATTAAAGGGTTTATTCCATTTGTTTGTGGTGTACTAGTTACACCATTGTTTTGAGCCATATTTAAAGATATTAAAACAATTTAAAAGAAAAAAAAACAGTAGAGGTCTTTTAAATAAAATATAAACCAAGGAAAGGAGTTCTTTAGATGTTTATATGGTAGTTTATAAGCTTAATAAAGAATACTATAACTATGGTTATCTTTTGAAAGGTTGTCGAACCTTGAAGGATTTAAAAGAAAAATTCAAACTAAAAAAATAATAAAACAACAAGATATAGAATGGTTTCATATAAAAAAGAAAGATTTTATATATATTTTTGATTAGCCAATATTTCACCTTTAACTAAAGAACCTCGAGCAGGTGGAAGAGGCATTGCAGTAATGGTTGTTTTTAAATTAGAATCAACCTGAATAGTTAGTTTTACTTTTGCATCAGATGTAATATTTTGAAGAATGCATTCAGCTATTTTTTGTGATGGAAGTAAAATTCTTAATGTTTCTTGTATAGAAGAGTTATCACTATCAGAAGCCGAAGTTTGAGATATTTTAGTGTTTTTTAAATCAATATGACCAATTCCTTCACATATAATAATATGAAAATCATCAAGATCAGGTGGTCTATCAAGAATAATACTTTTTTGAACAGGAACAGGTGTATATGATTGAATTATAGGAATAAATCTCATTTCATCATCAGATTTAATAACAACACCAATAGGATTTAATAGATGAGGTGTAGAGGTAATGCCTGGGTGCATTAAGTTATCAATTTCTGATTTAGTGAAAGAAGAAATCAAAGAAGCCTGTATTGCAGCACCATAACATTCAATGTCAGATGGATTTAATTTAGAAGTATGCAAAGATTGTGAACGAATTAGAGTTTTTTCTGGAAAAATAGAGCTAAACATATTTGAAATCTTAGGTATATGGGAAGTTCCTCCAGCAAGAATAAGTTCATCTATATCAAAATCTTCTAATTGAGCCTTTTTGATAACATTTTTTATCAATAAAACCATTTCATTAAAAATATGTTTTCCCAATATTTCAAAACGAATTCTATTTATATTAGAGAAAAAATCATACCCATTAAACATGCATTCGATACTAATTGTCGAAAAAGTATTAGAACTAAGACTTTTTTTGGTTGCTTCACATTCTACCCTTAATTTAGCCATTGCTTTGGCATCTTCACTAGGATCCAAATTATATTTTTTTTGAAATTCTTTTATAAAATAATCAACAAGGCAATTATCTAAAAACCACCCTCCCAATTTTTCATTACTCTGAGTTGCTAAAATTGTATATATTCCATTTCTAAAAGCAATAACGGTTGCATCACTTCTAATTTCTCCAAAATCTGCAACAACAACTATTTTATCAATTGGCTCTAAATATTCAGCTTCTTCCGAATATGCAAGAACTTCTGCAATTGATTCTTTTATAAATTGTAGAATATTAAGGCCTGCCTTTTTTGCGCATTTTTCCAAAATTTCTATTTGTGTAGACGAAAAGTCAGTAGGAATAGTAAAAACAGCATCCATAATAGGTTTTCCAATATATTCCATTGCACATTTTTTCAAATATTTTAAATGAGAAACTATTGCTTCATCTAAGGTAATTATTTGCTCATTAAATTCACCTTGGTCAGAAACGCTAGTGATTGTGTATACTAATTGATTATTTAAAATACTAGGTTGAGCTGAACAACAATTTTCAAATAAATCTACAGAATCAATTCTAATAATTAAATTTTATATATTTTTATATTTTCATAAAACTTACTTTTTCCCAAGAAATTTTTTATAATGAATTATTGTATTTTTTGAATTTCTTATAAGCTGAAATTTCGCCTGCATACCATGATATTCCTCACCACTCAAATATGATAAAGCCGTAGGGATCTGACGTTCTCCCTCTTCATTAGTAATAATAATAATTTTTCCATTCTAGAAATATGTTAATTTAGTTTTCCCTTCTTAAAAAAAATCAAACTTCATTCGTATAAGAAATAGAGCTATTTGCATTTCCCATTCGAATACAAATTATAACTGGTTTAGCTTTTTCATTACAAGTATTCATTTTTTCTTCTAAAAACTCAAGAAAGCTGAGAAAAATAACCAAAAAAAAACAGATTTTTCTGAAGAATATTCACAACTAAATCAAACCCATTAAGTATAATACAAAATAATATATATTTAAGAAATACTAGGAAAAACATATATTTGATTCAGATCTTTTTTAATATATCAAAATATAAACAAGATAAATATACGAAAATAAATCAGAAATTTAATTTTTAAAAATAATTTTCTTGTATTTATCATATAAAATTTTAGTTAAGTTTTTATCTAAAATAAATAAATATATGAATAAATTTCAATTAAAAGATAAAATTGTTCTAAAACATAATAATTAAGACATTTTTTTGAAAAAAAAAAAGAAAAAAATTAACATATTAAAATTTTTAAAATCTTTAAAAATTAAAAATTCTAAAAAATATGTAAAAAAATATTGACTAATGATTAATTTATGTATCAAAATTAGAATTCAATAATAATTTATATTAAAAAAATAGTTATAGACTCGATATTTGATACGAACGACCTTAAAATATTAATAAACCATTAAACCAAGAATTTTATCCTAAAAAAAAGGATAAATTAATAATTAAAAGAAGGAAACAAATACATACATTGTTGTCTTATATTTTAAGGGATTTCAGTCTTTTTTTTTACAATTAAATTTGAATTAATATTAAGATCACAAGACATCAATTTATCAAACCATATATTTTATATTTTTTCAGAATTTTTTATTAGAAAAAGAACAAGAAAGAGCTTATTTATATTAAAATATTTTATAAAAAATGGGGGGAGGTGATTTGAATATGAAAAGTAAGTTTTTTATCCATTTATTCTAAATAAATATTTATTTTTTATTATAGAATCCTGGCATCCCCTCTTGTATTCTCAATTAAAAGATAAAAATCTATGTTCTAATATTTTCTTAGGATTCGCAATCAAGAGAAGGTATGGATGGAGGAGAAAAAAGCCTTGGAAGAAAGAAAAAGAATTGAACAAATAAAAAAGGAAATAGAAGAAGAAAGACAGCTTCAAGAATTGCAAAAATTACAAGAAGCATCAGGCGGAAAGTAGGGAATACTTTATATTAGTTTTTAAAGTTAATAAAATCTAGAAAACGTGTAGAGCGTTTAGATTGGATGTATGCAGCACCACATCTTTCAGATGATTCAAAAACAACCGAAGAAATGGAGGCATATTTATTAGGGAGAAAAAGAATAGACGAAATTCTTAAAGATGATAATACAAAGGTATATTAAGAACAATTTATTCTGTATTTTATTCAATTCTTAAGCTTGAAAATGGAAAAAAACCATTTATTGCTACACAAAATGCAAACACGGTAAGAGACATTCAAAATAAAATACGGGAAGATCCTTTGCTGGTTATTAAAAAACAAGAACAAGCACAATATGAAGCTATTAGAAATAACCCTATTAAATTGCGTCAACTTATGGAAGCACAAAATGAAAAAAAAAGAAAGGAAAATAAAAATAGCCATCATTATTCACATCATTCACCATCAAAACATAGTAATGGCGAATCAAGAAGCCGCAATCTACATCAACGACATTTAGATCGATCTCCATCTAGACATCATTATAATCGTACCTTGAAATCACCTATTTCTCGCTCATCAAGATCCATATCACCACGCCGATCTTCCCGTTCTGAAAGATGCTATGAAAGATCATATGTTTCAAATCACTGGACCTCAAAAACAACAAATGCATCAAACAATACCATTAATGGCAAACACAAAGAAAATGAAAAAGAAAGAGAAGAACGGCTTGCTGCTATGACAAAAAATGCAGAAACACTAGATAAAGAACGTCAAAAGCGTTTACTGGAGCTCTCTAAACGAGAGGCAGAGGATGAAAAAAGAGAACATGAAGAAAGAATGGCAAATAAGAAATGGGGTGATAATAAAAGCACTTATTTAAGAGAAGTGGCGAGACAAACATATGGAGAATCAATGGATTTATCTGAACGAATACGAAGAAACGGTCAAACTCGATTAGGCGATTAATTTTTTTAAAAAAAATATATACATATAAACAAAAAAAGATTTAAAAAAATATACAAAAATAAATATCAGAAAAGAAGAAAAGACGCTAATAACGATATAAGAAAGATTTATTAATATCTTAAACACAAGTCATTCAAATAGTGTTTCTTCGGATGAGTCCGAAAAAAACTAACGTAACGCACACGAACAACAAACATATATTGAATACGTGATGGTCTTTTGTTTATCTTCACCCAAAGCATTACACCGAAAAATTGTAATTTTAGGTGACGGAGGTCAGTATTAAATGATACTTTGATGAATATAAAAATTTTCATATTCATCAACTTTATTAAATTCATTACAATAAAAACTAAAAAACAGTAGCTTGTGGGAAAACATCATTATTAAACGTTTTTACTCGTATGTAAAATTTATGTTTATTATCATTTATTAAAAAAAAAGGCGGGTATTTTCCTCAAATTTATGAGCCAACAGTGTAAAATAAAAATCTTATATATTTGACAACTAAAGACAACAAGATTTGAAAATTATGTACATGACATATATGTGGATGGCCAACAAATTGAACTTAGCCTTTGGGATACTGCAGGTAAGAATTTTTATGGCAACTAATCAAATGCCAAACTGGTATCAAAATCTAAACATTTTTAAAGGACAAGAAGAATTTGACAGATTACGTTCACTTTCATACGCTGATACACATGTGATTATGATATGTTTTTCAGTTGACTCACGTGGTTCGCTTGAAAATGTTCAATCAAAATGGGTGGCAGAAATTGCAAGTCATTGTGAGGGCGTCAAACTTGTCCTCGTTGCACTTAAATGTGATTTACGCGAATTAGAAGATGAAATTGCATATAATGATCGGGGAATGAATGATCAGCATCGATATATTCAATATGAAGAAGGATTATCTGTTGCAAAATTTATTCGCGCAGTACGATATTTAGGTAATTAGTTTAAAAATGAAAATATTATATATAACTAATGCTGGTAGAATGTAGTGCTAAACATAATCGAGGAAAGATTAATATTTTTTCATAATATCCATTAATAATATTAATTTCAGGTGTTAACGAAGCTTTTACTGAAGCAGCACGTGTTGCCATTGCTGCAAAACCTAAGGGAGCATCTGCAGATGACAGATCATATCGTCAACGGAATTGTGATATCATGTAAAAAGAAACATTAATGCATTTTCAAATAACATTTTCTCAAAAAAACAACATATATTTAGTTTTTTCCTTTTCATCAAAACATACTAGTATTTGTATTTAAGAAATAAAATCATTTGTAGTAAAGTTTCTCAAGGGTTTAATTTGACTTTTATTTTAAATTTTAACTTTAGTAATTTTTCCGGCTTTTGCCATAATTAAAACTAAATTTCAAGCAGAATTATTGCTCTTAAAACTCTGATTAATGTTCATAAAAGTAAAATTTCCATAAATTATTAATACTATCAGCTAATTCATTAATCGCTTCATATTTCTTTCGATTAGGATCTTCTGTTTTTTCTAAAGTTAATATTTGATTCACTTGGTCAATTTTTCCTTTAATACGTCCATCTAAAATCAAATTAACCAATAATGCCTCAACATCGCTCGAAGTAATATTTAATTTCTTTCCAATGAAAGAAATACTAATCCGTGTATATGGTAGAATTAAACGTATAAGAATTTGACTTCGAATATTCTTCAATATGTCATCTATATAGGTCTGAATAAAAGAATCCCCCATAATTTCATCATAATGATCCTTCAGAATAGATTCTATCTTATAGATATCGTTTTCTTGATATGCATTAATTAAATCTATTATTGAAAGAAGCTGAGAATTATTTTTATAAGGATTTGTCTCTTGAGAATCAAAAGGATTAATATTGGACCCATTCAACATATTTGCCAATACTAAATATTTTAATACTCGAATCCTATGATGGGAACCTGCTTCATCATAATTCTTGAAAGATTCAAAAAAATCTGTCTGAGCTTTTTGCCATTGTTCTAAAAAAGTTAAAAAATGATAAAATAATTGATCATTCATGAACTTTCTTCCATATGCATTTTTCCTCCACATTCTCGAATAACACCCATAGTATATGGATGTATAATCGCAGATTTTATTTTTAATGTTTGATGATATAATTCCTAAAAAAAGTTAAAATATAGAAAAAATATAATATCATTGACTTTAAGCCTTTTATTATTTTTAGTTTCAGAATACATTTGTATTCCCAATGAATAAACTTCAAGAAGATATGCACTTTTAGATTGGTCAATAGATCCATCATGATTCTCACAAACATTATATAATTGTTTCAAAATCTAAAATAAAATAAGTTAAGTCTTTTTTTTTTGTAAAAAAAACTTTATTTAATCGTATATATTCTTTTTTTTCAAGCCATAATTTTGCAAGTTTCAAATTTGTTTTTAGCCAAAGTCTTTCGTTTTTAATTTCTTTAAGAAAATTTAGAGTAATAGAGCAAATTTCTTCCATAAATTTCATATCATTATCCAAAGAAACATAATCAAGAATATTATGAATAGATTTTTCACTATAATTTTTCGTCACTGATGATTTTGTATATGTCAAAAGCTCCTTATAATAAGCAATAACCTTAAGCGATTAAGAAATCATAATAAAAAACATTTCAATTTTTTCTACATCATTTTTTTTTCCCAATTTAAATAATAATTTCATAATTTGTTTATATGAACGAAATCCCCTCAAAAATAATAAGATTAATCCTCTTAAATACACCCCTGTTTACCAAATTCCTTTTGTTGTTTCTAATCTAACAACTTGTTTAAATTCTTCAATAGCTTGCATAGGTTCATTTTTTATTGCTGTAAAAGTCAAATTTATTCTTTTTCTATTATTAAAAAATACTTTTTGCATGATAATACATATTCTCTATATCAGCTTCAGGTTCTTCCTCATCTTCAAAATAAAAATCTTGATCTTCTGCCATAAAATCTTCCATTTTAAAATCAAATGTTAATTAATATTTTCAAATTAAATTCTAATAAAAAAAACACAGCCTTATTAAAGGAACCTTTCTCCCTAAATAAAGATATGTTTTTTTTTAAACAAAAATTCATTATTTACCTTAATATTTCTTTTAAAATACTTTTACATCGATTTACCGCAGAATTATAAATCATTCATGAATTATTTAACAGTTAAATTAAGAAATCATACAAAGCAATGAATGTAGAAACAAATATAGATCCACTTGTTCATGACTGTATTCCCATCCAAGAGCTACTGAAAGAATATCAAGAAAATGAGACTTTTTATAAAAAAATAAAAGTATATTGACATATCCTATTAATTAATGATTGATTGCTAGAAAGGCCTTAGGAAACATGTCATTATATCGGATAAAACGAGATGGTGATTGTTTTTATCGAGGTGATCATAAAACTTAATAATTATTTTATACTTATCTTTATTAGCTTTATGTTTTGGATGGCTTTGGACATTAATGCATCAAACACCAAGAGATTCTGAAAAGAATATAATTGAATTTAGTAGAACAACAGAACTACTTCAGAAAAGTGGTTTTGAATTATTATCGTATGAAGACTTGTATGAAGAAGCGTTGTTGGCATTAAGTCTTCTTAAACCAGACGAAAATCAGGATAATCAAGCTAAAGAAAAGGAACTACTTACTCTTATGAACATTCCTGAGAAAAGCAATGCTATTGTTGTATATTTTCGCTTTCTGACAAGTGCTTATATTAAACAAAACGCCCATAAATATGCACCATTTCTAGATGTTCCTAGTGTGGCTGATGTCTTTGCTTTTTGTCAAAACACTATAGAATGCATTGGAAAGGAAGCAGATCATGTCATGATCAATGCTTTATCCAAAGCACTTCAAGTATATTTGTCAATAATTTTAATTTTTTCTAATCAAATCAGGTTTGCATCCATATTTATTATATCGACAGAAGTGATTCAGACCAAGCTAAAAAATATGAGTTTACAGTAGAAAACGAAAACCCAATAACAATATGTCTTTTGTATCGTCCTGGACACTACGATTTTATTATAGATAAATAATTCTATTCATTATATTATATGATTCATACGCTCAAATTTCCATTTATTCAAAAATATTCCTTAATATAAAAATATTATATTAATATCCTATCCTTCAGATGTTTTATATTTTTTTTGTTTTTTAGATGTCCTGTTTTGAGTTTTTGAATAAGAGCCTGTTGTTCATTAAACATTAATAACACGGCAATTTAATATATACCCATAGATATCATCAAATCTTGAAAATGTTTTGTACTCGTTCCTATATCTTTTTCAATTTTGATTTGTTTAGCATCTAAACAAGTCTCTGACAATTTTGCATTTGATTCTTCAAATTTTATATGAACTCTTCCTTTAGATGACATATTTAGATTTAAACAGTCCTGAATATGTAGAGATTCTTTCTTATTATCATTCTTTAAATTTCCTGAAAGATCATGGGCTATAATACGACTAGCAACTTGTTTATTTAATGCCATTGTTCCTGAATAATCAGAATAGTATTTTACGGAATAATTAAGCAAATTACTTTTAGAAAATAACATTTCTATCTCCTTAATCTTCAAAACATATTCTTCAACTCTTTTTAACTCCTTCATTACTGCATGATTCTTAAGATCAACCTGATTTAATTTTAAAATCACTATAACACAATTAAAAAGTGAATAAGCTTCTTCAAACACAAAAACTAACTAAAAATCAATGAATTTATTGCATAACATAGTGTTATATAGAGTTTTGCCTTATCCAACATTGAAAGTTTTGATGAAAGTTCTGATAAATTATTTTGATCATTTAATTTAAATTCAAAAAAGATATTTTCCAAACAAAAAACCCTCTCCTTTAAATTCTCAATTAGAAGATTTAAATCTCCTTCATTTGGGTGTATTTTTGTTGCCATTTAATTCTATTTTTATTCAATATATCTTCGTTTTTTTAACGTTCAAGTCACACGAGACATGATTCTCTGATACTATATTTTGTCTTGAATAGATTTAAGTTAAAATTTGTTCAATATATTAACACAAATATCAAAAAAAAAGATTAATAAAGGTTATTAAATTTATTTATGATACATTTACATTCCAACTATCTTTTATCAAAATACGTACATAAGATATACCTAGTTATACGTAGATTTAGTAATTAAATATATTGAAAATATATAGGATATGTTTTATATTTTATCTTTTTATCTACACTTTATATATTTTGTAACGAATTTTTAAGGTATTAATAAAATAAAAATTATTTTATTATTAAATAAAATATGGCAACTCGTGCACGTGCAGAAAAGGGCCGGTTTATGGCCGGGAATACAGAACTTGATATTATCCCGCAAAAATGGAAGCAGGAATGGGTATTTCATCAAAGTTCTAAGGATGGAAAAAGCAATAATAATATTGGTTTTAAAACCCTTTGTTGGGTTCCAGTTAAAGATATCGAAACATCAGAATCTATTAAAACATCAGAAGTCGAGGATGTTCCTAATTTAGCAGGAACGATGAGTTCGGAGGAAAATAAAGAGCAAAAGTCAGTGATGGAAAATTAAAAGAAAAAATAGAAGAAAATAAATAATAATTTAAGCAATTTATTGTATATACTTCGATGTTAGAAGAATTTTATAAAAAAATAAAGTTTAAAGAAATGCAATAAAACTTTAGATTGTTTCGCAAGATTTATTATCTAAGATTCAGATTCAGTGTAATTTAAAAAAGAGCTAAAGGTGCATATAAATTTAAATATTGTGTAAAAATAAAAATATTTTTTCAAAAGAGTATAAATATAAAACATCTACACAATACTTAAAATGTTGAATAAAATCCTACTATTATTAATTATATAAAAGCGAAGTATTGTACAAATAGATTTAATATAAATAATCTTAATCTTAATTATGTATTGGGAGAAATCTATTTGGAAGCTTTGAAAGCAATAGATACTCTTAAGGTAATATCATTAATAAATGTTGAATAAAAAAGACAGATCCTATAAAAAACGTTAATCCAAAATCTACAATTTAAAAATAAACAAACATGTTTTTAGATCTATAAAACCAATTTATATTTAACCAAAAACCTTTTTAAAAGTGAAAATATTAAGTAATCTTTTTTTAAAAATCAAAATTCATCAAAAAATCAATTAAATCTTTAATTAAAAACAATATATGTTTGGCGAATATAAGCAAAAAGACTTTGAGACAATGCATGTTTGAATACACAGAGCTAAATGTATCATATCGAAATCATCTAAAAAAGCAAATACAGTGCATAGATTAATTTCCATTATTTTTAAGACGAAGAATCCATCCTTTTTATAAATCACCCAATCTTAAAGCGAACATGACTATGACCAATCCTCATAGATTTAGAAAAAACAATACGACTCATTAATCTATAGAGTTGATGTATTTATCTATTTATAATATATATAACACATTATAAAAAATCGGTCTTATTTTGAATCGATTCCATTTGATCAGAAACACCTATTCTTGACCAAAACATGGCTTCTCGAAGTCGAATAACCTCTTCCCATGCTTTAATTTCAATATTCTCATCATCTGTCTTCCATAATCCATCACGAAGTTGACGAAGAAATCCAGCAAAATTGCATACACTTCTTAGTCGTCGTAAACAATATGAACATAAAAGATGGGATTTAGGGGGATTCCGAAATTCGGAAGTACGAAATTGATGAATCCGTGTATCTTTATCATCGCAACAATTATTACCACATAAAGCACATACAAAAGGCATATCAAAAGACTTAGAAGAAATAGGCTCGATTACAAGATTTCCATCCAAAATAGAAGAAAGTACAGTTCGTCGTGCAAGCCATGACAAACTTGGAGAATTATCCAATCGTAGCGTTGGCTCAATATCTTCATAAATACATCGCTTAATAAACTTTGAATCCTTAAAAAAATTAGAAGACCCTAAATTATTTATTTGAAAAGATGATGATGTAGTTAAAGTCTGTACTGTATTTGATGAACCATTTAATCCATGATATATTGGCAAATCTAATGATGAAATTGAATTCAGCAACGTTTCCGACGTTAGCGCCATATTCATTCCTTGTGTAGAAGACGTTTGATTTTTCTGTGAACGAAGTCCTTGAAGAAAAATCATAAATTCCTGAAAAATAGGAATATCTCTACGAATAAACAAACCTGTTGAACACATTGAAGATTCTTGTTTTTCCTCTTCTTCTATCTCACGTATCAATTCATTATTTTTCCCTATACTTATTCTATTTTCACTTTTTTTAGGCGTAGAAGGTATCGAACCCCCTTCTTCATTAGACATATGTTGCATTACATCCTTTAATTCTGCAAGCTGTTTTTCATGATAATGTAATAATCCCTCAGTATCTTTAAGCTTTGCCTGAAGATGCTCATTATATTTTTCTAATCGGTCCCTATCTCTATGTGCTGATGAAACCATTCTATTTGCCTCTTCAAAGAGAGTTTTTGTTAAATCCTCCAATTCTTTTTCAACTGTATGTTTATATATTTCCGCTTTACCCCTCTGTTGTTTTTCTTCCATTAAGCGAGCCATCAGCTGTTGTATTTCCTTCTCAACATCTTGTTTTTCTAATAACGCCTGTTCCATCCGATTCATATAATCCTTTTGAGATGCTTCTAATTCACGAATCTTTTCCTTAGCTAGCATCAATTCATGACAAGTCCAATGAATATTATCTTCTAAACTTGCTTGTTTCTCAATTGATGCAACCAACTTACTGTTAAGCATAGAAAGCTCTTTATTTAAACGATTTTCAACAAAAATAGGAGAACTCCCCTCCTCCATGAAAAATACAAGTAATTATATATAATCTTCTATATATATGTGTTATATATGCGCTGCCCTCAAACTTTGTAATATTCGATACTTTTTACTCTACACTTTTTTTATAATTTATATCCTTTCTATAAAGTATAATAGATATTTAAACCTAATCTAACTCATCATCCTCTATCCTTTCTAAAAAGATAGATTCAATTCATAATTTCTATCATTTTAGTCTTAAATTATTAAAGAATTTTTTAATTAAACGTAAAGCCGGCTCCGAAAAAAGAATCAAATACTAGAAAAAAATAAAAACACGCATATACAACGCATATACAGCGCATATATAACGCATATACACTTCATATTCATTATATAATTCATAGATTTTATCCTTTTATCTATAAACTTGATATAATTTGTTTTAATTTATTCATTTTTCAATGCATTCATCTACTCAAGAATCTTCAGAAGATCAATCTTCCCGCTATGCTACTGTATGCTATTTCTCCTTATTTTTCTTCTAACAGATCTATAAAAACAGTTATCTCGGTTAATGGAACCAGCTGCACGAGATAGATTAACACGTATTGCATTAGTTCATTCAGATCGAGCACGTGATGTCGAAAATATCTTACTTCGTAAAGCGCAAGAAGGCTTGCTTCAACAAAAAGTTTCAGAATCAAATTTGATTTCACTTTTAAATCAATTAAAAGATGAAAAAAAAGAAACAAAAATTATTGTATTTTTTTCCTTTAAAAAACCACATACTAAAACTTTATCAGTTTAATCGTCAAGCATTCGATGAAGATTAAAGATCTAACAGTTTTAATATAAAAATAGGTCTTTTTTATATTAAGATTTGAATTTTATTTTATTTACTCTCTTTTAAATCATACGGAATAATACCTATTCTTTTCCTTAAAATGTTTATATCAGTTTTTAATTCCTCTTCCCAATAAATATTTATCATTGATTCACGTGCTTGTTGTCCATTTTGAATTGCCCATTTTATCAATGGATATGATATATTTTTGCATTTTTTTTTTAAAAATAAAGAAAATGATCCAAAAATTGCACTTAATATTGCAATCGGAAGACCCATATTAATCCATTCAAACCTATTCCTTATAAGTCTGTATCTTTTTATTTTATTTTTAAAAGAATATTTTTTATATTTAACCCTTTTTATAAAATTTCTTACCATTTTAAAAGAATTTCGCCTTCTATAGTTGCAGGTAAACCCATTAATATATGATAAAAGTCATGTGATTCTCTATAACGTTGCATAACATAAGCCCATTCTTCATGATTAATATAGCGCACCTTTTTTTAAATTAAAAATAAAAGATCTTTTTTTTTCTCTTCTCTTACACAAGAACGCAATCCTGGTACAAATCCATATGTATCCATCCATTTAATATATATATTACCTAAAGTATAATCGGGCAAAGTATGTAGAAACTTAGGATTTAAAGTAACTAAAGTCATTCTTGGACGTTCAAATAATATACGCCGTCCTGTAGAATTGATCAACATTTTACGATGCAATTTCTCTAAAAAATAAGGTGATGCTGTTAATTCTCCCACAATACCCAATAAATCTATTATAAAAAATAAAAATACCCTTATTAAAAGAAAAAATGCCACCTGCTCGACGAAGATTCATAAGTAATCCTGATGATGCGCTTAAACCAAGTAAAAAACGTGTACTACATGGTAACCAGATATGTCCCTCATACAAAGGTGCTAATTCATTTATTACAAAAAAAAAATAAGGTAAATATATACGTTTTAAATATAAAGAAAATTGCTGTTTAATAGATAATGAGCAATAAACCATACAAAAACTATTTTAAAGTCTTTTTATATAAAATCTTTTATCTTTAAATATTAAAAATTATTTATAATATATTAATTCGTAAAGCGCTTAGTAATAAATTACCCATAATTTAAAAAAATGTCAGGAAATGCACAAGTTGCCTCAAATAATTATGAAAAGATATGGAAAGATAAACATTTATTATTAACAGTTAATTTTTATACATTTTTTCTATTTTATTAAAATTTATATATATAATATAGAAAATTGAACTGGAATGGTTTATATCAACAATAGTACCAGAGATCTTTAAAAAAATTAATAGACATTTAAATTTATGCATGGAAGCGCTTTCAGATGAAAAAAGTTTGACTCTTGTTTTATCCTCAATACAAAGTGAAACAATTAAAGGATTCCTAACAAGAAGAGGAACATCGCTTATAAAAGGCGTATTGAAACTATATTCTTAAAATCACAGAATAATATTGTTTTGAATAGAAATTTCAAATAATTTTTAAAAATAATATCAAATTAAATCAATTTTATATAAAAAATACTATTTTATTAGAACAAGTAAGTTGATTTGTATTTATAGAGTCATATAAAGATAAATGTGTCTATAATGATTTATGTTTATACATAAATCATTATAGACACATATTTACTCATATAGGTAAATAAAAAAATAAATTAATAAATAAATAGTTATCTCATCTTAATGATATAATTTGTCAAAGTCAAATAGTTCTTCAAACAGAAACAACTGACGCAGATTCTATTCAAAAAGTATGATAAAATCTTGATTTTATCATTTTAATTTATAAACAGATTATTAATCAATTACATCTTCATATTCAATCCGCTCAACAAATTCTTTATCCAAATGAACCAATAAATGATCTAATTTATTCACTCAAAAATAATGCATATTATTTTTATCTTATATGGCATCTAATAATTTAATTGTAGGATCTTGATCCTCCATTACCTTCCAATATTATGATCAACATTTGTATCGACTACACTTCCATTGCAACACACATATACCTTTTAGCAGAACAGAATTTTACACAACGATTTTCTTTTTTATCACGATTATTCAGTTTTAACGGTTGGAAAACAACAAATCCTAGATCTATGTATCTTCTTTTCTTTATTAAATACTTCTAAGATTGTTTCCAGTACCATAAATCAACAATTAATGCAAATCATTGATGAAATCCATCTCAAAAGCAGAGATCCTGCCCTTTCAATCATTATAGATCATTTAACTGGTAACCCCAATATATTTCATTTTTTCATTACTAAAAAAAATAAAGCTATTGAATATGAAGTTAATCATTTAAAATTAAATATTGATGTTCTCCAAAAAAATATAAATACTAGCGAATCTACGCAACCTTAATATTTTACTCATAACTAACTCTCATCCTAAAAAACTATCTCCTATCATTCTAATCATATATTATTTCATATTTTATCTAGTATTGCTGTATATTATTCAAACACTCTCATAAACCCTACTACTACTCTAACTCTTGTTTCCTGAAACAAGAGATAATCTACTAAGACTATATAAAAGTCTTTCTTTTTTTACTTGTAATGCATGTAATTCATTCGCTTTTGAGAGCTGTTCTGAGGCACTATTTAATGCGTTTCGGGGTTTTGATGGTTTCTGTTGTAACCGAACTTCTTGTAATTCTGATTTTCCTTGTAATGTTTTTTCTCGGCGCTCCAATTTTGTAATTCCTGCTTCTGCACGTTGTAAAAGTTCTAGTATTTGAGGATAAACCTCATGTTCCAAAGATTGTTGTGCTTCTTGAATATCTGTTTCCGAAACCACTTCAAAATGCTGTAACACATCAGATACATCTCGAGGCGTAAAAACTTACGCGTCTATTTGCCAAAACAGATTGTATACGAGGAAAATCATTAATACCCGTATTAAGTGTTGCTAATAAAAGATCCATCTATTAAATAAGGAAATTATATTAAATTAAAGTTCTCAATAAAACAAAAGTTATCTTTTACCCGATAATTACATGCATTTAATGAGGAAACACATCCTTCAAGACTAGAAAAATATTAGCAATTATATGCGCAAGGAAAAACAATCAACACGACTATTTACCTATTTAAATAGTCACTTATTGGTGTAATAGAACTTGTTGTCCTTTGACGACTTTGAACACGTGGAGATATCATTTTTTTAAGTCTCGTGATAAGACGAGAACTTTTGAAAAAGAAGACCTAACCCTAAAATGTATCTAGACCTAATGTTATATTTAAAAAAATCTAATTATTCTAAAATATCTTTTCAATAATAATATAAAAACATCTCCCTTCCTCTAATTTTTTTAAAAACGTTTCTCAAATTTTATACATATATTTAATATAACCCTAACCTTTAAAAATCATTTGTAATTAGGGTTAAACCCTAAGCAATTCATTAAGAGAAACCCTCTTCCAATTTATCACGTTTTAAAATGATAAATTATTTTGGAATGAAAAAATGGCCAACACCTTTTAAGTAATTTGTTCTTAAAAAATTACAGAAAATATCTAAAACTTTATAGTCAACCATTAATACCTTTTTTTATAGCGGGAGGTCTTGTATTTTATGGTGTTTATCGAATGGCTGATGCGATGATGCAATCTGAACCATATATAAATGATCCAAGAAATCCAAGAGGCATTTATTCTTATTTTATTTTCTACATTAAAACTTATTCATTTTTATAGCACGTCAAGGTCCGAAAAGTGCACATTAAACATATATATACAGTGCATATATATTAGGCAATATATTATATATATAATGTATTAATAATACCTACAATTTATTGTATATGCATAACATATAGTTATATAATAATACATCATTCATTTCATATTATAAATAATTATATATTTTTTTAAAAAATTTACTATGACTCAAGACGTGTTTTTCGTGGTGTTTCACCTGTACCTATGAATTGATTAATATATATATTATTTTTCCGTTAATATTCCTACGGAATCCATTTTTGTAGCGCTGATAAACATGTTTTAAATGTTTCATACGTCCTGTTCCTGTTGTTTTTCTTCGAATTGCTTTAAATGACCAATTATCTTATATATATTAATATATTAATATATTCAATTTAATCTTACATCGACGCATTTTACTTGCAGGATAACCGCATGAAGCACACCTCGATTTTTGATTATGAAAAGATCGACGGCCACAGCGTCGACATTGTGTATGCGTTTTTATATGTCGTTTACCAAAAGATGATGTTCCCTATAATATAATTAGTAAAAAAAACTATAAATAGGATAGATATAATTCATTATGAATAAATCTTAATGAATTATATACTTACTTTTGTCATAGTTTTTTATCGTTCGATGAAAAATTTTGTGACTGTAAATATTACGTCTTAAAAAATGTTAATCTAGTAAAAAATATAAATCAAGATTATTTAAGATCATATATGTAGATGGATTGGATTATATGCATTGAGTTATAGGAATATATGCATGAATGTATATATTATACACTTTAAAAATATTGATATAAAAACTTTATAGGAAATAAAAAAATAATGATAAATATTAATTCCTATATTACATTATTATACAATATATGTTGAGATTATGAATATTCTGTCTGTTTTATAGTATTATATGTGAACCATATGCGTTCCATTTTTCAATATATATTTAATGCACTTTTAGATACGTCATTAGTTTTTAAGTTATATTATCCAATTTATCTAGTAAAAGCTTGTCTCATAGAAGGTTTTGCATGTTGACTTAAAGTTTGCATATGCTGTTTTACTTAATATCTAGTTTAAAAAGATCGATTTGTATACTTCACCAATCTTTGTATTAACTTCAAAAAACTTATAAACACATCGATCAATACAAACAGATTCTCCTTTATTTAATTCGCCGTCTGTATAAATAGAAGGGATACATTTTTGATGACATACATCAACCAATCTATTTTGTAATAAGATTAATATTTATTTTTCAAGTTCTTTTTACCTTGTAAATAAATCAGTTACCATATCCAACTCATTCTCAGCAGCAGAAACTTTCTGATGATCGACAGTTTGTTTTGTAGTGCTCGAATTTTGGCCAAAACCAAAAAACGGCATTTTCAATAGTTTAAATCATGAAAATCGTTAAGACCGATCAAGCCTTTAGACCACATAGGTGGGCGCCAAAGATAAAGCCTATAGTAATAAAAATATAATGCCATAAGAAAGTAATAATAAGAGCTGGTTTATATATAAAAGTTGTAAAGCTAAATAAAAGATTGCTGTATAAAAAAGAAATAGAGGATAAAAATTCATATATCGATATGAACATAATGTTTATCAAAATATACATCTAAATCATCATCAGGAACTGGATCATCAGGAGTTGTTTCTATTGCATCATCAGATTCGTAAATATTAGGGAGTGGATTGCGCCAAAATAAAGTATCAATAAATTCTAAATGTTTAATTTGAAATAAAGAAGCGCTTTGTGGTGGAAAAAAATGATCTACAAGATCGTTCATAGAAATATAATTGCTTCTATAGCCTGTGAGTTCTAAGAATTTCATATAAACTTCTCCATAAGAATTAATAGTAAAAATTCGTGTAGGAGGAATGCCAACTGATTGGTAAGACAAAGCATCAGTTATTCTATTTCCAAATCCTGCATAAAATGGATTTGAACCTTTTCCAAAAACATTATGTAAATCTCTCAAACAAGATATTTTAAAAACTTCTGGTTTTTTAAAAATCATTTCTCTTAAGAAAATAAATAAGAAAAAATAAAATAAATTACTTGCCTTCGCAAAGCAGCCATAGTTCTATCCGGAGAAAGAATAACTGGACCAAGAGGTAACTTATGTCTGTTTTGTTCTATTTTTTTAAGATAATCTCGAGTAGAATCTGCCTGTCCTACAGAACGACTTGTAAGGTATAATATATTAAATCCATTATTATAAATATCAGAGTAAAGTTTTGCAACACCTGGATGCGTCCAATCTTTGCCAATGATCGTTAATACGTGACCAAGCGCATCTGATCTAGATAAAATAAACATGAATTGTATCAAAAAAAAAATTAGTCTACTTAGTAATTGTCCCATCAATATCAGATATGACAACTGATGTATTATGTTTCCAGAAATAAAGGTTTGCAGAGACGGTTGCTTTTCCTTTATTAACGCTAAACGAAATGGAATTTCTTCCTAATTGAAGATTAAGTGATTTCTAATAAAATAAATTAATTAAAAATAAAAATAAAAAAAATATACTAATTGTTCTGAAGTAAGACGAAGTGTCTTTACGTACGTAGTTGTACTATCAGTAGATGATTTAATCTCAGGTTCCAAACTAGGTACAGAAGTTAAAGAAATCTTGGATAGATCATTAAGATTATTCTATTAATAATTAATATATATCATTAAAAATTTCAAGAATTACATTAGAAAATATATCAATATTTGTTGACAAAGATCCTCTATTTATAGCATCCTCTTTTGAATCTTCACTTGCATAAATCCAGATGTTTCCGTATGAATCGGAAGAAATAAGATTTTCTAATTCTGCAGGATTGATATCTAGCTCTGAAAGAATACGTCGAACAATTGCCTCTGCTTCCTGTTCCGCTTCGTCTGATGATTTATAACCACGCATATCCAATATAACATCTATAAATAGTCATTTTTATCATGAACAAAAAAAAAGGCATACCCCCATTGTCTGTAATATGCGTAGGAATATCCCTAGTTAGAAGTCTTTTGCTGAGTTCAGATGCACGTTTAATAGCAGTAAGACGAGCTTCCTCCGTGTCAATTGAAGATTGAGAAATATTTAAGTCCGAAAGTAACTCATGATTCGTTTTTTGAGAAGTAGAATCAGAAACATCTGAAGATAAAAGATGTGCTTTAGGTGTATCAGTAACTAAATTAGATGATGTATCTATAGATAATGTATCCCATGTTTCATGACCTAAACGTGAAAGACCCGTTTGTCCTATATCCCCTGATATATATTATCAATAAGCATATATTTTAAAAAGACTACCTGTATTATTATAACCCAGATCTTCAAGACGTGTAAGAATCCCATCTTTAGGTATACCTTTTAATCTATTAAAAAACAGACTTTTATACATATAACTGACGATTGTTATGTTCACTTAAATAAAATTCATCTGGCTCTTGAAGACTTTGCTAAAAAAAAGATATCTCATAAGCAACCTGATTATAATCCGTAACAATTTACCTCCTCACTTGATTGAGGACTACTAGACGGCGAAATAACAGGAGATGTCTTCAACTCATCCGGAACATCACTTTCAGTACTAAAAACAAAGAATGCATCGCCCTCATCTCCCAATTTCATTGAATAGTGGACGATCTCATTATTTACTTTAAAAGTCACCTGAAATATCTTAAAAACTCCCTCAAAAAAAAATAAAAAAACCTTCTTATCTGAAGGGCGAAGCATAGAAAACTTTCCAAAACGTACATGAAACGGAGAACAAGCAAGATCTCCATTTGCTTGTTCAATAACAATAACATCAATCGCTCCAGAAAGTGTCGCCTATTTCTCTTAAATTAATCTTAAAAAAATACAAATACATACTGGATTAATAGAAGACCATGTCCTAGACATAGTCCCAAAGGCTCTTCCAACGTATTGCATTTTAATCACCTCATAAAACCAGGCGATGCAAATCACAGGCTTTGAGCGACAGCACGACGTCAACTGATTAAATAAGTGAGGAATATATCAAAGGAAAAAAATAAAAGAGCATAATAAAAAACATAGATAAACAGTAAAGTTGTAGCTTATGATAGACGATAGAGTAGATATTTTGAAAAATGAATGTTTTTTTGTAAGAAATAGTAATAAATATTGGTATAAGAAAAGATTAAAGAAAATAAAAAGATATAAAAAAGTAATATAAAAGACCTATATATTTTTGTGAATGATTTTTTTAGTTATTAATAAAAAAAATGAAATTTGATATTTATATATATATAAAATAATGTTTTGAATAATTAATTGATAGCACTGGTTAATTAGTTGATTGTGAAAGAGATTTGGCTGTAGAACAGGTCATTCTAAGGTTTCCAAATGTCAGAATTTCGTTGATTTGTTGTTGATTAGAAAGAAGCATACAAAGTCGATCAATACCCATACCCCAACCTCCAGTAGGAGGTAGACCCCATTCTAAAGCATCGATATAGGTAGAATCTATTAATTGAATATCAGAGTCACCATGATGATCACGATCTTGTTGTTGACGAAGGAATTTTAAATTTTGTTGTAATGGTGCATTTTCTTCTTCATAAAAATTACAGATTTCTTTTTTAAGAATATAAAGTTCTCCTCTGTAAGCAATATTTTGATTATGTCTTGTAGAAGATTTTGATAATGGAGACATAACCTGAGGATGATGAATGATAAACGTTGGTTGATTACATTCAGATACTAAAAGTTGAGTAGAAAATTGATCCAAAATGCGATTAACAGTATATGGTTTTAAAAGAGGAATATTTTTTTCGCTAGCAATATTTAGAAGATCATCAACAGCGGATGGCAAATCTAAATTAGGAAGACTGGTACCTAAACGATTTTCAAGAGAAGGAATAAAATCCAATATTTTGTAAGTATCAAAAAAGCTATTATTTACAAGAGAAAGAATATTGCCTTTAAGAAGATTGTTATTAGTCAATTCTTTGATTAGCCCAGATAATAACGATTTAGTTATTTCTATTAAATCATTCAAAGATATATATGTTTGATAAAATTCACAGATTGTAAATTCAGGATTATGACTTGAATCCAGACCTAATGTATTCTTTAATTTTATTTTTTGTATTAAAAATAATAAGATTTTATTAACCTTCATTTCGAAAACATTTTCCAATTTCAAACACTTTATCAAAACCACCTATTACTAATTTCTTAAGCCATAATTCCGGTGCAATCCTAAGAAGTATTCTTCTTCCATCTAGTGAATTTGCATGTGTATAAAATGGCCGAGCATTAGCTCCTCCGGTTGATCCACTTAAAATAGGCGTTTCAACTTCCAAAAAATTTCTATTCAATAGAAATTCACGAATATATGTTAATATTTTAGAGCGCAAAATTATAGAGTTAGATATTTCGGGATGTACTAAGAAATCCACGAATCTATTTTTAATGTGTTTCTCAACATTTTTAACTTTAGATGGCAATGAATGAAGACAAGGAGCAAGTAATTGTATTTTTGATGTAAATATCGAAAATTCACCAAGATTTGTTTTTCCCAAAATACCTGTCATTTCTATAATTTTTTAATTTTAAAAACCAATAAATCAAATATTTATAAACCAACTATATCTCCTCTTCGCAAATTCTTATTCATTTTCAAAAAAATGCTTGCATCATCTTTATAGGTTTGAAGTGAACAAACTGACTGAATTTTTGCTCCAAAAGCATATATATCATAAAAAAAAAGCTTTGAAGAAGCACTTCTAATAGAAAAAATTCGTCCTAAATATTAAATAAGAGATATTGTTGCATAAATAAACAACAAAAACCTCTTATAGTTACTTCTTTTCCATTTAAAACACGTTCTCCATTTTTTAATTTGTCTTTCCATGTATTAATTGCACTACAAATTTCAATATATTTTTCATCATATTCTATACGTGGATAAGGCTCTATTTTCTCTTTAAAAAAATTCTTTAGACGACCATCTATTTCCTTATTTTCTTGTTTTCTAGCAATAGAAAGAGTTCGTATAAAAAATATATGATCACATGATAATAACAATCTTCTAAAATTACATTTATTCTGAAAAAAAATGCGTCTCAAAACTTTCTTATATAAAAAATTCAACATAGACCTATTTATAAATTAATTATTAACCATTAGCGCTCTTTATAAAATTCAAAAAAAGGATCCAAAAACATCAGAGAGAAGATTATCTTAATTTCATTGGTTAAACTCCTAATTTTACCTCATTTATCTAAATGACGATACTTTTTTTTTTCATCAAAATTTACTGAATCCAAGAATTAAATTTTTTTAGGTAACCAACCTTGAAAAAAAAAAATCAATAAATAATATATAAACAATTTTTTCAAATATATTTCAACAAAACAAGAGCCTTTTGACATAAAATTCTTTTAATTTTTGTAATTTTTAAAGATTTTATCTGATAACCTGATACTAGAGAAAGATCTGTAGTTGTTTCCATAGCAACTATTGCCCATCGCAACCTCGAGATTCCAACATCAGTTATCAAACATACAATGAAGCAATCTTCTATATCTCTGGAATATTTTCTTAAGAAAGCATATTTATTAGAAGGAAAGGAAGTAGTAAAGGTTATCGAGGAGGTTCTAGAAGCTTCAAATATTTTTTTTTTTTCAGAATTGCTTAAAATTCCAAGTATTCAGAAGGTAAAAAAAATGTTTTGAGAAAAAACTAAAAAAATAGTTAAAAGGAACAGAAAATGAGCCTTATTTGGATATTCTTTATATATTTTGTTATGGTTCTTATAAGGATTATCAGGGTAGAAAAAGGTTTCAAGAAAAAGTGTGAAAACTAATGATTTAAGAAAGAAAACTATTTCTTCCTTATCTTTCGGAAAATCAAGTATATAAATTGAAAAAATTGTCATTAATATCACTCTCAAAGAATTTTAAAGTATATTTAATACTTTAATTTTTTTTTGTTAAAATTAGTAGAATTTGATGTATTCCGATTTACTTTTATATTTTGATCTTTCGGACTATAAGGAGCTTGAGAAGTTGCTCATTGATTGCATTTACTCTTCACTTCTTTCTGGAAAGTTTGACTCCAAAAACAAATGTTTTTGTGTTGAATATACGTGTGGAAGAGACATTTCTTTTTCAAATATCGACGAGCTTATTAATAAATTATCATTATGGTCAGAAAACTGCACAGACGTGCTTAATAAGTTAGAATATCGTGTTAAAATTATAAAAGATGAAATATTTTCGAAAAAATCATTAGAAGACTATCAAAAATTTATACACCAAAAAATGGAAAATATTGAAACACAAGAAAAGGGTACATATAAAGGAAAGGGAGTGGATACAACACATTATAATCCCATGGAAATGGATGAAATGCATATTGATGATAACATTTCTTTATGGAAAAATATTTTTTTCAAATAATTTTAAAGATTCCAAAAAAAGAAAACAAGTATTTATATTTAATTCAATAAAAAAATATTCTATCAAAAAAGTTTTTTGGAATATTTAGGTGACTAAAATAGGAACGTTATTGGTTAAATTGCTAAATTGTTAAATTAAGCAATCATAATAATTTCAAAAACATTTACAAAAATTACAATTTTAGTTTATAAGACATTTAGGATTTCTAAGAACTTTTTTTCGATCTTAAATAAACCAAATAATATTAATTAAAATCAAACTTTCAATATAAGAGTATCAATAAACAATCAACTTAACGATGAATCTTTGGTAACAAAAATTAAATATTATTTTTACATTTTTCTATATCTTTCATTACATAATGAGATATTCTTATTGGCATATGATTTTTTTATCAAAAGATTATATTCAACAATAAAAAGAATTTATGTTAACCCTAAACCGAAACGACTGAATTAGACATTCTTCAAGAATTTCATGATGTTTTTTCTTTTAAGGCTTTAATACACAAAGTGCCAATTCTTTGCTAAGAATTATATATTATTAAAGTTTTTTAATAGGAAAATTAATCCTCTTAATCAATGTTAAATGATTTTTCGAAAATTATGAAATAGAATGTTCAGCTCCAAATAAATTAGTGAAATTTCCTATAAATACTACAACATTTAGTATGTCTCGAAAAAATCGGCAAAAAATTCGACAGGTAGATTCTTTTTTATTTTTTTCTTATAATATCAATAATAATAACAGGAAAAGAAAAAAAAAGAGATAGAAAGAATAAAAAATGAAGCATCTTTTGATGAGGAATCATCTGTAGATATGAGGAAGTTTGAGAAAGATATTATTTCTTCTATTATTGAAAAAATGTCATTTGAAGAAAAAGATGTAAGCAATTTTCTAATTTTAATAGTTATGAAGACTTAAAATAATCAGATTGTCCCTGATGGGCATTGTTTGTATAGAGCATTTTCAGACCAGCTTGCTGTTCGACATGATATTCATGTAGTATAATCTTTTTCTTTTAGAATTTTCTAATACTTTTATTAGATTGACTATCTTCAACTTCGTACAGTAGCAGCTTCTTATATTCGAGAACATGAACAGAGTTTTATTCCATTCCTTTTTAACGACGAAACAGGAGAAATAAGAGATGTAGAATCATATTGTAACGATATTGAACATACAGCAATCTGGGGAGGAGAAGTAGAAATTATTGCTTTAGCGCGGGCATATAAAGTAAATGTAGAATTAATACAAATGAAAGGATTACCATTGAAAATCAATTTCGACCCAGATGGAGAAACATCTTTTTCACAAAACAAGAATACGATCAAATTAAGTTATTACCAACATATGTATGCATTAGGTATTAGAATTGTTTATAATTTTCATAAATTAAATTATAATTAGGTGCACATTATAATTCATTAAGAGATAAAGTTAAAAATTAATGCAAAAAGATGCAATTTAAATATAAATAATATCTATAAACAATTATTTAATTAATAATTATATACAATATTTAGCTTTTATTACTCCATATATAATACACACTGTTTTCTCGCGATTTCTTATTAGTCTCTTTTTCTTTTTATATTATTTTTCGAATTTTCAAGTTTTTTTATATATTTTTTTTCCTGATCTGTCTCAGATGAACTTGTATAATCACTGTCAAATAATACAGGTAAAAGAAATCCTTCTGTATGAAAAGATCCTGCTGTATATTGGATATTGTCTATAGTTATTATATCTACATCAGCATCTTCTTCAATTTTGCTTTTTTTAGTTTCTTCTGGAACTATATCAAATTCATCTTCTCGTTCTTCATATAAAATATTCTCTTCTAATTCAGTAAAATCAGGAGCAAAAGCCGACCACCCTTCTGTTCGTGGAATAGACCAAATATAGATCGTTCCAGTTTCTAAACCTGCTGCTGCAATAAATGGAAAAACAGGATGCCACTATTTAGGAATAAGTTTTTTTAAAAAAAAATATAAAATTATACATCAATATCGATGAATTCTTCTTTAGGGCCTTCTAAAATCTTCACAAGGGATCCAGTATTCCTATCCCATATATAAATAACATGAGCAGAACGATATGTGGACGCTAAGAAATATATTTTTAAAAAGAAAAACCCAAATAAATTAATTACCCATAACATATTCCCCAGAAGAACTAAATGCACATGCATTCCATTGAAATCTATTAATAACATCTTGAAATTTATGTTCTACTTTAATTGAATCGTCATTTAAATTTTCAGGATTATCAAAAATAGGAAGTGTTCGAATAATTCTATCAGTTGAATTTATAGCAAGAGTTTTTCCAGTTGGACTCAAACGTATTTGTTTAATATTGGAATTGGTTAGTCGAAAAGAATATAAGATCTTTATAAATTTATAAAATTTCAAAAATAATATATCTCAATACTTACTTCTAAAGATGTGCTTGATATAATATTAAGCCACCCCTTCGTAGTGCCTGTATAAATATATTTCCCTGTACTATCAAATGTGCAAACAAGTGTAAGTTGTTTTGTATCTTGTGATATAACTTTCTCATCAATTTCACCTTCTTCCGTGCCTTCTTTTAAAGGCCTTTTAGGGGCAGTTGGAAGAACACGTTTTTGAATCCCCCCGCCTGATATATTAGTAAGAATAGGAACGTCTTCAAGGAGAGACGCGACAAAGATTTCTCTTTTAAGATTAAAAAGAAGAAACAGTAAAACAATAAAAACCTATCAAAAGGATGCAGTTCTGCTCCCCAAATAGGTGCATTAAAACGAATCATTTTTATACGAGAACCATCTTTAAGATCCCATAAAACACATCTCCAATCACGAGCAGCTGATAATAAATAACGATTTTCTATAGACCAACTATCTCAAAGAAATTAATAAATTAAAAAAAAAGAAAAAATTACCAAACGGATTGAATAGGTCTAGTATGTCCTTTTAATACTCTTGAAACACCATTTGTCAAAAGATCCCATATAATAATAACTCCATCAAAAAGACCTGCTGCCAAATGATCCCCTTTCTTATCAAAACGAATTAGCATAGCATGCCCATACGCTTATGAAATTAGCCTTTTGTCCATTTTAAAAAGAAAATTACACAAAGAAGACGTTAAATTCTCAGGATATTCCTGCGAAAAAGGATTTAGAAGTTCCTATGCAATTTCTTAATAGGAAAAGTAATCTTAAAGAGCTATTTTACCAAATTCATCTTAAGTGTTTTGCATAAAACTTCAAAAAAAGCTTATAGTATTTTTTCAAAGAATAAAGAAAAACTAATCAAAAAAATGGCATAAACCAATATATCTCCTCTAGATTCATAAATATTCATGACTTATGTCTATAAATAGCTCTCAAACCCATAAAAAAGCTCATTTATTAGTTATTTACAAAAAAAGCTCCTATTACTTGAGATTTTATCAAAAAAAGGCCAGAAAAAAACTCAATTGCTTAAAATCTCTATGAAATATTCATAAAATGCATTAAAAATCATGAAAACTACCTACTAATCTCTTTTTTTGATAAATATATTTTTTGGAGGTCCAGTTTTTTTTTTTATAATAAAAAAACGTCGTTAAATAACCTCAATGTGGGAGTGTAAGGACTGATTGATAAGTGAAGGCGGTTGTGGGAGAAGAAGTAGATAAATAAAGGAGATCTTCTTGACGAAGATCAAAGATGAGCGGCGATATTGCTCTTGCACCTTCTTCTGCGGTTTTACGGCAGGTTGAAGAGGTGCAATTTGGAATTTTGAGTCCAGAAGAAATTGTAAAAAAAACATAAAAAAAGAATAAATTAGTAACTAATAGATTTTTTAGAGGGCAATGAGTGTAGCTAAGATAGAGTATGTTTTTTTTAAAAAAAAAGGAGTTTTTTGTCAATTATTGATAAAAAAAAAGATATCCAGAGACTATGGATGAATCAGGCCATCGTCCGCGTATTGGAGGGCTTTTGGATCCACGCTTAGGAACTATTGATCGTAATTTTAGATGTCAAACAGTAAATGAGTGCAGTTTTCTTTTTTTTTGTTTTAAAATATTTTTTTAGTGTGGAGAAAGTATGGCAGAGTGTCCAGGTCATTTTGGCCATATAGAGCTTGCTAAACCAGTATTTCATATTGGATTTCTTGTAAAAATAAAGAAAATATTGGAATGCGTCTGTTTAAATTGTGGAAAATTAAAAGCAGATGAGGCATGCTTTAAGAAAATATTAAAAAAGAAACAATCTTATATTTTGTGCAGAGTAATCCTAAATTTGTAGAATCTCAAAGATATCGAGATCCTAAGTCACGTTTAATTGCAGTTTGGAATGTTTGTAAAACAAAAATGATATGCGAAATTGATCCACCAGTTAATGATGATTATGGAGTTAAATCTATTATTGGACATGGAGGATGCGGTAATCCACAACCTATTATACGAAAAGATGGGCTTAAGTTATGGGCAACATATAAGAAATCAAAAGATTCTGAGGTAACCATATTTTCATGATAAAACTTAGATTTAAATACTATAAAGAGTGATTTGCCTGATCGTAGACTATTAACGCCTTTAGAAGTATATACAGTATTTAAACACATCTCCAGCGTTGATTTGGAGAAGATGGGTTTGAATGAAGAATATGCACGTCCTGATTGGATGATTATTACAGTTCTTCCTGTTCCACCGCCATCTGTTCGTCCTAGCATTTCTGTTGATGGCAGTAATCGTGGTGAAGATGATTTAACTCATAAGCTTTCAGATATTATTAAAGCAAATGCGAATGTACGACGATATGAACAGGAAGGTGCACCTGCTCATGTTGTGAGCGAATATGAGCAGTTACTACAAGTATTTTTTTATTTATTTATTCTCCATTAATTGACCTTAAATAGTTTCATGTTGCTACATACATGGATAATGATATAGCAGGCCAACCACAAGCTCTTCAAAAGACTGGACGCCCATTAAAATCTATACGTGCTCGTCTTAAGGGAAAAGAAGGGAGATTGAGAGGGAATTTAATGGGAAAACGTGTTGATTTTTCTGCGAGAACAGTAATTACTGGTGACCCAAATTTATCTCTTGACGAGCTTGGTGTTCCAAGAAGCATTGCTCGTATTCTTACATATCCTGAGACTGTAACCCCATATAATATTCATAAACTTCAAGAACTTGTGCGAAATGGACCTAATGAGCATCCTGGTGCAAAATATATTATTCGCGATACAGGAGAAAGAATTGATTTACGATACCATAAAAGGGCTGGTGATATTCCATTACAATATGGATGGAGAGTGGAAAGGCATATTACAGACGGAGATGTGGTTATTTTTAACAGACAGCCTTCACTGCATAAAATGTCTATGATGGGTCATCGTGTTAAAGTTATGCCTTATTCGACGTTTCGTATTAATCTATCTGTCACACCACCATATAATGCGGATTTTGATGGAGATGAAATGAATCTTCATGTTCCTCAATCTGAAGAAACTCGAGCAGAAATTATTGAAATTTGTATGGTTCCCAAACAAATTGTTTCTCCTCAATCAAACAAACCCGTAATGGGTATTGTTCAAGATACATTAGCAGGTGTTAGAAAACTTACTAGGCGAGATAATTTTTTGTCTAGAGATCAAGTTATGAACATCCTTTTATGGGTTCCTGAATGGGATGGAAATATGCCTTCTCCTGCAATCATTAAACCTAAACCTTTATGGACTGGAAAACAAATTCTTAGTATGGTTATTCCTAAAGGAATAAATCTCATTAGAGATGATGAGAAGCAGACACCTATGACTCCTGATGACAAGGGCATGATGTTGGAAGATGGAGAAATTATATATGGAATTGTAGATAAAAAAACAGTAGGGGCATCACAAGGAGGTCTTGTACATACTATTATGAGAGAAAAAGGTCCGGAAGTATGTCGTGTATTTTTTAATGGTATTCAAATGGTTGTAAATTATTGGTTATTACATAATGGTTTCAGTATCGGTATTGGCGATACTATTGCAGATGCGGATACTATGAGAGATATAACAAATACAATTGCAGAAGCAAAAGCTAAAGTTCAAGAAATTATTCTTGATGCACAGCAAAATAGACTTCAAGTAGAGCCTGGCATGACTTTACGTGAATCGTTTGAAAGCAAAGTTTCTAGAGCACTTAACCAAGCTCGTGATACTGCAGGACGTTCGGCAGAAATGAGTCTCAAAGAATCGAATAATGTAAAACAAATGGTAACAGCGGGATCCAAAGGATCATTTATTAATATATCTCAAATGTCAGCATGCGTGGGACAACAAATAGTAGAAGGGAAACGTATCCCTTATGGATTTAAACATAGGACTTTACCACATTTCACTAAGGACGATTATAGTCCGGAATCAGGCGGGTTTATTGAAAATTCATATCTTAGAGGGTTGACACCTCAGGAATTTTTCTTTCATGCTATGGCAGGTCGAGAAGGATTAATTGATACAGCTGTTAAAACTGCAGAAACAGGATATATTCAAAGGCGTCTTGTTAAAGCTCTCGAAGATGTCATGGTGAAATATGATGGTACTGTTAGAAATTCTCTAGGTGATATTATTCAGTTGGTGTATGGGGAAGATGGTTTAGATGGCATATCTGTTGAATATCAAAATTTGGATTCTTTAAGACTTTCTAATGAAGAATTTGATAGACGTTATCGTGTAGATGTTATGGACCCTGAAAAAACTATTTTTCCTCAATATTTAGAAACAGGAAATGAAATTGACGGAGACATGGCTATTCAGAATCTTTTGGATCAAGAGTATAATCAATTATGCGAGGATCGAGAATTATTACGTAATTTTATATTTAAAGATGGAGATGGAAGAAGACCCTTACCTGTTAATATTCAAAGAATTATACGGAATGCTCAACAGATTTTTCATATTGATAAAAGAAAAGCAAGTGATTTAAGCCCAAGAGATATTATTCTTGGAGTAAATGAAACAATTAAAAAACTTACAATTGTTCGTGGAAATGATAAATTTACAAAAGAAGCTCAAGAAAACGCTACACTTTTATTTCAGATTCTCCTTAGATCGCGACTTGCATCACGGAGAGTTATTGAGGAATATCATCTTAATAAAATTGCTTTTGAATGGGTATTAGGTGAAATTGAAACTCGTTTTGCCCATTCTATTGCCAATCCAGGAGAAATGGTTGGAACATTAGCAGCACAGTCTATTGGAGAACCAGCTACACAAATGACCTTAAATACTTTTCATTACGCAGGAGTTTCATCAAAGAGTATTACTCTTGGGGTTCCTCGTTTAAAAGAAATTTTAAATGTTGCAAAAACTATAAAAACACCTTCATTAACAGTATATTTGATGCCAGAAGTATCTAGAGATATGGAATCGGCAAAACAAGTACAAACTGCTATTGAACATACAACTTTAAGAACAGTAACATCCGTTACAGAAATATTTTATGATCCAGATCCTCGACAAACAGTTATAGAAGAAGATCGTGCCTTTGTAGAGGCGTTTTTTGCTATTCCTGATGAAGATGTTGAGGCTAATCTTCATCGTCAATCAGCATGGCTTCTTCGTTTAGAATTAGATCGTGCTAAAATGCTCGATAAGAAATTAAGTATGAGTGATGTTGCTGCAAAAATTACAGAAAGTTTTCATAAAGATTTATTTGTTATATGGAGTGAGGATAATGCGGATAAGTTGGTTATAAGATGTCGCGTGATAAAAGATGATGAAAAATCATTTGATGATGATGATAATTTGGTTGAAGAAGATATGTTACTAAAAAGGATTGAAAGTCATATGTTAGAATCTATTAGTTTGCGAGGTGTTCCGAACATTTCTAGAGTATTTATGATGGAACATAAAACAGTATATCAAAAAGAAAATGGCGAATTTGCAAGAGGTCAGGAATGGGTTTTAGAAACAGATGGAATAAATTTGGCAAAAGTTATGGCAGTTGAAAATGTTGATCCTCAGCGTACTTATTCAAACTCGTTTGTGGAAATTCTTCAAGTTTTAGGAATTGAAGCCACAAGAGCAGCATTGTTAAAAGAATTGCGAAATGTTATTGAATTTGATGGTTCATACGTTAATTATCGCCATCTTTCTTTGCTTGCAGATACAATGACATCACGTGGTCACTTAATGGCTATAACACGTCATGGTATTAATCGTGCCGAGACCGGTGTTTTGATGAGATGTTCTTTTGAAGAAACAGTAGAAATTTTAATGGAAGCTGCTGCAGTTGGTGAAATGGATGACTGTCGTGGTATTTCAGAAAACATTATGTTAGGACAACTGGCTCCTCTGGGTACAGGCGAATTCGATGTGATGTTGGATGAAGACATGCTTAATGAAGTTGTTATAGATCGTCAAATGTTTAGAGGCATATCTTCTACTGCTTTAGGAAAAACACCTTTACAAGATGATCAAGCAACTCCTTATGATTCTCGATCACCCGTCTCAGATAGTGGTTATATTGGATCATCAGATGGTGCTGCATTTTCACCACTTGTTCAGTCTGGTTCCGAGACACCTGGAGGATTCACTGAATATGGTGGAGGATTTGGGGTATCTCCATACGGCGCAACTTTACAATCTCCTGGCTATCAACCCTTCTTTCCATTTTCAGGAACATCTCCTGTTTCTCCAACTTATTCACCAACTTCTATATTTTCACCAACAAGTCCACAGATTCTTAGAATGTCTCCGAATTTTTCACCGACTTCTCCAATGTGCTCACCCATTAGTCCTGCCTATTCTCCAACATCACCGGCCTATTCTCCAACTTCACCTGTGTATTCTCCGACTTCACCGGTTTATTCACCCACCTCACCTGCTTATTCTCCAACTTCACCTGCGTATTCTCCGACTTCGCCTGCGTATTCTCCGACTTCACCTGCGTATTCTCCAACATCTCCAAAATTCTCTCCAACTTCACCAGCTTATTCACCTACTTCACCAAGACATAATAAATAATTTTTGGTTATAAAATTTATTTCAAGGCAATTTTTAAAGATATTTTTATATTTTATGGATATTTTTACAGACAAAAATAATAACAGGAAAAAGCTAATGAACATTTTTGTATTTTTTATTAAATATATTTGCACTTTTTTTAAAGGTTGTTTATTGATCTTAGTTGCTAGGCAACCACTATTTTGATTTCTAATCAAATAAACTAACGTTAAGAATATCATAAAAAGTCTTGTGCGGATTTTTCTCTGTATAATTGGAAAATTAAAGCAAAAAAGAAGGATTAATTGGATATATTTATAGGTAAGGAATGGATATGTTTTTTCCGGAGGAATTCTGTGAAAAATGGATGAAGAAATAGGGTTTTTTATAAGAAATACTGATGATCTTTTATTAGTATATATAGTCAGATTTTGAGCTTTCTTTTAATGCTTTCATCTAAAAATAATCAGTTCGATATGTCATATATAGAAGCATGGCGTAAAAAACAAGCAGCAGTAATGTTTTTTGGGATTTTTAGATATATAGCTAATTATGTCATTTAAGCTTGCATCAGCGTTCAGATTACTATCAGAAGCATGCAGTGCAGCAGCAAGAGAGCTACAGGATTTTCCTTTGCCTCCTTTTTCGTCTTTTTCTAGCGAACCAGCAAAAAATATGACAGGAACACAAGTTACAGTAGAAAAATCTGTAGTTTCATCTCCAGAGATTCAAATGACTCAAGAAAATTCCCAAGAGTTGCAAATAGATTCTACGGAGATAAAGAAACGTAAAGTTCGTGACCCGAACCAACCAAAACGGCCATTGAGTGCTTATTTGTCATTTCAATTAAAAACACGTCAAGCGGTCAAAGATAGTCTAGGAGAAAATGCAACACAGAAGGAAATTCTTAGTGAAATTGCAGAAAGATGGTCTAAATTAAATGATAATGAAAGAAAGGTGATAAATATTTTAATGTTGATGTATATCTTATATTTATTAGCCATTTGAGGAAGAAGCGAGAAAGGCACGAGAACAATATGACAAAGAAATGACTGCTTATAAATGTTCTTCAGAATCTAAAGGTCAGGAAAATCTTCATTCAACAAAAGAAAGTACAATTGTTGCACATACTAAAGTTCTTTCTATACAAAAAGATATAGAAGAAAATAAAGAAAGCTTAGAAGTTGTTTCTACTCCAAAAAAGGAAAAAACAATGGATTCTGCTGAAACACGCGAAAGTTCAAAAGAAAAGAAGAGAAAGCATAAAAAAAAAAGTGATGGACAACGTTCACAAGAAGATACTTCTTCGACAAAAGAAAAAAAAGAGCGTAAAAAACATAAAAAGAAAGAAGAATAATTTGAAAGAAAACAAATATTTGATTTCGTGATATAATATATACAATTTTATATATTGATTTGAATAGTCATTTTGATTTCATCTTGTTAGATTTTTTCAGATTTAAAGGTCATTTAATAAACAACTCAAATTTATTAAGGTGCTAAATATATTAATAGTGTGGTTTGATTACATAATATTGATTGTAATTTACATTAACGTATCTAATAATGAATGTATGTATATAAAACAACCATATTCAAATTTAAATTTGAAAAAAATTTTTAATATGTTTATAAAGGTATTAAAACACAATTGATTATACCCTTTTAGAATAAAATATAGTTTTGAATATATTTTATATATTTTTTTAAATATTTTAACTTGAATTCTCAGAGGAATAAATCCATGGAACAGGTGTTAAGTTTGGTGCACTAGAATCACTATGATTCATTTTTTGGTGTTGAGAATCTGTATCATGTACTTTAAAATCTGCTGTTGTTGACGTTACCTGAAAAAAATTATAGAAAATTTATAAATGCTTAGATATTTACCATAAGTGTCTTCTCTACTGCTCTTAAATATTTAGACAATGAATTGTAATGCAATTTAGGTGTTAAAAGAAGTTCTGCTAAACGCTGCACAGTATGCGGTGGATGAGTTAAAAAATTAGAAAGTAAAACATTCTTGATCCGGTCAAATAACATTTTTTCCGATTGAGTCATAGTTAAAGGAAATCCATCCTCTGTTTCTATTCCATTTTCAATATCTGATGAGGATCTTGGTAATTCAAACAACCATAAATTCTGAAAATTCAATATTTTTATAAACCTTTTAAAAACAGACCTCTTTTAAACGACTTTCAAAAATATCTTTCCAATCACTCCATTCTTCACTAAATATACATATTAAACAAAAATTCCTATAAAAAATTCTAAAAACTTAAAAATTCCTGTACTTGAAAGTAATTCCAAAATCATCATCTCTTTAATCTATAATATATATATATATATTCATAAAAAACAACATATCATCATTAAAAAAAATACTTTTATATATCTAAGATAGTTTATTGATCCTTCTAAAGCTTTTTTTCAAGATTTTCAATTCCTATGACGTTCAAATAGAGGCAACTTAAAAATTTTAAATATTACAATATTTTTATTAGAAATCTCCCAGATTAATAAGTAATTTAAATGTTAATTTAAGAATTCTTATATATTTATAAAGTTTTTTTACGAATATTTTTTAAAAATAAAATTCATATAAAAAACTTTATAAAAGCCATAATATTGTCATTATTTGATTGATAAAGTCAAATAAAAAGATATATTTTGTATTTCATATTTGAAAATTTAATGATTTAATTGAGATAAAAAAGGGTTTAATTTTTTGTATTAAGCTCTGATATAAATTAAGAAACCTTTAGTCTATTTATTATTAAAGTTTGATAGTTTATTATAATATATTTCTTTTTGTAAGTGAATAGAAAATGATTAGTTAAATTTTATGATAATATAAATATTAATAAGAGATAAAAATGAGAATTGCAAATATATAGTAGATAAAAGTGAATAATAATGTGTTTTATGATTTTGTGGTGTTAAGTCTGAATATGTAAATAGTTAAAATAATTAGATGATAAAAAAGTTAAAATTTTATTATGTAATAATACAGAAAATCTAAAGAAAGAAGGTTAGATTAGTCGTTATAGCACCAAGGATAATTATAGTCTTTATAATATCTAATATTGGTGTATTTTTTTAGAAATTATATTCTAATAAAATAATAAATTATAAAAAAATTTAAAAAACGAAGTTTAATTTATGTTATTAGATTATAAATATCTGCGACTATTCAATTAGAAGGTTTTTCATCTAAAAATGTTATGTTAAAAGAACAATTATAATGTTTTAGTTATTTTTATATCTAGAATACCTATTTTATGTATCTTAGAACCTTTGAAAATAATAATTATGTTTCCAAAGACAATATAATTAACAGATTCGATGTCATTTCTCTAAAAACTCTGAAAAAGCAGAAATTATGTAATTAAATCCAATGAAATATCTATATAAAAATTTTCTCAAAAGAAATGTATATAAATTATGATTGATATTGATTTAAAATAGAACAACATTTTTCTATTCTTGATTCAATTTCTCCAAATGTCTTATGAATTAAATTCATTCTTTCTTTTAGTTGGATACAATCTGAATAAACCCCTTCAAGAACTTGAATATTAACAAGATCAAGACAAATCTTAAGTTCTATTAAAATTTAATGAAAATAAATTAAAAAAAAACATAAAATTACTTTCTATGAGACAATCTAATTGCTCTTTTAATTTATTTTTTGTATTATATACATCTTTTATATTTGAAAACATAATCCTTGTTAATGGATCAAGTAAATCATACAATGAATAGAATGTTTCATGATCCTTTTCTAAATCATTAGAAGTATTTACACAAGTATAACAAGATTTAGAAAACTCCTCTGATTTCATGTATAAAATATCTGTATATAAAACCTATATAATTCAATAAAAAAAGAAAATACCTAAAGAAAATACAAAATATTTATCATTAGCAATAAAAATGGTATGAAACACATACATTATACAGAGAAAAGGAAATAAAACATACATTAAAAAACAATATATTTAAAACTTTTCTTTAGATACAAGAATATATACAAAACGCAAATAATTTGGTGTTATAATACATGGAATTCAAATAAAAAAATCATTTAGATTTCAAATATACAAAGACAAATCTTATTTTTTTTTACAGGTAAACTTAATTACATATAAAATATTTATATTAATCATATATTTTTTAATAAAAATTAGATAAATTATAATTTAATTAGGGAGTAAGAAATTTATTTAAGAGAAAGATCAGTGAAAAAAGTTATTAATTCATCTTTTTACATATAAGGGTTTTTTTTCGGTTTTAAAACGTTAATTTGATCAAACAATGGATAGAAAAGAACTTATGGAAGGTTATGAACAAGATAGGGTTTCTAATATTCCTAATATACATTTAAATATTAATTTTATATGAAATTAAGGAATGCGAAACATTTCCTACAAAAATAGTGGCGATTTTTTTCGCACAATTTCATCCAGTTCAAGGTCCTCAAATTGTTTATCAAGTGCCGCCTAATGCGATTACATTGGAGGAAGAAGTCGTGGATAAAGAACCTTTATTTGAATTTGAACCTATATCTGAATATATTATACCTAAACGAAAACTTTGTGATCGAGTTGTAGCGATTTGTACAAATGGATATAGAATTTTAGGACATCCTATATGTATTGTTGATAGGACTTATGAAAGGAACGCGTTGATATTTAATTGTGCCCTTGTATTTAGAGAGAAGGATGATAGTTCATGTTATGTTCCTGTAGTTAAACGATTAGCAAAAGTGTTTAAATCATTAGAAGTAATGGAATGAATGGAGTAAAAATACAGGATTGACAAAAAATACAGGAACAGGGAAATTTTATATCTAAACAAAAAAAAAGGATGATAATTTATAATATTATTGAACAGATAATGGAGGATTTGAATAATTATTGTGAATGTATGATACCAATTGGTAAGTACGATATCTTAGAAAAAAAGTTATAATAAAGGGAAAGATGAAACAAATACAATCAATATTAAATTGTTTCCAACGTTTTCAAATCCACCAAAAGTATTGCCTCATCAGGTTCCTATACTTACAGTTCAATTGGATTTATTAATGAATGTAAATTGGGATCTTACTGTTCGAAAGGTAATATAGTTGTTGGAAATTATATATATTGACATTTATTTTTGACAGATTGTTCCATTTATTGATGGGATAAATTCTGTCAGAAGAATTACTGAGTTGACAAATACAGATTATATGTTTGTTTGTCGATGCATGGAACATCTTTTGTAGATAATCATTTTCTCGTCTACTTTAACTAATTTTATATGAGATATTATGGGTGTTTGATTATGGTCGATATTTTTAAATTTAGCAATATGTATGCTCCAACACCAAACATTAATATGTTAATTGAAGATTCGGCACTTCGAGAAGAATGTCTTGCATATATTTCTACACGTAATTTTTTTGCATTTTTTTTAATCTTTTTCTTAAATATCTCTAGGACATGATATTTCTTTATCTTTTGCATTTGTTTTTCATTTATATTGTTCTTTGCGACAAGGAATTACATTAAAAGATTGGATTATTGAAAATAGATTATCATTAAGTGGAATCGATATACGTCGTTTTATATCTTTTGGGATCATAAAAGGATTCTTATATAGAATTCATAGATATCCTTTTTTAGCAGAGCCATATAATTCCCAAAATATTGATGAATCATTGCTGAAGTATATAATACATTTAAAAATGATAGAAATATAATTTAATTTTATTAGATATTTAGATGGTACACATAATATGGATGAGATTTGCACTGAAACTAAAAAATCAGTAAAAGAAGTTAAAGCTGATTTAGAGACCTTGGGAAAAATAAATTATATATATCGCTAATAATCAATAAAATGCAAATTTATCACGGCCATGTTTAACTCGAATCTAGAATCTTGTCAATTCAGTATTATTTATTTTTTGATACATACATCAAGTAAGGCTTCATTTAAAGTTCCCTAATCATATTAGGCAATATTTAACAAATGTTACATACTTCTTTAAAGGCTGTCTTTAATTGTATAATTTCTTCTTTACTCAATTTCCGTCCGGTCCTATTTAATTTCAGTTTTTCTTCTCAAGTAATACTCTAACTCACATGGATTCTAATTCTTTACTTCGGATTTTATTTACAGTAGTTTCTTTTGTTACAATTTTTCGCTTTTTATAACATCCTTGTATTTTTGCTCTAAAACTCTCACAAAATCCAATAGTTTCCGCATCTCCTCGAATTTCTATGCCACTATCTAATTCATGAACACTAATAAATTTTTCATAAACACTTTGGATTGCAAGGCCATTCTCTCTAAGGAAACATTCAAATTGTTCACTATAACCAACTGCATCATGCTTTGCTGAAAGAAATCCATATTTATCACATGACAAATATTTTCCAGTGGATGATTTAAAGCTATATTTTCCAGTATCTGAAAGAGCGGTGCTTACCCATACTTGACGAACATCATCCGGCTCAATAAGATTCAAGTCATCACAAGAATTTATAGGCATGCCAAAAACTTTTCCAGATGCATCGCAAGAAAGTGCTATGGCTAATAGAAAGGTATTAATATTTTTTTACTTTAAAACTTACGAGTTGATGATAGAAATCTATTTATTAATTAGCAAATTTTTGCATAATATTCAAACCTACACCAAAAATATCGGGCCGTTAATATCATCAAGTGATGTTAAACGAATCCATCCGTTTTCTTCAGTGTCATCGGTATCTATTTTATCTGTATTGATTTCAGTAACACTTTCTGATGTCAATGGTCGTTTTTTTCGTTTTCTAAAAAATATTATTCATTTACTTATAATAAAGATTAGGAGGAACTTTTTCTCGCCTTTAAAGCTCAATTTAGATGATTTAGTAGGATATGAACTCATTTTTAAAAAAATCGAATTTATCCGAGTTTTAGCGGTTTAAATATGGCTATTTTGATATTGTTTTAATAAGATTTATTGTTATAGTTAAGATAATGAGCAAAGAAAAGTGCCTTAGTATAGGATTATTGTCTTTGATTTGGAATAGTTCTAGTTATAGAGATTTAAAAGCCGTTTTATACATTAAGACAAAATGCTTATGGATTGATAAAATTACAAGAAAACTTCGAACACAAGTTAAGAGACTGAATGTTAGTAATTCAGATAACCACGAAGTTATTGGACGTTTTGATGGTTTATTAATGACATCAGATATATCACCGGGATCTATTTTTATGTTACCTCATGGTACTCGAATATATAATAAGTTGTTAGAATTTATGAAAATTTATTCTAGAATTTATGGATATCAAGAAGTAAGAAGTCCTATTATTTATAAAAAAACGCTTTGGGAAAAAAGTGGTCACCTGGAAAACTATAAAAATGAAATGTTTCAAGTAAAGGGTAGAGGAGCTACAGAAAATGATAAAAAGGATTCAAATTATCTTCAAGATGAGGAATATGGATTAAAACCAATGAACTGTCCTGGACACTGTCTTATGTATTCTTCAATAGAAAGATCATACCGAGATTTACCTATTCGATATGCAGATTTTGGGGCCTTACATCGGTCTATATGTATTATTATATTCTCATTTGGCTAACCAATTTATAGCAATGAACCTTCTGGATCCTTAAGTGGATTAACAAGGCTTCGCCAATTTCATCAAGATGATGCACATATTTTTTGTCGAAGATCACAGATTTTTGATGAAATATCTTCAATTTTAAATATGATTAAAACAATATATTCAATATTTAAACTTTTTTCATATGAATATTTTTTGTCAACTAGACCTCCAAAATTTATTGGTACTCTAGAAGATTGGGAAGAGGCAGAAAAGGTGTTAAAGCAGGCTCTGGATGCAACGAAGCAACCGTGGTCTTATAATAATGGAGATGGTGCTTTTTATGGGCCTAAAATAGATCTTTTGGTGGCAGATAAAGCAGGTAAAAAACATCAAATGGCTACAATTCAATTAGATTTTCAACTCCCTTTAAGATTCCAACTTAAATACAGATCGCCTTTTAAAGACAATACAGATGATATCACTAAAGGTATTTCCGTTATGAAAACTCCAGTAATTATACACAGAGCTATTTTTGGTTCTATAGAAAGAATGATGGCATTATTGTTAGAGTATACGGAAGGACGATTACCATTTTGGCTAAGTCCTTGTCAAGCAATAATTATTCCAGTTGGTAAAGATAATATAGAATATGCAAATGACGTTTATTATCAGATATCTGGTCTTGAAAGTGATAGAAGTACTATTCAATCGATATATAAAAGGAGGTTTTATGTAGATTTGGACTTAAGTCAAAAGACATTAGCTAAAATGGTTCGAAATGCATTAGGAAAAGCATATAATTTTATCATTATTGTAGGTAATAGGGAGTTGAAAACGAAAACAGTTTCTATTAGAAGTAGAGATAATGAAAAACAAGAAATTATGCAGCCTAAAGAAGTATATGACATGTTTTTAAAATTAGAATCATCATATGAATAAGCTGAAGCATGAGATTTTATTTTTGTAAACAAATGTTTCTTTTATGATTAGATGATAAATATGTCATTTTATAAAAGCATATAAATCAAATCAATAGAATGTTTTCTATTTAATTATATATGTATATCTATATAAATATATAATCTGTTGTAAAGATTTAACAAGAACTTTTTTGTTTATATTTATATGCTAGGAAATATGTATATAGAAATACTAAAATATAAAACTATGCAGATAATAAATAATTGTGTTGAAAGATGAATAATATAGCAAAGTAAATAACCCATAAAAATCAATTATTTTTTTTATAATTTTATGGTTTTAAATACGGTATGACCATAGCTAATGCAACATGAAAAGATAGTTGTATTATATTTTTGCTAATGACCCTTCTAATCTCTGGATTAAAGATCATGAATCAAAAGATCATCATATGCATCTTCATTCAATGTTTTTTCCATTAATTTATAAGTAGAACGAAGTGGAAGACCCTAATACTGCTTAAAGATAAGAAAAGTATAAATTTTTAAAAATTTACAATAATATTTGTATAATCACCTTTTATTGATTCAACTAATAAAGCGCCATATCCTTGAATACCATAACCACCTATTATATAAAAATAATTAATTGAACCAAATATCAAATAAAATATTGAATTCATATGCCTACCTGCTTTATCAGCACCTTCCCCGCATGATACATACGCTTCTAAAAAATCATCGGATATAGTTGTATCAAATGTTACTTCTGATTCTTCAACATGTGTTCTTAAATTGTATCCAGGTTGAATCGGAACTTTCAATGGAACAATAACAGCAATACCTGTAAATACTTTATGTGGATATTTACTATCACGAAGTCTTTTCAAAATCGCTAATTGCTCACTTTGAGATCGAGGCTTTTTTAGCATAGTATTACCAGACAATACCACTGTATCAGCTGCTAATATAAGTGCTGGAGGTGGTGACGTATCCACCTATAAATTTATTGGTACTTGATATATATAATTTTAAATAATTAAAAAATATACCAACAACTTATAAACACACAATGCCTTTGAACTTGCCATTTCAACACAATATTCCCATGGCATTAAATCTAATGATGGATCAATTGTCTCTGATATATTTGGCGCCTGTATTTCAAATGTTGTAAAACCCTAAAGATAAAAATTGTTAAGAAAAAAATGTCTGAAATAAAATATAGAAAAAATATTATAAATATTAACAATTATACGTATAAATTTAAGAATATGTTTTCTTAAAAGGTATAAAAATTGAAAAAAAAATATTGAGATAATAAAAAAACCATACCATTTGCTGCAATAACCGCTTTCTTCTAGGAGATGTAGAGGCTAAAATTATTCGTTTTCCATGTAATTGCTGGTGTAAAGGAGCGGACAAAACAGTAATAGATTCATAAGGTGGAGGATCATCAAAAGAATTTGATGAAAATGCCAATAAATCCTTCTTTTCACTCATTTTTCCAAAGAAAATAAGAATAAAATATATAAAATTTAAAAACAAATTTAAAGATATTTAACATGTAGAAGCACCCTAATATATAGTTGTCTAGGCAACCCGTGGTAAAGTCAACGTCAAAAAATAATTTAAGATTAAAAAGGGTCAAAAAATATGAAAGAAAAAGCAGTAAATGGGATTATTGAAGAAGACAAGAAAGAACCACTTATGTTGATGCAAGGTCCATCTTCAGGAAATCATCAATCAAGCTTAAGATTAGATAATTTGGGACCATTAGTTGTAAATAGAGATGGAACATTAGCAAGAATTGAGAATTGGGAAACATTAACAGAAATAGAAAAAAATAACATTGAGAGAGTACTAGTTCGAAGAAATCGTCAGCGTTTGGAGGCATTACGTTCAATGGAATCAGAAGAAGTTAGTGAAGAGTGAGATGATGTTATGGAGAGAATTGTTATAGTAACTGTTGCTATGGAAACGGTTGACATAGAAACTCTCCTAAAAAAATATACTTGCCAAGAACAACAGGAAATAAGCTTTAAATCACTCCTTAGATCCCTTTTTCAATACATTATTTTCTTTAGATAGGACAAAATGAGTATATAATAGTGATTTCTTAGGTTTATCTGATTTGTTTTTGTGTTTTGATAGACCGACATTTAATGAAGCCACCTTTTTATTAAACAAATCTATCCACCATGCATCCATATATCCTATCTTTACCGTTATTATTAATATTAATATATAAATTAATAAATATTCAACATACACTTTTTTTTATTAATGGTAATTGGTACGGTATAACAAGACTGCCATCACGAAGTCCATGACCATAACCTTTCCAACCAAATTTTTTTAAATATGTTTCTGCATGAAATTTTGTTGATGTATTGAATGATTTTGATATAGAATCTCTTTTTTTGTATATTTAAGAAATTAGTGAGAAACGTAAGTAATAGAGGTATACAATACGCATATAATTCACTTGATCAACACATATACGATATATAAAGTCTTGTTAATGCGTGATTTTATGCTTAAAGTGATTGATTATTGAATTATTAGGAAGAGAGCTTATCAAGGAGTTTCTAGCATCGGTCTTCTGTCGGCTCAACGTCAAAAAAATGTTTTAAATATAAAAACCATTATTAATAAAAAGAATTTTAATAATTAAGAGAATATTCTTTTATTTTAAGTAGTACTTATTACAGGTTCTTTTTTCAAGGAATTTTAAAGGCATATTTTAAGTAAAAATAGGTTTTTTTTTATGTAAAAAAAACTCTGATTTAATTTTTTTAATAATCCAGGATTTATTCCTTCTATCTAGAAAAGACACATGTTTTTGGAGATATATATTTTGCTTGATCTTTTATATTTGGGTCTAAGCCCTTTACAGTGTTTGAAAATCAGTATTTTAGTTAAAAAAATATTATTTGAGATATTTTACATAGAAACAGAATATAGACGTCTATAGACTTTTTGTAGAGCTTTTCACTGATATACAACTTTAAAGTTGTTATTATGGGTCTATTAGATGATGAATTGGCTTATGGTAAATTATCAGAAGACCGATCTCTATTTAGTATATATCTTACTAGTAATGGACTCAGCAACAATACTCAGGGGCATGATATTCCTAGTATTAAGCAACTGTTAGTATTAGGAGAGAGTATTAAAGAACTTTTGGTAAAAATTCAAAAAAAACAGAGTATTTTGCAACGAAAATTCCAAGATTTTCAAATAAAATATAAAAAATGGCTCTTACATGAATCAGAAATTAATGATCAGGTTTCTCAAAGTGAAACTTCTATTATTGTATCCAAAGAAAGTTCTTCAAATGAACATGATAATGTATTTCAAATATCCCAATTGCAAAATGAATCTATTAGAGAAGAAATAGAATCTGAAGAAAAAAAATGTTCATTTCAACATTATATATTACTATTTTTTGGCTAATAAGAATAGTATTGGAACGAAACCCCCCTGAATTTTTTAAAGATATCCAGATGCATCAAGAATCACTTAACACGGTTTTTTCTAACAAAGAATATGTTTATGATGAAATCTTAAAAATTTCGGATCCTCAAAAGCTTAAACAATATTTAGGAGTTTCATATTTTCCGACTGTTGATCTTTCTGATAAGCTTCCTGGTGAACCTGTTAATGAGGATTTCTCTAAAGTTAAAGCACCTACACAAATATCTATATCTACTTATTATGCATATCTTGATTCTTTTTATCGTCCTTTTTCTGAAGAGGATCTTCTATTTTTAAAAGATGAGGTGTGTTTATTATTCTATTGATGAGATATATTTAAGATTTGTCAGGAAGAAGAGTTAACAACGTATATGATTCCTCCATTAGGCATATTTTCTGAAAATAGCTGGGCTTCAGAAGATTTAAATGGTATGATTTCTTCTAATTTTTCTCTTTCTTCTATTCCATATGGATCTCCTGATCAACTAACGGATGAGCATTTATTCACTGAGGAAATATCATGTGGTCCACTATTAGAAAGACTTTTAAGTGGAATATTAAAAGAAGATGTTTTGGATGAAGAGCAAAAAATAGAAGAGGATGAAAAGGATACAGACTTGTATAATTCTGGTTGGAAAATTCCTACTATTAAACTAGATTATCATAATTTTGAAGAAAGGTTAAAAAAAGAGCTTAAATATATAGGTATATTGGGTGACGATGATGTATATTTTAGATTTAGTTATAAGTATTTTGCCTTACTTTTATAGATCAATTGGAATAATCGGGAAGATGATGAAATATCATCAAATTTACGATCTTTACAATCTCAATTGAGGCATCAATGTGCAATCAATTCAGCAAGAAAGAGTAAATTAAGAGAATTGGTAAAAGAACATCTTGCATATCAGGAATATTCTATTATTTTAAATGATCTTAACAAACAAGTTGAGCAAGCCTTTTTAAAAAGATCTAGGAGTATTGAAGTAAAAAAGAAAAGAGTAATAGGAAGCATAGGTTCTTCTGATTCTGGCCTTGGAAGAATAGGATTAAGTAATCATATACAAACTTTATTGGAACGAAGAAAAAAATGGGTTGAAAAAGTGGGTTCAATATTTACACCTATCGAAAAATATACACGATTACCTACAAATACAATTTATGACGATTTAGATAATATAAAAACAGATGAAAACATAATTGAGAGCGATATATAGTTTGTTTATTAAACGTATTTTAATACAGATTAAATAAAATATCAATAATAAAAGTAAATATTAATAATATGTTTCTTAATATGGCAATTTGCTGCATTTACCATCTATTAAGCGACCTATATAGAAATTAATAAAATGTTTTTGCCTGGAAATTCACAAACATGTTTGCACAGATGCCTATAATAATAAATATTTTTATAAAAAGATAAGAAAACTTACGATTATAATCGAGTAATCCTTCAATCGATCCAATTGCAGTAATAGCAATATCTGCATCCCAGAGTTTATCTTGTGCTACCCTTTGAATATCTTTTTCTGTAATTTTCGAAATATGTTTATCTATTTCATATGGTGTCATGCGTCTACCACATGTAACAATTTGCCTTCCAATGTCTTCTGCAACAGCAGTAGTTCCGTCTAAACCTAAAAGAAGGCATGCTTTTAACTGTGCCTTCGCCCTTTCAACTTCTGGTTTTGTAACAGAACGACTTAAACGACTCCATTCCTATTTACATTAAAAATAACATATTTATTATCACAAACAAAGCTTTCCTTTAATGTAAAATGAACTATAGAAAAGTGTTAATTAAGGTAAATACTAGCTTTAAAATAATTACCTAAATCATCCAAGCCTGTTAAATTCTCAGAGACGAGATAAATACCCTATATATTAAAATTGTGGGAATATGGAGTGTATATTACTTACCCAGAGACCTGTATCTGAATAACTAGTTGAAAATGACATAAAACTTTTTTGTTATTTTTTGAAATAATTTTTTTATTTTAAAACTTACTTATTTGCAAGATTATATTTTGAAACAATACCACTTAGTTTACTACTAAGATGTGAAGCCGAACCTAATGTACGGTCCCAATTACCTAACATTAGTATAATGTTAAGATTAAAAAGTAGCCCTACCTACGATTGCCTGCATTACTAACATTACCCAATAATCAGGATGCTTCCAAGAAACTCCCTCAACTGCAATAGCAATATTCGCAGTTGGTGAAGTATCATCTCTAATTCTTACTTCTGATCCTGTAAATTTAGGTGCAGCACCTCGTGATGATCCAAAATCAAGAGGATTTGGAGAAGCCGGAAGATTAGAAAAATATTTCTCCGCCAATTCTACAAGTTGTTCATGTGAAACACCCCCTGCTCCGACCAAAACCATACGATCTGCTGTATAATTTTCATTAATATAAGAAATAAGATGTTCATGTTTTATTGAAAGAATATTTTCCTTTGGACCAAGAATAGTACATCCCAATGGATGCCCTAGATTTAATAAATTATAATATTTAATAAAGAAAATAAATAAAACCTTGATAAGCTGTTGCATGTAAATGATCAAAAACAACCTCTTCTATTTGCTTATCAACTTCCTCTTGCTCCCTAAGTATTACATCTCGTTCTCTATCAATTGATGATGCTTCAAATTTTGAATTTTGTAAAATATCTGCAAGAATATCCACTACTTTAGGAACATCATCTTGAAATGATTTAGCGTAATACACTGTTTGTTCACGACTTGTATAGGCATTCAAATGTGCTCCCATATTCTCAATCTCAAGTTCAAGGTCTTGTTGTGTGCGACTTTTAGTGCCTTTGAAAGCCAAATGTTCAAGAAAATGAGCAACTCCATTATTTTCTGTAGACTCTGATCTAGACCCTGAATCAATCCAGACACCTACTGTAGCTGTCTTTGAATGTGGAAACGACTCTGTTGCGACTAAATATTATTAATTATTTCTCAATTTATTAGCAAAATATTAAAAAACCAGTAAACCCATTAGAAAGCGTTGTTGTTTTAGTTTTTTGGATAAATCCTGAGACTGAAGCATAGTTTTTAATTGAAGTATTGTAAAAAATACGTTTTAGACTATGTTTTTCATGTATTAATCCCCTTAATGCTGATTTTGTAAGTATAACTTGAGGCTTCATCTTTTGAGCTTTAATTAGTCTATTTAAATCCGTTAAAAAAGCAAAAATAATATATTAACTCGTTTATACATAAAAATATAGGTATGTCTGCCCTTTTCTACCTTATTATAAGGGTTTATAAGACTTTTATAGGTTTTTAAATATTTTTGAGGTGGAGATGGGCTCGATATAATTAAAAATATTTAAAAAAATATTTAAGTTTAAAAACAGGATAAAGTTATGTCAAAAACTCTAATAAGAAGGAACAATATAAATGGTACGTCTTTTTTAAATATGTCACCTTTTCGAGTGGTAAAATTTCATACATGTAAGGCTATTTTTTTTTAAAATAAATAAATTGTTAAAATGAATGTTTTTAAGGGAGTCCTCTCTATTTTAAGGCATTTTTTATGAAGAAAGGTATTGGTAAAGCTTCTCCTCGTAAGTTTATGCCTTTTTTCTGGTTTATTTTGCTTAAAATTATGAAAAAGAGGTTATTGTGGGTTCAGTAAATGGTATTTTGGTTTTACCTATTTTTCGTTCAAAAAATAATAGTAAAAGACCCTTCTCCAACACCTTTACCATCTCCAATACATGGGAGTTACCATTGGACATTTGAACGACTTATTTCTTTAACATTAGTACCATTAGTGTTGGCACCTTTTGTAGGTTCAAGCACTACACCTATTTTTGATGCAATTCTTTCATTAGGACTGGTTGTTCATTCTTATATTGGGTATGTTTATGTTTTATATATTTTTCCCTTTTTTTTTTTTACAAATATTAGATTTGATTCATGTATTACTGATTATTTTCCTAAGCGTATGGAATTGATTGTTTTTAAAAAAAAAATAAAAAATATAGGTGAATATGGCTCTTTTTCTACGTTTATGAGATGGGTGTTACGAAGTGCAACAGGTCTTGTTTTTGCTGGACTTTATGAATTTGAAACAAATGATGTTGGAATTACTGGTAAACATCATTTTTGTATTAGAATTAAAGCTTATTTTTTAGAGGGAATTAAGCGTATATGGAAAGCATAAATAGACCCGTGATATACATATGATTTTTTTTATAATGATGAATAATAATTTTTTTTTTTCAAAAAAGAAAACTTTAAAATATTTTCAATCAAACGATAAATATTTATATTTCCTAAAAAATAGTGGAAATTCAAAATATTTTTAAAACTTAAAGACCTATGAATGTTACATATATCTTACATATTTAATAGTTTAACCTGTTCTTTATCATACCCAAGCTATATAAATGAGTCAATTGATTTTAAATTATATTTTTTTATAATACGTACCTCTTTAAGCATGCCTTCTAAATCGCCTTGATCTGATGGAGAGCGTTTTGTACCACTGATAGCCTTTTTTAAAAAGAATCAAGATATTATTTTATAAATAAAAGAAGCCATACCTGATAAAATCCAAGTGGTCCGCAAACAAAAATTTTGATATTCTGTGATGAAGGACCAGGAAGGATAGATTCGAGAAGATTTTTATTTACCCTTCCTGAAACACCTTCCCAATTTTCAGGTGGTTCATCTTTGTTAAATGTTACATAGATCTATAATTATTTCAAATAATACTTACCTAGAAGATAAGTTACATGAAATCTATTAGGATGCTTTTTTTTTAGTTCTTCAAACTCTTTATGTAATAAAATATCTTGTTTTGTAATCTAAAAGATATCAAATTAAAAAAAAAGTCTATTAATATACTTTCATTAGAAAAAATAAGTGTAACATCTGTTTTGTCTTCTTTTTCTTTAAAAATCTTCCGAATAAGTTGATCTAATTTCTCATAATAAGCAAAAATAAAATAAAAAGAGCTTTCTTACACATTGGCGTAATACCAGTTCCTCCTGCAATCATATAAACTCGATCATGTTTATTTGGTGTCCAAAAATATTTAGGAATTGGCCCTTTAAATGATAATTTATCATTAATTTTCATATTATGAATATAAGAGCTCATAGGACCATTCTCATACTTCTTAATAAGAAATTCCATATAGCCTTTATTGTAATAAATTAGTTTATGTATTATAATAATTTAAATATTTGTAAATAATACCCAATGTTTCTTCTGATGATATTGGAGTATAGGCTCGAATAACAGGCGGTTGAGAAGGCAATTGAAACTGTGTTAAAAGAGCTGATGCCACATGAATACCTGTAACATGATTTTTTGATGGAAGATCAAAGCGAAAAATCTTGCAATTATGGTTTACATCTGTGATTTTTGATAACTAAAAAAAAGTAAGAAAAAAACACAAAAAATGACTTTAAAAACATAAACATACTTTTAAATCAACCCAAGCTTTATCATCAACAAATGTAGACTCTGGAGGAAATTTTTTGCATTGAAAAATCCTGGAAAAAGGACATCTGGTTTGCAACAAATGATACAGGCCTAACCCCACCAGACCTGTCAAACCAAGATAAAATACAGTATGGGTATATTTAGGAGATATCATCATGAATTCTTTATTAATAAAAAATATAAGAAAATCTGACTTAATCGTTAAGTAAATCTTATGAAAAGAATATATGGAAAAAATACAAAAACTAGAAAAAAAGATGGTGAAAATAATCTGAAATTTATTTATTAATTTATTTAATTGTCAAAAAAATGATTAAAATTTTAAAGATTTTCAACAACTTATAAAGTTAAGATAGAAAAAAAAAAAAAGAAAAAAACCTGTAGTTTGAAGTCCTTTTGCACGATTTGAAACATTTACAGCTTGTACATATGTATAAAGCCTTTCTTTTGCATCTAAAAGGTTGATATTGAGGAGTTAAAAATATGAAAAATATACTTTCTTGATCATTTCGTTTTCTTGATAAACGAAGTCTCATACGATGTGGAACAGACTTAATCCCAGATTTAAATACCTCTTTATTTAGTTGTGGGTCAAGACGAACATCTTTTGTTCCCTAAAAATTGTTAATTTTTAATGATATTTCTCAACAAAAAAACCATATGTAATTCTGCAAATTTTCGAATACATTTGATAGCTCTTGGTGCACGTTTTCTAAAGGAACATCCATGAAGCTAATATATATTAGCTTTTAATAATATTTAGTGGAAAAAAAGACTCTTTTATGTAAATGAATTGTATAATCTCTTGTAACCACATCTGAAATGGCTGAACGTGTTGCTATCTTTTTTTTTCTAAAACCCATAACTATCTAAATTAATTCTAAAACAATAGAATAAGATTTTCAGTAACCTATTTATAGATTAATTGGTAGAAAGACACAAAACTTTAAAATCTTAGTAGCTTAAAATTTTTTTGACGTTAAAAAAATTAGTTAATAAGGTAAAAAATATAATAAAATAAAAAGATATTCAAAGAATATGAAATAATTCTTCTATAAAAAATATATATAAAACAATATAGTATAAATAGATTATATGTATTTTTTTCAAAAAAAATATTAAATATATTTTAAAAAATAAAGAATTATTGAAAATTTGGTTAAGACCTAAAGAAATTAAAAAAAATATTATAAGAGATAACAAACATGAGGTATGAACAGGTATCATGAATTGGGGTTTCAGTTTCTTGAAATGTATATTCAATAATGATATCTAAATCTCTACGATTTTTTTCATTTTGAAGATTAGTTAGTGTACCTTGTATAGTTTGACCTTCCTAAAGAAATTAATAAAACGAGATAAAATAGATAAAATAACATTAATATCAATTATATGATTTAAGTAGAAAATTGTTTGTTTCCTTTTGATAAAATAAGATAAAAAAAGAATGTAAAATAAATATTTACCAATGTGTATATCTGGGATAAGTTTAATATAAAAATTTAAAATAAATTGAAAAATACCTAGCATGTGGTCCAGTACTAAAACGAACAGGTTTTCCAGATGAATGAAATTCTATATCAAACCATGCAATTATTGCATGAATATAATCTTTTTTTCGTGCTTTTAATTCCCATTCTTTTGTAAATGAAAGATCTTCTTTTTTAGTAGTATATAAATCCAGTGTTAAAAGACAATAGGGATCAGTAACAACTGCTCGAAGCTCTACTGTATCAACCAAAGGTTCTTTCATCGCAAGTTTTTGAATGGGTGTAAAATCGAATCCATATACATTGTTCCAAACTATAGAGAATTATGAATTAGAAAAAAAACAAATATAATTTAGGAAGTTCACATCCAATTTTTTCTTCTTTATATTCAGCATCTTCAATACCAGCAATGAACATAGTAGCTTTATTAGGAAATATTAATCCGCCTTCTTTCTAAAGCTTTATGAGACATGCAAAAAAAATAAAAATGTATATACCAAATATAGATCCCTAGCAAGAAGAACTGTTTCTAACATACTTTCATATAAAAGAAAATACCCCATCCACTCAGAGACAATAATATCCACTTTATCAACAGGAAGAGTAATATTTTCCATTCTTCCCTTAATTAAAAGAATTTTATCTGAAAACCCATTTATTTTAACGATTTCTTTTGCTTTATCAATAATATCAGACATATCAATCTAAATAAAAAAGATTAATTATTTTTTTTTTCAGAAAAAAATACGTTTACACCAATAACAAGTTTTGCTCCTGCATTTGCTGCAAATAAACTTAAAATTCCTGTCCCGCATCCCACATCTAAAACGATTTTATTTTGAAATAAGTGTTTATTTTGATAAATAGCATCTCTATAAGAAAGTGTACGAACTTCATCTTTTAACATTTCTTCATGAATTCCATGGTGAGAATATGAATCATAATATCTTATATCATGTTGACTTAAATCATCTTTTTCCATATTCTAAGAATCTATAAGTTAATTTTTAAAGAAAATTATACGAGATTCGAAAATTTGAAAGTCTATAAATAAAAATCATATAATAAATCTAATATATAATTGTTTAAATCTCTTTTTTTCCTTAAGAATAGTTTATAATGAAAGACTTCTGATGTTCTAATTTTTTAGTTTAAAATATAGTAAATAGTAAAAAATTCTGAATTGTAGTTTTAGCCGTTGATATTAAAACACTGAAAAACAATCAAAAAAAACTAGTAAACATAAAGCAAATGTGACTGCATAAGACAATGGTGTTTTTATGACTTCTCATTCGCTACTAGTATTTAGTTTTTGCAATGCTTTTCTTCGAATCTTTTGAAGTTCTTTAAAATTTTGTTTAAGAACAAGTGAACGACTTAATTTGAAGGCCACATTTTCCAAAAGCCAATTTAAAATAGAATGAGAAGGATATGGCGTCATGGTATAAGGAGTTGCGGCTCCTCTTTGTAAACCGATAGAATTAAGTACTGAATTTACAAATTGTTTAGGAGTCGGGATAAAAAAAGATGATTTTTTTATTTTTGACATAGACGAAACCTAAACTTTACATCAAAAATTTCTTTTTTAATGTAAATAGACTTACAACAAAATATGAATTAATTATTTGAACAGTAATGCCATCATGTTTCAACTCTTCCGCCAATGCTTGACTCCATGTTATTAAAAACGCTTTACTTCCTGAATATGTTGCTAAAAGAGGAGTAGGCATTATTCCACTAAAAGACCCCATTGTTAATATAAGTCCGCTTTTTCTAATTATATGTTAAATTATAATAGAAGATATTTGATAATTTAACCTTCTAATCATTCCAGGAATAACAAGATTTGTTACTTTAAGTGTTGCAATACAATTAATTGTTGTAATATCTTGAATTTCTTTTGGAGTAGTTAATGAAAACGGCGTTGGCATTGTATGTGATAGCCCGACATTATTTACTAATTTTTTAAAACTTAAATAACTGTTTTTTAAGATTTACCCAAAATCTTGATATCTAAATCCTCAATAATTTCTTTTAAGACCTCATACTCTCTAGCATTTGCTGTAGAAAAATCCATGATATGAACAATAGTCTTTACTGAATAGAGACTTTCTTTTTATACAATTACAAAACATTCTCTTAAAATTAAACTTTACCTATTTCTTTCGACAAAGCTTCAAGTTTATCTTTTGATCTTGCAATAAGAACTACATTGAAGTAATATCTTGAGAGTTGAAGGGAAAATTCGCGACCAATTCCTTCTGATGCACCAGTAATAATTGCCCAAGCCCCAGACCTTGTTTGAAATGTTTTTACCTTGTTTTTTTAGAAAAAAAGATAAATACAAATATTTTACATCAATTCCTTTTGAAAAGAAAATTTCAAAAACAAGCCTTTTTACTGACAAAATAGCTGAAAAAAGTGAAAATATCCCTATGATGCTAATGAAGCGGAAAAAAAATCCCACTTTTTGGTATTCTGTTAATTATATAAATAATAATTTATTAAAACAGTAGTGAAGTACCTTCAAATATTTCAAAAATGAGTGAAAAAACCATAGTTAAATGTCTATTCTCTGCAAAATTAAGCACTGAAAATTTAATGACGCTCGACCTGGCTTAAGTGTGTGGGATCGCAACGTCCAATTTTTGCCAAGATATAGAAATTGTGTTAAAAAGGCGTTAAAATGACTGATTTTACTCAGATTAGTCCTCAGAACAATGCTCTTCAGAGGGCAAATACAGCTATTAATCAGTGTTTAAGCAGAGATGAAAATTACCCGGAAATGGGAGATATTTTAACGCGTTTGAAATATAGAAAAATATAAAAAAGAGCACTATTTTCTGATTATTTTAGAGGGCTATTCATCAGAATATAATCTCCCTTTTCGGTTTTTTTGGAAGCCATTTTCACGAATTTCAGTTATGAATATACCAGATGTTATTTTTGAGCAATATAATAGTAAAAAGAATTGGGGGGAAATATGATATGTTTTGATAGAATATTAGGGACGGAATGTTACACACAAATGGGACTTTTTCCAGAGATTCAAAGGGCATGGATTACGGTGGATAATAGGTTATATTTATGGAATTATTTAAGTGGGTGAGATGCTTCAAAAATGCTATTCAAGCGTTTTTTTTTTTGCAAAAAGAGAAACTAATTTCAAAAGAGAAGAGTTTCAATCCTATGAAGATTTAGATCAAACTATTATTTGTATTAAATTGGTGAAACCTAGGCCGGGTAAATATTATTATTTATTTAAATGAATTGATTTTTATGTCTTAGGCGTTTTTATTGATTCAATTAGATTTTTACTTGTTATTTCGACACTGAATGATATTTTTTTACTAGGAGTAGAGCAATTGTCTTCTAAGACATCAGAAAGTGCAGGAGAACTTGTTTTTTATTCGACAAAAATCTCTATTTCTGTCACTGGTATTGATGTTTCATGCATAGAAAGCACATCGGATGGTCGTATTTTCTTTTCTGGGAAACAAGATGATAGTGTTTATGAAATTTTATATCAGATAGATGATGGATGGTTTTCAAAAAGATGTAGCAAGGTAAATCATACAGGGACTTTTATTGATCGTTTTATGCCCTATATTTCTTGGTTTAGTGTGAAGAATGGTTTTTTCTTCTTAATTTTATTATTTTTTTATAATATCTTTTTTAGAAACTATTCAACAGCTTGTAATGGACGATTCAAGAAATTTATTATATGCATTGACATCAAAATCGTCTATTCGTGTATATCATTTGGCAAATCAACAAAGTCTTAATCACGTTATAAGCTATTCATATCGTTCACTTGTAGCGCATGCTCAAATGGTAAATGCTAGCTCTTCTCTCTTAGATCCACGAACAACAAGTATTATTTCACTAGCACCTGTGTCTCTAAATGAATCTAAACAGATTTATCTTATTGCTATTACATCTACTGGTTGTAGACTATATTTGAGAGCTTCAAGAACTAATTGGGCTTCAAATGGACCTCCATCTACAATGACATGTACGCATGTTAGATTTCCACCCGTTGATTCTGGAAACAAAAATGAGGATTATAAAGTTCAAACAGGTAATATGTCATATAAAGTTTTAAATAACAACACTCTTTTGAATTCTGCCTCTTCATTTATTCTAACTTCTATTCGAATTGGCTACGTTTTTCCTCCTGGCTATTTTTTGGCATTTAAATCATCTGCATCTCCATCTGAAGGTGATCAACTTTTTACATCTGCACCAGATACTGGTAGAATTCTTTATGGAACACTTAATAATCAAAGATTATCATTAGTTGAAACTGCTAGTTGGATACCATTAGAAGGCTATGTTCAGTCTGTTTCATTGCTTACACCACCAACACATTGTCCGAATGAATTAAAGAATCAATATAACATAGCGTCTCCTCAAATAGCAGTATTAACGAATACCGGTGTACATATTATACAGAGACAAAATAATTTTCAAATCCTTTATTCTATTATAAAATATGGTTCTTCTACTCCTATTGGTGTTGAAGGTGAAGTTGAATCTTTTTTTGAAATGGTTGGGCAAGCAGAAGGTTGTGCAACATGTTTAGGTTTGATTTGCGGAAAAATGAATGCTGCATCTGAGCTTGATGAATATTATAATATTAAATGTTATCCAAATAGGAATAATATATTGACCGATTCTGATATTGTTGAAATTGCTCGAAAATATTATATTGAATTTGGTGGTAAACCATATACTAAACAAATGCAATATAAATTTGGTAATATCGTTTTTTAAATATAATTATTTTTTGAAAAAAAAAAACAGGACAGGAAACATTGGATTTAGATAATGTCCAGCTTTCAGGTCGCCATGATGGTTTGGTCATATATATAGCTAGAAACATTGCTGAATTATGGAAAAAACCATTCATAAAGCTTACTATTAATAAAAAATTGTCCAAAAAGATTTATTCAACTAGTATTTCTGCATCTACATTGCTTCGTATTCGGTCTGAATTTGTTACATTACATGAATTTCTCGATAACAACAAGTCGTATATAAAGGGACTTGTTGCTCCAGATCAGTTATCTGGGCTGTTGAGTCGTTCAGAAGAAATATCTTTTCAGGCAGAACATAGAGCTCTTCATTCTCTAATTCTTTTAATACGTAGAATTATTGAAGGATTATCTTTTGTATGTGTTCTTATAGATGACACACCCTCGAAGTTGCATGATATAATTTCATCACTTTCCGAACAGGGTCAAGAAGACTGTTTGAAACTTACATTTGAGGATCTTTTTTCAAAAGAATCGGGAAAAGAATTGGCGAAAGATTTAGTTACTGCTATTGTTAATCAACAATTAGCTGCTGGAGGTAGTGTCGATGTTGTTAGTGAGTCCTTAAGGAAAAAATGCGGTGAATTTTGTAGTGCTGATGATGCTATTATGTATAAGGTTTTTTTTTCTTAAAAAAAAAAAGGTACTCATTTATTTTAGGCTATTGAACAATTAAGACGAACAAAAGAAAAATTCGAATTCAGTGAAGAAAAAAAAATATCTCTACAGGAATGTCTTCGTCTTTTTATCAAAATTGCTTCTAATTTGACATTGGAAAATTTGAGTGAAACTGTTGTTGAATTTAGAGATCTTTTTTTTCATACAGGTTTTTTTTTTTTTAGTTTAATATATTTTCTAAAAAGAGTTAAGGTGCTGTAGAGTTATGTTTAGCTGTTGCTAAAGCTTTTGATCCTGAAGATTTATCTTTATCATATATTATAGATGGACAGCCATTAAATGTTTGATCTATTTATTTTAATATTATCCCTGACATTATTAAGGATTTTCGGGATTATTACTATACTAGACGTATGAAGTGTTATTTATTAATTTTTGAGACTCTTTTGGATATTGATAAAATGATCGAAGAAGTTTCAGATAATGATAGTTCAAATGTTAATATGCTGAGAAATGATACATATAAAACTGCATATTCATCAAGAGATGAGTTGTTTCATTATTCTTTGTATGATTGGTATGTTGAACGTGGAATGTTGGAGAGAATTTTAAATGTTAGTATTTTTAAAAGCTGTTAAAAAAAAAATTTAATTTTCTAGATTGAAACTCCTTATGTTCGAGTATATTTAGAAAGAAAAAGTGTTAATAATCTTGATTTAGCTGATCTTTTATGGCAATATTATTCTAAATATGGCTCATTTTATGAAGCTGCGCGTATTTTATATGAATTATCTCAAAGCAATTTTCCTATTACTTTAGCACAAAGAATGGAATATCTTAGTCGTGGTAAGGGTTTATGTAATTGTCATGTTTCTCTAGAAATTAGACCAATGATGAATAAATTGGCACAAGATTTACAGGAAGAGCTTGATGTTGTTACTATTCAAGATGATATTATTCAATCTATTCGGTATAATTGGTTGAAATTTCTTAATGTATTATTAATTTCTTTGTAGTGTCGATGAAAGATTAACTGTTGAAAAAAAACGTGAAATGATAAAAAATCTTGATGGAAAAGTTATTCCTCTCACTGATGTAAGTTATTCTCATGTTAATTTATAAAATATAACTTAAGAAAGCTTTTTAATAAATATGCCGATTTATTAGGTTATGGAGAAATATGTTTATCAATATTTCATGTATCAGATTATAGAGGGAAAACAGATATTATTCAATGTTGGGAAAAGCTTATAGCTAAAGGTAGGTCTAAAAAACTATGTTTTTGTTTTTTTAATAAACATTAGAAACTGATGCTGCTATTAATAAAAATGTTAAAGTTTATGAAACTGTTTCAGATCTTATTCGGAGATTAGGCAGAAGATTTGGATCTTCTGAAAACGTTTTTCCTCTTGAAGATCTTATTCCAATGTTGGAAATCTACAATTTTGAAAGGAGAGATGATGGCGCTCCTCAGGGCTGGGTTATAGAATCATTTCTTTCTGCTGGAGTTTCTCATGGTTTGATTTTCTCTATTTTGGATGAAATAATAGATCGTCGTGAGAATCCATGGAATACTAAATCTGCTTTGATTTTTTTAATTCTAGAAACTTTATATTTGATATCTTTATGGATTAAAGCTAATACTAAAGCTGGTTATGGACGTAATGACTATTCATTAATCAAAAGTGATACTATTCTTTGTGCTTTAGAAAAATACTCTGCTCTGGTTTCTAATAATATGAAGTTAAAAGAGTCTATTACAAGATTAATTAATGAAATAAATAAAATAATTTAATTCATAATAAAATTTTGAAATGTGAATTATTTATAACAGAAATTATTTAGGAATTGATGTATAATATATATAAATGATTGGCACAATTAAAACAAACGATTTTCGATAAATATCAATTAATTACATCAATTTGTAAATTTTTATTAATGATTTTATTTCAAATAGATATTGATATATGGGATAAAATCATAAATGCTATATATAACAATTTATTTGAAAATTATTAATGAGTCTTTTTGTAATATTTTATACTATAATTTAAAACATTTTAAATTTCAATTAATTTTTAGGTTGCTTTATATTACTTGCATTTAAAACTTTTAATTATGATTACTGCTCCATCTAAAATATCCACATTTAAATTTATTTTCCATATCAGAATCAGATATATTTTGATGTTTATATTCTTTACTAATAGGACTAATAGAAAAGTAAGATAGATATCTTTTAAAATAAATAAATATATACTTAGAACAGATCCAAAAATGCCGGCCAAAATTAAGGCCAGGCTTCTTGCATCGTAATTCAATGCACGGCTTTTGATGAACATTACATAGAGGGGGTGATGGTTTTGTAAATATATTGTTCCATGTTTTTTTTCGCAATTCTAGAACCTCTGAATCCCTTTTAGTATCATTTTTTAACGTATCAGATATTTTTAATATAGTTTTTGTATTTATATTTTCCGAATCTAGTGAATTATACTCTTTCTTTAATGAAGTGTCTTTTTCATGTTTTCTGTCAAGATTTTTTAATTGACCAGAAGCATTTTTAAAATATGAAGGAAGATGACTTTGGTTTGAAAAACTTTCTAGTCTTTTTTTTTTTGAAAAGTGTGATAATGGTTCAGTTGCTGATCTCCCAAGAAAATTCTTTAAAGTATATGGTTTATTTTTTTTTTCTAAGGAGTCCAATTTTTCCTGTTTTTTAAACATTAATTTAATATCTTGAAATGAGAATTCAGGGAAATTATGTGTTTCTAGGTGAGGAGGTTTAGGTAATTTAGATACTAATATTCCATCTACAAAAGCGCCTTCTTTGTTCAAAAAATCTAATATGTTATCTGTTTTCCCACTCCCTTTCCAATTATATATTTGCGATTTAATTTCTGCAAAAATTGGACAATGATCTGAGCCCATAACATTTGCTTGTATGTCAGCAAATTCAAACCATGGTAATAATTCTTTACTAATGAGAATATAGTCAATACGTGTTCCTTTGCATTATAAACATATATTTAAACATTATTCTTTTTGTATACCGAAATTGCAGGTCCTGGCATTGATTTTCGTATTCCAGCCTTAAAAGTTAGAAAACAAATATAAATATTATATATTATATACATGTAAACATTTCTTTCCTATCCGGATGAAAATGTCTGCAAAGATCAATCATGAATCCTTCGGGATGTGGCAATAAAAGCTTATTAAGCCATGCTCTTTGACATGAATCTTTAAAATCTTCCATTCCTTCCTGCAATTCATCTATCTTATATGAAGAATCAACATCGTCTCTTATTATATTGATATCACCCATAATAACAATATTTCGTTTCATTTTTCTTAAGTTTCGAATACGACTATCCAATGTTTCAATCCATAATTGCCTAAACTTGTTCCTTTCTGAATTCGAATTCAATGGACAATATACCCCAAATAATACAAAAAGATTCAAATCTAAAATAATACATCTACCTTCTTGATCAAGTTCTAGTGCATGTTTATCAGACATTTCCGTGTAACCACCAATTGAAATCGATTTAGGACATTCAATATATGGAATACCTTCTCCTGAATGAATAAGATATCCAGTAATACCCTCCTCTGCTTTAAGAGGAATACAAAGCGACTCTTTAACATAAATTGCTACACCACTATATCCTTTTCTTTTTTTTGAAAATGTGTAAAATGACAAGTATCCTGGGATATTAATCATATCGTGTGTCAAATCCTTCCTTTGTATCTTTGTCTCTTGAAAACATACAATATCTGCTTCAAATTTTTCCAATATAAACTATATAAATTATAAATATTTCATTCGATTGTCTGTTATGCCTACTTTAAGCGATTTTTCTGATTTTTTCGACTGATAATCAAATAAATTACGTATTCCATTACAATTCCATGAAATTAGACGCATCTTTTTAGGCTATTCATCAATATAACCTCTATATATTGATTTCCATTTATTTCAAAAATGGTCATTTTTCCGGAAAAAAAAAACTACCTAGTGTAATCCCACCCTATAAGGATCTTAAAATTAATAATTTCTATATGTTTTCTTACCTTTTAACACCCCCAATCTCCCCTTTTTCTCAACCTTTTTTTTTGACGTAAAGATTTTCACTAAGTACTCGATCAACTTCAAAAAAAAATATAAAGCTATTAAGTATGTTATGGAGATATTTCTTGCGTAAAAACACTCTTATAAAAGACTTAAGATCTATAAGACATTGTAATTATACTACTGAAGCTCGAACAGGTCATGATTTTGTGTTGGAACAGGAAATTATAAAAAAACATGCTGGAAAAACAGCAGGTATTCTTTTTTTTTAGTTGGAAATTATTGAAACATATAGATTTATGGAAAAAAATAACGATTTTGTAAGTTTTGAATTTTTTTTTCATTTCATAATATTTAGTGTTTGTATTCCGGCATTATTGATAACCTCTTTAAACGCTTATCAATTATGTAATATTATTTATATGGGACTTAGCCTTTTCTAAGAAAAAAACAGATACTAAGCATCATTCTAAACTTTCCCATGAATTGGAGGAGAAGGAAAATGATTCGACACCAGAATATCCGTGTTTGATCCTTTTAAATATGATTTTTATGATATTTTAATGATTAATTTGTATTTAGATCAAAATATTCGAACTAAAAGGTTTTTCTGGGGTAAGTTAAATATTTTTATAAATTATGGTAGATTTTCTAAATGCTTTATGTATAGGCGATGGGGATAAGGTATTGTTTAATATAAAGACCCATAAAGGATCTGATAAATAAATAGACATTATTTTGGAATGATCGTGTAAATGTAAGCACATATTACGATATGTTTATTATTTTAACGGTCAATGCCTTGTTTTAAATAGAAACATAAAATCTCGAGTTAGATTCTTGCGTTTTGTTTATCCAGATAAAATTAGCAAAATGCGTTTATAAGTCGACTATATTATTATATTAAATATATGTATTAGTCCTTAGATGAATAATAGTATGTTTTGTAGAACTCAAAAGATATTGTTTGATAGTTCAATTATGGATAGAGAGAGATGTGTTGATTTGTTTTTAAAGAATATTATGTTTTCGGTATTTTAGAATTTATTCTGTCCCTCTTTGCCTTTTTTGACCATGAGGATTCGCATCAGAGAATGTATTAGGATCTTGTGCATTTCCAAAGAATGCGGGGTTAAAATGAGGTGCAGGAAAACCTTGTGACCCACCTAACATAGATTAATAAATATTCAGTCAATAATAGAATTTAAGGCAGATATTTATAGATATATATGTATAAAGATAATTCTTCATGTTTATATCCATCTTTTTAACTTACCAAATCCTCCATAACCAATCATGTTGGCATTAAAGCCTGATGCTGCAGCATTTTGTGATTGAGAATATGTCCCTGTATTGTTTAGTATTGTTCTTTTCGTTTTTAATAATATTTTACCAAATGGCATCATATTGGGAAATGGCATTCTTCCAGGAAGACCCGTCATCATCATATTCCCCTGAATGCCTGCATTATTCATACGATTTCCATATCCCGTTATATTCCTGTTGTTCGCATTGCCTCTTGCTAGTCCTCGTGTATTTGTAGATGCCATATCATTGCGTCCGCGAGCAGTTTTGGAAGGCGGTTCTTTAGGAAGCGTACGAAATGGATTTGACAATGATGAAAAGCTAACACTAAATTTTTTGTTTCCATTCATATATGCAGGATTCGTCGTATTCTCAAGGAACAATTTAACTGCTGTTGCTGCTTGTGGTGTTGTAAATTCAACGAATGCAATTCTATCATTAAAAATTAGAAATAATAGAAAACCATTATCTACAAGTGCACCCTTTAGATTTTCCGTTTACTTTATGTTCGTTAAATGTAATATCTTTTAATTCACAATCAATCCCCGCTTCTAGAACTACATTTCGTATATCCTCATCCGAATTCCACCAATTCATTTCACCTAAATAAAGTGCCGTAGTCGCACATGTATCAATAGGCCTAGTATCTATTTTTTCTGTTTCTTCTGACGTTTCCAATGTATTTATATTTTCTGTCGTTTTTTCTCCTTCATTTTCTGATTTATTAATGTTTATTTCGCATGAATCAAGTTTATTTTCATCCCTATCAATCTCCGTCGCCTTAAAAGACTCCTGTTCAAAGTCTTCTTGCTCTTTTGTCTCTTCATATGTTAATGGTTCATCTTCATATATATCGATATCAAAATTATCCTCTTCCATAGGAAAAAACTTCTTTAAAATACTAAAACCCCCCTAAAATCCTTTATTCCTTCTTAATTAATTAAAGACAATCTTATGGATCAATTTAAACCTTTATGAATAGATTTTAAAATAATTTAAATCTTCAAAATTTAAATAATTTACAAAATATTTAAAAATCTTAATAAAAAATCCAATAAAAAACCTTATATAATAAACAAATCACCCTGAATTCAATGAATTCTTTTAGGAAGTCTGAATCTAACCAATATTAGAGAAAATTCTGCCTAAATAAACGTACTTGATTTTATAGTAGTTCTTGATCGATGTTAAAAAACTTAATACCCGGGGAAAAATGTTAGCATCGGTTAAAATCTTTAATTTTTATAAGTAAAAACCTTAAAAAAATAGAAATTAAGTAGAAGAAAGCTTAAAATTAAAGTTAAGAATGTCAACACAAATTAAAGAGTGGTTAGATCTTTTAAATGACTTTTTAAAGGAAGGAACTCAGTTTATTAATCGTTGCACAAAACCTGATAAAGAAGGTAAGATAAAAATTGAAATCTGAATCGAATATGTCAGATTTTTATAGTTAATACATGTATTTTTTATGAGAGATATATGGAGTTTTATGGGGTTTTTGAGATTTCTAATGTAGATAGAGTTTTTTAGAATTTCGTGGGCAATTGGTATTGGTTTTTTAATTATGGGATTTATTGGATTCTTTGTTAAACTTATACATATACCTATCAATAATGCTCTTCTTCCGTCTTGAATAATAATCGGTAGTTAAATATTAAAAGGATGATGAATCTATATAAAAACACAAAAGCATGTTTTTTTGATTTATTTTTATGATTAAATGTTATTCCAGGTTTCATGATGTATTTAAATATATGCATTGTGTATGTGTTGTTGTATACATTATGTTTCTATAATATTTTACTGTTTTGTGCCATTTTAAAAGAAGTAATTTTTTAAGAAAAACAATGAAGTATTTATTAATGTTATATATCTTAAAAAGAAAAATGATATAATTAGCTCTGTTTATTCTTTTATATAAGACGTGATTATGTGATATTGCTAAATTTCATAGATATTATTTAGTGGCTAGTTTTTAGAAAGATACTAAATAATTGAAAAGTAAATTTCCATTGTTACTCTAAATATTTTTTAATAAGATGAAAAATGAAGGTATTGATAATAGTAAAAAGTATATGTTGGACCTTAGAATTATAATTTTTCGAATTTATAAACGTAAAATAATAACATTAAAGCTAAAAAGAATAGTATGTGCCTCTAAAGTATAAATATTTTTGAAGAATAAATACTTTTCAGAATGTTGTATTTATATTTAATCATATTTGCATGTAACTGTTTCAAAACCAGGTGGAAGTTTCCATCGAGCCCTTTGACTTTTAGATAATATAATAACAACGATTATGTCAAACCTAATATATTCTTCTTTAATATTTCTAGCTTTATCTTTAAGCTGAACTTGGCCTCTTTCGGCTAAATCTTGACTTAATGTTCCATTAGGCCCATAAAGCTAATATTGTTAATTTTATTATTAAATAAATGAAAACGAACTGATAATATAAAAGACCACTGAGATCCATATTCTTGTATAGCTTTGATTAAACAATTGGTTTCAGTTTCTGACCAGGGAACTCTATGTTGAGGTTTATATTCTTTTTTACGAAATCTATTGATCCGAAGATGTTGTTTAACAGCTATATATTCTTTATATTGATCTGTATTTGATTTTTCTTTAATATGTTTTGTATCATCGAAAGGTTCTAAATTATTTTCATCTGTAGATAAAGTTGAACCTAAACGTTGAATAGTAAGTGATTTTTTATAAAGCTCCATGGCAGCTTGCGCAGAAGCAGAAGGTATGACAGGAGGTGAACTAGGAGGTAAATTAGATAGCTCTGAATGAGAAGATGAATTGGATAATGTATTAGAAAGAATTGTATCTGTCCTTAAAATATTCTTAGAATATGTTGTATTTGATAAGTTTTCATGTTCGACTGAATTGGATTCATTTTGTTCATCATATTTTCTTTTTTTCTCGTTGTAGGAGATGTTTTCTTTAATGGATGTAGCTGGTTTATCAAGTATATTATGAATTAAAGAATTATCTATCGATTCAGAGTTTTCGTTCTGTGAATCCCATATGATTTTTCGATAATCACTTTGTTTATCAAAGAAACTTTTTTTATGTTTTTTGTTTTTATTGTCACTCTTTTGTGTTTTTTTGGTATTATCATTGTTATCGATATCTGTTCATAATAGATTAAGTAAAGATATGTAATAATAAATTATCATATACCCAAAACTATTTGACTAAGATGTTTTATATCACTTGCTCTATGAAAAGGTTATAATAAGAAATGAAAATAATAAGAAATACGAAATTTCTCCTTCGTTTTCAGAATTAAAAGAATATTCTTTATTCTGCTCTAATGGAGAGATAAAATTATTTTTTTGAAAATCCATTGAAAAACTCTCTTGTTTTGTTAGTATTTTATCCTGCAGTGATGATATTTCTTACGATTAAGGGGAATAATATTAGATGTTTTTTTGTTTTGATACGCTTGTGTATTTGATTTGTCCGCCTAACGCTTTTAGAAATACTCTTTTCATCTTGATAACTTACAATTTCTGATTTATTCGAAATATTTAATATGTTTCTTTGTATAAATTCTATCATTAGTTTAATAAAGTGATACCAAGGAAATGTTTGAATCAATGTTTCTAAAGAAGTGGGTAGCCGTCTAATATTCTGTATCTTTAAATTATTATAAACAAATGATCAAAAAATAATTATTATTGTCTTTACTTTTTTAATTCTTTGTGCACAGGCATCATTGTATTCTTTTCCTCCTTCTTCCCATCTTTTAAATCGTCCATTTTCATCCATAAAACATCTTTTTAATTCATTGTCTTCTTTAAATTGAATACTTCCTATATCATCATCTGAAACCCTATTAAGCCATATTGCATATATAAATAATTGTGTTCGTAATTCAATAATTTGCATGTATGCTTGCCAGAAAGTAATATTGAAGATAAAAGGAAACCAATGATCAATTTCACAAAGTGAATTATGTCTCTTTTTTAAGTCTTCAAGAGTAGGAGGGATAGAAAATGAACCATATAATTCAGATAAAAGTAATGCTGCATTTGCAAGAAATAATATATAAATTTCATTATTTGGTAGATAGTGTGAAAAGGGTGATATATCGATATAAGATGACTTTGTATATTCTAGAGCTATTACTATAAAACAGATTAATTAAGTAAAAAAATCAGATAAAAAATACATTTTAACGTTTGTAAAAGAAATTCCTTTTTTTTATAGATTTTAGTACCCTTTGTAGTTGCCTGTTTGACATGCGCAATAAAAGATGTCTTAGGAATAAGAAGTTGAATAATTCGTTCTGAATGATATTGTAAATCAGGTAACATTTCTCGCAATATATCAATGTCTTCTATTTCATTTATTTTATCCCCTTTCCCAATATTATTTCGTTCTTCCAATGTATTGACATAATCCGATGTATTGCCAACATCATTTTCAACATTTTTAGTTCCTATTTCTGTAGTAGCTGTAAATGGAGATAAAGTAGGAAGATATTCATTAAAAAGTATATTATCTGAATTTGGTATTTCTAGATCAGAAAAATCCTTTAGTACACTTTCCTCATATGAAGAATCATTGCTAATTATTTCTTCCTCATGAAATACTTTTAGTTGATGTTCTAATTGTTCTTTTAACTGATCTTCCAATTCATGTTTCGAAAGTGTTTCTAATAATTCTTGAGGATCTTTTTCTGACATTTTCAATAAATTCTCTTTTCTATTTTTAATAGCTTTTATATCTTGTTTTGCTAGATATTTTTTAACTATTGATTGCTTTATCTAATATTTTTATTTACTTATAAACTTTTAAAATTATTTAAAAAATATGTCAGTAATAAACAACTTTTATAAAAACTAATGAATCCTTTATTAAAATTCCTTTATTTCTTAAATGATAATTAAGGATTTTTTAGACATTTTTTAATATTTAGTGAGATTTGTTAAAGTTTCGTAGTTAAAAAGCGATAAAAATATTTTGGAAGGGTAATGATAGGGAGATATAAGACCATAAAATAATATGAATAAATTTTAACTTTAGTGGATTTGTTATATTTTTATATATTTTCATATATGAAAATATAAAAATATTGTAAAAAAAAATATACTAAATATTTTTTAACGTTAAGATTTTTTTGTTTAGATCAATATTTTTGAATGATAATTTCTATATATAATAATAGTTTAATATGTATTTATTTTTATTGAGAGAATAATATATTGATGTTTGATTTTTTTAATATTTTATCTAATTAAGAATAAAGTTGCCTTTTATTTTAAGATTTAAGTAGTAAATTTAGATAGTTTTTTTAAAGATTAGGATATTTGTTTTAAGATAGATTAAAAAATATAATAGATTTATGTATAGTTTTATAATCATGTATAGTATTTGGTTAAAAAAATTAATTTAAAAAAAAAATTAGTAGAAATATTAAGAAAAACAGTATTTATAGAAAAAAGAGATTTTCAATTAAAATTATTAAATTAAATTCAATAATTAATATAATAAATTAAAAAACTAATTAGATATATAAATGTAATTGAAATTTTTATAGTATATGTATCAAACAATATTGTGTTATATTTCTAAACCGAGATTTTATAAATATACCATTAAAATATATGTATTAATCAACATATTTTTTAAACAGTAATTCTTGATATCTATTTCTTTTTAAAAGAATTAAATGTTTTTTTTACTATAAAAGAAGATTTATTGCCTAGTTTAGAAAATGAAAATATGTTGATAATCTGATTATTTTCCATTTGAGAAGAATGTTTTGAATCTAGATCCGTTGAATTGCATATGTCACATATTTTTTCCAAGTCTATATTTTCTAAAATGTTATTTAATATTATTAATAATTAGAAATATTTACGATATTTATTTTTCACAGAAAGTAACCAGGAAGATAATTTATCTGAATTCAAATCGGATCCTTCATTTTCATTAAATTGTTCTGTATGAATAGGGTACGTATTATTACAAGAATCTATAGAAGAAAAGTCCTCTGGATTTGTCTGCTTATTTACTTGATTAAAATCCAAAATACTAGAATCATTATAATTATAATTTCTGCTTATTTTATTGGAATTCTTTAAATTGAATAATGAATCATCATTAGGCCTTATATTTTCATTATTTGCTATTCTCTTTGCTTCAAATGAAATGTTTTTTATATTCTTTTCTTTAGAAATAGATTTTCCATCTACATCTTTTTGAATATTTAAAGCAAATGTAGAATCTGGACTTCCTTTTATAGTTGTTAATTTGTAATTCTTGTAGTTTTCTAATAGAAATTCAAAAGAATTATTTAAATTGGAAGTCTCCTGTAAAGATAGTCTAGACTCAGAAAACCTATTCATAAAAGTATGATTATTTTGGTGTTCTTTATTTACTTTTGATAATTTATTGGATTTAAGATCATTTTGTGCTAAAACAGATATATTAGAGTTAATAAGATTATTCGTAGAACCATTTTCCACAGAAGAATACTGCATATGCTTATCTGAAAGGCCTTTTTTTTCTCTTAATTTCTTATTATCTTGAACAATTTCTTTTAGTGCTAATTTAATACTTTGAAAGTTATTCTCTGGAATATAACCTCCAAAGATACTTCGTCGAAACAAAGATGTCCTATTTGGCTGTTCTTCAATTTCTTCATTTCCGTAGATATTCTCCCCTTGTTGTAATGTTATAGTAGGACTAGGAAAAGGTATATCAATAGATTTCTCTGACTCTGTAATAGAACTCTCATAAAGAGAGTTTGGCATTTCTACATATTGAAGACCCGTATTTAATAATTCTGATGTACTTTTAGAAATTTCTTCAATAATAGATAAAACGCTTTTAAACTTTATAGCCTTTTTTTTTTCGAAATTATTTTTCATAAAATTTTCATTTTTATGAAATTCTTCTTTAGATAATAAATTATCCTTTTCTTGTAAAGATTCCCATGGAAACTCCTTATACACCTTTTCTTTAAAAATATGCCTAATTGGTTGATGTCGATATCTTTTAGATCTTTTCAAAGTATTTAATGACTCTGAAACTAACGAATTTGACGAATCTGAAACTAACGAATTCGACGAATCTGGCGCTTCATTTAATAAGTTATCTGACCCTTCCGATAACTTATCTGAAGAATCTAAAATTTTCTCTGATTCCAATGTTTCTTGCATTTCTATTGTTAATAAACTATCTGTGTCTGACGACGCACTTAATGTCGTAAACGTATTAGATCTGTATTTTACTCCTATATCGCTAGAAGACCTTCCTAATAAATTTCTTTGTTCATTATCATGGTTCCAAATTTTTCCAGAACGTCTTTGAATCGTACATGTTGATAAACATGATTTTTGACGTTTTTGTGTAAAATTTTCTTTTATATAAATCGCTTTTACTGATTCTGTATCTCCATTTATATTTCCATCTATATTTCCATCTATATTTTTATCCGTTCCACTTTTTTCAATATCAATGTCATTTATGAATTTTTCTTCAATCATTATGGAATTTGAAGGAAATATATACTATTTTACTAATAATATTCTTTAATTGCAAATCTTATTTAACCCTTTCTTCAAATTATAAAAATATAAAACTAAGGATAAAACTTAAATTTTAACCCTTTTATTTATATTTTTATAATTTGAAGTTGAATATTAGAATTAAGATTAATATATTTATATTTTTTTATATTTTTTTAGGGTTAGCCTGCATTTTTCTGCACGGAACCCTTTATAGGGACACGCATGTGTTCGGAGGACCCAGAAATTATTTTGTAACTTAGAAATTTAAAAAATATCAAAGAAATTGTTAAAAAAGAAGTTATGAACACATTAAATGGGGAAAATCAGATAAGTTATGAATATAAATGTAGAAGAGAGGAAGAATATCGTTGTTTTGGTGGTTCACAACGTAACGAACGATCAGATAGAGGGTATCATGGGACATCATATAAAAAAAGAATTTATGAAGAAGGACCGGGAGAACCAAATATTCAGGTTATTTTTCAGGGTCTTGAGTCTCATATTATTGAGATAGATGTGATATAAGTCATTTTTTTTGGTTAGATTATGTTAATATAAGGGTAGATTCAAAGAGCGATTGAAGAACGAGGTGGACAGATAGAAAATGTGATTTTGATACGTAATAGAGAGACAAGTAGATGATTTATAATTGTTTTTATGATTTATAAAAGTTGTTATAGGAGAATCGCGTTGTTTTGCATTTGCGAAGTTTATTTCTCTTGAACATTCAAAGCAATTTATAGAAGCAAATTATCCATTTTTATACATAGGAAATCATCGGGTTAAGATATCATATAGTAAAGAAAATAAGTGGGAGGAGGATGGATGGATTTGTTTTAGTGTATGGAATGATATTAAGATTAGAAGGAAGTTTATGAGGTTTGTAGTGTGGAATTAATAATTATCCTCGCCGAGAAGTTTGTTTTAAATGTGGAATACCGAAGCAGGGTGCTTATTAAATTTACGTTGCTGTTTGTTGTATTAAATGAAGTTAGATGTGACGGTTGCAGGGAATTTGACACATTCAGCGCCATTAGTATTGAATGATGGAAGTCAAGATATAGCAACTACACCTTCACAGTTTTTATTATTAAGAAAATTGGATCTTTTAACTACAGAAGAGCTTATTGTTAAAGGAATGGCAAAGCTACAAGTGCCAATTGTACGAGTGCTTTTGATTCGTGACCGAATGACACGTCAAAGTTGGGGATTTGCATTTGTTGAATATGCAGATGTAAATGTATGATATGATATGAACAAGATCATGATTCATATTTTCTAGGGATCTAAAAAAGCTTTGGCAAATGCTATGAGCCTTACCTCAAACAAAGGGTTTACTATTTCATCAAAAACGATCGAATTATCCTTTATTCATGGCGGTGTTTTTGTTCCTGTTTATGATCAAAAAAACGAATTTGCATTTAAATCGAGTAAAAATGGTCAATTGCTTGCGTATTGGGATGAAAAAGGATTTACATCAGAATATTGTCCAGAATCACAAAAATCGAAAGATGAATCAAATGCACTTCCCGGCGAAATAAATGTTTCTATAGGATCTAACGCTACTTGTTCGGACAATATTGTCTCTATGAAGGGTGTGTTTGAATTATATTGGGTTCTTTTTTTTCTTAAAGGAATATAGAACCCAGTTTTTCAACAAAAGATGCTTCAACTAGTTTAAAAAGAGGTGTGAAGTAAGTATTAATATTTTATAAGATATAGAGATTAATAATTGTTAACAGTACCGTATGCGAACAGAAAAAACGTATTCAATCTTAATTTAATTAATTTTCTTACTTATTATAGAAAAAAAAAGATGTGATAATTCATCAATAAAGGTACAGGGATATAATTTATGAAAATATGTTTTTATTTAGGATTTTAGATGGCACCTCATTTGCAGAAATGGGCAGTAAAGCAGCAAGAATTACGAACAGGACAAGTTGAAAATGAAAAAATAGATGAAATCTTTTCTGATTTAAATCTTATGGCATGCTTACTTTGCCAAAGAAAGTTTAAATCAGAAAAGGAAATACGTCAGCATGAAAAATTATCCGAATTGCATAAGGTAATTAGTGTTTTGGATATTTACAATTAATATTATAGAAAAATTTGACAGATGAAGATCTCAAAGCACAAGCCAGACAACGTTTAAAGAAAGTTTCTACAAAAAAAGATACTGAAGTAGAAAGTTTAAATGATAGTAATTATAGAGATAGGGCTCAAGAACGTCGTATTGCATTTAATCAGCCTTCGAAACCAGATGTTCCATCTCATAATTCAAAGAAAAATATAATAAACTCATCTCCAAAGATACCAGAAGAACCTGCAAACATAACAAAAGGAAAAGGTGCTGCCATTCTTGGAAAAATGGGATGGACAGAAGGAATGGGTTTAGGATTAGAAGGTAAAGGTATTTCCAAACCACTTAATCCAGAGATGTACCAAGAAGGTGCTGGTCTTGGTTCTCTAGGAGCAAAGTTAGGAGATAATCCACGTCCAAGTGATTATGCTGCTTATGTTCGATCGGTAAGTTATCTATATTTTTAATAAATTTTGATTGTTTTAAGGTTAAAGATCGTGCTAAGCGAAGATATGAAACGGAGGGCCTGTAATATTATGTTATACCTTATTTAGAAGATTACAGATTTTACAGATAATTTTGTTTTAAAGCAATTACTTTAAAATATTAAAGATTTTAATATTTTTATTGCATATAAAATATTGTATTATTCACAGCCTAATGATATTGGACTATTTTATTAGTATAGACATTATGTTTCATCTAAAACTTAAATATTAGGAATTGTAAAGTTTTTCATTATATATTAAATATTTTAAGATATAATTAACAATCTGTGAATTAATGTGTATTTTATTTTCTATCACAATTCACTTATCTACATCATTATCTATAATATCAAGATTTCAAATCCCTTTTAAGTCCTGATACATAAAATGTAATTCTGTATCATGTCTTTTCCAAATGTGTGAAGTCTGTAATTCTTTTACATTCATAGTCTTCGCAATAGATGTATATGTAGAATTGAAAATAATTAGAATATCGTTGTATAAAACAATAGAAACCTCTTCATTTAAAACAGCTGGAAAATGAAGATGAAAAAGGAACATATAGTTAAAAGATAGTTTATTCTTGATTCCTTAATTAATTTTCTCCAAGGCATAGGATATCAACCTTAGGATACACAAACTTTGCTGAAGCTAAAAAAGTTGACAAGAATTTTCTTAGAATTTTCTTTCATTCATATTATACTCAACAAAAGAAGTTCTCCTAATAGTTGAACTAACAATTGAAAAATCATGGCATTTTAAAAGCGGAAGAAGCAAAAGTTTATAGAGAGGCATTTTTTGAACAGGAAGAGAATAGCCTATCAGATTAAGTTGTTTATGTAATTCAAATAAACAACAAAACTAAATATGTAAAAATCGAACTTAATGATATAAATAGATTGATTCACCTTCAAATATTTTTTACCCTTTTCTGAAATTTTCCATTGATTAATAATACGTAGTTTATCTTTGAATCCAGAAATATAAAATAGATATATTTTTAATAATTCTTTTTGCAAACGCTCCTCCGGATTAATTTTATTAATTTCTGCCATCATTTCTGGGAGTATAAATTGTTTGTGAAACATAAAAATGGAAAAAAACATTCACAAAACTATTTAAAAATCTCAATACATCATAGAAGGCACAAGCTTTCTAATATAAATCTAATCTAAATAATTAAAAGCCTGAAATATTAATTGCGATTTTTCTTTTTTTTGTTTACCTTAACTACTAACCCAGATACATATTATTTTTCTGTCTCTAGAATTTCATGAAATATTTCTTTTATTTTATATTCATTATGTATTACATTTATAGAAATTTCTTGCATATCCTGCCGTACTTTGCCGGAATTTAACGAAATTTTGGAAAACCAATCATACAAAACACAAATTTGATCAAGTCTATATATATCTGTAAAAATACTTAATTTTGGACAAAAAATCCTTTTTTTGAAATTCCAGAATTTTTATAATATATTTCCAGGAGGATCTGATAAAAAGAATGGTAATTTATCATCATTGGAAGTATCTGATGATATTGTCTCAATTGAATTATCATATATAAACCCCTGTTTACAATTCTTCAAAAATATTGTACTTTTAGCTTTTCGATGCAACAATTTAGCTCATTTTTTCTTTTCAAAACCGCTATCAATTTTATTCTCAAATTTTGCTTTTTAAATAATACTAATCTAGATTAACATTTTTCCTTCCAAATAGAATATAACATTTTAAGAGTATCATTCAATCCATATAATCTTCCATATTCAAAAATTTTGTTCTCTGTATTTATTCCTGTTTAAAAAATTTTATCTTATAACCGCCTTATATAATATCTTATTTAATATATAAAATAGCTGATAATTATAAAAAAATTGTCAAATTTATCTCATTTTTTAACGTTTTTAAACCAAAATAAAACCTTTCTCAAAATAAATTCAATCTCTACTGTTTTTAATATTGGTAAAATTTAGAGATTCCTTAAAAATGTTTTAGCATCATATTAGTATTTATTCAACAGTATTCAGAAAAGGGCGCATATATTCAGCAATTCTAAATATTATTGCTATATTTGATAATATAAGGCTAATAATATGTATTATATGCATATATAATACATATTATTAATATATGCTTTATTAACTACAATTTTTCATCTCTTTTCGTATCCCATTGCTGATCATTCTTTCAAAGCAACATTTCCAAAAAAATTTCAAATATCTTAGAACCTTAATCTTTCATTTTATCTACTAAAAGTCTAATCTTTATCTTTTTTAGCTGTTTAAATGTTAGTTCCTGTTAACCCCTAATATATCTTAATCCATTTATAGACTAATATCTCCAATAAATTTATCAATATTCTTTTTAATTTATATTTTTTTACTTTTATTGACTTTGAAAGGTTAATTATCCATTCGATAAAGTAGCATTCAAAGGATGATTTAATTAAAAGCTATGGATATATTACAAATAGAACAGAAAAATAGTTTTTGAATAATAAAATATACTGCAAGTTATTTAGAGAAATTATATTGCTTCATATATTAATAAAAGGTATGATAGTAATAACCCTAACCCTTCTCTTATAAAAGACCTAAAATGTTTTCTCAAGATCTAACCCTGCAAATGTGAAAGACCTATCCCTATTAATATAAAACCTAACCCTTTAGATATTTGTTATTATTTAAAACCCTAATCATGAGATTTCAGACGTTATCGAGATATGAACCTTTTCAATACAAAATGTGTATTTTTTGGGTTAAAACAGTATAAAATATGCAATTAAAATCTATTTTCAAAATAAAGAAGAATCTCATTAGGTTTTTGGATATTTCTCTAAAATAATAAGATGTCTCGAACAATTACGTTTGCTACACTTTCATTAATTCCAGCATGGATATTACTATTACTTTCTTGTTTATCAGTCCCAATTACAAGATTTATATCTCTTGGATCTTTGAATGATCTTCATTTTGGTGTTTTTGGTTATTGTTTTGCTAAAGGAAAATGTAATGTAGCCCAATTGGGGTATCGCATGGGTAGGTTGTGAAGAAGAAAAAGAGTTTTTCGGCGCCTTTTCTATGTTTGAAAATGTTTTATATTTTAAAAGAGGTTTTTGATAGTATTGGCGTCAAAAATAAAGTAATTGCTTTTTTTACAATGATATTGATATATTATTAGACATTGCTATATCGTCAAAATCTAAACATACATCTGATTTTTATTTTTCATTTTATAAAGTTCAGGGACTTACGTATATTTTTATTGTACATATCGTTTCAGCTTCATTGACATTTTGTGCATTTGTTTTTACATTAATTGCTCATTTAGAAGGACCTAGCAAAAGTGACTTTTTTTTAGTTATTATTCTTATAATTACTTTTTTCACAGTTTTTTTTTCTATAGTTTCTTTTATTGTTGATGTTTTGTTTTTTATTCCTCACCTTGAATGGGGTACTTGGGGTATACTTGCTTCATCAATTTTAAATATCATTGTTTTTGGTAAGCTTATTTTTTGTTTAATCTTAAGATTTTTAATACATAGCTTCAGGTCTTATTCATCTTTCCAGAAAATATCTTATTGCTTGCAGGTCAGAAAAAGTGAAAACTGCTTTTTCATATCATTCTCAAAGAAGGCATCCTAATCTTAGTTATCCATATGCTAACAACCTTCCCTTTCCTAAGCATACAGTATATCAAACTAAAAAGGATGGGAAAGATAGAACTGAAAAAGATAAATCTACGCTAGATTCCATAAAATATCCTAAAAATGATAATGATATAAAACATACATCTAAATTGAAAAAATTAGAACTCCCTCCTATTAATACTCATCTTGACGACCATAATATGCTTTCTAAGAGCTTTTTAGATTCTACGTATTGTAATTCAAGCACTTATGATTCAACTATTCCAAACAAGAATGTTAATATAACTTATAATGAAGCATATAAAGATGACAACAGAGTACATGAATCTTATTTAAAACAAGAAGGGTCCATTCACGAAAGAATGGGCTATCCTGAGGATTATTCGAAGGATTATCTAAGACATCATCCAAGAGAGCATCCAAGGAATCATTTGAGATATCATTCAGCAGATATTCCAAGAGATCCTCCAAAAAATCATCCAAGAGACCCTTTAAAAGATATTCCAAAAGATTATCCAAGGGGTCATGCAAGATATCATTCATCATATGTTTCTAGACATCATTTAAGAGAACAACCAATGGATGTTCCAAGAGAATATTTAAGAAATCCTCCAAGAGAATATATGAGAAATCCAAGAGATATTCCAAAAGAACATTTAAGAAATTACCCAAGAGAGCAAATCACGATGCAACCGCATTTTAGACAGGGTGCTGATAATAGAAACATGCAATATCCTGTATGCAAACCTCCTGTTGGTCTTGGAATTGAATATAGAAGAAATCCAAAACGACCAGTTGATTTAGTTGAAAAAGGAAAACCTAACAATAATTATAATAATTCATATGGAGATTATGCGCCGCCCAGACAGACATGGAAAGATTATCCATTACAACAAAATGGTCGTGCTTTTTCGCAAGATTCTAATGATGGAGTACATAATTTTTCAAGTTGCAAACCATGTGTTTCTGATAAATTATATGAAAATAAATTTGCCGAACATGGTCCTGTTTCTCAAAATTATGCTTATAATTCTCATCCTTATTCCGAAGATGTTGAACATCGTTTTTCTAATAATGCAGACTGTTCATCACATACAACAGATCAATATAGTCGTATGCATCTTCCTTATCGTAGCAACAATTCTGCTCAAACACAAGAATCTCTTTCCCCCCGGTTTAAGTCACCTGCATCAACTAGCTCAGAATTTACTAGTATAAGTCAAAGAGGAATAAATCCAAAATGGGTTCCTCCTAGCAAGGAACAAATGCCTAGAGTAGGAAAGTTTAAACAGAATAATTTAGATGCAACCTTGGTCAATAATTTGAATTATGACCTTCCTAAAAATCCATATAAAGAGATAGGCGTTGTTGGAAGCGCTGGTACTTAAAAAATGCCCCTAAGTCGTAATTTGGATGTCGAAAAACTGTAAAAAAATAACAAATTATATACAAACGTATCAAATAATATTTTCTTTCAAAACATGGAAATTTAAATTCGCTTATAAGTTTGAAATTTATTTATATGAATAGACATATTTGAATGAATAAAAGGATTAATTATGCCTGAATTTGATTATTTTTACTACTCATCAGAATTCTTATGCAGTTATATTTGGTTTTTGGACATTAATAAATAGTTAATTTTATTTAGTTTTACTTCTATATTTTTTGCCATAGAATAAGTATACAAAATAAAATCTTTAGTTTAAACTGAAAAGTGAAGTGCAATAACTTTCTAAACACTGAAAATATTCTATATATTTTATAAAACAGCTATAAAGAATTTCTTCTATTAATTACATATTTTCTTTGATAAATTCAATGTAAAAATGAGAATGATAATTCATAGATTTTTCTAGTATTCTAATATTTTAAAAAGTTGTCTTGAAACAAGACATTGATTATGCATTTTGCAGACTTCGGCGTTTGTCTCTTTCTTCTGAAATTGTTAGTTTGATACCTTTTCCTTTAGGCAAGGAAATCCAAGGCCCTGCTGCATCACCAATAATGAAAACGTTGCTTAGACGAGTAGCAAAGGCACGATCTAAGGCATCTTTAAGATGAACGATATCAAATCCACCATCATGACGTTCACGATTGATAATTACACCAATTCTTCCCTTAGAACGACCTCCTGTCACCATAGCAAGTTTTCCTACATCAAAACTGATAAACCCTTCAATTTTACCAAATTCCAAGTTGAATTTGACAGTGTCGTTAGCTCGAATAGCTGGATCAGGGTAGCGCTAGATATAACGTTAAAAAATATATAAATGATTTAAAATTGAGAAATACAATTGTCCGACCATCATGAGTAACTGCATATGGAATGGCTTTGGACCCAAGCTGAATTTTCTTGATTTTACAAAGCTTATATTTAGCTTCCGTTGACGTAATACGATGAATTGTAAATCGCCCTTTTGTATCATAAACTAAACGGAAATTTTCCCCCGTCTTCTCAATGCTAATAACATCTACCTTCTCTTTTAACTTCCTTCTCATATCCTTATAAATCTTAAAACATACCCATAAAACCTGCTGGATATGTATGATCTGTTCTAACTTTTCCATCCACTTTAATTAATCGTTGCATCAAAATAGCAATCGTTTCTCTGTTATTCAAAGCATATTTAAGGCGATTACGAAGAAAAATAATCAATGGTAAGCAATCACGTAATTTATGCGGACCTGGTGATGGTCGTGGTGCATACGTTCCACCAAGTTTATCAAGCAACCAGTGTGAAGGTGCATTGATACGCTTCATATGCTTTCTCCTTATATCCTATCAGCCATTTTCTATAGTTATAAATCGTACTTACGGTCCTCTCGCCATATTTGATTTTTTGATAACGTTTGATCGAAGAGTTGAATATTGTAAACACGGTGACCATCTTTAACCCTAGACCTAAAATATTTTATAAGGGTTAGGAGTTGAGTATTCTCTTAAACTTTAGTATTTAGGAATTTTAAAGATTTCTTTAAATTTTCATTTATTTATCTTATTTTTATTTTCTGTCTTATAATCCTTTTTATATCGAAATTTATCTAATCTTTTAAAGATTTTAATTTTAGGCGGAACATATATTTTATTATTTTTTTTTGTTACTTTTTCTTGAAGTTTTGCTAAAGCGTTTCGTTTTTTGTTACGCTGTGTTGGACGTAGTCCGTAAGATTCGGACTTGCTCGTTATGAACCAGCAAAAATCTCTTTTTGAAAGGGCTCAGTTATGGATGTATGGAAGGAAGCAAAATGTTTTATCTATTTGTAGAAAAATTGGATATTTAGATAATAAACAGAATAAAAAAAGAATGCAACAAAAAAAGTTCAATGAAGATGTCAATTCGAGAAAAAGATCAATGAATTTTTTCAAAATTCATAATATACAAGAAAAGGAGCAGACGAATTGTATGTCATCGATTATTTTACTTATTTTTTTATGTATGAAAGGATTTTGAAAGAAATGATGGATGTTTATGATCATAGATTTATTACAAGGTGTTCCATTGGGATTGGTAATGGGATCGTTACCATATTTGTTGCAACCGTATCTTTCATTTACATCACTTGGGTTTTTTTCACTTGCATCATATCCATATTCATTGAAACTTTTTTGGTCTCCAATTGTAGATACTGTTTATAATGAAAAATGGGGGCGGCGTAAAAGCTGGGTTATTCCGGTTCAAGGAAGTATTGGATTATGTTTACTTTGGATTAGTTATAATATTCAACAATGGATCGAAGAAGTAAGTTATAATAAGTATATGGTATTGAAAAATCAATAATAAGCTATGATAGGCAACGAAATCACTGAAACAAATAACAGCAGTATTTTTTGTTCTTGTTTTTTTATGCGCAACACAGGATATTGCTGTTGATGGTATGTTGATGAAGGATACGATGCATTTTTTTATATATTGATATATTTTTCTTTATAGGATGGGCGTTGACTCTTCTTTCAGAGGAAAATCTTATTTATGCGTCTACTGCACAAAGTATCGGGTTGAATACGGGATATTTTTTCTCTTTTACTGTTTTTTTGGCGTTTAATTCTAGTGAATTTTCTAATAAATATTTCCGTTCTGTCAAAAAAGATTTTGGATTAATATCATTGACTGGATACATGCGATTTTGGGGATGGGTTTTTCTAATTTCTACTATGTTTATTTCATTTTTTCAAGATGAGCCGGTTTTCTTTTTTTATTAAATTCTATTTAAAACTAACTAGATCAGAGAAAAAAGTATTCATCTGTTAGTATTAAAAATGCTTATTTAATCATTTTCAATATTATAAAGCTTAGGAGTAATCATATCATTTTTAGAGGTTAATTCTTTCTTAACCTTTATAGATGTTAGGTTATTTGTATTTGTTCATCTCATTGCAAAAATTGGATCTTCTGCAACTGAAGCAACTTTAAATTTAAAGCTTCTTGAAAAAGGATTAAAAAAAGAAGACCTTTCAATTGCTATATTAATTAATTTTCCGTTTGAACTTATTTTTGGTTATTATGCTGCAAAATGGAGCTCTATGTCTCGGCGATTGTTGCCATGGACTTATGCTTATATTGGTCGTTTGATTGCTGCCTTTATTGGTATACTTATTGTTTATAAGTTTCCATATGATGGTAAAATCAATACTGAGTATTTTTATATTATTATTCTTCAAAACATGATTTCAAGTTTTATGAAGTATATCTATCATCTATTTAGTTTTTTTTCTTACTTTTGTTTTAGCACAATTCAATTTATCAGTATTAATGCATTTCATACACGAATTGCTGATCCAATTATTGGTGGAACATATATGACGGTATTTATATTTATATATACAATACACTTCAACTAATCCTATTTTTCTTAGTTACTTAATACCGTTTCTAATCTAGGGGGAACTTGGCCTCGTTATTTTGTTTTCGAAAGCATAGATTTTTTTACAAAATCTTATTGTTCAAAAAATATTACGAACAAATGTATGACTCATGAACAAATTACATTTTGTAAAGAACTTAATGGTCATTGTATTAAGAAAGTTGATGGATATTATATCATTAATTTTCTTTCTATTTTTACTGGGTTTTTGCTTTTTTTTATATTCATAAAACCTTCTGTTGAAAAATTACAAAAACTTCCATTAAAAGCATGGAAAATTAATATTATTGATAGAATGTCCTTTTAACAATTTTAATATTTTTCATCATAAAACATTAAATACATGTATATTTAATATCTTTTTTATTATATCTTTATCGGTTTATAAATTTTTTCGATAAGCCTTTGATCAACTTCAAGAAATTTTGATAGAATCTTATTTTTTAATATAAAATCATTATTTCTAATATTTATTTTCAATATTGATATTCTTTTATTTTAAGATATTTATAAAAACTCTTTCTTCTATTGAAATGGATCATGAAACTTATTTTGAAATGAATAAGGAACCAGTTTTATTAAAAGATTGTGCACAAAAAGTACAGGATTTTGTTAAAATACAATTAAAACTTAACAGCCGTGTCGTTTTAGTTACGGTCTGATGTTTTTTTCCATGATTATGTTTTATTTTAATGAAAAAAGTCTGGCGGTACAGCAGTGCCATTAGAGACTCAAACAGTTCGATTTTTGGATAATTTTTCAGCAGGGACTAGAGGATCCGCTAGTGCTGAGTATTTTATTAAATATGGTTATTCTGTTGTCTTTTTATATAGGCAACATACTCTTCTTCCATATTCAAGATGTTATTTTCATAATAAATATGATTTTTTGGATTATTTTGAAGAAACAGATAATTGTAATGTGATGGGCACGTTTTATGTATATTTTTTTTATAATGTAGCTGAAATATTTTAGTTAAAGCCAAATATAGAGAAAAAATGGTCCATCATTTAAGATGTTATCAGGATGTAAGTTAAATATACATTTGGTATTTTTAATTTTTTTTTGCAGGCTAAATTAAATAATAAACTTCTTATGATTTCTTATCTGACAATTACAGAATATTTATTTTATTTACGTGAGATTGCTATTATTTTTCGTCCACTTTCAAGAAATGCACTTTTTTATCTTGCGGCTGCTGTATCCGATTTTTTTATTCCTCCTGAAAGAATTTCTGAACATAAAATTCATAGTGAATCTAATGATAAACGGCTTGTAATTGAATTTGATCCTGTTCCTAAATTTTTAGCAAAACTTATTGAAAAATGGGCACCTCGAGCAAGTATTGTGAGTTTTAAAGTATATTTTCTTTCCTTATCAAATTATAAATAGCTAAATTTCATTAGTTAGAAACGGACGAAGATATTCTTATTTCCAATGCAAGAATGTCTCTTCAGCGTTATGGGCATCGACTTGTTATTGGTAATATATTAACGAAACGTAAATATGAGGTTGTTTTTGTAACAGAAACTCAAGAATCATGGATACGATTGACTCAAGAGGAAAAAGACAATGGAATTGAAATAGAATCAAAAATTGTCCCTCGTATTATACAACTACATGACACTTGGATTCATTTATAATATATTTTTTGGTATACATAATATTTTCATATAATTTTCCCGAAAAAAAAGGAATACCAATTTCTAAGTCTTTATTATGGATAATTTAGTGTCTGGTATCTTTTTCTATTATTTATTCTCTACTTATTTTTATTTTTAGCTATGATAAGCTCTTTATTTTTTTAATCTTATCGATCGATTAACGCTAGTCAAAAACAACGTAGATTGGAAAGCTAATTTGTAGGCTTTGAAAGCAGTATCTTCATTGGTTCAGCATCAATTTGTATTCATTTATCTGGAAGGAGTTTATATATCTTTTTTTCCGAGTTTTTTCGCTTGAAAACAAATATATATTTGAAATGGTATTTGAACAGTTATCACAATTATCATTGGAAAACCAGGAGGAACGACTGGAGATTTCTCCAATAACTCCTAAACTGAATCGTCTTGGAGGGCGTAGTGCGACAGAATCTCCTTTAAGTTCACGTCATCCTACTGAAAATACACCAGATTCACCGCGTCGTCATCGACGTCGAAAAGAGCCGACGTCGTTTAATATATTGGTTATTGGGTTCTGTGGGTCTGGAAAGACGAGTTTTGTTGAGTATTTGTCTGAGCAGTTAAATACTTTAAAGGATCAACAGCATTCGGCGATGAAGGAAGAGGAAAAGCCAGATTACTTAGATATGGGGTTTACATGTTATTATGCTGAAGCGGAAATAAATGGTGAACGCATTGGTGTAACTCTGTGGGATAGTCGTGGGTTTGGTACGTCTAGAGATTATGAAATTGTAAACCTTCAGATGGATGAGATAATATTGTTTATGGAAAGCAAATTTGAAAATACATTTTCAGAGGTATGTTTAATTTTCTTTTTTTTACAGAATAACTTCCTTTATACATTTTATGATTGTTGAAGTGGTTTTTGTGTAGAGTTATCGATATTGTATTATAAGCGTTGCATTATTAAAAAAATTTGTGAAATAGAATGGAACTAATAAACTTAGGAAACTAAGGTTATACGGTCTCATAAACATATAGATACACATATTCATTGTGTGCTTTATTTGATTGATTCGACATCTTCTTATCTTTATAATGATGTATCACTAGATTCTCTGGATATTTCTATCATACAAAAATTAAGTAGATATACTACAGTTATTCCTGTGATATCTAAAGTGGATACATGTACGAAGCGCCGTATTGGGGATATAAAACTTGCATGGAGAAAAGAATTCGAGAAAAGCGAGATAAAAATTTTGGAATTTCTCGGTAATAATGAAAGTCATGATGATGTTTCTACAAGTGAGTCGACACATAGTCGTGAAAAAGATGAAAATTATGATGATATTTACAATTTGTTGCCATTTGGTTGTATGACACCCGACAGAGCGCAAATTATTCCTTTTTCCGCTGAAAAAGCAATGAAATTTGATATATCTAGAGAATATTCTTGGGGAAAAGCAAATCCGTTAGACGAAAAACATTGTGATTTTTCAAAGTTAAAAGAAATGGTTTTGGGGGAATGGAGAAATGAAATACGAGATTTTTCTAAAGAAGTTTTATATGAAAATTGGCGTACAGATAGACTTGAGAAGTTGAGAAATCTTTCATCAAAAGATAATAAAAGTTGAGAATTAGCTTTTTTAAATAATTCTTTAAATAATTGCTGTATTTGAGTCATTAATAGAAAATAATAATTTGCACTAAACATGATTAAATAGGATACTTTTTCTACATTAACCATATGTTATCATATCCTCATTTGTTTTATGATTTTCTTATATGATAACCTTTTTAATCAATTAAAAATTACTAATATTTTTTTATATGTATTTGACTTTTTTGGTATTAAAAACATCTATTTTGCATGTTTTGTTTTGTTTAAGTTATTAAATATTATTTTTTTCGATACCTCTATTGTGCTTGATTAATTACTCTTTTGAACTTGATATGAATTTAAAATAACATATTTGGTTCTGTCATTTCGATTACAATTATTACATATAGAAATATTCAACAAGAGTTTGTGATAGCAGATTCTTTTCCCCTTAAATACCTAAATAACTGATAATTGTTATATCAGAAAAACGCATAATTGAAAATAACTTCGTAATTACCTATATGTTAATGTATCTAATATAAACTAGAAAAATTCCCCTTCATATAAAATTAAAAAATAAGGAAATATTTTTGTTATATTTCTCGTCTTTTTATTTATTAATGTTAATACATTTACAACATTTAATATTTTCCAAATAAATCATAATTTCCCTTTCAATTTCCTCCAAAACTGGATGCTTATCATATCTTAATAATCCATCTGATTCTAGATATTCCTTTGTAAATATTTTGTTGATTTCTATTTGTTTTTTCATTCTTTTGATCCATTTTTTAAAATTTTCAATATTTTCCTCTGTTTCACCCCATTTTTCTAAATAAAATTCCAGTCCTTCTAATGATCCCAATAAACGACCTGCTTTTATTCCTATAAAAGCACTTTTTTCATAGTTTTCATTCGATCCTAGTGGGCTATATACTCTTTTTGCTTCTGTTAATCCTTCTAAATAACCTTGCTAAAATATGTCATTTTTAATCCAGAAAAAAACCATATAAATAGAACGAACATTAAAATATCTATTCATTTCATTCTTTAAAGATATTTTATTACTTGAACTCTCATTTTTCCTGTTTTCTGACGTCTCATCCTCCCATACCTCATCCATAGGGTTAGACCTTACGATTTCGTTGCTATCGGTAACCCTAAGATAATTTTAACTTCCCTCTAAGTAAAGTCTAATAAAAGACAATAAAAAAATGTCCAAAAATGACTCTCAAAACCAATGGAGATACCTTTTAATTGCTTCAACAGTTTCTCTTGCACAGGGTTTGTGTCTTTCTTATAAATATATGAAAGGTTTTTATTTTTCTTTTTTACTTTAAATTAAAGTAAAAATAGCAAAACAAGGGAGTTTTCCAGCTAATTCAGTTCTTTTTGCATTGAAGGCTTTAGGAATTGGCACTCTTATTTGCTTTGGAACTTTTGGTTTAGGAGTAGCTACTATTTCTAAGGTATTAAAAGTTAAAAATGTAAAGGATATTGATTGCTTTAAAAACTCTGAAAAAATTTATAATAATAGATTGAGGAATTTTCATATGTTATGAAAGATTATGCAAAAAAATATTTCTCTTCATTAAAACTTAGTTCAGAAAAAGCGGATTATGAAGATATAGACGAGAAACTATTATCTAAAAAATTCTCTTAAAATAGGAACTCTTTTTTTATTCTATTATTTCTTGAAAACAATACAAATATTGTTTTCAATTACATTTTTTGAATGAATTAAAATTTATTTATATGTCTAGATTATTATATAAATTATCTATTATGATTTTAATACTTTTTAATGTTTTACTATTATATTGTATATATAATATATTTACTGTTCATAATTTTAGAAATAATTAACGGATTTATTATTAATTTTAAAATTATAGCAATTGGTATTTTAAGATAATTGTAGTCTATATTTTAATTGATAATCAGATCTTATCTAAAAAATAATTAATTTAGGGTTAGGGTTTTAGGCAGTCACCGAGTTTTGTGTTTGTGAAGCCTTTTGCGATCCGTATTTTCTATAAGAGTGAAAGAATATGATTTCTAGGTGAGTATCAGATAGATAGATAGATATGTGAACGGACTTCTATTGTTTTTAATTTGTTGTTTCTCGAGTATCAGAAAGAACTCATTGAATATTATATTAAGATTAGAAGAAAAACATACTGAACAAAATTACCCGAAAAAATAGCAGAAAGAAGGATTTATATATTTATAATTGTTTATGAATGCATTTAGAAAAATAGAATTATATAAATTATATTGAAGAAACAGGAAATTGTCATTGAATAAGCGGGATATATGCGCAGATAATTGATATTTTTTAAAAGAAACATAAATTGTTTATAGATCTTTATTCTAACTTTTTTAAGTGAAATTGAAAATCAGGCCTTTATTCCAGAAACTCTCTTAAAAAAGAGAAAAGCAATTGATAAGGAGAATATTGAAAAAAAAATCCGTCTAGCTGAAAGGAAAAAGGTATTTAATATAAATCAGAGGCTATTTTCAGTTTATTGCTTGCAACAGTGATGATGTCCATATAAGGTAGAGCTAGTATATATATATTACGATGTTGCTACCCGAATATACCATCTTTCGGGACTGAGCTGTAAGCAATATTTAGGAAAATTAGTCACTTTGTTATTGGATGTTATTTAACAAAACTAATATATAAAAGAACTTAAGAGTTAAAAGAGATGTTATTTTTAAACGTGCAGAAAAATATGTTCAAGAATATTTAGAGAATGAAAGGGAAGAAATTCGTTTAAAAAGATTAGCTAGAAAGGAGGGCAATTTTTATGTTGAATCAGAACCAAAACTTTTTTTTGTTATTAGAATTAAAGGGTATTAGTTTTTTTATAACTATTATTTTCTAAGTATTTTTTAGTATCAATAAAATTCCTCCTAAACCTAAGAAGATTTTGCAACTTTTACGTCTTCTTCAAATTAATAATGGTGTGTTTATTAAAGTGACTAAAGCCACTGCTAATATGCTTCGACTTGTTGAACCGTTTGTTTTCTATTAAATTAAACCTTGATATTTATTGGTTTTTAGATATGTTACATACGGGTCTCCAAATCTTAAATCGGTTCGTGAGCTTATTTATAAACGTGGCTATGGAAAAATTAATAAACAACGTATTCCATTAACTGACAATTCGTTGATTGAAGATAGTCTTGGTAAATATGGTATTATTTCGATGGAGGATTTAATTCATGAAATTGTTACATGTGGACCGAATTTCAGACAAGTATGTTTTAACTATTATAGATTATATATAATATATTAATTTCATGTTTAGGTTTCGAATTTTTTGTGGCCATTTAAACTTAGCAATCCTAATGGTGGATGGAGAAGAAGGAAATTTAAACATTACATTGAAGGAGGTGATGCTGGAAATCGCGAAGAAAATATTAACAGTCTTATTCGTAAAATGTGTTAATACGTTCAATATTTTAGTTCAAATGGTTTATATATTGAATAAATATTTTATTAATTAATAAAAATAGTTTTATATTATATTTTCTATTTTTTTTCTGACATTTCAATATCAAAAGACGTTTCGCACCTAATTAAAATCTAAATATAATAAATTTATTTTTAAATAATATACCCGCAAATTGACTTTGCTAATGGATTATCAATTACTTTAAAAGATTCTCCTATAAGTTCTGAAACGTAATCAATTTTAGATCCATTAATTAAATTTAAACTAATTGGATCAATTATAACTCGTGCTCCATCTTTTTCAAACACTCTTTATAAATTAAAAAAACCTTTACATATAATTTAAAAAAATTGTCTTTTACCTATCATTACTTTGTATTTCTTCAGTTAAGCTAAATTGATTTTGATACCCATGACATCCACCGCTTTCTGTGATAACCCGAAGTAAAAGTTGTGGATTTTTTTCTTTCTTAACGATATTTAAAATTTGCTATAGTTCATATAAAAATTAGATTAGTTAAAATATAAATATTATGTTGTATTAATGAATAAAACTACATACGTTGGCTGCACGTTCCGTAAGTTCAATTTTAAAACGATCTTGAGAAATCGATGAAATATAAGAAAATGAAGTTGATTTATAAGAGAATGTAAAACGATTATGTTTATGAAGAGAATGAATAATAAATGTCATAAAAGATAATGTATAAAATTGTGTAAGAAAAGCTGTATGTATTGAGGAAGGAAAATGACGTGCTATGCGTTGAGAAGTTGAAAAGTAAAAGCGAATAGACATTTTTATCGGTATTACGGACTTTTTATCTACGTAATAATATATGTTATGGATTATGAAAAAGTAGCGATACAAAATGGTTTTTTAAGTGCAATAACAAGAGAATTTTCAAATTATCTAGATGAACAAGATTCGTTAAAAGAGTTAAGGAATGAGTTTGAATTGCCTATACAAAAGAATAAAGCAGGTTAATAAAGAATAATTAGGAAAATATAAATGTTTTTTAATATTTTTCAGGTAAAAAGAAGATATAGTATCTTAATAATAACTTAGTTTTAAAGATAAGCTATGTATTTATATGTCTGGTAACTCGCTTGGATTATTATCTAAGCGTATACGGGTGTTAATAAACGAAGAACTAAACGTATGGGCGAAACAGGGAGTAAATGGACATTTTGAACATTTTTATGGAAGAGAATGGGTTAGAATAGAAGAAACAGTAAGAGAAGGATTAGCAAAAATAGTTGGAGGAAAAAAAATCGAAGTTGTTGCAATGAATTCTTTAAGTGTGAATATTCATCTTTTAATGGCATCTTTTTATAAGCCACAAGGATTTAAACGGAAAATTTTGATAGAGGATCATGCATTTTCATCAGATTATGTATGTATTATTTTTGGATTTTTTTTAGATTATCTTTTAATCTCATCTAACAAATTATAGTATGCGATTGCTTCACATCTTAGTTGGCATGGTTTAAATCCTGAAACAGAAATTTTGACTGTATCACCGTTAAAAGGATGTTATACATTGACGACAGAACATATTTTACAGACAATTGATAAACACGCAAATGAAATTGCTATGATCTTTTTTTCTGGTGTTCATTATTATACTGGGCAAGCATTTGATATTTCTACTATTACAAAATATGCGAAATCAAAGAGTATTATTGTAGGCTGGGATCTGGCACATGCAGTTGGAAATATTGAACTTAAGCTTCATGATTGGAAAGTTGATTTTGCTGTATGGTGTACATATAAATATCTTAATTCTGGCCCAGGCGGTGTTGGTGGTATTTTTGTTCATGAATATTATGCAAATAATCGTTTAAGGTATGATCGATATCAAATTTAATATTTTTTCATATTTTAATCTTTAAAGATTATTAGGATGGTGGGGAAACGATTTGAAAACTCGATTTAATATGAATAATCGTATGTATTTTCTTAATTATTCTTCAATTTAGAACAATTATAATTAATGATAAATCATAGAGCAATTCGATTCATTATATGGTGCTTCGGGTTTTCAGATTTCAAATCCATCAGTTTTTAATATGGTTTCATTATTGGGTAGTCTGGAGGTTTTTTCCAAGGTATCTATGTCAAGTATTCGTCGAAAATCGGTTTTACTTACTGGTTATCTCGAATATCTTTTATTAACTCTATGTTCCAGTGCTTTATTTACAATCATTACACCCGGTAATCCTGAGGAACGTGGTGCTCAGTTGAGTTTGCGTTTTTATAAAGATTCTACGCAAGTTATTTTCGATCAATTACGAGCTAATGGTGTTGTTGTTGATTTACGTAAACCAGATGTAATTCGAGTAGCTCCCGTGCCTCTTTATAATACCTTTGGAGAAGTATTTGATTTTGTATGTATTTTGAAGAAGATTTTAGATTCACTTACAACTTAATATCACGTGATAATTTTAAAAAACGACTCGTGATTAAGATAGAATAGACTTATTAAAATCTCAAGTTTTAATAAAATACTGCTTTCTTATTCAAAGGAAATGGATATAGCAAACAACATATTGGAATTTTTTTTATTTAAAAATTTTTAAATAAAAAAATTCTAATCTTTAAAAAAATTAAAAATGAATAAATACAACAAAATGAAACTATTTATTCAGCAGAAAATAAAATATTCAAAGCACTTTAGAATGCTGCATAATGATTCATATATTTTGTCTAAAGAAATTAAAATGTTATTAAATCGAGGAAATATTACAGATGCAATTATAAAAGTGCGTAATCATAATCAAAATGTATCATGTACTGTCTCATGGAATCATATTATTGACTATTGTATGAATAATGGTAGAGTTAATCTTGCTTTTAAGTGTTTTAATGAAGTATGTTATATTGGTGAAAAATATACTTTGAATATTGATAGATCACTATTAGATGAAAAAAAGATCTCATTTTCCAAATTCGCATACATTTACTATATTGTTACGTGGACTTTCTATGAATTCAAAACATCCTAGGAGTTTTTCGTATGCTTTTCATATTTATAAATCATTATGGTCATCTAAGTATACTGATCGTTTGAGTATTATTCACACCAATGCTATGCTTCAGGTTTGTGCAGTTACTAAGCAATCTCAAGCGGCATTTGAGGTTTTTGAAGAGGTTTCTAAAAGTAACCTTGTTGCTGATTCTATAACATATACTATTTTATTCAATATTTTAAGTCACGAAAACATGAAAAACATAAATGTATATGATAAGAGACAAAAATTATTGAGAAAAGTTATTGAAGCATGGAATATGAGGGGTTTTGTTGTTGATGAATCTCTGATTTGCTCGATATCTTTATGTTTTCTTCAAGGAAAGAAACGTAAAGACTCTGATTTTGTTTTTACATTGGTTGAGCGCTTTTTTGGCATAAAAAGGATGATACCTCCCCTTCAAGAAAAAGCTGATATACTTATAAATGATTTTAATTTGAATCCATCTTTATCAGAGAGTCAATATATCAAGATTAGCAATAAAGGTTTAAACATTATATTATTGGCATGCCTTTTATTAAAAAAAGAGAAATATGGAATCGAATATTGGGATTTCATAATAAAGAATTATGGCCTTGTTCCCGATTATAATAATTATTATAATTATTTTCTGCTACTTATACGCACTAAACTAAGAAGTACTATTGATAAGGTTATAGAAAATATAATACAAAAGCAGGTCAGTTTAGAAAACAATGTAATATTGCTCTATATGAAAGCATGTAATAAAAATAGGACCCATAGTGATTATATTATAGCAAAAACTATATTAAAAATAGTGATACTGCATAAAATGAAAATAAATTTATTCATTATTGATTTATTTTTACAAATAGCTAACAATACTGTTTCTAAAGATGATATTTTGGATTTATTAAATCTTTTACAACAATTTGATTTGAAATCGCTAATTTTTGCAATAAGTCATATAAAAAATAGGCATGAAAGAAATGATGCAATTTCAGCAGGGATTCGTATATGTTCTAACCTTATCAAATATTCCAAATACCTTTCTGAAAATGAATATAAAGATATTCAAATATTAAAAGATAGAGTTTTAAAAATGCGATCTTTATAGTTTTATTAAAGAGAATGAGTGTTTTTAATCCTTTTAAACATTTCTGAATCTAGGAATCGATAGAATTTTAGTCGAAAATACTTTTAATGCATGTTTCTTTTTGTGTAGGGCCAACTTCATCATCTGAATCTGTTTCGTTTGTATCATCTTTCATTTTTCCTGCATAATAAATATTTTCAGAGACATGTTTTGTATCTTTGTCTTTTTTAAATGCATTATTTATACTTGAAATATCCTAAATAGATTAGACACATTATTTAATTGAATTCTTTTTACTTTTGATAATGGATTTACTGATTTTTTATTATCGTGCATGTTTTCTTCATAATTTTCCATAACACTATCATTTATTTCGTTATTTAAAGTAGTTCCATTCTGAGAAAAATAGTCATTTGTATGAGGATGAATTTGTGAATGCATGTGCAAGTTGTTTGAGTTAGATGATTTATTCAAATCATACGGTGCAAAATTTTCTTGTGAACTATCTGATGTTGTTGCAAAGATGAATCGAATAGATAATACATTCTTTTCAAATTCAAACAAGATAGGTTCTCCCCCTATATTAAAATAAGCATTTAATAATACATTCATCGAGTCGCCAAGAGTAACAACCGCCTTCTATGTAAGATTTAAATTCTTAAATAAATTTTTATACCTTAAACTCCTTAAGAGGAAATGTAATAATTGTTTGTTCTTCGTAATAGATCTCTTCAAAGTCCCTCTTATCTAATAAAATTGCAGTTTGTATTGGTTGTTTCAGAATTTCTACAAAAAATTAAAAGTTTCGTATTATTTAGCAAAAATCTATACCTTTATCATAAACAAGTCCTTCAGTAAAACTTGTTAAAAGTAATTTATCATTTTGAGACATTAAAGTAAGTTCTTCTGCCCGTGATGAGAAATGATCCAAATACTCCTTGAGTGTTCTAGAATGTATTTTCCATTTGTTTTTACATAGTGATTTATTACAAAGAGCGTGCATCGTTTGGCATTGTTCATAGGTGATTTTGTATGTTTTTAACACACCTATAAAATTAAAAAATAGGTTTCCAATTAAAAATAGCTAACCGTGCTTGCATAAAAACCGTACAATTAATCGACATTCCCTGTCTATATTATTTGGACGTATAATTCTAAGTTCGCACTTTTGAACTGAAACATTTTTACTTTCCCTATTTTCTAAGTTCCGAGCTTTAAATATAGCAAGAAGAAGCTAAACATTCAACTATTTTTCACTTTATAAGGTCATTATCTACCCGTATTTGAACTCTACACTTTAAACTTTGGTTATTTTTTGATGATATTTCATATGATTGTTCATATGGAAAATACTCATATTTTTCAAAAAATCTTTTACTATCAAACGTAACAAGGCCAAATACTGATTTTGTAGAGTTAATAGATGATAATAAAAGCTATTTTATATGTTATTTATGTCTTTTTTTTTCAGTTTTTTTCACATTATTTTTTCTTGCTTCTATGGATAATTCATCCCCAATTTTTGACAGACAAAAAAGAATTTTTGAAAATTCTTTAAGATAAACACCTGAAATAACCGCGTTCATTTATTTATCTTAAAATATATCTATTTTCTCTTTCCTTTTAAAATATTGTATTTTTCTTATTTCTTGGTAGTTAATCAGCATCTCATTAAAATATTTAATAATATTTAATCATTATCCTTTGTTTTTATTTACAGATAAAAATAGATTTATTCATCCTTATATGTAAAATTATCTATATTTGATCTCAGCTTAGTTCTTGTCTATAATCCATTTCTATTAAAAACCCAATCTAAAATATAGATTTTATAAAAATAATCTTAAAACTGATATAAATAGAGATAAAATATATGTGAAATACTTGATAGATATTATTGATATTATTACTAACACTACTATATTATAAATATTGACTTTTAAAAATCAAAAATTATACATAAATAACTCAATTTGTTAGCTTCAAATATTCAGAATACTCTCTCTGTAAAGCTGCTAGTTGTAAAAAAGCCTTTTTTATCTAAGTATTTCTTCGTATAAAACATCAACGGTTCACCGTCCATTCATTTATCACAAAAATTTTTCATATTTTTTATGGGCTTAAAATAATATCTTTTTATTAGAAATTAAGGGTTATATCTGGGTATTTTTAAGTATTCTATTATGGAATATAATAGTTATGATACATTTCATAAGAAAGCCCGTTTAAATGGTTTTAATAGTGTTAATCATGGGATTGGATCAAAGTAAAAAAATAAGAGAAAAAGCAGTAAAAAAGAGCTGAAATAGATAGGAATACAGATAATTTTGATTCATCATCTTTAGATAAGGGAAAAGGAGCAGTTTGTAATAATATTTATGGAAAACAAGAAGAATATATGAGTTCGAACAAATCATCAAAATATGATATAAAATCAGTGAAGAGGCAATGGGGTATCTAGATATATTATATTTGTATAGTTTAATTTTTGAAGATTCGAATTGTTTGCCGAGATTTGAGAAGAATTTTTACAAACCTCATCCAAATATTGAAGGAATGACAGATCAAGAGGTAGAAGCGTTTAGAAAAAAGGGAGGGATTACAGTTCAGGGTATAAATGTTCCTAGGCCTGTTCCTTCATTTGATGTTTAGCTTTTGTTATGTCTTAAATCTTTTAATATATATTTTAGGAAGCGGGATTTCCAAGTTATGTTATAAATGAAGTTAAACGTATGGGATTTTCATCACCAACACCAATTCAATCTCAAGGATGGCCTATGGTACATTGTAAATGAAAATAATTATATTTCTGATTATTTAGGCACTTTCTGGTCGAGATGTTGTAGGAATTTCTGCTACAGGATCAGGCAAAACGCTTGCATTTTGTCTTCCAGCAATTGTACACATTAATGCACAGCCTTTGTTATCTCGTGGGGATGGTCCTATTGTTTTAGTTCTTGCTCCGACTCGTGAATTAGCTGTTCAGATCCAAACAGAATGTGCAAAGTACGGAAAATCATCACGAATTAGAAGTGCTTGTATCTATGGTGGTGTTCCTCGTGGACCCCAAATACGGGAGCTTGCATCAGGTTTTTGCGCGTATACGTTTGTGTATAGTAATTGATGTTTCGATAGGAATTGAAATATGTATTGCTACTCCAGGTCGCCTTCTTGATATGTTAGAATCTGGAAAAACAAATCTTCGACGAGTTACGTATCTCGTTCTGGACGAGGCAGATAGAATGCTTGATATGGGATTTGAACCTCAGATTCGAAAAATTGTAGATCAGATACGACCAGATCGTCAAACATTGATGTGGTCTGCAACATGGCCAAAAGATGTACAAAAACTAGCTCATGATTATTTAAAAGATTTTCTTCAAGTTAATGTTGGTTCTTTGGATCTTAATGTAAATTTGGATATCAAACAAATTGTTGAAATATGTTCTGAATATGATAAACGTGGAAAGTCTGTTATTTATATTTGTTTTTCACCTTTTTAATAATTAGATTGATTAAGCATCTAGAAAGTGCTATGGAAGATAATGAGAATAGAATATTGATTTTTGTTTCAACTAAACGGATTGCAGATGATATTACAAAATATTTACGGCAAGATGGTTGGCCTGCACTAGCAATTCATGGCGATAAACAGCAAAGTGAACGTGATTGGGTTTTAAATGAATTTAGAACAGGAAAATCTCCTATTATGGTTGCAACTGATGTAGCATCACGTGGTATTGGTATGAAAAAATTATTCTTTTGCCTATTGCAAGATTTTTGCTCTCTTTACTATAATTTTCTCATGTCTATATTATGTATTATTTCGATAAATGTTGATTTATTTCATTCAAACAACCTGGGAACGTAGAATTATAAATTTATCTTCAATGGATATAATATGTTATTTTTTTCAAAAATGCACCATGAATAATATTAATATTTGGTTATTATCTACATATAGTTTACGTTTATGTTCATGAGATTAATGAAAGAGAGTGATGAATGCGAATTGAGGCAGCTTGAAATTTATATAATAACTAATATAATTTTAGATATTAAAGATGTTAAATATGTTTAAACATGGCATTCATTTTTTCCTTCATTAATATAATATAGGTTATTAATTACGATTATCCAAATAGTTCTGAGGATTATATTCATAGAATTGGTCGCACAGGTCGAGCAGGTGCTAAAGGAACAGCAGTAACTCTTTTTACTATAGATAATGCAAGACAGGCTCGTGATCTTTTAACGGTTTTACGAGATTCTAAACAGGAAATTCCTCCTGCTTTAATAGAAATGTCCAAAATTAATTATGGTAATAATAAATATATTGGTAATAATCGAGGACGTAACGTTTGGACTGGGTCAAATAATGCACCTTTAAATCCTATTAGGAAATGGTAGTTATTTGAATATTAGACCATGGACTTGATATTTGATTAAATATTTAAATATTATTAATTTTGTTCAAAAGGCATATTTTTTAAAACCTTTTTAAAGCTGTTTAATATAATTAAAAATGTAATATAGTACATATAATAATGTTATAAATGTTTAAATATTATCTAATTACTTAAAAAAATATCATTAGAAACAACAAAATCAGACGATAATATATTAGCCTTTCACCATTCTTAGAAATTATGAATTATATGTCTGTAACGAAATATTCTATTAACAATAAATTTATTAAATTGTCAAAAATTTATCCCGTTTTAAATCCATAAGTACAACTAGTTTCATAGACAAAACTCAAATAACAAATGAGAACAAAACCATATGTATACCATATTCTTTAATAATATAAAATATATATCGTCAAGTGCATCTAGAAATAAAAAAATATTAAAAAAATATATCAAAAGATTTATCCAGAAGTTTCAGGATCAGGCTCTCCTTCTGCATCCCGGTCTTCCTCATCAGCATGTGATTTATAGTCTCTATTGTTGCTTGTATAAGATTGTGGCTGAGCTATAAATTGATTTAAATGTGGCAATAAGGACGGATGATACGTTGATGCCGGATAAGGATGTTGATGGGAAGATTCCGAAAGCGAGGTTTGCTGAGAAGGATAAGGATATATATTTGGTAATGGCTGAGGTAAATGAGCATATACAACATGTGATAAATTAGGCGGATGTGACTGTGATTCTGGAATTGAAGAAAGCTGTTGAGAAAGTTGCGGAGAAGGCAATGCATGGCGTTTTTGTTCTTCCTGGCGTAATTGATCTTCCGCTTGCTTTTCCTTGATTTTTTCCTTCTTTTTTGCTCTCCAAACAGCCCTAATCTCCTTAAATTCTATAAAAAATCAACCAAAACTCAAAATAAGTACAAAACAAAAGCGAAGCACAAAGTAAAGATAATAAAACATGAAGAGAGAAAAGCATTAACAAATGACCAAATCTTACCATCAGGCGTACGCTTTTCACCATGCCCCTGCATAAAAACATGCGCATTCAAATGATTCAATGTACCATATGCTTTCTCGCAACCATTCCATCCACATTGATAAATCCGTTCAATTTCATCATAACGTCGTCGTGGACGTTTTTGTGTTTGTGCACCTGGCAACGGGACAAATGAATATATTTGTTTCACTTTATTCTGCGCTTTATACGGCAAATGCACACCAGCAGGAATTGTCATTGGCTGTCTGAGAACATTAATTGGAGAAGATGACTTAAATCCATTATTCGATGTAGTCCGGTCGGCCACTGTATGACCATGCATAGTATAATTTGGCCAAAAATGCTGTGTAGAAGGCTCCGCTGCCAACGGTGTAATAGATGGATGAACTAAATTAGATGAATAAGCTGGTGAAAGCCGATGGGGCTGACCATTTATTGGCAATCGAGAATCAAGATTAGATTGTGGATATGTTGTATTTGATGGAACTGAACTCAAAGTAGCGTTCGAATTTGAATTAAGAGATGATCCTAATGGCGGTGTTGTTCCAATAGCTGTAGATCCAAGAGATCCTGAAGGCGTAGAAGGGGGATGATTCACATAATGAGAATTAGATGGAAAAAGTTCATCATTAGAACGATTGTGACCAAAATAACCATGCAAATCTTCATAAAAAATTAGAATTAAAAAATCATAAAAAAAAAATACCATTAGATGAACTATTATATGTATATGGTCCTTGTGATCCTCTAGGCGCAACTGCTACTGTATGTGATTGTCCAAGATGAATCGCATTTTGTGTATGAGGAGAATAAGGCGTATCTAGATAATTACTTCCCATTCGAGGATAATGTGGATAAGCATTAAATGCCTGAGAAAGTGGCGGTAATCCTGAGAATGTCATACACTCTGCTTCATGCTCAAATATCGGACCATGTTTATGCTCTAAATTCGTCCGACTATACGAAGGCCATCGCTGATCCCCCGATGATCCCGTAATCGATCCTGTACGTCCATGAAGTACATGTCCTGATAAGGGATCATTATAATATTCTTCTGACGGGGTCGAAGCATCCATTTTAGACTCAGCCAAAGTGGCGACATCCACTGTTTGAACCGGACACGGCAGGCCGTGAGGCTGTTCGGCAGAGATAGGCAGGCTTGAAATTTAATAAAATCTCGCTGTATAATAATATAGATATAATTTCTATTATTTCAAAAAAGTAAAACTACCTGAGACTTAAGTTTTTTTAGGGAAAACCCACTAAAAGACTGACGCAATGAAAATCGGGCGACGACTAATCTGATGTTTCACAAACGGCGTCAACGCTTATTTTTATATTAAATATAATCGATCTCTTAAGAGAAAAAAGGCGCCAACGGAAAGGCGTTTTTTATCCGATTTTAAAATCCTAATTTTTATAATAAAAATAAATTTTAAAAAAAAATTAGAATTTTTTATGAAATATTAAGATTTTTGTTATAAAAATAATGTACATAATAAAAATATAATATTTTTTATTTATATTTTATTTTTCTTTTTTTTTTTAGAAAAAATACATTTCTTGTAAAAGGTATGATATTTAAGAAAAAGACACTAAACCTTTGTTGAAAATAAATAAATAGATTACTTTTTAGTAAAAAATAGTTTTAAAAAAGTTTATTTTGTATTAAAGATTTATCTTTTAAGATATATTTTATTTATTTAGGGTAAAGATTTTTTAATCTTATCAAGATAAAAAAATACTAGAGTATTAAGAGAATAAAGAGAATAAAATACAATTTAGAAGTAAATATGTAAAGATAATTTAAAAAATAGAATGATCGTTTCATAAAAAGTTGTATATAAACTACTTGTAAAAAAAAAGTAAACTCGATAAAAAATAATATAGGAAGAAAAGTTGTATATTGAAGTTTTTGAAAAAGTATTGATAATATTATATAAATATTTATTGTAAACTCATTTTCATTAAACTATCGTTGGTATCTTTATAAAGATAAATCAGAATTGAATGATGATTATATTTAAAAGAAACCTTGCATAGGAAAAATACTCAATTTAGAAGAAAGAGGGGAGCTATTTGTTGTTAAAGTGGGACTACTACCTCCAAGACTGGGAGAGACAGCTCTTCGTTTAAAAGAAAGATATGGTTCGAATCGTTCATCAGAATTAACTATAGAACAATTAAAAAAATATAAAAAAAAAAGAAATACCTTTTCTCTTAGAGGTTTTTACATTTTGGATAAAACTTTTTATAGGTGAAGGAGAAACCATTGGACTGCTTTTTACCTAAAAAAATATTAATTGGAATATATAAATGTTTAATAGGACAGTCGAATCAGTATTTGGTTTTTTAACAGGAAATAAATCTATGAAATCCTTAGAATGTAAATTATTCCTGTGAATTGATGTCATAGACGAAGTATCAGCCGTATCATGTAATTCTTTTTCTTGAATATTATTATAAGAATTTATACAACCACTAATATATCTTGATTTTCGTAATATTTCTGAAAGAAGAGCTTCATTCTTTATTTCTGATTCAGCAGGTGATGATTCTTCAAGTAAACTTTCCGCAATTCTTTGAATCATTTTAGGTTTAGGCTATATAGTAATTAATTATTTTAAAAAAAGACATTCAATTACAATTAAAGACTTATTTCTAGTCACCACTCGTTTAATTGCATCTGATTGAACATATGGCATTATAAATAAATCAATATTATCTGATTGTTTTTGATAAAAGTCTTTCATAATCATTTTAAGATTTAATTGTTAAAAAAATTACCTGGAACTGTTTCTTTTTTATTTAAATTACTATTTTCTATGAATGAACATGGCATTCTTTCCATATCCAATCTATCTTTCATATTTATTCTAGACAAATTTGCTTCGTAATCTGTAAAATAAACCATATTTTCTTCTATATCATTAATCCCCCTTTCCTCATCTGACGAACTACTTTGTGTTTCTTTATGAATCATTGCGTTTATTAGATCTTGACTATCTTGAATATGACAAGCATTTGTTCGATATCCTTGCAAAAAATTCGTTTCATTAGACAAACCATAATTAGAAATTCTTCCTGATTCTTCAATAGAATTTAAAAGTATTGAATGATGGAGAGAAGTACATCTAAGGGGTTTTCTTTTTGAAAAAGAATATTCTGAAGGATCATAATTACTAACAATATTTTGACTCATATAAGACAGAAAAAAAATGCTGAAAAAACTCTCTTTTTAGGTTATATATGAAACTTTATTCAGAGAATTATATTTAAATATATTTTTTGCTGAAAATATGCCAATTAACTCCCTTTTTAATCATCTTTTGTTTTCAATTCATTTTTTAGAGGTTGAATCGATCGATAGTCTTTGATTTATATAAGTATTTTGATCAGAAAAAGCATCTTAAATAGAGAGAAAAGACCTTATTTTTGAATAATGCAAGGTAAATATTAAGTTCTATATGTTTAATATATTGACATTTTATTCAGGATTTAATAAGGTGAATTTAAAGAGATATTCTGTTTTGTATTTAAATGGATAGTATTACCCTCCTGATTATGATTGGAGAGAGGGAAAAGGGCTTAATAAACTTCATGGAACACATGCACTCGGAAATAGAGCTAGAAAACTTGATAAAGGGTCATTATTTTTTTTTTAATTTCTTTCTTATGTAAAGAAGGATTTTGATTGTACGTTTTGAACTACCTTATAGTATTTGGTGCGAAACATGTAATAATCATAGTATGAAAAGATAGTTTTTTTTAATGTCTATTGATATTTGTAAGTTGGACAAGGGGTTAGATTTAATGCAGAGAAAAAAAGAGTAGGAAATTATTATAGTACACCAATATGGAGTTTTAGAATGAAATGTCATCTTTGTTCTGGCATTTTTGAGATTCAAACAGATCCAAAAGTGTGTAAATAACTGTTTTTTTTATTGTTAATATAGCTAGAATACGGAGTATGTTGTGATTAGTGGGGCAAAACAGAAAAATGAAAATTGGGATTCTACTGATGCAGGAGTTGTAGTATCGAAAGGTTTATTTCAAGCAAAAAAATATAAGGATTATTTTAATAGTGTCTTAGATGATATAGAAGAAGATTACAAAGATGATCCTTTTTATAAAATTGAAAAAAGTGTAGCCGATATGAATAAAGCTAAAGAATCTATTCCCTTATTGACGCGATTATATGAACTGAATGAAAAACAATGGGCAGATCCGTACTCAGTATCTTCACGATTGCGTAAAATATTTAGGGTTCATGAATTTCTAATCAAGCTTTTAATTAATTATTTTAGGAAGAAAAGAAAATGTTAAAAAAAGAGAAAGAAAGTGATGAAGAGATTAGAAATCGTAATTCTCTTGGAATTAAGTTGGCAAAAAAGGATCCAAAAGATCATTTGCAGGCTAAACTTGTGGATTTTCAACCTCAGATAAATGACTTAATTGAAATAACAAAAAAAGAAATATATTCTTCACCTCTTTTTATTCAAAAAGCATCACCTGTTTCAATTCATCATAAATCAAATAAAGGAAATATCATTAGGCAACTAAAATTAAACACACGAATGAAAAATGATCATTTTATCACTCAACATTCTATTTTTACTCAACATCGACCTTTAAAATTTAATACATCACAACAAACACTTATAATTAATGATGATCCTCAAGTATCTCAAGGGTTGGTTTCTTATAAAAGTGATTCTGAATAATATTTATTATAACAATATATTTTTTTATATTGATGTAAATAATACATTAAGGCATAAAAATGCAATTCTTTAAAAATTTAATATTACAAGAATTCAAGAATTCTATTAAATATTTTTCAACGTAAAAGAATATAAATTGCAATGAAGTCCATATAAAAACCTACTAAACCGATATCTATATATAAAGCTAGCTTTCAAGTCAAAACAATATTAAATTTGACTATCTAGATTTATACTTAAATAAGGTTTCTTTAGCTATAGATTTCAGAAGGAAGTGGAGACTATTTGTTTTATAGAATGCTCCAAGCATTTCATGCATTTTCGTTTAAATAAAATACCCAACTGGTATAAATAATATAGAAAAACAGTATTTCACCATCCAGCAACATGATAACTATAATTCACATCATAAAAGAAATCATAATTTCCCCCATTTGACCTGTCTGGAAACCCATTTAATTTTGTAACATCATATTCAGTATGACGACGTTTTAATGTAGCATATGCTGTTAATGCTCTTTGCTGACGCTCCCATAATAAATTTTTACGAAGACTTTCTGATAACTCTGTAGCAAACATATTCCTACGTATTGTACGAGGAGATACCATTGATGAATATTGATCCTCAATACGAGTTGCATGATATTGGATATTTTGAGGTATTTGCCTAGAAATAGAAAACGAAATAGAAGTTTGTGATAACGCAATAGCTGGAGATGATTTAGAACATGAATTGGTTAAGTCCCCATTAGCTTTATTTTGCAGCATAAAAGATAGTAATGATCTCTGAGGATTAAGTTGTAATTGCAATAAGCGTGTGTCTATTTTCTGAAATATGGGTTTTTCGTTTGTTACAGAAGAACTGCTAGAGCCATATATAGAGTCCCAATCGTTATCGTCGTCATTATCTATAGAGTTATAAATATTATATTTAAATTGCTCATTATTAGATGTTTCAAATGATGATGCACTAGGTAGTTTCTCAAATGAAATACGCTTAGTAGATTTAGGTTTAAAAGAAGATTTAGAGGATAATTTTAATGCATTTGATTTAAAGTCATTTTTCGACAAAGTTTCTATATAGGATTCTGCTGGCAATGTTTCCTGAATAAAAAAGATTTTGTCTGTTTTTTCTAAGTGTTTTGATGCTTGTATGGAATGATGTGGCACATGTGTTTCATGAGAAATTTTATTTGTAGAAAATTCATGAATATCTCCAACACGTTCAATTAAATTCAAACATTCTTCATTAGGAAATATTGAGTCTATATTTGAAGTAAGCGATTGATGCATGTTCGATGAAAACTCGATACTTTGCGTAAATGATTGCGAATCCTTTGATGAAACATAATCTATTTTATTTTCTTTTGGAGAATCGGAAATACGAATTTCACGTGAATCGTGTTTTGATACCATCTTATTATTACCATTTTTCCATTTTTCTGTTTCAAGTTTGAAAAGTGACAAATCTGAAATAATTTTCTGAAATCGACCAGGAGAAACATATTGCATCGTATTTGGTCTTTTTAGGCGACTTTGTACGAATGCGGGTATTTTGGATGTATTATAATTAGGAATATGTTTTATCTCATGTTCATCTAATGTCGATGCTGAATCTATGCTTGTTGATAATTCCGGAATATCAAAATTTTTATTTTTTGAATATTCTATCGATTTATCCGAATCATCATTATCTGCTTCATTTATATAGGATAAAGCATTTTCTTTGCAAAAAAATGCTGTTCTGTACCAAAGACGCCATGACAGATTTTCAAGTCGATAACCATTTTCAAGATTTTCCGCGGATTTTGCAAAAACTAAAATTATAAGAAAAATATTCATAAAAGAATAAAAAAAGTATACAACTCACCTGTCCAAATACGTGACAGATTCTCAAGATCTAGTATACTCAATTTCTCGATACTATTCGAGACTAATGAAAGCACTGGGTCTGAAAAAGGCTTTGATAACATGTTTTTATAATTTCTATCTAATATATCCGTATTCCTTCTTTCAAGTAAAAATATCCTTATATATGCGCGTCTAGAAAGAAAACACTAAGCTATATGCGCCTCAATATCTCTGATTTTCAATAATATTCTCCCTCTAAAAAATAATCAAAATAATTGTTTTTTATCAAACTACATCAAAAAATTGTCAAATAACTAATAAAAAAAAATATACATACTTTTTATAGAAAAAAAAGAATCTTTTGATCAATGATTAAAGGCTAGAAAACTATTTGAAGGCAAAACTGTTAGACATATAATATCTTTGAAACTGATATTTTTAAAATCTCTCACAAGACTGTATGCTTCATATGTATTCTTTTAGGGTTAGTGTATTACTTTTTATGATAAATGGGGATGTGTTCCGATGATCATAAAAAGTAGGGTTTAGACCGATTATGTATATAGACTTTCTATAAATAGTATAAAAGGAATGTTAATGCTTGTTAAAAATCACAATAAAAAGTAATTTATGGCCTAACTTTTTATTTTTAATAGCGGAATTGAAAAAGTTAGGGTTATGTATAAGACGGCATTAATCGATTTGAGGGGGTTTTATTCAAGAGTGGAGTTTAACAATATGCATATATCTAAGAAAAAATAAGATTTGTATATATGTTTTTATAATTTTTAAGGATTATATATATAAATAAATAAAGATGTTGAAGTAGATATGTAAATAGATATGTTAATGATGAATATATGAATGTAAAAGTAAATAAGACTGTAGAAAAGTGTAAAAGTATTAAAATTTGGAGTATTCGTAGTAAAAAATGTATGAAAAAGAAATAATATGATAGATAGAGAAGTTAGATAAAAAAATGAAGTTAGAATTTGGTGGTAAAAGTGTAATACTATGAAAAAAGTAAAAATTATAAATATTGGAAAATAAATCTAAAATGTTTGAAATCAAGGATATCTTGAAAAATCATTTAAATGAGTTTTATAAATGTTTTTTTCTATTTTATTTTATACAATTGAATGCTAAATATGAAAAATAACAAATTTGTAGTTTATGAGTTTAAGCATTTTAATAATATCTGATTTTCTGCGGATTTTAGTATTGAATTAAATGTATAGATAGTTTTTAAAATTGAATATAGTATTTTATTTAATTTTTTTGAATATTTTGTATATTAAAATTTTAGATATATTATGTCTCTTCTAAAGAATAAAGTATTGTAAAAATTAATTGGATTAAGTAAAAATGATATGTTTATTATATTTTGGAAATTGAATAAGGAATTATTGAATTATGAAAAAATTATATATACATTAGTCAAAAATTTGAATTAAATATATTTATAGAATTTTTAATTTAAAATCTTTTGTAATGAAAAATGAGTCATAAATTCTTTAAATTATATATTTTTGCATGTAAGAAGTTTTATTTAAATTAACTGAGAGGAATGATTTTTATACAATATAATTTTATAAATGAAATTTATAATGTAGATATTAAAAGAATTTTTATAAAAAGATTATGAATTCAAAAAAAGATGAATTCGGGATTTTTCTCAATAGACGATATATATACGTATCATTATCAACTAATCTTTTATTTTTATATATAAGAGTTGTTATTTAAAATTTATAACTAAAATTAATAACAAATGTTATTTTTTGTTTTTTTTTTCAATAGTATAAAAAACATAATGAATATAAATAATATTTTATTAGATATTTGAGTTTAACAAATTACTCTGAATAAATCCCCAGAAAAAATAAACATGAAATTATTGTTCCAAATAAAACATTATCTAAAGTGATTATATTTAGTGCAATTTATCTAAATAAATATGGATTTATATATTTTACAACTTTTTGAATTATTTTTATAAAAGATAATATTAACAACTATCCATTAGATATGAAATATGTTAATAGTAATAAATATAATCTAATATTAGACACTATATTCTATATTTTTTATTAATAAAAATTATAGTTTTTAGTGAGATTCTTCTCGTAACATATTTAAATTGATTTTTAATAAATTATTAATGATAATTATTTTCTAGTAGTAAATATTTTTTAAAAATTAAAATATTTAATAATATATTAAGATAAAAAGATATTTAGCCTTTTATAAAAGTATAATTAAAATTTTTCAGTTAATATTTCTGAAAAATATATTAAAAAGCACTTAAATACAATAAAAGTTGTTTGACAATATTATATTAGAAAAAGTTATAAAAAAGTGCATTACAAATCAAAAATGTCAATATTTAATAAAATATAGTATTTTAAAAATTTTAAAAAAAAATTCAAAATAAAAATATTAAATTAAAAAAAACTTCATAATTAAAATATATTAGATAATAATGTTCTTAAAAATGGGATGATTCTTTAACATTGATGATTTTTTTCAACTCAAAATATTAATATTTATACAACAATTTTAAAAAACCATAAGTATTATTGAGATATGATTCATATAAATTATTAAGGAATAAGATTTCCAGAAGGTCAAGCATTTAATTTATCCATTAATATAAAAGAAGTATTTATAATATTGTAAATACATTTATAAATTTATGATTATTTTTTCTTCAAAAGACCTATGAATAATATAAAATAATAATAATAATATTTATATAATATTCGTTAATAGTAATAATATAATTTATAGATTTCTATAATTTTTAATAAATCAAACTATTGTTCAACTATATTATATATATTGGCTTTTACTGATTTATTATCATCCTTCAATAACGATTAATCATTGCCCAAAACGTAATCTATATTCTAATATACAGAAATTTAAAGCTATAGTATACCTGTTATCATTAAGAGAGTTTCAAAAACATTACTTAAAAATAAGTTAACATAAATAAACCAGAAATTTTAAACATAATAGAAATTGGAATAAGAACTAAGAGAATAATTAAAGATTGAAAAAAATTTAAGAGTCCATATATCAGAAGTAATTAAATAGATATTAACAAATATTTCGAAAGTTTATTATATCCATTTTATATAATACTCATTTTAATTATTATTTTCATAATAAAATTTTATAATAAAAAATCTTATATTTCTCAGTTATTTTTTGCATATTCCCATATTCTTATAATATATATTTAATTTATTCTTTTTATCCTAAACAATGATATCAATCTCAATAATGAAATATCAATGTATTAAAATAATTAAAGAAAAACTCTTATACTTTTCATGAAAAAACACCTGTTTAATAATAGACAGCATAGAATATACTTGTTTATATTTAATAATTTTGTATAAAACAATTTTGATGGATTACATTTTGATAATAAACAAATAGATAAAACCTTTGTATATTTTATTAACCATTTAATTTAATTTCCATAGGCTTATTGTTCCTGTATAGATAAAATTGCCAGTTTTTCAAGGATTTCAAAATATTCAGAAACGTGATCAACCTATATATAAATTAGAAATTAAAATTAAAAACTAATTAAAAGTTCACCCAAGTTAATGCTTTTGTATCTTTAGTTCCAATATTTACGGTAAGAACATAATCAGTTTCATTATTGTTCTTGAATTTAATAGCCCAGTCAAAAACATTTTCATCATTTTTATTATCTCCAGCAATGAAAACTATTTTTTTTGAATTACCAAATAACTCTTTAATATATTCCAATGTATTACAAATAACTGTACTTTTATCTATATTATTTTGCCGAATAACTACTTCATTTTCCATAAAAATAGTATGACATGATATATTAGAAAATGAATAACTGACATGTTTCGTAAACTCATCAATTTCCCTAATTTATTATTAAGAAGTAAAGTATATATCTGATTAATGATACCAAGACGTATAAGACTCAATATCCTTAGAATTGTAATGAAAAATAACGGAAAAAGGCAATTCTTCAATCTAATATAAATAAGAAAAACTGTTAAGAAATTAATTATATCTATACATATGATGTAGGAATACGTTCAGAATAATATGAAAAAATTTCCTTCACAGAAGTTTTCCAAGCAATATCATTTCCAAATATGGGGTTAATCTGATTATTGTTATGACAAATATAATATCCATCTTGTGTTATAAAACCAAGATTAGGTATTTTTTCAAAAAACTTTTCTGTATCCTTAGAATTATTAGTTTTAATTTATCATTGTCGTTTTAAAATACTTTAATATTGGAATGACTCATTATATAAATAATATTTTTAGGATTTAATGCTAATGACGATAAAACAGATATCACTTTTTCCTTATTTGTATGAAAATCGTTTAAATGATTTCCCAAATTTAAAAAAACTCCTTCATAATCCAGAAAAAAAATGCAAATTTTTGAATTATCATATTTTTGTGCAAAAAGATCCAACTGCAATTTAGGAACATGGATATCTTTTTTTTTTTCCTGAAAAAAAGAATTGCATTTGATTTCATTAATAAAATTTATGGCCCAATGTGCTGCATCATGATTCATAATAGTGTCTGAAAGTTTCTCCCAGCGTATTAAACGTTCTTTAGAGGACATAGTAAGAGCCTGATAAATAGCATTAGAAACTTGATTTAAATTCCATGGATTTATTGTAATTGCAGCATCTTTAAAACGAGCAGCACTTCCAGCAAACTGATAGATTAATGTGTTTTAAAAATAATTAAATATTTATACCTCACTTATAATTAAAGGACCATAGTTTCCACGCTGACAAAACACAAACTCATGGCTTGTAAGATTCATGCCTTCCCTTAAACTAGTAACTAAAAAAGCATCTGCAACTGTTAAAAGCGCAAGATATTGAGAAAATGTAATATCTTGTCTAAGAAATACTATAGGTTGATATTGATGTGACAAATTTCCATATGTAGAATTAATTCTTAATACTATATTCGATACTTGGGACTGCGTTTCATTTTCTTCACTAGTAGAAAGTGCAACTTGGATCAAAACCACCTATTCTTTTAGTTAAAAAATATAAAAAATAAAAAATACCTTTTCTCTCCATTCAGAATGTTTATTTAGAAAAAGCTCAAAAGAAAGTAGCTTTTGACGTACCCCCTATAGTAATTAATTTTTAATATAAAATATTATAAGAAAAAAACTTTAATTTCGTCTAATTTATCTCTCCCAACAATTAGGGATTTCCCAGAATATCTTTCTTTTAATAATGAAATCCATAATTTGACAGAGCTCAATGTTTTCTTTTTCTCTAAATTGTCAGGATCAATACCAATAGGGAGATCACATATATTAACAAATGAAGATCCAAATTGTATATTTCGAGATGACATTTTTACGTTAAGTAATTTGGTGCAAGTTTGAAGGAAATGATATGCATATTCATCAGTTTGAAACCCAATAACATTAGCGCCCAAAATGCCTTCTAAAAGTTGTTTTCTAACTTAATTTTATATGAATAATTTATTTATAAAGAAAATAAAGCTAACCAGAAAGACAGCGAAATACTTCATATGATGGAAATGATACATGTAGAAAAAATCCTATCATAGCATACTGTAACTTCTGACGTATCATTTGAGGAACTAAAAGAAGATGATAATCATTAACCCAAACTAAAAATTATCAAATTTTATATATTTAAAACAATAAAATATACTAATATCCCCGTCGTTATAATTTTCTATAATTTTATTTGCAAAAGCCTGATTCAAAGCAACATAATGATTCCAAGAATAATCCTGATACATTTTAAATTTAGGAATATCTGGTATTTGATAGTGAAATATAGGCCAAAGAATCTTTATAGATTAAAACCATTCTTAAATAAAATTTATAAATACCTGTTTACAATAATAATTATAATGATTATCAAATTCATTGTCAGAAACAAAAATAGGAATACTTCGACATTTAGTCATAAATTCCCGTTCAACTTCATATTTTCTCATAATAGAAAGAGAATCTGTAGGTATTCCTAGTAATCCAATAAACATATGTTCTTGCAAATTCCCAGATTTATCAGCTGCACGAATTGCATTTCCAAGACCAACATTACTTTGGTCATTTAATTCAATTGTCCATGGCACTTTTGAGAAAAGATTAACATCAAAAGATGAACGACGTCTTCTTGATGCTAAAATAGGTGCATGAGGATAATTTTGCATCGTATATGATGATTTCCCTTTTGTTGAGATTTGAGAGATAGCTGTCGATAAAGACGAAACACGAGATTTAAATTTTGGTTGATTTAGCTCTTTTTTTCTACCTTCAAACATTTCGTCTTCATCTTCACGATTTTTTTCATTTTCTAAAACATTTTTATCTTTTAATAGATAAAAAAATCGAGTTTCTTCATCATTAGACAAAGATATATTACAGTTTGTATCTTGAAAGTTCTCAGAACAAGAAGCAAGCTTATTTATAAGATGAGGAATAGGCTCTTTTTTATAATTTGATCTTTGAGGGTTAAGTTTAATAGAATCCGTTTCATCCAAGTCAAAGCTCAATGTATTTGGTAAGAATAAACAGACAACATATAACTTCGGCATTTCATCCTAGATATACTATATATTTCTTGAATAAAAACTTTTTTCTTAAAGTCCTGTCAAATATAAATAGAATAAAATCAAAAAATATGTCTTACTCGTTTAAAAAGTGTAGATATAAATCCCCCTTCAATAAAACTACAATATAAATATATATATTTAAATTTCCTTTATTCAAACGCTTTTTATTTAAGTTCTGGGGCTAAATCCTTACTAATAAAATAGTTCATCTAAATAAATTTTGATAAATAATAATTAACGTTTTAAAAATAATTATTAATAGATATATATAGATAAAATTTCAAAACAAAGTTAAAAATATCTATATTAATTGTTAAATTGTTATTTGTTAGTAAATGTTATAAGATTTAAAAAAAATATATAAATATTAAAAACTTAAAAATATATCAGGATGCTCAATCAACAATATGCTTAAATATAATAGGTTCTTGGTCAAAATGTGGAACACCTAATTCTAAAAGTTTACTAAAGGCTTTTGAAAAATCTTCAAAAAATTTCTTCTCGTCTTTTGCATAAAGCTCAACATACTTTTTAAACTCTTTGTCCTATTGAAATTAGTAATGTAAGGTAATATAAATACATTTGATTACTTTTATAAGGGAAATATCAGTAGGAAGCATCATTAAACTCTTTGTTTTGTCTTCAAATTGCTGAATATATTAGTAAAAACAAAAAATTAATTAATTAATTAATGATACTTTTGGACCATCCCACTTCTTGTAATCCCATTTCTCATTAAGTAGCATCTTATAATAATCATTTGTAAATACAGTAGGAGAAAAACTAACACAAAAATAAGAATAGTATAAAAAAATATAATTCCCATTACGTCCAATGACCAGTATAACCAGATCTATCAGGATGACATTGTCCTAAAGCATGTGCTCCAGATAAAGCAACAATTTCCTGATCATTAAATCCCATACGATAAAAAATATTCCTTAAATGACTTTGTTCTTTTGATGCATCTAAATATATTAAAAAAATTAAAAAATATATTAAGATAATTTTCTTAACATACCCGGCAACAAACCATCAGGGGGGCAACGAGTAGAATCACCATCTACACGACCAGGACGCCATGGAATAGATGGACCAGACTAATACATGAACATTATTTTAATAAATATAGAAATAACAGTACCATTTCTTGGATTGCACAAACTGCTGCTAAAGTCCAAAGATCACTATAACTTATCCAAGGATTCTTTTTTTTTATCTTTTCTAATGCTTCTCGTGCAACATGAAGTCCTGCATTTGCTAAATGCTTCGATTCAGGTTCAAATCTCATCGTTGCTCCATTAGATCCACCTGAATTATCTTCTTTATTATATGTTCCTGATGAATGCCATCCAAGACGAACTAAAATTGGACCAAGTGAACCATCATCGTAATCTTCCAGTTCTTCAGAATTCATTAATTCTGCAATTTCACGATATCTAAGATAAATCTTCAAAATAAATCATCATAGCCCATCAATACTAACACTTTATGATAATTTTTTTGATCCTTATTTTTAGTAATTAAAAAATCAAAAGAATCCATTCCATAATTATAATAATAATATCCGCACCCTAACAAAGATGCACCTAAGACAATTCCGCCATATAGAAATCCTTTTGATGGTGATTTTGTGGTCGTAAAATATAATCTACGTGTACTATTCCTAACTGTAGAAATAGATAATCGTGCAGATGCTTGAAAAACACTAAAACCCTGCTTTAAAAACATAATTGAGATAAATCTAAACACAAAAAATACTATATTTCTTTAAGAAATTAGTTAGAAATAATTTTTAATATTCTAATATCCAACTTTACCTATTAAGAAATTTTAAAAAAGTAGGTTAAACGGTGGAGTTAAATTAATATATATATATATATATATATAAATTAAAGTTTTTAAATAATGATTAACTATTTTTTTCTACTCATACGATGGAATAATTCATCTATGAAAATGCTAAAATCAATATACAAGCATATGTTCATGTTAAAAAATTAACATATTAATTCATATATCAAAGCTAAGATAATTAAGATTTTTTTGTAAATAATCAATCGGCATCCGCCATTTCTTAAATGAATTATTATGGTGAACCATGATATCTAAGCTTTTTTGTCACCATTCTGGTCCGTCTTTTATTTACTAATGTATTTTGATTATCTCCATTAGAGATCTTGTGAACTCTCAAATGCTGATTTAAATTATCTGAACGACTAAATCTTTTATGACATACTATACATAAAAATGGCTTCTCCCCTGTATGTAAAGATCGTACATGTCGTTTAAGATGTTCGCTTCGACGGAACCTCTTTTCACAACCAATGATCTCACATATAAAAGACTTTTCTATTGAGCTCCCTCTTTTTTGCAAATGTGTTTGACTATACTTTCGACAAGATACTTTTGTTTTTGTAAGAAAAACGCCATGAGGAGGAAAATTTGCATTATCTCTTTCTTTACTATCAGATTCAACTTTGTCCTGAAAAAATGTAGACATTCCTTGATTATATCGAGAATCATGTAATGAAATACCAAGACCTACGAGAGAATTGGCATTAGAGATAGCCGATGTAGACATTTCTAAAAGTTTTTGTCGCTGTTCTTTAGGTACACGACCTCTTTTTGGCTTTAAACCATATTCAACATCTTCTATATATCGAGATTCATTGCGTCGTTTAGATGCACTTTTTTTTGTTTTTGAGGCCTTTTTTGTTTTTAAGATAGTTGCTGGTTTCTCTACGTGTTCCAGGTCAATCTTCTCAGTTTTTTTATCATTTTCATTTTTTGACGCATCAACTAATACCTTTTCATCTAGTTCTTCCTGTTTATCATATCCTGTTTTATTGTCCTTATTTTCACTATGTTTTAAATTTTTCTCTACTATAGATTCATTCACAGAAAAATTAGCTTGTGAAATTGGACTAACACATAATCTTGATGGATCCACATGTGTTTCATTGCTACTATTTTGCTTCATATCTACCAACCATTGTTGATTTAATGCTGCTGGCTGTGTATGTGGCAACATGTAATCGAAGTAATTAAGATCATTAGTAGCAGATGGAGGTGTAATTGGTGCAAATTCACTTACTGTAGTTGATCCGGGGGATACAGCTGACCGAAATACCCGCGGGCTTTTTATGATTGTTTCATAACCAGAAAGAATATAATCTGAAATATCAAAAGATGGTTGATAAATATCACAAATTGACTCAACAGCTAAATGTTTGTCTTCAAATATTGCATTCTGTTGTAGCATCTTTACTGTAATTGCACGTTCGTTTCGTATTTTATCCTTATCCTGCTCATCCAAATCCTGTTTTTCATTACCCATAAATGAATGAATTGTATTGAACAAATGAAACATTGAATTTTCCTCATTCAACGTAGCGGAATAAACTGATCTCGGCTGAAATAATGTAAGAGCATCTCTCTGCATTACAGGAATTGAAGTAGAATTCATGTAAAACCTTCCCGAGCCAGATAAAGTATTTAAACTTGGCGATAAGTATTGATTCATATGCATCTGCGATCCCTTGGAACTATAAAAAGTTGAACCTAAAGGGTCTGAATGATGCATCAATTTAAATTCCAATGACGAAAGATTCATAGAAATTCATGTGACGCTCTGCCCATCCAAAGAATAAAAATTGATCGGTTTCACCAGTTCTAATTAAATACTTTACTGAAAACCCTGCGGTATAAAAAACTTCCAGTAGGATGTGCAAGAAACGCCTTCAAAGAAAGCTGAATTCCGCTGATACGTCGATACTTGTAAGGAATACGTGCGACTTGGTGTCGGCAAACACCAAAGAGCATTAAATAGCCCAATTGAACAGTTATTAAACCCTCAAAACCTATCTAATTACACTTCACTTATTTTTTTTTCAAGGGGTTCAGACCATGACATTTCAAGTGTCTCTTCCTTAAAATTCCGTATTCTCTAAACCTGAAATTCAATTTCTAAAAAACTTCAACTTAGATTACCCTTTAAACCCAATCTTATATCTTATATTTAACACTCTTTCTAGCAAGGATCTTCCATAAACATTATGCAAATGGACATATAAAACTCATCAAAATGGCGTTAATTCCCCATTATTTTTGTTTCTTTTAGATACATGATAAAACCTTGTCATTCATACATTTAATATAGTCCTTTTTACTTAAGCGTTAACCCTTCAAAAAATACACACTAAAACTAATAGGGTTTAAGCTATTTATTCCTAATCATAAAATCCTAATAAAGCTGTTTCTTTTCTTAATTACATACATTTTAAATGATTAAACTTATCTGCAATTTGCTTAAAACGAGTTAAGAGTAGATTTAAATCTTGAACTTTTGATATTTTCTGTTTCACAAGTTTTAAAAAGAAAAGTGTTACTAAAATTGTAAATTAACTAAATATTTTTTTTAAAAAAGCGCCTTAAACGCTAAGATATTTTAATATTTGAAAATATAAAGCTAAAGAATATTTTCAAGAAATATATCAATAACTTTTTAAAGATTTTTTTATATATATAAAAGAAAAAATATAATAGTTTAATGATAAGATGGTTGTCTAGAAAAATATTAAGTTTTTTTAAAATTAGATAAGCGTTAGGAATTAAAAAAATATAAAATTAGTATTAATAAATTATTGTAAGGTATTTGGCAAGAGTTAGGGTTGAATAGTAAAACAATTAGTAAATAATTAAATATATTTACATGTCTTCGATACTCCAGGCATATGCTTCTGCAGCTTGTGCTTTTTTTTCATTTCGATAAGCAAACCAGGCCTTTTCAAAACCATTACTTCTATCTACACCATCCCAACGATAACCTGGTGCAATACCAAATCTATTAGCACTATAAAATCCTTGATATGTAGGGCGTGTAGATTGTTGTTTTTTAGATAGAAAAGCATTAGCAGGATCGTCCCAACGTTCTTTTTCTTTAAGCATACGATTTAATTCTGGATCGTCAATTGATCTATAAATAAATTAATTTTTTTTATAAAAAAAAGATTTAATACCTTGAAAAAGGCTCATATTTTATAGCTTCCATAGCTTTTTTTGCTTCTTCTTTTTCTCGTTTCTGTACTTCTCCTTGGGACATTTCATGTTCTAATTTTTTTCGAGCTTCTTCTTTAGCTTTTTGACGTTGTCGTTCCATCATAGCAAGTTCTATATCAACTCTACGACCACTTGCATCTCTGTAAATCGTTTCTGCATTTTTCCCTGTTAATTTTGGATCTACAGTCTTAAAAATTGCACGTTCTTGATCTTTTTGTCGTTTAATATCATCTGCTACTTGTTTTGCTGTTTGTAATCCTGCGCGCGCGCCGCTTGACATAGTGCATTCATTTTTCGACTCCATCTTTATATCAATATCATTTTTCTCTTCAGACACAATTACGACCGGCGTATCTTGTGCTTCTGAATTTGATTCTGGCCCTTCCACTTTTTCCCATGAAGAATAACTTGCCTTTTTAAAGCCTTTTTTTATTCCTTCTTGCTCTTTTTCTAATTCTTTTTTCAGATCATTTTCTATAAATAATTCAATATACTCTAAATTAATATCAATCTTCATTTACTTAAAATCGACGCCTTTTTTTTAATATCTGATTTGATCTCTTTCCATCCAGTCAGATCTCCATCAATAATATGAACAATATCATCTTTTATCTCCTTCTTCTTATCTTTCTTTATTACTTCTTTATTTAAATACTTTTTTGCCAGATATGATGCCAAAGACATTTTTTTACGTCTTTGCTAAATATCAGGCATTCAATAAAGTAGAACGTATAAATGGCCACTTATTAATAGGCTCTAACAAAAAAAATCATTTAATATTATAAGAAAAAGGCACATAACTAAGCCATGTTTGTAAATAAATTAAATATATCAAATATATTTACTTACATATTGTATTCATTTTTTCTCATAAAAAGTAAATATTTTCTATATTTTTATTCGCAAATGTAGTAGGACAACTCAAAATATTTATATGAAGAGTATGTTCTATTAGGGTTTTACTATAAATTTGCAATATTAAGTATGTTTGTTTGAGATGGAAAGAATGATTTGTCTTTTCGTTATAAAAAAACAGAGACATAATTGTTTTTAAAATAACATAAATTAATGTTTGTAATACAAAAGATGTGTTTTATATATTTTTTTAAATTGTAAAAATGAAAGTTGTGGCTTTAATAAGTGGGGGGAAAGATAGTTGTTTCAATATAATGTATTGTATGGCAAATGGGCATGAAATTATAGCACTGGCAAATCTATATACATCAGAAGAGTGTAATTTGTTATATTAAAGAGAAAAAAGTTCTTATAAGTATAAAGGTGAAATTGATAGCTATATGTATCAAACAGTTGGTCAGGATGTAATTCAACTTTTTGAAAAAGCTATGAATGTTCCACTTTATCGTGAGATTATTATTGGAACATCAGTGGACCGAAGTCTTACATATCATGAAACTCTGAATGATGAAACAGAAGATCTTTATAGATTACTTAAAAGAATTCAAGTATAAAAATTAAATGTAAAAATAAATATGATTTCTAATAAGAAAAAGAAATTGCATCCTGATGTAAAAGCAGTTTCAGTTGGTGCTATTTTATCAAATTATCAACGAACAAGAGTTGAAAATGTTTGTAAAAGACTGAATCTAATATCTTTGGCGTATCTTTGGAAAAGGGATCAAAAGGATCTACTTGAAGAAATGATATCACAAAATTTACATGCAATTATAATAAAAGTGTCTGCACTGGGCAATAAATTTCCCTGAAAATTTATAGTAAATTAATATATATTAGGTTTAGATAAATCTCATTTGGGGAAATCTCTTAAAGAAGTTAAAGAACATTTGTTGAAGATAGTATGTTTTATTTTAATGCGTTAAAAATCGTAATTAAGTATAGAATAAATTATATGATTTACATTTGTGCGGAGAAGGAGGAGAATATGAAACTTTAGTTTTAGATTGCCCTATTTTTCAAAGGAAAATAAAGATGTAATTGTTTAAGTTAATAATAACGTTCTAATAATAATGCAGTGTTAAATCAGAAATAGTTGATCATTCTCCAGGAGTTTCATATCTTAAATTTAATGCAGAAATAGAAGAAAAATCTTTTGTTGATACGAATTGGAAAGAAAGATTTGTTTTACCTAATCAATTAGACAAGAAATACGAACAATTTAAGAAATATCTTGATGAATTTCAAGATGAAGAGTATGATAAGACTTCTATAATACCCACTATTTCTATAAAAAACAAAAATGATGATATATTTATGAATTCTTCAAAATTAAAAAATTTAATAGCTATCGGAGGTATAAATCTAGATTTAGAATCTACAGACCTACTAGCTTATACTTTGGAAGAGGAATTTCATTTCTGTATGAACAAATTAAAAGGTATATTTTAATTTTTTAATGATAATATTAATTCTAATAGATTATTTAAAATCTTATATTCTTAATCTTTATGATATTGTTTTTTTCGAGCTTGTTCTTAAAAAAATGGACTATATTCCTCTTATTGATGTTTTATATAGTCAGTACTTTAATTTTCCAAAACCACCACCGAGAATATGTATTAATTCTAGCAATTTGAAATTTGGTCGTTTACAGATATCCGTTTTGGCTGATCCTTCACATAATAAAAGATCAGTTATTCATATTCAAAGTCAAAATTATTGGATTCCAGCAAATACTGACTTTTATTCACACGCGTTTATAGTATTTATATATACACATATATATAATATTTTAATCAATAAGTAGCACGAAGATATAGTTTTTATAGCAGGACAAATTGGCGTTATACCGTCTACTTTATCTCTACCACACCCTAAATTATTTTCATCAGAGGTTGCTATTAGTTTACAAAATTTAGAAAGAATATTTGAAAGTCTCGAAATTTTTAACATATCATGTATTGCATTTATTTCAAACAGGTCTCATGTTTCGCTTACTAATAAAGCATGGAAATATTCTTCTTTATATAATGACAATTGTTTAATAATTCTCGTTAATGGTTTATCTTATGGAGCATTAATAGAATGGTATTTAACAGGCAAGAAAAAACAAAGTATGTTTTATAATAATATTTATATTCATTGTTAATATTTATTTCTGTAATATTTTAGAAATTGCTAAAAATAATTTTTGGTCAATTCTGCATTCAACTTTGAAAAATTTTGAAAATTGCAAATCATTAAAAACTATGTTTGAAGTTTTGTTAAAACCTTTTAAGGAAAAGGATTCTAATAACAAAATATTATCATCTACTATTTATTATAATAGAAAAATCTTTGAAGAAATAGAGTCATTAGAAACAGTATCTAAAGTAATTTTCAATATTATTCAGATTATTCTTGGATATACAATAGAAGCTCATTGTATTTCAACAAATGGAATATGGGTAAATGGAGAGACTGCTATACCTGTTCTAATAGCAATGAAAATAATATATTCGTCATCGTAAATTTAAATTATTAGAGCATGTTTTAACAAAAAATCTTTTATACAAGATAAAAAAAATAAAATCAAGTATTAAACATACATAGGAATTTCTTAATCATCAATTTTTATTAAAATACTTGAATAAAATAAATCAAAACAAATTATAAAAATTTATAAAAAAGATTTATGATCTTAAAAATATAACTTATTAAAATATATTAATATCTATCTGTATGACTAATGTTTCTCATCTTTTTATAAATAAAAAAAAGAAGATTCAAACATATATTTTGCATTCTAAAACACACAAATATCAATTTTGATCTACACTATATATGACACTCAAAGATTACATTAATGTAATTTTTGAGCAACACGAAAATATAGAGTTACAGAGTTTTAGTTTTTATGTGAATTTATATAAAACGTCATAGCAACTGTTTCCTTAGTAACTTTTGAAATTTAGACCTAAAATAGATTAGGTTACTGATATTAAGTTATAAAATATTTCAAAAGATTACAATAATTAACATGTCCTTTAAAATTACTATTGAAATCTTATAGAATTTGAAATTTATATAATATATATATAATAATAGATTATAAAAAAACTATTATTTTATTTTTTGGTCTTTAATTATTCAGTTTTATCAAAAGTACAATATTTTTTTAACTGAGGATTGAAACAAAGGACAAAATATAAAACTTTTAATAAATATTGTAGGAATTTATTCGGTTATATATATATATATTGGAATATAATTTTATAGTTTTAAATTTTATTATCTATAAAATCTGATAATTCTATTATATAGTCAAAATATAACTATCTTTTTCCAAAAGTACATACTTATTTAGAGAATCTGGAGAGGATTTTTTGTTAAATCAGTGATTTTATAAAAATTATTGAAATATTATAAATTTGACTTTATTTGGATATTAAATATAATGGATCAATTAAATAAAATGGAACAGTTAAATAATGAAATTAAAGAATTTCTATCGCCATATCTACCATCTTTGAAGTCAAACGATATGAATATTAAGCGGCCTTTTTTAACATTAACATATGCTCAATCACTTAATAGTAAAATTGGTACAAAAACAACTTCTCCACTTATTCTTTCATGCTTAGAATCAAAAACATTAACACATAAGCTTAGAGTAGAACATGATGCAATACTAGTTGGTGCAGGGACAGTAGAAAGCGATAATCCAAAATTAAATGGTTTGTAGAAACATTATTTACTATTAACAAGAACATTTTATTAATTCAAAAATAGCACGAATTTCTGGATCCTCAGAACTTCATTATCCTCTTGAATTACAGCCTATTCCTATTATATTAGATCCTAATTTCCAACTTAAATTAACACATGAATCAAAAATTATTCACGTAGCTAAAAATAAACAGGGGCGTCCTCCAATTATTCTTGTATCAGAAGACGTTAATTGTAATTCATGTTGTAAATCATTGAATGCTTTAGAATCAGTTGGGGGGGAAATTGTTAGAGTAAAAACAAATGTAAATGGTATGTTTGAATGGCATGATATTCTTTGTACACTTTTAAAATTGAAAATTGAAAGTGTTCTGGTAGAAGGAGGTGCAAGTGTAATATCTTCACTATTAAAAGAATGGAAATTAATTGATTCGATTATAATTACAATATCACCAATATTTGTAGGAGATAATGATGGCATCGGTATTGAAGGAATTAATAGTCTTTGTAAAGTCAGAAATATATCATGGAAAACTTTTGGCAAAGATATCGTTTTTGCCGGAAACTTATCCCTTTAAACTTAATAATGACCACATGTATATAGGCATTAAAACATTGTCATTTTGTGATGAAAATGCTTCAAATAATGCTAGTTTCGTCAATTTATCTAAAATAATCTATAATTATTTACCAGTCATGATAGTTGCTAAAAAAAAGTCAGTCCACTATAATATATAAAACTTTATGTCATTATATCAATAAACTTACTATAATAACATCATTAACCCAACACATGTATTTTACTAATGCACCGCCAAAAAATACAGCTAAAACAAATGCAAAGGTGCCTTCGACTGTTTTTTTAGAATTAGGCCAATGTAATCTACCAAATTTTTTTCCAATGATACTTGCCTTTAACATATTAAACTAAGTTAATTGAAATAAATAGCTTACTGCTGAATCACCAAAACCTAAGCACAATATACCGCTAATAGCTTTCAATTTGAGCTGATATTGATTTTGTTCGTCTAATGTAATGCCAATAAAATCTAACCACAATGGACAGGCACATCCTATAAGAAGATAAAGATAACTAACTATAATGTTGCCTTTATTATCACGCTCATCAGTAAACTGGGACAAAAAAGAATGCAAAAAAATTCCATATGGTGGCAATGCAAGTATTCTAATGACTTCGCAGATACAAAACAATGCAAATGTAATAGAAAAAGATATATTTGAAAATAAAGGCTATAAATATTAACAATGTAGAGTAAGCGAATTTACTTACATCCAAATATAATGTTGGAAGGAACATTATTATAACTAATCCATGAAAAAGCTTTCTTCTTTTATTTAATTTACTACTAGATATTCTTTCATTTTCATTATTTATTTGCCTTTTTGATTTCTGTGCATAAAGAAATATTTTTATAAATAACATAGTAAAAATCAAACAATTCATCCACCAAAGCAATATTTTTTGTCTTATTTCTGAACCCTTTTCATGCATAACATAATTTATAAACCAAAAAATAAGATTTTTATGTTCTGTTAAATATGATTTAACTCCAAATTGTAGCATTGTAAAAATAGATATTCCAATAGAAAAATAGGAGAAAATAGCATATCTAATGCGTTTAGTCTCCATGGTTCTTGTACGACGATAACAAGATATCCGAGTAATTCTAACATATTCTTTTAAAAAAGGAATTGCTGGCCAAATAGCTACAATAGGACCAAAAAATGCTAAAATCAAAAATAATTCACAAGGCAAATTAGTTTGAAAATAAATAAAGTTCCGTAATAAACCTGTAAGAGCATGAGAAACAAGTGAAATTTCTTCTCTATTCAACGATGGAAATGCAATATTATTCATTAATGATAATATTGAAAAATGTAATAATGCCAAAAAATATAAATCTGATGGTAATATAGAAAAAATGTAATAAATAATATCAAAAGAAAAAAATAGTCCACTGAAGTTAGAATGAAGAAATACTAGAATATAAGTAGATATTGAAATGATAAAATTTTGTTTATATATTTGCATAGAGTTTGTTTTAGTCAAAAACACAAGAGATGGAAATGCCACAATGTAAATAAATTTCTGACTATAACTGATATTAAATATTTAATTGTTTAGGTCTGATTGTTACCATAAATCATGAATTAATGGTGCAAATTTTGAAAAAAAAGAAATTATAATCATATAAAATATAGAAATAAACACTAACATAATATTAATATGATTCTAAGAATATGACTAGCAGACGAAATATTGGAAGTGCTGATATTTTGAGTTTAAAAAATATAACATAAAAAATAAGAAAACTTTCAGATATTAATGGAAAAAAAAATAATATTGTTCTTTTTTTTTGAATTTTTGAAATATATTTGGTATAAAATTTATATTTTTCTAATGGTTTCCAAATATTTTTTCCGTATTTTTCAATTAAATGAACCAATACTTGCATTTTCCAGAATTTTATTTCTAAAAAAAAGCTATATTTCTTTAATCATATATTTAATATTAATATTTAAACAAAAAACTTATATTTAGAAAGTTATTAAAAATAATTTATCATGTATCTTAAATATTTCGTAATATAAAGCTTAACAAATGACCGAATTAAAATATTATTAAAATATTATTAAAATATAATTAACTGATTTTTTAATTAAATTACAGCTATTTGTATTTAAATTATTTTAAATATTTTCAAAATTATGTGTATAATATTATAGAACATTATAATTTAACAATAAAAGATTTTCTACAAAATTTAAAGAATTTTGCAAATTTTAGGTATTAACAAAATTAAAGTATTATTGAAATGACCTAGTAATAAATAAATAATAATTATGAAGAAAAATAAATACCTAGAACATCTTACATTAATTATTATAAGAAATATTTATTCAAACCAATATTTTTATTTAAATGCTTCTAAAGGAATGACACCTTTTTCCTATAATGAATTAAATAATAAATATAAACAAAAAGATAAAATACTTTCAAAATATTAAAATTATTCATAGCTTGTTCCATATTCCATTGATTTTGCTCCAAACACATTAAAGAAAATTTTTGATTAAGCCCTGTTTTTTTAGAAATTTCGTTCAACATAAATTGCTTTTGTTCTTCATAAGTATTATTTGAAGACAATGTTTCATCTTGTTTATTTATACAAAAGCTATTATTTCCCCCATAAGGTCGAATAATAAGCATATCACTTCTAATAGTAATATTTCCATTATCAGGCCCAATAATAAAAGTTCTATCATACGACTTTTTAGTTTCTCGCTTACCTTTTAATTCAAAAAAAATTCCATGTAATATAATTTGTATGCCAACTAAACCATTCGGGTCTAAATCTGTTGATAAAACACCCTTAAGTGGCCATGCATCTACACAATATAGATTTGAATCGGAAAAATTATGACGAGTTTTTGGCAATGCAGAAAAAGCTCGAGAAATATCTGCATGACCAATATTAAGCTTTGCAACTCTTGCATCTAAACTGCTTTAAATTTTTTCAGAAAAAGAAAAAACCAACCTAATGATGACAGTCGCATGAGATTCCTGCTCATAGAAATATATTCCGAAAATTGGGAAGAACTATATGAAAATACACCCGGCTCTCTTTTTCTTGGTGCAACTGTATTTACTGATATAGAAAATAAGGCGTTTTGATTATATAATGAAACAGTATTTAACCTATCATTATCATATAAGGAAAAATATCTATATGATGAATTAAATGTAATCTAAAGAACAGATAAAAATACTTTTCTAAGAACGCCATGACTGTATTTTTAGTAAGATCAGATTCAAAAAAACTACCACAAATCTTTTTAGGTAATATAGTTTTGCCGAAATTATTAATTGAAGAATCCTTAATATCAAATTGAATAGTTTGTGCCACAGGAACCATATCAAGCAATTTCAAATTTGGAAATCGTTTGATAATCTCAGAACGATAAATAATTTCATTTCCTTTTTTAATTTCATTTTCCCGAATTTCATTTCCAATTAATATGAGCTCCTGTAAATTTGGAAGTTTATCTTTATGAGACCAAATATCAAAATCTTTATAATATTTAAGCAGGTTATTTGCCAAATTAAGATTTTTAAGATTAGGATATGTTTGAGCTAATGAAGATACATTAATAAGAGAAGTTATTTTATTAGACGACAAATTGACAGTTATAACCTAAATTTAGACTAAATAATTATCTCTGTATATATGAATACATTACATTTGGAAATTCACGTTTAGCTATCTTCATTAGAGCAGGAAATGTTTTGATAGAAGCCAACACAGAAGAAAACATTCCAGCATTAACAAGTATAGGGTTTGAATGCATAGATGATAAATCCAGTGTTTTTGTTTCATGAATATATTTGCTAGAAAGAAATTCCAATAAAATATTAATCGTAGATTGTTTAGTTATTGGAATTGAGGTTGAAGATGTAGACGAAGCCATAGACATCACTTGATCTTTTTGAGTATCAGGTATTGATATAAAAAGCTTGAAATAAACATTTAACAAATCATATTTTATAAAAAACTTACATTTTTGCCTGCAAATCTAGATCCAGAAAGCTTAAGAAGAGCACGAGCATTCGCGCACGATGATACTGATGCATAGAGTATAGATCCATCATAATGTAACTTTATTCCATAAAATATTAAAAAAAAATAAAACCCATTCATCATTATTCATACATTTGTAATTAATACATGGCTTTTACGAAAAATAAACCCAATCAAATCATCTTCTGTACCCCCATCATAACCTGTAATCTACCATTATTTTATAAGATTTTTAACTATAAATATCCCGTTTATTTTACCATAATTTCTGTTGGTGTATCATAAAAATGCCCTTTAAATGCTTTTTTTGTACGACCCGATGCCTTATAAGGATTACTATTCAATCATTAGTCTTCTTAATGCATTTTTGAATAAAAAATAACAAAAACATACAATCTTTCTTTCAAATTACTTGTATCATCTGTCATAACTACATCTCCATCTCTTTCAACTGGATCCACTACATTTTTCCCTGTTAAACGCCCCTGGCCTCGCCAAGACATACGACCACCTCTTTTCCGACGTTCGCTCATATCCTTTAGGTATATATTATTTTCAAAAATGAACGACTTTGTAGTGCCTTTTTTTTTGAACGTTAACCAGATATGATCGACTCGTCTAAAATTAAACTTGTATAATTAAAGTTATAGGAGAAAAAACTTGTTCAGGAAATTTCCTGTTATTTTAGAGAAAATATGTAAAAACAATGTATTTTCAAGGAAAATATTAAACAATTGAATTGAAGTAGTTTGAAGATTTTTCTTAAATAATATAATGACGCTGATAAATTGAACTGTAATTCACATATTTAGTGAAATATGTGTTATGTATGCGTTATATATCTGTTGTATATGCGTTGTATATGCGTGATGTATATATTGTTATTTATAACTGTATTGTTATTGAGGTTTTTTTGTTAGAGTAAATCTTTATATGTATGAATCGACTTTTTTTTTCTTTTTTTTAAAGAATGTTTTTAGCTTTTTTATCTTAAAAATTACAAGTTTAGTGAAGATTTTTGGTATAATGTATGAACGATGATTAAAATGATTTTTTCGTTTGAAAAAATCTGGGATTTTAAATTCTTTTGCAATCATTGTTGAAAGATCATTTTTTAGATATTAAAAGTTTTTTACATTTTGGAGATGTATAATTTTATTTGTTCTTTTTTTTATAAGATATATTACGAATTCTATGTATTTTGTTTTTATATGTATTTTTTGTTTTGTATTTTTTTATCGTAGAAATTAGTATTTATGTATGATTGATATTTTTCGTAGTTATTTTAGCTTTATTATATATTGGGCAAAACATTGTTTAATATCTTTTGATGTATATTTTTCAAATCAAATATTTACATTATAATCTACCTAATTTATATTAATATACTTTTGCAGTTATTCAATACATGATATAATTGAGTATATTATTTTTAGAAGAGTAAAAATAGGAAGAATTAAATATGTTTTATAATGGAGATTTCAAAATTTTAAAAAAACTGTCCAAAGTAATTTACGGAGCGTGACTAGATGATATATATGAATTTAATTAAGAGAGCAGGTTTTGCTTTAAAAAATATAATTATCTCCAAAAATAATGTAAAAAGCCGTATATAGAGGTTTTCTAGACATTGAAATAATATATTATTTGTAAAATAATAATTGAAATATCTTTATACATTTAATAATTACATAACCATTTAAATAGACATTATTACCATAAATCTCATTACTATATGATTCTTAGAAAAACATTCAGTTAATGACTATAAACAGATTTTTAGTTAATAAAAGCTTTAAGTACTTATATTCAATTTATAATTTAAACCCCATCTAAACATCCGACATATTTATATGAAGATATAAAGAAATATCATGCATATTTTTATATAAATTTGAATTTCAAAATCATTTTAATTCCGTTTTTCATTTTCAGCATATATTTGTTTTAACATTTGACGATGCTCAATAATATCAGTATCTATAGAAACAATAGCGCTCAAAATACTATCTATATATATATCCCGTTTTTTACGTTTATAATGTAACTTTGGTCTTATAGTTTTATTAACGTGATAAAGTCTAGAAGCTAAAAGGTCAAAAGCACCACCTAAAGTAGCTTTAATTTTAAGAATACAACGAGACGATTTAGCAATATCGTTTTCTGGATCTGCAGGGTCCTGAATAGAAAGAAGAAATGGCTGATTGGATTTAGACCATCCTCTTGATCTCTAAAAGTATATTTAGATAATATTTAAGTTTAGATGAAAGAAAGAAACCTTTGAAAAATATTTTCCTCCATTATCAATGCAAATACCAACTTCGTTATAATTAAATAATTTCCCATAAAGCTCGAAGAATTCCATAAGAAGAACACCAAGGTTGTCCTGCTCTTTAATTTCTTTTGAGAGAAGTTTTGGATGTCTTTGTAAAAAACTTATAACAAGACAAATAATGGAATAGCTTCCTAACCCCCCTAAAAACACTTCATTAAGACCTCTCATATTGAGAAAATGCTTTATAAACATAACAAGGGGTTTTAATGCATAATGATCCTTCATATACTGTTTTATAATATTTGCTGATATTAGGCCTCCTGGTTTATTAAATGAAATATCAACATGAATCTGCGTTAAGGTATCAATATATTTAATAATAGGCACGGTGGCACCAGTAATAACTTGAATGTCTTTTGCAACATTCGAACTACGTAAATAACGGGAAAGCTTATGCAAATCTTTTTTAGTTTCATAAATCCTAGAACCTGAAGAGAGAATAACAAGGTCAATGTCACTAAATACTTATTAAATTAAATTTTAAAGCACTCATTTTACCTTGTAGGTAGATATAACATAGTATCAAATGAACCAAATACACAAAGCTGCACATTTTTCCAATGTTTTTGAATAAGGGAATTTATTCTCTGAATAACGAGTTCTCGAGCGAAATGTTCTTCTTTGGTAGGTGAAATAAAGTCCGCAAAATCCAATATTTCACGATGAAGACTAAATATTTTAATCTGAAATTTTTGATAGAAAAAAAAACGCACATACGAGAAACACTCGTCTCTTCTGAGTAGTCTTTTGCCCATGGTGCTTCTATTTCACGTCGAAATCGTTTATTAGCAAGTGTATCATTTTCCAAGCGTTTTCTTTTAAAAAAATTTTCCATTTTTGCCGCTGTTTTTTGAAAAAAACCTTTTCTAGGATTAGAAGGTTCGAATGATTCTTTTTCAATCTTTTTCCATAGTTCATTATCACTAAAATCAAATTTAATATAATCTTCCTCCTGCGCAAAACTATCCATTATAATAGTCGATTTTTGTCAGAAAAAAAATGGGAAAACAAAAAAATTCAAAAAAGAAATATGACCCAATTGTTTTCCTTTACTTTTTTATAAACTTTTTTTAAACAAATTATTAAGACTAAACTGTTATATTGGTTGTTAGCCAACCAACCGGCTGGTTGTCAAGGAAACGATAAAAAAATGTCCTGACCTATACTGAATACCTTATTGTTTTTTCATTAATCACATTTAAACCATTTATAACTAACACTGATCATATTTGATTTTTCTTTATATATTTTTTTTAAAGATTTGCCATTTATACTATGTAAACTGTAAATTTGTAAAAATACCATAATAAAAAAGTATAATCATTGCCAACTCAAATAATGAATATTTTAAGGTTCATCCATTAGGTATATTAGAATATGTATGTTAAAGAAATAGTGTTAAGGATTTTGGAAAAATTTCGTTTAATAAAATTTTATCGTAAAAAGAAGTATTTAGACCAAATTTTAAGTATTTTATGATACTTTTCTTGTACTTTACTATCTATATGTTCATATATATTCTTTTGCAATGATCATTGAAGTATTCAGATTTACTAGGAATTCTCGGTACGGCGTTTGCCACCTTCTTCAAAAGGAGCTCGAGTCCTTGCATGATTTAAAAGCTCCATAATTGGTTTTTCATGAAGAACTTTCTAATATAATGTTATTAGTTGTATTTTATTTACTTTATTATCCTACCATAAAACATGTCTTGTATGCCTGAAATAATTCGTTACATTCTTCAAGAGTGCGAGAACCTTGAAGAAATCGATTAGTATACCAATTATTAAAACATGTGTCATATCGCTGCTTAAGTTCATTACACTCAGGATTAATACTTGATGCCATAAGGTCTGAGAAATAAAATAGGATATTTTATAAAAAAAGAAGGTTGAAGAGATATCTGGATATAAAATACAGACAGTTTCTATGACTAGAAAGTTATAGCAACCAAAGGTAGCCAGTTATCATATATTAGTTGTTTTTATATATGTTTTAAGTATTAAAACTGAATATTTTTTATAAATATGAGCTTCAATTTATATATTTATGTTTAATTATAATTTTCGTTTTATTTTATATTTTAATTTTGTAAATGTTTATTTATTTATTTATAAAAATGAATCTCGAAATTTTACAATCTGAGAGGGTAGCAAAGTGGTTACTGCGTTGGTTTTAGGCACCAATGTCTTCGGACGCGCGGGTTCGAATCCCGTCTCTCTCAACCTTTTGAAAATATTCAGTATTCTCTGTGAATTTTATAATTAAATACTTATAAGTAGAATATAAAATATGAATTTTATGTCTATAAAGTTATGGCTCTTGTTTTGTTTTTAAATATTGTTTTTAATATGCGTGAAAACTAATAAACTAAAAAATATTCTTTTCAGATAAAAATAATTTCAATTAACTTTTGAAGAGAAAACTAAATTTGAATCTTAAACATATATATAAAATATGCTTTTGTTTTTATATAACTTAAATAGATCAATTAATAAACAATTATATGACATTTATAATCACCTATTAAGTGCCTATATAGTAGATCATATAACATATTGAAGATTAAATAGAAGAAAAGTGTAATTTATATATAAATCATAATTTTCTAAAAATTATTCCTTATTTTTTGTATAAACTTTATATAAGTGACTAAATAATGCTTACTCTGAAGAAATGATTGCTATTGTATAGAAGATATAGTAATGATTGAAAAAAAAATCATAATTTAGAAGGCAATCCTAAAAGAACACTAAAAAAGTAAATATAGAGAATATATATATATATAAGAAAAAACCTAAATTGACCACCTGCTCCACCAGCAACAATCACTTTATCACGTATAGCTGTATTATCAATTTTTGTAGGGACTTCAATATCGTTGCCAGAAGGACCTTGGCCAACTTGATAACTTTCTCCAAAACCCCAGCTCCATACGCTTCCGTCATCTTTAAGAATTGCAAGGTTATGATGTGTACCACAATAAATTCGCCTAACACGAGATATTCCCGGAACTTTGGTTGGGATCGGTACAAATCTTGGCCGATTTGAGGCGTCGTGAACAGTATAATTGGGTAAAGATGCTCGAGGAATACCAAGTTGATTTGCATCAAGTCTTCCCCAAACGAGCAACTCACCATCTAGAGTCAATGCTGCAGAATGATGTTCACCTCCTGTTATATAAACAATATTATAATGATCTAGACTTTGAACATGTGTTGGGCTAGATACGACAGCGCCGTCTTCACCTCCAGAACTTTCAATACCACATTGCCCAAACTGATTTAGGCCCCATGAAAATACTTTTCCATCATGACTAATAGCAAATGAGTGATAGGATCCTGCTCCTATAGCCTTTATCTTTTTAAGTCCAAATTCTCGAGGTACAAGCGCATTAATACGAGTTCGCTCGACAACACGATGGCCCAGTTGAAATTGTTGACCATTCCCCCATGAAAATACAGATCCATATGCTGTAAGTGCAAGTACATGATCTGTTCCACATGCAACAGAAACTATGTTTTTGAGTTGTTTTATATGAATCGGGTGACGCGCAACTTTAATTTGAGGTGAAAACCCAAGAATTCCATCTGAGCACTACAAAAATATCAACATTAAATAGTTTTTTTCGTATTCATACTCTAAACGAACCCCACGCATATACTTGACCTTGATCTGTAATTGCTACACTAATACTATCTCCACATGCCATCCTCACTATTTTTACACCATCTGGAATACCTTCAACCTTACCTGGAACACTATCTTTAGGATTTAGCATTTGTTCATCATCACTATCTGAATCTGTTCGATTCACTTTCCATGTCGTGTCTCTTCCAAGGGCTCCTTGATCATTTACTCCCCATGTATATACATTTCCTTTATAATCAATCGCTGCAGAATGCATCCCTCCAACTGCTATATCTACAATTCCTACCGTATCATGAGGTAAAAGTGGATTAAGTCGCGGTCGTTTCACCACTCGACCAGTAGGCTCTGGTCCTAGTCCCAATTCACTCATAGAACCTGTTCCAAAAACAAAAACACATAATCTCTCATCTTTTAACACAGGTAATTCATTTATAAATGGTATCGATGGTTTTCTTAATACTTTTTCCTTTGATGTAAGTGACCGTAGTGACATAAACGATCGTTTAAGCTTCAAATCCCCCAATTCATCTGAACGCTGAATTGCATCCAATGTCAATGAATGTGTTTGGGATATTTTCTTTAAATCCCCATAAGACTTTGTTGTTTTTTTCAAGATTCGATCTATTTTAGATATTCCTTGTTTTGTTTCACGATTTCTTGTCAACGGAGGTGCCATTTTTTACCAAAAAAAAAACACTGCAACAATGCCTGCCTGTGCAGTTATATATTATCAGGATTCTCTCTAAATAATCAATAAACCTCCTATTTTTTTCTACTTTTTTAGAATCTACTAATATTTTAAACGTTCGTGAGATGTCTGACGGTTGAAAAAATTAACGTTTTTATTAACGTCTTAAGAAAGTTTTAATAATTTAATTCTATTAAAGACAAAGTTTTAAAAAAAAGTTAATATTTATTATGTCAAAGAATTTTTTTAGTAGTAATCAGACAGAAGACTTAAAAGTAAATTAATATTGTTTATAATTAATTATTTATAAAAATGATCAGTTCTACCCTTCAAATTATGGTCATCTCGGAAAAGAAACGTTTTTAGTAGATAAACGAGATGCAAATATGCAGTCTTGTATGCAGGATACATCATTTGGGGTTTGGGAGAATAAGATGGGATGGATTGCTGCTTTTGGTACAGGAGGATATCCAAATGAACCGCCGTTATTAGAAGGTAAAATATAAGACGAATAGTAAATTAATATATTTGAGTATTTGGAAAGAAAAATATAGAAGATTAAAAGAGAAGTTTATCATTGCATTTTTTTTAAAAAAATCCAGGTTTCTCTATTTTATATGATTATGTTTATTGTGGAAGGATTTTTTTATAAATAATTCTTATTTTTTTTTTCTTTTGATATTTATTAGCTAATACATTGATAGAATTAGGTGTCAATTTTCTCCATATTAAGGGAAAAGTTGTACTCATGTGTAAAAGTGTTCTTTTTTTTACTTTTAATAGACATTGGCTGTATTAAATCCATTAAAAAGTGTCGACGATCATATTATGGATGATAGTGATTTGGCAGGTCCAATTCTTTTTTGTCTTCTTTTTGCTACTTTTCTTTTATTGGTAATGATTTAAAAAATCTGTGTTAATTTTTTTCTTATTAATTAGAGTGGTAAAAGGCATTTTGGCTACATTTATGGTGTTGCTCTCCTTGGCTGTATTTCTCTTCATACGATTTTTTCTTTAATGTCATTTCGTGGCTTGCATTTTTCACGTACTGTATCAGTACTTGGATATTGTCTTTTACCTCTTGTTCTTACTTCTGCATGTGGAGTTCTTGTTTCCATGGAGTTTGTATATTCTTTTCGTTAAGCTATTACTAATACATTTATAGTGGACTTGTTGGGTATATCGTTTCTTCAGTTGCCATTCTTTGGTGTACTTATAGCGCTAGTGCTATGTTTGTTGTAGTAAGTTTCATTTTATCGAAAATTCATTGTGAATTTCTATCTAGGCTTTCCAATTAAACGAAATGCGATTTTTAGTTGCTTATCCTGTTGCATTGTTTTATTCTGTTTTTGCTGTTATGACTGTATTTGCTGAAAAAAATGTTTATGTTAAATCTTAACCAATTACTAATAAGTATTTATTTATGTTGCATTTTTCTTGATATATATATTGAAATAAACTGTTAAGAAACACATATTTTTTCTTAAGATTCTTATTTATATATCCTGGTTTTTTTATCATTCAATTTCTATTTCAATGAGTAATGAAATAGAAGAAAAAAAAGATACAGATGTTTTTAATATTTTAAATAAACTCATTTCAGAGCAGCAAAGAAAACGAATATCAACTGTTTCTAAACAAGATTATACATTTTCTGCAGAAAATTCTATTAGTTTTAAAAATGATGATTTGAAAAAATCTACATTCTATTCTCCAAACTTTATCGTAAAGCCACATGTTGATCCGACATCTATTGAAACATATCCAAATGCATTGCGTTATATTATACAATTAACTCTCTGGGATCCATCTATATTAAAAAAAATTAAAGAAATGGTAGAAGAACAAGCAAGTTATGAAGAAAAATGGTTAAAAGATAGACAAATATTGATCGAAAATTTAAAGAACAAACAAAAAGCAAATATAATTGTGTATGTTTTTATATATTTCTTAAAAAAATTAACAATTTAGTTCACGCTTAACTGGTGAAGAAGAAAAGGTGTGTTAATATTAATAATTACATTATTTTTAATAAATAAGGAATTTGAAGAAACAATAGAACATGAACTTCTTTTATATGATTTAAAGGTACATAGAGCTATACAGGAGATGTCTAAAATACAAGAAAAAGAACTCCAGAGACTCGGAATACCTTTTTTTGTCAACACAAAAGATAAAATAAACACAGAAAATAAAAAAAAAGTTATTCAACTTCTCAAGGATCTCGTTTCCGAATAGAAAATAATAAATCTTATTTATTAAATTAAAAATGCTTTTGGTATATTTACAAATGATATCTATTCAAATTATATAATCTATAAAAAATAAATATTAAAAAATATTTTAGATATTAATGCTGACTATTTAAGCTTATTCTATACAGTTTATTAAAATAGAAGTAGTTTTACCGACGAATTTTTTTAAAGAATTGAGTTGTATAGGGTCGTAAGGGTGCCAAAATTAGAAGTATTCCAGTAATAATAATAAATATATATATAAAAGTCATATCTTTTATAGATTCCCTTTCTATAAAACCATCAATATTATTTATTAATTCATTATTTCTTCCTTGTACGCACGAAAACATATGGTAGAGATATCTGTATTTTCCATCAAATCTTCTGAATTTTTAAACTGTACATTTTGACAAATCGGAAGATTTTGTTCGAGACAAAACTTCTTCGTACAGTCTTGGCATGGCTTATTTTTTAGTGTTGGTTTACTTAAACGCAAGACCGTTGAATTTCCAAAACATGTACATTTGCAGTAAGAATAAATTGCTTTTATTCCCTGTTTTAACTTAGTTTTTTTCTTAATATTTTATAAGATATTGACAGGAAACAATGATATTATTAAAATAATATATATAATAAATGTTTTTTTGCTGTATTTCATAGAAAATATTTCTTAATATTTTACTTAAGTGTTAATTTTTAAGGTTATCGAGGAGTATGGTAATAAGAAAATTTTGATCTTTAATTTTTAAATAAATTTAAGGGTTTTTTAAATAAAATACAGAAAAACTGTTATTTTTAATAATAATTTATTTAGTTTTCTGAGATTTTTTAGAGAAATTTTTTAATCTAATTAATTGAACTATTAAATTTTCTAATTATATTTTAAATTGTTAAAGATTGATATGAAAGTGTTTAATCTTAGACTTTCCGACATTATCCATAGATCTCTTGTAGTTTTTTTATCTGGATTGAGCGGTATTTTTATGTTTTTTTAAAAAATGATGGAATATTGATGAAAAAAGTCTATGGAACAGTGAATGTTGGTTATCTGCTTTATAAAAGGAAGAAAAAATTAAAGATTATTGAAGATCAAATTCGAGAAGTAAATTAGAGAAGATTTAAATGAGTTTTTTAATAATTTTCTTTTTTTAGGGGCTTTTACCACCAACACCTGTAAAGAAATCTACGTCTCATGATAAACATGTTTAAGTATTGAATGGGATTTTATTTAAATGGGATTTCTATGATTTATATACAAATGAGGCTAATAATGGAGTTTTAGTTGTTAAGTAAACGAATAATGAAAAAACATCAAGTGACTTAACTCGCTATAAAAATTGGAACTCTAATAATAATTCTTCAATTTTTACTTAAAAAACATATAAACTTTTTATACAACTAACAAAACATTTACTATTAATTTCTCTACGCCGTGAAAAGGGAATAAACAATAATAATGAAGTTTTAAAAAGTTTTAAAAGAATCATAAATATCTTTATTTATCATGCTCTTATAATCTTTCTATTATGTCGTTTAAATTAATGGAAAGGATAATAAATAATTAGGAAAATTAAGGTTTCTAAAAATTTAAACAGAAAAAATAATTTTAGCATTAGAAGAGTTTTTTAAGATTAAAAACCATTTAATTTTAAAAAATATTATGGAAATAACAGATATACAAAAAAAAGAGATTATAAAAACATTAGTATACAATAAATGACTGGTAAATAATTAATCTTATATATTAATAGATTTAGTTGATCGATACGGTTGGGTCACCCGCCTTTATATATACTATGGGTAATGATGGTGGAAGTATTCCTAAGCGTGATGATCTAATCAAAGATGCGAAGAAGTTAGAAAATTCGGAAACAAATCAAGTAACTCAGCTTCTTCCTTGGTTTTGCTGTAGTTTTTCAAAATTGCCTTTATCCGAGCCTATCGTTAGTTGTGGTCTTGGTAGGCTTTATAATAAAGATATATTACTAGAATATCTCCTATCTTTTAAAGAGAAAGGATCTTATAGAAAAATCCAGAAAGAGGAAGGGTTATCTGTTAAATCACAGTCAACTGAATATGGGATTTCACATATTACGACATTAAAAGATGTAAAAGAATTAAAGCTTAAGGCAAATCCAGCGTATCAAGTAAATTCTACGCTTAATAAGAAGGTTTTTCATGGGGAAAATCAAGTGGGTCGTTGGGTTTGTTCAGTAACTAATCGAGAGATTAATGGTCATGCAAAATTCGTATATCTTGTACGTTGTGGACATGTTTTTAATGATCAGGTGTTAATAAATATTAAAAGTAATGAGTGTTTAGAGGTATATTAGTGTTATTGTATAGAATAAAGGATTAATAGAAAAAAAAGTGTGGTATAGAGTTTACAGAGGATGATATTATTCCATTAAATCCAAAACAGGATGATTTACCTAGATTAAAAGCACGACTACAGGCACTTAAAGCAGCAGGGCTGACACATACATTAACCCCGATGAAGCAATCAAAAAAACGTAAACAAGAATGTCTTGGAAATGATTTACAACAAACCATTCCTTCTAAAATATCTATTAAGACAACCAAACTATCTACTAACAAATAAATAACCCCATGATAATGCCGATAGATGTAGTCTAAGAAGATATAATTGTTTAGCTAGTATTTTTAACTAGTACTTTGTTTAATGGTACTTCTATCAAAAACGATTCGTTTTGGATTATCTTATACATCATTATCGATACAAAATTTCATTAACAATATTTATTTCCACCAGAAAATAGATCCCATTCCATCTTTGTTGCATGATGCCTTTTTTTGGTTTAAATAATACTTTTATGTGTTAACAAATCCTACCGTCAACGTATATGGAGCTTGTTCTTGTTCACATGTCTGATTTGGAGTCATAAATGGATTACTATTAACAAATGTTTCACTTTCTATCGTAAATCTAATGGTTTCTCCTGTATTTAAGAAGAGATCTCCATGACTACTATGCCAAATCCAACGTTGTTCATCAATATCACTATAATGGAACTAAGATTTTTTTTTTAAAAAAGGAACTATTACAATTCACAGTCTTCCCATAGAAGACTCTTTGGAATAAAGATGTCATCGAAAAAGCCTAATGAAACTGATTTTATCAAGATAAATTTTTTTATTCTAAAAAAAAAACCTTTTATGCCTGAGTGAGAGGAACTTTGTATTTTTCCGGTCAAGACTTCACCAATAAAAGGACGAAACACGACTAATCTGAACTTAACTATGTCCTTTTTTAGTTATCTGGTACAACTAATTCTTTAATTTCTTTATAACCTGGAATATACGCACATCCGTCACCATATTTTATTAACGCTTTTCCACAATAAAGAATATCATATAGACAAATGCATAGACCCGTATGGATCACCACCTTATAAAAACAGTTAATACTCAACCTTATATTTGACATAATACTTTATTTGCAAATTTTAGATTAATTTCATCTTTAAGTGCTATCATTGTCTGTTTTCTAAAAGTACAAGGAGCAAGACAAATTGTATCAGATAGAACAGTCAAGATGAAGGCCATATTTATTTATTTTTATATGAATACAGCTAATTAAGCTGTTTAAAATTTATTAAGTTTAATAATGAGGTCGGAAAATATATGAAGTGAAATTAAAGCTAGGCTTTATAAAAAATATATATATTATATATTGTTTCCCATAGAAAATAGTAGATTTTCATGTAGAAATATTATAGTTAGTGCTTCCTATTTTTTATATTACATATTTTTTTCTTTTATCGTCTTCTGTCTCTTCTAATTGGTGATGGGCTTCGTGTAGGACTACGATCTTTGCCTTGTAGACGAAGGTACTTTCTTTGACTAAGCTCAAGATCACGAAGAAGCGCAGGACTGGGTTTTTTTGAATGCATAAAATTACAAAACCCACCTCTCATACATTCAGATGTTTCATGTTGACGACAACAAGCTTCTCGAAAATCCGTAACAGGTGACAGTTCAGCATAAACAGGACGAGCTGCGTACCATCTTGAATTAAGCGAATCGACAGCTTTTTGCGCATCTTCTTCATATTTAAATCGTGCATAAACATTTCCAATTAAGTCTGTTTATTAGGACAGAAAATTGTTAAAAAAATATAATCTTACGGTCTCCAACATTATCACAAACAACTACTTTTTCTAGTTCTCCATATTTGCAGAATTCCGCGTACATATCTTCATAAAAAGAGTCGAAATGCTGTGCAATTTGTTGCTCATTCAATTGATTATGTTGATCATGTGCTGGATTCTATTTTAAAACAAAAAATCAGCAAAAATAATATAACAAAGACTTTAAGAGAACTTGATAGAGATTTGGACAAAGAATAGTCTGTGAATATGATGGTTTTACATGTTTTCTTGAACAACGATCTCCATGTCTACATGCTCCAATCTTACTAGTAAAAAAACTTAGCATAAAATAATAATAAGAAAAGGATTTACAAGTAAAAAGAACAATTTACTTTATCTTGTTCTGTTCCATAAATACTGGCAAGAAAAGATGCCATTTTTCATTCAGTTAATGATGCTTCGTAAATTTTGATATAAAATATTGAAAAAGAACTTAAAAGATAAAAATACTAAGAAAATATGGCAAATAAGGTTTATATCCATAAGCTAAATAGATATTTATGTTTAAAAAAATATAATTAAAAGAGATTATTTGTATATGAAAAAAATTAATTATTATAGTATACATGAGTCAATATTATGGTCATCAATATCTGACTGAATTATATATTGAGTGAATTATAATATTAATATTTTTCTTTGTATCTTTAGTATTTTTTTAAATTAAAAATTTAATTTTTAGATATAAGAGTTTTTTTGATATATTTTCTATATCAATATTATTGCATTTGAATTTATTTAAATGTTCAGAATTTCTATGAATATGATCAATTATTTAGAAAATTTTAAAGATTGTATGTTATATGTATTTTATTAATGTATATTACCGTAGAAATAGTTTAAGATTTTTGGAGCTATTATAGATAGACTTGCTAAATTCTTGATTTTTTTATTAAAATATAGTAAAATAAGATATTTTTAAAATATTTTGTATAATTTATAATTTTGTTAGAGAAAGAATTTGTAAATGACTTCAGAAATTCTATGAATTTAAAATAATCTATTAAAAATATCTAATAATTATATGATTAAAAAATAGCAGTATATAATATGATCCTTCTTTCTAGAAAAGTTTATTTGTGTATGTATTAGTTGTATAATATTTTCCAGAATTAAAATTATAAAAATAATATTTTAGAGTTTTTTTTTAAATTTGTTATTATATCAATATATTTTTTATTTGATATACTTTCATCTATACAAAATATAAACTCTCTAGACTTTTTTGATAAAACACTATTATTAATAGAGTTATTAAATATATCACTTAAGCCCTTGGTGCTATTTTGAAATGATTTATATAGACCAAAAAATATATTATAATAAATATTGAGATAATATATTAAATAAATATCTGAAGTACTTGAAATATCTATATTTCATAGGAATATTTGTTGGATGGATATAATTCTTTCAATTTTTAATACTTTCTGTTAACATTGATCTTAAGAAATAATTTTACTATGCTCATGTTCTTATCAATATATTACATAATAACATAGAAAAAATGAAATGTTTTTGTTTCATAATCTTCATATAACATTTCTTAAAAATCTTCTAAATTCCTTAGAAGATATCTCATATTTTTAATATTTCAAAATTTATTCAAGAAATATCTTTATTCTTTTTATATTTAATATTAATCATAATTTAAATTATAAATATAGAAAAATATACATTTTGCATCAAAATATCATAGAGCATAATTTAATTATTTAGAACCTTTTTATGACAACTTATTTATAATCTATAATAAAGTTATAGTCTCTAAAATATCTAAAACTTAAAATTATAACAATGTATACACTATTTGTTTGATTAAGAATATAATAAAGAGAATTAATGATTAACGAAAGGCTAATAAAAAAAATGAAAGGTTAGTAAGAAATATAGATTAAGAAATCCTCATGTCAAAAAATAAATATTTATCTAAAAAAATTCTGTGCGAAACGTGTCTTTGAAAATGTATAGCTAGGATATCGAAAAAATTCAATTTTGTAGTGTTTTTAAATAATAATAGTTTCACTGAATTTTAACTTTTTCTTGTTTAAGATTCTAAAAAAATTAATATTAAGAATGATTATGATTAAAGATATACTGCAAGTCTGTATGCTTCTTCATGTATGTTCTTACATTTTTTGCACAACTCGGTATAAAATACCTGTATTTTATTTCTTGTTTTTGTACTCATTATATATTGAAAATTATAGAGAATAATACGTCCCTTTTCTTGAATAGTGTTCAAAATATTATGTTTTGAATTAAAATTTTTGATTTTTTGATCAACCATATATTTATCATTAATTGTTTTGACTATAAAATAGTAAAATCAATAAAATTCATTTTCATATAAGAAATTACTCTTTTTTAAAATAACTCGAAAAAATACAAATAAATGATCCAATATTTTGTATTTTTCATCTAATTTTGTTCCTTTTTCATGTATATTACTCGCAATAGCATAAATATATGATAAATATTTAATAAAAACATCAACTTGCTGCTTGACTAATCCCTTAAAATAATTTAAAATAACAGTAATAACATAAAATATAAAAAATTCTTCATTTTTTTGTCGATTACTGAAATCTTTTTTTTCAATATCTTTAGAATCTTTAACTTGCGTATCATTTGAAAGTAACTCTGTTTTCTTTGTTTCGCATGAATTAACCCTAATTCTTATTTTATGAGATCCATCTAGTTCTCTATGTTCAAATATTAACTTTAATTTAACTTTTTTATTAACATACTTGCTTAACTTAAATTCTTTAATTTCACCATATGATAAAAATAACTCTCTGATTTTTTCTTCTAATAACCTTTCAGAGCTATTACTTACTTCGATTTTATTCATTTTCTTATTAATTTTTAAAATTGGATTTCTAATTGTTTAATATTCTTTAACCGATTCTTTAAGATCGACCTTTAAAGTCTTATTTTTAAGCTTTAATCTTATTAATATTTTTAACGACTTGTATTAAATGATTATTTAAATTCCGAGGAAGAACTAGTTTTAAAAATCATTAATCATGTATTTTTGGGTTAAGAATTTTCCAAATATTTCAGAAAATGAGACAAACAATTCTAAGGAAATACAGTTTTTTTCATCATCTATTTTTGTTCCAACAATTTTCTTAACAACAGCTATACTTATTCTTCATAAATTTTATTATCAATCTTTGGTACGATACCCAACAGCATCAAGTATTCCAGTGTCTTTAATGAACAATAAACATATATTATTAGGAGTTGTTACGTCTGGTATAGCAGAAATGTCTGTAAAAATATCTAATTTATGGTTATGAGTAAATAGTTGGAGATGCAGACAATTTTAGACTTTTTCATACACCAGGTGGAATTTTTGCAGGTTGGCATTGGCTTAGATCAATTCCTTTATCAAGAAAAGATCTTAAAGATCAAACAATTCATATTAGATTGTCAGGTATTGATGCACCAGAACTTAGTCATTTTGGTAAAGAAGCACAACCATATGCAAAAGAAGCAATAGAATGGCTCACATCATATATTCTTGGAAAACGTGTACGAGTACAAATATTTAATAGAGATCGGTATGAACGGATTGTTGGGGCAGTTGAGATACGTAAATGGCCTTATATTTGGATTAAAAGGAATGTGTCGCTTGAAATGATAAAATTGGGGATGGGTATGATAATTTGAATGTGGAGTTTTAATTAAATTTAATAGCTGAAGTATATAAATCACATGGAGCAGAATATGGAGGTAAATCAGCTGAATTACGGTTTCGTCATGAAGAAGAAAAAGCAAAAAGAAAAAAAATTGGAATTTGGAAACAAAGTGCTAAATCATATGAATCACCAGCAGAATATAAACGCCGTACATTTGCATTGCTATCTTATATTTCTCCGAGTAAAATAAAAAGATAAGTTATTGTATATAAGTTTCTTATAAATGTAATGAGATTACATTTTCGTTGAAATTTTGGATATGTTAATGTAGAATTTTGAATTTTTGATAAAATTACATGAATTGAACTCCAAGACCTAATTGAATTCCTTTTCTAGCTCTGTCAGAAATTCTAGTTGCTATAGGAAGACAAAAATTTAATTCGATACGAGCAATTGCATGACAATATACAAGCCCTACTCCTGCTGCTATTGAAGGTTTGCAGACAAGTTCATATATAGATTCTTTTAAGTTTTCTTAAAAAACATTAGAATTAATCAATTAAATCATAGTATACCAAAAACCTTTATTTAATAACAATAATGAACTAGTATTCATAAAAGTTTGAAATTTTAATGGCCAATGTTTAAGACCTGGTATGGGTGTTATGAGTGAAATATTAGAAGCTAAATAGACATCTCCACCAATTGTATCATTTCCATCACGAGGACCTAATCCATTATAGTAAAAACCTCTTACATTAGTTGCGCCGCCCAAATAAAATCTATCATTTATTTTTGTTCCTTTTTTACTTAGCCCCCATAAAATTCCAGTTCTGATGGTTTTATTAAGAATAATTTGTTGTAAGCTTGAAAGTAATATTGCCTTAGAAAATTCTGTTTCTGCTTTTATAAAAGATACATCCCCTCCTAAAATACGAGGATCAGATATTTCTTGAAATGTACGAAATAAAAAACCAGAGCTCGGAAGCAAAATATTGTCTCGTGTATCAATTGTAAAAGTGTGTGCAATTGAAGATTTAAATGAATTACCAGAAGATAATCTTATAGTTGGAGATGCTGTATGAGAGAGATTAGCTATTTGCCTCCATATTCCATTATATGAAATATCATGAAGACCTAAACGAGATAACCAAATAAATCTTCCGATACATCCTTTTAAAAGTTCTTCATGAGATGCATAAAAACGATTGTCTCGAGATATACTAAAAGCCGATAATTCGAAATGAGAATCTGGATTAGCATTAATAGGTGTAATTAATTTAGTTTCAAATGCTGATCGAGTATGTGTTCCAAAAGTTATATTTGCTTGAATACTTTCTGCACCACCAAATGCATTTCGAATATTTAAACTACCATATGCAGATCCTTCTCCATTACCTACATCTGTTCCTGTTCGCGCCCATAATCTAGACTTTTCTTTTACATGAAAAATAACATCAATATCATCTTTTGCTGAAAGTGGTGAAGATGCTTGATCTACTGTTATAGAGATTTTTTCAAAAATTCCAAATTTTTCAAGCTGAGAAGCACGTCTCTGAATAGAGTTTAAAGCTGATGTAAGTGTTCCTTCATTATCTTTATCATCTGATGGAAATAATACTTTTTTAAGAAAGGATTGTCGAATATTTGGTGCTCCAATCACTCTAATTGATGAAATATTTACAGGTAATGTTGAATTTCTTCTAATCTATTAAGATATTAAATACTAATTCCCTTCTAAAAAGACATACAATGTCATTTAAACGAAAAACTATTCGATCTTGTTCTGCTTTTTGTTTTGCTTTTACTGCAATTTCATGTTCAAGTGTTATATTCTCCAGCAAAGGTATATCTGAGGATATAGATGGTTCTTTTGTGTTGTCTTTTTCCTATAATTAATCTGTTTAATGGCTATTCTCTGCGAAATACAACAAAAACTAACCATTTCTTCGCTTTTTATTTGATCTCCCATATTTTACAAATCATTTAAGAAAGTTTTAATTTAACTTATAAAATTTTTATAATTCCTAATAAAAATATGTAAATTTTAACCGTTTATATTAAGAATTAAGACAAATTGCTTATTTTTTATTAATAAAATCTTAACATTTGTATTTTTCTATCTTTCGAAGGTTAATTTTTATATTTTTAATATATATAAATGTACATAATATTATCTATTTTAAGAGAATAAAGCAGTTTATTGTCTCTTTAAATGTATTTTATTTATAGATTTTTATATAATATGATTATTTTTTAAAGCTTAATAGAAATGCTAGTTTTAAGAGGTTAAAGTAAATTGAATAATTTGGTTTGTGTTGTGTTTTCATAATTTTGTTTTAGCTATTATGTTTGTTTTTGGATTTCTATAAAAATTTTGTTATTTAATTCTTAGATTATACTATATTTTAAAAATTGTTTTTATTAAAGACACCATTAAATGAACATTTTTCTATCAAATATAAATATTTATAATTAATAATATTTATAATTAACCTATTAATTTTAGATTTAATCTTAATAAGATAAAATTTATTAGATTACAGAGAAAACTGATAAATTTTAAAATAAATAAATATTAATATGTAAAATGATAAATTATTTAATTCTTATTTTTAATAATAAATATTAACTTATAGCGTAATAATTTAAAAGTTAATATATTTTTTGATATATATTCAAATACAAAATTTAGAGATCATATTCTTATCAAGTTTTAAGATATTTCTACATCTACACATAATGTAGTAATATTAAAAATAAAAAAAGGTCTATGAAAAACTAATTCTCCATAAATCTTTATCGATTATTTCATTTAAAAGATTTTTTTAATAAATCTAATATATTTTTCTGATTTCTTTTAAAATCTTGTTATATTTACTTATTTTTATAATCTTCTGATTATTCAATTTAAATTGCTCAAATATAGACTTAATAATATAATCACATAATCTATATGTATTATTATTTAAAAATTATTATAAACAACTTGTATTTAATCTTAATATTTAATTATAACAATTTTCTTTAAAACAACTTAATATATTTTAGTAAATAAAAAAAATAAGATTTCTTTTTGATTTTATTAAAAATTATATTTTACTTGATTTCTATTATATTAGTTATATTATTTATTTATTATATTTAAAAAACTCAATTTATTACAAATTATACATTTTTAATAATATAAATTATTTATAAAAACCTTAAACTTGATGGCAACCATTAATTCTGGTATTTTTAATATTTTAAAATATAATATTGATATTTTATATAGATTGGGTTAATGATGTTGTGTTACCAGCAAAAAAGAAATTAATTTATGCAACCTTTTCAAAAGATACTCCATTAGAATCGTCATCTACTTCAAGCTCATTAAATAAAGTTAATCTTTTTGCATCAACACCTCCATCAGTTATTCGTTCAATAATATTTGTTCGTCCTTTGCTTGAATGGACGAATTGGATTCTTTCATTATTAACATGGACTAGTAATGATCCGTGGAATAGTTTTCTTTTAGTTATATGTTGGTGGATTTTTGTTTTTAATATAGAAACATTAATTATATTTGGGCCTTTGGTAGTAATTTTTATTATGGCATTTCTATATATAAAAAAAAGAAAAGATTTAAGTATATATTTTATTAGAATGAATGGTAAAATGCTCAGAATAAATAGAACTTGAACAAAATAAAATATATACACAAAATGATTTAGATATCTTTATACAGCAAACAGATTTTTTTAAGGAACGAGTTTCAATTTTAACTAGTTCTATAAATGAAATACGGACTTTTTTGAATTGGTCCAGTCCTCAATTATCAGTAACAATTGTTATTCGTCTTCTTTTTATTTCCCCATTTTGGATAGCAATGTTACTTTTTCTTGTTACACCAAGACAAATGATCTTTACTATTGTTACAATTATATTTATATGGCACGCTCCATGGATAAAAGGGACACGGCTTATTCTTTGGAGAAGTCGTTTAGTAAGAATCATAGTTGGAGAAGTCGTAGGTATAAATTTCATACCTCGGGAAAACAAAATTATACAAGGGTTTTCTGAAAAAAAAATACAAAATGAGTTAGAAGTTTCTGATGAAACTGTTAAATATACATTCATTTTATGGGAAAATCAAAGAAAGTGGATAGGATTTGGATGGACATGTAGTATGTTTCCTCATGAACGAACACCCTGGTAATTTGTATATTTTTTTATACTATTTTTTTTAATTTTATTAGGACTGATGAAGATGGATATCCAAGTACTAGTCCAGATGCCTTTCTTCTACCTAAAGACAAAATAATAATTCGAATTAATTCAGAAACAGGTTCAAAAGAAAAGTATAGGACATATTGGGAATGGATAGACAAATCTTGGGTCATCGAACATAGTGATTTGGGAGATAAGGATTCTGATGGTTGGATTTATACTGATAATTTATGGAAAAAAGAAAGTCTAAAAGATGATTTTAGAAAATATACCAGACGACGTAAATGGATTCGTAATGCAGAATTACTTGAAGTAATTCATGAAATGAAAAATGATGTTGAAGTAGAAAAGAATGATATAACAAAAAAATCTTTTGATAATAATGATAATATTTCTGAAACTCGCTTGAAAAATACTGATTTAGATATTAAATAATGATAACATGCTTAAAATATGATACGTTGAGATATTTTTTAAGGTTTATTGCATAAATATAAAAATAGTAAATCGTATTTAATTACAACTTACCATTTATAAAACTTTTAAACATAGCTTCTAAAGCATAGCGAATAGTAGAACAGAAGGTATTAAAATCAAGTGTGGTAAAAAATGTCTCTATAAGCCCAAATGGAAGCATAGAAGGTATCCATCCTATATTTAAATAAAAACTCGAATTACATTAAAAAATCACCTTGTGCTAATTCTAAGGCCCAGGATTCGCCTATCATAGAATAATGAATTTTTTTCCCACGCGGTAAATATGTTTGCATTCCTGGTTTATAGATCTAATAATTAATAAAAAGATTTACTCCAAATGTAAACATACTGTTGGTTTTAATTCACCTGGCGCGAAAACTTTTTGTTCCCCTGTTAGTATAGTAAAATAATCATCCGAAAAGTGAACACCAGAATGTCCATCTGTTCCTATAGCTGTACCGAAAAAAATTAAATATTCTGAAAAAGACATATGAAGAACAATCATAGCACCCTATGATTTTTAATAATATTTTTGATTTTCATGATAAAATAACCATAGCATTTCCCGCATTGTTAAAAATCCATTTACTATGATCTAAAGGAAGAACAACATCTCCATATTCTTTTTTAATATTCTTTGCCAATTCATTCATTAAACCTAACGTATCATTTTGATGTTTTTTAATTGCTTCTATAGAAAGTTCTTGTAATCTTCCTGGTGAAAATATAAATAATTTTGGTAGACAAAACTTATCAAAAAAACATAAAAATGTAACAAAAAAGCCTAATAATAATGATTTTTTTAAAGTAAAATATGCCATTTTAAAAATAATTAATTTTTATTAATTTTTTTAAAGAAATAAAAAGATATAACTTAATAAGACCTTTTAATAAAAAGTTTAAATAATTTTTAAGATTTTACTACGAAATGTGCTTAAGTTAATTCGCAATGTTAACTTATTAAAAAATTAATAAGAAATGGTAATAAAAATTATTTAAAAAAAATAATTTTAACAAGAAAATAGGCACATCACTTAATAGCGTATGTTATGTTTTATATTTTTAATAAAAAATAAGAATATTTGTAGACAAATTATTATTGTTGGAACGCAAGTTCTTGGACGAGCGTTTGTTCAGGCTTATAAACAAGCGGCATTAAATGCAACATTAAGACATGAAAAAAAGAAAGGCTACATGTCATCAGAAGAAGACTCTGGTTTTTCAATGGGAAATTTATCAGAAAAAACGGGTATTACGGCTAACGAAGCATGTCAAATATTAAATATAAAAAAAATGCCAGTAGAGCTTTCAGATGTAATAAAGGTGGTTTACTAGTGTTTTAGAGGATATTTCAATCTTATTTTTTTAGAGATATGAATATTTATATAAAACAAATGATCCGAAAAATGGAGGAAGTTTATATCTTCAGAGTAAAATTTTTTGGGCTAAAGAACGGTTAAAAGGTGATATTTCTGAAGGGAAAGTGGATTAAACTAAAAAATGTTATTGAATATGTAATCTAGTATATAAAATAAGGAAAATATATGGATTTTTTTTATATAAATTTATCGATTCATTATAAAATTTAAAGGGATGAATATGTTTAGCATTAGAGTTTTAATATGTAGAATTTTTTATTTTAACAAAGGATTAATGGTTTATCTTATTATATAATACAAATAGTAGCGTTTTAAACTTATTGATTTAAATATTTTGGGGTTTTAGATTTTTCAATATTAAAGAGAAATATTTATATAAAATGTCTAATCTATAATTATTTATGTAATTTATTCTAGTTAACCATTAAAAAATAATTATGAAAAAATCTATCTTATAAATTTGTACAAAACATTATTTTTAAAAATAAATAACGTTTCAGACAATTCTTTTTAATAAGTATACTTTTTGATTTAAAAAATACTAAATATAATTTTTAATTTTGGAAAAAAAATCATTTTTTATAGATTTATAAAAAAATGTTTTTAGAAACTTTGAAAATTAAGAAATCAAATAAAAAATTAAATATAAATATAAGAATACCTAAATATTTTTAAAATCATGATTTTGATATATCTAAGAACAAAATAATCTCATATATGAAAAAGCAAAATTCATTATATAAAATAATATGATATTAAAATTAAGTTGATAAGACATCGTCTATAGAAATATTATAAGTTTGGCATATTTCATCTAATTTCTTTTTAAGGTGGTCTCTTTCTGATTTAAGATTGGTATCTAGAATTCATATTAATATTTTAAAATAATAATTATCACAAATAAAATGTGATAATACTTAAGTTAAACATACATTCTGCATTTAATGTTTTAAGCTGGGTTTTTAATGTATTATTTTCCGTCTTAAGTGTCTCAATAGTATTTGAATTATGCATGATTTCATTTGTCAAGCTTAGAATGTTATTAAGTAATCTAGAATTATAGAAAATAATATATACCGAGAAGATAAAGAAGATTGAACTAGTGAAGTAGGTATAGTATCTCTTTTTGGAAGCACATAGCGAGTTGGAGAATTAAGGGTATTTACTGAAAAAGTAATAGGTGATTGTTTTGGGGAACTTAAAGGCCCTGAAGAGTGATTTTGTGAGGTACGTAATTGATTTAATTCACGTGTTCTAAAAACTATTCAGATTCTTTAAAGAGTTTAAAATAATAATTATTTACAATTTGTTCATAATATTTTCGCTTTCTAGAACTATTAATTTCTTTTAAAAATATATTATTACTAACCAATTTCAAGTTCTGATTCAATGCGAATTTTGTCATATTTAAGTTGTTCTAAACGTTTAAGTAAGTTATTTGTAATCGCTTCTTGCTCTGATTCAAGTGCATTATGTAATTCCGCAACTGCTGCTACTGGAACTGTGCCTGAATTTGTAGAATAATTTTTAACAGAAAATGGTACTGAAAATTGTTTTTCTTTAGAAATTGGTATATCTTTCGACATATTTTCTATATATTAATAGTTTTACAAAAATATTTATCCTTTATAATGGCTCTTAGATTTTATAATCTACTTCTTACACTTCTATTCCTATAAATATGATTTTTTAACTAAAAAATCTTAATATCAATCTTTATTTAATAAATAAATACCATTGGAATCCCATCAACTGATATTCTCCTTTATTTCTTTATTATTTTAAAGAATAGTAGTTTTCTTAATTTTATTCTATACGGATATATAAAGAATCGTTTTGACGGTTCATTATAATATTTATAGGTAGATTGATATAAAATATATCAAGCAAGTATTTTAATAAGATTCTGTAGAGAAGATGATATGAATTATTAACATATTTTTGTAGATTGAAATTTCTATTTGTAATACTTTATGGGATTAGTAGAGAAAAAGTATTATATGAAATATTGCGGGAAAGCCTTTTAAATAGAGTTATAAGATAGAATTGAAGATATTTAAAGAGAATATACCGCGCATATATGACACATATATAACGCATACAATCAGCAAATAAAGTCTAGTGTATATATTTGAGTGCATATAGAACGTTTTATGGAATTAATTTTACTTCAAATATAATATTTGAAGTATAGAAAGTTATAAGAAATATTAAATGTTGACTGGTTGAATGTATATAAATTTTAGAAAATATGAGAAAAATACAAGAAAAACGCATTTTTATTGGAAATCTTCCAATAAATGTTTGCAAACAAGATCTAGAAAGATGGCTTTCATTGTTTGGAAAAACTACAGGTCCTTTGGAAATTATTCGAAAACTTGAAGGTATATATTAAGTATAAAAGATAGAAGGATAGTAGAAAAAAAACAGGATATGAGAATTGTTTTGCATATGCATCATTAGAAATGACAGAAGAATCATGGTTTCGTTTTCAACGTGAATCAAAGGAGAACATTTTTATTTCTTGCCAATTACGGGTAGAAGAAGCAAAACCATCATATCAAGATCTGTAAAAATGAGATAATTATACAAGAGACTTGTTTAATATGATCTTAGAAAAAATATTGAAAACGAGAGGAATAAATTAGATTCTATTTTTAAAGTAAAGTCAAGGAAGAAATGGACAAGAAATCTATTATATGGAAGTTTAGCAAAAAATCAAAATTTGATTAAGGATGAAATGGTAAATCATGAGACAAAGGGATGGTTTAAGGGTCCTTATGGGCGCGCAATCTCTATTATGCGTTTTAGAGATGTGATTACTGGTAAAAAAAAGATACTTTTTGATCCTATAGAAAAAATAAATTTAAAAAAATTATATGGTAAAATAATTGATAAAAGTGTTTTAGAACTTACATACTTTTTTGATGATTCATCTGGCCAATGGTTTAATGGAATGTTTGATCAGATAAACTCCGAAAGAAATGATATAAAAATAAATGAAAAATTATTAGAGAAATCACTTAATGAAGAATTCAAGCAAGAAAAACAGAAGAATTTGTTTATTTTAAATAAAATATTTCATGATCCTTTAATAGAAGAGAAATTGAATAAAGAAAATGAATCTAACCTAGCTAATTTTAAAGAACACATTTTTTATGAACTACAAAATTCTTCAAAGTCATTTAATAAAGATGATTATATAAATGCAGAGGCATTTCTTACTAACGAATCAATAATTAAGGATGATTTGCTAAATGGTAATAAATTTTGTTTTTATTTTATTTTGTTAGAATTTTAGAACCAAATTCCGAAAAAGCTTTAAAAACAAAAAAATCTATTGTTAATTTGAAAGAATTAAAATCTATATTTTCTTCAAAAAAAGAAGTGGACTTGCAAAATATTCAAGAAAATAATTTTTGTTTTTTTGATGATAATTCGAGTTCAGATGATAAAATTAATAATGAAAATAACAAGGAAGCAAATATAAATGCAAATAACATTCCTATAGTTAATAAGAGGTGTTTTTTTAATAACTATTCTCGCGAATTTCCTTTATTTTTTCCTCATTTTGATAATGCAGAATTATATGCTTTATCTGCTTTCAGCAAAGTTCCTAGCATATTTTCTCAAGAAATTGATAAGTATATTTTATGCATTTTATAATATTTACAATAATATTTTTTAGTGAAGAGATTGAAAAAAAATGGATAGATACTAGAAAGGAATTTACACGGGATTGGAAACGTAAATGGAAAGATGCTCAAAAAAGAAAACGGAGGTTCCTTCGTAGAAAAATCTAATTAATCGTATCTAATCATCATAAAGAATATATTTGATAATATCCTATCTCTAGTGTAATATATTAAGATTTAAAAGAAAGTAATTTTGTTTATGATGTATCATAAGGAATAATAACTTATTATTAATGAATTTGATAATTTTAAAAATATTAATGAAAAATATTGGTTTAAATATTCGAATTAATAGTATATGGTATAAGTATAATGACTATGGAGTTTTTAGACATTATTATAGCTATCTAGAAGAGTTAAAGAAGTTATTAATCCAGATTTATCTTATTTATGAAAAAAATAATATATATGCAATAGAAATAAAAAATAAAGATTAAAAAAAATATAAAAAATTATATTCAATAAAATCATCTGTAATTTACTTTTAATATTTAAAATTACTAAATAATAAAAAAATAAAATAATATTAAAATAGAAATTGAATTATTCTTAATTATTATTATTTATGCATGATAATATTTTTGATTTTTTTTAAACATCTTGATATAAATATAATTTTTTTATAAAATTAGTTCTTATTAAAATTATAAACTGTTTCTAAAAATTTAAAAATTATGATAGTAAATATATTACTCTAACTCAGATCTTGCTCTATAAAAAGATCATTTAATTTATGTTAATTTTTTGTAATTTCATACTTTTTATTACACTATAAATAAATCTTCTTTAAATACAAACTTAAAAGACTTATATTTAATAACCTTGAGTTAATTTTAAAAAAAAAAAGATTTTTATTCATAACAAATAAAAAAATTATATAGATGAAAATTTCTTTACCTTGAAATAAAAAAATCTAAAAAAGTCTTATAATGTATCAATTTATAAACAATATTGCTTTAAATTTTAAAAAATATTATAAAAAATAATCAAAAAATATATAAAAATTAAAAAAAATAAAATTTTAAAATAAAAAATTTCCAAAAAATTCCAGACAATCTTTGATATAATATAGTTATTAGTGATTTATAAAAAAGCTGAAAGTTAAAAATAATAAAATAAATACATAATTTACCAAAAAAATAAGCTAATCGAAAATACTAAGTTTATGATATAAAATTCTTTTTTTTTTTTTCAAATAAATCTATTAAATATTTTAAAATATCACTATAAAACTAAAAGTAATTATATTTATTCATATTTTGAAAATCTTTTTAAAAATATATTTGGCTTTATTTTTATTTTTTCGAATACTTTTTTAAATTTTTAGATATTCCTATACTAACCTTACATATATATATCTATCTATAAAATCAAAACTAGAAAACATAAAAATATGAAAAAAATTTTTAATATCACTTTTAAAATCTTTTTAGATCTTAATACTTGTTAATTAAAATTTATAAAATCACCATTCCAAATTATTAAAAATAATAATAAAAAACTAAATTAAAATAACAAGCTTTCTAAGCAGAATTTTAAAAGAAGCACTTAAATGTCTTAAATATACTATTACTTTTTACTATAATTCACTTGTATTAGGATTTTTTTAACTATATATATATGGATTAGGGTTTTGTTAAAAACTTTCGTAAAGCTTTTTTACCAAAAGTAATGTTCTTTATTATGGTTAATCTTAATATTTGGAAAGCCTATCATGATATTTTTCCTAAGTTATACATTAGATATTATGTATAGAGGCTTATAGATAAAAGAAATTGTATAAATATTTCTTATAAATCATCTAAAGTGGATTTAATTTGTGACGAAATGATTGCGATTTAATGTTAAATGGTGAATTTTAAAATATATCGTTTATGCTTCTGTGGTTTTAATCTGAAATCTATATCTGGGCAGAAAACATATTCTACATTAAGAGAAAAACCTAGGATAAATCACTCTAAAATGGCATATTTTCTAGATCCAGTAAATCATTTTCAAGATATTGCAGATGATCATAAATATGAAACTAATATTTCTTCACCTAAAATATCAGAATTTCGTCAATCTTTTACTAAATTAAGGAATCAACATAAAGAATCAAAAGGAAATAAAGATAATAAAAATACTAATTCATCTGAATATGATAATTTATCAATGAGAATGAATTGGTCTGATGATTGGAATCTGTCTATGACTAAGAAAAACTCTATAAATATGGATTTATATGAAAATTATGATATTAAAAAGAAAAAAGAAAGACCTCATACATATAGTGTTTCGGATCATATATCTCAGATGTCTACATGGCAAAATAGTCTTATTTCTGAATTTGGTATGCTTCCTACATTGCCATGTATTTCCTATTTTTCGGTTGTGGATAGTTCTGATGATGAATGTTCTGATATATCATGTGATGAATCTATTATGTCTACTTGTAATTTGCATTCAACTTTTAATGATAATATGTCGCATATTATGTTTTCGGATATGAATACTACGGATGTTCTTTTAAGGATACCTTTATTTAATAGTATTGGATTTCCTGAGGTTGTATTTTTTTATTATCCAGCTAATTTTTAACTTTTTAAGATTATGAGTTCCATATTATCTAATAGTTCGGAATATTTTAAAACAGCGGCTCCATTGCGATATAATGACATTAAATCTTCTAAAACTGCGATTTCATCAAAATATAATTCTTTTGAAACCATAACTTCTAAAAAACGTTTTAAATTTAAATTTCCTAAGATCAAACACTCTCAAAAATATAATGAAGATGATTTTACGGAAATTATAGTTCCTGAAAAACATAATAATATGGATTCGCCTAAAATTAAAATCGTTTCTAGATTTCCTGGTATGAATTATATGTTAATTTCGTTTTTTTTAAATTTGAACTAGATGATAATATAAAATCGAATCATACCATAAATCCAGATTCCAATATAAAACTGGACATTATATCTGCAAAGAAAAAGAAGTTGAAACAGAATATTTCTTCTGTATCTAATATTAAGCAAGATAATATTGTTAAAAATAAGAATTTTTTCAAGAAGTTTATTTTAAAAACTCCACTCAAAAAGACAAAAGTTTTTAAAAACAAAGCAACTCAAACATATATTTCAGTATTTAATGATGTTTTATTTAAAGAATCTCGAGCATCAACAAAAGGACTTTTATATTCACAAGATATTTTTCAAGGCAATAATTATAATTTAAATAAAAATATGGGCATTTATTATGAACATAAAGATATTTATTCAAATACAAAGGCTGCTTTTTCGCCCTCAGATAGTTCATCTTTAACACCGAAATACGTTTTAAGTAGATCAGGTAAACTTAAAAAAACACCTCTTAGCAGGAATATTACATCGGATGCAGATATATCTGAGTATTATGAATCATCTAAACAATCAAAGTGTTATTGTACGTGTACATGTTTATGTGGTGCATGTTGTACTTTTTCAGGAACTAAACATGTTCTTAAAAGACCTTCTAGTGTTGTTTTTGTAGAAATTGCTGCTTCAAGGAGAGCTGATAGTTCTGATACAATTGATTTTAATGGAGATTTCGATGACAAAACTGCACCAAATACCAATTTAACTCATATTTCTAATAACTTGTCTATAAATCAAAAAGAACTAGAATTTAATGCATTAACTCTCAAATTGACTCATAATGACGATTTAAAATTAGATTCTAAACTTAATAATCATTACTTTGAACATCAACTCGATAAGAATGATTGTCATAGTGATTCTGAATTTATATCAAATAGTATTATCGATAGCTATGATATCTTATCTCCAAAACTAAATAATAATTGACGATAATTTTGATAATATGATTAATAACACTTCTCAATACCACTATTTTTACACGGAAATTAAACGATACTTAATATTTCTATACTTAATCTAATAATTATCATATTTTGATTTACATCCATTCTTTTTGGTTCATAATTCATATTTAATAATAGTAATTCTTAATAAATATTAATTTACTTTCGAATATAACTATTCTTTTTAAATTATACATACTTTTCATTTATTTTCTTCTAAAATTGCTCTTTTATTAGCAAATTAAATTTTAAAGTACGATAACTCTACATTTCAATATTTCTTAATATTTTTTACTTTATAATTAAAACTATTTTTCTAATAATTAATATTATTATATAATTTCAAAACTTAATAATTTTTCTTTTAAATATATAATATAAAAAATGTTTTTTATATTATATAACTTTATCAATATTCTATTTCATTCTGTTTTTTATAAGCTATATTTTGTTTAAAACTCCGCATTATTTATATGTTAATTCGAAATGGTTAAGCGTTTAAATATTTTTAGGGTTTATTAGGTTTAAAATTTATTATTAAAAGGGCATTTCGCTAGTTACTACAATATTTTCGTACACAAATTTTTTAAGTTTATTGGAATTCTTTAAGTAAAAGGAATGATTACGCCATTAAAATGGTCAGATTTTATTGAATCAGACAACTATGGAGCATGTATTAGGACGTCTATTCCATTAAATTTGACATTAGATGGAGGGTTTTTGACAACAAATAACTTCTATCAAATTCCTCAAGATTATAAGTATGTAATAGTTCATCAGCTTATGGTAAGAGTTTTAAATAAGGGTTTTTGAAGCTGATTTTTGTATAGTTTGAAGGGAAAATGGCGCCATTTTATAGGGGGTTGACAGAATTTAATCCATTATGGTCGGATAAGAAGCTTCTGGAAGTAGTTCGTCAACATCTTGTTATTCCGTTTAAGGATACGGTACCTTTATTTACTAAAGATTTCCCAGGCGGATTTTATATGAAATATATTTCAAATATTGAATCGGATATATATAAGTTATTTGAGCCACATACGTTTCGTTTTAGGTCTATTGTTTCGTTGTTTCGACGTTTTATATCAGCATGTAGATTTTTTAAATGCCCATTGGAAGTATCTTTATATCGTAAAAGCGAGGAATGTTTTTTATGTTTTTTATATTATCCAAAAGTCAATTATACTCGATGTTGTAATAAGCCTATTTGTTCAGAATGTTTTGTTCAAATCAGACATTTGGATTCATATCCCACATCTGATAAGGAAAATGGATTTGAAAATACCTTTACTTTAAACAACGAACTTATTTTTTGCCCATTTTGTTCGGAGAAGAATTTTGGAATTATTTATATTTCATCAGTGCAAAAACATAATACTAAGTTCTTTACTCTTCCATCTCTTTCTAATTACAGAAAGTTGAATAATAAATCTCAGAAATGTTTCTCAGAACCTCCATATGTTGTTACTTCAGATATGATCAGGCCTCATTGGTTATATCAACTTATTAATACTCAACAAGAAGTAAATCAAGATGCATTGGATGGTGATCAGTCAAATAATTTAACTTTAAATAATAAACATGAAACATCAAATTCAGTAGAAAACGAGCGGCAGGGGATGCCATCACCCCAAGAAAATGATGGATATGAATCTACATATTTTAAAATGCAAGGTAGTATCTTGTTTAAAAGCGTACGATTAAATTTAAAAAATGCAACTTATGCTAATTATGTTGCTGCAATACGTGAAAAAGAGTTAGCTACTGGTCAATGCATAAACCGCCCTATTATAACACTTTATGATGGTACTATTCTAAGTTTGACAGACTTTGTGCAACATAAAAATGCATTTGATTCTATTGTAATATCTAGTTCTTCTCTAAAAATTAAAAACTGAGATTTGGTTTTATTATTATATTCACGACTAATAGATAAACACGAAGTTATTAAGAAATTTTTTAATAATTATATATTATAATTTTTTATCAGATACATAATTTTATTTTTAATATTTTCGAGTTGTAATTTTATTTATAAAATGTTTAATATCATTTCAGTTTATATTTGTTTAAGATTAAAGCATTACTGTAAATTTGGGTTGTAAATATATTTCATTTTTAAAAATTATAAGCATAAAAAATATAAACTTTTAAAACTAGAATACATATAAATCTTTATATTAATATATTTATGTTTAAATTATTAAATCTAAAAATAGTAAATATCTTAAAACTCCACACTTAATTCTTATATATTAACAAAAATTTTTATTAATAATTTAATTTAAAAAAATAATTTCTAAATTAAATAAACCTTATTAAACCTTAATCTATAATCAATATTATTTATTTCTATTATTTATCTTTAAAATTAATTATATTTATAATAAATTTTAATTTTTCATAGAGAAATAATTCAAGTTTATTAAAATATCTTGTTTATTTATAATAAAAATAACATATTTATATAATTATATAATATTTTTTATTTTAATTTTTTTTAACTTAATGTTTTTCACCTCTATAAAAACTTGAATCTTTCTAACTTTAAAATTAAAATGTACGACAAAAACATAAAATCTTATGACTCAGAGGATGATGAAAGGACAAATATTACATGTACAGGAGAGTCTTTAAGCCATAAATCAACAAGTAGATGATTTTTATTTAAGATTATATAATATTTACGAGCTTTGTTAGGTATTAGAAGCCTTTTTAAGTCACGATTTGTTATATTTTGCGCTTTATATGTAAGTACAGGAGGTTTACTTTTTGGCTATGGTATTTTTGGTGTTTTTATAATGAAATATTTATAATTGGTCTAGATCAGGGAGTAATATCAATTGTACTTGTTATGCCTCATTTTCTTAAAGAATTCCCTGAACTAGCAATTGCAAAGTCATCAATGTATCATGGAGTTCCATATCCAGAAGAATCTGGACCCCATTCAGACTTTTACAAAGGTCTTATGACAGCTTTAATAGAACTTGGAGCTTTTATTGGTGCTTTAAATCAAGGTTGGATTGCCGATAAATTTTCGAGAAAATATTCGATATCATGTGCAGTGCTCTTTTTTTCTATTGGTACTATTATTCAGACAGTAGCTTTGAATTATTCATCTCTTTCTACTGGGAGATTCATAGGTGGTATTGGTGTTGGAATGCTAAGTATGTCAGCTCCTCTATATATGGCAGAGATATCTCCACCTGAGATTCGTGGAGTTTTGCTTGTTCTTGAGGAATTGAGTATCGTAACAGGAATTGTAGTTGCATTTTGGATTACATATGGAACAAGGTTTTTTTTTGTTATGTTTTATATTTAATTAAAAATACAAAATAGGTTTATTGATTCTACATGGTCATTTCGCTTTCCTTTTTTGATTCAAATTATACCCGGCTTAATACTTGGCTTTGGTGTTTTTTTTTTACCTTTTTCTCCTCGTTGGCTTGCATTTAAAGGTCATGATGAAAAATGTTTACGTTCTCTTTGCAAGTTACGGCAACTCCCGGAATCTGATCCTATTATTCAAAAAGAATGGATTGAAATTCGCGCAGAAGCAAAATTTCAACAACAAACAAATGAAATTCGACATCCTAAACTTAAAGATGGTCGTCTATTTACAACAATAAAATTAGAAATAGTTTCATGGTTCGATTTGTTTAAGAAAGGCTGCTGGAGAAGAACTATAGTTGGTATAGGTGTTATGTTTTTCCAACAGGTAATCTTTTGATATTTTTATTATACATTTAGTGATTAACACTATCTTAGTTCGTTGGTATTAATGCTTTAATATATTATTCCCCTACTTTGTTTAAAACCCTTGGTCTAGATTATGACATGCAACTATTAATGTCTGGTATTTTAAATGTTACTCAACTGGTTGGAGTTTTTACTAGTATATATACTATGGATAGATTAGGGAGACGTCCTTTACTTTTAATTGGAAGTATTTTAATGTTTATTTCTCACTTATCTATAGCTATTATTGTTGGATTATATGGTCATAACTGGTCTATTTACAAAATTCAGTGTTGGATTGGTGTCTCATTTTTACGTATTATATCTATATAATTCTATCAATTATGCTAATTTTTAAAGTGTTTTATATGTTATCATTTGGTGCAACATGGGGACCTGTTCCGTAATAACCAAAATTGTATATTACTAATAAATCTAATATTATTAGGTGGGCATTACCAGCCGAAATATTCCCTTCTTCTCTTCGAGCAAAGGGAGTAGCCGTATCTACATGCAGCAACTGGTTAAATAATTTCATAATAGGGCTAATTACAGTTCCATTAGTAGAAAAAACTAATTATGGTGCATATATATTTTTTTCTGCCTTTTGTCTTCTTTCTGCAATTTTTACATGGTTTTTTATCCCAGAAACAAATAGACGTACACTTGAAGAAATGGACATAGTTTTTCATGATAATTATGGATTTAATGATGAAGAAAGGAGAAAAGAAATAGAAAAAGAACTTTTTATGAAACAAAAATATTTATCTAAAGATTAGCTTTTCTAAATTATATAAATATTAATATATATTACTATTAATAATTATTATTTGAAGATGACATCATAATAAAATTAAGGATTTTTAAATGAGAATATCTTAAATCTTGACTTTAGATAAGTTTTCATTTTTATATTCTGACTATTATTTTGATGTGAATATATAATATTTAGTTTTAACATAAAATTATTTAAGATTATGTTTTTAATATTTTTTAAATTTTCTGAAAAAAATTATAACTTTAGTACTTTTAATATTTAATTTACATTATTGCTTTAAAAATATAATAAAACAAAATATCTTTTGAACTTAAAGTTTAAAAAGGGAAAAATGAAAACTTAAATATATTGATTTAATAAACTATAATGTCATTTACTAACATATTAAATATATGTACTTTTTTTTATAAAAATTATTCAGTAAATTATGAAATATTTTTTATAACTTTACAAAAGATCATTAAAAGTTATAAAAATATAAATATTTAGTTATTTTATTTAAAACAAATAATTCAGAAAATAATATACTTTTACATATATTATTTTAATTATTTCTATCTTTTTAAATAATTGTCAATTTTAGATAATAAGTATTAATTTTTTAATTAATAAAAATTCTTATAAACATTTTATTCATTTAGATAATTCATATAATTTCAAAATGCGTGATATTCTGTATATATTTATCTTATCTAATATTTTTTTTTTAGAATTTTTAAATAAAAAATTGAATTTAAAAATATAAATCCTGAAAAACAATATATTCTATTAAAAGTTAATTAGTTTTGAATATACAAAAGATATTTTAAATTTAATATTAAAGGCAATTTATACAAAAATAACTATTTATGCTAGATATTTTTCTAAGTTTAAATGACTTCTTATGCATTATTATTAACACCATCTTAATAATTTTTCCTATCAAGGAAATGATAAATTAAATAATTAATTATAAATGATAGAGGAAAAAAAAGATGATTCAGAATAGTAATGTAGATTATTCTCATTAATAACTAATGAAAAAACAAAGAAAATAATGAATTGTGATTTTAAATATAAAATTAATAAATGATAATGATTATAAGATAAAAAGATAACTTCTAATATAAACATATTAAAGAAACAAATTGACATGAAGTTATTATTTAAATAATATTTCAAGTCATTACATGTATTTATATTTTACTTTACATTTCAATTAGTAAACTAAAATAGAAAACAAGATATGATAATGAAAAGTTCATTTATAAATGAAATAGAAATAAAAAAATTACTGATAAAATAAACAAATAAAGGTCAAAAAAAGGGAAATTCAGGATTTAAATAATAGCAACATATCACATAATTTACATAATTAAAAATTAAAATCACCTGACAACATTCTGATCTTTAAGAAATCATATAACATAGACTAACATTATCTATCAGCATATTAAGATCAAAACTCTTATTAACAAATCGAAATTATGTCTATATATACATAAATATTTCCCTTAAACTCATATAGCTTAAACACAAAAATATCTTGGTGTTAATTTCTTTTTCATATTAAATATATTAGCTGTACAAACTTATACATCACGCATTGAACGTTCAAGAGCTGAAACATATTAAAAAATATAAAACAAATATCAAAACTTACGATTATAATGAAGCAACTTTTCAATCACTAATAATGATAAATTAATAACATAAATATAAAGAAAACATACAATCAACATGTGTCAAAATCATGCGACGACAACAATAACGTTTAAGACCTAGTTTATCCAGTGCTTCTCCTTCAGAAATATCCTCTTGAAGATAAATTAAATACATATCCCACTTGTCTCCAATGACCTATAGTTACAATGAATATTATATAATAAAAAAATCAAAAATATATTACTTTTCCGCAGGAAAAACAACGAACTGGTATTATCATAGGAAGGATTTAAATCTTATCCGGATTTATTGAAGAAATAACCCTAATATCAGGACTTTTTAAAATTATTTTTCTGTGACGTTTGAAGATCTGTTAATACAGTAAAAATTTAAGACGGCTGAAAAAATTTAGAAAAATACTAAGACAAAATAATATATGATGAGCTTAGATATATCTATAAAAGATATGGATAATAGTTCAGTAAGAAAGAATATAGTTGAAAAGTAATATTAGAAAAATTAAGAACAAAATAAGTTAAGAAAATTAATAGGAAAAACTTAAAAAATAATTATAAAGATAATATAGAGAATATGGAAATAAATGATGAATTGATTTCTTATAAAGAAGAAAACAAAGAAGAATCAATGGAATTATTATCAGAAACAGATAATGAATATCATAGTGCTATAGATATATCACCATTTACAGCAAAAAAAGAAATACAAAAAAAAAATAATATTATCAAGAAAAATGTAAAAAAAATATCTTATTTAGAATGGAAAATACAAAATGTTGCTGGAGGTAGTTTTTCAGATATTACACCTATTTTTACAAAAGACGAAAAGTATGTTATCAACTCATTATTTTTATTAATGAGTTTAGACGAATATTAATTGCACTTGGATCATTTGTTAAGGTTTATGATATAAAGACGGGGATTTGCATACAAACAATTGGCGAATTAGATCAAAGGAATAACATTGATTTACCTAAAATTACATCTATGATATTAGATCCTTCAAATGAATATAGGATTTACCTTTCATATGAAGAAGGAAGTATAAAATTATGGGATTGGACAGATAATAGCATACTTAGAGTATATATTTTTTTTTTTTTTTTAAACTTATATTTTTTTAGTGTAGACAAACTCGAAAAAAAATACATACTATTATAACATCTCCATTAGATCCATCATCCATTTATGCGGTTCTTGAGAATTCTTCAGATTCATCTAATTTACATAACTTTCCTATTTCTACAAAGTCGTTATATAAAAAAATTTATGAAGTTTATTGTTACACTTTCCCTTCCATTAACTCTAATTCTACTAAAATAATCCGTTCTCAAAGAATCATAAAATTCAAAGCATATGTCGGTATAAGTATTTCTCATGATGGAAAAATATTGGTTATTGGTAATACTCATTCTATTTATATTTGTAAAAAAACAAATTTTGAAAATAAACAATCTTCATGGGAAATACGCAAATTTAATACTGGTAGTGTGATTAATACTTTAGTAATTCATGACGATCATGTTGCTGTTGGTGATAATGAGGGAAAATTGCTTATATACTATAATATTTTGAAATTTGAAGAACCAATTATTAGAACATTTCATTGGCATCCACAACCTTTCTCTGCTCTTAATTGGATATTACAAGGTATATTTTTAAGTATTTTTACTTGTTCTTTTAACCAAGTACAGGATCATATATTTTAACTGGTGGAAAAGAATCTGTCCTTGTTTTTTGGCAACTAAAGACAGGAAATAAACAGTTTCTCCCAAGGTTAGGATCACCCATTAAAAAAATAGGAGTAAGTCGAACAAATTCTTTTTATGCTATATTGTTAGAAAATAATTCTATCAAAATTATCAATGCGATAGATTTAAAAGCAAATACTGAAATATCAGGTGTTCAAATCGGAAAGGATATTTCTCAACGACTCCCTTCTATTGTACATCCTATCACCAAAAATATCATATTTGCTTGCCAATCTTTATTTTCATCAACTTTTTTGCAGTCTTATGATATTGTAGGAGATTACCAAGTATATAAAACAGAAATTATACGTATGTTTCATCTTGAAACATTAGAAAAAAATGGTTCAATAATATCTAAACCTAAAATAACACATATATCATTATTAATGGATGGTCTTTGGATGGCAACTGTTGATGAATGGGAATCGTTGAATGAAGACTATGATTTATATGAAGAAAACACAGAGATTTATCTTAAATTTTGGAGATGGGATTCAACAAACAAAAAATGGGATCTTAATACGCGAATAGATTCTCCTCACGGGCTTGGGAAAAAAGTAAATGGATTACACGCATCTCCAAATAAAAAGAAATTCTCTACCATCGGAAGTGATGGATCATTAAAAATATGGAAATTAAAGGTAAAAAACGAAAATGCGACAGTCAAAACGGAAATATGGATTTGTCACAAAGTTATTCGGTATACTAGAATTTCAGATGATTCATCCAAACAAAATGAAATATTTTGTATGACGTGGACATTAGACGGAAGTATGATTGTCCTTGGATGTCGTAATATTTTATTGATCGTGAATGAACAACTTGGAACAATATGTCATACAGTGAATAATCTCTATAGGGGAAAAATTATATTTCTTCAAGCGCTGGGAGCTTTTATCATTATTATTACTAAAAAAAATATTTTGGTGTGGGATATTTTAAGGGCTACTACTAAATGGTGTTTAGATATACCAAAAATTTATCAATCATTAAAAGATTTTTGTCTTGCTGCTGATCATGCAAATCAGCTTTTTGCTATTTCATTTAATAATCCTAAAGAACATAATTCAAAGCTTTATATTTTTAAAATAACATCGCCTATACCAATTTTTTTGCAACAGCATCCACATAGAATTATTGCACTAAATCATGTACCATTAAATTCTTCATTTTCTTCTTTTATATTTCTAGATCTTTCTGGGCAATTTTTTTCTTTAGCAACTGATGATACGGCTTTTATAAAAAAAAATGATTCAGAACCAATTCAAGAAAATGAATTTAGCCTTTCGAATATCTATGGGGCTTCTTTAAACAGAACAATTAAGTCATTACCAGAAGATGATATGCAGTTCAAAATTGTGTCCATGGAAACATTAAGCTTTATTTTCGATAAACCAGCGTATACAATGCCTTCATTAACAACTTTATTAGAAGAAACTATGAAATGGATAGGAGAACCACCATTGAAACCATTTTCGAAGACATTCTATTCTGAAAACCAAAAAAAGAATGAATAACTATTTTTATCACATTTTAACCATATATTAAACCGATTAAAAATACATTTATGCAAAAATAATTAAGAGTTAAGACGTTTATAATAGGAAAAGCCAGGAAATTCTAAGCCAATCAGGAAGTATCAAGCTCATTATTATTTCCCTAATTTAGAAAAAATATATAATTGATACTACAGATTCTTTTTTACTCATTTACAATATAAAAACATTTTTTGATTAACATTATAAACTCAATTCCAGGTAATACTACTCAACATAAACAACTCCATCGTTGACTAGAATCCGAAATATTATCATCCTTTTTAATTACATTGCGTAAACATTCTGACCACCGCATATAATCTTTTCTCCACATAAATGTGCCCCTTAAGCTACCTCGTGTTGGCCAATCGTACATTCCATCATCTCCATATTGAATTCCAAATTGCGGTAAATTGGGATCAATATGTCCAAGTTCAATTTTACCCAATATTTGACGAGCAACAAGCAAAAATGCATCATCAATTAAATGTGGTGTTAATGCTGAAACTTCTAACATAGAAAGACCTGTTTTTTACGATTCCAATCCCTCCATTTACTCAATTCTATGTCTTACCTTCACGATTTGCATATCCCATCGCTTCGTTTACTGTTACCTCTCGCTCTCTGTTACGATCTGATTTATTCCCAATTAATACAACCACAACATCTGGCGATGCTAGAGCACGTGTATCTCTTAGCCATGAAGGAAGACTTGTAAATGAATCATGGCTGAACAAATATATTAACCGTCTTAAAAAAAGTATACAAAAAAAAATACTTGGTAATATCATAAACAAGTAATGCGCCTGCTGCCGCTTGATAATAAGATCGTGTAACTGAACGAAACCGTTCCTGACCAGCTGTATCCCAAAGCTTACTTTGTTAATAAAAATTAAAAAAAAATATATGTATATAAAATAGATAAATCCGAAGTAAAATGTCTAGATATCCTAATATCTATATGCATAATATTGATTGTTTTTAATAAGAACCAAAGCTGTATAAAGATATGCATATAACACGCATACAACACGCATATATAACCTAATATTTCTTTGCATAGATATTTTTCGGAATTATATGAATTTTATAGTCTAATACATGGATACCTGCATACCTGTAATTTAATTCGTTTTTTACGCGCACCAACACCAAGTTTCACTACTTTACTGGAAAATTCTACTCCAATCGTATGAGAAGAAAGTGTTCTAAACTCATTCTTCACAAAACGATGTAACATACACGTTCTAATTCCCTTATAAACTACTTTCAAGACTAATCGTTTTATACTTGCCGCTTCCACTCGGCCCAATAATTATCAGTTTAATCAAATAATCATACATATTTTCCAGTTCCTGTTCATTTTCATAATCATATGTAGAAGAAACAGACGAAGAAATTGACTGAATCCGTTTCCAACGCATATTTTTATATACTTTTTCTTTTCTAAACACCGACTTTATTGATCGATAAATATCGAGAATAAAAAAACAAGGCAATAATTTTCTTAAAGAAATAAGAAGTAAAAAAAGAATTTAAAAAGTTTTAAGATCTTATTACAGAAATAGACCATGTCACACATACATTAAAATAGAGTATATCAGAAAAATAAAGACTAGATATTTTATTTTAAAATTAATTTTTTTTTGTTTAAATATTATAATCTAAAAACAAGAATGATTTAATATATATAAATGAATTTTAAAAGAAAAGTCTTTTGTGGCAAAAAAACAAGATTTCTTATCCAAGATTACAAAGATTATTCATTTAAAAAATACAACTATAAATTGATCTAAAATTAAACCATACAGATAGATGTATTTTCAATCACTGTACATACATTTATATTTTAAAACATTTATTAGTATTAACAAAGTTGGATCCAAAATAGAAATGAAAAACAGTAGAAATAAAATATATAATTATATTTTATTAGATTTTTAAATTAACTATTTAATAAAATTTATATTTTATGTTAGAGAAATTGAGTATTAAAATAAAAAAAAAGTTTTAAATATAAAATTTTTTAGTTTTAAAAAATATTTACAGCGTAACTTTTTAAAATCTCAAAAATAAAAAATTTGCAATTAAATATTTATTTCAAATTATTTCTCCTCAATTCAAAATATTTTTCCTTTCCTAAATTATATATTTGCTTTTATAATCATATGAAGCAAAATCCAAATAAATTATTTCTATTTCATTAATTCTAGTAATTTTAATGATCAATATATAAACTCCGTTATGCACTTATTTAATATATAAAAAATCTAATAAAAAAAAGAATTTATAAACATTTTTTATATAAAAATTATATAAATAGAGTTTAGCCCTGCTAATTTGACATTAATTCAAGTATTTATCCAGATCATTAGTACTCTTAAACACCGTTGCCATGGTAACACATATTTATTTTTTACCGACCTAGAAATTTCAATATTAACCAGAGAACAGGAATAAAAGTAAGAATATCCAGAATAAAACAGATAAAGAATTGCTTATATTCTTCTATATTTAAAAATGATTTCTTTTGAGGAATCAGTTGAGCATCAAAAAGAGAATATTGAACCTTTACGACAAGGACGTTCTATAACAAACTTGGCAAAATCATTTTCAGAAAATCCATGCGCATTGAGAGCAAAAAATGATCAAAAAAGATGTGTTTTTGAGTCGGAAATTGATGGATCAGATGATCTAGATGATCCTTTGGATATATGGGTTAAATATATTAAATGGACTAATGAAACATATCCTCATGGCCAAAGTGCGGAGAGTGGACTTGTTCCATTATTAGAAAGATGTATCCGTCGTTTTATAAATGTAAATCATTATCATGATGATCCTCGATATTTAAAAATATGGATTCAATATATAAGATATATAGATGATCCTCAAGAGGTATTTTGTTTTTTAGCTCATAAAGGCATTGGAAAATCGTTGAGTGCATATTATGAGGAATATGCAATTTTTCTTGAAGAAACAGGGAGGTATTTTAGCTTTTTAATATAATATTATGTTTTAAAAATCAATAGAAAATCTCAAGCAAATGAAATATATAAACTTGGAATTGAAAGAAAAGCGCATCCATTTGATCGCTTACAACGAAGATACGACGAATTTTTAAGAAGATCGCTTAATTCTTCTACGGCTGAGCCGAACTCTACTCTGATACCTACTCGTTCTGTATTATCTACGAAATTTTTATCAAGTCTTAATGAATCCGACAACATTAAACAGTCAAATAACGAGAAAAAAACATATAATGTGTCTCGTATAAATGTATACACTGATTCAGAGAATGAAAGATTCAATAAAATTTTTAAAACTGATACATGGGACAATATTGGGACAATTCAAGAAAGAAAAAAAGAAAATTATCAAAAAGCTAAGATGTGGGTTGGAGAGAAACTTCCTATGAAAAAGAAAAGTCAATCATCTGTAATTACGGAGAAGTTTAACGTTTTTTGTGATGAAGTATTTTAAATTAATTACAATATTTTATAGTAATAAATAATAGGAAAATAAAATATTTAAACAACCGTTAGTTCAATCAAAAGATATACCTCTTCCTAAAAAAGAAGAAAAAATTATGGTAAATTTACAGGAAATGTATTGTGATGGAAAAGAATTTTCATTAGATGAATTAAAAGCTAAAGCAAGAGGTTTTCTAGGAAAGACATGGGAAGACGATGAAATAAATACTATAATTCCTACGTATATCGAAGAAGAAACAACTTTGTTAAAAGGTTTAATCTTAAACTTTACATATTTTAATGTTCTTACTATAATAGATTCTCCTCAAATTTCTGATTTAAAAAAAAAACAAGCATCTCCTACTATCAATACGAAAGCAGCCTTAGCTGACATTTTTGACATTTTTAGTCAGCCTCTAAAATGTGAACAATCTGATAATAATTCTGATGATGACGATAATGAAGTTCTTTATCAAGATGATTCAGCGCAAGAACAAGTAAATAATACTACATGGAACCAGATTTATCCTTCAAGTGATTGTGTGTATGCCGATAATTCTAATGGAAAGTGTAAAAACACTGAGCACGAAAATCATAGCGAAAACAAAAACATAGATATTCTTAGAAAAAATAACTTGGATAATGAAAATTTATCATCTTATAATATTCCTTCTACTCCAAGTAATGAGAATTTTTCAGCCTCATTTGATAAACATTATTCTTCTGTCAATCCAATGGCATCTATTACTGAAGATATTGAACCTTTGTTACCAAATCATTTTGAATTACCTCAAAAAGAAAAACTGAAATATAATGAGTTAGAAGAGCCAATGAGTTCTCCTTTCCAAGAATCAGTATCTTTTCATCTAAATTTTCAAAAAGATGAACGACCTATAACACAATTTGCATCATTTAAACAAGAAGGTTCTTCAAAATCATATATTATAAAAGAACTTGTCTGCAATCCATTGGAAGATAGCATTAGGGATACTATACTTTCAAATTTAAATCCACCAATAGATTCTTATGATGGTTTATATAATTTTTCAGATAAAGTATATGGAAAATTAGATTTTATTGAACGCTTTAATAAACAATCATCTAGAAAGTCCTCAGCAACTAATAATCAGGAAGTAAAGATAAAATTATCTCAAAATACTACCTACCGTATAAAGAAGAAGCTTGGAGAAGGTGCATTTGCACCCGTATATTTAGCAGAAAATACTAGCAATTCATCGAACTCTACTCTGAAATTGAGAGCTATTAAGATTGAGCGCTCTTCTACACCTTGGGAATTCTATATAATACAACAAGCAAAATCTCGTCTAGGTACACATCGTGCATTAGCATCTATTATTGATGCTTACGAAATGCATATTTATCACGATATTGGATTTTTAATAATGAAATATAGAGATCAAGGAACAATCCTTGATTTAGTTAACGTATTTAAGTCAGAAACAGGAAATGGCGTAGATGAAATCCTTGCAATATTTTTTACTATAGAACTTTTAAGAACATTAGAACAATTACATAATAATGGTATTCTTCATGGTGATTTGAAGCCAGATAACTGTCTTCTTCGCCTGGATCCTCTTAAATATGAATGGCTTTCTAAATATCAAAGAGATGGATCAGGTGGATGGGCGTCTAAAGGAATTGTAATCATCGATTTTGGAAAAGGAATAGATTTGAGAATGTTTTCTCCTCAAGTACAGTTTATAGCCGATTGGCAAACAGATGAGCAAGATTGTGCAGAAATGAGGGAAGCAAGACCGTGGACTTATCAAATCGATTATCATGGATTAGCAACTATAATTCACACCCTTCTTTTTGGAAAACATATCGAAACAATTGCAGAAAAAATGCCAGGATTAGGCGTGGGACGTAGAAAATATCGTTTATCTAATGGATTTAAACGATATTGGCAACAAGATATTTGGAGAAACTTATTTGATTTATTATTAAACCCCGTAGCTAATGCTGGAGAAAATGGCCTTCCTATTACAAAAAATCTTAAACAGATACGTGAAGAAATGGAGACATGGCTTACAGAAAATTGTGAAAAGGGAGTCGGATTAAAAGCAAGTCTATGGAAAATCGAAACTTTATTATACGAACGAAAATAATATACAATATTATATAAAGCAATATTAATATTCCATAATAATTAACTTCGATATTAATATAGAAAGAAATATTATAATTATTTAATATCTACTTTTGTAAGATAACAAAATAGAAAAAATAAGCCTCATATAATATAAATTATTTGCTTTTTCTTTACATATAATCATTACAAACAATTGTTCTAAAAAACAAAATATAAACTTTAATCTAACTTATCAAAATCGACCTATATTATTTTAATATAGACCCTACTAGGATTCATAAATAAAACATTCATAAAACTTTTAACAAAATCACGAACAAGACCATTAACTTTGTAAATACTTCAAATATATTTATCATTTAAATTTTTTAGACATCTTATCTCCAGGCACCGAAATCATTAATTTATTAAATTTTTTAATTAATCTTTAAAAAAAATTAAATGATAATAAGACTCTTATTATCCTATAAAAACATTTAATGCAAAAAAATTCAAAAATATATTATCTTTTTTTATAATAAAAAACTATCTTAAATATTAAAATAAACCTTTATAATTCTATAACCTCTTAAAAAAATAGTAATAAAAAACATCATTTCATTAAAAAATACTGATAATTTATTTTTATAAAATCAAAATATTACAAATATAAATCACAAACATTCTTATATCTTCAGAAATTATAATCATTACATTAAATTATCAAATGAGATAATATTTTATTAAACAGATAAAACTCACAAATCAATAAAACACAAAAAACTCTATAAAAACTCATTTCATTCAAAAATCTTTTAATAAAAATTTAACCTTTCAAAATTATAAAGAAATAATTAAATCTTCGCCTTTTTTTAAAAAAATATCAATTCAAATAATTTATTTTTTAAAAGACTACTTTCTTTTTAAATTCAAGAATAATAATTAGAAAATATAAAACTATTTATTCAGAACTTTATACAACCTTTCTATAAAAACGGTTTACTTTTTAAAAAAAATTAAAAAAAATATATACATTATTTAAAATTTTATGTAATGCTATTTTTTTCTAATTATTTAACTTGGATTAATCTTTTTTTTAGATAAATTTCTAAGTTTTATTGAGAGTGTTAAAATTTTTAAGAATATATCATAAGGATTTTTAAAAAAAAACATATATTCGTTAAAAAATAGGAAAAATGAACCAAGCAGGTCGCCAAACATTCAACCAAATGGCAGCAATGCTTCGTTCAAGAACTACTAATAATGGACAAACTACAGGCGGTGGTAATAGTGCAATCATAGGAGCGGGATTAGTTATTGGACTTGCAGGTCTTGGAATGTTAATAAACTTATCATTATATAATGGTAAAGGATTGAAATAATAAAGATTAAATAATCAGAAAAAATACTAATAGAATAAGTGGATGGAGGTCATCGTGCTATTAAGTTTTTATATATCTAAATTATAAAAGAATTGATTAATAAGGGTTTAGATATAGTCGGATTTCAGGTGTTAGTCCGAAAATATATAGTGAAGGAACTCATTTTTTTATACCTTGGATTGAAACACCATATATTTATGATGTTCGTGCTAAACCAAGGAATATTGCATCTCTTACAGGAACAAAAGGTTATATATTATTTTTAAGAAGATTCATTAATAATAATATAGATCTGCAAATGGTAAATATTACATGCCGAGTCCTTTCTAGACCTAATGTTGCTGCACTTCCAACAATATATCGTACTCTTGGTTCAGATTATGATGAACGAGTTCTTCCTTCAATAGTTAATGAAGTTTTGAAAAGTGTTGTTGCACAGTTTAATGCAAGTCAACTTATTACACAAAGAGAAAAAGTTTATTAACATTTTATAAGTAATTTTTATTAATATAATATCATAGGTATCAAAACTAGTTCGAGAAAGTCTCGTTCGCCGAGCGGATATATTTAATATAAAACTTGATGATGTTTCATGTACTTCTCAAGATATCTGATTTACTAATACTAATTTTTATAGTAACACATGGTTTATTGAATTATTCTTTTCATATTACAAAAATATATTAATTTAAATAGTACAATTTTCACCAGAGTTTACAGCAGCAGTCGAGGCAAAACAAGTAGCACAGCAGGAAACACAAAAAGCAGCATATTTAGTTGACCGTGCCCGTCAAGAAAAGGTTTACAAATGCCAACGTTTTTTATTTCTAATATTATCTAGCAAGGTGCCATTGTTAGAGCTCAAGGAGAAGCAAAATCAGCTGAGCTTATTGGCGAAGCTATTAAAAAGAGTAAAGGCTTTTTAGAATTAAGAAAAATTGAAGCAGCCAGAGAAATTTCACGCATTCTTTCTGAGGGTAATAATAGAATATTTTTAAATGCAGAAAACTTAATGCTTAATGTTGCTGAACAAAAGTATGAACTTAATAATCGGACATATGATCTAACAAACCATAGAGATGAAACAGTCAAAAAATAAAAGTTATTAGGATTTCGTTTTCATTTACGTTTCATATAACTTTATATAATTTATATAAATTATATTTTTTACCAAGAACAAATTCCTGTTTACATATTTCCTTTCAAAATACGTTCCGTTAGCTTTTCTTTAGCTATCTGATAGGCATTCATCAACCCTTTTTCACTTAAATCAACATGAGAAATTACATCTGAAAAAGAAGGTCGTGCAATTCTCGAAGCAATTACTGTAGGTTCTGTTTCTACAATAATCCTAGATAAAATCAAAAATAATCATCTAAACATAAAATATCCTACCCATCGTCACATATTTCATTAACTACAAGTGAAAGTAAATCATAATTTTCCAACAATGCATGCTTATCAATCAACATTCTTCAACATATTAAAAATACAAAAAAAACATTTCATTATACTTTAAAAGAATCTCTAATGTTTCCTTAAGTGTTGTTAACAACTCATATAACATCAATTCATTTTCGTCTTGTCCACCCACAATATACATTGTAATATCGATCGATGTTTTATAAACCACCATATAATTTTCATATAAAATAATCTCATTATTTGTCTTCTTAGTCTTCTCCCAAAGACCTTTTTCAAAAGCTTTCTGGTTCTTAACTGTTGAATATAAATTTGAACGAGCTGTTCCTGTTTGAAAAACAGAATGAGGAGGTTGACAATACTTTGCAAAAATACGTTCTCCTGATGAATCTAACTAGAAACATGTTAATTATACCCTTAAAGCCCGTAAAACATACAATTAAAATGGCGTGAATAGTGTAAAGTGTGAAATTCATTTTTTCTTATAAGTTAAAAAGACGGCTACAGAGGTTGTGAAAAGTATGTTGTCATGACAAGTCTCCATAGAAACCAAAAATCTAAGATAAGATAAAGCAAGATTTAAATGTTAAAGATATTAAATATGTTTAAAATTTAAGAAGAAAACTAATAAGAATATATTTTAAAAATGTTTACGACGATTAGTTTTGGAGAAAATATCATTTTTAGATTTACCCATCATTGTTTTGAGAGTAGGAATATAAACAGGAGATAATAGTTCGGAATCTTTTAAAGATTGGATTAGTTCTCTTTCTCGTGGAAAAACCTTTTCATCATCTTCACAAAGTAGATCAATTGGTAAAGCATTCCAATAAGCAATAATACTACGAATTGCCTTTCCTTTTTTAGTTGAACCCGGTTGTAATTTAATTTTATATTTATATTTAGCCATAGAAGAATAAGGAGCACAAATAGGAATTGCTTCTACCAAAACATCATCAGATAATGGAAATGGTACAAAAGCATCCAAATTTATTTCGTAATTCTTAAAAAAATAAATAATTAAGAAATAAAAGAGAAATTTACCTTTTCTTTATTATTAGGTACTTTAATATTTTCTTTCACCAATAAATGGTTATTTTTTTTTTCAGAATTATTCTGAAAAATTTCTTTTTTATTATTATAATTATTATTACCACCAGTATTTTTTATATCTTTATTTGCCTTATGCTTTTTATTTACTATAGACTTTTTATTTTCTTTTAAATCTTTCTTTTCAGAACTTATATTAGACCCTAACAATTTCATTCTTAAAATTCTATCATTTTCATCTTGATCTGCATATTTAAGCATTATTTTTTTTATTTTTCCTTTCTTTCCCCTTACATTTGTTGATAATAAATTACCATTTTCTTTCGTTTTGTTTGTATCAAGAGGTTTTGAGTTTGAAATTTCCGTGCCAACTTTTATATTTAATGACTCAGAATTCTGGTCTTTTGTGTTCCCAGAATTCACCTTTGTTTTTCCAGGATTCTCCTTTGTTTTCTCAGGATTTTCCTTTGTTTTCTCAGGATTCTCCTTTGTTTTTCGAGTTTTCATTTGCATATTTTTTATATCTCGTCTTTCCTTAAAACTCATTCTTTTTTTTTCAATTTTTTGATAAATAGTACATATATCAGAAATAATTTTCTTGCTTTCTAATGATAAAGGCTCATGATATTCTTCCAGGTTATATTTGCTTTCATTCTCAATTTCTTCTAAAGGTTTTTCAATCAATGTATCTTTTAAATATATTAATGGGTTATTTTGATTACTAGATTCCTCAAAATTATCTATAAAACTCTTATCTAATGTATCAGTAATGTCCACTTTTTTCTCTTCGTGATTTAATGAAAGATCAATTATTTTTTCAGTAACAAATGTAGCTTCCTGATTTAATGTTATATTGATCAACGAATTATTTTGATTATTTTCAGATAATTTATTTTTAAGACGACGTACTTTACTATCTTCATCAACAACCCATAAAATTCCGTATCCAAGAATAAGTTGTGAGGGAGGCAAAAAATTCTTTTTTCCTTGAATTGTAAATACTTCAATAAGCGATTGCTCTTCAACGTCTTCATGCTTGATAACTTGATCATAACGAACCCTAAAATTAGTCATCTATATTTGTGTAGAGATATAGATAAATATATTACCACCATGCACTTGTAACAATTTTACTGGTCCTTAGATAATTAGTATAAATTTGATAAATAATAACAAATCATTACCATGCATTTGACTTAGATATTGAAAATGCACCAGCCTGACTAAGAGTGCTTGGAGGGACAAATAATGAATCATGCATATTTTTAATAATGACAACAGATGCGTCCTTTAAATCAGCATGTACATATATATCATTTTCGAAAAAATGATCTTTTATCAAAATTTTATCTTGCAATGAATCACGCCCTCCTAATACTAAATATCCATCCGAACTAATAAACCATAAAAATTTCTCAAACCAACGTAAAGTCCTCATAGGAACTATTTTTTTTTTTTCTTGTCCAGCACTTTTTTTTAAATCAAACTTAATTTTTCTCTCTGCATTCTTCAATGCTTTAAAAGAGGCAGCTACAGTTTTCTTTTCTTTTATTGATGCAAGTTTTTTCTTATCATAATAATCTCTAGCATTTGCTTAATTTAATTAATATTAAAAAAATAATATAAATAAATATCTATACCCCATGCATTCATTGATAATTTGATATCAATATCTAATGTTTCTGTTCTATCTTTTTGAATATGAAATAAATTAGAGTCCTGTCCCTGTTCAAAAGCATCATCTGAACGCACAGAAGATAATTTAATTGTAATGGTATTTAATTTTAATTTAAGAGGAAGAGATATGATTTTAGCAGCAGGATTTCCGTATTCTTTCTCATTTTCAATCAATTTAGCGATATCATTCCTAATTATTTATTAAATTATAAAATTACAAATATCTATACTTTACCAATCCATACTCTGCAAAAGGCAATCGTTAACTGCCTTAATTGTTTCATCAACCTAAATAAATTATTACTATAATAGAACAATATTTGTATGAATACTATTTCCAAATTTTCTTCTATAGCAACTGCTTTCTGTATAGAAATATTTTGAATTTTTTTTAGATCATCAATCTTCTTTTGAAGCTCTTCTTTTGTTGCCTGTAAACGTCGATAAGCAAGATCTTCCTGATGTTTCAATTTCATGTCGAATTTCTGGGATTCTAGTGAAGAAAAAAACATATCTATACAACTATTATAGTTATCATATGCAATAATAGAATAATCTGGATTATCAGAAAATTGTTTTGGAATAAATGGATTAAAATCTAAATAAATTCTTATATAATCCAAAGTAGACTCTGCTTGAATATTGTTTAAATTTTCACTTTTAACTTTTATTGGTTCTTTTTTCTCAACAATATATCCAGTCACAGGATTCTCTCTACATTTTCTAATAATATCATCCGCTTTTTTGAAAGACAAAAGTAGATCATCCATATTAATGCTTTCTAATAAAGTAGTAAATAAAAAAATCATAAATAAAAAATAAAATAAACTATCAATAATAAATATACTAACCTAAATTCGAATAAAACTCATCAAGTTTCATATCAGGGTCAATATTAGCATCTCTTATGATATGTTCAATAAGAGAATTTCCATAACCACTTAACTCCCAAGAAATAAACTTCTTTAAAGGAAAATCCTTTAGTGTTTTTCCCTTTTTTAATGCCTTTTTGCAAACAGATAAAGAAAAAATATTTTTCGATGAAACATCATCAGAAAACGTTATATATTTATCTTTTAATGTATGAATTAGAGACAATAAACTATCCTTTGTCATTTCAGCTTCATCTTGAGAAATACTAGATGAAACATGATATATTTCTCCTACAGAAAACTGTTTACGTTTATCACCAAATACTACCATACGATAAAGAAAAAGTATTTTCATATTTTCATCTGCCAAAATAATATTTCCTGAAGCATAAAACTCAAAAATAAGATAATATTGAGCTTTAAACAATTCTTTCGTTTCATTACTTCTTCCAAATCCTAAATATACAATTCTATCATTACAAATATGCTTCAAAGACACAAGTTGTCTATTTTTCAAATGTTTTCGTAGTTTAGCACAAAATTGTGATGGTAATGCTGCTGTTTCACGAACATATCTTGTCAAATGAATCCGAGACCCACATTCTACAAGAAGGTACTCCTTGCGACCAGAAGATGAAAATTTAAACTGAAAAATCCTTTCTGAAATATCATAAATATTTTGTAAGCGAAATTCTAAAAGTTCCTGTAACTCGCTTACAACGCTTTTTAAATCTAAAATACTATACAAATTAATGAAAAACAAAGATAAAACTAAACAAATACTTAAGCCTTTGTTTCATATTAAATATAATTCTTAATAAAAGTGCAATAAACCATACTTATTATTAGAATTTTGCCCAGTTTTTCTGCCTCTGAAATTGATGTCGTTCCAGGTTACCTAGGCAACCAGCAATATGATCAAACCTAAATCAAATGTTGAAATAAAAAGGCTTTTAAGAACAACAAAAAAAGAGTCTTTCAAGATCCATTTAACCCTTTTTTTGATTCCATTTATATCTTTTTATACGAATAAATAAAATATGTCAAAAATATTAAACAAAAAAAAACTTTAAAATATAAATAAAATTAAAATATAAAAAAATACAATTATTTTTTCTATAACATATTCTTTTTAAATTATTTTAAACCATATATTTTCACATTTTTATATAAAAAATAATGAAAAAAAAGGATTTATTCAAATATATGAAAAATGTCTATGTTAAAAAAATATTTTAATCATCTATAATACAGAATATATCTATTTAATATGGATTCTAGCACAATTGGAAATTTGATAATTATTTTTTTAAAATAAAAACAAGTTAATAAAAAATATTAAAAAAATCAAATAATGGGTAATTTTACTTAAAAATCTTAACATATATATATAATCTTTGTGAAAATATATTATAAAAAGAAAGGATTTTTTTTCAAAAAAAAAAGAACAGATTTGTCTTAAAATATCAAGAAATTCAAAAAATAAAATTTAATTCTCAAAATCATTTTTTTACTTTATCAAACGGCTTAATCTTGCAATTAATTTTCTAAAAAAGATATCTTCTTCAAACATAAAAGGCTTTCTGATATATTATTGGATTAAGAATGTTTTTACATATATAAAGTCTCTCAAAAAGCAAAAGTTTTATTGTTAATCTAGAAAAAATTTAAAAATGATTCGAACAAGTTGCAAAAACCATAAAAAAGAACTTTTAACAAGAATCCTACCAGTATCATCAGAATCGATTAATTTTTATGAGAACAAATTGAAAAAAGACTTTTTTAATAAAGATTTTTTAACTATTTTACCATCAGATACACTTGATGCACTTCAAGAAGCAGTACAGATTCTTAAGGAAGGATTATATCCTGTAGCATTTCCTACAGAGACAGTATATGGTTTAGGGGCAGATGCAACAAATTCAGAGGCAGCAATGTCTATTTTTCATGTCAAAAATCGTCCAGCAGATAATCCTTTAATTGTTCATATATCATCACTTAATCAATTACAACGTCTATTTCAACCGGATTTTAAAAGTTCAAAAGCAGAAAACCTTATACCTCCTGTTTATATTCCATTAATTAATCAATTTTGGCCAGGCCCTCTTACTATTATTCTTCCAGCTCGGCATTTAAAGATTTCACCAATTGTGTCAGCAAAAAAAGATACAATAGCTGTTAGAATGCCATCAAATCTTATAGCATTAGCTCTCATTACACTTTTTGGCATGCCTATTGCAGCACCATCTGCTAATATTTCAACAAGGCCATCACCAACACTCGCTTCACATGTATATTCTGATCTTAAAGGAAAAATTCCAATCATTTTGGATGGTGGTCCATGTAATATTGGTTTAGAAAGTACGGTAATAGACGGTCTTGTAGATCCACCTGTTATTTTACGACCGGGGTCTATTAGCAAAGAACAAATTAAAGCATGTGGAGGTAAATGGGAAAACATTATTGTTTATACAAATAAAAATCTGAACAAAACTTCGGAAATAATAGCTCGTGCACCAGGTATGAAATACAAACATTATTCGCCAAAAGCGAAAGTTGTATTATTTGAGCATGTCTCAGAAGAATCTGTAATAAAATGGGTTATGCAGAATATCACTACTGATATTAAAAAAAAAATGCATATTGGAATAATGAGAACAATGCATTGGAAACGAGAGAAATTAAATGATATATTTCTAAATTGGAAAACTCTAGATTGTGAACTTGGACATACCGGCACTGAAATTACTAGGAATTTATTTTCTGAATTAAGAAATATGGATTATCATAATATAGATTTGATTCTTGTCGAGGGAGTTTCAGAAGAAAAAGAAGGATTAGCAATAATGAATAGAATTAGAAGCTCAGCATCCATAATTATTTCAAACTAATTGCTTTAATATTTATATTCTTTAGAATAGTTAATTATCATCATATACAAAAACAAAATATATTATTATTGTAGAAATATATTTCAAAAAGTCTATTTTGAAATATCTTTTTTAAAAACCATTAATAATATAATATTTATGAAACATAAATTAACATATGATAATTGTACCTTTTAATTATAGTAATACTATATTATATAAATATAATTAGCTCTTTAGGTATATTTTTACGTGTTCTAAATTTTCGTATCTCATCTATCCAAAATACAGTACTTGCAACAACTATTAAAAATAAAAGTTCAAAGAAACTTAAAGGTTCTGTATAAAATACTTTTTGAAAAAATGGTAAATAAATAACAGATATTTGTCCCAAAAAAGACCCTAAAATTGCTAAATTAAAAATATTATTGGAAAAAAAACCTATGTTAAAAATAGATTTTATGTTAGAACGACATGTCAATGCATTAAAAAGATCAAAAAATACAAAACAAGTAAAAGCCTACAAAAGTTAGAAAAAAAAAAAGAATATAATTATACCATAGTAATAGATCTGCGCTCTGTATTTTTGCGCGTTTGAGAAATATATATTAAAATAGTCCCAAGAACAATGAGAAATGAAGAAATAATAACTTTTTTAAGAAGGGGTTTTGTTAAAAGAGAAATATCTTTTTTGCGAGGACAATTTGGAATAATATTAGAATTAATAGATTCACAACCGAGACTTTGTGCTGGTGGACCATCCATAAGAATATCTAATAATGATTAATTCAATTATTAAAAAAAATGAATAAAATACTTATCCACAAAATTTGTGTAGCAGTTAAAGGATTTCCAAAACCGAAAATTATTGAAATAGCAATTAAAGATAGTGAAGCAATACATGTCGATAACTGAAAGGCTATAAAGTTGCTAATATTATAATAAATACCCTTGCCTGCAAAAATAATAAATATAAGCAATTAATATTGATAATTAATTTACCTTCATCAATTGCATCCAAGATAGTTGAAAATGAGTCATCAGTCAATATCATGTCTGCAGCTTCCCTTGCAACATCAGTGCCTTGCTTTCCCATAGCAATACCGATATCAGCAAGTTTTAAAGCAGGAGCATCATTAACACCGTCACCTACCATAGCGACTACATCTCCTCTTATCTGAAGTGCTTCTATTATTTTCATTTTCTGTCTGGGAGTAACTCGAGAAAATATACTAATATTAGGTAAAACTTCAGAAAGTTCTTTAATTGTCATTTTTTCAAGATTACTCCCAGACATTATAGTCACAAAATCCTTAGAATTTTCATTAATATAATATGATTTTGAATACTGAATTGGAATTCCAAGTTTATATGCAGTAGATAGAGCAGCAGCTTCCGAATCACCTGTTATCATAACAATTCTAATAGAATTCTGAATTAAATGCTGAATAGACTTCTTAACATTCTTTCTAAGTGGATCAAGTAATCCAATAAGACCTGCTATAGTAAAACCCTTATCATTTATAGATGAACCAAATAAACTAGCTAAAGCTATAACTTTTAATCCTTCATGAGCCATTTCAGAAGCAACTTTATCAACTTTATCAATAACATCTTTCGTTAATGGTATCTCTACTGCATCTTTTTCCAAGATTGAAGCAGATTTTATGCATATTTCTTCAAATGAACCCTTTGCATACACAACACTTGATGAAGGGGTCATAGAAGATGGATATGCTGTTACAGACATCCATTTTCTATCTGAAGAGAAGGGAATTTCCTGGAGTCGTGTATAAATCTTTCTAATATCAAAAAAACGTATTTCCATAAAAATCAAAATTACCATACGATTATCAGGATAACCATATTTTTCAATCAATTCCATGATTGCAACGTCAACAGATTGCCCAACAAATTTTTTATTACTAATTTTTTGAGCATTATTACATAGATTAGCTAAAAATTGATTTTTAAAATAAATAAAATAAAACAAACCTACCAATATTCAAAAGACAATTCAGAGTCTTATCTTCCATAAACAATGATTTCTTAAAGTTAGATGAAAGATCAATAAGTCCATTTCTACCTAGGGTAAATATCTTTTGTACAGTCATATGATTTTCAGTTAATGTTCCTATTAATAATCAAAATATAAAACAAATATTATAATGAATACCTGTTTTATCGCAACATATAACATTAACACTTGCTAATGTTTCAACACTCGGTAAATTTTTAACAATTACTTTTTTATTTGACATACGATAAACTCCTAAAGCTAATGTAATGCTTATAATTATAGGAAGGCCTTCAGGAACAGCAGCAACTGCTAAAGATATAGAAATAGTAGACATTTCTAACCATGATCTTCCTTGTATTAACCCAACCAAATATATTATCAGTATAATAATAAAAGAAAACATAGAGAGCTGTTTTCCAAGATGATTCATTGATTTTTGCATTGGAGTTTCTGGAGACTTTATCTAAAACCAGATAAATATCAAACAAAAAAAAACATCCATATTACATGTTGCATATCCAGAATAGCTGCACCAAACTCCGTATCTTTTCCTGTTCCAATTACAATACCTAAACCATTGCCTAAACATCTAATTAAACATTATAGAGTATTTTATACACAGATATTACCATGTCTTACAAATGTTCCCATAAATGCAATACATTTACGTTCAGTTATAGGGATATCATAGACGCTTTTAGAAATAGCATCCGCATTCTTATAAACAACATTTGTTTCTCCCGTCAAGTTCGATTCGTCTATCCCAAGATCAATCGCCTATATATTTTAATCAGAAAATCAAAATCAAATATAAAGCTCATCCAATACTTCTGATATTCTCAAATCTGCCGGAATACGGTCACCTGTAGAAAGTCGAATTAAATCACCTGGAACAAGCTCAATTGCTTCTACATATTGTTCCTGACCATTCCTAATCACATGACAATAATGTGGTAACATCTTATTTAATTCTTTCAATGATTTTTCAGAACGGTATTCTTGAATAAATCCAACTATATCATATATCAATTTAAAATTATATATTCAGATCCTGATATACCTGAAACAACCATTATAATCGCCTATATAGATATTCACCATAAATATTCTTGCAAATAATATATAAAAACAACTCACCACAATGATACTTAGTGCGTCACTAATATTTCCTACCAATATGCTCATCAAAGCACTCACAAATAGTAATATCATCAAAAAATTGCCCAACAACTGTTTTAAAAACCGGAAAAATGGAAACCCTATCTTCTCAGGTCCCAAAAAATTACTCCCATAGACGGATTTACGATATATAATGTCTTCTTGACTCGATAATCCTGTTTTATGGCATGTATGAAGATATGCACAACATTCTTCAATACCAATGCTCCAAAAGTCGTTTTTGAGCTGGATTTTCGAAGGTAATACAGAATAAGGCAATCGTCTAGGCTTATCTAAGGATTTCTTGGGAGTTTTTCTTGACATTTGATATATTTCTAAGCCATAATAAATACTTAGGTTTTTTTTTTGAAGAAAATCTAATATGGAGATAGAAAAAAATATAAAATAAAATGAATTATAAAATACAGAAATCATATAAATGAAAGATATAAATAAAAAGATATGAATATTAAATAAAAATAAGAAGGATATTTGATGTAAAAATATTAAGCAGTATAAACTGAAGAAGCCACATGACCCCCATGACCAGTCCAATCAATATGAACGTTTTTTACATCTTTAAATTTATCAGTTATTACTTCAGGAAGAAACTGGAAAGTATGAGCACCTAGAAAATAAGTATAAAATAGGAAGAAAAGGAGGAAAATACCAAAATAATCTCTTTGAGCCTGAATTAAATTAGATGGAAGCCATTGGCTTCTGTATCCATCAAAGAATGAAAGAGCAGTAGAAAAGGCGGGGGTTGGAATCCCAATTTCAATAGCAGTTGAAACAATTTTTCTCCACGAAGGCTCAGCAGTTATTATAGCGTTATGAAAAAACGGCTCTATAATAATTAAAAGAAATAAAAAAATGTTAAGAAAAATCATTACCAAATAAAAGGTTTTCTAAGTCAGGTGATGCTAGATAGACTTTGGAAATTTCATTTAAAAAAATACTACGAATAATACAGCCACCTAATCTAAAATTAATATAGAAGTTAAAAAAGAAAAATATATATACCTTGCCACATATGGGAGATACTGGAATTATTAAGTTTCCATCCATATTTGATAGAAGCTTGTTTTAACAACATAAAACCTTGAGTGTAAGAGATAATTTTACTAGCATAAAGAGCCTTTCAAGTTTTAAGAAAAAAATATAATATAAAGGAAAACATACTTGTTCTAAATGAGAAATAAACTCCTTTTTATCACCAGTATATTTGAAACTCATATTTTGAAATCTTTTACTAGCTTTGATCCTTTCTTCACGAATGTTTGAAAGACATCTCGAAAAAACTGCCTCACCAATAAGTGTTGTTGGTACACCTAGATCAAGTGCACTCATTGCACTCCATTTTCCGGTACCTAATATACATTAAATTGAAGGAGATGCCTATATTAAACAATGCACCTTTTTGTCCAGCAGAATCAAGAATTTTGTCAATTACATACTCTCCATTTTCATCAGTATAATAAAAAATATCACAAGTGATTTCAATCAAAAATGAATTAAGAAAACCTTTATTCCACTCGCTAAAAACATCACCAATTTCCCGATTACTCATAGAAAGACCCCGCTTCATAAGATCATATGCCTCACAAATTAATTGCATATCACCATATTCAATACCATTATGAACCATCTTAACAAAATGTCCAGAACCCGACTCACCAATCCAATCACAACACGGTTTACCATTAGATTTTGCAGAAATGGATTGAAAAATATCTTTAATATATTCCCATGCATCGAAATTCCCTCCTGGCATAATCGATGGCCCATATCTAGCTCCATCTTCTCCTCCTGATATACCAGCTCCAACAAAAAGGATACCTTTGCTTTTTAAACTTTCATATCGATTATTTGTATCAATAAAATAACTATTTCCACAATCTAAGATCATTGGTGATTTAAAAAATAACCATTTGTTTTTTTACCAATAATAATATCACCTTTTTCTAAATATGGTAGAAGAAGTTCAATAAATTCATCTACAGGAGATCCTGCTTTAACAAGAAGCATTATACGTCGAGGTTTCTTCAAAAGAGAACAAAATTCTTCAATAGAATGTGCTCCAAGAATAGATTTTCCTTAAATTATTTATCAATTTCTTTCTATAAAAAATTATAAATAAAACCCATAGCTTCTTTCTCCAAAAAGCAATCAACCTTCGATACTGTACGATTAAATACTGCAACAATAAACCTGTATATTATATATAAAAACCAATATTTAAAAAATAAACGTCTTAAAAAAGACAATTTGTTAACAAACCCTTTATCAGCAGAATTTAAGACAAGATTTTGACCCATGACAGCCAATCCAATAAGACCAAAGTCTATAGAGCCGGTTAAGACCTAATATTTATTTTCTTTTAAAATAAAAAACAGCCCATACCAGCACTAAATTTTTAAAGAACTTTAGTACAGATTTTTAATGACAAAAAAGCAAAATACATACATATTCTTTAGACCTTTAGAATTCATATATTAATCTTTAAAAATCTCTGCAATAATAGCTTTTATTTTCAACTTTAAACTCCAAATTCAATGTCGTTAATAAATGAAAAAACGTATATTAGGATTTTTTTTTAAAAATAAGTATAGAAATATATAAAAAGAGATAAAAATGAACATAAATGAGTAATAACTGCGTATAAACGTATATATTGTGTAGAATATATAAGATATAAGGCTATACCGAGATATATGTATAAAATAGAATAATTTATAAAGATTCAGAAATAAAAGTATAAATATCAAAAACGTTTGTATTTAAATTAAAAGATAATATAAAAATGAATTTTGAAGATCATGTTTAACGATAAGAATGATCGGCTAAAAATATGAATAAAATATTTGATAAAAAAAATATACCTTGGATTGATCGAGAAATCTCAGCTTCCCATTTATCTCCATTAGAAAGAAGTTTTTCTTTATTATACAAAAGTTCTTCGTGAGTTTCTGTTGCATATTCAACATTTGATGTCTCGACTATAGCATCGACAGGACAGCTTTCTTGGCAATATCCACAATAAATACATTTTGTCATATCTAAAGTATCAATATTAAAATATATTAATAAAAAATAAAAACCTATATCATAGCGAGTTGTACGACGTGATCCATCCGCACGTTCTTCCGCTTCAATTGTAATTGCTTGAGCAGGACATACTGCTTCACAAAGTTTACATGCAATACATCGTTCTTCTCCTGTTGGATAACGACGTAAAGCATGTTCCCCACGAAATCTAGGAGAAACCGGTCCTTTTTCAAATGGATAAAACAATGTATATCTAGTAATTCATAAAAACATTTATATATCTTTAAAAACACATACGGTGTTCGAAAAAACTGCTCCAAAACGACGTACATTCCCCGAAGCATCTCTGACAATAAGAAATAATCCCCTACTTTATCTAAAATAGACTTTTTATACTTTCTAGATGTTTTAGATATTCTTGATGTTCCTGATGTTTCTACTAATGATTCTACAGAACGTGGACGAAAACCAGTTGGTGGAGCTGCCTTAACTGACCTACTAAAAGCCAGTGTTCTGCAGTAAATATGAGTAAAATATGGAAGAACCCTATCTGTTTTCTTGCAAAAATAACCTCTTATCATCTTCACTTGAGAATAAGATCTTTGAAGATATTAAAATCTTAGTTAAATAAAAATAGCGTTTCCATAGCAACTATGATGACCCGGGTGAAATATCAAAATTTCAGGATAAAATTAAATACGATATTAAAGATTCAAGAAACACGGAAGAGCTTTTAGTGTTTTTTTTGAGGAAAAAGACTTATTTTCTAAAGAAATATAGAAAGAACGACTAATTAAATATATATAGTCCTTTTTTTCTGTTTTTTTTTTTCAACGTTTAGCCTTTTTTTTTAAATCATAAAAGATGGGAAAAGTAAATCTATTTTAATTTTGATTAATTTATATATTAAACAAATATAGGTTCATGGATCTCTTGCACGGTGAGGTTTTATAGAAGAGAGTGTTTTTTTGGCTAATTTATATGTTATTTTAGTGCAGGAAAAGTAAAATCGTGAGTTTAATTTATTAAACTGTAAAAATGTTAAGATAGGTTTTTAGACAAACACCTAAAGTGGAGAAACAAGAAAAGCCTAAATGTCCATGTGGACGAGCACATAAACGACTTCAATATAATCGTCGATTTATTAATATGGTATCAATAAGTTTAGGAGGGAAACGAAAGGTATACAGAACAAATACATTTAAGAGAAATTTTAAGATTAAATCAGATGAATCCTGCACCAGTTTCGTGAAAATCTGTTTTTTAAATCTTAAAAGAATTTATAAAACATTTAAGATAGTTATATTTCAATATTAAGTGTAAAACCTGTTTCTTTTTTTTTCATAAATATTTTCTTAAATTATTAAAAAAACCCGTAATGCAAAGTCCAATCTCGATCTCAATCGAGTCCTGAGCTCAGATTCAGAGGTAGAATAAAATCTTTTCAAAAGGCAAATATAAATGAACAGCTAAAAAAATTGCAAATTTAAAAAAAAATATTATAGTAAAAATAAAATATTATAGCAAAAATAAAATATTTAAAAAACCTTTAATATATATTTCAATAAAAGACTACAAGCGGATACTAAGCAACAAATAATATTCAGAAGAAAAAGAAGCAGAAGGAACAATTCTAAACCCAATCCAAATAAGACCTTTAACTAAGGATTCTACAACACGTAAACTATAAGAAATGTATAAAAATATAGATTTACCAAGTCCAGAAGATAACTTCTTAATACGAATAAACAACTCATTGCAAAAAAGAAAAATAGAAGCAAAATCAATAATTGCTACTAATCTAATCATTCTTAATAAACATAAAATAGAAAATAAATGTATGAAAAGCATACCTTTGTTTTAAATAAGGCTTATTGCAAATATCTCCAATAATATAAATATTACGCTTATTTTTGGAAAACGTTGTTATCCCACGACATAATACTTTATTATTCTCATTGATACTAACGCTTTCAACCACGTCATTGCCTTCAATACCAAATTCTTTCCACCAAACTCCACATATCAATCTTTCTCTTAATACAGAAAACCCTGATTCACTTTCAAGAGACGAAGATCGAGAAAAACCAGCAGTATCATATTTCCCTGAGGCAGAGGAAAGTACATCCAAAGATGCTCCCGCAGATGCAGGAGGACTATATTCACACAAGACCTAACAGATCATTACTATAAACCATTTTATTCAACTTCAAAATACCTCAGGGACACCACTGAATATTTCTATCGTTTATTCTACGATAAACATATTTCTGAAGTTGCGACGAAGAATTAGGCTGTTTCAGTGGCGTTACCGTGCATGTTAAAGAAACAGTATCATAATAATTATATTCCATATCATTATCTAAAACCTTAGAGCATGGAGACATAAGAATCTCATTGTCTAAGTCTATTTCCTGACTATTCAAATAATAAACAGTATTATTATGCGCCATCTACGTAATTCTGATATTTAGTTCTCTTTATAAAGCCCTTGTTACGATATATTAATAAAACTAAATTTTTTAAAAATACGAAGTTTCTAGATTTCGGAGGGGTTTTATATATTTTTGGAAAAATCACGTGATATTATATAGATGATATAAATATATGAGTATAAAAATTATAAGGAAATAAGTGTTAAATAAAAATAAAAAGTAATTCAGAGAAATTGATTGTTTAAATGTAAAAGCCTTTGTTTTAAAAATTGAAAATAAAATATAAATATTTTGAAAATAGGAGTTCTGTTTTTTTATAAAATATTAATAAGCAGCGATGATTGTAATATATTTTAAAAAGATGGATTTTATAGATAATGAAATTTTTAAAAATATATCATCTTTAAAATCCAAGAAGTTTTTATGAAACCTTAAGTGCAATTTAATTAATTTTTAATTACATGAGTTTTCTATTTTCGTCTTTTTATGAACTTGATTTATTTGCTGATTTTCATCAATATTTGGAAGTCCATTAGAAATGGATTTCTTTTTCTTTTTAACTAAAGCATTTACATCATTGGCATTGGAAATTATATCCAAAAGCGTTTTCTTTACATCTTGAGAATTTCTTACTATATTTTCAAAATCAGGAGTTTTTACAACCGTTTTCTCAGGATTTTTTTCAAGTTCTTTAATCTAATAGTTTTTAACAATAAAATAAACTTCATATATTTCTAACCTTTTGTCTAAGTTCCAATAACATATCCTGTATTTCAGATTCTTCTTTCTCTTGTTTTTCTTTACCTTTTTTACTTTTTTGTTCAATTTCCAAGCGTTTTTCTAAACTTTTAATCGCCCAATGTATATGTTCAATTGCTTTTTCACGCAAATCACTTTCCTGTAAAAATTCAAGAGCTAATGCAAGTTTATAATGTGCCTCACTAATTAGTGATGACTCAAGTGGATATATTTTAATTTTAAGATCAAGAGAAGACTGAAAATCTACCAAAGCCTGTTGAAAATTTTCTATTAAAAATCAACAAATATCAATTTTATTAGATCTTAAAAATACCATTCTCAAGTGAAATTTCTCCCAATAAATCATATGTATCTGCCAACTTTTTCTCAATCGTTATAGAATTTTCTTCAACAAATCCCATTTTTTGATCCTCCGAACTCTTCTCAGACACACCTCTATTTATATCTAACATCTTCTGATAAAGAAATCTTGAAAAATCTAGGGCCTCCCACGCAATACTAAAATCATCCTCTTTTACCATATCTTCTGATTCTTCATCACTACTTTCATCCCCAGAAAAACATAATCGAGACGAATTAAACAACGGCTTAGGGAAAGCACTCCCTATATCTGTATGATCTTTTCACCTTAGTTTATCCTTGTTCTTACAATTAAAAACGTACTTTTTAGTGGAGGAACTACTCCACCAAAAACACCACTTCGTTTCACTGCTAAATGAAATAATGCTCTTCCATATGAATAAAAAACATCTGCGTTTCTAACATCTCCTTCACCGTATTCCCGAACAATTCGTTCAAGAGCCAAACTATATTTCTCAACCGCTTTTTCATAATCTTTCTTATAATAAAGACGATCTGCTTCATTAACAACAGAATATGCCTCTTCTAGTGATAATTCAGACTCAGAAGGCCCTGGAAATGAATATAAAACGCCATTTGAGTCTATTTCTTGCATTTCTTTCTCCACCATTTATTTGAAAGGTATTCTTGAAGATCGATAGTTTATTAAAGATTTCCATAACAACAGTTACTACAACAACAGTTACCATGACAAGATATATAAGACCAAGAACATAGTAAAATTGAAAAAAAAGTTAAGACAAAACGACAAAGAATTGGCAAGAATTTTAGGAAAAAACCACTAAATAAAGTCTATTATTACATATAAGATAGGTTTCTTTTTTTAAGTAAAAAAAAGACGAAAAAAAAACAAGAATTATAGATCATATTAGGTTATTTTTTTATATATAAAAATTATTGAGAATAAAGCAATATAATTGATAAGAAATGAATGAAAAATTATATGAAATTTCAGAAAATGTAGTAGAGAATTCAAAGATTCCATTGTTTTTAGGGGTTAATATTGAATTATCACAACTAAGACCAATTGCATTTCGTATATTTACAAAAAGATATAATTTGACTCTAAAATCAGATGCACTTAAGGAACTTGCAATATTCATAGGGAGGAAATTTGGTCAAGATTGGCATACTGAAAGCGAATCAGTTTTGGATGAGATTGCTCAATTATGGAAAAAATCTCAAGGTTTGTCAGCTATTTATGGATGATTTATATTAAAAAGGAAAAGAAAGCAATTTTCTAGTATCAAAAGACCTCCTTATTCCAATTCTTAAAAAATGGAACCAACTGAATTATTTGAAATTAAAGGTTCAAGAACAAATACCGGTTTTGCTAGAAAACGAAACTCTTTTAAATAATTCTCAATTAGGAGCAAAATTAGAAGAAAAAATTGATATAAAACAATATTATATATATATAGATGCTTTTAACCAGCCTAAATATATTTTTGATATAACTCACAAGTCGTTTGAACGGTAATATTTTTTTTTGTAATGATAGAAATCTAGTCTTATATTAGTTCAAATGAACGACCTAAAATACTTGGGGATATTTCACATAAAATTTCAATTTATCGAGAAAGATTTTACCTTATAAAACAGCGATTACTTTCAAATCCTACTTTTCAAGAGCCAGGTTTTTATGGTTCAATATCTCATAAAGAATGGCATAAAGTCAATTATGTTTAAATCATTTATATCAAAAATCTAATTATAATAGATTACATCTATTAAAAATCTTTTAGGTAGAATTGGAAAGGAATTTATGTTGCTTGGGGTAATTTCATATGGTCCTGAAGGAAAACTTTGGTTAGAAGATATTGACGATCGAATCATGTTAGAAACAGATGATACAATTAATGGAGGAGGATGGATAGTTCCTGGATGTATTGTATTAGCAGATGGAATATATTTGGAAAACGGAACGTTTCAAGTATTTGTTCTTGGACATCCTCCATGTGAACCTAAATATTTATCGGAAAAATCTTTTGACCATATTGATTTTCTAGGGACAAATCAAAATAGATTAATGAAAAAACAATTGAAGGATGCAGAAACAAAATTTAGTCACGTACGGCTTGTATTTGCAGCTGATGTTATACTTGATGACATTTTAGTATTCATTACCTTCTAAATAATATTTCTTTCTTATTCATATTAGTCTATGAAAGCTCTTAAGAAAATGCTTTATATGTACGAAACACGAGATGATATTTTTCCTGAAGTTATTATTTTAATGGGAAATTTTATTTCTGTTCCATTTCATAATACAGGATTTTCGGCTAATTATAAAGGTATACACAACATATCAACTAAATACAATAAATTGATGCATAAGAGCATTATTTAACTCATTAGCACTTTTACTAGAGTCCTTTCCAAAACTTACGCGAAGATCAACTTTTATTTTTTTGCCTGGGCCTAATGACCCTTGGGCACAGGGGGGTGCACCTTTACTTCCACAAAGAGGAATTCCAAAAATATTCACTAATCGGATTAGAAAATCATGTAAACATGTATTTTTTGCTAGTAATCCATCAAGGTATACTTATTTAAAAATAAAGTTATTCTCTAATTTTTTAGATTATTATATTTTACACAAGACATTGTATTATATAGAGACAATACTATGGAAAGGTTAAGAAGACATTCCCTTTGTTTTAATGATATAAATGCACCATCTATTAATGAAAATAAATTAAATCAGACTAGTGAAAATTCGAATAATGATGCATCTACAAATAACATAATGCAAAATATTAATAAACAAAAAAAATGCACATCTAATCATTTATCGAATCTTCAACAGGCCCAAAATGTATTTTTGTGTTTTTGCTTTATTACTAAACTAACACATATTGTTAGCTTGTTCGAACTCTATTAGATCAATCTCATCTATCTCCATTTTCTTTATCTCTTAGACCGATAATATGGGATTTCGATCATACATTACGTCTTTATCCAATACCACATTTGGTATATTTTTAAAAATAATTTGACATAATCTAATATATAAAAGATGGTAATTGCTGATACATCATGTCTTGCTTTTAATACTTCTTATTGTGGGTGTCTTAGCATAAATCCTGGAAAATTAGTAAATAGTTATAAAGCATCATGGGCAGAATATAATCCAGCTGAAAATAAAGTAGTTATTTTTGAAGAATTAATATAAATGCATTATGCTAAAGAATAATATCCATGTATAAACATGCATGACTTAATTATCAGTATATCAAATGTTTTTACTAGTATTTATTGGTTTCTTCTTTGATAAGGATGAAAGCTATGTCCCCTTCCATTGCGAGAATAACCCGTTCTATGATTGCGTGAAGAAGAGGCTGACTTAGATGGTCCAGTAGGCGCATTAGGAGGGGGTGTTGGCCGTGAGGGTTGAATTGACGGTGTCACTGTTGTATTTGTAGTAGATGTTTTTATATCTGTTTTTTGAACGATATCTTTTTCTTGGATATCTTTTTTAGTATTTATATTACCATCGTCCGATACTTGATATATTTCTTGATTTGATGTTGGCACCGTTATTTGAGGCGTAGATTGTGAAGGAAGATTTGTATTATTAAAATTTACCATATTACTCATCATATTATTCATTTGATTCATCATCATAGGATTCATTGGACCCATATTCATGCCCATTGGAAATCCTGGTATCCCAGGCATCATGCCTCTACCCATACCACCTGGAATTTGCATGCCACGTCCCATATTTTGCATTGCTGCAATATATGCTTGCATTCTCTGATAATATTGCGCAACAATAGCAGGAGACATTCCACCATAAAATTGTTGCATACTTTGAAAATCCATTGGAAAGTTAAATCCAGAATTATCTTTACCGAAATAGTTTCTTTGATAATCATATCCATTCATATCCTTTTCTTTTGTCATATTCGTACGTTCTTTAAGGTTTCCCTTAGGAGTAGCACGCTTTACTTCAACCTAATACGTATTAGAATCCTTTATTTATATTATAAACTTTAAGTAACCTGTTTGTCATGAATTACAAGATAAGGCTGTGCCATAGCATTTTCTACAGCCGCCTCTGATTCAAATGTTACAAACCCGAATCCACGCGGTCTTCCTGTATCTTTATCTATCATTAATGTAGCATCAATTACCCTCCCAAAAGCACTAAAAAATTCCTTAAATTCCTCCTCTGTACAATCTTGTGAAACACCACCAACAAACATTTTAGCTGTTTTCTCTTGCTCTTCTCGAGGAATAGCACGTTTAGGATCAATCTTATATGCCATCAGCACATTCATAGATATTTATGAGATATTTATTTACAATTTTTCCATCAAGATAATGCTCTTTTACCATAACTGTATTTACACATTTAGGATCTTTAAATGTCAAAAAACCAAATCCTCTAGATCGAAATGTAGAACTATCTCTCATAACACTACATTCAGTAACTTCTCCAAACTGTTCAAAATATGCTCGAAGAGATTCTTTGAAAATAAGCAAAAATAAAATAAGAATAATCATATTCATACCATCAGTGGTTTCCCAATTCAAACCCCCGATAAACATTTTCCTATGAAATACACTATCAGTATTTTTCTAAATTAAATATAATCTTAATGCTTTTTTTAAATCTATTTTGAAATAAATATAACAAAATTGTTCTAGCGAAATAAGCCAGCTTATTTCATATAAATCTTGACTTTTAGTCCTATATTTCTAGCAATATATTCCTGTTTTTAAATACATATTAACATTTCTATAATATCTTAAAATAATTTAAAAAATATTCCAAATCTCTAATCATTATCTCATATATAACCAATATAATATAAAAGATTCATTTTTCTAACATACCCATCCTCTCTAATAGTTGACCCCGTAACTTCTGAAACCGTCTGCTCTACAGACTTAGATATATCTTCATTTTCTATACACAAAACTTCTTCTTCTTCCTTTAAATCAACCCTCTCCTCATCCCTCTTTGGAATATCTTCATTTTTAACTGAAAACGACCTTGAAATATCCTTTTCATCCTCAAATAATGATCCTGAACCTTCTTCTTCTATATTACATGATAAATCATCCGATTTCAATCCAACTTTCGATATTTCACTATCAAATTCTTTCTTAATCTCTTCAAGATCCTTATTTTTAGGTTTTTCCTCTATTTTACCATCTTTTTTCAGCTTTGACAGACTTACTTCTGCTTCATCATCCCCACTAAAAACAATTAAACAACCATTTTTAACTCTTCAAAAGAGATTATTACTAAAGATCTCTAAAAAGATCATCTTCTTCATAGGATTCCATTGTCATATTTCTTTATCCTCTTTAAAGCCAGTTATTTTTTTCTACAAATATTTAATATTTTTTGACGTTAAGAACGCTGACCTAAGAAAAAGATTAAGCAGAAGCTTATAAGGGATAAAAATAGGACTAATAATATATACATTAAGTTTAAATAAGAACTATGTATTTTTCTTAAGAAATGATTGAAATAAGTATATTAACTTAAATAAAAGAAGAATTTTATTGAAATATAAATTTATTTTTTTAGAGAAAAAAGAGTAAGTTTTGACTTAAAAAGAGACAAGAATACGTTTAAATTGAAATACTGCTTAGAGGAAATATGGGGTTTGTTTTTTTAAGGGATGAAAAAGGCTCATCTAATGAAAATTTACGGTAATTTGTCAGTAATTAAGTTGATAAGAAAATTAATTATTATTCCTTGTTCAGGTCAGAAAAGAATGGTAAAAAACATTCAAATACTAAAGAAGAATCGTATCCACATATTGGTATTTCAAAAACTCAAAAGTAATTAATATTTTTAAATATTTTTTTTTTTAAAAATATTTAGATCTTTATTATCATCTAAATCTTTATATAATTTCCAATCAAAAGGTATTATGCCTCTAGCAAGCTTATATAAAGGGAATTCATCTAGTTTTTCTGATTATGTTTCCCAGACAGATGATGATTGGGGGATTAATATAGAAGATGAAAAAGAATTTTTACAATTATTCAAAACAAAGAATGAATTATCTCAATTATCTATATATGATAAGATATCTAATACATATGAAAAGCCATTTAATTTGAATGAAGAAAAAAAAGAATTAGAATCCAAGTTACCAAAGAATAAAGAAATAACAGGTAAAGAATGTTTAAATTTTCATAAAAAAGTAATATTGAACCTAGATATTCATAATTTTTTAAGCTTTAAAGGACAATATCCACCTTTAGAAAAGAAATGTGATATAGGAAATAAAAATACAGATTTTTATATAGTAAAAGTAGAAAGATTCAGTCAAATTCTTCAAGAGACTAGTATAGATCTAAATACGTTGAGAAAATATGCATGGAATGGAATACCGGATGAATTCCGTCCAATTGTATGGAAACTATTGATGGGATATCTTCCTTGCAATGCAAGCAGACGAGAAGCAACTCTGTCTCGTAAACGAAATGAATATCTAAAAAGTGTTTCACAAACATATGAAAAAGGAATAAAAGAGCTAGATCAAGCAATATGGCATCAAATACATATTGATGTTTTAAGAACAAATCCTACTATTAAATTATATCAATATGAAACTACGCAAAAAGTAATTGATTCTTTTTCTTTTAATAAATTTATAACACATTTTCCAGTGTCTTGAAAAAATATTATATGTTTGGGTTATTCGTCATCCAGCAAGTGGTTATGTACAAGGTATTAATGACCTAGTTACGCCTTTTTTTCAAGTGTTTTTGTCTGAATACATTGGTATGCGTTCCTTGAAAAAAATATCATTTTAATGAATTAGATGGTGATCCGGAAATATATGATCCCTCAGATTTGCCTAAGGATACCCTAGATATTATAGAAGCAGATACTTTTTGGTGTATTTCCAAATTGCTAGATAGTATTCAAGTAATTTACATTGTAATGGTAATTGCATTGCTTAATTGTTTAGGATAATTATGTTTTCGCTCAACCTGGAATACATAGACAAATTATAAATCTTAAAGAATTAATAACTAGAATTGATCATCAATTATCAAATCATTTAGAAAAAGAAGGCGTAGAGTATATACAGTTTAGCTTTCGATGGATGAATTGCATGCTTATGAGAGAAATGAGTGTTAAAAACACTATACGTATGTGGGATACATATATGGTACTATTTTCTCTTTTTTTAGATATTTTATTAACATTGATAAAGGCAGAAGGACAATCTGGATTCTCTGATTTCCATGTTTATGTATGCGCAGCATTTTTAGTAAAATGGTCTCCCCAGCTTTTAAAAATGGATTTTCAAGTATGTTCATGTATATATTAATTAATGCTTATTTCTTCTAGGAAATTATAATTTTTTTACAATCACTACCTACACAACACTGGACATATAAAGATATTGAAATATTGCTATCTGAAGCATTTTTATGGAAAAGCCTTTTTAGTGGTGCAAAAGCACATTTGCGATAAGTATTAATAAATACAAATATAATGATTTTTTATCGCATCAATTATACCCATTTCTTTTTTTTCTTAAATACCCCATTTCCATAAATATTATATAGCATAATGTACAAATTTATGTTGATATTTTTTCATAACACAATTCCTATTACGCTTCTTCTATGGCTCCTTTTTTGTTCATATAATACTTTCTTTTACTCTCTAAATAAGTTGGATGCCTTTGAGTAGTTGATAAAAGACCAATTCCACGGCATCGACGAATTGCTTTAGCAAGTTGTCGTTGATGTTTTGCACTACATCCCGTTTCATCTCTTGGTAGAATTCTCCCCATTTCTGTAATAAACTCCGATAAAACATTAAAACTCTAAACCTGTTAAATAATAAATGCACATATATAATAAATACTTTATATTGTTTAAGAGGACTGATACAGAGCCGTTTCCATGTATCTTCTTTAACATTATTAAGGGAATAGCGATATGCTAAATTCTTTTCAAATGAAAGATCATATGGAGAGTATAATTGAGAATCTTTAAATGGAGTGTAAAAAGTCTTCGGAATCTTTAATAATCCTGTTTTAGTAGGCACTTTAACTATTTAGCATAAACAAATTATAAAGCAGACATTCTCCAAGAAAAACATACCGTTTGGGTCATTTGAATCATGCAATTGTGTATCCAATGTTCTTTTTTCATTTGGTGCATTTTGTTCCAAAATTTTTGGATCTTTTAAATCTATAGAGATTAATACAAATTCAAGCATTTTAAAAATAAAAGACCTGAGAAAAAAGCATTACAATAAACAAATTTTCTTTTGGAACATAAAGGAGACATAAATACGCCGAACCACTTCCGTAATTTATTAGAATTTAAAAAACACACCATTATTATTTGAATCGCTGAATGTTACCGACGTAATAAAAAAAAGTCTAACAGATAAACATAGTATATTGCAGATACCTCTAAAATATAATATTACTAGAAATACTTGAAAACATAGTGAAAAAATGAATAAATCGATGAAAAGTACATAAATATGAAAAAAAAACAAGAAAACTAAGTGACAGGATGCCAATTTTGATTTTTATCATCATTTGTTGAATAAATTATAGGACCATAATCTCCTTCATATATGATTGCACCTGCCTTTCTAACTTTATTTACCCAAGTTACTTCTTCTGTTTCCAAAATTTGTTTTGCCGTCGGTCGATCCGAAGGTTTAGGAGCTAACATTTGTTTAACAATACGATCCAAACCTCCTTGACCAATATAGCGATGTTCAGATTGCTCTTGTGGTACTGATATGTCTTTTTGTACGATAGAATATATTTTAGAAGATAAACAAGGTGCATCTGAAAAGTCACCAGAACGAAGCTTTTGCCAAGATACTCCATTTTGTGGTAGGACAATATTAGCTGCTACTTCAAGAATAACTAGTCCCAATGAAAATATATCGGCTGGTTTATCATACTGTTGTGATGATAAAACTTCAGGTGCAATATATTCTCGATCACCCTCGCGCTCAGTCCCTTCTGGCTAAAAAAGCATGTCAAATTAAATAAAAAAAAGCAAAGACCAATTACCACTGGCCATTCAGATGCCATTCCAAAATCGCCAATTTTTAAAATTCCTTCAAATGATATAAATATATTAGCAGGTTTTAGGTCCAAATGAATATATCCACTATCATGGATATGTGAAAGACCCTAAACTAAATGTTAATACATATACGTAAAACGATGTAGAAAAACCAATAACAGCTCAGTCATTACTTTCCAAACACGAAATTCATCAAGTTTTGCTAATCTTCCATATTCTTGTAAGAATATATCTAAACTTCCATTATCACATAACTCCATTTGAATATATAAATATCGGGATTGTTCCCAAGAATCTAATAATTTTACAATATGCTCATGAGTTCCCAATTTTCTCAAAATATTTACTTCTTCAAGCCGTCGATGTCTAAAAATCATATTTAACAAAATTAGAAAAAGAATAAAAAAAGTCAGACCGTTCCTTTAGACCGGAATATGCAAACTTAGTTTTCTTTACAGCAAATTTAGAAGAACCATCTCGTTCTTGCACTTCATAAACCTGAGAAAACTCGCCCGAACCCACAAGTTCAACATTACGAAAACGAGATGTTAATAAACTAGGAGAAGGTGGATCCAATTTTTTTAAACTCATACAATTGGATGGAATCGTCAAACTTTGAGTATCTGACAATATACCATGCTCAGGAACCTTAGAAAGATGAAAAAAAGAAAGATCAGTTGGATCTAAACCAAAAATTAAACATAATTGTTAAAATAAAAAAGCTTACTCGAATCAATTTTCCAGCGCTTCCCAAAGCGTTCACTATCAAGAAATATACCCTTTGTTGGTGTTAATGGACAATCAAATTCTGAACTACTACTATTATATAAAAAACTCAAATCAATGCCTTCAAAGCTTTCTTCTTGTGATGAAAAAGACGTATCTGTAGGTCCTGCTACAGGTGTTACTGGAGTTTGTAAAACATCAAACGTAACAGATCGTTTACAGGGTGTTTCCGGTGGAAGAATTGATGTACCCGAATGAGGTCGATTTCGTTTCGATAAAAGTCCAGTTGACATAAATACTGTCTGAAGAGGTTTGACCAATCGATAGTCCTGAGGCGTACAAAACGTTTGCCGTGTAGAAATTGACATTCCTCCCTTTATTCCTGGTATTTCTTCTGCCATTTCTGTATGAGAAAGTGGATGAGGCTGTTTTCCGTTAGAAAAAAAAGCTGAATAAAATGCAGAAGATTGTTTATTCGATATAAAAGGGGATTCCTTAAGAATTGGCGCTATAAAATTCTCTACTGAAACATGTTTCCTTAATTTATTCGTCGGATTCGGTGTAGTCAATTCAAACCCTTTTGAATGATTCAATATAGAATTTGTAAGATGCTTTGGTGTAGTCACTGACGATACAAATCTTGCGTTCCGCTTTGCAATTGGCGATACAAATGTTGAATCAATTAAAACTCTTTCACTTCGTTTTAACGGTGATCGTCCGAATTGAAGATTTAATTCCGTTGATTCTGTTGCTAATGGTGTTTTAACTGAATGGGAAACAACTGTAGACCTTTCCACCTCTCCATCTGTTTCTATATGTTTTCGAGTACGTAGAAATGGGACTCTAAACGTCGATCCTAAGCGATTCGATGATCGCCCAAGACTTGGTCGTTTTCGTGTCTGTTCTGACGCATACATAACGCATATAATAAATAAAACTCAACTAGATGTGATAATTATCTGAAATATAAGCTATATATTTATGAATCTTCTTAATAAAGCTCTTCCAACACGTCAAACAATTAACAAAAGGAAAACCGATCCAGCGTTGAATACTACCGTATAAAAAATACGGTATTAAAAGAAAAAGCACGTCTATTCTGCATTAAACGCGCGTTTTTTTCACGCTTTTTATTCTACAAAATGTGTCTTTTAAGTTGGTATTCCCAAAAAATAAATTACTTACTGAAATTATTTTATATAATCGATTGTAATCGATAGTTAATCAAGATTAGGGATTTGAATATTGAATAGAAAAAATAGGAAAGAAACAATAATAAATAGAAATGAGTATTTAAAAAAGAACTAATATATATTAAAATAAAAGAATCTAGAAATTAAAGTGTTTACTTAGTATAACGCGCTTATACTTTATGAGGTTGCCATGGAAACTCTAGATTAAGAATAAGACTTTAAAATGATAAATTAAAAAAGGTTATATTGAAGATTTAATGAAAATATATGAAATACAGCTTTAAAATATGAAAACAAAAAGGAATTTAGTATAAATTTATCTTAATATTGTATGTTTATTTAATAGTGTTATAAATAGATAAATTTATAAAGATCAAATATGTGAAATTAGATAGATAGATCTATATATATAGTTAATTATAAAGATTTATTAATATTTGTAAACTTATTATTTCTTTTATCCATAGATGATTTCCTTGATACTATCTATCGATCAATCTGTTTTTAAAGAAAAAAAAACATATTTTTCTTTTATTTATAAACATAATTAAATCATTTATCACTTTTTTAATAAGGTTTTTAAATATCTTTCTGGTGAAAAAGTTCTTTAGAAATTTTTTGATCTGATCATATTATATTTACTTGTTAAGAAATCATAATAAAAGATTATTATCTTTTTTTGTTTTCGACTTGGTATTTATTTGCTCGAAAACTCAATGTCACGGAAGGAATGTGTTTCTTATTCGAAAAAATGTCTAGAAATCAGTGGTCAGCCTATGATTCTTGTTATGATGGGTTTTTTTGCCGTTACTTTAACATCCATTATTTTGACAATTCTTTGGGTAATAAACAAAAACATGATTTTCCCGATATTTATAAGAATAATATTAAAGGATTTGATAGTTTACGCAAAAAAAAACATCACATTCACAATGAATCAAAAAGAGGACGGGTGGCTGAATTGGATATTGGAGATTTGCAACGTTTTAATAGCATTTCAACATCATAAATCGATAAGAATCGCAATGTTTCTAATAAATCGGAAGATAATGGATCCTGGACGAAATCCCAATTTAATATACGAATCATTTCATAAACCTTTGCAAACGATTCATGAGATTGATATGAACCATAAGATATAATATGTGAAGAAATAAAAGAAATATCTTTATCGAGACGAATAGCTCCCAACTAAAATAAAAATTAAAAAAAAAAAAAAACATTAATAAGCATGATTTACTTCATTCATTTTTATATTTAAAATTGCTTTTTCCAACCAGTTTGCTATAAGATTTGAGGACATTTTTACAAGATAATTCATATTTTCATGGGTTAATTGATGCTATTAATTCTCAAAATAAGATTAAAAAGCATATATTTAATTACTTTGAAATTAGTCATAATAAGATTCCAACCTTGGGAAAAATGCAGTTGAATTGGCTGTTTCTTTTCTAGATCATTAAAAATAGTATTATTGATTATATAAGTAGATTTATTAAAATAATCAGTTAATATTTTTTTTAATCGGATTTTGATATAAACTAAAAACAGAGTATTTAAACCATCCTATTCATTGTCATTAAAAGATGTTCTTATAAATTTTTTATTTATTAGAAAAGACTTACTTTTAAAAGCTCATTAAGTCGATCTTGTAATAAAAGTAAAGCCTGAATCGGTTGAAATATAATTATTAAATCACTTTCAAATGGAAATTTCTTCTTTATTGCATCTTTGTTAATGCTTTCAGAAACAATTCTTTCAATATAATTCCGAGATATATCTAAATTATTAAGTAAAATAATAAATGAAATAAAATCATTATCAATCTTTAAATTTTTATAATTTTGATTTTTTGAGAATGCCTGATTATTCAATTTTCCCTGAAATACTATTATTCTCCTTTGAATAATTCCTGTATAATCCATTTCCATAATTCTTTTAACCCCAGTTAATACATCTTGTAGAAGAACAAGATTTCCCGTATTTAAAACCCTTTGAACTATTTTTTTCAAAATATACATAATGTCATCAACAAATGATGACATAAGAGGTTTTGACATAGTATCTTGCTCATCCAATTGAAACGCTTTTTCTACAGAATGACGCATGAAAAATAGTTCCATACGCTCATAAATAGAACAAAGCCTTGTATAACATGGCATCTTAAGTGTAGCCAAAATCATACTATCTGGCTTAATTGCGATTTCTTCTAGTTTATTTTGCTTTTGTTCCTACTCATGATACTCGATATTTATAAAAATATAAAAAATCTTACCATACACTTAACTGAAATAAATCTATGATATAAAGACCAATGATTAAGTATACTTGAAATTTCTTCTACCAAAAGATCAATATTTTTAATATCAATTGCTTTATTTTCCTGAGAAAGCAAAGATGAATTAGGTTCTTGAAATAAAGTAGAAGAAAAAGATTTAATTAAAAACTCAAATGAATACATTTGAATGAAAGATAACTATACCTTAGTTAATAAAAAAAGTAGAAATTTAAAAATTGCCTTTTTCTCCACTTGTCTTTCCTCCCAAAAACTATCTATTATTATACTACATTGCTCAATACATTTCTCGTGTATTTTTTCTATCACAAACAGTGTATCTTCACAATTATAATGTTTCTTAATTACTGGTAGATGGTGGTTCATAATATTTGCAACATATTCAAACATATCTTGCATAATTAACGCATAACTCATAGATATTTTTGTATCAATTGATTTTTCGTCTAAAATACCCATTGCTGACATCAATTTGTGCTTGTTCTGAATAACCATATTCGAAATAAACTCAGAATATACATTCAGACCCTCTTTGGATTTTCCAATTATAGGAAAAAGACGAAAAAAGCGTGTCATCGCTTTTTCGTCTTTAATTTCTGCTGCTTGATGAAATCCTTTCAAACAAATAGTATTTAATGCATCACATGCATCTTGCAATGCCACTTTAGGTTCCATCGGTATATTTTCTGTAGGTATTACTGTTGCTGCAAACTTTCCTTCTATTACTTGAGCTTCAATTCCACGAATTTCAGACACATATTTAGCTGCTACATCCCAATTGCACTGATCTATTGCATAGTAAAGATTCTGTATCCATTCTTTAAGCATTTTAACATCTTTAATATATTTAATAGACGATTCAAGCCGAATCTTATCTGCTTAATAAGTCTACTATAGAAACTCAAAAAAAAACCTGTTGTATCTTCTTTTCTCGTATATTTTTCGAAATTTCACGAATCCTTATTGCAACTTCACCTAATATCTCTAGAAAATCTTTTATATCTACATGAACTATTTCAAGGTCAAATCTATAAAGTCTCAGTTTTTAAAAATATTTGAGAAAAAACATACTTCAAAATATTCAACTGAGCAAATAATATATCTAAATCATTAGAACAAAGGCTCAAGTCATGCATACGCTGATCAATATTCGAACATTCCTCTGAAATATCCCTAAGGTATTCTTCCACCTCATCTACTGTTTCTATACAAGAAAGATTCATTTCTAGAGAAAACGAGGGGCAAATAAACAAGAAAACAAACAATATAGACAGTAACACAATAAAAAGATATTAAAACATACTACAAGCCATAAAATATAAACATATAATCTAGTACGTATACTTTGCTTCAAAACCGTATACAACCCAATTAATTCAATTATATAGACAATATATGGGTCAAATAGCCAATATTTATAATATTTGCAATATAATTAATACACACAATTTATTATCTATGAAATAATATATAATTCTGTACAAATATAAATATATATAGAATGGATAAGTTGAATATTAAAGCAAAAATAAATGAGTATGGGTATTCTCAATCTCAAGTTTATATAACCCTAGCCCTACAGGAAACTCCAGTAAAATCTAACGTATATTTCAATATCAAGAAGACATTATGTTTCGATTGGCTAACGTATATAGTTTTTTCAGGCATTGGATTTACATTACATTTTATTTGAGTTAAAAATTTTAATCCTTATAAATGAATTATCAATCCCTTACGGTTCCTAAAGAACATATCCCAGTTCATTTAAGAATGGAAATTACTCCACAAGATCATCGTCTTTCAGACAATACATCAGGATATTCAGAAACTCATTTTGAAGGGAAAAATGAACAAATGAATTTAGTATCAGCACATCTTGAAGAACAAGGGTTTATTCCTAAAAACCTTGTTCGGAATGAAACAATTTGGTTTTATCAGAATCTTGGAATTGATGATATGTATTTTCAAAATGAAAGTGTCAATACTATTGCAAATCATATTTTGGGTAGGTCGAAATTATATGTTTTAATTATTAGACTTACATAATTTTTATAGCACTTTATAGTGCAAAAATTATGGCGTATACTCGACATTCTAGAGAATTTGATATTCGTCTTGAACGAGAGGCAGATGATCATGCAGTTTATATTGATACAAGTGTTCCGGGTGAAACGAATTTCAAGGGTCCTTTATACGAAAAAAGGTATTTAGATTTGTATATGTGTTATTGAGTATTATTTGAATATTTCTGGATAGTATTTGAAAAAATATTTATAAAATTTTATTTCTTTTAAGTGCTAACTTTTATTATTTTAGAATTGAAGAACTTTATCTTAATAATAGCAATGCAACAAAAGCGTATCGCTTAGAGACGTTTCGTTCATCGAGTTTAATTAATCCGTCTACCAAACAGCAATTGTGTTCATATTTTGTTACAAAATGTAATTTTGTGAATCCTACACCAAGTAAAGAAGAAATGTCAGATTTGCGAATAGTCTCAGATAAGACATTTCTTGAAAAAGCAACGCAACGTACATTTAATATTTATCAAAGCGTCGTTAAATCAGTTTTAAATAGAACAGGCCCTGTAATTGAGGTATTTGATAGATTTTATTTTAAGACCTGATATATTTTTCTAAACATTATGAATAGATGTATGAAATTAGTGGGACACGTGAGCGCCGTATTGTTATTGGGTATAAACAAGGAAGTGCAAGATCTTATTTTTCTGCTCTTTCAAATTTATATCATTATTATGGTTTATTATAAACATTTTTTTACTAAATAACAAAAATTTTAATATATTTGATAGGACTTACATCAACTCGAAAATATGTTGAACAATTTTCAAATGGTAAGATTAACAAGCATTATATTTGCGTACATATTTATATTCTAATGATATTTTAATGTAGGAGTTACAGTTATTTGTATTTATTTAGTCCCAGTGTTAGAAAAACTGACGCAATATCCTCCTATTGAACATAGTATTCACCAGATTGTGAAAGAGGCATCATTACTTTATTGTATCCCGGAAAATAGATTTCAGGCTTATTTTGCTTCAGGAAGGTTATCTTTGCAAGAAGCAATTTATGCACATTGCGTTTTTGTTTTCATTGGACATTTCCTTAATCGACTTGGTACAGAATATTCATCACTAAGTTCTATTTTGGATTTGACCAACCCTATTCATTCAGAAGTATTGGCAAAGTTAAAACGTCGACTTCGACAAGAAACATTCACTAGGGATTATATCTTTGAAATTATTCAGGCATATCCAGAATTAATTAAACTTTTTTACGTCTCTTTTGCTACTGTGCATTATATTTCATCTCATAAAACAGTTGAAGAACTTAGGCCTAGTTTATCATATCAACGAATTCAAGTTAGCAGAATTCTAAGTGAAAAAGAAATTCTTGATGAAGTTAGACGGCAAACAAGTAGTAGTCATGAATATATGGTAATGGAAGCATTCCATCTTTTTAACTCACATGTTTTAAAAACAAATTTTTATCAAGTAACAAAAGTTGCCATCAGTTTTCGATTAAATCCCGATTTCCTTCCAGAGATTGAATATCCACAGAAATTGTTTGGGATGTTTTTGGTTATTGGGTCTGAATTTAGGGGATTTCATTTACGTTTTAAAGATGTAGCAAGAGGTGGTATTCGAATTGTTAAAAGTAGGAACAAAGAAACATATTCTATTAATGCTCGGAGTCTTTTTGATGAAAACTATAATCTTGCAAATACACAACAGAGAAAAAACAAAGATATTCCTGAGGGCGGAGCAAAAGGTGTAATTCTTCTTGATATGGAACATCAAGATAAAGCTGTTGTTGGCTTTCAAAAGTATATTGACTCAATTATTGATTTACTTTTAGAAGGGAAAACGCCAGGAATTAAGGATAAACTTGTTGATCTTTATTCCCATAAAGAAATTTTATTTTGTGGTCCAGACGAAAATACTGCAAATTTGGTTGATTGGGCTACAGAACATGCTCGAATGAGAGGTGCGCCATGGTGGAAATCTTTTTTTACAGGAAAAACAGCACGTCTTGGTGGAATTCCACATGATGTTTATGGTATGACGTCTTTATCCATTCGACAATATGTTTTGGGAATATATGGAAAATTGGGCTTGAATGAAGAAACAGTTACGAAAATTCAAACGGGAGGACCCGATGGTGATCTTGGATCAAACGAAATTCTTCTTTCTAAAGAAAAATATGTTTGTATTATTGACGGAAGTGGTGTTATATACGATCCTGAAGGAATTTATCGTCCTGAACTAATTCGACTTGCAAAAGAGCGTAAAATGATTTCTTTTTTTGATAAATCAAAATTAAGTCCTTCTGGCTATATTGTTTTAATAGATGACGAAGATTTAATATTACCTTCGGGTGAAATTGTAAAAAATGGTACTCAATTTAGAGATACTGCACATCTTAGATTTCATGCCGATCTTTTAGTTCCATGTGGTGGTCGGCCAGAGGCAATTAATCTTAGTAATGTTTCTCAAATGATTCATAATGGGAAATGTACTATACCTTATATTGTAGAGGGAGCTAATCTTTTTATTACACAAGATGCTAAGGTTAAATTGGAAGAAGCAGGATGCATTTTATATAAAGATGCGTCTGCAAATAAGGGTGGAGTAACATCAAGTTCTTTAGAAGTATTTGCATCTTTAGCATTTTCAGATGACGATTTTATTCAAAATATGTGTATTAGGGAGGGAAAAGTCCCTCAATTTTATGAAGATTATGTAAAACAAGTGCAAGAAATTATTCAAAATAATGCGCAGCTCGAATTTGAAGCTATATGGAGAGAGAATAAAAGAAGTGGTAAATTGCGCTCAATTTTATCAGATGATCTTAGTAGCGCCATTACAAGTCTTGATGAAGAGATTCAACAATCAGATCTATGGAATAATGTTCCATTACGCAAAGTAGTTTTAAAAGAAGCGTTGCCTCCTGTCCTTTTAGAAAAACAAGGATTAGATACCATTTTGGAGCATGTCCCTGAACCTTATATTAAAGCAACTTTTGGATCTTTTCTCGCATCGAGATTTATCTATGAATATGGTGCCGATTCGAGTAAATTTTCTTTTTTTCAATTCATGAATAATTATCTTCAAAAAGTAAATACATGACAATTATTTGTTTTATTATCTTTATTTTATCTTTTATTTATTTCAAATTAAATTTTATTGGCTACTCTAAAAACAGTTTAAAGTTCATATACACATTTTAATTTCCTGATTAACTGACATATTTAGTGTTAAAAAAGGTTATTTTTTCTTTTGTTCATAAAGCACGAACATCTTAGGATATTGATTAGTGATAGAGGATGATAAGAATATGGTCTTATTTTCCTTTGATAATTGCGTCTGCAAATAAGATTCTTTAGGGTTGTATTCAGGAGTTAGGGCATTTGATATACGGATTTTTGACGTCAAGATATTTTAACTATTAATAAAAATACAATAAAAATAGGTAAATATGCATAATTAAAAAAGGATTACTATTTTGGAGGGTTTTGGTTTGACATGGCTCTTGAAATCCTACATATTGGTAAATTTTATTTTTTTTAATAAATTTAGTTTTTCTAACTTTTATTTTTATAGATCCTTATTTAAAGCCATATGAAAGCATTTTACGCCGAAGATATGATATATCTCAGAAGTTTCTTAGACATTTTGAAGAATCTGAAGGGTTAGACATGTTTACAAGAAGTTATGAACGAATGGGATTAAATGTACAACCTAATGGGGATATTATATACCGTGAATGGGCTCCAAATGCAATTTTTGCGAGTCTTGTTGGAGATTTCAGTGAGTGTTTTTATGCGCAATATTTCAGCTGATGTGCAGATTCGTGGGATACGCAACTACATCCTATGTCGAAGAATTCATACGGTGTTTTTGAAATAATTGTACCAGCAGTAGATGGAAAGGCTGCAATTCTTCACGGATCTCGTGTAAAAATATTTATGATAACAACAAAAGGTGAAAGAATATATAGAATTCCTGCTTGGATTAGACGGGCAACACAAGATCTTTCAGTAAGTTCAATTTATGATGGGATTTTTTGGAACCCATCTCCTTATATATTTCGTAATAGTCGGCCACCTCCTCCGAATGCACTGCGGATTTATGAAGTTCATAGTAGGTTTCAAGTTGTCACAATGATGTAGCGATCATGCAACTGTAAATTATATTGTAATTTGAATGCTTTCTAATGTCATAGGAAAAATTCTTATGACAATGGAATGATATTTTAAGTATTTGAATACTTTAATCTATTTTTAATAATTTTTAATATTAATAATTTTTCAAATAAAACCATTTATGTTTTAAATGGTAATATTTAAACACTCTGGATGAATTTTTGTCATGTGCTTAGTCATTCTATCATTTTTATGTTATTTGAAAACGCTACTTACATTGTTTAGTGATTGTGTTTCTATTACTTTTTTGCTAACTCTGTTTAGTTGGTATTAGCACAAACGAAAGTCGTATAGGAACATATTCTGAATTCATACAAAATGTTTTACCACGTATTCGTTACCTTGGTTATAATACACTGCAACTTATGGCTATCATGGAACATCCATATTATGCTTCTTTTGGCTATCAAGTTACTAATTTTTTCAGTGTTTCAAGTCGTTATGGTATAATAATTATATTTTATAAGATAAAAATTTTTGTTTTTCATACTTTCTAGGAACTCCAGAAGAGTTAAAAGAATTAATTGATGCGGCCCATGGTATGGGTATTACAGTTTTGCTTGACATTGTTCATTCACATGCTTGTAAAAATGTTGAAGATGGAATTAATATGTTCGATGGGACTGATCATTTGTATTTTCATGGGGGTAAAAAAGGCATTCATGAGTTATGGGATAGTAGACTTTTTAATTATGGAAACTATGAGGTGTTACGTTTTCTGCTTTCAAATTTACGTTTTTATATGGAAGAGTTTTGTTTTGATGGATTTAGATTCGACGGTGTAACAAGCATAATGTATACCCATCATGGAATTGGTGTTAGCTTTTCTGGAAATTATGATGAATATTTTGGTCCTGATGCTGATGATGAAGGAATTGTATATTTAATTTTGGTAAACCTCTTTTTTTCTATATTAATAATCTGTTTTAATACTTGACTAAGGCAAACGAAATTCTTCATAGATTTTATCCATCATGTATTACAATTGCTGAAGATGTTTCCGGTATGCCCGGACTATGTATACCTATGTCTATGGGGGGCATTGGTTTTGATTATCGTTTAGCAATGGCTTTACCTGATATGTGAGGAAACTTATATTTAAAAGGATGTTGCTTATCAAGTAAGGTGGATCGATCTTTTAAAAAATAAAAAAGACGAAGATTGGGATATGGGCAATATATGTTATACACTAACAAACCGAAGATATATGGAAAAATCTATTTCATATGCAGAATCTCATGATCAATCACTTGTAGGCGATAAAACATTAGCATTTTGGTTGATGGACAAAGAAATGTAAATTTATTATATATATAAACAATTTTTCTAATTCATTAGGTATACTCATATGAGTCATCTTTGTGAAATGACACCTATTATTGAACGCGGGATTTCATTACATAAAGTATTTTTTTTTCTTTAGAATTTTATTAACATTTAAATTAGATGATAAGGTCAAATATATAGATGGTTTTGTTTGTATTTTTTAATTGTGTTGTAGATTGATTACGCATAGTTTGGGCGGTGAAGGATATTTATGTTTCGAAGGAAATGAGTTTGGTCATCCTGTAACCTATTTTTAAAAAATTTAAACTTACTAACTTTAATTAAGGAATGGCTAGATTTCCCTCGAGCGTAATGATTTTTTTTGATTATTTAATTCAATTAATTTTATACTAGAGGTAACAATAATAGTTTTCATTATGCAAGGAGACAAGTAAGAGGTTTATTTTGAGTGAATTGGTTCACATTATTAGTGGCATCTTGTCGATGATGATTTATTACGTTATAAATGTTTAAATGAGTTTGATAGAGCATTGCAGCATTTAGAGGAAAAATATCGATGGCTTAATTCACCTCAGGCATATATTTCTTTAAAAAATGAATGTATATACTATTTTTAATTTTTTTTTTTCACTAAATTCTTTTTAGATGATAAAGTTATTGTATACGAAAGAGCTGGTCTTTTATTTATATTCAATTTTCATCCATACAAAAGTTTTCCTGATTACCTGTATATTTGTTTTCTTTTTTTCCTCTTCTAATAAAAATAGCATAGGTGTAGATGTCGCTGGAACCTATCATATTATTTTATATACTGATACTAAAGAATTTGGTGGTGTAAAACATATTAATCAAACTGTTCACTATAAAACGAATGATTTTCCATGGAACAACAGGAAGAATTCTATAAAAGTATACTCTAATTTTAATTATTTTTTATTTATCTTATCAGTGTTATATTCCTACACGAACTGCTATTGTAATGGCATTAATATAAATCAATTAATATATATATAAAATCTTTTAGAACAATTATTTTAATTTATAAATAACTTTATTGATAGTATTTCTTTAACTTTGATTTATTTTTTTTTGGGTAGTTTTCTTATATATTTTTTTAATGTCAAGATTCTTTGCAAGGCCGAATACCTAGCATAAGCTTGAATTATATTTGATTTAAAGGAAAATATTTGTAGAAAGAGTTTCTTATCAGTATTTCTATAATATTTGTGAGTGTCTCTGATACCTTTAGAACCTATTTCTATCTAAATTATGTTTTTTGCACGTAAAATTAGGCCTTTTTTTCATAGAAGATTTTTAGCTTTAAGAATAAAAAATGAGAATATTAGGCAACTAATTCAATTAAAGGCGCAGAAAATAGAATGTTTATCATTTTTGAATGGTATATATTGTTTTTTTTTGCATTTTTTTGCGTTCTTTTTGGGTAAAATATTGATATGAAAAGCTCGATTCATAACAACGGATACGACAGCACAAAATTTGCCAGTTGGAAGGGTAAAAGCAGTGGTAGGTCTTCTATTATATATATAACATTGTTTATGACTTTTTTATTTAATAGATTGGAGCTGTTGTAGAGTAAAATTTTTTTTTCTTATAAAAACAATTCATTGATAATTTCAGCGTTCAATTTGATACAGAGGAACTCCCTAAGGTCTTGGATGCATTGCATTTGGATCTTCCTGATGGAAAACGTCTTGTTCTTGAGGTTTCGCAGCACTTGGGTGAGCGTACAGTGCGAACTATTGCTATGGATGGAACAGAAGGTCTTGTTCGTGGTCAAAAAGCTAAAGCAACAGGTGGACCTATCAAAGTTCCAGTAGGTCCAGGTACACTTGGAAGAATTATGAATGTTATTGGAGAACCAATTGATGAACGAGGCCCTATTAAAGCAGTTAAATATAATCCGATTCATACTGAGCCTCCTACATTTTCTGATCAAGAAACAACACCATCACTTCTTGTGACTGGTATTAAAGTAGTTGATTTGCTTGCGCCATATGCACGTGGAGGAAAAATAGGTTTATTTGGTGGTGCTGGTGTCGGAAAAACAGTTTTTATTCAAGAATTGATTAATAATATCGCTAAAGCGTATGGTGGTTATTCTGTATTTGTAGGGGTAGGTGAGCGTACTCGTGAGGGAAATGATTTATATCATGAAATGATTCAAACGGGCGTAATTAAATTAGATGGAGAGTCTAAAGCTGCATTGGTTTTCGGACAGATGAATGAGCCACCAGGAGCACGCGCACGTGTTGCATTGACTGGCTTGACAGTGGCAGAATATTTCCGTGATGAAGAAGGACAAGATGTTTTGCTTTTTGTTGATAACATTTTCCGATTTACACAAGCAGGTTCGGAAGTCTCTGCACTTCTTGGACGTATTCCATCTGCTGTTGGATATCAACCAACACTTTCTACAGATATGGGTGGTATGCAAGAACGTATCACAACGACAAAGAAGGGTTCAATTACATCAATTCAGGCCGTATATGTTCCTGCAGATGATTTAACAGATCCCGCGCCTGCAACAACATTTGCTCATTTGGATGCGACAACCACATTATCCAGAAGTATCTCTGAATTGGGTATTTATCCAGCTGTAGATCCATTAGATTCTAATTCCCGTTTGATGAATCCACGTATCGTAGGAGAAGGTAAATCATTCATCATAGTTTCAAATATATCTCTTATTTTTATTTTTAGAACATTATAGAATTGCTTCTGAAGTACAATTGATTCTCCAGAGTTATAAATCACTTCAAGATATTGTAAGAACTTAATACTCAATAACAATTCTAATTATATAAAAAGATTGCAATTTTAGGTATGGATGAGTTATCTGAAGCCGATAAGTTGATTGTGGTATGTTTTATTTTAATCAAGCTTTAAAAAGCTTTTTTTTAATTTTATATTTTTATTTACTTTTCATTTAGGAACGTGCACGTAAACTTCAGCGATTTATGTCTCAGCCATTTACTGTTGCCGAAGTTTTTACAGGTTTAGAGGGTCGTTTGGTTGATTTAAAGGACACTTTACGTTCATTTAAAGAAATTATTGAGGGTCGTGCTGATGATTTACCCGAAAATGCCTTCTATATGGTAGGAGATATTGATGAGGCAAGAGCTAAGGGCAAAAAAATATTGCAAGAAATTGGAGCTTAGGCATATACAGAGTTATATATTTGTCTTTTATCTTAATAAATCTTTAAATTAACCCTTATTGCTATTAAAAAAGTTGCCATGGCAACACGCCTTAATATTTAACGAGATTTAATGGACTTCAAACCGAATCTTTAAAAGCTGCTCTGTAGAGGCTATTTAAGCCGTATAAAAAGTGTAAATAACAAAATATAAATTAGTATTAGATGTGGTTTTTATTCTTTTAAGGAGATTGATGAATTCGTTGCCTTGTAGGTACGCGTTATTAAAAAAACCGGGAGATTTTGAGCCTCAGGAATGTTTTTATCCGAGATGTTGTAAGTTAGTATAGGGAGAAGAATGAAAAAATGATGTGTATTCAGTAAATGCCCAAATTCATCCGTTAGTTTCATCTTTTTTTAATCTTGGAAATGATCGAATTATTTTAAGATATTGTCATTTAAATCCTGTTGTCAATGAAACAAAGCTTCGAGATTGTCTAAGATATACACCATCTCACTTTCGTTGGGCGGGAACGGATTTATTTAATGTGACAAATGCCCATGGACAGCGGCAAATGATTATTGTAGAAACGAATTCATGTCCATCGGGGCAAAAAAGTATGCCTTTACTTTCTGATATTGATGAACACGGAGGGTATGCATTTTTGTTTTATTTGAATTGAGAAAGAAATATTTTATGAATTTTTTAATTTATGAATTTTATATGAAAAATTGGATTTGACTTTATATACTTTTTATACATAAATACGACGTTATTTTATATCATGGATTATAGGAAGTATATTTTTTGATTGGAATTTATACCTAATTTATATATCATAAATATTTGTTTTTGAGCATTAGTGCATATTTTATACATGTATAATTATATTTAAGGCATAACTGAAGAAATATAGATATCATACAGTTTTATCGACTGCATTTCAGAGCTCACTTTCTCATTCTGATCCGGAACTTGGTGGGTTAGCAGTAATTTATGACAAAAATGAAATGGAAGCAACTGGGTAATAGTTTTGAGAGTCTTTAATGATATTTTTAAATATTTATGTTCTTAGATATGCTACAGTAATGGCGGATCTTACACATGAATCGGTATGGATGGCAGAATTTTATGATAGTGATCCAAACCCCCCTGTGAAATGGGAAAATGGTATTCTGTATGTTCGTGACAAAGAAAACGTATGGCATTCAATTCGTGCATGCTTTCGTTATGTAACAAAAGCACCATGGAACAGAATTCCATTAAAAACTCGAACATTGGTGTTGAATAATATCATTTCATGTCTTGCAGGAGGAAGAAATAAGATGATGGCTGCAAGAGCGTAAGTTACTATTTTGTGGAGGATTTTGACTGAAAATGATTAAAAAGTTATGAATTATTTAATGCGGAAATGGCAGGAACAGGCTTAATGATTCGAACTCCAGAAACATTAAATAATATCTCAAAAAGCGAAATTCCATTGATAATTTCAAGCTGGGGAGGCCATGCAGTAGTCAAAGTTCCTTATAGTAATGCAGGTATGTTATATCAGTATTATAGAAATTAATATAATAGAAAATTTTTAGGTCAAGGTGTCTATATTATTACAAATCAAAAAGAATTGCAGGATTTTATGCACACGGAACATCGTTATGATAAGTTTATTGTTCAGAGTTTAATTGGAAATGCAAGCTGGAGTAGTGTTACGAGAGAAGGAATGCAATATCGTAAGTCAATTTAACATATACAGTTTTGTCTTATTTTTAATTGTCTTTATCCATAGATATTGGAAATATACCAGATAAGAAGGGGAAAACATTTGTTTCGGATCTTCGTTGTATGGTAACTGTTGGTGATGTAGGCGGATTTCAACCAGTAGCAATCTACGCAAGGCGTGCAAGGAAGCCTTTATTAAGAAAATTAGATGATGATCCTTTGACAACCAGTTGGGAGATGTTAGGAACGAACTTGAGCGTAAAGTTGCCAGATGGATCATTTAGTACAGAATCTAAAAGATTGGTTTTAATGGATCGAAAGTAAGTAATATATAATAATTTATTTTCTGATAATTAAATCGAAAAAATAGAGATTTCAACAGTAAGAAATATATTTTTAAAAATGGGAATTGATCAAGATTAGCTCTGGGTATATCATTGGACGATTTAATTGAAGGTTATGTACAGACGGTATTGAGTGTAATTGCTATCGATAAATTAGCAAAACGGTTGATTAATGTTGATACGGGAGAATTCGATATGGAACTTTTCCGTAAGCTAATAAGTTAATACTTATTATATTTAATTTCATAGGTGCATTAAATCCTGATGATCGTCTTTTAGAAGAAATTATGTAATAAAAACATTTAAAGCAATTTCTTCTATATATATTGCATAACCATATGTTTTTTTCTATGATTTATATATGTTTTTGATGATGTGTTCATTCTATATTCTTTACAAAAAAAAAAAGATAATTTTGTTTCAATATAAAATATTCTTAGTAATTTAAAATATTTTTTAATTAGTTTTTAAAAATTCATATTTAAAACATTTTCATGTACATACTATTAAGACGCATATTTAATATAATGATTTATGTATTAACTTTTGATTTTGTAATATAAACTATACCTTATTCCCATAATTAAAGTGATAAAAAAAACGGTTATATATTGTCAATTCCTTTTTGATAATTTGAAGGATACTTAAACACTTTCTTTTAAAAAGATATATTCTTTATGTATTGATTATATAAAGATTTTATATACATATATGTTTTTTTTCTAAAAATTCTAATTGTAATTTAATCTCATTTACTAATATTAAATCTAAAATCTTTCTGCAATGGAATATTATTTATATTCTATTAAAATAATATACATTTGAATGTTTATTTATGGTCGCACGATATTTTTAATTTTTAATATCTACCTAGTTTATTTTTATCATTAAAATTTTTAGAAAAATTCTAAATGAAATATATCAATTTATCTTTTAATCATAGAAATATGTTTATTCTTGTGAATTGTCTACAGTTAAAATAAAATATATATAATTTACATTTTTTGAATTTTGATTCAAAAAAACCTATTTAAATAAAAAGCAATCATTATTAAAAAAATATAGACATCTTATAAATAAAAGAAACAACCATAGATAAATTTCTATGGCTTTATTTAATATACTGCTAGTAACTATTTAAATGAAATAGTAGATTTTTTTAGAAATATTGTATTCTTTCATAAAAAGCTGGGAATTTTCATGTATCTAGTAGGAATTAAAATATTTATATTAGTTTTGGTTATTTAAATTTATCAATAAATATATTGAAATAAATGATTGTTAAATACTAAAAAATAACCATTCTGGATAATTTAATAAAATAGATGAAAAAAATATAGATTTATAATCAATATCACCTATAAAAAATAGCATAAAATTATTAAATATTTCTATATAATTTTCTCTTTTATACACTATATTATAATTAATTTTGTTCACTTATTTTGTAGTAATTAGAGAAACATTAAAATAATAATACATAGATTTAGAAAAAAACAAATATTAATAGTGTACATTTTTTTATTGTGATTATTCAACATAAATAAATATAATCCTATAATAATAGTATTGCAAAAAAAAACTTGGGAATAAGAATTGTATAGTTTAATTCATAAAAATTTTTTAATATTTAATATATTTATAAAAAATATTTTCATAATTTTGATTATAATTATCTATGTATTAATAAATTTACAATTACTAATAAATTTTCTGATTATAATAATATTAAATTTTATAGTCACTAAAATAATATTCTCCAAATAAAAAAAAAAAAGAATTATATACTACATAATATGTTTTTTAGAAGAAATTCAAAAATCATAAGAATATGTAAGTGATTTCTTGTATAAAATATATGAATTATATTAATATATATATTTCCATTTTTTCTTTTAATAATGATATATTCCTCAATACACAATGCCAAATTATTATAAAATAAAAGCAAAAACTAAATCTAACTTTAAAAAAATTTCAATAAAATATAGCTAAAAGTAAAAAATCAATTATTTATTTATAAAAAAAATTATATGAATCAAAAAAGTAGTATTTGAGCATTTTAGTTTACTGATTCTTTTAAAAACAGATATTTTATAGCCTATTATATACAAAATATGAGATTCCATAAAAACAATCTTAATTGATTAATAAAATATTGTTTAAATCATTTTATATATTAAATTATTTGTCACATTTAAGTGATTAAAATAATAATTGTTATAAACGATTCATGTTAATATTCAGTATTTTCTTAGAAGATAAAAAAGATGAATCTATTTCAATGAATATAAAATACGTATAGCTCATAACAATTCTGTAATGAAAAAACTTGTTCTCTAATTTCCTTAAATTAAGAACGATTTCTTTAATTTCTCTAATAAGTATTGTTCTTTAAGGAAATCTGATTTATACAAAAAGAAATATTTATTTTTTGAAAAATTTCTAATTTTTAATTTTTTAATTAGCAAAAAATGTACATAATACTTTGAAAATTAAAACAAAAATATTATCTATAGATGATGTATTTAGAGATAACAAATTTACTTGTAACTATTTTTCATTAAAAATTATTATTTTTTTATTTCCTTAATAAAATTTAATCATATATTTAAATTTTTGTATTATCTTTATAAAAATTAATCATTTAAATAAAAAACACAGAAATTATATAATCAACAGAATCTTCTTATCTTTATTTGTTATTTATATCTTTTAACCATATTGTTAGGTATACTTTATAGGATTTTTAGTATTTAAGGATTCGGAATGCTGAAGTGACCCAAGATGAAAAGTTACAGATGATTCTGCAGGTAAAACAAGAATATGTTTCATATCATAATTATAATCAACCTCGAAATTAATAGAGGTTGCTGCTGTTGTGATGTCAATAGTTGGTAACATGATATATCCAGATTTTAAAGGTATTAATACAATAGAAAATACTTGTAAGCAATCATCCTAAGAAAATATTAAGGATAGTTATGTTATTTTATATAATTAAACCTTGACAAAGAAACCAGCCTTTTTGTATCCAGATAATAACCACGTGTTATTGTCGATATGTATTTCGTAAAAAAATTCTGATTTTTCAAGCAAATCTTTGTCTATTTTATATCCCAATGTTTGTTGTATTCTAAGTTCTGCATATAAAGGCTCACCAACTGTCATTTTCAGAATTGAATAAATATTATTATTTATATTTTTATCCGACTTAATTATAAAATCTACTGAATGTAACACATGAATAGTAGGTATTTTAATATGAATTTTAGCCTTTTTCCCAGGACAATTCAATAATTCCATATCAACAGAAAAATTTTCGAATCTCTTGAATTGTTATAAAATATAAAACTTATCTTATCATCTTACATGCATAATTTTCTGCACTATCTTTATTATTTTGTCCCTATCATTAGAATTAATAAGAATTAATTCATCTTCCCAATAACTAATATGATCTTCTGTAAAAACAATTTGTTTTAAGCCATACTCATCATGATTAATTTTAGATTGTTGAAATTTCTTAAAAATATGGATTATATATGAATAATATTTGCATAGATTATTAATTTCTAATTCGTGAAAAAACATATTTGAGGCAATATAAAATATTTCTGAATGTTTTTAGAATTAAATAATATAAATTTTAGACTTAATAATATACCCTCTTCTAATGTATGATAGGTTATATTAAAAGTTAAAGGTTGATCAGAATAAAAATTATTTTTTTTAACAATCTTAAATATAAAAGATGCTGACTGAGAAGGAAGAATTAACTAATAGCTTATTAATGTTTAATTAAAAGAAGATTATTATTTACTGTTTTATTTGAAATTTCACTTGGAGAAACAAAGAAATCATCTAATTCCTCTAGTTTTGTACTAATAATTCGCAAAGATGAAATATTAAAAGAAATAAGAAATTGAGAAAAAATACTATGTAGATAAGAGAAAGAAGTATCATATTTCTTCCTCACCATTGCTTTTTGAAATAATTTTGTACATCAACAGTCAATGGCAAAGTAGTCAGTATGGTAAAATTGGATATATAAATATATGATTCATTAGTTGATACAAAATATGTTACTGATATTTTTGCCTTCAATGGATCAAAAATATATAAAAGACGAATATTTAACATACCTTAATTTCCAAAATTTCATTATCGGAAAAATATGGAATTGTAAGAGATAATATTTGATTCGAGCTAATATTCCCAAATGGAAGTATATTGTTTTCAGTAATTTTTTCTAATTCATATGGAACTGCTTCTTCCGACTGTTTAGTGTCTTCTAAAATATGATTATTTTTATTAAAAAGATATGCTTTTATTTCAGAAGTATGAATTTTAAGATTTGGAATACTAAATTTAATATCTAAATAGCCTGATATAACATTGTTTTTTCCAGGATCTATTTCTATAGATATTCTTTGTTTGTTAAGTAATACTATAATATTTAGTATATATGTTATATAAATAGAAATAATACTATCGGACGGCAGCATAACTTTAACATCAAGAGAGCCTATTCGTGGAAATAAAGCTACACGGAATTTTTTTCCTGAATATAGGAAATTTTTTACAAGACAAATTTTTCCAATTTTTATTTCAATGGTTTCTATTATATAATTCCCAAGGCTAGTTATCTTTTTCCAATTAATAATTGAATATTGAAGTATAAACTCACATTTGATATTAAATTAATCACATTTTTACCATGTTTTATAACAATATTTTCCTTAATAAAATATAATTCTTGACTATCACTTTCTTTATGCATTTTTACACCTGCACTTTGTATAGAAATATCTTGAGAAATTTTGTTTATCAATATTAATTCAAAAAAATAGCTGTCTTTATTTTCGAATTGATTAATAAATTCATCTAATTGAACAGAGAAATAATTTTCTAAAGGATATAAAATATCTTAAAGAAATTAAAAAATGGCTTTATAAAATCTTAAATGCATACCATTTCCAAGAACCTTTGAATATTTTTCTATTTCTTTAATATAAAATAATGTTCTATCTTGTGATAAATATTTTTCAAATGTTAATAATGACAAACACGATTTCATATATTTTTCGATATCTCCAATCTCAAATGTGCAAGAAGCATAGGTCTGCATCATAGAACATTCAATTTTTTCCCAGCCATTTTTCGAATAAAACTCTGGTATATTTTTCAAAATATCAGCTGCTTTTTTATATTGTTTTAAATAACTATAAAATCAATCTACAAGATAAAATATAATCATCCTTACTGTTGAAATGCTGCTATATCACCCAAAATTCTTTTTAATGAATTTGGTTTATCTCCTTGTTGAAATTCCATTAATATATAATTATTCAAAGTCTAATATTGTTATATTTTTTTTAAAAATAATATTTCTATATATAAATACCTGATATTCTTTTAAAAATTCTTCTTTTGAATCTATCATTCGAATAAGTTGCATATTTGTGATATGTTCGCTTTCTTCTAAATGTATTCTTGTATCATTTTCAGAAACCATAACGAATTTGTCAGGAAATAATAGATTGTTTGGTATATGTCCAAATGCTGCACCAATTTTATCAAGCTAATAAATGTTGTTTTTTGTCAACAAAATTGATTATAAAAAAAATATACAGTACCTGTAACCTAGCTAAAAATAAAAGCTCGCCCCTAAGTGCGGAAAGTCTTTTATCTCTGGATATTTCTTCTGTAATATTCACAAGATTGTGAACACTACTCCAGATCCAACTTTCAATAAACCAAGGAACTAATGTTTCTTCATTTTTTCGTAATATTACTTCCATTGTAGTTATAAAATTTCTTCCTCTTTGAAGAATATCAGTATACTCCCCTAATTGCCGAAGCAATTGACATTGGCGAGCAAATAAATAAATTCTAAAGTCGAAAAGAGATATAGTATTTTGTAATATAAACATACGATATGGTTTTTTAGAAGTATCCAATATAGACTCTGAGTCATCATTTGAATGTGCTCCTCCAATGTTTTCAAAACAAGCTAATTGATTGTCTAAATTAGCAAATAAATATTTAATTGTTTATATTTTCTCATTAACCTCTTATTGTTTGATAAAATAAAGATTCTAATTCATCATATTGAGCTAACGAATCTTCAATCAATGTCATTTGTTCATAAGATTGAGCTAGTCCTTCCTATATATATTTATTAATTCAAATTTTAGAAATAAAATATTAAATTACTTTTAAGATAAAAAAAGTACAATAATTCCATCCTGGAAAAGTTTTTTGGGAATCCATTTTTTTTATATCTTCTTTATATTGAATTATTCTGGCATTAAAACTCGAAAGAATTCCTTCTTTCATCTTTACTATCAAATCTTGCCATGATTCTGTTTCATCTACTTCTCCTAATAGAAGCTGAACACATCTGAATCATAAAATATGTAATTATACAGCATAAAATTACATACCTATCTCTTTTTGATGTATTAAAATCTGCTTTAATTTTATCATATACTGATGCTTTTATACTTAAAAATTTTGATGAGTTAGTATTTTTATTTACAACTAATGGATCCAATTGCAAAATGACATATATTATAAGCCATTCTTGATTCTTTTTTGATGTCACTGTGTTATACCAAGAACGAATCATTGAACGGATGTGACTACGATATACATCAATGTCTTCACATTTTACCAAAAATATATTTAAATAAGGACTATCCAAAAGACCAGGTAACTGATGAGGCTTTCCCTCTGAATTTATTTGATGATATGGCTTTATATTAATTTCAAGATTATCAATATATTTAACTATTCCATTACTACATTTCCAATATATATTCTTTAAAGGTAAATGGTTTTGTAATTTAGGATAAATAGATAACCAAAGATTAAAATTATCACTATCTATCTTATATTAGCTATCTTTATATAAAATACTATCAATATTTACATGTAACTGTTATTTTTGCTGATACCATTTTTAAACTAATTTTTTCAATACGAAAATTTTATAATTAATAATTAAAGAAATTATATCAATAGATCTACCTTTATTTTTTTTAAAGATATAATTTATATTAGATTAATACATATATCTTTTTAATTATATTTATTATCAAAACTTATAAGATAATAAAGGATAAAAATCATTAAAAAAACAATTATATGTATATAATATTAATCTATAATAAGATTTATTGATTAAAATAATATTAATTTTGCCTTTCAAGTCTTTTTTACTGATTAAAAATACTTTTTAAGCTTCAAACTAAATTTTAAAAAAATTAGAAACTAAGTATTTAATATTTCTAACTATTAATTCTCAAGAAATATAGACTAGCTCTTTAGATTATATTTAAATTTATTAATTTTCTATTTTTCATAAATAAAAAAATATTAAGTTCTCTTGCATTTTCAAGATCATATATCTTCTAAATAATTCTATAGAAAGTGATTTATTATCTTTTTTATGTATGTTCTTGCATTAATTTGAATCAGATAATTTTATATCTATATAAATTAATTTTTAAGATCTCATACCTCTGTGAACCTTAAATTTCTAGTAAACAATGGAGATTTCTTTGAATAAGCCTTCAGAGAGTATGGAATACGTGTCATCAAATATACAATTTATAACAGAGAATAAGGAGTTTAAGTAGTTTTAATTGAGTAGATATTTTTGATGATTTAAGATATTATAGTGGAGATTTGGCGGATTTTATAGAAAACAGCGGATTACAAAATCAGGGTATTGATTATAATGTTGTGGCAGTTTTAGGAAGCCAATCGACAGGAAAAAGTAAGGATTTATGGAGTTATATATATATATTATTTATTTCTTAAGGCACATTATTGAATAAGCTTTTTTCTACATGTTTTAGTACTATGGATTCATTGGTTAGAAAACAAACAACAAAAGGCATTTTTCATATATTAATTTGAAGCAATTTTATGATTTATGTTAGGGATTTGGCTTTCAAAGTCACGTAATACAAATATTTTGATTATGGATGTAGAAGGGATGGATGGGCGAGAACGAGGAGAAGATCAGGTACAATAAATTTAAATGTATCTATTTTTTGAAAACCATATGTATAAGGATTTTGAAAGGAAATCTGCGCTTTTTGCATTAGCAATAAGCGATGTAATTATTATTAATTTATGGGAACATCAAATTGGACTATATCAAGGAGCAAATATGGGGCTATTGAAAACTATATTTGAAGTTAATCTTCAATTGTTTCAAAAAAATAGGTCTAGGTAGTTAAGAATTTAAAAAAATTGTTGTATAAATTTATAATATAGAAACGAAGAAAATTCACTCATATTGTTTGTTGTTAGAGACTATGTAGGAACAACTCCACTAAAAAATTTATCTAGTATTTTGAAATCTGATCTAGAACGCATCTGGAATTTGCTAGCGAAAGTAAGTATTAATACGTTTTTGTTATTTCTATCTGAAATATGATTAGCCCGAAAAATTAGAAAATTCTATAATTAATGATTTTTTTGATCTTCAATTTACTACTCTTTCTCATATGATGTTAGCACCAGAAGCTTTTGAACAAGATATAATAGAATTGCAGAAAAGGTATGTTATAGGATTTATTTATCCGACAATATATTAATCTTTTTAGATTTTTTGATCGTTCTAATGTTAATTTCGTATTTCGTTCTAAATATTATAAACGAGTACCTGCAGATGGCTTTTCTGTTTATGTCAAAGGAATATGGGAAAAAATTATTACAAATAAGGACCTTGATTTGCCAACTCAACAGCAACTTTTAGCTCAATATCGATGTGATGAAATTTCTAAAACAATTTTAGAAAATATTGATCCAACAATTAAAGCTTTAGAAAAATCTATGCATTCAGAGAAATTTCTTGATAATTTAGATCAGGAAATGGAGAAACTAAAAGCATTCGCATTGGAAATTTTTGATAAAAAAGGGTCGCACTACTATAAAGATGTTTATCTTTCTAAACGTTTCGAGTTAATAGATAAACTTCATTCAAGAATGTATATTCTTTACGTAACACAAATAGGAACATTGGTTAATATGGGCACTTCTCAATTTAAAAGCATTATGAAAAGTGAGCTAGATAAACCACACCAGGATTTTAATTTTGAAGTTCTTCTAAATGATTGCCGTCATAAGGTAGAAAAAGAATTTGAAACTAAAGCGTCAAAATATTGCATTAGTGAAACTGGTTGGACATTTACTCAAGAATTAGAATTACTTAGAAAAGAAATAGACGAAGTAGCATCTACTCTTCAGAAGGACCAGAAATTTAAATTAATTAACAATCTTGAAAAAGAATTTAAAGAGCAGTTAGATGAGCCTATTTCTTTAATTCTAAAAAAACCTTCTGATGATATCTGGGACCAAGTTATTTTAGAATATCTCAATATGACTAATAATTTTGCAAAGACTCTATCTCAAAAACTTTCTGGTTGAAATAAATGTTTATTTTCATATTTAATAACATTACTAGGTTTTGATGTTTCTCAACAAGAAAATGAGAAAACTCAATCAGATTTTAGGCAAAGAACATTATCTTTTTTAAAGGAGAAAATTAAGCTGGAAATAACAGAAGATTCAGTTTTTCTTATATTAAGAGAAATGTATTATTTTAATTTAATTTATATCTAATTTATCTAATATTTAAAGTTTTGAGGATAAGTTTAGATTTGACAAAGATGGTGTCCCAAGAATATGGAAATCGAGTGATAATATTAATGGAATATATAAAACTCTTCTTGAAGACGTAATATTTTTTATTATTTTGACTTATTTTAATTTATATAGACATTAAAACTTATTTCATTATATTCCACTGTTAAATGTAAAGATGGTTCATATCCTAAACTCGAAATACCTTTAGAAAGTGTATGGCTTTAAAATTACTCATATTTTATATTAATATATTAGAATTGTGATTTAAAAAAATTTTGGAATATTATTTCTTCAACTAAGCAACAACAACTTAATAATAAATTTAAACGAGTAGCAGATGTGATCTATATTGATGCTAAACGTAGTATAATGACAAACGTTACTCGGATACCACTATATTTTTACGTATTACTCTTAGCTCTTGGGTGGAATGAAATTGTAATGATTATACGAAATCCTTTATACTTTTTTTTTATATTTCTCTTAATTTTTATATTTTATATTTTATATTCTTTAAACTTAATAATTCCTACTGAACGGATTATGAAGACTATGTTTTCTCATATTATAGAAAATATAAATGTAGGTTGAAAAAAACTATATCAAGTATGTACAATTTATAATATTTAGAATCAATTTAAAAAGTTTTTAGAGACTTTGACAAGTTTTTCAATTAATTCCAAGGAAAACTAAGATTAAAGAAATTAAGTTGAATATTATTTATACTATTAAAAATTATAGAATCGATTAAATTACATATAAATACAATTAAATAATATATTATTATTCATAAACGATATATTACTAATGAAAGACGACTATCAAATTCATTATTGCTTTTAATATTATTCTATATAGTTAATATTAATATATAAAATTTAGCACTATTCAATATTTAAAATCTTATTTAATAAAAAATATTAAACCTAAGAAATATTAATATTAAAATATTCGTATACTATTAGAGAAAATATTCAAAACTATCTATTTAAAATATCTTTTTAGAAAAAAATATTAAGGAAATATTATAAATTTTAATAGTAATAAGTATTAATCAATATTAAGCCAAAGAACTCTTTTCTTTATAATAGTTAATTTAAATAGAAAACGTTATGGCCCTTCTTAAATCATAAATTCTAATAGAAACATCCTTTTGTGTCCAATTTAAAATAATATAGGATGAAAGAATTATTAGGATAGGAAGCTAATATATATTAGTTTTAAATAAATAAACAAAAAGAATAGTTTACCCAAAACAAATAAAGCATTTTATCTTTTTCTAATTTCTGTATTATTTTTGCATGTTCCCTGATAAACTGCTGTTGCTCTAGTATTAGTTCAGCAGTACGAGATCTAGTTAAAACTTTTGGTTGCCATTTAAAAGAATACCGTTGTGATTTCTCTTGAGAAAACACAAAATCCTCAGAAGCATCAGATGGCGTTTCAAATACGTTTTCATTTGTTGAAAGTTCAGAATACGGAGGAGGAGGTCCAAATATCAAATGTTGCCACCAATTATATTGGATATCATTCTCCATTATACTTGAAGATTTCGAGTTATTAGCTTTTTTGCTAATAAAAGGGTATTGTTGAATAAAAGAATTAAATGCAGATATAGGATGAAACTGACCAAACTCTGAAAACTGAGGTAAACTAGAAGTACGTAGTATGCTTGGAATAGATAAAGACGCTAATTTTGCTTTTGCTGAGGTCATCGTCAAAAATTCTGAAAATCCTTGAATCGTAAATATTCCATCATCATTTTTCTCATCTTTAATGTTTGATTCTGTAGTTTGATTTTCCTGGATGTCAAAGATATGCTGAGATTGAGAAAAATGGGAAGAAATCTCCTTTGATTCATTATCAGTATTATAAGAACCAACTAAAGAATCCGAATGATGTAGATTCTCTACCTCAGAATATTTTTTTGTTTTATTTAATCTGTTCTTGAAAGGTCTATTATTTTTTTTAGATGAAAAAAATATATCAAAAAAATCATTATCATCAAAGCCTTCTGTAGCAGTGCGCAATAATGCATTTGAACGCTTCTTAAGTATAAAGTTATTTTGATTTAGCCATGAGAAAACCAATGAAACAATGATGTAATCCATGTGTTCTCTATTCAAGCGCAAAAAATTTGATATTTCAATATAACTATTTGGATATGTTAATTTGAATACTTTCCTATATAATGACCTATAAATAAATCTATTTTCTTCAGTATTTTCTAGCATCTTTACAATGAAATTCATTTTTTTCATATTCAAATAATCAACATGATTATATCTGCATTGTTTTATAGACCTTAAATAATAGTTCTTAGAAAATAATTCTATTATATGTCTTTGAAGTTCTTGTACGTAAATGTGATTTAGCAATGTTTGATTCGGCCTATCTTGATATAATAAATAAAATGTATTAGGATTTGCCTTTATATTTAAAAGATTATCATGCTGAAAAAACATTGTTTCAAAACAATAATACGCTTTATAAATATTAAATGTCGATGAAGAATGTAAATAATTCATTAAAGTCGGTTTATATGAATTTAAATTTGATTGTTGCTGCTTTAAATTAGATTCATTGCAATCACTAGGCATTAATCCACAAATTTTCATAGCAATGGTTAGGGCATTTTCTAGTTTTCCAGTCATTTTTATACCAACAACCTGTAGAGCTAATTCCATTAATGTACGATCATTATCATCTTTATATAAAAAATATTTCGCATTTTCAATATCAGACTGAGCTAAATTATGTTCCTTAAAATCTACGAGAACAGGACCTGGAATAGGACTAGGAGGTAAAGTACATACTATAACAGTAGGACTCCAATAATGGATTGAAGTTACAGGATTATGGCCAAATATACATGTTAAACCAGAATAAAATCCTGAACCCAGTATAGTGACTTCAATTCCGCCATGCATAGGACCTTCAGATGGGATTAAACGATCAATTATTGGAATCTCAATAGGATTTTCAGATAATTCTATTGGCGTATAATTATTAGGAACTGGTAGATTCACCTGGTTCGAAAAATCTGTTTGATCAATATTCATATGCAATTCTTTATTGGACCATTGAGTTTCTAGTGAAAGATCAAATAGATTAGAATCAATAGAAAATGGCATTTTTGAAACAGTTTCTGGCGAAGATACTTGACTAAGAACTAACGACGATGTCTGTGGTATAGTTTCTAATTCATCTTGTTGAACATTTGCAGGCAAAAGCAAACTTTCATATGATTCAGAGCCCATAAATTTATCGTCTACTAGAAAAGATTTATTTTTATTAGAAATGTCATCTTGAAGATAAATCATAGAATTATAAGCCGGTTGAATTATATTTTCTATAATAGAATTAATAAAAAATATTAATAGACATGTTTTAAAATATATTACTATTTGTCATATTATCCAGTGTAGAACAAGAAAAATTTTCAGGATTGACTGCTAATTTTAATTCTTCTGTTAATAAGTAAGGAGGGATTCTTTTAATTTTGCTATACAACTAACCATTAAATAATATGTTCTTTTTTTGATTACTATTATTATCATTTACAGGTATAGGTAGTGAATTAGGCGTTAAATGTAATCCTAATATTTATTAAATCAATTCTGACAAAGTATTTCTTTCATCTAACCATTTATTTTTTTTATTTTTGAAATAGTTTTGTGGTCATCTGTAATCATAAATGGTTTAGATAATGTTGATGCGATCAATTGCCCTTTATTATCTTTTATGTTTATTAAAATCCTAATGAACTATAAGAAAATAATTTATATAAAATAGTAACTAACCTAAATCCTATATTTTCTTTATGATGTCTGCAATAACATGTTATTCTTGTTGGTATATTTATATAATTATCCTTAAATCTAAAAATTTCGGGATAATTAAATAAAATAATCTTCTTTTCCTCATCTTTTATAGGAGAAAGACTATCTTGATTTTGACCGAATTCTTTTTGAAACTTAGTTTTTTTCTTTCTTATAGCTCGTTTACGCTTTAAAAATATTAAAACAATATACCACAAAATTAAACTATTACCTCCCGTATAATGCAACCAGAACAAATCAAAACATTTTTAGTAATATCACTAGCACAAACAACACTAGGTTCTAGAGTTAATATCTTTTCCGGATCAATGTACTTAGGATGATTTTTTAAATTAGGTAGTTTCAACTTTTCTTTTGTAATACTCCAACTGGGAAGCTTAAGCCAGAAAAAATCATTATTGAAATGCTCTTCTACCGATGAACTAGGTGTCAATTTTATACCTAATTTAACTTGAGTTTCAACTCTTGATTTCTCTGGTATCCCAAAAATATTCAAAATATACGGTGCTGGAATATTAATTTCTTCTAGATCCGGAATCAAAGAAGGAACTTCCTCAATCTCATTATAGTCCTTTTTCATCCCATTTACTTCATAAGAATTAAAATTAGAATAAACCTTTATAAAAAAAATCAATACAAAATACATATAAACAAAACAAAACACTCACATCAAGAGGAACATTATCAAAATCAGTATTTTGCATAGAAATATCATAGACTGATAGTGTTTTGCAGAAACAAAAATCCTTTTTATACCCCAAACCATTAATATCCATCAAACTTGAATAATTATTATTAAAAGATGGCGAAAACCCTTCCCTATCAATGACAGCATCATCATCCGAAGGATCATAATCCAAACGTTCTTCTGATGATGAATCTTTTTCATTTCTTTCTTTCAAAGATGGATGAACATAGTTTCCGTATAAATCTCTATATGATTCAAATGAAAGGTCTATATCATTTGATGATGAAAATGCTAATGATACTTCTTGAGGAAACATAAAAAACTAAACTTCTTAAGCTCCTTTTTTATAACTTTTTAATTAAATATTATCAATTTTTTTGATTTTCTGCTAGAAAATATCTTAAAATTATGATAAAAATCTTTAAGAAAAATCAAAACTTACTTAAAATACAGTCTTTTTCAATCAAGATTTAGCTTTAAATCTCTTAATTTTTTTTAAAAAAAATTACGTTTAAGTCTTTTTAATATTAACGACAGGTTAATATTATTAAAAAATAACAAATTTAAGTTTAAGATTATTGATTAAATGACTTATGAATGTCATATTTCTCCTGAAAGAATGGAGAAATGGCCTTTTTATAGAGTGCGTTCTAATGTTGAAAGGCGTCAGTTTGAAACAGGTTAAATTATCGAATTTTATATTATAAAGTTAATAGTTGTGTAAAGTTGATGTTTTTGTAGGTATAATTGATAAAAAAGAGACTAGATCTATAATTAAGTAATATATATGTTTTTAATTTAAGTAATAAAATTGATTTGAAAGAGATTTATTGAAGAATCTTTACCATATGAAACATTAGATCTTTCATATTTGAAACGATTAAGAAAAATAAATAAGAATGATAGAAATGATATGTTAGAAGTGATTCTTCATAGTACAAAGGATTTGAGTCTTGAGGAACTTGAAAAGAGATTAAAAGAACAATCGATAAATATAGAGGTCCGAATAGCTCAAGTATCTAAGTATGCACCGTTAACATATGAGCAATTTAATGCATGGGGGGTTTTGTGGCCGCTTCATTTTAGAAAAAATATATTGAAATCGGTTGATTTTACGGATACAACGCTTTTAAAATTGAAAAAGTTAATGAATCACACATGGAATCTTGCAAATAAAAGTAAAGAAATTAAGATTGCAACAATATTTGTTGATTTGGATTTAAATGTGATTGTGAGTTGTATTGATTTGAGATTATCATCGAAAAATCCTTTAAAACATTCCATTATCAATTCTATTACGGAAATTGGTAAAATGTTAGAAAAAAAAGGAATGTTTATCTATAAATATACATATTACAATAGCTAATATGTTATTAGAGTCTAGTAAAAAAGATTTATTTTATTTGTGTAAAGATTTAATAGTAATAACTACACATGAACCATGTGTAATGTGTTGTATGGCATTGGTGCATAGTCGTGTTCTGCGGGTATTTTATTCAATTAATATGCCGAAAACAGGCGGTCTTGAAAGCAATTATCATATCCATGGTAGAAATGAACTAAATCATCGATATGAAGCGTATGGTGGATTTATTGTTGAAAATATGCAATTTATAATAGATGAAAAAATACATGCATAGATTAAATCAAACTTCCTAAATTTCTTCATTCATAATTATACTTAAAGTTCATGAATATTTTATATGAAATAACGCACATAACATTGTAATAAAACTAGCAAAACCAATAGGTACCATTACATATATTGCAATATTTATTAAATTCAGTCGTTTTGGAGCTTTTGTAATTCCTAATTGTGAAAAATTACTTGTCACATAATTCTGTATAATATATATACATGCTAAAATACATGTCATTAGAATTGCGCAAAAAAGTTGTTGAATCTTATTTGATGAAAATGATACAAAAAGTCTAGTTAAACATCCATTCATTAAATTTAACGACATTAATCTAATTAATATAGCTGGATATGAATACTTCATATGCCTAAATACCCTTTTATTAGCTTGTTATTAAAATTTTATTTCAATACCATCTTAACAATAAACCACTTGTTAATTTATAAAATAGAAATGCACAAACTATAAACCAAATACTAGCCATCCAAATTTCCCATGCGTATTCAATATGAACATATAGTATACGTTTTACCTGTGTTTTTCCAAAGACAAAATGAATAGCCCAATAACAAGCTGGAAGAATTGATAAAATATGACATATTCGAAGAGGTATATCTTCAATTAACTGTGACCTTGAGTTTGGTTTAGTAAAAGATGCATTACATCGTCTTGATGAAGCATCATTTTCTCTAGTAGAAAATATATTAAACAGAATTTTTATAAAATATTAAGAAATTTAAATCAATTTAACAGTTTTTTATTAAAAGGTCTATTAAAAACCAAAAATATAAGTTCAGACGAAAAGATTGGATTTAAAAAAATATTAAGAAAAAATAAAAAATTGAAAAAAAAACTTAAGTTCAATTATTATTATTTTTATAAACTATTCCTTTTTTTCATAATCTTTAGAATCTTGTGCGCTTTCAAAATAATCTACTTTTTCAGTATCAATTTTTTCAATATCTGCTTCTGAATTTTCAATCTCCTTCAAATCACCATTTGAATGAGGAAAATATAAACCCATTTTACTTGTATCATAACCTTGTTCTTGAAGCCATATTTTGAAATGCTCATTTTCTTCACGGACGCAATCATGTGATAATTTTGGAATGAAAAAAAAAGAGATAATACCAGAAATAATGGCAAGAGCGCTACCAATAAAAAAAGGACCTTTATTTCCGTTTTCTGATTCAGATCCTCCAAATCTTTCAATAATATAATTAAATGCATAACTACCAACAAATGCGCCTATTTTCCCTATGTAAAAAATTAACATGATGAATAAAGAGCGCAAAATATCGAAAAACATACCAGAAGCAGCACAAATGCCATAAAATTGGCCACGAATAGGAGTTGGCGATGCTTTAGCAGAAATATTACCAATATTATCTCCTGGCCCAATTTCGCCAAATGCCATGAAAAGAGCATAAAGAATAATAAATGCAATTACACTATCCTTCAATTTCAAATACAATCCAGCCATTAAAAAGCCAAAAATACCCTGTAAGAAAACACCAAAAGCGAGAACATTTTTAGGTTCAAAATAATCAGTCATAAATGCACCAATGAATGATCCAATTATATAGAAGAGATAAATAAATGTTGTCCATCCTAAATTTATGATTAATACTATTAGATTTTATAAGAAAAAAAATTCACCAAATATTTGTGCCAAACTCATCTGTCTATTAATAGACTGAAGAAGTGGAGAAAAATAAATCCCAAATGAATATGCTGTAAAATTATAACTAAAATTAAATAAGCTTTGCGTAAAAAAAAGAACTATAATACATAAACCAAACAAGTGAAATAAAAATGAGTCTTTTGTAATATTTCCTAATAACAAGCTTATATGGAATATTCACCTTTTTCATCGCATAATTTTTATATGCATCTGGCTCTCCCATTTTAAGACGTGCAATTAATAGGAAAAAAGGACAAATTGCTCCCAAGGCTAATAATATTCTCCATATAACTTCTTGACGTTTTTCGGTAAATATAAGCGTTAAAATATACGCTACAAATGCTGCGATCATAAATCCCATACAAATCATAAAATCTGTTAAAAAAATAAACTAAAATATTCATCAAAAAAAATCTAAAACAAGAAAATGCCTACTATAGAATGTTTTCGTTTTATAGACATTTCTTGTGCACTCTCACTAATTGTAGTAGATCCTGCCGGATATTCTCCACCAATTCCAATACCTAGAAAAAAACGATATACTATTAATGATCCAATTATCCCATCATTAGTTCCTTTAAAATATGCTGCTGATGATAAAATAGAAAAAACAACTAAAAAAGAACTCGCTAAAATTAATGATATTTTTCTTCCTGATTTATCACACATGTATCCAAATACAAGCATTCCAAGAACATTTCCTACAAATATCATGGAATTTAGTAACGATTTTTTTTGTATTGTGTATTCAACAGGATAAATATTCCCCATAATAGTCGTTAAAACACCTGATACCCCATTCAAATACCCATCTGACTAAAAATAAACAATAAGAAAAATACCTGATATACAAAGTAAAGACTTACAAATAACCCTACCCCTCCTACTATCGCCTGAAGAAGACTCTTTTGTTGGGCGAGCTTTTTCATATTTCATATAACAATATGAAAATATAGATTTTTCTTAAAATTATGCTTAGGGCTTAAAAAAGCGGATAGTTTAAGCTTTACGGAAAATTAAAATATTAACTTTATATAAGGATTTTTCGAATATTTTATCAAAAAAAAAGTTTAATTGAGTATCAAGTTAGATTTTAAATAGTGTTATATTTAAATTTTATTTAAATATAAATTAATAAAATGTAAGAAATTTATTGATTTTATCTTAAAATATTGCCAGGAAAATCAATAATATAATAAGATAACCTTTTACTATGATTTTTTTATTTTTTTTTATAATTTTAAATTAAAATTTGCCCTAATTTATAATAAGATTTAATTAATGCCATGTTTGACAGGCAAATATTATGGTTGATCCTTGTTAAATTAAAGGATTTATATTAAAATTTAAATTAGTAGAAGTCAAGTTTTTGCTTGAAATTACTTACTAGTTAAGGATTTAATTAATATTTAGTTTATTTTATAGTGAAAATTTCTAAAAAAAACAAAATATTGTTTAAAAAGTAAATATTTAGAAACTTTTTTAAGCTAAGATAAGGAGTAAATTAAAAATTAGACATCAATAAACTTATGAAGCATACTACAATGAACGGAATGATAAAATGTCTGTTCAAAAGAAAAACAAAAAGAAACAGTTAAGAAAACTATCATATAGAAATATGGTAATATTTTCAAATAAAATGTTCTTGCTTCAGTTATGGATATTTAGAAAGATTTGTGTAAAATATAGAAAAAAATATTCAATATCATTAGGAATTATGATGATTGCAGGATTTTCTATTGTTATGTTAATTATGATGAGTTATTCATTTATATATCTTCAAAAGGATCATTCAACATGTGTCATACCAGCTATGTATCCTTCGTATATAAGGTTGTCAGGATTTGATAAAAAATATATAAAACATGGTAGAAAATATGGATTATATTTATATAAAGAAAGAAAAACATTAAATGTGCATGATGTAAGTTTTTTTGTATTTTATTATATAATTTAAAGACATAGTTTGAAGGAATTCCAGTTCTATTTATACCAGGAAATGCAGGAAGCTACAAGCAAGTACGTAGCCTTGCATCAGAAGCAGCATATCAGTTTTCAGTCTCTAAATTAGATCCATCATTAGCTGAACATGATTCAAAAAATCTTGATTTTTTTTCTGGTTTATTTCTTTATTATATTAATATTTTTTTGATTTAAATTAGTTGATTTTAATAACGATTATACAGCATTTCATGGCCAAACGCTTCTTGATCAAGTGGAATATTCAAATGAAGCAGTTAAGTATATTTTATCCTTATATCAAGAGGCACAAAAAAGAAGAAACAATACTTATGGTTATATTCCTAAATCAGTTATTGTAATTGGTCATTCTATGGGGGGAATTGTAATTCGAGCTATGGTAATGATGCCTAATTATCTTTCTGGTTCTATCAACACGATTATTACATTATCAACACCACATTTGCTACCACCTATTCTTTCTGATCGAAAAATGAAAAGTATATACGATTCTGTTAACAAGTTTTGGCTACAGTCATATTTTCATAAGAATGAATCTAATCCACTACATGCTGTTAGTTTGATTTCTATCACAGGTGGTAATTTGGATACAATGGTATCATCTGATTATTGTGACGTGTCTTCCTTAATTCCTAAATCACATGGATTTACTGTATTTTCTTCGTCTATCCCTATGGTTTGGACTGGAATGGATCATCAAGCAATTTTGTGGTGTGATCAATTACGTAAAGTTATTGTTAAATCTTTATTCGAAATTATTGATTTTAAATCAATTAATCAAACCAAGCCATTATCATCTCGTATTGATATTTTTAAGAAATATTATCTCTCTCCTACTGAAAATTCAGCTAAAAAACAATTTTTACAAGGTAATTTTCAGTTTTTTTAATATATCCTAAATTCTTATTAGCACCATTGATTAATCCTTTTTCCGGAGGAAATATACGATATACTGTTTTTTCATTAAAAAAGATTTATATATTAAAATCTTTTAGAACTATATCATCCAAATCGACTCATGTATATTTTCTACCAATTTTTCCTAATAACATTTTTAATTTTACTACTCTTTCATTGCTTACTGATCAAAAGACTATATCAAGAAATGGTGAACAACAAATAGATATATTTTTATGTAAAAATGATCCATCATCAATTAAAGATTCAAATATCCATAAAAAATCAATGAAAATAGATTTAAAGACACTTAAATGCAAATATTCTGAAGAAAATATCGTTTATTTGCCGTCAAAAAATGGCTTATCTAACTCTTATAATCATTTTTTTACATATCTCGAATATTCAAATAATCAATTCAATGATTACCAATTCATTTCAATAATAAATAAATCAAATAATACTAGAAATGGCTTCCTGGTAGCTGAGTTTTCTAATAAAAATGTAATACGAGTTCAACCTGAAATTACTACTACAAGTATCTTTATTCTCACACGATGATATTCTAATTAGAGTTAGAATTTTTATGGAATAGATTTCGCATAGTCTTAGATGCTAATAGGTCATTAGTTTCAGAAATTAGTATTCCTAACATTGATAATAGTCTTTTTACTTACAAATTAAAAATGAATTCTCTTGCCTGTGGTAATTATATTTTATTTTTAATTTTTTATAAAATATATTAGATAATTTGATTTTTTCACCAATTATTAGGCAATATATATCTAATTCATATGAGTCTAAGTACTTTGTAAATACAACAAAAATCGATGTCAATTTTCATGGAACTGCTCCGTTTATGCCACCTATTAATGAAAATAACGCAAGACGTGGATTGAACATACAATTTTGGTTGGATCCTACTTGTAATAAGCCGCTTAATATTTTAATATCTCTTGATCTTTATGGTACTTTTGGGAAACTTATAGTAAAATTCTGGACAGCTTTAATAGTATTTATGTATGTTATAATATTTTTATGTTTAAGAAAACAGTTTAGAATTTATAATAATTATGGTATTGATAGTTTATAGCTTTTCAAATTTGTTTAATATCTCTAGGAATTTTTATTAACATTAGAAATGCTTTAAAACTTTTTATGCGAGACACTTTTTTAACTTTATCTATAATGACATCCTTTTTGTTTCTTTGCTTGTCTATATTTCAGTTTTCTAGAACAATAAACATGGATGATTTATTGAATCAACAATTGAAAAAAAAGTTATGGGTTAAGGATACATGGAAGTTATGGAATATTAATAAGTTATTCTTTGGATATAGAGATTCTTTATTTTTGTTTCTTGGGCCTTTATTTATCACTATCTCCTTAGGATTTACAATTATATTTACCCAAATAACATATTTTCTTATTTCTTTTATAGCAATATTGTGTAATTTACTACAGAAACGTTTTATTAAAATTAGATATAGAAAGAAAAGGTATTTATTTTTTTTTTTTTCAAATTAATAATTTCTATAGGCATTTCTTTTGTTCTTTTAATTTTTCTTTAAAATTTAAACAAAGGTTAATAGCAATTTTATCGTTATTATCTCTTGTAGCAGTAATGGTTCCTTACCAATTTGCATATCTTTTAGCATGTGTTATACAGTTTTTTACATGTATTAAAACATATCTAAATATTCAAAAAATGGTATAGTAAATATCTATTTTTCTTAAAAAAACTTATACTTTAGGGCCTTGAAAAAGCCTTGCATTATAAAAATTTTAGAAATTATGTATATTCTGTCTTAATCTTAATGTTATTACATTTACCTTTTAATATTCCAGTTTTAATTGTATGGGCAAAAAAGATATCGACAAATTGGATAATACCATTTTCATCTCACCATAACATTTTTTCTGTCTTGCCTATTATTACTCTTGTTGAATTTTTGGCTAATGAAAAAATGATTATGCAAGCAGAACCTAAGTATAAAAAATTAGGATCAAATTATTTTTATATTGATATTATATTAGAATGGCAAAGGCACTTGACATCATTCTTTTAATATTTTCTGTCTTTTTAACTGTTTATGGGTTTTATTATACGTATTTTTTGCATCATTTGGTTAACATTTTGTCATTTTTCTTGTCGATTCTTCATTTTATGCCATTTTTACCTTTTTTTCAGCAATTTATTCATTCTTTCATGCAACAAAAAAAGCTAACTTATTACTAAGGTTATTCTATTCTTTTTTATGTTATCCATTTTAATATACTATGCTAATGTATCTATTAGCACGATTTCTTCATTTTTAAAACATCAGTAATTATACTCTATAATATCATCTATTTTCCTTCTCATCATAGTGCTTATATTTTATTGGTTTGTTATCTATTGTTAATACAAGTTCTTTTTGTATTATATTGTCTATTTCTTTATACCGAAATTGTACCCCAAAACCTTGAATTAATTTACTAGCTTCCATATTCCAAATAAATTTCTCAAGAAATCCATCTTCATTTTTTGATGATATTATACATATTCCCATGGCTTTTGATGCTTTTAACAATTGTTTTTGTGCCATTTCTGTAAATCCACAACAAGAAATTAGCCCTAAAATTCCTTCATTTTCTCCTGATAAAACTCCATTCATTTCACGAATATATTTTGATCCTATCTTTTTTTTTTCATTTTTACATTGAATAATTACTGGTAATTTATATTTTGTCTTTTCTCTTTCATAATACCAATATCCTCGAAGATCAATACCTTGATCATTTCTACCTCCAACCCTCCACAAATCCATATTATATTTCTTTAAAGTATTCTGAACTATATATTCATAAAAAACCCCTTTATAATATGCTGATTTTGGCTTTAATGATGTTCTTTGTGCGTACTTAAAAAACGTTTTTAAACAGGTATGAGATAACCTTTTTTTAAAAAAAAAAAACATTTCCTATGTAATTTTTTATGGAAAATCATTTTAAATGATAAAAATTTATCAATATTATGATTATTTTCCTTTTCTAGACCTCATCATTTTTTTCAAAAAATTGACGTAGTTGCTATGGGAAAACCTCACTTCATAAATCCTGACTTAATATATTTTAATAGTCTAGTAACTTATAGGATTTTTTGATGGAGGAAATAACCACAGAAGAGCAGAAGAAATATTGGTTAGTTGGTAGACAAGCTTTTTTTATTTATAAACTAATAGTTTATTACTTTTGAAGGGATATTTTTATTTCTTTGAACCCAATAAATGGATATTTAAGTGGAGATCAAGCAGCAAAAGTTTTAAGAAATTCCAAATTATCAAATGAAAAGCTTGAAAAGATATGGAATTTGGCGGGTAATAGTCTTATTTTCGTTTCTATCTTTGTTTATTGGGGAAAGATATTGATAAAGATGGAAATCTTGATTTTGAAGAATTTTGTATTTCAATGAGGTTAATTTTTGATGTTATTAACAAAGTATATATTAAAAGAAGGATCTCTAGTTAATAATTAACTGAAAAAGGTTTATTTGGAGGTCCCCTCACGGCTTCCTGACTTTTTAATTCCAACATCCAAGGCTCATCTTATTGTTGCTCAAGAAGCAATTTATGAAAATGAACAAAATGCTCATTTAATGCAGAAAACAAATAAAACAAAAGTATTATATAAAGATAATATTTTAAATAATGTTAAATTAACTATTAAAGATATTGAGTGATAACTTTGACTGGTATATACAGCCATCCGATAAGCAAAATTATGAAGCAATTTATTCATCTAACGCAGATTTATATGGAAATATCTCATGCAAGTCTATAAAATATCCCGTTTAAGATTTAATTCTATCTTAGTTAATACTCTTAGGAATTTTTATGCAATTTTAGATATATCAGAAGAAGAACTTCGAAACGCATGGTGAATTTAATAAAGATTATGGCATTTTTAACAAGTAGTAGGAAACTTGTAAATCCTAAGATGAAGGAAACGATTGAAAAAGATCAAGCATTTTACTTTCTTCATATTTTAAACCAAAGAAACAAAGGCATTCGAGTGCCAAGTGTTGTTCCAGCCAATTTAAGAGCAACTTTTGAAAAGAATCCAGTGGACTATAATATAAATGAAGTGTCTTCTTACAAAAATGATCATAAAAATGCAATTTTTCCTCAGTCTTCAAAACATACAAGTCCTGTGAAAAAATATGATAGTTCTAAAGAAATGCATGCCACATATGTCGAAGACAGCAACATGGACGGAATAAGACAAAAGAGACAAGAAATACATTATCAAGGAAAAAAATATAGGTCAGACGGTTCAGATGAACATATATCACACAATATTATTCTTGCCGAGCTGGAACAGATGCTTGAATTTAAAAAAAATGAACTAAAGCTATTAAAAGAAGGAAACATTAAATCTGTCACGGGAATGAATGATCTAGAAAGTGTTCAATCTGACGTTCTAGTAATGAAGCAGCAAATTGATAACCTTGGTTCATATTTGATAAAGAAAACAGATGAACTTCAGAAATTGCGTAGTGATATTAGACAAGAAACATGAAATTCTTTATCGCATTGGTACTTTTAAAATGTTGTATTTTTTTTCTTTTTTTCAAAATCGAACACGACTTATTGTTTATGGATTAATGATGTTTATTTTATTAATCAGGAGGTTCCTGCTCCAATTGTTCATTTTCATTATTATCAGAGCTTTTTGATGCATCTTCTTTATTTTCTGCTTCTGAACTTGAAGGCTGATTTAATACATTAGCTCCAACCGTTGTACGACTACATTTTATTTAATAAAATAAGTATGTATAGTGTACATACCATATTGCACATGTATTGTTGATTTTTAGCCATGGTATGATACAATTATCATGACTAAAATTATTAATATTTTCTTTGTGAATATAAGACCTACAAATAATGTTTACAAGGTAATGTAATATATATTTCTTTAGGTTGATAAACTTCTTTACAGATTACGCAATCATGTAAATCTAATTCCCATTAGCCTTATCTAAAATGCCACTGTCTATTTAAAATACCTTCTTCTTCGACCACCATCCTGGGCAAAGCATTAATCACTTCTTCTGAAGCGGGCGGTGGTGCATTGGTTGATGGATGTTGTTCCATCAGCTGTGTTATAATATTATCAAAAGTTGTCGATGACTAAATAACCCCATTAAAATATAATATTTTTTTAAAACAATCCTACCCAAACATAATCTCCTGGGTTCCTCATGGAAAAAATACTTGAAAAAAATCTACCTAAAGGCCCTGCTGGTATTCCTTCCTCGGAAAGTCCAGTTCCAAAAGCATTTTCTAAAAAACTTTCCAAATCATGAACAGGAATTGCTCGTGCACGAGTGCTTTCTTGAGTTTCTTCAGTTGTATTTTCGGAACCTTGTCTTGTTTCTTCTTGACCCGAAGGATAATTCGACCATACAAATGATCTTTGAAAGACAAAGTTACCTGGACGATGCCGATTTCCCCCTTCCGTATTTGTTTCTTCATGAGCTTGCGATTCTTGATTATCTGATGTTTCGTGTAATGCGATATCTACTGTCGCAGTATTTCCAATAATGCTTGAAAGAATATTTTGAAGCATATTTTCAAACTGAGTTGACAAAGGAGGTGGTGACGTATTATCAGTCTCACTAGGTGTTGCATTGGCTGAAGTATCTGGTGCTGTCTCTGATACTGTTCCTGGTAATGTTTCTGTCGAAATCACGTTTTCTGAGGTTCCTGAGCAGGTTGATCTATTTGAACAAACTGCCACAGGTCGATGACCAAAAGACCATGACCAACCCATCATTCTTGGTCTTGAACGAACGAATTGTCGGGGATCGTCGCTTGTTTCAATCTGTACAATTAGCTATGTATAATTCATGAAGAAAAATGAATCAATAAATCAAGACTCATCTATAAAGTTAGATTTTCATGTAAATTGTAGCTATTCAAATACACCAAAACAGAAATTTCCAGATATATGCGCTATATATGCGTCATATATGTGTCTTATATGAATCATATTCCCTCTTTTATACAAACCGTTGATGCTTATAACCTCTTTTCTTTTTCTTTTTTAGTATTCAGCAACTTTTTTTTTTCAAAAACATATTTCGATCTCTCTTCAAATTCACTCCAATAATTCCATTTAACTAATACATTTTTCTTTGTTATCTTCTCTTTCTAATATACAATATAATAGACTCCTTTGATTTATCTATTCTTTTTTTCTTCAATTTCTTTCAACTTACTTTCTCCACAAAATCACTGCCACATGCAGGACATTGTATCGCCTCTCCAAATTCGTTAGTGCATTCGTGGCAAAAATACCGAACTTCCTCTTCTTCCATTGTAGGCCCTACCGTGTTTTTTTGACAAGCAAAGTTTGGAAAAAACCAACTTGTCAGAAATAAAAAAATCTCCAACTCAAGTAAGTTAACAAAAACAGTTGTCATGACAATCCTTACCGTGACAATAGTTGCCATGACAAAGGTTTCTGCGGCAACAATATTATGGCAACTGTTACTATGACAATATCATCGTCTCCATCGTGCCCAAACTCCTAGAGCTAATCCTCCTACAGCTAATAATGACCCAGCAATAGCCATTCCTACATAACCCTCTGTAGAAAATAAGAAACAGGTGAATAAAGAATTGACAAAAAAATTAGAAATACCTTTTGTTACGCTTTTATTGATAAGAATTTGTAAATTTAGTGCCTGTATATTTTCAGGCTCTTTTTCAAGCAATAAATCGTTATATCGACGTGCTTCAGCATAATTTTTTAGCTTGTAAAGACCAAGTGCAAGATAATAAAGACATTCCCTTCTTCTTTCTGGAGATTCTCTATATATTTCTTTTAAAAAAATTACCAAGAAATAATATAGATAAAAGACTCTTTACCAAAAAGTAATTTTACTCCATCTTGTTGTTCTGATCGTATTTTACTTTTTACTAGGCCCCATGCATAATTAAATTTTGTTTGTGTACTAACAAAAGGCCATTCTCTATCATATTGGCGTTTTAAAACCTCAAGATCATGTGGTTTTAAAATAGACTCTGTTTCCGCTGCATCTAAAACAAATTAATATTTTATTTTTATAAAAAATCTCCAATACTAGGAAGAATTGAGTGTTCCTCGTATCTAAAAACCTTTCTGCTGTTCATTTAAACATAAATATGATCTTATTGTTATATAATATTCTCGAAGAGTGTTATAAAGATGATTTTGAGGTCAGGCCGTTGTCTTAGCAACATTTGTTTACATTTGTAAAATATACACAATATTGGTTTTTTCCTTGAATAGCCATGATGATAGAGATGCCTCAGGAATTGATACAATCTACGCTTTCTGGATTCCAAATAGACCTGGATTTGCAGTCTATTTCTAGGATTTGTGAGAGATTAGATACAATAAGCAAAAATAGAGAAATAAAACAGCAAAATATTAAGACTATTTCTAAAAGTTGAGAATTTTATACATGGAAATAGGTGTTAAACAAGTATTAGATCTTGAAAGACAACTAGAAATTTCTAAATCATCGATTCAAGCATATGAAAATTCTCCATCTAGGGCAGAACATGCATCAATAATCTTAGCAATGGATCGGGATAAGTTTAGTCTTGCAAAAAATATCAATGAGCTTGAATCATCAATTCATACATTGGATACGACGTATTTAAGGTTGAAGGAGGAGTTGGAAGAGCTAGAATCGGAAGATATTATGAAAGATAATTATGAAATGACAGATGATTCTACATTGTAAGATAAATTATAAAATTATATTTATTAATATATAGACTTCGTCTCAAAATTTATCGTACATTGGGGATTGATTTACATGAAGATGAAGCAGGTAATTATGTTAAGGCGATTATACGTATTTAGGGTTTTATTATTGATATTTAATATTTATATGAAGTAGGAAATAAGAACAATAATGATATGCATGTGGTTAATATTGAGCCGAGATATAGTAGCTTTTTTTATTCTAATTATCTTTGGGATTTGATTTCAACATAAAAAGAAGACGATTTGATTCTATTGTGTAATGTTTAACAATGTAATATAATAATTTAATATTAATAAGACTGATAATTGGATTTATGAAATTTTTCCAATCATTCTAATTGTTGGTCTTCCATGAGGACAATTCCATGGATTATTCATTTCCCCCATATGTTTTACAATATTTTTCATTGTACTTAATACAAGTGCATCTCCGATCATTATGCTAGAACGGCATGCTTTTGATGCAAGAATATTTCTAATTTTGCTGCATTTTATATCTTTTTGAGGATTTTCCTGAAGATTTGAAATAATTTCTTCTAAATCTATAAATTGTAAGAACATGAAAGAAATATTAACCTATTTTCCTTCAATTCCAAAAGTAATATGTTTTGCTTGAGGTAAAGACAATAGTTTACATCTTTTTCCAGGATCTTTATTATAATCAATTTCTATTTTAAAACCATTCTTCTCTAAAATTTCTACATGTTCTATAATGATAGACTCCTCTATAATAGTAAGAACTAATTCGTATGGTCTATATATTATCATTAATTTAATAGAAATAATAATAAATTTTACTTTATTAATAATTGACTGTCCATGGTTGTATTTAATTGAAGTTTTTCAAAATTATACCTTTCGTCACTTGCATGTTGATCAATAATAAATATGTTAGAAATATAATCTTTTTCATTTGAAGGTAAAGATGTAATAATAAAGCCAAGGTTAAACTGTCCTATAACTCTCATATTAAAAAAGTCTTCTTTAGCTAATGTTGAATTGAGTTGATTTTCAGATTGTTCTTGAGACATAGTATATGTATCTGACGGCTCTATTTTCGAATTATGAGTTTTATTTATAAAAGTTCTTAAAAATTTTTCCTTAATTTGGTCTTTTGATATAGATATAGAAGTAGTAAGCTGTCGACATTCATATTCAGACAAACGTTTAAGATTTATATTATCCGAAACTTTTTGAGTCTTTGGTTTAGTTGAAGTTTCTAAATTCTGGTTTTTATTTTCCAAAATGTTAAGATTAGTAACTTCATGAGTAATAGATTTATTATTTTTGGATTCAGATATCATAGTGTTTTCTGTTTTATTCATATTTCTATAAGAATAATCATCTATAAACTTTTTTTGTCCATGTTTATCAGAATTGTCAGTAGAACTTTTTTTAAGTTGAGAATCAGATCTAATATTGAGATTTGAAAATTGTGCATCTCTACTATCCGAAGTTTTTTCTGAAAAAATAGGCATGTTTTTTCGTTTAAGGTTCGTTAAAGTACTAAATTTATTATTTTCTACATTTTTGAAAGGTGAAATAGTTTTATTTGTTGTCAATTCTTTATTATGTGGATCCTCAGATATACTTTTTTCTTCAAATAAAGTATTTATTGTTTCTTGATGTTCAGTTTCAGAAATTAGCTTATTTAAACTAGGAATACTAGTAGGCGACTCTGTTTTAAGATCTGATTTTTCTTTTAGAATATCCTGGGTATTTTTACTATTTTCTATCTTAAAATCTAAACAAATATTAAAAGTAATCAAATAATAAAAGTAACAAACGTTCATGAATTCCTGTTGTTACTTTCTTTTTTTCTAAAACAATATTTTTAGATATATTCGAAACATTATTAATAGGTATTTGATTTGAAAAAAAGAAATTTTGATCAACTGATATATTCTGAAGCAGCTTATTTAAATGAAGCTATATAGTAAATCTATTTTCTTTATAAACTTTTATAAACTATACCTTAAGTTCAGAAATAATTTCTTTTTCATTGTGCAAGAAAATTGTTCTTTTATCTACAGATACATTCACATCATAAGAATCTAATTATATTATATATACATATTGAAAAAATAAACAAAACATACCTGAAGGCATTATAAAATTCGCTATAATAAACGGTCGTTGAGATACAGTATATACTTTGTAGATTTCTGTAATTGTACGAGTTATCTTATCGGGTGAGATAAATGTTTGATAAGACAAAATCATACTTGCGGTAATAAACAAGGCCGAGAATTAATATAAACATATTGCTTTTTTGAAATCAAACATTCTTCTTTAAAAAATGGTCTAGATATAAGCCCCGAAACATTTATTTTACTAAAACTTGATTATTTTTATTTTTTATTGTTTAACCTTACTATAAATCTAAAATTGTCATTTCAAACTCCATATTCACTAATGTTGAAAGTACATTTGCTCCAAATAAATTTGCTACATTTTCCCTTAAATTTTCATTGCCACTTGTTGAAATATGAGTTACTTTTGGCCTTGATAAATAAGTTTTTTTTCAATATATAAATATAAATTTTACTTATTTGGCAATTGATGTGTTACTAAAAATTTAACACCAACCTTAATAATTGCATATGCTTGAACTATAGCTAGTGCCTTTTGAAAGTCTTGTTTATGGTTTTTTTCAAATTCTTTTCTACGAACTGGAAGCGTAGAAAACAAATGTTCAACTTTTACCGTTGTACCTTTCTATATCTAATATTAAACGTATTCATTGCATATATATTTCAAATATACACAAGATGGAACAATTTCCTTTGATAGAATTTTTGCTTTTTGATCATATATAATCTGTATCCCTTGAGGCTCTGTTTTTTCTGTTGCTGTAATAATTTGTACTTGACTTAACCTGCATAATGAATATAACGCTTCTCCTCTAAATCCATATAATAAAAGTGAATCTAAATTTTCAAATTCTCTGATTTTAGATGTTGCATTTTGTTGTGCTTTAAATATATTATAAAAATATGTTCATTTAAATAAAATCCTACCTAAACATTCAAGATCATCTATTGAAATTCCATTCCCATTATCTACTACTTCAATACTATTCAATCCATAGTTTTTAAGCCGAATTTCTATTTAAATCTTAATTATTTTTACTTTATCTTTATTCTTTACCAATTCTTGTACTTCTTGCATCTAATGAGTTCTCTAAAAGCTCTTTAACTGCCATCGAAAGGTCCGTAATTACTTGACATGATGAAATATAACCTTTTAACTCATTTTTAATAGGCTGAATCTCTCCTAACATTCTTTTTTCCTTCTAATACTTCTTAACGGCAATATACGAAACGTCTCCCTTCTCCAAAATTTTCTAGCCTTATAAAATAGGTATTCATACGTATATCTTTAGTCTTTTGTAGTATCTTCCTATGTTACACCATAATATATCTATTATACGGGTTTTAGCTCGTCAAACAGGTATTTTTATCACCTGGTTACCTGTCTTTCTTTTTATACATGATCATCTTATTGGTATTGGAATGGTTCAAGGAGAATCGATGAAACCTACCTTAAATCCAGATATAAATGGCTCATGGCATGATTGGGTTCTTCTTAAACGATGGGGTCTCTTACGTTCTGATGGCAGTCTTGATATTAAACGTGGTGAAGTTGTGATGATTAAGTATGAGAATGAAAATATATATTATAATTGATAAATGAAGATCTCCTATTGATCCAGAAGGATATCTTGCAAAGCGAGTACTTGCTCTTGAAGGAGATTATGTACAAACACGTACACGTGCAGCATCTTGTGTAAAAGTACCAAAAGGTGTTATTTTTAGATATATTTCTATTACAAATATTTAACATATGTTTAAAGGGTATCTTTGGATTGAAGGGGATGAAGGTTTTCGTTCTCGTGATAGTAATATGTATGGAGTGGTATATTTTTAAAGGAAATTAGTTTTAATGGGGAATAATTGCTAAATTAGGTACCAACGGCTTTGGTTTGTGCAAAAATTACACATATTATTTGGCCATGGTGGAGAATTGGAAGAATTGAATCAGGTTTTGGACGACATCAAAGGGTATATTCGGTAGATAATCTAAATAATGAGTAAAGAATTTAAATGAAAAAGTTGCACATGGATAAAAAATTAATTGTATTATTTAATTTTATATATTTGTCTATTTACAGTTTTTCTGGAGTGATTTGGATGGATCTTTTTATAAAGGATTAAGGATTTTAAGAAATGATTAGAGGATTAAAATCTATAGAAGAAAAATGTTAAAATAATCTAATAGACATCATGGTATTCACGTATATTTGAAAATATGGATTCTTTAGAAAGAAGGTAATTTTTTATTTTTATTGAAAAAGCTTAAATATTTTATATTTTTAAAGATAAGGTATGTTTTAAAACTACACTTAGTTTTATCATTTATAAATGATAAATATAACATATGTATTTAAGTTTAAAAAAAAATTGAAATATCTTAATCGGATATTTCATTAGTTTATTTTCGATGGAAATAGTTGGATAAGAATTAAAAAGACTAATCATGATTTTTTTTTTGAAATATATTGCCGATTTAGGGTATTTTTATTGATAAGATATATTAACTTAGAAATAAAGCATTAGTAAAAATAAATATAACTTTGTTTACAGAAAAATAAGTTTTATGGTCTTATTTAATAATCTTTTTGCTAGTCAAAATGTTTAAATGTTTTGAAATGTCGATAAATATTATAATAAAATGAGTTTGGTTGAAAATAATGGCAATTTTAGAATAATTAAGATGAGTTTTACGGATATTTCGGTAGACGAGTCTGGTATTAGTGCTTCTGATTTTTTATTAGCATCAAAATCTTTTGTTGATGTTTTTGGTAAGAAAAAAATAATATGAATATTAATAAAAATAATAGATCTTTTCGATTCAAGAATTTTTTCAGTTATTAGAAATGATATTAATGGAAATTTAAAGGTATAATAGAAAATCATTGGTACGGACATATTTAAGTTTTATTATAGAAGATAAGAGATTATTTACAAAAACATCCTTCTCATAGTAAAACTCTTGAATCCTTAGTAAGAAGTGAAGCTTTACAAAAGAAGCGTGTTGCAACTGAAGGACTTTTATGGTTAGTAAGGTATATTCTATTGATCTTGCTTTTTTATCTTTTTATATATTTTTTTTAGAGGTTTTATCTTTATGTCTAATGCTTTACATCGAAATATGGAAAATGAAAAAGAGGAATTATCTGTTAGTTTTACAAAAGCATATGAAATAACTCTTAAACGACATCATTCTATTTTTATACGGCCTATTTTTACTGTATATTTAAAATTTTTATTTTTCTTTTTACATTTATTATAGATGGCAATGAAATACTGCCCTTCTAGAAACGATTTCTATTCAAAACTTTCTAATGATCAAGCAAAACTACGTACTTTTTTATATGATTGGCTTTCTGGTTTGGATAAAATAATTTTTTCTTTAGAAAATTTTTATGAAAATGGACAATACGCTAAAGGTCTTTAAAAAAAAATAATTGCAAATTTTTCTTTCAATTATTATATATCTTTACGTATTATTATATGTATTTTTATTATTTTTATGGACTAGTTTTGACTTTTTGAGTTTACATATATTTTATTAATCTTTTATTTTCGTTTTTTGAAAGGCTCCGTTATATATTATAGGCTTAAAAGCACTACATAAGAAAAAATAATAATTGTTAAGGAAAAATAATGAATAATAGTTCCTAAATATGCAATAAGAAGAGGCTCTTGTTATTTTGAATTGTTATTTTATAAAAACAGTTTTTGAAGCACTTCAAAAAGTGAAATATTGATAAAGATTTTACAAAATTATTTTGATAAAATATTAAAAAAAAAGGTGCAATAAAAAGGTGATTATTATGTTGTATAATGATGGATGAATCTAGTATTTTAAGATATATTTCTAATTTTTGGTGAAAAAAGCATTAATATTGAATTAATCAATATTATTTAGGTGAGAGATGAGATTTTTCTTTATAGAAAAGAATTAATTGGAAATAATAGACATGAATCACGATATTTCAAGTTCTGAGGTCTATTCTGTAAGTTTTTTTTTTTTTTGAATTTCTTAAATTAAGAAAAGGCTGTTTATTCTGGAGTACCTGTATATGAGATGATATGTCAAGGTATTTCAGTAATGCGAAGAAGATCTAATTCATATTTGAATGCCACGCAAATTTTAAAAGTTGCAGGAATTGATAAAGGTAAACGGACGAAAATTCTTGAAAAAGAAATTTTAGTTGGTGAACATGAAAAGGTTCAAGGTGGTTATGGAAAGTATCAAGGAACATGGTAAATAATAGAGGGGTTTTTATCCTATTTCTTAATTTTTTTAAGGATTCCTTTTGAAAGAGGAGTGGAATTTTGTAGACAATATGGTGTTGAACAAATGTTATGGCCAATTCTTTCTTTAGATCTTAGCGTGGAAAATCAAAATAATAATACACCTACAAAAGAGCAGGCTTTGGCTTTTCGAAGAAAACATAGTCTCGATTCTGTAGAAAATAAAAAATCTAATCCTTTAAAAATAAAACCGTCATATGCTACTTATCCATCAAGTTCATCTGTAACCAATCCTAATAATCCGAAAGTTGTTCCTCCAAAAGCTGGTAATTATACTTCATTAGAGTTTCATAATAATGTTCCTGTTTATCATTCGACTGCTTATCCGAAAAATCAGGTCCTAACTTTAAATAATTCTAAAATTAATGAGAATATTGAAGAATCTTCTGAGAAGCATCACGGATTTTTTAATAAACCTTCGAATTGTATAATACCTCCTGATATTGCTCGAAGAGAGCATCCTGCTTTTATGGATATATACTTACAAACGAATAATAAGCCTTTTGAGCCTTTGGATCAAAAAGTCGCACATAATTTCCATAGATCAAGAAATATATTGACAAGTATATTTTTAGATAATGATATACATAATGTTCCTAATGTTTTGATTAATTCATCTTCAGATTATGCTTTAGATATAGATGTATGCATTGATGAATTAGGCCATTCAGCTTTACATTGGGCATCTGCATTAGCTCGACTTCCTTTAGTTGCTGCTCTTGTCTATAAAGGATCTGATCCTCGTCGAGGCAATTTTTCTGGAGAAACAGCTCTTATTCGTGCGGTATTAGTTACAAATAATTTAGATCAATCTACTTTTTCTGAACTTCTTGAATATATATATCCGGCTATACCTCTTGTTGATCATCAGGGAAGGACGGTATTACATCACATAGCTTTGACAGCAGGAATAAAAGGTAGAAGTGCTGCGAGTCGTTATTATCTAGAGACTTTACTTGAATGGATTGTTAAGAACTCTGAGGGAGAGAAAAATGTTCTGACTTTATCATCTTTTGTAGCCAAAGTGGTAGATGCACAAGATAAGAATGGAGATACTGCTTTAAATATAGCTGCTAGGATAGGAAATAAGAGTATAGTACAGCAGCTTTTAGATATTGGTGCAGATGCAACCGTTCCAAATAGAGCTGGTTTGCGGCCTCTTGATTTTGGTATCACTGGAGAAATACCATTGTCATTTCAGGAATTGAGAAACCAATCTCCTGTTATCCCTGCTACGGTTGTTCAAAAAAGTCAAGATATTTTTGAATGTAAGTTTTTTATATGGTCATTATTATTAACTTATTTATAAAGCGATGAAATCTATGATGACTATCTTAGATAAAGAATTTTATAATGAAATACATAAAAAGCAAGCATTAATTGATCTTGCTTATGCACAATTGCGTGATGCAACAAGGACGTTGGCTGAATTGAGAAAAAACTTGGAAAATTCACGAGCACAAGCTAGTTATCTTGCTGATATACAACAGAAATGTAGAAACATTGAGAGAGCAATTAATGATGAGACTCTTTATTATTATAATTATTCTGATCCGTCTTTTAAAACAAATAAGGAAATTACAGATATTTCTTCTAATATATTTAACGAAAAAATCGATCCAGATGCTCCTTTTGCTGTAGATATTTCATTCTTAGATGTTAATGATCAAGATTCACCTTTATATATTTCTATACCAATTTTGCGTGCTCGTATTTCTGCTTATCAAAAGAATGCTAAAGCTCTTTCTTCTCTGGCTACTTCTTTGCGTGGAAGAAGTTCTGAGTTAGAAGATAAATGTCGAAGGGTTGTTTCTTTGTGTATTGGTGTTGAAGAAAGCAAAGTAGATTCTTTATTAGAGGGCTTATTACAAGCAGGTAACTTTTTTTCCTTAAGCATCATTCTTTTTTTTTATTTTATCAATAGTTGAAAGCGATGACCATCAAGCTGTAGATATGGTTCGCCTTTCTGGTAACTCTATATCCTCATTAATATTTATTTAACTTTAATATTAGGGTTTTTAAAATTAATTAATGAAGATCGTCATGGAACTAAGATAAATTAATTATATAAAATGATTATTATGAATACTTATTTAGAATTTTTCATTTATAAAAAATCTATATTAGGCTATATAGCCTTATAAATATAGAAGATTGCTTTTAAATTATTCTTGCCCGACGTCTTGACGTCCAAAAAACCTGCTGTTTAAAAAAAGCTTAAAAACTTTGTAAATGTTAAAAGATAATATAAATATGATTGAATCTATGGAAAAGGCATTTCGTGCAATTGGTTTATCTGATTTGAAGATTAAAGAAACTCTAAAAAATGATAAATTAAGCTATATTTTATTTGAAAATGTAATGCATACGGATATTTTGAATTCAGGATGCACAAAGATTCAAGGAAATCTATTATATATATTGTCAACACATGGCGGATCTCTTGGAGAATATGGGAGAAGTTATATTTGTGATGCTATTATGTTAAATAAACTTCAAACGACGTTACAAGTGAAAAGTAGGATTTTTAACCTAAAATACAATTTTTGATCGATAAGAATAGCTGCTATTTCTTATTTAATGGATTGTAATTGTGTATTTGATTCTGATTCGTTTGATAAAGCATGTGGCGTCGGTAAAGAAAATATGTCCAAAGTATTTTTATATTGATATTTGATGAGGGGTGATTATGAATGAAGAAGATATACTATCAGAAGTACAAGCATATATAAATGAGAATAAAGAACGTATATGTTCCATTGGAATTAAAAAAGTTGGTGCTGTTTTGTCTACTTTACGTCAAGTTCCAGCTTTAAAATGGGCGGATCCTTTGATCTTAAAAAATCTTGTTGAGAACGAACTTTCCAATCTGGATTTGCATTCTAAAAAAGAAGAACATATAGTTCGAGAAGAGGTACTAGAAAAATTTAAGAAAATGATATGAACATTGATAGAATTCTCTTTTTAGGCATTAAACTATTCTTTTACATCAAAAAATGAAAAATTGACTCAAAATACTTTGGAAGCTGTTAATGATGCTCCCAATATGTTTGAAGAAGGATTTTTAGCAAAGTTGCATAAGCCAGGTGAAAATAAACAGATTCATCAACGATTGATGGAAGAACATTTAAAGCATACTAAAGGAAAAGTGGTAACACGATTTCCACCTGAGGTGTCTTTCTAATATTTTATTTTTCTGTTTTAATCTATCTAGCCCAATGGATATTTACATATAGGTCATAGTAAAGCTATTGCAATTAATTTTGGATTTGCAAAGTATTATGTTTTATGGAATGACGGTATAATGACGAGTTAACTAGATATCATGGGGGATATTGTTATTTGCGTTATGATGATACAAATCCTGAAGCGGAAGAAGATGTTTTTGTTCAATCAATTGAGGATACTGTTAAATGGTTGGGTTTTGAACCATATGCGATTACATTTTCAAGTGATTATTTTGATGAATTATATCGTTTAGCTGTTCTTCTCATTGAGAAAGGAAAGGCATATGTTTGTCATTGTAGTGGTATGTTTTTTTTTTTTCTTCTTTTAATAATTAATTTAGATGCTGAAATAAAATATGGAAGAGGAGGAGACGAACATGGCCAGAGAATTGCATGTAAACATCGTGATCGCCCTATTTCTGAAAACCTTGAAGGTTTTGATCATATGAAAAATGGCCTATATAAAGTTTCAGAAGCTGTTCTTCGAATGAAACAAGATTTAGAAGATGGAAATCCTCAAATGTGGGATCTTGTCGCATATAGGATTTTAGATTCTCCGCACCATAGGACAGGTACTAAATGGAGAATTTATCCTACTTATGATTTTACACATTGTCTTGTTGATTCTTTGGAAAATATATCGTATGAATTTATTTTTTATGATTTTTTTAATTAAATTTAGACATTCTCTTTGCACTACGGAGGTATTATTGTTTTCCATTTCATTATTAGCTGACTTTCAAAGTTTATTGGTTGTAGACGTTCATATGATTGGCTTTGTGATGCTTTAGAAGTTTATAGACCTCAGCAAAGCGAGTATGTTAGTTTATATTGTAGTTTTTTTTATAATTTTGAAAGATATGGGCGTTTGATGATTACCGGAACAGTATTAAGTAAAAGAAGGATTCTGAAACTCGTATCTGAAGGAATAGTAAGAGGCTGGGATGATCCTCGGCTTTATACATTAGTTGCTTTAAGGGAATTTCTCTATTATATGGAATTGCAATGCTAATTTGATTTAGAAGGAGAGGGGTCCCCCCTGGGGCAATATTATCATTCATTAATGAACTTGGCGTTACTACTGCAGTAGCTACTATTCAGGTTGTTCGTTTTGAAAATTCAGTTAGAAAATTTTTAGAAAATATAACACCTCGTTTGATGATGATTTTTGACCCTATTTTGGTTGTTATTGAGAATCTTCCTTTTGATTATTATGAGATGCTAGAAGTTCCATACAAACCAGATGATCCGACGTTTGGGACTCATTATCTTCCATTTACTTCTCGTATATATATTGATAGAAGTGATTTTCGCATTGAAGATTCTCCAAATTATTACCGCTTAGCCCCTGGGAAATCTGTTGGACTTCTTAAAGTTCCTTTTCCAATTAAAGTAACTTCTTATACTTTAGATCCAATTTCAGGTTTGGTTTCTGAGCTCAAGGCAACTTATGAAATTCATGAAAATTTTAAAAAACCTAAAGCTTATATTCATTGGATAGCAAAAACTAATGACGCTGATTCTCCTATCTATATTGATGAAGTTCGAATTTTTAAACCACTTTTCAAGTCCGACAATCCTTCTTCAGCTAGTTTAGAAGATTTTTTAGCTGATGTTAATAAAGACAGTGAATATATAATAAAGAACGCTTTGATTGAAACTGGTTTTAGACAATTAAAAGAAACTTTATTAAAAAATGATAAAAATCTATCTCAAGGTTTTAACTTTGAATCTCTTCGTTTTCAAGCTATAAGAATTGGTTATTTTTGTATGGACAAAGACAGTACATCTGATAAAATTATTTTTAATCAAATTGTTTCACTTAAAGAAGATAAAGGAAAGTAAATCATTTAATCTATCATTTTCCCATAGATGAACTGATGATTCTTCTTTTATTCTTCTATTATTTAACACTGGTTTATATCATTTTTTTAATCTATCTTTTATTATGATTAATAAGGTTCTTTTAATCTCAAAAAAAAGACTATTAAATTGTATATTAAGATTACTGGAGATTCAGGTTGTATGGGCTGTTATAAATTTATTATTATTGTTATTGGGTCAATTTCTTATCTTATTGAACCGATAAAATATGTTTGTTTTGATTTTTTGTATCGATATCAGGTTGAAAAAACTATTTTTAAAAATGGCTCTTAAAGGCATGAGAAAGAGTGATCTACAGCGCCTTGCATCTCAGCTTAATATTAGTAAGTCAATTATATGAGAAAACGGGGTTTAATGACAGTAGATAGCGATGGTTTAAAGGCAAATCTTGAAACAAGAATTGTTGAACATTTATTAGAAAATAAGGCTTTACTTTCTAAGAATCCAGAATTTTCGTCATATTATGAGGATTCTTTAGAAGATACTGGGTTTTTTTATAATATATCTTTTTGATTTGAGTTTAATGAGTTTAGATCTTTTGTAAATAATGTAAAAGGATCATCTCGAAAAAAATCTGTAGTTGTACAGAAAACAAATGTAAAACGGCCTTTATTTGCGTTTGTCTTCTCATGCATGGAATGGTCTATATATAACTGATGAATGATTAGGACGAATCAAAGTGATTCTTTTGATTATAAGTTTAAAAATCATTCGGAAGCTTCTTTATTATATGAAAATAATAAAGCTCGGCATAGATTTAACGAACTTGTAAATGAGTCTTCTGATGCAGCATCAGAGTCAGTTTTGTCCGAAACTATTTGTATTTCTGGTTTTAATGGTGGTTGCGTCCTGAAAGATACATTTAACTCTTGTTTTCAGTATGATGTTCTTTTTGACAAGCTATTAAATATACGCAAGTGTTTATCTAAAGTTTTAATGCTTGATTTTTTATTTTGTATTTATGAATTTTATAATCTTTTAAGTTTTTTGATTCCATGGTCATATAAGGTATGTATTCGTTATTTGATTTATTACCTTATTTAATTGTTTTTAAGGCGTTTCTTCCTTTGTTTTCTTCTTTTTTTGATTATAGAATTCTTTATTTGCCGGATCTTTCTGTAATTTTTTCATTTGAAAAATTTTGGTCACCCTTCTTAACTTGGTGGATATTTACAATATTTATACCTTTGATTGTGGCTACAATATTCAATTTTCATGAATCAAGGAAAGGAGAAGGCTTTAAAATAATTGATCCGATGACATTTGCTGTTGTTAAAACAATAGTTGTTTATTTTATATTTTATAAAGGTTTTCAGAAAAGTTTTTTTTTTGCTAATTCTTTGTCTATTATTAAATCTGCTATTGGCATTGATCTTATGTTTACTTTGTCTTTTATAGGAGTGTTATATGCAATGTATGACACTTTAATTTCTAGAAAGTAATAATTTTTCAAAGTATAATTGTAGATTTTGTAGCTATCTGAGACTAAGACTATAAATTATTTATATTTTAAAGTAGGAATGTTTTATCGGTTTATAGGTTATGTACATTTAATGGGTTTGTTTTGTTATTGGAAATTTATATAGATTTTAGGATTTTTTTATATTAAGTTGAAGTTCATGAAAATGTGCCTGTTGCTTTTTTGCTAAATATCCTTTAGTATTCTATAATTATATAAGTTTAATTTCTGCACTTTTTTATATTTATCTTACACCAATTATTGCTAATATTAATGAATAATTATTATAAAGAAATTGTTCTTGTTCTTCACTTTTTATTTTGTTATTAATCTTTGTAAGGTATATCTTATAACTGTTTACTAGTTTTTCGACACTAAAGATTAGTCAAATATTTAATACTCTAATAAATAACACCTTACTTTTCTTCTATAAGTTCATTATAATCTTGAGAAAATAATATAAAAATTCCATTTAACAAGTCGCCAAATATTTGTGTAATTATATCTGGTGATGTTCTATTATAATTTTCTAATAATGTATTTTTGATAGACAATTGATTTAAGTTTTTACAATGTAGATCAATAGAGTTTTGAAATTGATACCAAAGTAATGCTAATATTTCGTTCATATAATTATCTAAAATAGAAATTTCTTTGTTTTTTAGAATGAGTACTAATTTTTCCGTAACTTTTATACAAAGAAGGATATCTAAAACATTATATGAATTTTTTATTAATTGTTGATTAAATTTCTATATTTTTTAAAGTTAAAATTGTATATATTAAAATAAAAGATATACCATTGAATTAGACAAAGTGCATTTAATTACGTTTTCTAAATAGTTATTTAGCTCTTGTCGGCTATTAAATAACATGAATTCGGAAAGAAAAAAATGCTCTATTACAATATTGTTGATTAAAACCTGATTATAACTATAAAAAATATTTTCTAAATTATATATCTATGTATTTTTAGAAGCCATCAAATATAAAAGTTGATATTTACTTTTTTATCTTGATTAGAAATACGTGTTATAATAATATTTTGATCTTCTCCTAAAACAATACTAGCTCTGTGACTGATATTAAATTCCTTATATGATGAAAAAATACAAATTCCCTTTTGAAAATGCATATTATCTAATACGTATTAAAATATAATAAATATTATATTCTTTCCTTACTTTTTTTAGATGTTTTTTCAGAGTCTAAAACAAATGTGTCAAATGTATTAATCTTTATATATAGTTAATAAATTAAATTTATATATATTTAATGTTAAAAAACCTTAAGTTTTTCTAGAAAATTTGTGTATCTTTTAAAATTATAAGAATAATACCATTGCATAGTATTTTGATATATTTGTTTAACTTCAGAAGTTAATTGCTTTTGAGTTTTATATAAAAAACTAAACAGAAACTTATAATTTATAATGCACTGTTGGATAGCTTTTGAATTGCTGCAAGGATTATGCAATATTTTAATTTTATTGATGAAAAATTCGCGTATCCTCTCAGCAGCCTGATTGTTTTTAATTTTATAAAAAGAATGTCATATTAATCATACTATCCATAACAACTTTTCTAATTGTTTTTCCATATGTTCTTGTATTTTTGATATATTCCCCTTTTTTTTATTGCTATCAAAATTTTCTAATATATTATTAAGAATAGAAAGATTATTTTGCCATTTTTCATCAATCTTTGATTCTGAAATATGATAAATAGTTTCTGGTGATATAATAAAGTTTTCAACAATGTTTCTAATCCTTTTTTCTGCATCCTATCTCAATAAATATTGAAAAATTATGAAAATAACTTATCTACCTTTCGTATTTGTAATTGTTGGCCAAGAACTATAGAACGAAACTGAAGTGCTTTTATTTCATTATCTATTTCATTAAGATCATTTCTGAAGCAAAAAAGGTATGATTCCAATGAATCCAAGGCTTTATCTGACGACTAACATCTAATTACTATCTTCTCATTTATTTGACAAAAATTACCATTATATAGCTATGTAATGATTCTACTGTATTCATCTCTCTTATATCTATATAAACTTAGATATTTTACTCATAAATTAGAAAGAAATGTTAACATTTTTTTGATATTTTTTTGATATTTAAATCTTCTTTTTTACGCTCATCTGAAGTCCTATCTGAATCAAAAAAAGACATCTCTATATCTTTAAAGCCCCATTTTGATGATTCTGTCATTATTCTGTCCAAATTTCTAATAAAAATCTTTGATTTTTCCATTTTTATGATTTTTCTTAAAAATATATTTTAAGCACAAAAATGTGGAAATATTTGTAAACTATTCATTTATTAAAAGACCTTTTATTATTAAAATTATAGATCTTGGCTTATATAAATCTTAATTCTACTTTCAAAATAAATTATTTGAGTTATTGAAAAATCAATATATAATAATTTTTATTATGATAAATAATATAGAAAAAACTATAAATATAAAAGACCTAGAATTAAGTAAGTATCTCAGAAATTCCCTTATTTCAAAACTTTTTAGAAAAACATTGATATTTGACACTTTTTATATGTATTGAAAAAAATATATAATTAATGATTCATACTTTCTTCTTCCTTCTAATAAAAAATTAATCTTTATTTTCTCTATTCTTTTTATATCACTTCAAATAGTTCATCCAAAGGATCCTTAGCATCTGATAAAACTGATGTCTCCGTTTCTACTTCTTTTTCATAGACTTTCAACTCTTCGTCAATATTTATATCTATTTCAGGAACTTTCGGTGCATCTGGAAGTTTCCAAGCCTTTACTTGACCTTCTGAATCATTTGATTTAATAACAAATGGTTTACAATTTCTATTCCTTATTAAACGCAAAAAATGCAAAATTTCCCCAAAAATCCTACTTTAATTCACGTAAATAAAGCTCTTTTACAATATCTGGCATGTTATAAAAGGTTTTAGACTTTTTTTTCTGAAAATTACCCTGATATTGTCCATATGATGGACGAATAAACATTCGTATCCGCGGTTTTGCAAATGTAATATATCTCTAACAAAATAAGACCATTAAAAATGATAAAACAGCATTATTTTTCTCATTTACTAGTATTTTTGTAGGGTTATACATCACTTAAATACCTATTAATATATATATATTTCTTGATATCGAGCTCTGAGAATTTCCAAATTTTAAAAATTTTAAAATTTGATTTTGGAGTTCTATTAATGCAATAAAACGATATAATTTCTTTCTAAACAGAGAGGTATTAGTATTTGAAGTATACTTGTTTTTTTTTTATTATTTTTATGTTAAAAAAAGGTTTTAAAAACGAGATTTTATTTATTTTGGAAAAATCTCTAAAACATTAGAAAGAACAGGATTTATTGTTTTTATTTAGTATAAGAAGCAAGAACCAGGTTTCTATAAGCTATATATCCTTTTTTTTTTACATAAAAATAGCCTATTTTTGTTATTTGGAAATTTTAATTATAAGATGCAATTAGCATCTACAAATTTATATACAATAAACCCAGGAGCTATTAACCTTAATGTTCGTATTATTTGTTCAGATTGTAAGGAAGATCCTCCAAATCTAGTTGAGGAATTTTCATCAGGTGATACAGTCTGCGGCTCCTGTGGGTAAATTTCTTGAATGAAAAATGTCATAATATTGATTTGCTAGACTTGTTGTTGGAGATAGAATTGTAGATACACGATCAGAATGGAGAACGTTTGCTAATGATGAGGGTGGTGATAATCAATCTAGAGTAGGTACATCGGCAAATCCATTGTTAAATGGATCTCAGTTGGATACAATTATATCTACCCAGGATGGAGGACATGGACTTTCAAAGACCCAAGGAAGATCTGTGGCTCAGAAAGGTGAAAAGAATTTAGTTTCTGCATATCGAGAAATTAGTGCAATGTGTGATGCTATACACTTGCCGAAATCTATTTCTGATATTGCAAAACAAGTTTTTAAAAAAGTGGATGATAGTAAGGCATTAAAAGGGAGAAGCAATGAATCTATTATATCTGCATGTATTTTTATTGCATGTCGTCAAGGAAAGGCACCAAGAACGTTCAAAGAGATATGTGCATTAACTAATGTTCCTAAAAAAGAAATTGGGCGTGTTTTTAAGAGTCTTCAAAAGATGTTAACAGATGACAACCTTTTATCTTCTAATGCTGGACAAGGAGATGATTCGTACATACCTTCTTCTACATCTCCTAAAGATCTTATGATTCGTTTCTGCAATAGATTATCGCTACCTACATCGGTTCAAATAGCGGCTTCCGAATTAGCGAATCGCGCAAGTGCGGAAGGTACGCTTGCTGGGCGTTCTCCTATTTCTATTGCAGCTAGTGGTATATATATGGCATCATATTTATTTCAACATCCCAAATTACCAAGAGAAATAGCAGAAGTTGTTGGTGTAAGCGATTCTACAATAAGAAATGCATATAAATCTTTGTATGTTTTATATTTTGTCTCATAATTTTTTCTTAAATATAATAGATATCTAGAACGAGAAAAATTAATTGATCCAAAATGGTTAAATGGTAAATCTATGGATATGATACTTCCACGACCTTGAAAAATTATTTTATTTAATATTCATACATTACTATTAAGACTCCTTTACAAAATAATTCAACACAATTTATATGAAAAAAAATGAAAAATGAGTTAGAAATGTAATTGTTCTACTATATGGTTCTAAACCACTTCAAAAAGTATACATTCTATCGTTACTAATTAGCATATAAAAGTTATTTATTGCGAGTATTCATACCTGAACTTTTAAATATTAAAATAAGATTTATTACTCATTCCTTTTCCTATCATTTTACGTTCTATTTAATCTGTCTAAATTATTTTTCCGTCTTTTTCGTTTGCTTGGTGTAAATTCATCATTCATTTCATCAATTGTGGTATTCAATGAAGATAACATCTCTGCAAAAAGCTGTTTAGGTTTTAAATCATATGCATCGTCTGTAAAAGGTTGTAGAATTTTTTTACCCCGACTGTTAATCAATTAGACAATCTCTATTTTTAAAAACTATAGCATACAATAAAAATGAAAATCCCTCTGGATTGTGTGTTTTATTTAGCTTTTTTATTGGTTCTTTTTCCGTATTAAATATTTCTTTACTTTTCAAAAAAAAAGGGTTTTTTTCATCATAAAAAAACATTTTTTCGACAGAATCATCTTTATTACATTTTTTTTCCCTCTTTTTAGATATATTTCTTGACAAAAATGTACTTTTTATCTGATTTATACATTTTTCCTCTTTTTTCTCAAAAATGTTCTGTGGAGTCTTTTTTGGACTTAGAAGTACATCCTTAGCAACAGGACATGGTGTTTCTAGCCATGAGGATAGTCTTTTTGTGTATTTTTGTTTCTCTAAAGGACATATTAAATTATTACGAGAAGATGTATAAAAAGGTGTTGGTGGTGTAGGAGGAAGCCGTTGAATTTGCTCAGGTGGTGTAGAAGGCCCTTCCATATGCATAAAAAGACGGTAAGAGTCTTTTATAGCGCCAAAAAGACGTCAAAAGTGTTCAAATAAAAAGTATATATTTTGTTGAGGTTTTTGAAGGGTTGAATGTGGATGCAACCATAGCAACGCAACGACGTCAGAATTTTATGAGAAATTAGGTAAATTTTTGTCAGGAAAAAGGCATTATTTTGTATTTTTATCAGGAGAAATAGTAATAGAATAGGAATCTGCATAGTTCTTTATAGGGCTGTTTAAAAAAAAGCGAAAAAAAAGGGTTAAAATTGAAGTTATAATGGAATTTCAAGAAAGATTATTAGGTAGTTCATCAGAGACGCAAATGACGGGACAATCAGGCTCTTTTTCGGATTGTAACATGTCAGAAAGAGATTCTATGTTGCTACAGGAGCTGAATGGTGTAAAAAACCTGAATAAAGTAATTGAAAAGGTGATTTGTGGGTTATTAAAAGTGCAAGAAGATATGGAGGTAGATTAAACATAATTGTGCTCTAGAAAAAGGAATATTTATTATTTCTAGCATGTTGATAAAACTGTTAAAGATGTGGATAAACTTCTTGAGAAATGGATAAAAATTTTAAATCAAACAGAACATACTCAAAGATTAATATTAAATAAAAAATGGCATGGAGCAACAAAAGTGAGTTAATTTTATTTTATATATTTGAAATATCTGTTATAAATTGTCTTACATTTTGGAGGATATTTTAGATGCAGAAAATGAGCTATTAAAAATGAAAGAACAAGCACAAGAAACAAAGTCTTTTGAAGTTTCGGAGAAAAAAATCAAGGAAACAAAAAGGGAATTATCTAATATATCTTATATAAGTAATTCTGACAAAATGGATGATAAAAGAAAGGTGAAACAGAAAGAAACAACAAAAACATATACTCATAATAGAAAACTATTTTCGACAACAAATAAAACATAGTCTGAAAAATAAGGGAAAAATTTTTCTAAAATGATATGTTCTTATGAAATGAGCATTTTAAAAAGAAACAGTTAATAATATCGATTATACATAAATGAAATTGATTTTGTACTATCTTTTACTTTAAAAAATAAGTATATACAGTAAATCTAGAAATCTTTTTGCATTTTTGATTATATTTTAAAGGTATTTCTATTGAAGAATAAGATTTTTTTATATTTTTATATCATTGTGTTTTGTATTTAAATAATTTCTAAGATGTATTTTTATAAAATATATCTTCTATGATTAAAATGTTTGAAAAGGTTTGATTTTATTTGAGAAATTTTAGAAAAAATATGAATAAAAATTCCAAATATAAAAATCAAGAAAAATTATGTATATTTTGAATTATTTTTAAACAACTTTAATATTTTTGTAGTATATAAATTGAATGAATATTTTTTAAAATTTCAAAAAACTTTAAAGACAAAGCTAAATGAAAATTTTCTTTTAAATAATGAAATTCTCAGATTAGAAAACCATTTATTAGAAGAAATTGAAAATTTTAAAGAAGAATTAGATAAAATTCAACAAAATAAATGTATTTTAGGTGTTTTATAGGTTATATATATGTCATTGTTTTAATATTTTTAGATCTTCCTATATCTAAGACAAAAGATAAACTTTATCAAGAAATTATTTATGAAAGAGTATGTTATTTTCGATGAAGAATATGCCTGATTTGAATAGAAAATTAATTATGATATGATTTGTTTATCTATTTTTGAAGAAAATGATATTGAAAATCTAAAAATAGAAAAAGAAAAATTTAAAAAAATGATAAAAAATAAAGAAATAGATGCTTTAGAAGAGTTTAAGGATAAGCTGAGTAAAATTGTAACGAGCATCGAATAAATTCAAGAATCATTTATGTTATTACTGTAGGAGTGCAAGTGCCAATATATTCTTTAAGATTTAATAATGATAATGAATATTCAAATAATCCTCGAAGTACATCTTGTAGTTTTAAATGAAATTTTTGTCTGTCTGCTTCGTATTTTTCAATATATATCCTATTTTTAATAAGAAGCTACATAAAAACATAACAGAGATATAACCTTATGGTTGCTCCGCAGCTTCCAGTACCCGATAAACGTACAACAATTCTACTTCTGTTAGAAAAATTTATGTAAAGACCTTGATGTTCAGTTGTTTCTCCTGTAATTGAATCGTGATAGGAAAAATCACCAGCATCTTGAACTTTATAGCCATAAATAGGAGATGATCCAATAAAATCATCATCATGAATGATTTCTGAAAAACGATTTAATGCTTTTCCTGCAGAGAACCCGTCTATTTCTTCATAATCATAACGTGAAAAATAAGTTCTGCCATAAATTTCCCAAAATTCATCTAAAATATCCAAGATCCCTTTAAATTGTTGGTCTTCATGTTCCATATTAATAGCAGCCAAAATATTTAGCCAAGATAAAACACCCCAAAGACCATCTTTTTCCCTTATATGATTTGATCCTATTCCAAAAGATTCTTCACCACAAATAGAGATTTTATTGTGATCAAAAAGCGTACAGAAAAATTTCCATCCTGTTGGAACTTCATAACATCTTAAACCTTTTTTTTCTGCAACTAAATCCAGCGCCCTACTTGTAGGCATGCTTCTAGCATAGCCAAATATTCTATTTTTCTTAAAGTATGGAATTTTTTCTGCATGATGTGCAATTAATGCAAGACAATCACATGGACTTACAAGTGTCTCGACACAATATACCATATTTCTATCTCCGTCTCCATCAGAAGCAAATCCAACGTCAATTTTTTCTGCATCTACCCGTGTAATTAACGTTTTGGCGTATGTTAAATTCGGATCTGGATGTCCACCTCCAAAATCAGGTAAAGGAACACAATTTTGCAATGATGCAGGAGGCAATCCCAATCTATTTAAAAATATTTCTTTTGCATACGGTCCAGTCACTATTTTTTTTAGTTATAATTCCTTTTTAATATCCTTTTACCTCCATGTAATCCATCAAAAAGCATTCTAAATTTTGTAAACCGCCGAAAAAATGCTCGAATCAGTTCAAAATCAAAAATATCCATTAAGTAGTCCACATAACCTTGTACCGGATCCACAATCTCTACTGTTAATCCTTTTTCTATCCTAGTTCCAATTTCGCTTAGATCAATCTTTATATTTTACATTAATTTTTATTTTACTCAACTTTTCTCAAAAAATACTTACATTCTCTATATTTAATGTAATATATCTTGTCATGTTTTTTGTATATTTATAGATTTCATGTATTATTGTTTCTGGTGCTGATCCTCCATTACTCATATTTAACTTAATACCAAAATCACCATTGGGCCCTTTGAAAAAAATAAATTTAAAAATTTTCCAATTATTCATTCTAACCTCCTGCATTATGGGATGCAGTTAAAAGTAACCCTGCTGCTGCTTGATATGTTCGGATCATCCAAGATGCTGCTGGCGTTGACAAAATTCCTTTATGCCCAATAACTAGCTTTGAAACCTATACAAACTTATTCTATAAATCCAATACAATCCATTTAAGTCCTACTCCATGTGCTGCTGCCATTTGTATGACTATTTGAATTATTGTTTCACTATAATATCTTCCATCTCCACCAATAATCCAAATTTCACCCAATTTTGGCCGAAGTACTGAGAAAATTGCTTCTAAGAAATTTTCTGTATATCCTGGCTGTTGGAAAACTGTTACTCTTTTACGTAGCCCTTTACTTTTATCAATAAAGACTTTTTTCTACCAAAAAAAACATTTTACCCGAAGTACCCGGCAATTGTCCCTACATTATTAAGCCCTTTAAACTGTTAAATCTCTTGCTTTTACCTCATATGGACGGCTTTGTACTGTTTCTATATTCATTTTAATAGTTTGAAAATTCTTGAAGCAATTCAAATTTATTTAAGATTATTGCTAGTCTATATCTAATGAGCAGTTCTATATAATAATTACATATATAAAAAATACTTTATAAGTCGATAAGAAAGTGCGTTTAAAAATAATCTATTAGAATTTCATTTAGTATTTTGGCTTTAAATTTTCATAATTTCCACTCATCCATTCCTTTAACAAAAAAAAAGAATAGTAGTTGAGTAATTCATGAATGATTAAATATTATTCATACACGAAAAGAATTCCACACGTTTTTAATGAGAGGTATAATTAGTCCAGTTGAGATTGGGATGATCTTGGCGATTCAACATGGGTTGATAGGGTCCATGAAATCCAATGGCATGTGGATGCATGGAATAAGGCGATGGTTGAGCTTGAGTGGATGAAGATTGTGTTGATGAAGCTTGAGGATGCAATGGCTGCTGCAAATAAGGAGGAAAGGTATGAGAAGATCCTGGATAAATAGGCCGAACAGGATTTTGCTGGTGGAACTTTTGCATATGTTGGATATAATTTGACTGATGTGTGGTTGTATTTAATTTTTCGCCGGTATAGTCAAGTGAATTATTGGAAATATTTTTTTGTTGAGACCATTGTTGTTGCTGACTTGTATTAGAATTCTGTGATTTAGATGCAGGATAATCTTGAGGGTTTCCCTGATTTGTTGATTGAGATAAATCCCTACGATGTCCATTAAACTTTTTAGTAGTATCAGAATTAGTAAACGAATTTTCGTTATAAGATCTAGAATAGTCTTGCTGAAGATGATTGTAAATATTTTGTTTTGTATAGGGATAATTTCCATAACCATACTAAATGAAATATTAGAAATAATGAAGCAAGAGATAATGGGTTACCTGATTTACATAATAAGCAGTATAAGGATTATAGTAAGGATGGATTGGATAGGTTTGTGCTTGATGAAAATGACCTTGTGTAGAGGAATGAGATTGAGAAAGAGTATTGGGGCCCATTGGCACTTGTTTATGCACAATTGGACCAGAAGCTACCTGTTGAGAAGGAATTGATGATCCTTCTAATGCATTTGGATCAAATCTAGAAGTTTGTATATATTCATTATTTATATTAGATGCATCTCTATGGATCGAAGTGTTTGATGGTTGTCCACAAGAAAATGCTGATGGATCATAATAGCCTTGTGTAAAATGTGGTCTTGAATCTTCTGATCCATAAAATCTTTGATATTCATTAGGAAGAGAAAAATTTCCAAAATTGGGAACGTGATCCCGAATAGGGTGATTTGTGTAATTATTATATGAATCTTGATCAAATGGTTGGAATTGAACTTGTTTTTGCTCAGATAATTGCTGATTAGTTTTATTTAAATTTGAAGGGAACATTGTAGTACGATTTGGCAACAGGTGTGGTTGTTGGGTTGTATTTGAAGATTCCGGATATATTTTCTGAGTTTTTTGTAAATCCGTAGATTCAGAATTTCCTATAGATTGAGGCGGCTGTAAAGCTGGACCTATTGGGGAATGAAGATTCATAGAAATACCTTGCGATACTGAATTTCTAAATATTCAATTAAAAATAAATAAATCTTGATAATATGACATACAACTCCGGTTTCGACTTTTCTCTATTTAAAAACAGGCCATTTTCTTGATCTGAAATATTTAAACTTCCAAATTGAACTTCTACTCTTTCAGAAATATTAGTTAAATTTGGCATCACTACGGGAGCATCTTGGCTTAAATGTCTATGATAAGTGCTTTTAGAAGAATGAGATTTATTAAATTCATGAAATCTTGCTGTATTATTTAATGATTGGTTCGCAATATTTATAGAATTCTTAGGTTTTTTTAAAGATACAACATGCTCTATATTCTCCTTATTTATTGATTCTAGATTCAATGCTGTTAAGGGTGTTTTAGAAACAATAGGTACATGGTTAAGTCCATTTATAATTTCGTGATCTTTTTTTTCCGTTAATTTAGAAATAGTAAACGTATTAGTAAAATTTTCATCCGATCTAAATGATGTCCTCGAAATGGGTGATAATTGTTGTTCCTGCATATCTGGTATTGATTCTTGTTTTAATAAAGATGCCCATGAGGGATTCATTCCTGGAGAAATAACTTTCGTTCGTAGTTTTGATGATGATGAATTCTGAGATTCTGCATTGGACATATAAAATGATCCAGATTCACCCCATCCTGCTGTCACGGAAGACGCTTTAGTTGCTGCATCGCTCCAGGCACTTATTGATCCAGAATCCTGATTAATAGGATTGAAATCTTCCCAGATTGAATTTTCTGTTTCTTTTATATCATATTCAATTGTTTTGTTTATATCTTTTTTTACATCTAAGCATTGTTCTAAAGAATCTCTTGATTGCTGATATGAAGTCCATGATGATTTTATATTAGAAGCCGTTCCAGTAGTATCTATAGAAACTGTACGGCTTTCTGCATTTTTGACAGTATCCCACACTACAAGTGAGGAATCCGATAGAGTTTGGTGATTTCGTTTTGAAATACCTATATACGATTATTTAATTATCATATAAAAAACATATTTTAGACCATTAGAGCGCCCTCCCCCACTTTTTGGAAAGTTTTCTATAAGAATTAGATGAATGTATAATAATATGAATCCATCTACCTTTATTTTTAACATTTTTAGGATCCCGGATCTTGTCACGGAAGTTTTTCCCACCCCCTACTAATGATGTTGAAGAATGCAAAGCGTCCTGTTTTTTCCCTTTGTCCTTTGTCCTTTTTTTTACTTCTCCCCATTTGTCTGCACGTCCTAAAAGGAATATTATTAAAAAAACCATCAAAAAAGCTTTCTATCATCTAACCTTCTGATATCCGTGTTACCGCCAGCTCAAAATCACCTGAAGCTTCTTGAATTGCATAGAGAATATCATCTTCCGTCCAGTCTGGAAATAACTCTTTGCATGAGAGAAGCTGTCGGTGATATCGTGTTTTTAACATTGCCGATTCTAGAGACAAAGGATTTGTAGATGTTTCTTCTGGATTCTCCTGAGAAGACTTTTCCATGCTCACCTGAGTCTTGTATGTTTCTTGCGTTCCATGATTGTGTGATCTTCGTGGATGCGTTTGTCTAAATTCTTTCCGGCTTTGTTTTTTTTGTAGCTGTTGAACTTCTGTCATAAAAGACCTGTTTTTCTAAAAACTATAGAAAACTCTTGAAAATATTGAGATTCCTACATGTATAATCCTTCTTTATATCTTATCTTAGGCCCCTCCCGCCTACTTTAAAATAAAAGACGGATTCTAAGGATTTTTATAAACCTCTAAATCTTCGAGACCTGAATTAGAGAATTTTTAAAAATATAATATATAAAAGTAAAAGAACTGATTTATTGATTAATTTGAAATAGATTCCACTTGTTTATCTTTGTATATCTTATGGTAATGAAAAAAAACTGATTAGAATAAGTCGTAAGTAATAAAAATATATAGTCATCTCATTAATAAACGCGTCATTTTAATTCAAAAAATAGGCGAATTCCTTTTTCTTCATACATTTATTAAGATATCTCCTGTTCTCAATTATATTATTGTTTTTCGATCCTACTTTTATAAATTGATATATATTGGTCTTATTAAACTATTAGATTCCTCTATTTTTTTATTTGATTCTTTCATTTTCATACACACATAATCTTAATGTTTTATATCCAATTTATCAATGATTATTTATTGTTTTACCCTAAAATTCAATTGATTAACAATCGTTTTTTATCATGAATTTTTATATCAAATATTTGAAAAAGATATTCCGATCTTTTGCAACAAATGAGTAATATCAATTAATTGTATATATATCATCTTATAGAACAATAATTGTTCTTTATTTTTTGATTTTTCTTTGTTTTTGACTGGTATTATGTAACTTCAAAAAATAGTCCTTTTCTAGTCCTTTTTTTTAAAAAAAAATGCTCCACTAACAAAGATCTCTTTCTTTTCTTCAAAAATATCATTCATATAAGACTACATCTTCCTTTTTGTTCTTCATTTTTCCTTTTTATTTTCTGATCTATTTTACTAAAAAACTCCTCAGAAAATCCATCAAAAAACTTCCAAAAAGAAATATGCTTATTTAAATTCTATTCAGTCTATTTATTTATCCATTTATCTCTTGAATTTTCGTATTTTTTCTTCTGATTGCCGCCTTCAATGCGTTTATCATATTTGATGAGGTTATATTTATTATCTCTCGAGTTTTTTTTTCCATATAAAAAGGCCAATCGCCTTAATCAAGCAACGCACAAAAAACCAACACAAACCAGGTGCCATTGAAGACAGGGTTTTATGTTAAAGAGGTCTACAATTGAGGGAAATGAGAATATACAGGCTAATTTTCATAGAGAAGATCATGAAAATGATGTTTGATCGTACAACAGCTGAGCTTCATAGAGGGCTAATAAGGAATGGAGAAGAATTAGTAATTGAAGAGACAACACGATGTGTTTGCGGGTTTCAGGATGTCCAGAATGAAGAGTCAGCAGAAAGGAATTTATATATACAGTGTGATCATTGTTTAGTTTGGCAGGTGAGTCAAAGGAAAGAAAAAATGTTGAATAGTTTTTAATGATATTTTAATAGCATGGTGCTTGTGTAGGGTTTAGGGATGAGAAAAGTATTCCAGAGATTTATTATTGTGAAATATGTCGGCCGGATTTACATCATGTTACGTATAAAGCAAAAGCGTAAGAGAATTAGGATAAAAAAGAGAATTTAATTAATGATGGATGAAGGCCTCCAACATCTAAGTATCATCAATCATCAGGAAATGTAGAATCGGAATGGAAAAGTTCTTTATTGAAAAAACGATGGACAATGAATTCGAGAGATGCTATATATGATAGTTCATTACCGGAATTTGATCAAAAAATATTTGTAGAAAAGGCATCATCAGAGCCAATTATAAGTAGTGAAAAGGAAAGTGATTTCTTGAATAAGAGGAAGAAACGAAGAAATTCTGATTTTCCTGAATTATCTAGGTATTTTTAAAAATTCGAATCGTTTATTAGATTAAATGTATCTATAATAGTTATCATGAAGTGAAACGTATCCGAAGATTATCTGTTTCTCCGAGAATATCTTTGAATACACAATCTAATGATTGGGAGGAAGAACAAGCAACTCTTATGAAAAAACGTAAAAGGATGAATATGGGAATTGAGGTACGCAAAGTTGCGGTAAAAGGTCGTCAGGGTGAAAATAAAAATAAAACAAAAGCAAGTGAAAAAAAGATGAAAAATGGTTTTATTTCCAATTGGTATATTTTTTGTCTTATCGATTTAGTTTCTCTTGATAATTCGGATGTCGCGCCGAATTCTTCTAAAACAAAGCAAGCTTCATTAAAAGTAAATGCTCAAAGTAATGCAAATCAATTACCCCATCTAGAACAAAAGGCTCGATCTAAGGCGAAGGCAAAAAAGACATCTACTATACGGCATCAGCATGACACGCGTCAATCGCAAATTCAAAAAGATTCAGAACAGACTTTTTCGAACGTACTTAATATTATAGACAAGCCTTCTCGTCCTCGAATTCCTCAAGCAAAAATAACAATGATTGAAATGAAGAAACGTGTAGCTGCTATTCTTGAATATATAAGTCGAACACAGTTAGAGATGGTATCTGATGAAGAACATCGAAGAAGATTATTTGTTCCATTGTTAGAAAAAATAGACAAGGAAATTAAGGATAAAAAAGAAAATTTTCCAGAGTTAGATAAAAAAAAAATAACTAATTCTGATAGTAGTAAAAATAATGTTGAAACTTCGTCTAATATAAAAACAGTGAACAGTATATTTCACTATAATTTCGATAGTTTTGAAATGATGGAAAATTTAACTAAACAATTGCTTGAATGGGAAGAAAAGTTTGGAAGTTATAGAGATAAAAATTCATAAAAATAACAGTTTTGATTATCAAAATATGTTATACAAAATTCTTTGTTTTACTAGGCTTCATAATAGTATTTATTTCATAAAAAATATTAATTGATTTCAAAGGTTATAATAATATAATAGTCGTTTTTAAATATTAATTCAAATAGAATTGAGATTTTGATTAGATATAATATGGCAGATAGCACCTGGATAAAATATAATATCATTTCTGCAACTAATGCGATATATAGTTAACGAAAATAAACATGAAATAACATGATTCCTTTGTATCTATTTCTAAACAAAACACAAATTCTTTTAGATTAAGTTGTTTCAGTTGAGCGAGTATTTGTGTCAGAACGTGACGGGCTAGATTTAGAACTTAAACTACTCAACGATTTTATAGTGCTGTTTCTATTGATTATGGATGCTGATTCAATTCTTGATTTTGCTTTTTCTAGTTCTTTTTCTAGTCTTTGGATTTAAGTTATATTTCAAATAGAAAAATGCAATGATACCTTAATGATTTTTCTTTTTCATCTCTTGTTTCTCGTTCTGCACGACGAAGAGCTAGTTGACTTGTGGATTCTGATAATTGCAATTCATCTACGATCTTTTTTAATTTTTGGATTTTTTCGTTACTTTTATCTAATTCATCTTCAAGTCTTTCCTTGACTTTATCACGTTGGGATAATTGGTATTGTAGGTCTTTAATTGAACGATCAGTAAAACGTATTGTTTTGTTTTCTTTATTTAACATCGAATCCCTTTCACGTAATTGATTCTCTAACTACTAAAATTAATTTAATGCTAAATATCAAAAGAGTTTAACTTCTTTTATTTTTTTTAAAAGGAATTCTTCATTTATGTCACTTGAAGAGTATAATTTGGTTTCCATATCTACGAGCTTTATTTGTAATGACATTTTCTCTTTTTCTAATAATACCTAAATATATAAGTAAAATTTTTAAATTGTATTAAGAAAGTACCTTCTCCTCATATAGTTTTACATTGTTTTCTCTTTCTATAGCGATTTCTTTTTGAACGTCATGTACTAAAGTTTCCGCCCTCTTCATCTTTTCTAATGCTGAATTTACTATATTATCTTTTTCTGCAATTGCTGCTTTTAACAGACTAACATCTTTTATAGAATTAGTTTTATCTGATAAGCCATGATTTCGTTCTGCCACATCAAGTTGCGATGAAATTTCTTTTATTTTTAATTCTAGAGCGTTTTTATCTTTTTGAAGTTGATTTTTCTCAATTTCTAATTCGTCCATAGAAATCTTCATAGTTCTTATCTGTGAAAAAAGAGAAATAACATGTTCTTGTGATTCTTGCTGAGAATCTATAGCTTCTTGGTAGGCTTTTGTTAAATCTTGAAGAGAATTTTCAAGTCTATTCTTTTCTCTTTCCCATGAAGAATTGTTTAACATTTCCGCATCCCAAGTTAGCTGTAGTTTTTCAAGAGTTTCCCTCAATTGTCTATTTTTGTTAAATATAAATAAAAATTAAAATAAAAAATACCTATTTTCATTGCGAACTTGGATTGAGTTTTCTCTTTCTATTTCAAGTTCATTTGAAAGACTAGAAAGTTCTCGTTGATACTTTTTACGGGTTTGTTCTAAAGAATATTCGCGATCTTCAATTTCTTTTTGCCTTCTTCCTCTATAAATTTCAAGTTCTTGTTCTATTCTTTGTCTAGACATATTCGTTTCTAATATTTCAATAGAATTATCTTCAACCTAAGAGAATTAGATTTAACAATGTAGGATAAATAAATATACTTTAGCCTCGAGTTCTTGAATTTGTCTTTGTAATGATTGGAAATATTCTTCCATTTCCTTTCTCTCTCTTAGCATTTTGGAAATAGTTTCTTCCGCATCCTTTAATTGGCTACGAGCAAATGCTTCAGATCTAGATGCTTTAATTACATTTATTTCCGCTGTTTCTAATTTATTAAAATATTCTTCTGCCCTGTTTTTATACAATGTTACATTTTCTGTAAGATCAATAGAACGCTGACTTTCTATTTCAAAGCGCATTTGCATTTCAGCTAATTCTCGAACAAGTTCTAAATGTGTATTACTTTCATCTGCAAGTTCGTAAGCTTTAAGCTTTTCCTCAAGAAGATTATATTCATGCTGTAAATTTGACTGTGATTTTTTTAATTCTTTTAATTTTTTACGAGTTGATTCCAGTTCTTCTAAAGTTTCCTTTTGTTCTAAGAGCAAAGATTTTCTGGATTCCGCGATAGAATCAAAGCTTTCTTCGAGTTCTTCGAATGATTTTGATTGAAAATCCCTAATTGTCATGATGCCATTTTTCTGTAATTTTTCTAAAGCAAGTAATTGATCTGTATTATCATTCAATAATTCATGTAGTCTATCATTTTCTCTTTTGAGTCTTTTCAAATCTAAACCACCTTTTAATGTTTGGGATGATTGATAGAATTCCAATTTCATTTCTAATTGTTTTTTTTGTTTTTCAGACATATCTAAACGTGCTTCAAGAGATTCAATTTCACTTTCTAAAGACTGAATTTTTCTTTTATCTAAATACAAAGGTTCCTCATTTTCTTTCCCATCATTTGAGTGAATACGCGATTCATATTCCTTAATTAATTTTTCTGTTTTACTACCTTCAATTCTAGATGCAGAAAAAATATTTTTATTAGATTCTTTTTGAAAAATAGGGGATGAGGATATTGAATGATGTGATGGAATTATAATAGGTTGTGATAATTCATTTAAAAGTGTTTGATACGATTCCATATATTTTGCTTCTTGGGAAGAAAGCTCATTACTCCAGTGTTTTCTTGCTTCATTATATTGTTTTTCAATTAAAGCTTTACCTTCTTCTGATATAAGTGCATTTTGTACCTTATCCAATTGTTTAAGAAGCTTAGTTAATTCCAGAGCATTACTATTAAGTTTTTGATCAAGTGATGACTCATTCTTTTCAGATTTTAATACTCCCTCAAAAGAGATAAGTTTTTTTCTATATTCCAAAATTTCTTTATGAGCTTCTTGGAATCTTTTCTGAAATCTTAAGGAATTGTTGTGATTAATTATAGATTGTTGTTTTTCTGTTTGAAGAAGAGTTTTTGTTTCATTTAGCTGAATCTAAAAAATATATTTAACAATCCTTTAGATTTATAGAATTAATACCTTTAAATTGGTTGACATTTTTTCTGCAGACTTAGCTATTTGATGTTCACGTTCTAATTCATATTCCTTTTTAAAAAAATTAGCTATATATTAATTAAAAAAATAACTTACAAGGTCTTCTAATTCCATAGTAACTCTTTGTTTTTGTTTCTGTAATTCTTCCATTAAAACAGCATTTTCTTCGTACTTAGATTTCCATGATTTCATTTCTAATTCAATAGAATTTTTTTCCTTCTTGATATCCTCGAGCTTTTCATTTACAATATCTACGATATGAGTTTGAAGTCTAGAAAGTTCCGAGTTAGACGTAGCTAAATCCTTTTCAACTTGAAGTTTATTTTTTTGTTCAGTATCAATACGAGTTGTAAGATTCTCAATTTCTTGTTCAGAGTGTTTTACTGATCTTTCGAGCTTAATTTTTTCGGATTCTAAATCTTCAATTTTTTGTTTTAGAAGTAATGTTTCTGAAATAAGTTTTGCTTTGCTATTATTTGTATCCTCGAGTTCATTCATGGCTATATTTGCCTTCGAAGTAATGTCTGCAAGTTGTCGACTTAGATTGATTTGATTCTTCTCAATTTCACTATGTGCTGATTCTGCCTCAAGTGCTCTTTTTCTAAGATGTATAATTTCGTTCATAGCAGATTTCTTAGTTTTTTCTAATTCTGAATATTCTTCAGAAATCTTTTGGAAATTATTGTCTAATTTTTGGAATTTTTCTTCTATTTCTATTTTATATTCAGAAAGATTCTGATTATCAAGCTTTAATTTCTCAATTTCATTGCTACTTTTTTCTTTGTAATCGATATTACTCTGTCTTTCAAGTCTAAGTTCCTCGTGCGCGGATTCTAATTGTGTCCTTACTTCCAAAAGTTGTCGTTCAAGCATGTTTTTAATATCATTAGTTTCTGTGTCTTGAGATATTTTCTTATGTAGCATATTTTGTGTTTCAATTAATTCGTTTTCAGCTTTTCGTTTTCCAATTTTTAATTCTTGTATTTCTTTAGTAAGATTTGCTACTTCAGACCTAGATGCATCATTTCTAATAGAAGAAGCTATTAATTCTTGTTTTAATTGATCTCTTTCAGAAACTAGTTTTGAAATATCATTGCGTAAATTAGTTATTTCAGATTCCTAATGTCTTAAAATATGAAATATTTTATAAAAACAAACCTTTTTTTGTATATACTCCTCAAGACTAATAGTATTAGTTGACATTTTATTAAGTTGGATTGATAGTTTTTCATTTTCCTTTTTATACTTCTTTTCTTGTTCTTGAAGATATTCGTAATTTTTAAGCTTATATAATTAATAATAAATAATAAATGATAAATAATGTACTTTCTCTTTAAAAGACATTTCAAGTTCTAAAATCTCTTTTTCGAATTTTTTATTAGATTGCAAAAATTTTAATTCTTTTTCTTCCAAGGATGTTTCCAAAGATTTAATGTGAGATTTGCTTTTAACATTTAGCATTAACCAAAAAAATATAAGAGCATACTATTTATCAGCATCATCAGAAGATAACAGTTTCTCAGAAAGAGCTGCATTTGTAGTTTCTAAACTCTTTATCTGATCTATCAGCCCAAACTTTTCCTCTTCCAACTTTGAGATTAAAACACTGCCATTCTGTAATTCAACTCTCCATTTTTCTGCCTGAATATCTAACTTCTTTTTAACTGCTAATAAATCATCGCATTGTGCTTCAAGACGATCAAGGTCCTCAATTGCACCAGCTAACTCTTCAGATAACTTAGCCTCTCTTTCTTGAGTACGCTTTAATATTTCTTCTTTATCAAGAGCAAGAGCACGCTCATTTTGGAGTGCCTCTTCAAATTTTAATTTTTGTTCTTCTGCAATTTTCTTTTCTAATTGTAGCTGTTTTTTTGTTAAAGCCTATAATAATTGTAAATATTGTTTCTGTTTTTTATAGAAATACCTCATTTTTAATAATTTTTGATAGAGCCTCAATCTCCTCATTTTTTTTACGTAATTGATTATCTATAAATGTAGCATTTAGGAGGGGCTTCATCCTAAAAAAAAGTTTCCACCATGGAGATTGACATAAATTTAGATATATCATTAAATTTTTTTGAATAATAGTTGTTGCATTGTATCTAAAAAGTTTTTTACGAGCTATTTTCCTTTGGATATATCCTCTAGAGTTTGCTTGGAATTGAGTAAGAATGTTCTGTAAACAGGAATCTTTACGATCTTCAAGTTCTGCAAGCTATAATACAATTAATAATAAAAGAAAAAATAATTGTAAATTTTTACAATTCCTGCTTTAAAAAATATTTTTGAAAGACCAATTTTATAATTAGATACATCTATATCTAATTTTTCAAGCATTAGCTTAGCTGTTTTTCTTCCATCTATATAATCATTTGGAAGACAAGGAGTAAGGAGTTCATAGCGTTGTCGAAATTCAGAAAATGGTAATCGGTTTGGATATCCTGTTCTTGCAATTCTAATTCCTTCAAGAACTCCATTGCACCGAAGTTGATCTAATACAAGAGGAGAATTAAAAGAAAAAGGTTTTTTAAATTGATTTGGCAAAATACAACGAACGAAATGGGCCTGTGTAGATTTAAGTTGTTTTATTAAAGATGCTAATTGTTCTTTGTGTCTTTGACCAACGGTACGAAATAAGCCTTTTTTAACCCTGGTCTTTCTAGGTGATAAATCTATATCTTCGGGAAAATCTAAAAATAAACTCGAGATATATTTGTCACTAGAATGTGCTAAAAGCTGCGTAATATTTTCGTTTAAAGGATCTTTGTTTTTATCAAGCCAACCAGTAGTAAAATATTCAACTTCCCCTGCATAATGCTTCAAAATGAATGCTTCTCCAGAAAATTTTGAAGATCTATATTTAGAAGATTTGTCTTTCCATATATAATCCAATTTTTCCGTAAAGGTTTTATCGGTGCCTTTTGGAATAATACATTCTTCATCTAAACAAGATAATATCCCAATAGGCTATGAAATTAATAAAAACAATTATTAAGATTAAACTTACATTTGCCTTTTCAATTAGATCTATAGTTGGTTGCAGATCATGACCAAAATCAATAAATTTCCAATCAATATTTTCTCGTGCATATTCTTCCTGTTCCAAAACAAACATATGGTGGTTAAAAAATTGTTGTAGTTTCTCATTTGTATAATTTATGCAAAGCTGTTCAAAGCTATTTACCTAAAAAGGATCAATTAATATATTATATGTGAAAAGTTTAAGTAATTATTACTTCAAAAATTTCAAATCCGGCAATATCAAGTACGCCTATAAAATGCATTTTTGTAGAGTTTCTATCCATTGCATTATTAATTTTTTCTACAAGATTTCCGAACATTCTTTCATAAAGAGATTTGGCCAATGCTTCTAATGAATATATTACTTGTTGAGAAGATCTTGCATTTGTGACCCATTCTCTACCAGCCTTGACTTTTGGCCGCAATAGAGCTTTTGTAAATTCTGAAACAGGTATACTAAATAAATGACACAAACGTTCTGCTTGTTCAGGATTAGAAAGTTTAGCCTGATCTGATCTATCTGAAACAACTTTAAGATTCCCTAAATGAAGAATAGATGCCACTAGTTTAAAAATACTAAATTGCTCATCTTCTGAAAATCCCATTACAGAAAAGGATTCCTTTAACATTAGATATAATTTTAAATTCAAAAAAAAATACTTTTAAAATATAAAAATCAGAAGCATCGTTTATTCCTTCTATATATTTACAACTTTTATTAAGAAAAATAAAATCCTCAATTGAATTTTCAAGAAAGAGCTTTCCTAGAATGAAATATCAGACATTTAATAAGATTAGAGATCTTTATAACTCTTTAATTCTTTAGATGCGCCTGTAAGAAGTTGATAAAACACGTGATAATTTCTTTCAGAGATATTTTGCTGAACAACTCTAGACTTTTCCAAAAGATACCAGTCTATATTGGCACCTGATATTTTCCCTTTACTATTAAATCCTACTCTTATAAATTTTCCCTAAAAGAATTAATTATTTCATAATTTAACAAAATGTTCTACAAAACGTGAAGAATTATTATTTCGAATAGTTTGTGCATTTCCAAATGCCTCCAAAATATAGTTTGCTTGAAGAATTTGCTGTTCTAGCCCTTTTAATTGATGTTCATTTGATTGTGACGTAGCTACTGCTGCTAAATATTGAATAACTTTCTTCGTGTTTTCGGTTTTTCCTGCCCCAGATTCACCACTAATCATACAATAAGTACCTTTTATCATAAAAAAATAAATCTAACGTTATAAGTATAGATTGATTCTCACGCATTTCAAGCATATTATGAAATGCGAGATCTGTTATAGAATATATATGAGGTTTCGTGTCACTTCTTTTGCTATTTCGATATATATTAATATATTTATCTGTATATATTGGAAGAGATTTGTATGGATTTACTGCCACTAGAAATAATCCCGAATATGTCTATTATTATAAATAACTTATGTAATTTTTTTTATAACAAACTTACATATATTAATCCACTAGAATATCTTAAACTTAGATTGTTCACAACTGATGCTTCATTAAGATATGTCAATTCTGCCATATCTTCTACCCTATCAAATTTCGGTGGGTTTACTTTATCCACTTCACATATTTTAACAACACGATCCTAAATTTCTCAATTTACGTCAATCAAGCCAAAAAAAACATACAGTGTCATCTATGCATCTGACTTGAAGATATTCCCCATCTTCTTTAACAATCCAACCCTTAATAAACGCTTTTTTTACATCTTTTACCCAAACCCATTTTTTACTCGAAAATTCTGCCTGTGCAGCCGCATCTTCAAGATTAGAATCTATTAACATATCCTTTTCACTTTCTCTGCTATCGTCCTTTGAATATATACCAAATTCCCTTGATTCTTCATTGAATTGATGTTCAATCTTTCTCATTTAATTATCAAAAATACTTAAAAAATCACGAATCAAAAAACAAAAAAAAGATATATATATAATAAAGAAAAATAAAGCTATTACTTTATAGTTTCTCCTCTTAATTTCTCTTATTTATTTCTTTTTTACATCTAAGCTTTAAAACCAATATCGTGTAAAAAAACAATCGTCCAGAGGGATATTCAACGTATTAAAAATGATGAAATTGAGAATATCAGCATATTTCAATAAATAATAATAAGGAGGATCTTGTAAGTATTTTTAACGTATTTTTCATGTCTATTTTTCTACTATTTCTAACTTGAAGTAGTTAATAAGCTTGTATATTAGAGGATATTTTCAAGAAGTAAAAATTTGTTAGAGGTTTTTTAAGAACTTATAATAAGGATAATTAGGCATGAAACTGGACGAATTATCTCTTTCGTCGCTGTTAAATGAGAAAAAAGGGGATTTTGAAGGGTTGGATGAGATCTCTAAGGATTCTAATGGATCGTCGGAATCATTTGGAAATCAACAGGATAGAAATGAAAAAGAGGAAGGAGAAATTAGTGATAATTCTGTTTCTGACAAGAGTTGTGGTTTTGTTAGTGGTGGTGGGAAAAGTAGGAAATTTTTAGTATATAATTATTTTAGATTAATTGTATGAAAGCATTTTTGAAAAAAAAAGGATTTCTTAATAGGATTCCATATAGAAAGTAGGTATTGTTGAAAACTTTGTTTGATTTATAAGTTTGGAAAGGAATTATCGAATGAGGAGTAATCCAATCTTATACCCACATTTATATCAGTCTATTTTTTTGCAAAATAGTATAATTGTTTTTTTAAAAAAAAAGAGAATCTTATTTATTTAGATTCGAATCTTAAGCTTGAAGGGAAATTGGCACTTGAGTTTTTATCTTCTCAAGGGATTTCTTTTGAATATTTGGTTCATTTAGGAATAAATAGGGATTTTCTTTGTAAAATATTCTTAGAAGCTGGTTTATCATTACCAGAAACAGAAAATATCCAAAGCAAAAATGTAGTGAAAGAAAAAAGGGATATGGGTGTTGGTCTAAAAGATGATAAAGAATTAACAAAAATATCTTCTTTAAAACCTCAAAAAGCCGATATTGTTGATCATATAAAGGGTTTTTCGGATACGTCTGTTTCCCAGAAGAGTTCTAATAAAAATTTGGGTCAACATGTGGATTCAGATACTTTTTTACAGAATATTCGTAATTCTATTAAAAATAAAATACAGATTTCGGAAAATATTCAGAAAAATGTCTCTATATCGCATAAAAGAAAGCACGTGTCAACCCTTGATTCTAAAAACGAGGATTCCTTTACTCCTCGAAAAAAATTTGGTTCAGAATCTCTTGCTTCTGTTGTGATTGAACTTTCAGATGATGATAATGATGAAAATAGTGGCGATAATAATAATAATTGTGATAATATTAGTAAAATTAAAAAGCCTTTGGAGTCTGAAAATATAAAAAATGATGCTATTACAAAATTAAAACAAAAAGAAGAAGAAATCAAACGTATGATGGAAATAATTGCTAAATTGGAGAGCTCAAAAAAGATGAAAAAAAAACCTATCGAGGATGCTAATCATATTCCTGGTTTTAATGCTACAAATATAAATGAAGAAAACTCAATTATATTTAATACTAATCAAGAAAGAAAAGAAGCATCTAAGGACTCTGAGGATAAATCGAATGAGATTGCGTTGCACGAAAAAGAGCAAGTTCTTCAAGAAAAGCTGCATAAAATTAATATGCAGCTTTTTCAAGAAGAATTGTTGATTCAAAAATTAAAAAATGAGCTTGCTGAGGCCGAGTCTTTATTTCAAAAGTCGTTTCAAATAAAATCTGATATTCAAATACAATTAAAAGATTTTAGAAAGTCTCATGATTCTATTGATAAGGTTAAAGGGGATAGCAAAGTTTCATCAATAAAAAATCTGGAAAATTCTCATTCTATATCTGAAAACTTAATTACTGTTGCTGATTCTAAAAGTATTTAAAAAATCATTTTAGTCAAATATTCACTTTTTTTAGATGAAATTTTTATTTCATCGAATAATATTTCATTATCTAATCAAAATAATCATGAAAAAGTTGAAAGTGTTGATTTTTCTGATGACAATGATAAGATTAAAACTTTTAAAAAAGCATCAGGGACTCAAAAAAAGGCTGTAACTACTTGTTTTGTGCACGAAGAAATTAGTAGTTCAAAAAATGATGAAATTTCTTCAAAAATTAAAAATCATGACAAGCTTTTTGCATCGACTAATATGGATGAATTATCAGAAACCTTTAAACATGATAAAAATGACCTTTCTGAATCAATATTAACAAGTCATTCTCAAAAAAATGTAATTATCTCTTTACAATCAAAAGATGTTATTGCTAATAAAGTAAATATTATTTTTGATTATGAAAAAAGTTTTAATTCTGGTTTTAGGGCTGTTTTGTTTTCTATAAAGAGTATTCTAGTCCACTACGGATTTTTCATGCATTTAGATATCATCCCCACTTTTTATCATGGGTAAAGGGAGGATTTCTCTCACGAACGTATAGCACACGTTCTGATCCTAATAAAAAAGTTTGTGTTTTTGAAACGGCTGGAGGTGTATGTAATGATGATTCCTGTAAATTTTTACATTTCAAAGAAATTGGACAAACTGGTATGTTTATATATTATAATTTTTCATCTATGTTATAACGATATATTTATGATATTCTAGACGATCAATTTCTTGTAGAAATGAGTTCATTTCCAGTTGGAGAAACAGAAGAAGAACGACAAAGCTATTTTTCAGGCTTACGTGCACTAATTCAAACTTTGCGTGCATCTTATCCTCACGATACAATAAAAATAGCTCAGTCGATCATTGATTATCGTAAACAATTTCTTAATGATTCATCTCGTGTCATATTATTTTAATTATTGCATTATTCTTTTATATACATTATTTATAAATATATATTGCATTCAATTTTATTAAGGAATATTGGAACTGCTGCATAAGATTTATTTCATTATATTCTATGATTATATTAACTACTATATTTTTGTATAATTTTTTTACTAAAATTTTTTTATTTTAGTTTGGAACTTAAAATTTTTTAGCTCCAATAAAAAAAATATTTAATTAAAAATTAATATAGGGTTATTAAGGTTTGATATATTTAACGTTGAGGTTTTTTTTGATATTTATTAGTATAATGTTTTTATAAAAAATTAATATAAATTTGAGATTAGGGAAATTTACTTTTTTTGTCTAATAAACTTTGAAAGATAAAGGATTAGTGAATTATTTCTTAAATTTTGGTCTCTGGTTTTCTATTTTCACTTTTATTATATTATTTACGACCAATATATGTTAAATTTTGAAAAATTTTGTGAAAAATGTATATGAAAGAATCGCAACAAATGCAAAGTTATTTCGATATCAGCTATTTGATAGACGATATCTTTCTATTAGGCACAATAATTTTTGCCTTTGTGAGTTTTTTTTGTATTTATTTATAGTTTAATTTTATTTTAGATAGGATGGATTATTACAGTAATTTCGTTAATAGTTTCGAATGTTAGAGAAATAGATCTTCCATATTATTCGTGGTGGGTCACTGTATATCAGTTTTTTATTATTTTCTGTGTTATTACAGTGATTTTATCAAATTCTGGAAATACGTACCGGATTGCTGTATGATTTTTATGATATATTGGTTTATTATTTAAGTAAAATAGTTGGTAGGATTAATAACAGTTGCATTATTTTCCCAAGCATTATTATGTGATACTATGTTATATTATTCAAAGCCATCTCAACGTGCTATTGCTTCTGGATGCATTTTTCTTTCTATTGTTGACGTGGGTTTCACTATGATCAATTTATTTATGTCTTTGTACTAAAATTATAAGGTTTTATGGATATTATATTATGGAACTTCAAATGATTCTGTTTATCATTTATGGACGAATTCATATATATCTGAATCTTCTGAAAATATTGAGAAGAACTTTATTTCTAAAGTTACTTCGGATAAGGATATAACTAGTGATGATAATCATGTCGCAATGACATATACGACTCAAGAACATCGTCCATTAAATTTTTTGGATAGCACAGTAAATAGTACTGCTGTACAGCATGAATATCCACATAAAGTGAAAGCTATTTATTCATGTGAGTTTTTTGAATAAGAAAAAAAAAGACTTTAATGGTTCTTAGATAATGCAAATCCGGATGATCCTAGAGAGATATCATTTCATAAAAATGAAATCTTAGAGATATCTGATGTTACTGGAAAGTGTATGTGTTTTTTGTTTTTTTTTGAAATATTTTATAGATAAAATTTAGGGTGGCAAGCTCGAAAACATGACGGAACTGTAGGAATCATTCCTAGCAATTATGTGCAGTTAATAGTAAATTGATATTACGTTGAGATTTTTACTGGTTTTATTATTGAATATTAGAAACTATTTGAATGTATTTAAAGATGCAAGAAATGAAATTTTTAATACAAATATTTTTTTATGCTTAATTTTATAAGTATTATATTATTTGAAATTTACATATCAAATTTAAAATGTTTTGGCATTTATAGTTTTTTTATAGGAATTCTAGAGTAGTCAGAATTTTGGAAAATTAGATATGATAGTCAAATGTGTAAAAACTAATAGATTTATGTACGTTTTTTTATACGACTTTCTATAAAGTTTAGTTTTAAAATAATAAAAAAATTATCTATCTTATTTTAAAACATCAAGAATTAGTTGTGTTATTTATAGGTGTTTTTATATTTCTTTTTATTCAATGCTAAGTCATTTTCATCTTCTGAATCAGAGCGAGTATCTTTAGCATTATGTCCTGAAATAACCTGCCATGTAACCTTTATAATAAGACATAACCAAAAAAATAAAATAATTTCTAATGCTGTAAGCAATGCTAAAAATGACATATGAATTTTTTTGGTAAAATAAATATTGTTTACAGGATCCCATTTATGTGTAATGATAACACCTGCATCTTTATATGTTGAATATACTATGAATACAAACAAAATATGCCTCGTAATAATCCATGAAAGAAAAAATATAAAAAACGATAAATTACACGTTTTATGCATTTTCAAATACTTAAGCATTTTTGATAACTATGAAATTAGAATTTAAAAAAGTTGCTATAAAATACATACCGGTAAAAAAATATCAGATAAGTCCATAATACACATGACTGCATTTCCAACCTGTGTAAAGTGATAGATATAACTCATGAATATAAGGGTGCACGTGATAATATGATGAAAAAACATTTCGTAATAATCCTTTCTTCGTTTTTCAATATTTACAACAAAAATTTGCTGAATCCAAAATGAAAATTGAACAAGATAATACCACTTAATATGTGGTTTAAGATCTACTTGAGGGTATTGAATCCATAATTGTTTAGGATTAAGCCAATATGGACTATTATATGAAATATACTAAATATTTTAACTTCAACATATCTTTTTAAATATTTATTTACCATCCCAAAACTCCAGAAAACAACATAATATATGAAACTCCATGTCTGTTCTGAAAATCTATTAAGATTTCTAGTTGATATAATTCCATGATTCCGACCAAAAGGAATAAAAATATGACGTATACAAACTTCTCGCATAAGTGTAAATAAAATTACCCAGAATCCAACAAAGTACCAGTCATCTTTTCCCTTGCTGCACAATTGAGTTGCTGAATTACAGTAAGATAATTTAAGAAGCTTCTTTGTAAAATTCTGAGAAGTAAATATATGAATGCAAATAATAAAAAGTATTGTTGCTATTAGGATTTCTCATCAAATCAGTATATTTATATATAAAAAAGTATAAAAATATACTTTGTTGATAAACTGCAAAATATCGAATATTTTGCTTAATAAAACGCCCAAAATTCAAATATGAAAGCTGTTTATCTTTCTTTATTCTTCCATCTGAATATTTTTTCATATTTAAAACAGAACCCGAGTCAGCTTTATTAGTTTTAAATATTTAAATCCAAAATTTCAAAAAATTCTCTAAAATATTCAATATTTTGTCTTTTTTTATTCTTCTTTTCGGTATCCTTATGTCTAAAGATAAAATATTCTTATCTAAATATTATTTTTCTAGTTATCTGATCTTTATCTTCTAAAAAAATATTTAAATATCATCAATATAACTTGTAGATCTGATCCGATCAAGAATCTAAGCAATATTTATAAAATTAAAAAAATGAATCTTTAAAATTAAGAAAAAAAGATATATTTGTTTTTTAAAGATGCTTACTCTTTTTTAATTGAATGGTTTATTTTTCTGTATTTTTATGAATATTTTAGATAAGATATTTTTTAAATAATTTTGATTAATGGGTTATTATATGGGTTAATTGTTTGTTTATGTTTGTATTCTATGATTTTCTATGAATTTAATAAGTTTTTTTATAATATATTTAAATATATGTTGATTGTTTTAAAAAAGAAAATGTGAAAGATTAAATATGAGAATGTTTTTTTAAATAAAACTTTATATGTTAATTTACTGTTTTTATAGAAAATAGAAAGTATAATGTTTCTTCTGTAAAAAATTTATTTAAAATAAGCATGTTTTATAATTTATTAAAAAAATTGTAATATTTTACCAAGTTAAAAATTCATTTTAAAGATCTAAGGTATTTATTTATTAAAGAAATTGGGAGTATATGAACCTTTGGAGAATTACATATATTTCAGAAGATAAACATGAAACATTAAGTCAATTTTATTCTATTGAACGGAATGAAATTTTTGAAAAATATATGAATTTATGGAAAGAATTGAAAGGAGTTGTATCATTTCCTATAAAAGTTGGTTTAACAAGATTTTTATGAAAAAGGTTGATTGAAATTTAATATATTCCTAGTATTCTAGTGAACTTGCGTCTTATAAATTAATTACAATTCATTGGTGCCGACAAGATAGCTGTGTAAGGCCACCGTTTGCTACAATTCCATCAAATGGTATTTATATAATGATATATCCATTAGATGCTTCAAAGATGTTCTTTTTTCCATAAACATATTAATATTCTTACTATTTTTAGGACATTTTCTACTTTAAGTTTTTTAAAAGATTTATGGAAGAATAAAACACCCACATGGGTAAGAAATTTATTATATGTTTTGTTCTTTATTATTGTTTCAGGAATCCTTTGTTGATAATAAAACTGGAAAGTTATATTATGACTCTACGATTTCATCAAGTTCTTTTTTATTGGATTTAATTTGCATGTTTAATAGGCATTTATGTGATCAAAAAGATATAGAAAGTATTGGTCAAATTGAACTTTTTATTTATCCTTCATCAAAAACAATAGTTGTAAAAATAGTATGGAAATTGCGTCTAAAAAGTTTGGATTGGAATAAATATTCAAAATTTTTGCAAAATACATCAGCACATGTTGAAATTGGGCTTCTTGAACCAATTTCTAATGTCACTAAAAGGATTAAATATCTTTGGAGAAGAGCAGTTCTTGGACAGTTTAATATACTAGGTATATATTTCATATTTTTTTTTTAAATTAAAAGATATTAGAACCATATACTACATTTTTTTCTAATGATTTTCTTGATAATTCTTTTATTCATTCTGAAGTTATTTCTTCCAAAGGGTTTCATAGAAAAATTCGATCTAAAATAACTATTTCAAAGTTACAAAATGATACTTGTTCTTTATACATCCTTTATTATCTTCCTAAATTCGTATATGTTGATAAATATCAATTAGAAAATCTGGTTCATTTCAATATTGGCAATCTTAAAAAAATCCATTTTATACGAGGAGAAACAAATCTTGAGGCTGCGTCTTGGCAATTAAACAAATGGGGAAGTCTAATATTGGTTGAAGCTTTAACTCATCAAAATATTTCTTTTTTTGTCGATTTACCTATTCATCTTCGCTATTATTTACCTATGAAGAATAAATTTCACACTTTTAACCTTTCTCTTCCAACTTCTTTTTATTTTTGTGAATCATTACAAGGTATGGTCTGTTTTTATCTTTTTTTTCAAATAAAAATTTATTTTTTTTCTATAAAAAGATATATCTACTTCTCAATCACCTTTTTCATCTAGTTGGCAACTATTTCATGATCATTTTTCAAAAAATGGCACATTTCATTTTTTGCATCATTCAAATCATAACTATTCTACTTCTATGACAATTCATATACCTGTTCTTAATTCAAGTCATATTTTATTCGTTCAAATTGGAACATTTTTAGTCATATTAACATCCTTTCTATATATATTACTTAAAATCTTTATTTCATCTCAAAAATCTGGGATATTTAAACATAAAATCATATAAAGATTTGATAGTTTTGCTTTACTTGCCATAGGCAACTCTCGATATCTTGAATATTTTATCAAAATCTTGAAAATAAAAATGGGAGGAAGAGCAGAGAAGGGAACACCTAAATGGCTTGCAAATCGTATGAAATCAAAGGGTCTTCAGCGTCTTAGATGGTATTGTCAAGTTTGTGAAAAACAGATGCGTGATGAGAATGGTTAGAAAAAGTTTTTTATATATTTCTGAAAATACTTATTTTTCTAAGGTTTTAAATGCCATACTCAGTCAGAAGGTAGAAATATCTGAAAGTATTTAAGTTTTAATTGTTTTTAGCACATGTTAGACAAATGTTATTGATTGGGGAAAATCCAAACCGACATATTCATAATTATTCAGTAGAATTTAAAAATAACTTTATTCAATTATTAAGGACATCTCATGGTGAAAAACGAGTTCATGCAAATCATTTTTATCAGGAGTATATTGCAGATAAGGGGCATTGTATGTGAAAAAATATATAAAAAAAAACAATAAATAATATATACAGTAAGAATGAATGCAACCCGATGGGTTACATTAACAGAATTTGTAAAATATCTTGGATATGAGGGGATATGTAGGGTTGATGAAACGGATAAAGGGCTGTATATTTCATGGATTGATAATTCACCTGAAGCGTTACGCCGTCAACAGTCTATTATCAAAAGAGATCGTCAAGATAAGGGAGATGAAGAAAGAGAACTTAAAATGATCAATGAGCAAGTTGAAAGGGCAAAGAAGATGGTAAAAGATGACGAACAGGATCATGAAAATGTTATAAAAGAATTAAAAAGAAATGAAAATAAAATTTCAATTTCATTATCAAAACCATCTGTTCATCAAGAAAATGCCTTATCTATTTTACAGGAAGATGAAAAGTCTCGTTCTAATAAAATTTCTTCTCTAAAAAAGCAGGAAAATGTGTTTAAGACTTTAGCTAGATCTACTCCGCCAAAACAAATACAAAATAAGGAAAAAAAACCATTAACTACTGCAGAAAAAATTATTTTAGAAGAAATGGAAGAGCGTAAAAGAAAGGAAATGCAAAGAGACAATCATTTTGATTCAAAACGGCGTCGTGTTCATCTTAACTGAATTTACTATTTTTATTTCGCAGAAATATCTTGAAATATTTCCAAAAGTCTTTATAAACAAAAAGCATATATTTGAATCTATATTTCTTTTTTAATCAATTCTTAAAACTAATATTTTTTTCAAATTTATTCATTTTAAAATTCAATTTTAAAGTCATTCATTCTTTGACAATATCAATCTATAAAATATATAGTATTTTACTTTGGTTTAAAGGGACTTTTCAAATTATATCTTATTTTTAATATTTTTTTTCAAAATTTTTTTTTTATTTTAGTTTCTATATACTAATTAATTAATATTTTTGGAAAGGCGCTGGTTATTCTTAAACACAGTTCTGAATCAAAATCTTTTTATTTTATATTTATTTTTTTTTTCTTTATACCGCTTTCTATTGATTTTTTTCCGAACTTGAAAAAATTCAAATGTTCTGGATATGGATAGTGATATAGGGAGGTAAATATACATAAAATATGTCTTTATCTAGTATAAAATATATTTTAGATTTATTTTGTCTATTCCTCCTGTTACTTTATTTCTTTTATCTAGTACACTATTTATTTCTATTGCACCTCTTTTAGGGATTGCCAGAGCATCTCAATTGGTTAATATATGGCCATATACATTGAAAGGACAATTATGGAGATTGTTTACTGGTTTTTTTTATGTTGGAGGCGGCTTAAATTTGGTTATTTCACTTTTTTCCCGTATTCAAATACTTTTATATATATTTATTAATATATTGCTTGTAGTTTATCGGTTTAGCTATGGAATTGAAACAGCGTATTTTATAGGGAATATACCAGAATATTCTTTTTTTTTAGTATTCAATGCTGGTATAATTCTGGTGAGTAAACATATTAAAAGAAAATTGCTCCCCGTTTCTGCCCCACTTTCGATTCATTTTAATGGAATGTTGGGTTCTGGTGAGAGGAGAATATTAAATTGGTCACTTTTTATCTATTTGTTGTTGGATATAATGATAAAAGTAGACATCACGAGGGTTTGAGATGGTTTATATTCAATTTATTTATATAAACTGGTTGTTGGCAATCGACATTTATACTTTAAAATAATAAAGCATTTGGTTTTTAACTATTTTTAGTTTTTAAGTTATTTTATTTCTTCTATATCATATTTTACCGCGCTAAATTTGTCCATTTGTTATTTTTGGAGTCAAAGGAATTTGAATACGATTACTAATTTATGGTTTTTTCGAATAAAAGTAGTGGATTTGTATTAGGAAAATAATTTTTAATTTTATTAGGGACGATATTTACCTTTTTCTATGCTTTTACTATCATTTTTTATGGGTGGGCTTTTTTCTGTTATGCAAGATGCATGTGGTTTATTAAGTGCACATCTTTATGAATTTCTAACCAATATATTGCCTTCTAGTGGAGGACCTCGTTTGACAGTACCAAGATGGTTTATAAATCTTTTTCCATTAGAAACTCCACGCATTATAAGAAGGCCTTTTGGTGTTTTATTTAATAATCAGCGAAATGTTCAAAATTTACCGCCTATGAAATCCGCTTTTAAAGGAAAAGGACACAAGCTATACTGATTTGAAAAATAATTAATATATTTTTATATACATTACATATATTATCATATCTCTTAAAAATAAATGCATAATGATTAATTATTAGTTATAAAAGCTTTGTTTTTATGCATTCTATATGAAATTAATTTTTAATTCTTTTATGTATTTTAATTTGCATTAATATTAAATGTAGATTTATACTCTTGTATTATATTTACTGGTCTCTGATCATTTATCTTATTTTTGGATGAATCCATCGTGTTCTTTTATTCTAGTAAGTAAAAGTATTAAAATAATTAATGTTTTACATATAATAATTGGGTATCATAAATATGATTTGTATAAATTTCTTGGTTTGAAATATGAGATTGATTCTCCAATTTATTCCTTTCATTTTTTATATTCGAATTATTGCTTGATATTTGGTCAGTTACGTATGTTTTAGAAAAGTTATCATCTGTATTATTAATAAATGGATTTTGAATTTTTGAAATAAAGTTTAATTTAGAAATATTTGTCATATAAGCCTTTTCATTTTTCAAACTTTCATCATCTTCCTTTGAAACAATATCTAGCAAAAAATCAAACATATCTGACTTTGATATTGCATTTGCAATATCTGATTTTTGTAATATTCGTCTTTTATTTTCTTTTGCATGAATCCATGCACGTAATGTAAGCTCTTTAATAAAAATATCACATCCTTTTGCAAATAAAATAGGTACTTCCGTAGATATCATCTATATATATTATTTAATATGAAAAATATACCTCCATTTAAATACTTTAACATTTTCGTCTATCTTCATTACTTTCTAAATCAAATTATATATAATAACCCTATATAAATAACATAGATAATTACTTTTATTCTTGCTAAAGGCAATGGATGGACTTTAAAGTCATAATCTTTGTTTTCTATTTCTTTTATTGCATTTTGCCAGTAATTAATAAGTATGTTCTTATAATGACCTGTAAGACCTACAAAAATAAACAACATATACTTTTTTACTTGTAATAAACCTTTGTATACGTTTGAGAATGGATCTGACTTAGTTATGGGAGAAGTATCACAAAATGATATGTTTGGATTATATTTTTTAATAAAATCAGTATTTTTTGATCGGGTTTTTTTATTATTTTCACAAGTATGTTCCTTTGAGGCCATTAAAAGTGTATATTTCGCCCTATCTAGAGCTGTTTTATGGAAATTAGCAGTTTATTAAAATTATAAATTTTCAGAGGTTAAATATATAAGAAACGGGTGGTTATAAAAATATATAAATATAAAAAAACATTATATTAATATTTAAGAAATATAAAGGTTCATCCTAAAATCCCAATGAATCCTGCACAACTTTGTATCGCTTTCTTTGTTTAGCTTTATGCGGGAAAAAGAGCATCTTTATAATTGAAGTAAGGTGCCTAGCAATTGGTAAAAAGATATATTTTTCAGCGACCCAGGAGATTATATAATTGAATATTGCAAGACCTAAAATAAATAAACAAAAATCGAATTTTAAATATGAAAGTTCCAATATTTCGTATATCCAAGTTGCAGGTTTAAATAGAAAATAAGTGACAGTGGAAATAGAAAAAAGTATAATAAAGACAAATATTTCTAGAAACATTTAGTATTTTCTAAAAAAAAAAGATTAAATATACTATTATGATAAGCAGGCTCACGATAAGGAGGTCCGATATTTAATATGAGAGCAATCAAGATATATTGATAGCAAGAAAACAAAAATAAAGAAGAGTTATCAGAGTTTGAAATATCAAAAAGATCGGAGCGAGGTAATGGTTTTTGATACCTAATTATACAATTAAAAAATTGAATTATAATATTTGAATATACCAATTTTGTATACGGACGAGGAAATATACAGTAAGTTGTAAAGATATTAATATACAAATATGTCCTATAAGTGAGCCGATAACTCTTTTAGAAATTAAACTTGCAGCAGGACGTTTTTTGATCAATTTAAGATTTGCTTTGGATTTTCCCACTAAAATTTTTTAGTATTATTTAATAGGAAATAAATCCTACTTGCTATAGCAATAGGAAACACGAGTATTAAATCAATATATAAATACTAAATTCATTAGATGTATTTTTTAGGAAAGAAAAATATACTTGAAAATCGCCGAGATTAGATGCAGAGGAATAAAGAATACTAACAGTCATAAATTGTATGGCTGAATAAAGTGCCATGTATTTAAAACAGCTAAAACTAGTAGCAAGCGATGTTCTTCCCTCACTATGAAATCAATTATTAATATAATATTATATGGTGATACAAACCGAATAAGATCTAAAACACAACTAATATTATAGACTTTGCTTGCAAAGGCAGAAACAATGGATGCTTCTGTTTTTGAAAAAGAAATTCCTGAATTTGCTGACTTTAATGCACCACAATCATTGGTGCCGTCACCACAAAAACCTACACAATAACCCAAAGATTGTAATTTTTTTACTAATAATTTTTTCTCGTTAGGAGACATACGAGCAAAAATCTGAGTTTTTATAAGCATCTAATATATTAGATTTTTTTGTTTTTTAATTTAATACTTGCCTTTTCTAAAACAGTATATGGAGAAAATTTAATCATCCATCTGAAAACATCTCCAGTAATTGCTAATGAATATTTTTTTGGGACGTAAGTTTTGTAATATGAAGAATCATCTAGATCAGAAGAGTTATATTGGGGCTAAAATCTGATTAGATTATAAAATAATATGGGAAATAGTCACTATAAATGCTTCATTGTCTAACAATATTTTTGGATCTTCTACGTTTTTCCAAAGCAATTTAGCGTCAAAGGAATTAATATTCCCTAAAAGTATGTTAATAAATTGAAATATATATAAAAGCATAAAAGCCTTGAATAGACGCAATATATACATCTTCATCTTGTTGTATTATATTGCACTTTTTAGAAACATTAATAGATGTTAAAGCGTTATCACCGGTGCACATAAGACATCTTATATTGGCATTTTTAAGTGTTTCTATAACATCGGCTGATACGGGTTTAAGTTTATTTTCAAAAATAATAAAGCCAATAAATAATAAATCCTTTTCTATTTCCTCTCTTCTCATTTTTTGAGTTTCAGCCCAAGATACATTAGAAAGAGTTTTTGTTGCACATGCAATTATTCTGAAACCATGGAGTGCATAATAAGAAAGAACTTCGTCATAATCTTCAGGAACTAAGTGATGTTAAAAAATTATGAAAATTTATTTTCTTATTTACAGCTATTTTCCTGACAAACATCTTTCATTATTTCTGGTGCACCTTTTAAATAAACATGCATATCTGTAGAATTAAACTTTTTAACTACAACACTCATTCTTCGTAAATGAGAAATAAATTGAAAAGATTTTATAATGCCAAATTCAAAAGTAGAAATGTTCTAGAAATATTTAGTTATTAAATTTTAGTAAAATAAAGTACTTGAAAATTTGAATCTTTAATATCATTAATTTGAAGATCTTTTTTAGGTTTAATTATAGATGATATAATTTGTTTATCGGAAATTTGAACAGCATCTTTATTTTTAGAGTTTTCAAAATGAGCATCTAAAGCTATATGTTCTTGATTTTCCTCGTATATCCATCCAGTAAAGCCGAACATTTTTATATCTAAAGGATCGCCAATCAATTTATTGTTTACAAATCTTAAAGAATGGCAGGTTGCCATAGCATAAAGCATGGCATTTTCCTTGTTAGTAGGACTCAAGTTATTGTAATTAGATGTGTAAAATGATAATGTTTGTGCCTTGTTATGGATTTCTCCTAATCTATATAAAAATATGTTTAATAATTAATATAAATATTTCTATAGTTGTAACCTATTGGTAGAATCATCCACTACTTTCACTCCTAAAACGTCAAAACCATCTTCTGTTAGTGTTCCTGTCTTATCGAAACACATAACATCTATTTTCCCTGAAATATTTACTCTATTAAAATTGGTATATATTTTACATATTTAAGTTAAAGGACATACTTTGAAGGACTAATACAATATATCTGATGTTTTTTAAGTCTTGAAACTGCAAAATTAGTTTCAATTATTAAAGTCGCAGGTAAAGCAGGAGGAACAATTATTGTAATTAAATCAAGACTTCTAAGAAATATAAGATTCCATGTAATCTAATGATTATTAATATAAATTAGAATATAAATAAATTATTACCCCCATTTGAACAAATCTTATAGTGTTGACAATAAAGCCACATAAAGCAATTATTGCCATAAATGCTACAAAACGCAGTGAATCTTGATAAAATTTGAAACTAAGAGGCTTTTCTGAAAGCATAGATCTTATTAAAATGCCTTTTGCAGTATTAAATCCTGTTTTTGAAACCATTGCTAACGCTCTTGCTTGATGGTATTTAAATGATTTTCGAGCTTGGATAATTTTAGTTCCACAAAAAAGATAATGTTTGGATAATTCTTTAGGTACTTCTGTTTCTATCTCAACAAGCGACTTTATAGCATTTTCCGGAACAAATATCTTGGAAACGGGAACAGATTCACCTTATTTAGTTTAAGATTTATTAAACATAAATTATTAAAATTCACCAGTTAGAGAGCTTTCATTTACTATACAATCACCAGTTAACAATATAGAATCACAGGGTAGGATTGATAATTCCGGATCAGATATGTCAAAAATGTCGCCCGGCACTAATTCGGAAGATAGAATAGAAACCCCTTCTAATGTTAGTAACTCTCAATTGATTAGAATATAAATACATGTTCCATCACGCAAAACATTAACATTAGTTACGTACCGAGACATTAAACGAAATGATCTTATATTCTAAGAAATGTTTAATTTATTAGAGTAAAATAATGAAAGAAATCACCTTTTTAGTTTTTACTAGAGAAACTATAATATTCACGATTGTAATAATAAGGATACACGTTGCATAATAATAATAGGTATCAGACATCCACAATATTATAGAAAATAATTGAAAAATATAAAAATAATGAAGAATCTAAACAATTGTAAGAAAGAATAATTTACTATTCAAATAAGCTATTATATACTTCATTCACTAATAATCTAATAACCGAATTTTCCTGTATATCTATGATATTTTTTCCAAAGATAATTTCCCTGATATTTTTTGTATGAGTAGTTAATCCTTTGGTAATATCTTCAATAGAGAGTATACGACGAGGATCTTTCCAAGCATAAGAAGGCAAAAACTTTTGATGTTTTGGAGAATAAATAATACGAATATAGCAATAATCGATATATCTTAAGTAAGATCTTTCAAGTTTCTTGTCTTCGTTTTGAGATTTATCATATACATCTTGGAATCCTTCATAAATAGGAAAAATGAAGTCACCATGGTCTTCTTTTTTAACTTCTAATAAACTTATTTCTTTATATTTATTCTTATATTATTATTTTTTAGTTTTAACTCACGAAAAACACTTACTTCAATAGCAACCCATTCGCAATTGTTTAAAGGAGTACGTTTAAATATAAATCGAACCCTCAATCTCGGTATCCATAGGAAAATTAAATATATAAACTCTCCTGATAATATACAACATATGTAATAAATAAATTGTCTTGTTTTATTAATATTAATCCCTGAAATTATAAGATAGTTTTCATTGTCTAATTTTATTTCTTGAATATATTTCTCTTCATCTGCATAAAAATTGGACGTTTTCAAATTTTTATATTTATTTTTAATCAATGGATCCATTATTTGTTTGTTTTCTAAAAATTTACTTGAAGTATCTGATATAGACGATTGTGTATGACATTGAAAATCACTATTTAATTCTTTATTTTCATACGAAATATCCGTTTCTTCGAAATTTTTATACATATTACTTTTTTCATCTAATGAATTATTTTGTGTACTATTTATAACAGTCATTTCTACTTTCTTTAGATCAATAAAAATGTATTTTATAGAAATAAATAATCAAAAAATACCTTATTTCCTGCTTTTCTGCTTATTTTCTTAGAAAAATTCTTTTTTATAAATATTCATCTTACATTGATTTTTAGACTTATTAACCTTAAAATTACCTTATTTTGATTTGGATTTTTAACAAGATTCTGTAATATAATTAAATAGAAGATAAATTAATATATTTTTTATTTTTTGTTATTTTTTCCAAAAAATAAGAGTTTTTTTCTTTAAGCAGGTTAATTTTTTACGATTTTTTACTTAAAAGTTTAATTTAGTAAGAAAAATAGAAAATTGATAAAAATATATCTAAATGAACATAAACTATGTATTTAGAAACATTAAATACGGAAAATAGTTTTATGAAATTTTCAGAGGCAGAAAGAATAGTTAAAGCATGTGGAGAAATAGTTTCAAATTTGATTCGTATTTATGAATCAGGTCAATATAATAATATAAATCTTAATGCAATCAAACAGGGTGTTTGTAGAAAATATAAATTATCTACTCAGCCTCGTTTGATGGATATTATTTCAGCGATCCCAGATTTTTATAAACCTTATTTATTGTCAAAATTAAAAGCAAAGCCAGTTCGTACAGCAAGTGGAGTGGCACCGATTGCAGTAATGTCTAAGCCTCATCGGTATGTGAAATAGAATATTTTTATACATTTTTTTTATAATGAAGATGTCCACATATAGCTATGACAGGAAATATTTGTGTGTAGGAAAGAAATAATGATTAGATTTTGTTTTATAGAATCATAGATATTGTCCAGGGGGGCCGGATTCAGATTTTGAATATTCTTCTCAATCATATACAGGTTATGAGCCTACTAGTATGAGAGCAATTCGTGCAAGATATGATCCATATGAACAAGCAAGAGGACGAATTGAACAATTAAGATCATTAGGACATACAGTTGATAAGGTGGAATATATTATTATGGGTGGAACATTTATGTCATTACCGGAAACATATAGGGATTGGTTTATTTCGAATTTACATAATGCATTATCGGGTCATACGACATATGATCTAGATGAAGCGGTTAAGTTGGATTATATGGTGTTATAATTCTTAATTAATTAAGAAGTTAGATTTTCGGAGCACTCAAAAACAAAATGTATAGGTATTACTATTGAAACAAGGCCGGACTATTGTTTAGAACCGCATCTTGAGTTTGATTTGAAAGTATTTTTGAGTTGTAATTAATTATTTTCATTAGTTCAATGTTGCGTTATGGTTGTACTCGTCTAGAAATTGGTGTTCAGAGTGTATATGAAGATGTTGCAAGAGATACCAATCGGGGACATACGGTTAAAGCTGTTTGTGAAACATTTTGTTTAGCAAAAGATGCTGGATTTAAAGTTGTATCTCATATGATGCCAGATCTACCGAATGTAGGTATAGAAAGGGATCTTTATCAATTTAGAGTATTTTTTTAGCTATATGATAAACAGTTTTAATTTATTGTTTAGGAATATTTTGAAAATTCTGCATTTAGAACTGATGGGCTTAAAATATATCCTACTTTAGTAATTAGAGGAACAGGTACGAATTTTAATCCTGTATTCTTACATTATTATTTATAATAAAGGATTATATGAGCTCTGGCGTACTGGAAGATATAAAAACTATACCCCAAATGTTTTAGTAGATTTAATAGCCAATATTTTATCCATGGTACCTCCGTGGACTCGTATCTATCGTATTCAAAGAGATATACCTATGCCTCTTGTTTCTTCTGGTGTTGAGAATGGAAATTTACGGGAATTAGCTCTTAGTCGTATGAAAGATTTGGGATGGACTTGTAGAGATATTCGTTCACGAGAAGTCGGTATACAAGAAATTCATCATAAAGTTCGTCCAAATCAAATTGAATTCTTACGAAGAGATTATATGGCTAATGGCGGTTGGGAAACATTTTTAAGTTATGAAGACCCCGAACGTGATATTTTGATTGGATTACTTCGTTTACGTCGTTGCTCTTCTGCAACTACTTATCGACCTGAATTTCGTGTTTGTCCAACATCAATTATACGAGAACTTCATGTCTATGGTACTGCTGTACCTATTCATGATAAAGATCCAAAAAATTTTCAACATCAAGGTTTTGGTATGCTTTTAATGGAACAAGCTGAACGTATTGCAAAATATGAACATGGAAGTCAAAAAATCGCTGTCATTTCCGGTATAGGAGTTAGATCTTATTATCGTCGTTTAGGTTATGTTTTGGATGGTACATTTTTTATTCATTTTTCTTGTTATCTTAATTTCTTTTTAGGTCCATATATGTCTAAATCTTTAAATACTCTTTCAATTAATGCATTCTAAAATACAAAATATATACATTCTTCTTTTATATAAAAATACTTTTATTTATTTTAACTTCTATCTTTTTAAATAATACTATATTATATTTTCTTATCGCTTGATAAATTTAGTTTGACTTGCCTGGTTACCACAGTGATCATCCTTATATGTTGTCAGAGTAACGCCCTTCTCTATAATAGTATAGCAAAATTGTCTCTAAATTAAATAGGTGCACATGGGTGTTCCATTATCGGGTTTTCATCGCACGGAGACATGAACTTTCTGTGACAATAGAAATTTAAGTTGTTTTCATTTTTATCTAGCCATTTTATACGGCTAAAAGGCATTATATTTGTGAATTTTAAAGGGGAGAAGTTGTATTTAAAGGGTTTAAAAAGTTATTTATTTTGGGAGTTAAAGTATTGAATTGAAAGGTTTTGTTTATTATAATTATTTTGAAAGTTAAAGGTAGAAACTGTTTTAAAAAGAAATTGGTAAGAAAATGGGAGACGGGGCCTCAGCACCCTTGGGACTAACTCGGGAGAGCATTCAGAGTATGTATTGGGTAAGTTTTATGGAATATATGTCTAATGTATGCGTAATGATTAATAATGCAAAATAGCGTTGGCAGATGTTGAGAAATCAGGGTGCAACGGAAGCTACTGACTTGGAGTTTTCCCAGTTGTCAATTGTCCTTAAGGCAATTCAGCAGGCTCAGCATATTCGTCATCAAAATGTGAAATTAGTTCAATCGGCGGGAAAATCAGAAGAAAGAAAGACGCCTGAAATAGGAATAGATAAAAAGGAAGAAGTATTGGAGACGGAAAAACAAGAGGTTTCAGGTGGATTATCGCAGACTACATTTACGCCAGAACAATTGGTGACGTTGAGGAATCAGATTTTAGCGTTTAAATTGATATCAAGAAATTTACCAGTACCGGCGAATATTCAACAAGCACTTTTTGTAAATAAGCCTACGGATTTTTCAGTTTCTCAGATATCCCAGGGGAGTTCAATGGGTTCTAGTACTTTAGGTGAGGGAGAAAAACTTAATCAGATGGAAGATGTGAAAGAAAAAATACAAGATTCAGAATCAATAGATACAGTAGCGCGTGAATCGATGGCTATGAAAGGCTGTAAGACATTGGGATTGTCTACGTCTACATTATTTAATCAAGAAGGGCTATATCGTAGAGTTTTAATACCGAGTTTAATGCCCAGTGGAATTGATCCAAGAAAAATATCGCAGGAAAGAAAGCAAGCGATTGCGCATAGAATGGCTAAAAGGATTTCTGAATTGGAAAATTTCCCTGGGACTCTTGAAGATATTTATGTTACGAATACAGGAAAAAGGAATCGTAATTTTGAAAATTTGAATCCTTCAAGCAGGTTAAAATTAAAAGCGTTGATTGAATTGAAATCGTTGAGATTACTTGAGAAGCAAAGAATGTTACGGGATGAAATTATATATTCAATGGCACATTTTAATACCTTGACAGCTTCTGCCGATAGAGCTGCGTTTAGAAGAATGAAAAAGAGGTCTCTTAAGGAATGCCGTCTTACTGAAGCCTTAGAAAGACAACATAGAACGAATAAAGAGCAGATACAAAAGCAGAAACAAGTAAGTTATCTCCAAGGGATTTGTTCGCATGGATATGATGTTATACAACGACAAAAATCTTTGCAAGCAAAGATCTTTAAGCTTGGTCGATCTGTGCTTGCATATCATTCGTATATTGAAAAAGAGGAATCTAGACGGTTGGAACGAACTGCAAAGCAACGTCTTCAGGCGCTTAAAGCGGATGATGAAGAGGCATATCTTAAATTGCTTGATCAAGCGAAAGATACACGTATAACTCATTTGTTAAAGCAAACTAATGCATATTTGGAATCACTTGCCCAGGCAGTTAAAGTTCAACAAAATGAGTTTGGTCATGATGATCATGATTTATCGAATCAAAATGAAGATGAAGATAAAAAGATCGATTATTATAATGTTGCTCATAAAGTAAAAGAAGCAATTATCGAGCAGCCATCATTATTACTGGGTGGAAATTTAAAGGAATATCAGCTTAAGGGACTTCAGTGGATGGTGTCTTTGTATAATAATAGGCTTAATGGGATTCTTGCAGATGAAATGGGTCTTGGAAAAACAATTCAAACGATATCTCTTATTGCATTTCTTATAGAAAGGAAAAGGCAAAATGGTCCGTTTTTGGTTATTGTACCTCTTTCGTATTTTCAATATATATTTATCCTTTTCATTTTTTTTTAATTATTCTTTTAGAACGTTGACGAACTGGACTTTGGAGTTTGAAAAATGGGCTCCTTCCGTTTCAAAAATTGTTTATAAAGGACCACCACTCATTCGAAAACATATTCAGCATCAAATTCGACAAGGAAATTTCCAAGTTCTTCTAACTACATATGAATATGTTATAAAAGATAGGCCTGTGCTTGGAAAAATTAAATGGGTTTATATGATTGTTGATGAGGGGCATCGTATGAAAAATACACAATCTAAACTTAGTTATACCTTAACTACTTATTATTCATCAAAATATCGATTAATTCTTACAGGTACGCCTTTGCAGGTAACTTATTTAATATTTTAGAGAGTAAAAAATAGTTTATATGTTTAGAATAATCTTCCTGAACTTTGGGCTTTATTAAATTTTGTTTTACCAAAAATCTTTAATTCAGTAAAAAGTTTTGATGAATGGTTCAATACACCGTTTGCGAATACAGGCGGTCAAGATAAAATAGAATTATCTGAGGAAGAGTCTATTTTGGTTATTCGTAGATTACATAAAGTTTTACGACCATTTTTGTTACGACGTCTTAAAAAAGATGTTGAATCAGAATTACCTGACAAGGTTGAAAGAGTTATCAAATGCCAGTTTTCTGCTCTTCAAAGTAAATTGTATTCTCAAATGAGAAGAAGTGGGATGTTATATGTCAATTCTGGGGAGAAAGGGTAATTTTTAAAAATATTCATATAATACATGAATCATATTTTTTTAGTCGTAAAGGTTTGCAAAACATTGTTATGCAGCTCCGTAAAATTTGCAATCATCCTTATGTTTTTGAAGAAGTTGAAAATATTGTTAACCCGGAAAGAGTTAGTGATGATAATCTTTGGAGGGTTTCAGGCAAATTTGAGTTTTTAGATAGGGTTTTGCCAAAGTTTTTTAGAACAGGACATAGGGTATTTGAAAGTTTTAACTTTTTTTTATTAAATATATATTAGGTGTTAATTTTTTTTCAAATGACTACTATTATGAACATTATGGAAGATTATTTGAATTTCAAAGGGTACAAGTACTTACGATTAGATGGATCCACTAAAGCAGATGATCGTTCCGCTGCAATGAAGGAATTTAATCATGAAGACTCTGATATTTTTATATTTTTATTAAGTACTCGTGCAGGCGGTTTAGGTCTTAATTTACAAAGTGCTGATACTGTTATTATTTTTGATTCTGATTGGGTAAGATTTTCAATATTTCATTCTGGTTTAACAAAATAGAATCCTCATCAAGATCTTCAAGCTCAAGATCGTGCTCACCGTATAGGACAAACGAAAGAAGTACGAATACTGCGACTTATTACAGAAAAATCAGTTGAAGAAAATATTTTGGCAAGAGCTCAGTATAAGCTTGATATTGACGGGAAAGTTATTCAAGCGGGAAAATTTGATAATAAGTCTACTGCAGAAGAAAGGGAAGCTTTTTTGAGATCTTTATTGGAAACAGAGAATGATGATAATGCTGACGGTGGTGAAGAAAATGAAACATTTGATGATGATGAATTGAATGAAATAATTGCCCGAGATGATGAAGAGCTTTCTATTTTTCGTGAAATGGATGAAAAATTACGTTTAGAGTCACCATATGGACCTGGAAAAAAATTAGAACGTTTAATGACTGAAGATGAACTTCCAGAAGTTTATACAAGAGACGAATGTCTTGAGCCAGATGAAGTACTGTCTGTAACAGGAAGAGGTGCTCGTGAACGTGTTCAAATTCACTATGACGATGATCTTACGGAGGAACAATGGCTAGAGGTTTTTATTGTTAAATTATTAAGACTATTTGTATTAATCTTTCTTAGGCTATTGATAATGATGAGCTTACTCTTGAAGAAGTAAAGCAGAAAAAGCGTGAAAAGGCGGCAAGACGCCTGGAAAATAAGTTGAAAAAACAAAAATTAATGTCTAATTCTTCAAATAGTTCTGCTTCAGGAGGCGATGTAATCAAACGTAAACGTGGTCGATTAAGAATAAATTCTAGTAATTCTAATAATGACGAGCGGCGAAAACGTCAAAAGGTCTTTTCTAGTTCTCAAGATAAAGTAGATTTTAGGTTTTTTAATTTATTCTGTTCTAATTTTATCATTTCTAGCCTCAAAAAAGTAAAAACAAAAATTCTGTTGATTTGTCAAACTCGGAGAAATCTCTAATTCTAAAAGATATATTTCAAAAATGCTATGATGCTGTTATTTCGTCTGTAGATTCTGAAACCAATCATTCTAGATCCGAAATGTTTTTGGAATTACCTAATAAACGAATTTATCCGGATTATTATATGTTGATAAAAAATCCTATTGCTTTAAATAAAATAAAAAAACGCCTTGACAGCTCGTATTATACTTCACTTGATGATTTCAAAGCTGATTTTTATCAAATGTTTGAAAATGCACGAACATATAATGAAGAAGGTTCTATGATTTATGATGATGCTAATGCTTTAGAGGTAAATTATTTATTATTTTTTCTTTATGATTATAATCTTTAAAAGAATGTGTTAAATCGTAGTATTGAAGAATTTGCATCGGAATTTATAGATAAACCGTTGAAAAAAACTTCTGTTTCATCTAAAAATACTTCCAATCATGTAGATAATACTACCAGTAAGTATCCATTTATAAAATTAACCTTTTATCCTGATCTTTATTAAGCACATGATACAACAACTGATCTCTTAAATAGTGATGTTTCTGATTAAAATAAATAACTTGTTAATATATTGTTAAATATTAATTTTATATATATAAGTCTTATACTACATTTTCTTCATCTTTATATTTAAAAAATAGGTTTTCAACACACATTTATTTCTATTTCTCTTTATTTTTTTCATTTTTTTTTTCTTTTTTCAAAATTATCTTAATTATAAATTAAGGTTTTGACGTCTCTTGCCTTAGTTTTTTTCTGAAAATTACTTTTTAATGCCATGAATGTCTTCATATCTTATGATTTCTCTTTAATAATCTATTTTAATACATATATTAAATATTAATTGTTTGTTTTTTGAACATGTCAGATCAGCTCAATAATGGATTAAAACCACTCTCTGGTTTTGTTATATGTTGTACATCAATTCTCTCTGAAATTAGGGTATATCTAATAGATAGAATTAATATGAGTGTTTATGTGGTATTTTAGGTGGATTTGGCTTTGAAAGTGCTGAAATTAGGTGCTATTTATGTGCAAGATTTGACATCTCAAGTAACACATTTGATTGCGGGTAAATTAAATACACAGAAGTACAAAGTAGAAAATCCTATGAATCTTTTTACTTCTTCTAATAGTAAAGTATGTTGCAATGTATAGAGTAGATGTGAAAATTATGCATATTGATTGGATTTTTGATATATATAAACAATGGCTTAAGGGAGATGATATTAGTCTTTTGGAGGTAAAATGAATAATATAATATTGTTTTTTAAGTTATAAAAGTACGAAAAAAGATATATTCTTCCTCCATTTTATAATTTGTTAATTTGTGTTACAAATATTTCTATAGAACATAGGGAAGAAATAGAGCAAAAAGTTATAGATCTTGGGGGAAAATATACACGTGATCTGACAAGAGACACTACTCATTTAATAACGAGTAATCCAACTGGAAAAAAGTATGAATTTGGTGTTAAATGGGGTATTAAAATTATTACACCTGAATGGTTTTGGCAAAGTATTGAACGGGGAGCCTGTTTAGAAGAGCGTTTGTTTGACGTTCATATGGCGCCTAATGAGGTTGGGAAAGGAGCATGGTTTCCAGCACAAGAAAATGAGAAAGATGAAGATAAACAAATATCTTTGAAGAGAAGAATTAAGAAAATCAAACTTGATCTTAGCCATCAAGTTTGGAATAATATAGTAAATGAGGGAAATTATTTAGAAAATAATACTTTTAAAGATAACAATGATTTTATACCTATTCATACGACTCCGGAGATGGAAAATAGTAAAGTGAATGGAATGTTTCGGGGATTATATTTTTATGCATGGGCTTTTGATAATAGAAAGGTTTTTTTTTGCTTTGTAATAAATATGCTAATGTTATGAAAAGACAGAAATTCTTCAAAACATAATTAAATCACATGATGGTACATGGTGTAAAACGATTCAAGATTTTCCTGATGAACCTGTTCATATATATATAATTGTTTCTCATGACCTTCCGAGATCTAAGTTTATAGACATTCCCAGGGGATTCTTTGTTACAGAATGGTGGATTGAAAGATGTTTACACAACAAAAAATTCATTGATCCATCTGAACATCTTCTTTGCTCTCCTTTACCTTGCGATTTCCCATTAGAAGGTAAATTATTTTATTATATTATTTTTTTTAATTTTATGAAGATATGAAAGATTTTTCAATATGTCTTACTGGATTTTCTGGAATAGATTTGATGCATATTAGTAAACTTATTGTCTTATTAGGTATTTTATTATATTTTTGGAATTATTTTATGGAAATATAAATATAAATAGGTGCAAATTATTATGAAAGTCTCAATAAAAAAAGAAATTTACTTATATATAATATTAATTCTGAAAAAAGTAAAAAATACATAAAGGCGAAAGACTGGAATATAAGAATAGTATCTCAAAATTGGTTATGGGAAGTTGTGAAACAAGGAAATGTTATTAATTTTGATGAATGGGAAAAAAAAAATGAGTTTGAAAATAGATTAGATGGTGGTATATATATATATATATATATATACATTATTGAAACTAAATATTTGAAGTAGAAACCAATAATTATGATGATCATCAATCCAAAATATTAGCTGGATCTGTTCTATACTTCTATAGTATAAAAGAAACGGTAATGTGTTTAGATGATTGTATATTTATAACTTTATTTAGACTTATATGAATGAAATGCTAATTCTAGCGAGAAAATTAGGTGCAAAAATATCCAAAAGACTAGATAATTTTGTTACTCATATAATCTGCGATGAATATTTCTTGAATATAAATGAACAAACAGATATTTTCATTAAAAAATGTAAGGTTGTGTCTTCTAAATGGCTTTTAGAGTGTCAAAAACATATGAAAAGGTTAGATGAACAAGATTTCTCTAATATACGAAATATTGAGAAAATAATTAAGGATTTTGGCTATGAGAATTTAGATATTATGGAAGGAAAATATGATATCAAAGCTACAAATATGAATTATTTACCAGATTTATTAAAAGACAATAGTTCTGAAAAAAGAAAAAAAGAAAAAATTAAGGGAAGATCAACTGTAAGTGTAATAGTATTAGTAATTCCGAAACTTAAAACTATAAGAGTTTATCAATTATATCTACAAATACTCCTATAATTAGTAGTACGCATAAAAATGATTCTGACGTATTTAATAAAAATAAAATTATTCAGTCTGAATATGTAAAATACGAGGATTTTGATGCTTTGTATGAAAAAATGCAAGTACTTGAGAAACTTAATAAGATATAATTTTATAAACAATTTTTTTGAATTTGTCTAATAGTCAAATGATATATTTTCTATATAAAGGTAAAACCATATAAACAATATACTAAGAGGCATAAATTATTGCGATTTAAGATAAGTTTCGTTAACAATATATTGGTTTTCGTATTAACGTATTTTGCTCCATTTGATTTTTTAACCATTCTATTGCTTCTTGTACTCCTTCTCTTTTCCAATAAATAATTTAGAAAAAAAAAGCTTATGTTTTACCCATTAATAGCACTTGATGGCATAATATGATTTTTACATCTCTCTAATTTTCCTGTAACATTATTAAAAGCTATCTTTATCTCTTCAACTGTAAGTGATCCAGATACATCTTGCTTATTAGCTAGTATCAATATAGGAATTTCTTTGATGTTTTCATGATTGGCTATTATTTCTAAATATATATATATATATAATAATCATTAAATTAGAGATTATACCAAAAATATCTTTGGCTTCTTGAATCTTTTTCTTTTCTGATGAATCCACTACTAAGATAATAGAATGACATTCTGAAAAATATGAATACCAAAGACTTCTTAACGATGATCGTCCTCCAAGATCCCAAAGTTGAATTTTAGTTTTATCCACTGTAATTTTTCCAACTATTCATATTAAATTAAACACAAAAACCTACATATTATAGTAATACTATTCTGTCCAACCGTAGGAATGATATTATTTGCTGAAAATATATAAGTATTATTATAAATACATTTAACTTTCTCAAGAAACGTCTAAATCTATAAAAAACTATTTTTTGCACGCTTTAATCTATCTACTGTTTTTCCTGAGCTTTCTAGCCCTATAATAAGTATCGAATATGATGGTTTTTGATTCCATCTGGTATATAACTCTTTAATTAATGTATACATTTTTTTTCTTTAAAAATTCCTAAAAAAAACGCTATTTTTTTCCGCTTTTTTTTGATATTAACTTTATACATAATATTTTAATATGGAATTACGTCTTATTTTCGGTTTCTCTTCATAAAATCCTTCTTTTTTTTTCTATTTTATTTCACTTTTTTGATGTCGTCAAGATCTTGATTTCGATAAATTACATAAAAGATTTACCATAAAAATAAACATATTTTATTCGAAAAAAATAGCCAATAACCTCCAAGAAAATGTCCGCAAAAGACTATGTAAGTGTTTTTTATCTATTTCTTTCATTATCTCTCTTTTTTCCGTTAAAAATTACTTATTTTTACTTTTTTATAGTATGATGCTAAAGACGTAAATAATCAAAATTATCCACCTCCTCCACCTCAATATCCTCAACAATCCTATTATCCTCCATCAGGAGCTGCGCCTCCTCCTGGTGCTCCTCCTTCTCAGTATCCTCCTGGTGCATATTGTAATGGTTATTATTCTCAAGTAAAATTTGATCTTTATAAATTAGCTTTTAATCTATTCTTTTAGCCACAACCTGTCTATGTTCAACAACAATCGTCGTCAAATAAGGCAGCAACAGGATGTCTTGCATGGTAGGGTTATATTTAAATATTTAATTTTCATCTTAATTTTACACTTTATTAGTCTTGCTGCTTGTTGTGCCTGTTGCATGCTTGAAGAATGTTTGTGTTAAAAGATTAACACAAAACATATATTTATATTTAAAAACTAATAATAACAAATTACTGGGCATTTTTACATTGTTTATTAAAAGATTAAAATTTTTTAATAATTACTAAACTAATAAAAATATATATTATTTTGCAGTTAATAATAATAATATTCTATTTATTCAACTTATTTTTAGTTTTAAAACTTATGTATTTAGATACATTTGATGTTAAAAAAGAATTCTTTTATATTATTTATCAAATCAGTCTATCTTTATCTTATCTCTTATCTCTTTTTCCCCGCTGAAACGCGTGCAGAACGTCAAAAAAAGATGAAGGTTCCGAGTAAGCTTCAAATAGCACTGGTAAGAGGAAATACAGTGAGAAAATACATACTGACATATTACGTTTTAATAGGCAATTGTTATTTGCCGGTCAAAGCAGCCTTATTTGACGATTGAAGGTTTTTTTGTGATATTTTATGAGTAGTTTAATATAAAGATAGAATATATTGATTATATAAGAGAAGTCTTATATAGGAGGAATAGAAAGAAAGAGGTTAAAGAGATATGTGAGTGTTCAAATACAGTTTCTTTTTGGAAAAATATGTTTGAAAGTATGGACCGTGAAAATGTCAAATTGCGTATTAAAATTATGGAGCTTGAAAAGGGGTTGAATAAGGGTATAATATTGGTCTTTGATGTGTTTTTTTGTGATGGAATTAGAAGATGTATTGAATAAAGTAAAAGAGGGATCCAAAAATGAGTGTTTTGATTCAGAAATGTCGAGATATTTATGTGATATGGAAAAAATTGATGTTTTACAACATGATTCAGGTAGTGGATTGTTATTTTATTTTTTTTATAAAATTTTTTAGGTTCGGAAAAATTGTATGATTCATTTCGTTTATTTTATTTGTCCTGTTTACGATTAAAATCGCCAATTATTGGTACTTTAGATTTTCGAAGTACCAGTGTTTTTGAAACTTTTCAACGCCTATGTAAAATATTGAGTAGTTATATTACGGATTCTATATCTATGGCTTTAAATAATAGAAGAATCAACGCATTTCGTACAATTTTAGAATATATAGCACATGCTGTTAAATTTTCATGGGACGATGAAAGTTATTATATAAATTCATTTTCATCCGTTTTTGATGCATTGTTTGAGTTAATACGCTATCAATCTAGTTATTACTTGACTATCTCCTCAAAAAACTTAATATCTTCTGGAATTCTTGATAAGAATTCATATGTTGATGAACGCTATGAAATAGTGTGTCTTATTTCAAATATAACAAATCAATTTTATACACTTTTTCCTATAGTTGTTGACTTACTTGTTAAACATATAAAGATAAGTTATACTCGATGTCAAGACCGCGATATGCGTTTAGCTATTAGAAATTCTGAAAATTCTGCATGTGGATATTATCTTTATAATCTTTCGGTTCTTTGTCGCAAAAACCGTAGAATTTCTCCTGATAATCTTGAACAGCTTATAAGATTGGTTGAGGGAAATTTCAGGGATTTCAGATGTTTCGAACTTGATAAGCTTCTTTGGAATTCAATATGTTATCTTTCTTTTATGGAATAGTTAGTTATTAAGTGTTTTCATTAAAATATTTTATGGTATATTTAATCTACTGATACCAGTCATTATTATGTTTTCAAATCAAACTGTAACTATAATTTTATAACATTTATGTTTTATACTAATTTTGTTATTTAGTTATCGGAAATTTTAATTTTATAGGTATATATGATTGTTATTTTATATCTTTATTAATAATAATTATAGGTTAGAAAAATCATCGTATTTTCGAAATTCATTAATATATTCAGTGAAAAAGTTATAGATAAAAGGTTCTTTCTTTTTGTAAAGTAAATGGATATATTTTCTATATTTAACATAATTTTGTTTTTGACTTTTCTGTTTTTTATAATATGGGAGAATATGTCTTCGCTAATTCAGTTAAAACCATTATTTTTTAAGAAAAAAATACTTTTTCTTATTGCACATCCAGATGATGAAGTTATGTTTTTTGGTCCTTCTATATTACGATTAGTAAAAGATAATGAAATTTATCTCGTTTGTCTTTCCAATGGTTCTTTTTTAAAAAAGATTAAAAAAAGTTTTTTTGATATTTATTTTAGGTAATGCAGATGGCATAGGGAAAGTAAGGGAAAAAGAGCTTTTTAAATCATGTCAGATCCTTGGAGTTCCTGAGCAAAACATTGAAATAATTGAAAATAGGTTTTCGAATAATATATAGGTGGTAATTATTGATATAATTAATAGTAACCTACAGGATTCTATGTCGTTGGATTGGAACCCGGATATTATTTCTGGAATATTATCAAATATTGTTATTAAGAGAAGCATTGAAATTGTAAGTTTTTCTTTAAAGAATATTTTTAATTATTGAATCAGATAATTACTTTTGATGAATTCGGAATTTCAAGACATCCAAACCATATTGCATGTTATTATGGCACTTTGGTGTTTTTTAATTCTTTAGAAACACAGAAGCCTCATATTTATGTATTACCTACTGTTTTTATATTACGAAAATATTTTTCTTTCTTTGATTTATTTTTTACTTTGGTTTTGTATTTATATCACTTGCTTTTAGGAGCTTATTTTTTTCAATTATTTCATGTTAAAGATAAGAAGTTTTTGCATCTCTCTATCAATTCATTTTCTCAATTTCAGATTGTACAAAAAGCAATGATAGGACATTCAAGTCAAATGAAATGGTTTAGATGGTTATATATATATACTAGTAGATATATGATATTTAATGAATTGGAAAGAAGAAAATGATTATAAAATTTTGTTTTCGATATTTCTTTTCTTTTTATGATATAGATAAGGATTATTTCTTTTATAACGAGCTTATGAAAGGAAAAATATGTATCTTCATTAACGCTCAAAATTAAGTTTTATTTCAATAAAGGTTGGACCTTCTGATATACATAAACAGCTTATCTTATTTTTATTTGTTCTTTTTTATGTTTTCAAATTACTATATAGAAATTTAGTACTTCGAGGTTATATTTGTTACTAGATTCAATTTAGTTTCTTTGTTTTGTTATAACTTGCAGATTTTTTGAAAGAAAGGAAAAAAGATAGGAATGGATCATTTTGGCTCTTTTACATTTTGTTCAATAATTTGTTAGTAAATGATCTATCACTTCTTTTCGAAAGGTGTGGCAAAATAACTTAGAAGATATTGAGTTAGTTTTCTTGTTCATAAGAATTATATGTTTTTTTATTAGTGCCTATATAGTATTGTTTTTTATTACGAACTGCAATCTGGATATATAGTTGGTATTAGTTTCTTTTTAATAATTCTTAGAGGCTTATTCCGGAAAATCAGAAGTTCACCAAGTTTAGAATCTCATGTATGTTTATATGATCTGTTTTTTAATTATTTTTTTTAATCTTTTTAGGTTATATTTATTTAGAGTTTTTAGGTTTCATTTAATATCTATGAAATTCTATTTGGTATTTTCTAAGGTTTTTTCTATTACGAGCTATTATTAATTCATATTGACTAAGAGCATCTTTCTCTTTGATTGTTTTCTTCAATGGATTTGAATCTGTTAATTTTACGTTTTGTTTTATATTAAATAAATAGCTTTTGAACTATATAATTTCATCTATTTCGGATGATTCTTATAAGGATATTTTCAAAATAGAATATTATTTATCAGCTTTGATACTTTTTTGTTGGTTTTTTAATTAGTCTTTAACTTTTTTTTGGTATTTTTATTTCAGTTTTTTTTTCTATTCATATTTTATGTATTACATTAGGTTTTCTGCATTACATAGGCTTTATAGACTTGGATAATTTTCTTTAAGCAAATATAAATTTAAGGATGGTGCGATTTTAAAACAAAAGGCTTAAATTTTGACTTCAAATATATCAATATTTATAAGTTGATTCTAATATCTGGGTAAATCGATATATACGAAGGATTGGTTTTTTATAATATCTTGTTCATAAAAAAATTATCTTTAGATTTTGCAAGTAGGAAATAATCATGTATATTTTAAAATTATAAAAAAAATATTTTATATAAAATTAAAAGTTTGTAGAAATAAATAATATAATTTCTTAATATTTGCTGTGTATAATAATAGATTAAGTCCAATATATCGCTTTTATGATTCAAAGTGTTTTTCTACAAAGGTACAGGATAAGTTATATAAAAGGATTTTCTAAAATACATAATAAAACATTTGTCTTTATTTTACATGTTTATATCTTATATTGATTTTTTAAGGAGTTTCTAAGATATTTTCAGAATTTAAGTTCAAAACATATAAGTCAACATTTTGAATTAAGGCCAAATCTTGCTAAAAAAGTTAACAAATCATTAGTATGTGTTATTTTGTGCATGAAACATCTTAATTTTAGCTTAGTCTGAAGTAATTGCTTTCTCAACTGCTGAATCTTATGATTTTTTACATTTAAAATCTATTTTACCAGAAAACGCAATTTATTTGCCAAGAAATAGGGTTTTTTATATTCCAAAGTCTTCTTTTGACATTGATATACGTGATATATTTATATTTTCCTCTGGCTCTTTTGTTATATGGGGTTCTTCTATAGAAAAATGTGAATATTTCTTAAATACAGTAATACGCGGTAAATTTTCTGGAATTGAAATAAGTCCTTATCATAAATACAAAAAGGAAGTCTTTTATTATGAGAAGAATAAAAATGTGTTAGTTTTTTTTTGAAAAATAACTAAACACTAATTTACTGAAGAAAAACTGATATTTTTGTTCAGAAAGATCTTATTACTATTGGAAATGACTTTGATCATAGCAAAATATCTGATTTTGAGAGCATTGCTTCTGATAATATAATAATGGCGCAACTATCTTTTTCAGAAAGCATGGCTAGATCTAGTAAATTATCTGTTTTAGAAGATGAACTTGAAAATTATTTAAATCAGCTTAAAACTATTCCTGATTCGTTAGTATTGGGTAAAGTTCCTCTTAGTAGATCAGAGATTATTAAGAAAACGGGCACTCTTCTCAGGTTTCGCTCACATTTTAATCTTTATCCTGAAAATTTTCTTGATCTTCCCGAATTCTATTGGGAAAATGTAAAATTGGAAGGTAGTTTTCTTTTTATATGGAACATATAATGATTTCTCAGAGTGTTATTTAAAAGCAAATGAGGCTTTGGATATGAATTTAAGGTTAGATATTGTTAATACAAAACTTAATTATGCAACCGAATTGCAATTTACTCTTAGACAAGTATTAAGCGAAAATACAACACATCGTCTTGAATTGATTATAATATGGTTAATCTTTATTGAAACTGTATTTGCAGTTGGCGGTTATTTTGATACTATTCATAAAAATAAGAAATAATTAAAGTTATTTTAAAAGATATGTTTTTTGAACAATGAATATTGCTATTATTAATAATGTATGGGCTAGAAATGGGATATTCTTCCTCAAAACAGTAAAATTATAATTATTAAAACTTGTGATTTAGTTTATAATTTATTTAAAATGATTTTTGTATTTAATGGTTTATAAACATTATAAAAAATCAATATGTATGTGTATTTATGATTTTAGAAATCTTGTATTAATGATTCCTAGAAAAATATAAATTATAGTAGATAATTTAAATTTTTATAATGAGCTTGAAATATAAGGTTATCATTCAAAAGAATAAAATTTTATAATAGCATAATACTGGTTATATAATTCAATTGACTTTTTGATAATATGATTAAGAGTATGTTTTTAGATTTCTTAACATTTCTACTGCTCTTTTTGCCAAAATAGTTACTTCGCCTTCTTCTTCCTGAATTTCTCTAATAGATATATCTTCGATCAATGATGTAATTTGAGAACTATTTTGAATTAAATCTATAAGTTTTTTATCTATTGCCAGATCAATTATTATAAAGCAAATAATTATATAATTACTTTCTGATTCCAGTAGTTGTAAAAGTGTCCAAACTGCAATATGTTGGAATGTTATATCTTGACTGCATAAAAAACGACATAAATAACCATGAATACCATCTCCAGGTTCGTTCCAAGCATTAACAAATGGAGAATAATCATTTATTGTTGATATCATATTTTCTTTTTGATGGCTATAATTTTTACTTTTAGATGACAAATTACCTAAAGCTGCTGCACTATTTCCTTGTACTTCAATACTTGGAGAATTTGTCAAAATAATAAGAACATCACATAATCCAAGAGATAATAAATGCCCTTTTAAATTATCTTAAAAGTTAAACAGTAGTCAGTTATAATGTTATAAAATTACCACTAAGTGCAAGAACTGCAATACATGCAGTCATTTCACTTTGAATATTTATAGGTACATTAAGAATAAGTTGTTTACATTTTTGCACTGCACCTGCTTCGACAATTGCATATTTATTTTTCTCGCTGCTTGCTGCTAAATTTCTTAAAGTAGATATAGCATGACATTGGATTTCTTCGTTAGTGTTTGTGGAAAGAAGCCTTACAAGGGGATCTAAGAACAAAGACTCGATAATTGGAGATTCATTCGATGGATGTATTGATATATTTCGAATGCATGCAACAGAAGATAATACATGAGGGAAAAATGATGATTGTAATAAACGAAGTAGTGGTGGTAACCCATTGGCCTGTACAATTTCTACTTGATATTTTTCTATAAAATAATATTAACGATATTGTAAATATTTATAATATTTACCATCAGAAGCTAAATTTCTTAATGCAAGTGCTGCTTGACATTGAACTTTAGGACTTGATGAATCCATTAAAGTTACAAGATATTCAACAAGTTGTGGTTCTGTTTGACTTAGTCTTTTTCTATTTGAAGCTATACAAATAAATTAGAAAACTATAATTCCCTATAAAGCAAGTACCATCCACAGCAATATTGCTTAATGCTGTTGTACAATAATATTGTACATCAATATCGGTAGAAGTAAGAAGGGTTACAAGAGTTGGGATAGCTCCTGCGTTAACCAGTTGTTGTCTATTTTCGTCTAAAAATGATTAATTTAAGCGAAAAAACTTATTTTAAGATAATTTTATTACTTACCTGAATGTGTCATATTTAATAGAGCTCCTGTAGCATTTCTTTGTACTCTTGTGTCTTTAGACATAGCTAGTCTAATTAATGGGCCAAGTGCACCAGAACTAGATATTTTGGACTTATTTTCATCTACAAAATAAAAAAAAATGAAAATATCGCAAATGGAATATTTACCATGAGTTGCCAAGTTGGTAATACATCCAACTGCATTGCATTGAACTTCTATATTAGGTGATAACATTTGTCGTATTAAGGGTTCTAAACCCCCCATCTTAACAATCAATGCTTTATTTTCCACTGAGATTATATTTAATTATAAAAAAATAATAAAGTAAGAACCTTACTATTGACTGCTAGATTGCCTAATGCTGCACTTGCAGCCCTTTGAATTTCAATATCTGGACTTTGAAGAAGAAATAGTATAGGCTCAAGTGCATTCTTACTCACTTCACGTACATCTTGATTTCTTAGCAATATAATATATTGATTATTCAATACCTTTTTCTGTGATTTCTGCAAAAGCAAGTGCCGCACTTCTTTGAAGATCAATGTTATCAGAATAAACAAGTGTTGTAAGTGCACGTAAAGGTTCATTACAGAAAAAATTTACGTCTGATCGCTAAATAATATTATTAGTTCATTTTCATTTCATTTAAATATCCCATCTACATTTTCAAGATATTGTAAAAGATCTGAAACAGCTTCTCTCTCCCTATCTATTTTATTTTGTTAGACTATGTTTTTTATAAATCCTATATATATACCTTCTAATAAAGGTTCATAAAGAGTTGCTTGAGATGGCCCTAAAATCGTTCAAAAATAAAACTTATATTCTTCTTCTATACCTCTGAAACATTCGCAGTTAAAGCACCATGAAAACACACCCATTTGGATGTTTTCTTATATATTTAAATCTTTTAATTTTTCAAGTCCTTGTAAAACATCAAAAATCAACCGTTTTTGTCTGGAAAAAAAGCTTTTTATAGGTTGATACCTAAAAATATTAAAAAAAAAAGGCTTGTTTTCTTTTAAAATCAAATTTGCTTGTTTTTTCTCTTTTTTTAAAAAAATATTTTTTTTGGAGGTTAAAAAGTTCTGACGTTTATTAACGTTGTCAAGTAATAATAGACAATCAATAATTTCATGTAAAAAAGCTGTAAAAAGAACTTTTATAGAAATTATAACTATAAATCTGTGTTTTTAAGTTGTTTTGTTAACTAATCTTTTTAATTATTTTACAAAAATATACATATATATCTGACCAGAACGGGACTTGAACCCGCAACCTTTAGATAACTCTATATAATTGGAATCTAACGCGGCTACCAGTTGCGCCACCCGGTCTTATCCTAGATAATTGATTAATATATATTTTAAATTGGTTAATTATTTTTGTATAATATTGAAAAAAAAACAATCAATGGTTTTAAGAATTAAGATAAGGTTTTGAAAAAAAGAAAATATAAAAATACATGTTTCTTTGAAACAAAGAAAAAATTAGGTTTTGATTGATAAGTCAATTAAAATCTTATAAATTTGTTTTGTTGATTTTGAATATTTTATTTAAAGTGAATATTGAACGTCAAAAAATATTTAATATTGTAAAATGTTAGATAGAATTAAAGTAATTTTTTTCAAAAAAAAATGAATATTTATAGATATTTTTAAAGGGACTTTTAATAAGATCTTCTATTTTAATTTAAAGTTTCTCTTTTAATTGAGAAATTCTAAAGAAAATGAAGCGATTGACATTGATTACTGTTATAGTCGGATTGTTTCTAGTGGTTGTTTTATTGAATAGATCATGGTTTTTAATAACGTTATTATTTGAGAATTTTGAATTGGAAAGAATTTCTGAATGGGCTGTTTTATATTCAGATTCTTATAAAGTAGACACAAAAAAAGAGGCAATTCCACGGATTATTCATCAAACATGGAAAAATGAAACAATTCCTGAAAAGTGGGAGGAAGCTTATGATAGTTGCAAAAAAAAACATCCAAATTATGAATATATATTTTGGACAGATGAAAAGGCACGTGATTTTATTGCACAAGAATATTCATGGTTTCTTGATCAATATGACAAATATCCGTATAATATTCAGCGGGTTGATTCATTTCGATATTTTGTTCTCGTTCATTATGGTGGTATATACATTGATCTTGATATTGTGAGGTTTTATATTTATTTTTATATAATTAATAAATATTTGGAACAGGAATGTCTTAAACCCCTTGATCCGCTTCTTTCATATGGCGCGTGGCTTCGTATAACAGATCCTACCGGAATTTCTAATGATGTTATGGGTTCTGTGCCATATCATCCTTTTTTTGTTTTTGTAATTAATCATTTAAAATCTTCCTCTGGAAACTGGATATTTCCATATCTTACAGTTATGGCGACTACAGGTCCTTTATTTCTTTCTGTCATGCTTGAAAAGTACATGTTTTTTTTATCATCTGATGCTTTTGCTTTAGAACATGTTCGTATTGTTACACCTGATATTTCAAATAAAATATTTAAGAATTTTCACGGTAGTACTTGGCATCAAAAAGATGCTTGGTTTTTTTTCTGGGTATATTTTTATCTTTTTTTTTATTCTTACATTAATAGTTACAACGCTATTGGGTTTTTTTATTTATTGGCAGTATAGGTATAACATGTTTTTATTCTTTTTATCTTTTTAAAAGGAAATTGCACCAAAATTTTAGGTATAAGAAGTGGATACGTTTTTCTGATGAATTGCCTTTATAATTTATATTTCTTATATTTTTTATAAAAAATAATATAAGAATATTTAAATTATATATAAAATCTCACTTCGAAATACATTTCATTCTCTTAAAAATAAGTACATTTCTTTTTAATTTGAGATATAAGTCTCCGGTTATCTTTTTTCTTTTATATATTAGAGGTTTTAACGGTCTCGGTTTTAAAAAATCTTGAAGATGGAAAAGCAGTTTATTGGGCTTAAAGTTGAAGTAATACTCCGTGACAATACTATTGTTCAGGGACAAATGACGGATATTGACGCAGTGAATCGTTGTCTTTTTCTTAAAAATGGTAAATATTTTGAATTATAGTTTTATTTTGTCTGATGGTATATTTTTTTTATAAAATAGTATATTGTAAAACAACAGGGAAATTTGTACCTGAAATGCAAATAGAAGGGGTTAATATTAAAGATTTGAACTTTATAACATCATTTGATGTGAAGAAAAAAAAGTCTTTTACTTTTATTGATCCTGCAATTATTTCAGTATATTTATTGATATATTCTTAATATTTTCTAATATGTATTTAGATATCAAATAATTTGTCTAATATGACGACTAAGGAATCTTCAAAAAAGGTATTTTTTTTAATTCATATTATTTCAAACATAATATATTAGTCGAAAAAAGATACAACGTTACCATCTCTTTCCTCACGTTTACATAAAAATAGTAAAAGTTATGGGTTGTGTAATTATAGATCTAGGGATTCTTCAAATATTCATGCTTATAATATGAAAAATATGCATAAAAGGGATAGGTCGTACATGAATGCTTTGCAAAAAGAATCTCCTCAATTTAAGCACACAAATCATGACAATTGGGTTAATGAAGATGTGAATAGATATCGTGATGAGGAATTTGATTTTCAGGGAAATCTTGGAAGATTTGATAAGCATAAAGTATTTTCAGAAATTCGTAAGTCAAATCTGATATCTTCGACTTCACTATCGGCTTCAAGCAACTGTTTATCTAAAGTGGAGTTATCTAGTGATGTAGCTGCTACTAATTTAGTTATAAATAAAAAAAATGCCTCTTTAAACGAGAGCAATTGTTTTTTAAAAATGAATGGCAATGAGAATACACCGAGCAGTGGTTTTCCCTCTTCTAGTCATTTGTCATCCGATAGTTATGACGAGAAAGGGGTTTACCAACAAAAATTGAAAAATCAGCGTTCCAACAATCAGCATACTTTGTCTAATCTTGATAAAATTAGTAGAAGAAATAAAAAAATACGAAATACAAAGAATAATTTGGAATGTCCTTGTATAAAGTCATCTAAGGTATTAAAATGTTTATGTTTTCATTATCTTAATTATGTATGAAGATGATTGAAGCAGAATATATTTCAAGTAAATATTCTATTTTGGTATTCTAAATTTTATATATTTTAGCTTTTGACACAGGGGTTTCGAATGACGCTATAGTGGAGAATGCAGCAAGAGGAATATCGTTTTTAGTTTCTCAACTTCTTGATTTTTCAAGATTTAGTCAAAAAAAAAGCATTTCTCCTGCTATTATAATTTTAGCTGGCAATAATCAGACAGGGATTTATGCTATTGCATCTGGAAGACAATTGTGTAACCATGGAGTAAAAGTAATGATTGTTGTTCTTGAGGAAAATCCAAGCAAACGAATATTATCTGTTTGTAAAACGTTTACATGTTTATTAAATTAATGTTAAATTAGTATTTGAAAGGGTTTTCTAATGCTGGAGGAAAAATTGTTTCTTCAGAAGAATTATTTAGGGCTATTAAATCATTTTCTGTTCTTCCTGGATTAATTATTGATGCTATTTTTGGTTGTCATTGTTCGTTTACTGATATTATGGATGATAATCTTCGTAATAGAATTTGTACCCTTATTGATTGGGCAAATCAATATCAGTCAGATATTTTATCTCTTGATTTACCATCTGGTTTAGATATCGTTACAGGTATGTATTTTTATAATCTTTATATCCTAAATATATATTAAATATAGGTGCACCTCTTGCTTCTTCGCATTTTATCCAGTCAAAATGGATTTTATCTCTTGGTATTCCTAAAACAGGGCTTCTTTTTGCTCTTAAATCAAAGCGTGTACCAAAAGAATTGTTTTTAGCTGATATAGGAATTCCTCAAAAAGTCTGGAAAAAGGTTGGTATTTCAAAACGTGCTAGATCATTGTGGGCTGGTCAAGATTGGGTTATAAAACTTGACTTTTCATAAAAAAACATAAATATTCTTTAGACTTCTGCTTTATTTTTTATTTTTATTATAATACAATTATTAAAAATTAGGCATATCATTTAATTTATTTAGTATATCTAAATTAAATATTAAATACTTTCTAATCTTTTTAATCATAATTTCATATTAACCTTTTCCACCTTCGATCTCTAATCTTAACCTCTTTCCTACGGAAGATTTTTAACCTCCAAATTTTCTAAGAAAAAAATAAGAATCAAAAAATGGAGAATGATCAGCGTGTTTTAGTAGATTTATATGTACCAAGAAAATGGTATGTATTTTTAGTTATATTTTAGTTTTCTTTTTACTTAAAACTGATGATTTTTCATAGTTCTGCAACAAATCGTTTAATATGTGCTAAAGATCATGCATCTGTGCAAATTAATATCTGCAGTGTAGATGCAGATGGACGTCAGATCCCTGGTAAATATACTACGTATGTTCTTTGTGGTTTTGTTCGTACCAAAGGCGAGAGTGATGATTGTATTAATCGATTAGCTACACGCGATGGTTTGTTGAAAAAGTATTTAGGAAACTTAATGTATTAAGCTTTCTTACTCATTTTTAGAGTTTGGTCATATCAGAGATAGGATTTGTAGTTATAAAAATGATTTTATTTGGTTTTTTTTTCAGATTTATTTAAATATATTAAAGATAGAGAAAGAATAATATATTTATAAAAAAGTGATTTTATTTAGGCAAGAATTTTTTTTCCTTTAAAGCGGTTAGAACTTTGCTTGTTTGGTTTGCTTTTGCATGTTTAGTCCATACATATTTAGTTTATCTGCCGCTATATTAAAAACTCGCTTTTGAAAGCCCTCCGCTCAAAGTCTGAGTTGGACGTACAGATACGGGCGAGATATTTAAAATTTGTTGTTTATACTTGTTTTTTTTTATTCTTTTTTTGAAGGTTTAAACATATATAATTTTAATCTACAAGAAACGTCTCAAAAAAAAATTGTATGGCTTTTAATATTATTAGAATAGGTAGAATTAGATAACTTTGGGTCTAAGATATTTATATTTAGTTTGGGATGTTCTTTTAATATACTATTTTCATCATTTTAAGTGATTTGTCTGTTATTTGCTTATCTCTTATCTGTTAGTGATAATGGAGGGTTTTTATACACTAGAAATGGATTCTATATATGTGTCTTTGGGTCTATATTTGAAATACTGAGTATTTTGGCTAAATTGCTCTATTACCTTTAAAACAAGGTGATTAATGGTTTTTTTGCGGCGTGAAATTGAATTAGAAGAAATAGTTACAGGTGATAGAAGGAAGACATATTTCTTTTTAATCTTTTTGAATAAGCTTAATATTAGTTAATTCGAGTGTTTTTTGTGTATTTATAGACGTAATTGGTGAAACATGTTATATTATAATTTTTATTTTAACTTTAATGGAAGAATGGCTACATTTTTATTAATTTTCTATATTTGTAATATAATATTAAGTATTGGTGATCTTATTTGAAGGGTTCAAAATTAGCAAGATTATTTTAAGCTTTTAACATGAAGGTTGATTTTGATGCTAGTTTTTTGGGTCATTTGAAAGTGCAATTTTTTTATTTAGAGGAATTAATTAATATTTCCTCTAGAGTACTACCTATCATTAGTGCATTTCTTGTTTATCATATTGCAGCTAAATTGGAAAATAGTATGATCATATATAGAAAGAATTGTATTTCTCGTTCTTTTAAATATGGGGTTTTAGTTTAAGAATTTGTAAAAAATAACATAAATTCTGATGAGGATATTGGTTTTTCTATATGAAAATTCTTTTATTTTTTTATATTATATTTCAATAGTTATCAATGCCTTATCATTGCCTATTGAATATATCTTTTACATTAACTCATCTGCTAATTGAACTTATTTGGCTGTTAATCCTAAGGTTTTATTGGCTATTGAAATGTAAATATGATCATATACTCTTTTGGATCACTTTATATGAATTTGTTTCTTTGTTTAATTATTAATAGTGTGATTAAAATGATTCTGGATACATTTCAATTAATATATAAGATTGTTTTTCTAAATCGTTCAATTTATCTAGAAATGTGTTATAACTTTATTGGAATGAGTTTCATATATATGTCTTAATTACTGGGTTTGTTAGTCGTATAGAATCACTTGGCCAAGAGATTGATCTTGACTATTAGACTTAAAAATTCATTACACTTATCATTTATATTTAAGATAAATGTATTCTTTTTATAAATGAATAAAAGGCATATTATTATGGAATTAAATCTATAGCTATTTATGGATATAGAAATATTGATAATGATAGCATGTCTTACAACGCTAAAAGCTTATATAGAACATTAAAAGCTATTGTATATAATCAAAAACTTGGGTTGAGATAACGTATATAAGTTTAATACAATTATTAAATATTTGATATGTATGCTTTCTTGCAAAAAAATATGTTTATAGAAATCAATTATATTATTTTTTCTCTTTTAATATTATTAAAAAATATTTATTTATTAAAACCCGTGTGAATTCTGCCTATCTAGTGTTTGAGGACGAAAATTTTGCTGTATTTCTTTTAATCTCTGTTCAATATGATTTTGTAGCTCTTCCGACGGCCCTCTTGTCATTAATTCTTGCAATCCAAGATCTCTCCAAGCTGGTTCTGATGGTTTTTGTGCTCTAAGAATTCCATTCATTGTTTGTTGATTTGGAACTATAAGGATTAACTTTTTTAATATCTAATATTTATTTTTAATACCATCATCATCATCAGGATGAGGTGGTTGATGTTGAGGTGCTACAATAATATCTAATTTGTAAGAAATTAGTCTTAGAAAACTATAAAAATACAAAGAATATTAACCATCATCTGGAAGCTTATCTGCACACCATTTTTCAATATAGTCTACGATTCTTGGTTGATTAAAGTGAATATAGCTTCTTTGAGAATCCATCTGTCTATGAAATAAAAAATAAAACAAAAAAATGAAAGAAATATTATATTAGATTGAAGAATATTGAGTTTTTCAATTGAACTATTTTTTATATGTTTTTTTTTGAAAAAAAATGTTTATCAATTAGATGATATATGAAAGATGGTTCTTATTGAATATAAAGGGAAAAATAGATTTAAAAAAGATGTGAATATATATTGGAATTATATTTATGTATATATTGTGTTTTTTCATTGAGAATTTTCTATGGAATATATAAAAAATAATAATTGGGCTTAATGAAACGAATATTTTGTGTTTAAAGATTATAAATAGACTTTAATATATCTAAAGTTGAATTTTTTTGTATATTTTCTTTAGAAAATATCTTTACTTTTCTAATTTTGTGTTTATTGTATTTTTTTATAAAAATGTATGATAAAACTTAAAAATGATGTCTCTAAAGTCTTAAAATGAATATAATTGAGTTCTTTTGCTTAGTTGATTTTGTATTTAATATAAAGATTATGTATTTGTGTTAGATTTGCTTTAAAAATGAATTATATGTGATTATAATTGATATATTAGTTCAAAAAATGAAATCTTAAATAACAAAATATTTTGGGTTTAATATCATATTTATGGGAAAATAGAGTTAAATAAAGGTATTTTGGTATATTTCTATAGATATCTTATATCTATTTTTTTTAAAGATTTTTGGTAAATTTTTTATTTTTCTCAGAAAAAAAAGAATTATGACTTGTTTGTTCTAGAAGGCTTCTAGAACTAAAGGACTAGTTGTATTTTCCTTAACTTATTTTGATGTATTTTTCCTTTATATTGCTCGTTCGTCTTCGGTTTGACATATGAAAAATATTCTTTTTGAAACCTCTTTATTGGATAGAGTTGAGGGATCTTGTATATATCAAGAAGGTATGTTTTGCATGGTATTATGATTTTTCTTTTTTTTTCCGGCTTTAAAATGCTTATTCTTGGCTAAAAAAAGGTTCAAATAAGGTTGTTTGTTCTGTTGTAGGTCCTTCTGATATAAAAACAAGAGATGATGCACTGGGAGAAGCAGCATTAGATGTGATGATAAGATTTGATATAGGAATGTCTGGTACTTTTCTTTTCTTCACTTTTTTTTGATTTTTTAGTTTTTTTTAGGTGCAAAAGAAAGACAAATGGAACAAATCATTTGGAAAACTATATCACCAATGATTATACGAACAATGTATCCTCATACACTGATTCAAGTTGTTATTCAAGTTGTTTCTTATGAGAGATCTGAAAATGTTATATATTTTTTAAAAAAAATCATTAACAGATGATTAATTTATAATAGACGGCATCTTTGTTGGCTGCCATGTTAAATGCAACATGTATAGCACTTATTGATTCTGGGATTTCTTTGTTATCTACATTTTCTGCTGTATGTTTGGCAGTTCTTTTAAAAAATAAGGAAATATCTATTATTGTTAATCCGACCTTAAAAATATTAAATGTATGTGGTGATTTATCTTATAGATTAAGAGGAATAAATGAGAAAGTAGGAATGTATGAGCACACATGTTGTATGTTATGCTTTTCCTGATGAAAAGCTTCTTTCATGTGAAAGTATAGGGCTTTTTACAGAAAATGAAGTATATAAAGAATATCATTGAAAATAACTAATTTTATTAGTTTTTTGAAATACTTTTAAAGGCACAGGATGCATGCAGAAATATTCATTATGAAATAAAAACGACAATAACAAAAAAAATAATGGAAGAAAATCATAGATGATTTTTTTATTAGTGTAAATATTAATGATATATAATCAGTGTTGTCCATGCTGATATTATAAATGACTATTTTATACATTTTAAAAGTAAATTTACATATCTTTGGTATCTGTATATTTTTAATCCTTATATTTCCAAATTATTTTTGAAATTTATGCAAGATAGATGTATGTATTAGAATTTTTTTCATCTTTTTCTATATATTCTTTTTCCAAAAGTTTTTCGATAGCTGACTCTACTTCATTGACAGATATAATGCCTCTTTGTTTTAGTATATTTATACTTGTTTGAACTAATTCTGTATGATGACTTTTTTTTTTTGCTTTCATTATTCGAACAATTGTAGCTTGAATTTCAAAAGAACGGTCTTTTTGTATATTCTCATGAATAATTTTGTTTTCTTTTGACGTTTCTTTTAATTGAATTTGATTAATTTTAATTTTAAATAATTTTTCTGAAAATGCAAGATTAATTAAAAATAGATCTGTAGTATTTATGTCTTTTCCTTTAGAAGATTTCAAGAGTACTCTAACTTTTCCACAGGCCAGTGATTGCAATGTTCGAATCAACTCTTTGTCTTCTAAACCTGTAGATTTTTTTATTTCGTTGTATGACAATGTCTTGTTATCTGGTACATTATTGAATAAAAGCATGACTACTGCTTGAAACAATGTAACGTTTAGCTCTTTTTTTCCCTTTTAATAGTTAATTTTCTTAATAATATAGAAATGAATGGATGGATACTTTTGGAAAATTTGCTTTTACAACACAATGCCCTAAATTATGTCTCCACGTTAACTTCTTGTCTTTTTCTTTAGAAAAATAAAAGGATGAGAATGAATTCAAATCTTTTTCCATTTTTTCCGGTAAAATTACAGAAATATTGGGATAAGATGGCCAAAATGCTTGTGAAAGAATATTTACATACAAGTTCGAGACCGGTGGATTTTTTTGAGTTGATTTTGAGTTCTTATTTGATTAAAAAAAATATAATGAAATAAATAATATAAACCTTGTAGAATGCCATAAAATTTCTTGAAATATCTATATCTTTAAACATTCCTTCAAGTTTCTGCGTAAATCCAGATCCACATTCTAAAATATATAAAAATAATGAGACTTTTGGATTTAATAATAATGATACCTGTTTTAAGTTTTAGTAACATAGCTTTTTCTGCGTCGGTACTGGCAGTTTTGTTAAGTAATAATCGTTTAGCAAGATCTCTTTTATAAAATGCCTCAAAAATATCTTTTCCTAAACAAATAGTTATTTAAAACTAAAGTAATACAAAAAATATACCCTGTATAAATCTAAAAAGTTCTAATGTTTTATCCATCTCATTTCCAAGAGACTCTTCATCAAAAGACTTATTACCGGATCGCAACATATTATCAATATATTTAGCTAGCATTTCTGCACTGTTGTCAATAGAATTGTTGATAAAAAATTCGAAGCATTCTCGAAGTGTTTGAATAAATGATCCGTTTGATAAGAAACATTCAGAAATAATTGAATTCAAAGTAGAGTGAAATTTTAGAAGCGAAGGTATTATATTTGAATTATCTTTAGAATTCGATATTGAATTTTTGCATGTTTTCTTTTAAAGTTAGGTACAACCCAAATAAATGTTTTCTTACTTTGATATATTCTGCTAAATGGATTTTAATCAATTCCACTTTATTAACTAATTTTAGAAGTGTATATAAGTCTTTTAAAGATTTAGTATTTCCTTCAACCATCATTTTCTCAAATCCTGTATTGATTATGCATTCTGAGTGATTCTCTATCATTTGAATCTCAATTACACGAATAACTTTTGATTTTGTCTGTTCTGAAAAAAATTCTTTACAAAATTTTTCTTCCTTATTTAATATTTCTTTGATATGTGATAAATATTCTTCAGGATAGCTTTTTTCTATAAGTTCTAATGCTTTGTTATTATAATATATTTCTGTGGCCTGAATAAATTTTGGTTCAAATAGAGATCCATAAAGATTTAAAGAATTTATCATTTTTATCGATGATTGTAATAAATGAATATTAGGTGCTTTTTTAAAATCCATAGAATATGATCGTATAGATGCAATTATGGAAAAAAGGTCAAAAAAAAATGGTTCGTTAACGGATATATCCATAAAAAGATATTCACGAAATAAGCTTATACCGGTATCCCATATGGACGATAATCCTGGAGTAATAAGAAGAAATGTACGATCAAAATAAAAAAAAATATTTCTGATCGTCGAAATCTGCTCAATCCAAATTTCCCATCCTTTTTCAATAACAATTTTAACAATATCTCCTTCTGTCTCTATAAATGATGAAATTTTCTCCAAGACATTCAATAAAAGTAACTTTATAGATTCTTTTGACCTAGTTTCCAAAATTCGATAGCACTTTATTGCCCATGGATCTTCATTATTTGGTTGATTAAATGCTCGGCATAAATTTTCAACACCTTTATATAATTCTTGAAGACTCCATACAATCTTTTTTCTTTCAAATATACTTATAAGTGCCATGTCAAGCTTCTCAAGTACATCATTATAATACTTTTCTTGTGATTCTAATGACGTTTTTCGAAAGTTTTTAATCGTTAATTTTTTAAGAGTATTTTCTTCATCTAAAATATGTTTCTTTGGTGATCTTGTCAGATCAATCACTTCCTTAGAAACATCTATTTCTATATTCGTCTTATTATCTGAATTCCCAATCCTATCACATTCACTCCATTTAGAACCTCGAACTTTATGTTCCGTAATTGACATTATATTCTTCAGATTTGATTCTTTTCTTCTTTTTGTCTTTAGATGTTTGCAATCCTGTGGAATTCTCATTAAATCCTTCAAGTAAATTGTGCTCTTTTCTATAAAAATTAGACAATTTCCTTGAATTTGAAAGGCTTAAAGACAATTTATCTCATCTCTTAGTTGTCATGACAAACTCCATGACCTGGTTACCGTACCTAGGTACCTGTTGGCATGACAACCATACTAAAATTAGCTTTAATATCTATAAAAAATTAAATTATGGTTTTTACATTAAAATGTGTTATTTTTGTATAAAAAAGAGATGATTTTCTAATAAAAAATCATATTTAAGTGATTTCTTTAGGACTTTTTATGGAATCAATTAAAAATTTTCGAGTGATAAAAAATCTTAAGATTTTCATTAAAATGTTGGCATTGGTTCATTTGGTTAATGAGAAGATTTTCGAAATATATCCATGCTCAGGACCGTCTATGCTTCCTACGTTGAATGTCTATGGTGATTTTTTAGGTGTTGATAAGTGGAATGGAAAGAATGGAAGAGGTTGCCAAGTTGGAGATATTATTGTTGCAATTAAACCAGGTACGACAAATGTTCGAATTGCTAAACGAATTATTGGAATGGTATTTGAGGTGTTTTGTATATATTTGTATTAATATTTTGAAAATAGCCGGGGGATATTGTTTCTAAAGATCCTTTGGTTAATAGTCCAGAATTTATTAAAGTAGATTATATAATATTTGTTTATTGGTTTAAAATTTTTGATTTAGGTTCCAGAAGGACATGTATGGATAACGGGAGATAATTTGACACATTCTTTAGATAGTCGAAACTATGGACCTCTTCCTATGGCATTAATTAAAGGAAAAGTTGTTTGCAGAGTTCTTCCGAGTTTTAAATGGCTTAATAATGGACTTTCTTCGTCTTCGAAAGTTGCCAATTAAAATATATAATTTTGATCTTTGAAAGTATTGTTGTATAGTTGATTATAAATAGCATTATATAAATATATAGATAGGCATATCTAGTAATATATTTTTTTAAAAAATCATGACCTTTTAAGCATGGTTTTATATTGTGGTAATTGTGCGTCTGACATAACTTTGTCTACATGTTCATCCCAAACGCTACGCCAAAAATGAATCCCAACAATTTTTAAGTTATTTAAAGATGCAAATTGATTAACGTTAAAACAATTCCTTATAATATTATAATCATTTGAAATTTTTTTAACTTGTTCAAATACAAGTAATGTATAACGATGATATGGGCTGCCTTTTTGTGGATGTGGTGGAATATAAGAAGCTAAAATAGTTCCTTTGGAAGGTTGTACGGATGCATTTGTAGGAGAAATTGGAATGTTGGAACTAAAAATTGTTAATATTTATTTTTTTAAAGAAATTCATACATAAGCCAATGAAGATATATCTTAAAAGAATCTTTTTCTAGATCTGGGACATCTTTTAGATATATTAGCTTAATAATAAAACATAAAAAGGAAATTGACCCAAATCAAGTAAAATTATTGTGTAAAGTTCTTCTTTTCCTGAAAAAGAGTTAATCTCTATAACAGGAGCTAATGCTGAGATATTATTGGGGACAAATTTTCCTGGTTCAAGTTCTTCTTTTCCAAATCGAAGAAGGACCTCTACTGTAGGCTTAAATCGCTTATACGCATCTGGTATAACATACATCTGCTCTATACGCTGCATCAAAAGATGATATGGTTTTTTCATCCATTTTTGTTCTGCTAAATAGCGATAAACAGGAATAGACATATCCACTGAAAATAATATAAGTTTTTTCTTATTTTTCTTTAAAAATATTACCATCATTATGTTTAAATCTCCACCGTATTTCAGGATCATTAATGTCTGCTAATATTTCAAGTTGATTTAGATATTTTTTTAAATTTATAATTTGTTCTTCTGTATCTTTTGTAATAGAGTCTATAAAAAATATTAATTAATGAAAATAAGAAAAAAAACTACCTTTATTTTTTAGCATTTGTTCTATTTTTAATTTGATTTTCTTGATTTTTTTCTGTTTTTCTAAACGATCTGCTTCAATAACCTTTAAAGCTTCATCATATGCCTTATTAACGCCAAGTTTTGGTGAAAAATATGTTAGACGAGGATATTTTTTCTCTTTATTGCCATTTTCTATATCAAATACATGAGAATCCTGTTGTAATGATAATATTTGTGATTCATTTGATAAGGATTCATTAGATTTAGATGTTATATTTGCAATTTGTAGATAAAAATTAGGTTTTCTGTTTTGTATACGTTCTCTAGGGTGTTTTTTCAAGTAGTCTTTTGATAAAAAAGCAAAATGTCTTATATATATAAAGTTTCTATTTATTTTATAAAATGTATTGTAAATTTGTTGTAAAGAATGCCTCATTTCTTAAAGTTTCCCATAAAATCTTATGAAAGATGTAAAGGAATGCAATATATATTTCAGTTTATGATAGGTTTATTCTTTTTTTTAGAGAAAATATGATTCTATAGTTTTTTTAAAGTCGATAATTTTATGAAAATCAAAAAAATAAAAAAAATTATATGAATTAGAAAATATGTAATAAATAACAATGATATAGAGTGAGTCATGCATCATAATATATAGTTATTCTATTCTTGTTTTTTCTTCAAGCCATTCAAGTGCTTTGCGTTCAATAATAATTCTTTTTTTCATTAAAATATCTTTAACAGAAAGTTCCTTTACATTCCGAACAATACAATGAGCTCCTAAGCTTCCAGTTGAGTATTTAAAGTTTTTTCGATCGGCGTACATAATAAAAACAGTGCCGCCATTATTATTATTCCAACGATATGTCTTCATTATGCTTACCATGGCTTTTGCTTTATGTGTTGGTAATTCAAAAGTATGATTAATAACAATGATCTCTCCTTTATTATATCTAGCAGACAGCGCAGTTCTTATAGCCAAATAATAAATTTTACGCGGAAGTTTAGTAGAAAAATCACGAGGTTTAGGTGCATGTGCAAGACCCCCTAGAATTGTTTCAAAAAACGATTTTATATCTAAAGAAATAAACCCCCTCTTATAGAAGGAGAGCGAATATCTCCAAGACGTGCTCTACCAGTCCCTTTTTGTGGTCGAATTTTTCGATTTGAACCACGAACATCTGATCTATTTTTCTTGCATGCTGTTCCTTGTCTTCGTTTATTCGCTTCATAAACCACTGCACGATGAAGAATGTCTCTTCTAAGAGGAAGATTCAGAAAATTTGATGGAAATTTTTGAAATCGTACAGGCTTCATATTTGGGAAAGAATAAAGTGTCGTAAGAACTTGAGAAAATGCTTCTAAAATGCAAGTAAAAAACCTTTTACCTCTCTAATATAATTCATATACCATATTTTATTGGAATAAGATCTGTTGATTGAGTTTTTGTGCTGTATAATTGGATATTTAGTTCTTGTATCTAAAAATCAAAAAATAAGTCATTTTTTTTTAAAAAAAAATGCTTCAAATTCCAGAAATACCCTTATATATATCCTTCTATTAAGTAAGTTGATTAATTCTTTCGAATTCCTCATACTATAACCCTTTATATCACTTTTTTTCTGCTACTTTTTTATATAAAAAGGCTGAGGTCTCGAGATTTTATAGAGCTTCAACCTCAAAAAAAAAACAAAGTCTATATTTTTCTTAAGTATGTTCAATTGAATGAAAACAACAGTTTTTTCGTCTAAAACTAATTCATTTTCCTTTAAGTTTATGATTAACTTCTTGGTTTTTACAAGGAAATTTTCTAGGGTAATTATAATATCTAATATTGTGATTGATGATTTAAAGTTAATGAGGCAAAAATGAATTTCCCTATGATAGAAACTGAATCTAATGTATTGGATTGCGTTAACTTTATGTTTTATTTATTTATTTATTTGTAGAAAGAAGTTTTATTTGACAGTTATTTTGGGTTAAGAATGATTACATTGAATAGACCGAAAAAATTGAATGCATTAAATATGATAATGACAAAAAATATCTATGAAAAGCTTATTGTTTGAATGTTTTTTGTGCTTGAATAGCATTATTGATTTTTTAAAGGAATGGAAGCGATCTTCTTTGGCTAAGATTATTTTGCTTCGAGGAATTAATAATAGGGCATTGTCAGCAGGAGGGGATGTAGTAGGTTGGGTTATGAATGATGTGTAAATTATTTTTAGATTAAGTTTTTAGCTATTGCAGAATTATGTCGATTGGATATGGAAAAAGGGTATAAAATGGCGATGGAATATTTTGAATTGGAATATCGTCTTGATTATCTTATTGCTACTTTTAAGGAAAAACCATATGTTTCTTTGATGGATGGCATTACAAGTATACATTTTTTTATATTTAGAATAATAAGTTTTGATATATATTAGTGGGTGGAGGAGCGGGTTTATCTGTTCATGCACCATTTAGGGTTGCAACTGAAAATACTGTTTTCGCAATGCCAGAAACAGATATTGGCTTTTTTCCTGATGCTGGGTTGTCTTTTTTTTTGTCTCGTATGGATGGTGAAGTTGGAAAATATCTTGGAATGACAAGTGAACGTCTTTACGGTTTTGATACGTTGTAATTTTTTCAAACATAAGGTAGAATTTTTCTTTAATTCATCTAGGATATCAGGAATTGCTACTCATTATGTTCCTTCCGAACGATTAGATTCTCTTATTGCGAGATTATCTGAGCTAGATACGAATGATTGTAGTAGTAAAGATTATTTCAATGTTGTAGATAGAGCAATTGATGAATTTTCTGGTGAACCTCCTAGAAATTATAAGTATAGGCTTGGAGGAGAGACACGTGAAGCAATCGACAGGTAATTTTTTGATTTATTGATGGAATATGAATGAATATATGAAAAGATGTTTTAAGTATAAAAAAATCGAAAATGTCTTTAAGGCATTGAAAAAGGAGGGGACAGAATGGGCGAATTCTACTATCGACACTCTTAATAGGCGGTCTCCTACTAGTATTAAAGTTGCTTTACGAGAAATTCAAGAAGCAAAGAAATGGAATATTTTACAGGCTTTCAATAATGAGCTTAATATAACTAGTTATCTTTTAGTATTTTATTGTTTGTTTGGTTATTATTTATTAATGAATTTTTAGAAAACGCATGATTTTATTGAAGGTATTGAAGCAAAGTTGGTTAAAAAGCCTTCAGTTAAACCTGTATGGAAGCCTTCAATAATTTCTGAAGTTTCCGACAAACTGGTTGATACTTTTTTTAAAAGTTGTAAAGACTCTCCTCAGTTAAATATATCTGGTGATCTTATTTCCGTTCAATATCAAGATTATCCATATAATTATGGTTTACCAACAGAAATTGATCTTGAAAAAAGTATCCGGAATTGTATTAGTAATAATGTTCCTGTAAATTCTATTAGAGATGTGGTCTTTGATATATTTTTTAAAGTATCTCCAAATAAACCGGGACTTAGTATAAAACTCGATGACATTCTTTTTCGAAAACGATTTGGACAATTAAGCAATTAACAGGTTTAATCGCTTTTGTTTGATCCTTCACTCTGTTTCATTGATTTATATATATATACTTCTCAATTAATGCTAAGTATCGATTTTTTATTTGAATTTATTAAAAATTCGTTTTCAAATAAATTGAGATGTAATCTTATTGTTAATTTAATCTAGAACTTTAATATTTCTGATATTCATGAATATTCGTTTTGTGATTATTATTATAAAGAACTGTATTGTATTAGTTCTTTTACGTGGATTATTTTTTAGAACAATTGTTATTAAAATAATCACAAAAGAATGTAAAATATGGTTTGTGGATGATTTTTTACAAATATACAGAAGTTTTAATAAGTAGTAATGTTTTAACGATAAAATTAGAGTTATTTAAATCTTATTTTTTTTGTCTTAGTATATATTTTTGAAAATGTAAATATATAAATATATAATCTGAAAATAACTAGCATTTTATAATATTTCCAGGAAGGATCTTGTTAAATATATATAAATAAATTCAATTGATTTATTTGTAATCCTTCTACTGTTGATGTTTATATCTGTTTTTTGATTCTGTTACATCGATATAAATAAAAACTCTCATTTTGATCAATTAAAAAGTAATGAAAACATCGCTTTGGATAACAATTCATAAGTTCCCTTATCTATGTATTTTTTGTTTGTATGATTAAGTATTTATGATATGAAATATGAATACTGACTAAATATCTATAGATTTTAAGGTTCATTATTCCGATGCCTTCCTTTATTAAAGCTAGCTATTTTCTTCTACAGAAATCTTTTGAATTCTTTTTCAATTATATGAATATAATGTGGAGTTTATTTAGGTTGTAGTCTTTTTTTAGAAATACAACAAAGTATTTCAATATAAATTCCCTTTTTTCGTTTCTGCCTTTATATTTTCTATTACCTCGTCAATTATTACTGGTCATGTATCTTATAATTGTTAATTTTTTCTTTTTTATTTTTTTTTCAAATTTACCTTATTATAAATACCAAAATCTATTTGAATATCTTTAGAAAATTCATATAATAAATTCCATATATCTTTTGATGTATACGGCTCGTTCTTTTTTATTTGATTCTATTAGTAACCTTTTTTTATATCTTTATTAAAACCTCAATAATTTCAATCCATAGATCAAGATGTATAAATATTCCTTTCAATAATAGTTTCTAATATTCAACCGCAATTTTCGCTGCTACGTATTTAAATAAATCTTGATTGATACTTTTATATTTTTCCCCCACATAAACGTTTACATCCCAGAACTCGTGCAAATGTATATGTAAATTTATAGATTTTATTTTAGAGTTCCTCATCATTATCAATCGATCTTTATAAAGATCTTATTGTATTTTGTATTTGTTTTAATGAATTATATCTACCTTAAAATAATCTGTTATAATCTATTATAAAACGTTAAAATACACTTACCTAAGACGTTTCCATCTTTTAACAAATCCTTGACGAGTAAATATATCAAGAGATGGTGAGTCTAGTAAATATACAAGTGCTAATGTCGTCAATTTTTTTATATTAAGCCTGAAGTCATGATATAATCAAATTGAACCATTAATTTCAATAAAATCAACATCATCTATAATTTTCAATAATTTTTTATGTATAATATTAAGCGCCTTTATAATTATTAAAAAATGTATCAGAAGTATTTGTCATTAAAATTTAAATATTTCGTAACTAAGTTGTATATCTTAAATAAAATTCTTAGTCAATTATTTTTTTTCTTTAGAATATTATAATTTTTTTTTAAATATTTTAACTTAGAATTTTTTTATTATTTATATATACGTTTATTCTTTATTCCTGATATACTCTTAAAATTTTCTTTTTTTCCGTACAGTGTTGACATTTCTCTGGGTACGCTTTTATTGTTAAAAATGACACTTTATTATTCTCTTGGTAGACTTTTTTATTATTATTCTTTTATTAAAAAAAATCGTTTAGTTTTTACACTTTTAGTGATTCAAATGGTTTTATTTTGTTTTTTAATCCTACCATTACCTAAACGTTTAAAACGTCGTCTTTTTACCTTTATTTCTACATCATGGTTTATTGCAAAAATTCGTTATATTTCAAAGGTATTTGGGTTTTATTATTTTTCAATTAATGAAGAAATGATTTTATTTCGAGATTATATTTATCTTTATTTTGGTGTTGTTTTTTGACTCAGTAAATCGGGTGTTTCGTACAGTTGAAGAAGCTAAATTGGGGACTTCTGGGTCATTACGAGATGCTTATCGAAGTGATATACAAGCAAGGAAGTTTTATTCACAAAGGAATATGTATCTTTGTGGTTTTACACTTTTTCTTAGTCTGTAAAGAAATTATGATTTTTATTATGTTTTAATAATGATTGGATTTTTTAATGTACAGGATTATTGATCGAGTTTATGCTTTAACATTACAAGTATTAAAGTATGAAGAATTGGTTAATACAATTAAGACACAATCAGATGAACATGTTAAATCGAAGGCATTGGTGGAGGAAATTACAGAATTGAAGAAAAGAATTGTTGAAAAAGATAAAGAATTCCATGAACTTTCTGAAAGATATAGTAGGGAAACGAAAACGAATGAATCTAAAAAAAATATGTGAATATAGTTGTATTTTTTTATAGTATTATATATATTGAAAACAATAGTGTTTAACATGCTAATGAGTTTTTATTTTATTAATTCTTTAGTTTTTTCATTTTTACACTTGACATGAAATAGTTGAAAGATTAAAATCTTTAATATCAAAATTTATTTTTTGATCAAAGTCATCAATCATTGCTTGAAAATCTTTTTGTAAGTTTAAAATGCCGTTCATCCAATCCGGGGTTATAGAATTATCATAGGTGGATTTTTGAGAATGAGAAAATAATGATTCTTTGTTAAAAGATATTTTTCTGACATCGTTCCTAATTCCTTTGCAAGTTGAACTCTTATATGTATAAAATATTTCTTGAGAAAGAAAACTTTCTGTAGATCTCTGAGATAAACTTAGTAAAGATGGACTTGAATCTATAGAAATAGTTGAAGCTATGAAATTTTGCTTCAAAGGAAGAGATGGAATGATAAATTCATTGTCAGAAAACTCATTTTTATCTGAAGATGTATCAGGATGTTTAGTTTTGTTCTGTTTTTGTATCAATTTCCATACTTGAAGATGTTCAATGCCTTTATTGAAATCCCCTTCAATCTTTTTTGGCTCTATGACGTCAGTAGATACTTTTAAATAATTTAAATCAGTATCATCATCTGAATCTTTATTAGACCATAATTCAGATAAACTAGTGTTATTCGTTTCATTATTATATGTTTTGTGTGAATGACCTAAATTCACAACAGTAATTGTTGTATTGTCAGACATATATGTATTAAATGTATCTGTGGAATAAAAAAAATCGTTCTTCAAATTTTGAAATGGGTTTCCGTGTTTATCTGTCATGTTGCATGAACCTTTGAACAACTTTCGAGATTTTAAATCATTATCTTGCATTTGATATTTTCTTGAGGATGACATAATTGTTTCTAATGTTTCGGAAGAACTGCGAAAGGTCTTTTTTTGATGAAGATATTCATATTCTTTCTGATTTTGTATAAACATATTGTTTCTAAAAAATTTTATAGGCAATGTAGAAAAGTGATTTATTTTTTTTGTAATATTATTATAGCTTTCCTTTTTTGTGCCATTTGATTTTTTAGTTGTTAGGTTCGATGAAACATCTAAATCGGTTTTATTGTTAATAGATACTAATAACGTAACTGTCTTTATTTTGTTCTTCTTGAAACTCTTTTGAACTTCTGATTCAAGAAAATCCCATATTATTTTATCATTTTTTTTCATTTTTGTTATTTTTTTATTCATTTTATCATCTATTTGTATAGATTGAATAATAAAGCTATCAATTGTCTTATTGGATTCCTTATTTTCATGGAAAAGACTAAAAGGATGTTTTTCAAATGAAATTTCACATTCACAATTTGGATTAAGCATAGCAGTAGATGGATAAACCGTATAATGATCTGATGCTGTTGTAGTTTGAAGATTAAATGCCACTTTATGTTTAAGTGATAGATTCTTAACAGAAATACATGTCTTTGAGATCCTGTCTTGGTACTCTTCGAAGCAAAGTGTATGTTTAGAAAGTCTTAATGTCATAATGATTTGTAATGATAGAAATGTAATGTATCTTAATAGAAAATTTATCTAATTTCTAAATAGCTTAGAAAATATAAAAAGGTGTCATCTCTTCGGGTATTTATATCTTTTTAATATGCAATTTTCATCAAAATTAATTATTTTTATGTGCATTTTTATAATAGAGGTCTGGTACTTAAAAAATCTCTATGCGAAATTTAATTGATAGTCCAAAATTTGAAAATGAATGAAATGATATTATAAATAGATAAATACATTTTTAAAAGTAATAGTATGTATTTAGTGCATTTTTTTTGTCTTATTTTGTTTTTTTTTTTAGGAGATATGTTTCTCATGATACTTGAATTAAATGGTTAAGAAAAAAAATGAATGAAATGTTTAATAAAAGCGAAGAACATGGAGAAAATGGGGATTTAAATGCAAATACTGTTGATTTTTCTTTAGAAAAAACAGTTAAAAACCGAAAAAGACTGAGAGGTCAGAATAAAAATAGAAAAATTGTTATAGAAAAAGAATTAAAGCAATTATGTCCCCGTATTTCTATTGATAAACCATGTGAATATGGTGATACGTATGTATCAATGTTTTTTTTTTTTAATTTTATTTTTTATAGTTGTAAATTTATGCATTCTATTGAAGATTATTTAAATGAGAAACCACAAGATATTGGTAATATTTGCTGTGTTTTTAATTCTAGAGGATGGTGTAGATCTGGGTGGAAATGTCGATGGTTAGGTGGGCATTTATTGAAACCTACTTCAGATGTTAAAACTTGGAGTTTAATTACAGATAATAATGTGTGATGCTTTGTAATGAAATGGTTCATGTTTAATATAACATTAGAAGATGGAAATGCATAAAAATGATGATATTAATTATGTTTCAGCGGATATTCGAAAGTTACTTTCACGTAAATTGTATTTAACACCTAAATCAGATAGTTATTTAGCTTTTTTGGATGGAAATCCTTATATAAATCGTTTTAATAACAAAGAATTTGAAAATATTGAAAAGGATTTTCCTATGAGGATTATGGAGAAAAAAAAAGTCATTATTTCTTTTGTTTTATGATATATTTGACAATAATAGATATGTTGGAAAGGCAGAAAGATTCTTGCACCTTTAACTACAGTTGGTAATGTTCCTTTTAGACGTATTTGTAGTTCTTTTGGTGCAGATGTAACTTTTTCTGAAATGATTGTTTCTCTTCCATTGTTACAGGGCTTAAAATCTGAATGGGCTTTGCCACGTGCACATATTTCAGAACGATCGAATTTAAGGAATGGGAGAAGAGGACTTTTTGGTTTACAAATATGTGGAAGTAAGCTTTGGCAATCTGTTAAAACTGCAGAGGTTTTGGCAGATGTTTGCAATGGAATTGATTTTATCGACTTAAATTGTGGATGTCCAATTGATTTGATTTATAAACAGGTAAATCAATTACTTCTGAAATGTCGATATTAAATATTGAAAGGGTGCTGGTTCTGCTTTATTAGATTCTCAAACAAAGATGATTAAAATGCTTGAAGGCATGGCCTATGTATCTAATTCAATACCAATTACTACAAAAATTCGAATAGGGACAAAAGATAGTAAACCAGTAGCTCTCAAGCTTATTGCGAGACTGAGAAATGAACTTAATTTGAGTGCTGTTATATTGCATGGACGATCCAGACAACAACGTTATACTAAAAAAGCAGACTGGCAATACATTCGCCAATGTGCTTCTATGATAAATGCAATGAGAGATTATGATGCGTATAATGAAGATTCTAAAAAAAATGCAGAGACAGGAGACGTATGTTCTATGGCATTTATTGGGTATTTTGCTGTATTTTTAAATATTAAATTTAACAATTTTAAGTAATGGCGATATATATAGTTGGGAAGATTGGCATGCTGCTATGATGTCTGGCGTAGATACGGCTATGGTGGCTCGAGGTGCCTTAATAAAACCGTATTTTTAATTTAATTCTTTGTTTTATTGATTAATATTTTTAAAGCTGGATATTTGAGGAAATTGATTCCAAACAATACATAGATAAATCCTCAACTGAAAGATTAGATATACTTAAGGATTTTTGTGAATACGGTCTTGATTACTGGGTATTATTAATTCATCTCTGTTTTGTATATTTGTTTTGATAATTCTTTTACATAGGGTTCAGATGAGCTTGGTGTTAATACAACACGGCGTTTTCTATGTGAACTTCTTTCATTTTTTCATCGGTAAAAATTTTATATATATAATAAATTTCTATTTACTAATTTTAATAAAGTTATGTACCAATAACTATGTTAGAAGTGCTTCCTCCAAATATTCAAGATCGACCTCCACTTTGGAAAGGTCGTAATGAAATGGAAACACTTTTAGCTAGTGGAAATTCTAAAGATTGGGTTAAAATAAGGTAATTTTGCTTTTTATTTTTAGTTTATTGATAACAATTGATAGTGAAATGTTTTTAGGTAAAGTAAAAGATAATACTTTTAATTTTATTCCCAAACATAAAAGTAATTCTTATGAAATAGAAACTGAAGGCTAGCTTTAAAATATATAAAAATATTATATATTTAATATTTTAAATATTTCCTGTTTTTTTTCTAAAACAGTATTTTTTAAAAACATTTAATAATATATTTATTTTTCATTTTTTTTACTTTACAATAATTTATATTAAAATAACCATATTAAAATTCCTTATTTATTACTTTAAAATATACTTTCATTCTTTATCTAATTGATTCTTAATTCATTTTTCTTGCTTAATCTTAATATATAATAGATTCTTTCACATTATATTTAATTATTTCTAACTTAATGCAGGATAGCTCGTTTTTCTCGGAGATATCTATAACGATCCATTTTTCCATATTTATTATTTGGTTAGAAACATTTCTATATTTTTATACTTTAATATCAATTAAAAATCCTTGCATTACACATTTTATATATATGTTTTTTTTTTGTATTTTTTCTTTACGTTTATATTTATATATAACTTATTTTATGCTTTCATAATTAAATTTATATTTATTATCTTATTAAAAGATACCAAAACTCATAAAATAAAGATCATTATCTGAAATCTTTATCTTGTTTATGTTTATATATATATATATCTTTTTTTTTTGTAAATATTTATCTTAGTATATGTTTCATCCCTCCTACCATTCATTTTTTAATATTGTTATTTACACTAAGTCCGTGAACCTTAACTATTTTTTATACATTTTATTATGGAAGTTTTCTTTTTGAGTATATAGTTATTTTAATATTATACCATTTTAAGCCATAGACTAACCCTTCCGCTCATATTTTAAATAGGGTTTTTCCGCAGGCTTCACTAAGGGGACCCGTGACGGGTCGAGGCGTTGGGTTAAAAGACCCAGGACAGCATACTCAAAACAGTTGGTGACCTATTTGAACCGGCAGAACAGCTCGGAATAAAGCAGGGGCAGTGGATTGGAGGTGTTGAAGCAGCGCGGCAAAAATTGGTGAGCGCGGATCTGCTCTTGTAAAGGGTATCTCTGTTTTTAATAAAAAAAAAAGCAGCATGCAAAGCCCGGAGATACGACGGGAACGGGTATCAACAGACGGGTCTCATGTGTCATGGAAACATGGAAATTTGCTATCAAACAGTTTACAAGGACAAAGTTTTTTAGGGTCTGGAGGGTAAGATAGAGTTTTATTAGAAAAGGAAATGAATAATGGAGGGTTTTGATAGAAATTCAATGGATACAGATGAGGGGTTAGGGTGTGAAGAATATCTATGCCCAAGACTTGAGATTTCTTTTTGTAAGGATTTTAATTGTTGTGGTGTCGTACTGCGTGATCTTCACGATCTATGTCGGCATTATGAAGAAGCACATGTACGATTAGAAGAAGGGTTATTTGTTTCATCGGGAGTACGGTTTGCAAATTCAGCATTTGCGTGTCGTACAGAATGGGATGGTAAGCCTAGGTTGGATATGTACGAGTCGTTAAATGGGGATATGGATTTGGATCAGGAATTTGCTTTTGATCATCTTTTTCAGTCTTTATCGGATTCTGATAGGCAAGGGCAAAGTTTGGCCCCGTTGTCTGTATCTACTCGGGATTTTTTACTTTCCTCATCGAATATTTCGACCCCATCTTCATCAATGCCCTCAACGCCTACATTTGATTCTTCACAAGAATTTCTTGTATTAGATATGGATGATACAGAGACGGTTGTTTTGAATGGTTCATCTTTGTTGGCGGAAGAATGGGTAAAACAGCAGATGGTAAAGAAACAGTGCCAGCATGGTGTATCTCTTTCGGATACAGAGTCTCGAGGTACAATTGATTCTCCTGGGTCTAATTTCGTTGTTGTTGATAAGCCGTATAAATGTCCCGTAATGGGTTGTGATAAGGCTTATAAAAATCAAAATGGTTTAAAATATCATAAACTTCATGGGCATTGCACTGCATCTGTAATGCTTCAAGATACTACAATTCCTGCTTCGTTTTCAGATGAAATCGTGGCTTCAAGTCCTAAAGGAAATCCTGTTCTTGAAAATAAGCCGTATAAATGTGAATTATGTAATAAAAGATACAAAAATCTTAATGGGTTAAAATATCATAAGGCTCATTCGCATCAGCAAATTAGTATGGCACAAGTTCAGAGAGAGGTTTTAATGCAAGGTTGGTAGTTATGAGGGGTTTTGTTGTAGGTGTGTTTTTTTTGGATTGCATTTTTTCTTTTTGAGTTTTATGTTTGGCGATTGTGTTTTGGGTTTATCCTTAATACGAGGTTTTTAATATATCTCTGTCTGATATATGTCTTGATGGACGGTCCATTGGTTTCAATATAAAGTAGAATCTGGATTTAAAAGGGCTTGATATTAAAAGATTTTATTCATATTTTTATCTTCTATTTTTTTTACAGTTATTTTATTTTTAAAGCCTTTGAGATGACATTATTAGGGTAAATGGGTTTCAAGTGTTAGGGTACATAAGTCGATTCTTAATGTTTTAATTTTTATAAATCGTCAGGTGTAATATTTTTTATATTTATTATACTTGAATCGCATTTTTATTTGGGTTTTTTACCATTTAGTTAATAGATTTAAGTATGATCATAATATATTGTTTTTTTTTACAATTTTTCATTATTTTTCATTTCGCTTTTTGTATATTATTTTCTTAACACTGATATTGGCTTTCTAAATATATATATTGTTTATATATATCTATTATATGTATTATATATTATATATTTTCTCTATATTTTTGCTGTTTTAAATCAATTTCATGACTTTTGACTATTTATATATTATATTTTTTCAACTATTTGTTTATCGCCCCTTGTAATCGATATATATTAGAAAAAAATCAGGTAAAGCGGTTATATATAGCTTTAAATGACAAGTAGATACACATATAGGAAGCTTTAGTTGAATATAACTCTTTTTTGGGGCGGTTTTGAACTGATTATAAGTCTTATTTGAACATAATATTGGATATTTTTTAATTGTTATTTAATATTTTTTTAATATTTCTATTATTGAAGATTATCAAGGAAATTTTATAGACGTGTTACATTTTTGTTGGAGGAGAAAGGTGTTTTTTGAGTTTTGAGTTATATTTTCTAAGAAAATTGGCGAAAATTTTCTTAGAAAACAAACCCTTTTTTGATAAATTAGACTATTAAAAAGGGTTTTTAAAGGACAAAGGATAGAGTCTAATCAGAAAAAATATTAGTTTTTGTTTCTTCAATTAATATTTGATACGTTATTAAACGATTATTATTGAAAATATATATCTTTATATGATACTAAAATGACAGCAGTATTACGACAATCTCCATTACCTCCTCCAAGAACATCATCTCTTCAGAATCAGAAACAAGGGGGAGATTATCTTCATGCATCATCTTCTTTAAATTGCAAAATGAATATGGAATTGCACGAAACTCGTTTTGGAGATTATATTTTAGGTCAGACTCTTGGTGAAGGAGAATTTGGAAAAGTTAAGTTAGGATGGCCAAGACGAGGGTTAATGCAATTGCCGAACGGCCAAGTTCGACCAGATGTACAAGTATTTATTGATTTTTATTTTTTATTTAATTATAATATATTTATATAGGTAGCTATTAAACTTATTCGAAAAGATTCAATTAATGGTTCACGTACACGTCTAAATAAAATCAGGCGTGAGGTTTCCATTCTTCGTTATGTTTGCCATCCAAACATCGTTAAACTTTTTGATGTGATTGAAACAACTCAATATATAGGTATTATATTAGAATACGCTAGTGGTTAGTCTTATTTTTTCGTTAAAACTTTGTTTATTTCTTATTTTAATAAGGTGGTGAGCTTTTCGATTTTATTCTTGTTCATCGTTATCTTAAAGATAACATTGCTTCTAAGCTTTTTGCACAACTTATTAGCGGTGTATCATATCTTCATAAAAAAGGGATAGTACATCGGGATTTAAAGTTGGTTAGTATTTTATTTTGAGTGTATATTTTTGCTAAATATTAAGGAAAATTTATTGCTTGATAGAAATAAAAATATTATTGTTACGGATTTTGGTTTTGCTAATGTTTTTGATGTTGGTGATAATTTGAATATTTTTCATGATATAGATGGCGTTAGTGAAAGATCATTTAAAAGAGGTGATCTTATGCAAACTAGTTGTGGTAGCCCTTGTTATGCTGCACCTGAATTGGTGATTGGTGATGGTTGTTATGTTGGTAGAAAAGTAGATGTTTGGAGTTGTGGTGTTATTTTGGTAATTTTTGCTCTTTATTTTTTTTATATTCTTATATTTTAGTATGCTATGCTTGCTGGATATCTTCCTTTTGATGATGATCCAAATAATCCTGATGGTGATAATATAAATTTATTATATAAATATATTATTAATACGCCTTTGACATTTCCGGAATATGTTTCTGTTCTTGCTCGAGATCTTTTGAAGAGACTTCTTGTTCCGGATCCTAAACGACGTGCTTCATTGCAGGATATTACAACACATCCATGGTTAATTCATCATATAGATTTATTTAATATATCTCTCAATCCAGCAGAAACGTCAACATTTAATGCTTCGAATGAAAAAAGACACGTATCTTCTAATATCATACCACAGTCAAAAGCACCATTTAAGCTTAATCGTGAAAAATATAATGGTCATGTTGATTATTCTTGTACGTGTTCAGGATATCTCTCGAAAGGGCAACAAGCATCATCTGTGTCAAATAATTATAAACGCCATACTGTTCATATAGATTGTGAACCACATGTACAAAATTATAACCATTCTCTTCTGACTAAGGAGATGCCATATTCAAAATATACTTCTGTTAATGATAATTTTAATGATATGATGTCTACTTTGAATATTTCTCTATCTGAAAATGCGTTATCTCATGATACTAATTACAATTCTGCGTCAACTCTTACAACAGTTTCCGAAAGTAATAAAACACCTGCATCTATTAAGGGTCCGACAAAGGTTTCGGCAATTTCACAATTAAATAAATTACCTGCACCACCTAAAAAGCCTCGACCAACAAGTTACCAGTCTCCTGTGGGTATTTTTGAAGGTTCAGGTGCTAATCTTTTTAATTCTTTTAATACAAATACACGAAATAAACAATTTAAACGAAATACTATTTATATACCGACATCTAATTCTACATCTTCAAAACCGGCCTTTTTATGTGAAAAAGGTGATCTATATGTATCACGAGCTCCTCCTTCTTTATTGCCTATACCTGTTGTTTCAAAAAATGCTGAGCTTTCAAGACCTCCTTCTCCTTTAAAATATACTTCAAATGTAACTTTGGGTACTTCAATGGGAATTTTACCAATAGATGATAAATATGTTCCAAAGAAAGTTTCTAATACTCATAAGCGTGGATCAAATAGTATTTCTATTGGAGCAGAACGATTATTTGGAAAGATTTGGAATGGAAATTTGAATCATTCACTTTTTAGTCTATCTACTGATAAAAATTATAAAAATGTTCCATATGTTACTCATATGGATTTATTAACACATAATGAATTGGATTTAGCTAAATTAAATATAAAAAAAACATCTAAGATTTCAAAAACAAAGAAAATATTTACTACTGGTTCAGGTGAAAAGAATAGCACTGCTCGTGTAATGAGTTGGTTTACAAGAAAACGGAAAAATAAGGATGTTTTATAATTGAGCGATTTGATTGATTGTTTTACTATACTTCGCTGTAAAAAGGAATAACTACAAATGTTATAAAGGGAATGGTGATATGGATGTGTTTATGGTGTCTTTAGTAGATAATTTTGAGTGCTATTTTTTGTTTGCAGCTTTGTAATATATTAAACACAGATTATTAGAATACCTTTGTCATTTTAATTAACTTTATTGACTATGAATGTATTTAAAAAAAAAATCGATTATTTAAAAATAAGTAAATAGTCCATGTTTTTTGTATATAATAAACGATTTGGACTTTGTTGGTTTATTTTAGAAAACATTAAAAAATAATATATGTAAACAATGGATTTTATTTTGAAATTTCATTTTTATTTTTCTTAGAAAAGTGGATAAATATCAATGTTTTTGCGGAGTTTTGAATAGAAAGTTCAAATGAATTTAAGAGCTGAAAAGGTATTAAAATTTCTTGAAAGCAAATTTTTATATGTTCATTTAAACTGGGTTGAGGAAACGTTACATCAAATAGATGTTTCTTTAAATGACAAACAATTGGAACAACAAATAATACAGTATTTATTGAATTCTGATATTAAAAAGTCCTTAACTTTCCAATCATGCTTACCTGCTGATATTTTTGATAAACATAATCAAGTTTTGCCTGGTCCATATTGTTTACAAATTATACATGTTCAAGATATTGGAATTAGTATATTTAATCAATTAGAATATCTAGAACAGTTTGATGAATCTGGAACTATTAAATCATATAATGTTATATGGAATAATTTATCTGATATTGATGACGATGAAATACTAGATACTGATAAACCTGCATCAAAAAAATTTTGTAAATTACTACTCGAAGATTCATCTGGCTTATGTGTATGGGCAATTGAACATAAGCCAATTAAACATATTCATATAGGAATAAATCTTGGAACTAAGGTAAATATTTATCTTGATATTTTTCTTGAATATACATATAGATATAGATATTATTGAAAAATATTCTTGTTCTTAGAGGTGTTCTTATATTAAACCCTTCAAATATTACATTTTTGGGTGGGCAAATATTTGAACTTAATAAAAATTATTTCCCATCCGGACTTAAAAATCAATTAAAATCTGCTCTTTATAATATGAATATTTGATTAAATCATTTGATACTTTATTTTTAAAAAATATTAATAATATACTTGTATTTAATAATTAATTTAATCAAACTAATCTGACTAAGATATTTATTTTATCTATTTATATTTACTTTTATTTACATCTATTTATATATTGATGATAATATTAATATTTTTCTTAATTTTTACCTTTTTTTTAATTTATTATATTTATTTTTATACCTTAATTCATCTTATTAATTTTAAACCTTTCTTCTGCTTACCCTAAACCTAAATTAGCTTTAATACATTTAGCATTTCATTAGGTCTAAACCCTGTCTAATGTAGTTAAATCTTAAAAAATTAAGCTTAAAGCTAAAATACTCTTATTTAACCTTAATTAGTATAAAATTGAGTAAACTATTTAAGTATTTATTTTAAATTGGTTTTAATTGTTAGCTCCTGATATTTGTCTTATTTTTTGTTAGTAAAAGTCTACTTAAATTATCGTAAAAAAAAGAGAGTATATAACTAATATTTTTAATAACCTTATGAGAAAGTGCTAGTAAAAATAGCCAGGATCATAGATAAACTTATTTTTATGCCCATTAAAGTCGTAATAAAGTCTATGATTTGGATTGTATGCGTAATAAAATATGCATATATAATCTAATTAATGAAGATTTGGTTTTTTGTTAAAGAAATATATGTATATGCATTCTTAAATGTGCTTTTTCCTATATTTTTATAATATTTTTATTATAGATTTTTGACTTAAGGGATTTGCTGCTAAACGAATATAGTTTGCCCCTAAATTTAGTTGAGTTTGGATTTGTCACTCTTGCACTTATTTCAAGTAATTAAATAGCATATTATCTTATGCAAAGACTAGTTTCCTTGTTTTTGAAACAGGGCGTACTTTCTGTCTATAATTAGGGGGAGGAGATGCAAAATGAGAGGATTTAGGGGGAGTAGAACCCCTTAAGATCTCTTATCTCGAAACGAAATCTTATATTGTTATTGGATTTCATAATAATTTGATATTATTAATGTCAATGTCTCAAGAATCTAAGATTGGGCTCGTTCTTGATAATCGTTTTGAAATTACGGGTATTATTGGTGTTGGTACATATGGAATAGTTTATATAGCAATGGATATTTTTACATGTGTTTCATATGCAATTAAATCTATTTTGAAAATGGGACATGATTTTCGTCAACAGAAATTTCAAGCACGTGAAATTGCATTGCATTCAAAAGTCCACTCTCATCCCCATATTGTGTCTATAATTGAAATCCTGGATGCACCTGATTGTGTATATATTGTAATGGAATATTGTTCAGAAGGAGATCTTTTTACAGCAATTACAGAAAAGAATGGATATGTTGGGAATGATGCCTTAATTAGGCAAGTTTTTCTGCAATTGTTGAGTGCAGTTGAATATTGTCATTCATCAGGAATTTATCATCGTGATTTGAAACCAGAAAATATTCTTGTTACTCAGTCTGGGAAATTTTTGAAGTTAGCAGATTTCGGTCTTGCTACTACAGAAGTATTTACGTCTGAGTTTGGTTGTGGTTCGCCATTTTACATGTCACCTGGTATGATTTTTGCTGGTATTTTTTTTTAATTAATTCTTTCTGTATAGAATGCTTACAAGCAACGACAAATTTCTCGCATTATGGATCTGCGCCCAATGATGTTTGGTCATTGGGTGTTATATTAGTGAATCTGACATGTGGACGTAATCCTTGGAAACGTGCGTCTAGTGCGCTTGATGAAACATTCCGTGCTTTTCTTCAGAATCCTGCATTTCTTCGTTCTATTTTACCTCTTTCGTCTGAATTGTATTCGATTCTTCAGCGTGTTTTTGATCCAAACCCGACTACTAGGATTACTCTTCCAGAATTACGTATTTCTATCATTAATTGTTCAAAGTTTACTGTTTCTTTTGAAAGTTACAGGAATGCTGTTGGTTTCTTGAGAAATGATCTTTCGTTCTTCAATAATACTTTAGATGATAAAGTTTCTATTTCTCGGCTTTTGACTCCACCTTCTTTTTCTTTCAAAGAAAGTCCATTAACACCATCTACATCAAAAACAAAAAATATGCTGCCGGGGCAGTTCAATCTTCCTATAACACCAATTTCGCCTAAACGATTTTGACAACGGTGTATCTCTTGTTTTTTATTCATATTTGGGTTGTAGGGTTTTTTGCATTTAGGTTTAAATTTTAGGAATAATAGTTTCTTTGGTGTTTGCTTAAGCACTAGTATTTAGATATTCTGGAAATATATCGTTATCGGTTCTCGTCATTGATGCTTTATTATATAATTGTTTTTTTCATATTTTATCGCTACATATATCTGATTATTTTGTTGAATTATTGATTTATATCATCATGGTTGTATTTAAAATATTTCACTTTATCATACGTTTTAGTATTTAAACGGTTGTAAGTTATGTTTGGAGTATCTTTGTGCACAACTGTTTTCATTTTAATTGGATTTTAAATTGTTTCTTGGATGACCAGTTGATAAAATATGAGCAACATATAGTTTTATTATTATTAGTATATATTATTACCTATTTTTTAGCTATATTTCATTTAGGATAATTTAGTTTCGTATTTTTAATCTATTTGATGCTGCTTTTTAGGTTTTATAAAAACATCATTTTGAAATATAGAATATTTCTTACAAATGAGATCTCTGGGATTAATTCTCTGTACAACAAAATGCACGTACTCGGGATCGAACCGAGGGCCTCTCGCGTGTAAAGCGAATATGATAACCACTACATCATACGTGCTAGGTGCTATTCTCTGCTTTATGATATTTAAATAATATAAATAAAAATATATTTTATTGAAAAATGCTTATACTTCTTTCATTAATATATCATTTACTTATAAATCTTTGATTAAATCCATAATAAGGAAAATTTTTAAGCTATTATGAAAAGATTTTCATTTATAAGATTAAATAATATTTTTAAATGAGTTTGCGCATTGTGATTTGATAATGAAAATAAATAAGTTTATTTCAAATCAATCTATATCTTATTCTAACTATTTTAAATGATATAATCTTTAAAAAATAATTTGATACAACCTTGTGTAAAAAATAAATTTAAATCTTATCGAATGAATGATCATTTATTTTCATTTTTAATGAATTTTGAAAAAATTACCAAGGATAGTGCCTGAAGCGCTAGAAAATGTGTATATTCCATGATCTATTATTTTTATCCAGTAATTCTTTCTAACTATTAAACTTATCTATAAAGTTTAGTATAAATATATTCCTAAAACATCTCAATGATCTATTTCTATGACAAAAGGTACGTCTATAGACTATAAATTGTTCCATCTAATAGATACATTAAAAAAAATTATGACTGATTTTATTCTTGAACATTTTTATTCTTAAAACTTCTCATTGAATGATGATCGCATTCTTTCTTACGAAAAGATGTGTTTGACTTATTAAACGATTCTGTGTTGCTTTTCTGCTCTTTTTGTGTAGATTGTATTGTATAATTATGATATTTTTTGGTATTTTTTTTAGGTTCATTTTCGCTTTTATTTGTAGAATTAGCTCTGGTGTCATTTTTTTTTGAAATTTGTGAAGAATCATACGTTTTTTCTTTGTTAGATATATCTGAATTAGAATGTTTTTCTCGATTAGATGGTTTAAGAATTTTAATAGTATTCATAGTAACTGACGATTCTTTTTTTATTGTATTTTTATGAGTTCTTTTATGAGGGCTAGAATGTTTTGGAAAGAGCTCTTCTGGACGCATAGAACTTTCTTTTCTTGCATCCGAATTATTTGGTTCTTTTTGAAATTTGCTCTTGTTCTTGTTATATTTTTTCATAGAACCAAATCCCCCATGTAACTTAATTTGTGCTGTTATTGAGTCGGCTTTCATCTGTGCTGATGCCTTTTTTTCCAATATATATTTTTTCTGTTGTTTCGATTTTAAAGCTGCTGCCTTTTTTTGTATTCTTAAATGTACAATTAATGGTGTAATTGCATTAATAGGCACTGTGTCATCTAGATTTATGATTTTAGCTCATTTTATACATTAAAATCTTTCAAACCATCCTCTTGCTTTCCCTGTTCTTGTCCTTGTAAATCTTTATTTGGATTTTTTAATGTTTCTTGAAATGTTATAAATTCTGGGTCTAAAAAAAACATCCATAAATAAAAAATGTCTGTTTAATATAAATCCTGAATACCTTCATCAATCGTTCCTTGTCGAATATCGTGTTTCTGTTTTTCTACCCGAGGAATCTTTTGAAAAGGTGCAAATTCAACAAATACTCTCTGTTCTTTATCTAATCATAATTAACTAAATAATAGTGACCAAGTAAGCCTATGACTCTTTTCGTCTGTAAACAAGTGTTTATTAATGCCCTTATAAAAGGTAATCAATGCCTCTGGCGATTTAAACTTGATATACGCTCTTCCATGTCTATCATTTTTACTGCGACTTAAAAACTTAATAAATTCCTAGAAACTTATAGAAATAATACTTTGTTGATATTTTTCCTGGGAAAAATGAGAACCATTCAATCTCTTCAGAAATCCATTCTTTTACTGAATTTTTAAATTCTTGCTCAGAAAGATTACAAGGCAAATATCGAACTACTACCTTCAGTCGAGTTGACTGTTGTGGATGTCTTGGATGAATGTTTTCCCTGTTATTAGCTGTTTTTTTCTCCATTAAATACCATATTTTCGGTTTTTAAAATCATGGTAAAAGTATCGATATCAATATTATGGGGAGTAAAAATATAGTATATTAAGAGATAATAAAAATTTATAATTTATTTAAAAACATGGAACGAAAATCATCATTATTATATGTTGATAATGACTGAATATAGGATGAATCATTGTTTTGAGTAGATATTTTGAGTCGTTTTTTAGGTAAAGATATGGGATTTTCATTAATAGAAAGTCTTTGTCGTCTAGGTTTTGGATCAGTAATTTTTGGAAGAACAAGATCTGGATTTTGTAGTGAAATTCTTAATGTAAAAAAGTTAGAATAGTTTAAAAAAAAATTAAGAAATTACTTTTTAGGGTTATGTTGAAGTAAAGTTTCAACAGTAACAATACGTATTTTTCTATCAGAAAAAACATATCCATCTAATGCCATAGCGGCTCTTCCTGCATCCTAGAAAAAAGTAAATTTATGTATAATTATAATAATTGTTTGGTTTTTTACAGATGCATGTTTATATTGAACGATAGCACCTTGATGGTCAGGTCTTAGTTCAATTTTATTAATGCTTCCATAAGTTTTAAAGACATCTTCTATTCTAGTTTGATTAACAGTATCTGGAAGATATAAGATGCCGAGCGATTTGTCTTTGATTTCATGAAAAGATAAGGCAGGTTTAGTTTTTTCTTCTGAAACAGTACTTTCGTGTAAAGATATATCTTCTTCATTTTTTCTGTTTTTTTTTAAATGATCCTTATTTTTTACTCCTACAAATTTTACAGATATAGGCTTTGAATGTAATTCTTGCTTATCGGCATCTAATGCAGAGTATGCTTGTTCTGCTGTAGCATAAACTATATAGCAAAAACCTTTATGGTATTCTGAATTTCTATCATAAATGAGCCGTATACGTTCTATAGTTCCATATTTAGAGAATAAATTTATTAAGTTATCTTCAGTTGATTCTGGAGAAATATTAGAAACAATAATTTTTCTTCCTTCTGAACTATTTTTTTTAATAGATAAAAAATAGCATGGAATTATTTTTACGTTGCTTCTTTTCTATTTTCTTTTTTTGATGAATCTGATATACTAACTACAAGCTTATATTTTTTTTCAAAAGTTTGCCCATGTAAAGAAAGAGAAGCTAATGCTTGTTCCTAAAAATTGTATTTAAGATTTAAATAAGCATAAATGTTTATGTATAGATACCGGATATTTCATTTGAACATAACAAAATCTTCTACGTGAATTATAACGTAAACTTGGAAATCGAACTTCAACTACATCTCCATACTATAAATGTATGAGTTGATTTTTAAAAAAAAGGCATATTTAATTTAAGAGAACCTCTTGAAAAAGTTGATAAATAAATTTTTCATCTGCTGAGGGTGGAAAATTTGTTACCCATAATGTTGTTTCAGTAGCAAGTTCAACTAGAATTTCTTTTTGATTCAATTTCTTGTAATTCTTCGTTAGAGCACATTTAGTATCTTCCTTAAAAAAGAAATTAATAAATAATTAAGTATATGGGAGGACAACTAGAGTAGCAAATTCTACAAATGCTGTTGATGAATCTTTTGATGATTCCTCCATAATTTTCGTATCTATAATATCACCACACTATATTAATTAAAATAATTTTTACAACATATTTTAATAATTTTACTCCACAAAAAAAGTGATGTAACTGCTCAACAGAAACTGGTTTTGGCAATCCTGTTACTCTAACAGTAGTATTTTCTCTGTTTCTATCAAATAATTAACACTAATAACATAATAAATATATTATTACCGTTTAATTTTATTTTCAATTTTTGTTTTTTTTTGATTATTAATATTATCATCTGTTGGTATCTCTTCAAGTTTTTCTTTTGATTCCTCAAATAATTGGTTATTTTTGTTTTGAATATTTATTTCCTTTTAAAAAAATGTTATTTATTACTATATTATAGCTTAAATATACCTTTTCTTTTATTTTCCGTATATTTCTGGTACCTTTATGTATAATTGTCTCCGCTTTTTCTAATGATTCTAATGTTCCTTCTTCTATAACAAAATCTCTATATATATCGAAAATCAATTCGGGGAAATCTAGATGTTTTAAACTAGCATTTTTCAAAATATTCATGGCAATATTTATTTCTCCATAATGTCTAATCTATTGAATGCTTTATAGAAAAAGGCTATAAATTACCTTTCCCATATAAAATATTGTAGCCAATATTTAGTTTCTGTATTATGATTTTTTAATATATTTTTCCAAATTTTACGTGCTTCATTCATATTTCCTAATTTCGTATTTATAGAAATTAGCATTTTTTCGAGTCTTTTTTGTCTATCAGATGTTTTAAATACTATGGAATTATAAATTTAAATGATTTATTATTTCAATTTATACCATTTTTAAGTAGTTTGATTGACGTTTGCAACTCTTTTATAACGTATTGGACTTTTTCATCATTATTATCCCATACTATAACCCTACGTTTACAATATCCACACCATGCTTCTAAAACTTTTACAAATTCTTCTACATCATGAAAAAGTGTTCCTAATTCGATTGAACGATTTTTAAGTGAGCATATTTCACTTAAAGAAGAGTTATTATGTTCAAGTACATATATATAATGTGCCCAAAGCATCCCACTCCATGGATAGTTTTTAACAGATCTTTGCAAAAAAAAATCATTTATTTTATTGATAGATGATTTTTCAAACTATTTATATTAGTATTGTAAAAAAAAAAAAGAAAATACCATAAATTGAGTGTAATCTTCCCATATGTCTGCTGATAGAGGATAACTCTTAAGAAATCGTTCAAATAATGTACATATTAACCCTATTTCTTGAGGTTTTTGATGTAATTCCCATTCTAAATATTTAACATATTGATCGTAAGCATAGTTATATTTTGATAATTCCATCTCATGAAAATCCCTTTCTTGATATTTAACTAAAGCAGGACTATATATTTTATTAGTTGAAACCATAATTTCTTCATAATTTGTATTATCATAATTAGTTATAAAGCTAGAAAAATCAGAGAAGCATGTTTCCATTCCTAAATATTAATTATATACTTCATTATGAAATTTTAGAATACCAAAATGAGGAATTTTTAATCTTTCTATATAAATTTGTTTTACATCTTGAATATTTTCGAGACTAATCATCAGCATATAAATTAATAAATAAATGAATAATACCTTGGATTTTCTTTTAACATCTGAACTTTGTAATCACGATAAATAGACCATATTTCATTGCTCTAAGATAATCCATATTATATATGAGTAATTATTTATATGTTACCTGTAAAATATGGTATTTAGTAGCAGAATATGCTTGAAGATAAATGTTTTCAAGAAAATTTTGATTGAATAATTCTTTTAGATCTGATTTTTCATTGCTAGATGCCATTTCTACCTGAGTTCTGACATAAGTAATATATTTTTTCCATAAATTGATAGCTAATATGATGTTAATTTTCTTGAAAATATATTGCAGTTGAATTACAAAGATAGTCTTCAACTGATTTCGAATATAGTTCCAGAAGGGAGATTTTATCATCGGATGTTAATGCTAATTCTTCTTGATCATCTAACCATTCTATCCACATTTCTAATAAAGTTATTTAAAAGCCATTTTTTTTTTAAAATAATACCTTCTGTTAGTGGAAAATAAACTTGCATAGCCTCCCGTGCACTTCTCAATTCATCTGTCATTTTATGTTTTTTAAGTAAATTGATATATTTAATATGTGAATCATAATCAAATGGTTGTTTCATAAGTTTATCTAATAAAGTGTTGATTTCTTCTAAATCTTTTGAAATATCAAAATCATTATCAACAGACATCTCTTCATCTTTGATGAAGTTCTCTTCACTATTTATATTCATTTTTGTATCAAAAATTTAAGGCTAAGGAACATAACGAAGACGTTTACAATCGAACAAAAATTTAATTGCGATAATGAAAAATGTGACAAACTTATAAATACATGAAATAGTACTATTTATGTACCATACCTCAAACTCTAATCCAATTCTTTTAATTTACAGAAAAAATATCCGATTAATGTTAAAATTTTCTAGTGCCGAGATTCTAGATTAATACATATTCAAAAGTTAAGCTCTATTCACGTTTTAAATCCCCGGTAACAAATCTTAGATATGGAGGAACTTCAAGTTGATTTTTAAGGAAAAAAAGTTTTAGATTTCTGCATAGATTACGATTTTGAATTAATAATGTATAAGTTTTTTTACCTAGCTTTGTCTTTTAGCTGTACTTGATTTCTATCCTTCAATGCTTCACTAATTGTACCACCTGCACCATAAAGAGTAAGAATCTGACTCCAATGAGGACCTTTGACTTGATCAAGACCAGCAAATAGTGCCTGCTCTTCTTCTTTTGTCCATGGACGTCTTTGCGCTGGTTTTCCTCTACGAGAAGGAGATGGGCGAGCAGCTTGACGTGCTTGCTCATAGAGCTGTTGTGTAGAAAGTGCATGTTCGGTAGTAGGTGAAAGATTAAGATGAAGGTTAGAATCTAATAATATAAATTGTATTCCTAACATATATTTTGGATATTAACCTGTAAACAAGTTGGCATCGACCCCATTAAGAGCCATTGCAGTTGCTTCATCAGTATCATCATGCAAATCTTGTATATGTCCTATTTGTTGCATTTGAGCAATATGTTGAATATGGGTCATATGATTTGATTTGTTACTTCCTGGATCTTGATTTTGGCGATATAGAGCTACTTGAAGAACAGATTCTGATGGGTGTCCTTGAGAAGAGGCCTGTATTTTGGAAGAAATGCGGCGATGACGACGAATCTAAAGATAAAGTTAAAGATTTAAATCGAAAAAAATAATTTTAGCATACAGGCTGAGAAACAATTGACTCGTAATTTCGTGTAATATATTCGGAAACATCACGAAGAAAAATCTGCCAAACATATTTTTCGCTTAAATTCTCATTAACGGGAAATTTAGCGAGCTAAAAAAGAATATAAGTAGCATATCTTCAGAATAAAAATATTACATGATTTTTACGTGATTTGCAACGAGCTACAAAATCACTTTCATTAGGAGTAAGATTTTTCGCTCCATTTCTTCTCCGAAGAAGAATTTGGTCCATATTTGGAGGAAAAAGATCGTCTAGAATCTCTTCTTTCGGTTTCTCGCCTTGATCTATGGCACTAATATAGGCTTGTGTTTTTAAATTTAAAAAAAGTGCACTTTGTGACTTAAGAAGTCGTGCTCCATCAGGCACAAATGTGTCAAGAAAATGTTCATTTAAATGAAAGAAACCGACTTCAACCGAGCCAAAAACTGATGATACAAATGTCGCAAGGTTTACTTTCCTAATGGTTGCACGATGTTGTGGTGCACGCAAATCAAGTAAATCTGGGTTAAGAAAGGCCTCTGTTGAATATAATTTCTTGACTTCTATCGAAAAAATAATTAGACGTATATAATTTAAAAAAATGTATAATTTACGATTAAAAAGTGATGTTAACGTACGATATGCTTGACCTTTCGCTGTATCCGGCCGAGTCACTATATTTAATGTTTCCTGATGAGGCCCTTTACCAAGAATTGAAAGAATTTGAGAAGACTAATACGTAAAATAGTCTTCTATAAAAATTAACTTCTACTTACAAGATTATCTAAAATCGGCAATGATTGTATACATAAATTTTGATTCGGATCCATAATTTGTTGTGGTGCTTCTTCATGTAAAAATGCATGTGGATCTTGTCCTACCGTAGGCAAATGTTCTAGCATCGATAAATCCGGATGAAATTCCGATGCTAATTCTTGTTGAATATCTTCTAATCGTGCATGCGACTCCTCATGTGTTGTATTCAAATTCTGTGTAAACGTTTCATGATTAAGTACATTTAATTCTCTTTTTAATTTTGTTTTCTTTCGAAATGCTTCTGAATAATCTTCATCTACTCCCGACATTTCATGATTTTCATCCACATAATTTTCTGATCGCTTTTTTTCTGTTATTTGCCCTTCCATAAACCCGTTTATTGATGCATTACACCGTGTATGATTTGTACTCCCTAAAACTTAGTCAGTTTTATCTCATCTTTTCATCTATATATATTTGTTTGCAAGAAAAAAAACATTTATTCCCTCCTTTTTTCTTTCAAGTTGCCACCTTCTTTTAACCTTTTCATTTCATTAATACTCTTTTTTAAACTTTAACGTTTCTTGCCCTCATTTTCTTGCCCTCTCGTTAAACTTACCCATCCCCTTATATATGTACCTGGTTAACCGTTCATTCAAACCCAATATGGTTTGTTACCCTAAAGATTTTTGCGTGGGTTGAAAAAGAAAAATAATATCACACGGGTTTCGAAGAAAAAAAAAAGTCATGTGACTTATGAAAAATAAGATAACTCAAGAGATAAATATATAAGTATTGTATAATTTTTTGATAATATTAAGTTTATATGATTTAGAATATGATGTATATATGTTATTTATTAATTTAAGAATAATCTTTGAATGGTATATTTTGTTGTTTAGGGTTAAGTCCTGTCAATTATAATGTGTGAAAAGGGTACTATAACAGGAAAGTTAATTACTTAACTAAGTAATTAATTTTCCTGTTATATACATTATTATTATGTATTTCAAGATTTTAACCCTACCCTTTTCTTATGTTGATAGATGAAGTCAAACGGACACCTAGCTTAAAGAAGATTCGGGTAAAAAAAATTTCAGGCATTATGATTCAAACTACACCTGAAGGTAATTTTGTTTTTAAATATAATATTTAAGAGATGGTAATTGTTATTAGTGAAATGGGCGCAACGTTCATCATCATCGGATCCAGAAAAAAATGTTTTATATTTAACATTAGTAGTGCCAGATGTTTCTGATCCAGTAGTTAATATAACAGAAACTACGTTGACACTTGATGCATTGACTAAAGATGGCAGCATTAAATATTGTTTGACATTATATTTTTATAAGGATGTAGAGCCAGAGGTTGGTTAGAGAGATATTTAAAACGTTATGAAGGGAGTCTAGGCTGACGTTAAGATGTATTGTATAGAATTATAAGTTATATCGTACAGATCGTTGTTTAGCTCTTACAATTCGTAAGAAAGAGGCAGATGAGAAGTATTGGCCTCGATTGATTCAATCGTCGGACAAATTTGGATATATTCGTACTGATTTTGACAAGGTTAAAAATTGTTCAAGAAATAATGTACTTTAAAAGTAATGATTAAATAGTGGGTGGATGAGGATGAGCAGAATGCACGTCCTGGTGATGATTTTTCGTCTCAATTTGGGGGAATGGGTGATTTTGATTTTAACAAGTTTTCAGATGGAATTGGTTCTGAAAATATGCCAAAATTAGATGATATCGATTCAGATGATGATAGCGATATTGAAGAGGATTCTATTAAAGATGATTCGAATGAGGATGTAGTATCTATGGATAAAGATTAAGTTTATTTATTGATAAATACTTTGAATTTATTATAGATAATATAAAGTTTTTTTTTTTCGATTGTAACTCCCCGTTTTTAGTCTATATATATTGCCTATATTTATGACAAATAAATCAAGACATGTTGTAGAGTCTGTTGATGATGAAAAAGCATTGCAGATTCAAGGTATTTTTTGTTTTAATAAGTTTATTTTTATATTTTGAAATAGCATTGCAGTCGGCAGTTTGGTATACGACAGGACATATTACGGATTCTGAATCACTTGAATTAGGTGTTATTCCCTCTTCTCATTTTATAGCCTCTTTGTCTACACTTGTATATTCTCAAATTAATACATTGGGTGAGGATATTGAGTCATTTGCTAAGCATCGTGGAGGAAAAGTAGTAAATGTAGATGATGTTCTTGTATGTTTTTTTCTTTATTATTAGCTATATAAACTGACTAAGTAAGCTTTGCACAAGGAGAAATGAAGGCCTCGTATGTTTATTATAGATTATAGTGTTTTTATTAAGGCTTAATGAGTTTAGCATGATTTAATGGTTAAATATGCTAAACAACATACAACGGCATCTACTTCTGAGCCCAAGCTTAAAAGGAAACAAAAAGAAAACATAAGGGAAGCGGTAAAGCAGAATGTCAAATCCCCGACCTCCCATATATAAATTATACAATTTATTAGAAACACTTTAATATATTTTAAAATATATAAACGCCGAAATTAACAAGTTGCTATTTAAATTGTGTTCAATAAATAACAAATATTTCTATAATTCTTATTTTTGAAATTTAGAAAGAAAAAAAAATACAAATATATTCTGGAGTTAGCTCATATATATAATTAGTTTATATCTAAGTAATAATTTCTTGGTTAGCACTCCCAAAATAATCTAATAAACGTATAAGATATGATTATAACCAAATAACACTTTTATTCACCAATCATTTCTGCATCTAATTCTTCTAGAGTTTTCTTAGGTCTGGGAACTCTCTTAAAACGACCCGTCCCTTTTCCCGGCTTTTTAAGTCTTCGTCCTCTGAGGAATTAGATTAAGAATAAATTAAATATAAGGTATGTACCGAGATATTCCTGGTCCAATGCGTTGCGAAAGAGAAGAACTGGCCATGGATTTACCAGGGTCAAGGACGATTTCAATCTAAAAAAGTTATATATGAAATAGGAAAAGAAGAAAATAAAAACCTTCATTCTTCGTATACCGTCGATTAATCTTCCTTCATATAGTTCATACGCTCGACTAGCATCTGCTTTTCTTTGAAAAATTACAGTAGCAATGCCTTTCGATTGGCCATTCGGCCCATAACTTAGGAAACATCTACGCGTGGGTCCAATAGATTTAGAAAAAAGATCCTTTGAAGCACGAGATAGTGGTTGGTAAATGAATATCAAGGAATATGAAAGGAAAAAAGCGTTGAACAGAGAAACGCTACGACGTCCAAAGGAGGGCGATAGTCCCGCTTCTTCTAGAGTCTTTGCTTTGATGATTTCATACCTTAATTTGCGCTTCAGTTACATCAGACGGCTAAACCCTTGTTAATACCACTTTTTAAGACTTACAATCCTAAAAAAACTCACCAAATTGCTAACAATAATCTTGCTTCCCTCCTCCATCACTGCCTGTATTGCCGCTGCAGCTGTTGTTGCGCTTACAATTTGTGTAATTTTTCTAGTTCCTAAACGAGTTCTAATTCTACGCATACGTTTCGGGATTCTTCGTATACGCCCCGAAGGCCTTGAAGCAATAATTTCTGCATTCTTATCAGTGCTTCTTTTTTTGCCTTTATAGTCTATTTAACATACCGTCTAAAGATTTATCTAATGGTGTCATTTGTATCAAAGTTTATTAAGAACTATTGATATTGCCACATATATTGATCAAAATCTATCTTTTTGTGCAAGTTTATATGCGGCTAAAACCCGGATATTTTAGTCGTATATACTATTATTTTCCTTTTTAATTTCGTGTCACTCCTCGTATGATGAGATCTAAAAGAATCGTAATTGTGACTGTCCTATCCCTTTATATATCTTTTTTTCATTCACGTGAAAAAGTAATTTATCTATACCGGACTTGGCCATTAAGCTCGACTTATATAGTAATTATAAGAATTATATATAAAAATAAAGAATAAATTTATTTTTTATTTTAAATTAAATAGATATGGTATTTTTTCTTATTATATATAGAAAAGCATATATGTTATATATTTTATTAATTTATTTGTCACGTGACTTTAAGCAGAGTGATATTTTTATATGATAAAGAGAGATTGGTTAAATATTTATAACTAACATTTATTTTTATGAGTAATATCTTGTTTATTTGAATTGTTATATATTATATGAGAATTTTTTAAAATCTTAGTAATTATCCGATATTTAGGGTTTAACTTTTTAATTTACCAGTGCGTATCATTTATCAAATTTATTTAGGTATATATGAGAATTTGTATTTCTTTGTTTGAGCGCTTAAAGGTTTTTAAGATGCTGATGAAAGTTTTTAATTTTTCATATATGTTTATTTTCCTTGGATTTATATGAATTGGCAAATAGATTATAATTTAAAAGGTAGATTATGTATTCCGTTATTGGTAAACATTTTTATTAATAAATACTATAGATTTGTTGCGTATAGTAACAATTGTTTGTGGGTATCTTTTGATTAGAGTATATCTTCAAAAATGGATTAAAAGTAAACAAGCTAGAGATTATGAAACTAAAGACAATGATAAAAGTTTAGAGAAAGCTACACTTCATTTAAATACAGTAATTGAGAATGATTTGGAGGAGGAAACACTTGTATGGGGAGCTGTGCGTCGAAAAGAACAAAAAATGAAATTGGTTGAATGATAGAATATATTAAAAGATATATGATGTAACGATATATATTGTATAATTAGCGTATTACTTTATAGTTATTGTCGTAAAGAATGTACATATTTATATTAAGGTTTATGATGATTTTTGTTAATTTTTTTATTAGTTTCTAAGTACTTCTAAACGATGGCGCATGTATTCTAATGATTCGTCTTGTTCTGGTTCTTCAACTATATCTATTTGAGTTTTTAATTTTGGTTCGGTTGATCCTAGTAGTCCATTTGTAATTTCAAATAATATTTTATCAATTTCTTCTGTTTCAACAAGATCTTCATCGATTTCTTCCATGTCTAATGTTTCTGATGTTATTTCCTCAAAAATTCCTGCCTAAAGAGCTTTTAATGCTAAATTCTTTTAAAATATGTTACTTTATATACTTTCATCATTTCCTTGCTGATAGCCGCCATAGTTGCACTGAGTTCAGGTAAACGTATTAATGTATTAACATCTCTCATCATGATTGTGCTTTTTTCTAATATTCCTGTGATTTTAAGTGTTGCTAATTGTTCATCAAGTTGCATGCTTAAACTATTAAGGAGAGCTTTGCTACGTTCAAGTCGAGTACGTTGTTTTTTAGCACGGATAAGTTCTTTTGTTAATAATCGACAAGATGTTTGTGCTATAGGTGATATTTGACGAGCATATTGTTTAATAGATTGTTGAGTTTTATTTTCTTCAGTAAATAATTGAGAAAGTTGTCGGTCAATTGAACGGCATTCTGATCTAAGTTTTCTTTGCCATTCTCGTACCTGAAAATGGCTTTAGTGATAGGTGTCAAAAAATGTGTTATCTGTATGTATTTATTAACTAACTTTTTCTTGTAATGTTTTTCCTATAAAAAAACGGCGAAGAGCTTCCATAAAATGGAAGAAACTGTCAGGAAAGAGCTTAACTTATAATATAGAGCTAAAGATAAAAATATCGTAAAGACTAATATATTTAGATTTAGATTGTTTTTGTAGAGTATTTTCTTTAAAAAAAACTAAAAATGATAAATGAATAAATGATCCAATTTTTTCTATTTTTGATATCTTATTAAAGTACAAAAAAAATATTTACATAAAAAACATTTGTAGAAAAATTCTAAATACTTCTGAAATTCATGATAAATTTTTTTATGATTGATATATGTATATAAGACATTTAAGATATATGATATATTTTAATAAATATTTTTTAATATTTTTAATCTTGTTTATTTGGAACATCATTTACTGTAATAAAATGATAGATAAAGATTAAAAATATAGCTAAAATTCCAGCTGCAACAGAAAGCGAATAAAGCTGATTATCATTTATCATCCTTTTTGTGTTGATTAGTATAAATTAATGGTTATATAATGTAATATAAACCTTTAAATGATTTTTTTAAAAAAAGAATGAAACGATTAATTTCAATACTATAGATTTAAATTGAATATCTATGAATATATTGTATATATGATAAATGGTATTTTTGATTATTAATATCAATTTTTTGTAGTTTTTTGTTTTGTTCTCAAAATTTTAAAAATAGTTAAAGGTAGGTTATATATAAGAAATTTTTAAAATAGTTGAAAAAATGATAAAATAATTAGAAAAATATATATAAAGTTTTTGATTTTGATTGAAATATTTTTTGTATATATAGAATATTTTATTTGAAATTTTTATGTGATAAATTTTATTTTAATAAAATATTAAGTTTATATTTTAATGGAAATATTTGTTTGTACTTTATTTTCTACATGAAATTTCAAATGTTTAGAAAAATCTACTTTGTTTAGATTTTTATAAATTATTGAGAATATATTTTTTTCAATTTATATTGATATATCTTTTTATCTAATATTTAATGAGCTGAATGCATTAATGAGATTATTTTATAATGATAAAATTCCAAAAGTATAAAAAAAGCTTGAATAAGATTTAAGTTTTTTGATCTAAAATTTTGATTAGATTATTTTTTGAATTGTTATTTAATTATAGATAATAAAATTCTTATAACATGTAATACATTTATTTTTAACTTATTAAAAAACTTTAAGATTTACAAAACATAGTTTTAAAATAAGAATAAATTTTAATAATAAAATTTATGCTTTTTGTATTAAAAAATTATGCTAGCTATTTTTAATGTGATAAAATATCGAAAATTTCTAGTTTTAAAAGACCTAATGTTATTTACTTATTATTATTGTCTATTATTACACTAATAATTTTTTTATTTGATGTTTTGTTTTTTTCTTCTTGGATTGCAAGATTTCAGTAATAAAATTCAAGGTATATTATAAAATTAGATTTTTTATATATTTAATAATTTTTATAGGATACGAAAATTTGGTTCTTTATTGTCCTATATGTCATAATATATCTGGTATTGGATTCTAATATTAGACATATAGGAATATTATTGATAAAATATTTTAGCTATACCTTTACATGAAAAAAAATTTTTTACTATTTGTTTTGTTCCTTTGATACCTTATGGTTGGGGAAAGGTATATTTGAATTATCTATATCGGCTTAATAATGTTAATTTTATGCTTTCTGTAGGTTATACGATGTACTATATGTTCATGGTTTCAACATATAAACGATGCTGAATTATATAGAATTTCTCAACTATCAAATCTTCGTCCTGCTTAATATTATAAAATATGATTAAAGTGATTTTAAAACACATTACATTTATTACTTTATTTGAAGGGATTGTATAATATAAATAGATTCTTTCTATTATACTCATTGGATCTATTAATTTCATTTTATGGCATTGTATTTTTTTTGGAAAGATGTATAATAGTGTTTCATTTATAGAATACAATGTTTTTTTAATGAATTATTTTATCTAATATTCTATTAATAAAATATCTTTATCGTTATCATGTATAAAAAAATTATTTTAAAGGTTGTTCAACTAGATTTTAATTTTAATTCTTTATATAAGAAATTTTATCAGTTCCATGGTTACTGCTCACAAATGAGTTTGAAGCATAGAAAGGAAGAAACAAGGAAAAAATCTCAATTAGAATATAAATATAATCCTTTAGAAAATGCATGTTATACGTTTGATAATGGTAACTTTTAAGTAATAATTAAATATAATAGATGTAACTTCTCTAGGTTTAAGAAAAGTTGTTCCTTATTTTTTTAATTTTAAAACGTATGCTAAAGAAAGATGGAGAGGACGTACTATCTATGACGTTTTTTCTAAAGAATTTCGAGATCGAACTCCCCAATATTATGTATTATCATTTATCTATAGATATTATTTTTATTTTTTTAATTAGGAACAAGAAATTAAAAATGGAAATGTTATCATAAATGGACGTATTGCTACATTTGAGCAGATAATAAAAAATGGAGATATTATAGAACATCTTAGTCATAGACATGAACCTCCAGTTACTGATAAGAAGATTGATATTATTTATCAAGACGATGATATTGTGGTAATAAATAAACCTCCTGGTATTCCTGTAGGACTTCTATATATTTGTGTATTTTTACTAGAATTGCTTTTAGGTTCATCCTACTGGACGATATCGACATAATTCAATTACACATATTATGATGGCAGAGATGGGTTTTGACAGTCTTGCGCGTATGTTTTTTGATTTTTTATCTTTCTAATGATAAATAGCGTGTAATAGACTTGATAGACTTGCATCAGGATTAATGATTTTGGCTCGTAATGTACGTATTGCAGAAGAAATGCGTAAAAAAATGCATGATAGGCGTATTTTGAAAGAATATATATGTAAAGTTCGTGGTTTATTTCCTGAGTATTAGGTTCTTTATTTCAATGAATTAAATTGATTATACAGAGGAGAGATAGTATGCACAGAACCACTTTTAACAGTATCCCCAAAGTTAGGATTAAATAGAGTTCATCCGGATGGAAAGCCATCTAAATCCACTTTTAAAATGCTAGGTTATGATGGAGAAAACAGTATCGTTCATTGTGTGTATATTATTTGTCATATTTCTTGTTTAATTTACAATTAGGTCGACCTTTAACTGGACGGACTCATCAGCTTCGAGTTCATCTACAATGGTTAGGGAAGCCTATAGTAAACGATCCGGTTTATTCGGATATAGGAATTTGGGGATATGATATGAAAAAAAATGACACTTTTACGTTTAATGATAATGAATTGTTTCCTTCACTGATAAAATCGAAGAAAATAGAAGCATCTTCTTGGTATATCAATAAAATAGAAGAAGCAGAGAGATTGAGGGGGAATAAACTTGATGAACTTTTAACAGGTGAAGTATGTGATGTTTGCCAAGCACCTTTATACTCCGATCCTTCACAAAATGACTTAAGAATATATTTACATGCTTGGAAGTATAAATCAGACGATAATTCATGGAGTTTTGAAACGGAACTGCCAGAGTGGGCAAATATAGATTTTATATAAATATAAGCTATTTCTTAAAATATATTTAATTTAAAAGCACTCGAACGTAACGAAGTTTTTTAATACGCTAGAAATGCAAAATGAGTTTGAATAAAATGACTGATAATACACCTCTTCTTAAGCCTTTGTCTTCTTTGAGCATCGCTCCTCATCAATATATTGAGGCGGAGCCTGATACTAATGAAAATTTGGAGAACAGTTTGAATGATGAACTTTCTAATACGTCTTTATATGATAAAATTAATAAAAATATGATGAAAAATATTTCTATTAATATAGCTTTTATGTTTTCATGGTATGTTTCTTTTTTTTTAGGCTCATATTAGTAAATATTATTTTTAAGGTTTTTTTTTTCAATATTATTATCTATGTATAATAAATGGTTATTTTCTGAAAAGCATTTAAATTTTACGCTTCCTTTGTTTGCAGGATGTATATTTTTGTTTGTTTTATTGAATTTTTTGTTGATTTGTTACAGGCGTTCACATTGTAATTGAATATTGTTTTTCTATTATTATTATGAAATTATTTCCTCAATTTCGACCGCCAATCAATAGTTTTGAAATGATAGATAATTTGTTTTTGCATCATATATTTTTTTTAAAATATTCTTATATTTTTAGAACAAAGGTTATTCCATGTGGTGTAGCTACAAGCCTGGAAATCGGATTTTCAAATGCTTCACTTAAAACTATAAGTTTATCGCTTTATAGTAAATTTTTTCAGATATATTTATAATATTTCTGACTTCTATAAAAGCAATGTACAAATCTTCATCTCTTGGTTTTGTTTTATTATTTTCTTTTATTTTTGGACTAGAAAAAATGCATGCATCTCTTATTGTTGTTATTGTTATTATTATGATTGGTGCTGTCATGATGGCATCAACACAAACTGAATTTGTTTTTCAGGGGTATTTAATGGTTTTTTAATATTGAAAGAAATAAATGAAATAGATTTATAATGGTTACCGTAGCATCTGCTTTTGGAGGATTAAAGTGGTCACTTGTTCAGATATTATCTACAAGGAACTCTGTTGCTTTTAATCCATTTTCATTTATATATTTTTTATCTCCATCTATTTTTTTTTGTTTAATCATTTTATCATTATTAATAGAAGGTTTAAAGAATATAATATATACATCTTTTTGGGATTATGGTGTTAATTCTTTAATAATGCTAATATTTCCTGGAATTATTGCTTTTGCCATGATTGTTAGTGAATATTGGTAATTTTTTTCTCTTTTTTTTTATAAATTAATTTGCAATAGGCTAATTAAAAGGACCAGTATCGTAACACTTTCAGTTGCAGGTATGGAATGAAATATTTATGAATGTTTATCTTATATAATTAGGAATATGTAAAGAGGTTATAACTATGGGTGCATCTGCTATTTTTTTTAAGGACCACCTTGACTTGATAAATATTCTGGGTTTTATTGTAACAATTGTTGGAATTATATTATATAATATCATGAAATATTATGCATTAAAAGAAGAATCACATATTCAAAAACTAGATTACAAAACTGTCCCTTTGGTTAACAAAAGTAGATTATCTACTACAGAATCACCTCAAAATACTGAGAATTTAGCAAAAGAGTAAACCTAAATTTAATATGACTTATGTATTTTATTAATAATGAGATTTTTGTACTATTGAAATAATATTAATTAGTGAAATAATATTTACTAATTGATTTAAGTTATAATTATCTGATTTTTTAATAAAACTCATCGTTTTGTTTTTGTCTTTTTTTTATTTATTCTACCACTTTGAATTTTTTCTTGTTCATATCTACTTGCTCTTTTCTTTTGTTCTAGTTTTTCTTGATGAATAGATACTGCTTTGATTTCCGTATTTGCCTTACGCAGCTTTACTGGGTGTGATCCAATGTATTTACCTGAAATATACATATTAAATATATATACATATATATATATATTACCATTCATTTCCCTCCATGCTCTTACGAATTCATCCGGGTCCTTAAATGCAACAAATCCATAGCCTTTACTTTTTCCTGTTTTTTTATCTCTGATTACTTTTGCTTTGCTAAGACTTTTATAATGTTGAAAAGCTTTAAATAATGTTTCATCTGAAACTTCTCCACCAAGGTCTCCTGCAAAAAGTCTAAAGTGTGCTGGGTTCCAATCAAGAAGGCTTGGATCTTCCCATACAGAGCCTCCTCCTTCTCTCAATACTGTTATTCGTTTTTCTTTTCCTTGCCATCGTGCTTGATGACGAAGTTTAGCATTTTCCCTATTCTCAGATGAATAAATAGACTGTTGCTCCGCAATAGCTGCTTCTTCTGGTGTCATAAAAAAATTAAGTTGTCCTATTATTCATTAGTCTTTTAACTTTATTATTAAAATAAACCTGGTCGTTGAAAAGGATTATGTATTTGAGGTATCATTGGATACATCTGCGACGAGGAATTTTGCCCATAGTATGGGTAGGATTGGTTGTAGGATGCCATGAATAGCTTTTGTAACTGTTATTTTGATGAGGGTTAATTAAAGTCGGTGGTTATCGGCTCTTTTTTTAAAAAAAATATGGAAATTGATGATTTATTTAAGGTTGTTTATACATATTCTGTTTCTTTATTTAATAGTATTTTAGAAGCCTGAGCCCGTTTTAAAAAAGAGGAAAATTGTTCCTATTAATCCAACAGAAACGTTTAAAAATATTCAAAATACTTATGTTGAAAAAAATGGTAGAAATAATACAGGATTTGGTAATACTTTAGATAATTCAGTATCTTATGGGGTTGGGGAGGAAGATGAGCGTTTTTTTGGTGGAGGTTTAACCAAAGGACAAGAAGATATATTGGACTTTATTGATGAAAATGACAAAAATGAAGCTATTGAAGTATGTAAGAGTATATTATAAAAATTAAGTTTAAAGTTCAAAAGCAAGAAAAAATTGATGCGTCTTCACTTAAAAAAATGGTTCTTAAGCTTGAAAGAGCTATTACAAAAAATCAGGAGTTGCGAATGAAGTATTCTGAAAATCCTGAAAAGTAGCAAAGTTATGTTTAGGTGATAGAGAAATTAATGAGAGTAGATTTCTTTCCTCTGAAGCAGACTTAGATTCAGAAATTAAGGCGCTTTCAGTGCTTTCTGGTTATCCTGAATTATATTCTGAAATATTACGTTTAGGATGTTATAAATCATTGATTGGTCTTTTGTCTCATGAAAATGCTGATATTGCTATAAGTGTATTGGAGTTACTTGACGAATTAATAGATGATGATATTGATCATAATGAAAATCAAATGAAATTGTTGATAAATTCATTGGTATGTTAAAATATAAAGAATATGTTTTCTAATTGTTTAAGATAGAAGCTCAATTATTTAATGCTTTGACGGATAATATGACTCGTTTCAATGAGTTTAATGAGTCAGATAGACGTGGTGTGTTTCTTGTTTTGAGTATGTTTGGTTTTTTTTGTTGCGGTTAATTAATTGATAGGTATTCTTGAGAATATTTCTTCATTCTCTCATACTTTTTCTGAAAATGCTGTTTCTTCTACGAATATTTTGGAATGGTTGCTTCAAAGACTTCAAATAAAAGAATTTCCTATTTCTCAAAATAAGCAATATGTTGCAGAATTATTGGCTATTTATACGTCATCAAGTTCCTTTATTCGCAAAAAAATTATTGATTTGAATGGAGTTGATATATTTCTACATATTCTTAGCCCTTATCGTAAAAGAGACCCTGTAAAAGATATTGAGGAGGAATTCGTAGAAAATATCTTTGACTGTTTATGTTCTCTTTTAGAAGAACAGGAAGGAAAAGAGAAATTTATTGATGCTGAAGGTGTTGAATTATGTTTAATAATGTTAAGGTATGTTAAGATATGTAATATAATTGTTTTAAATGTTACTAGACATGGGAAAATTAGTAAGTATCGTAGTTTAAAGGTTTTAGATCATGCCCTTGGAGGGTTTCATAGCATCTCTTGTTGTGAAAGGCTTGTTGAGGCTGCTGGGTTAAAAATTATTTTTTCTATTTTTATGAAAAAGGTTTTTAAATAATAATATTGATGAATAAAAAGTATAACTAGTTTAGCCTCCTTTTAAGGTTATCGAATATTTATTAGGGATATTTTTATCTCTTCTTCGATTATTGCCTATAGATTCTATATCTCGTATTCGAACATTGGCAAAATTTGTTGAAAAAGATTATGAAAAAATATTAAGATTAATGGAATTAAGAAAATTTTATAAATTTCGTGTTGATTCTGCTAATAAGAAAATGATGGAGCAGCTTAAAGGACTTAGTCAAGACGAAAGGATAGAAAAAGAATCTGAAATTTATTTTGATTTAGTAGATGCTGGACTTTATTCTTTACAAGTAATAGATTTAATTTTAGCATGGTTATGTATAGAGGATGTAGGGATAAAAAAAAAGGTACAAGAGTTATTAGAAATAGAGGGACAAGATTTATTATCTATTAAAGCTGTTCTTCAAGGTGAATATTAATCTTTTGGCATAATGTTTTTAATTTATAATATAGAATATTTAAATAATATGCAGGTAGAGGATTCTGAAAGCGATAAATCAGATAATGTCATGAAAGAAATAGAGATGGTAAAAACATTATTAACCCTTTTGCACTAGAACTTTACTATTATGCAATGATGAAATTAATATTTGCAATAAATGGTGATAATTGAGATATTTAAATAGCATTATACTATATCTATTTTTTTTGGTATGGATTTACATATATTTTTTATAATTTATCTGAAAACATATTGTAAAAAGTGAGATACAATTATAACTATATAATTTATGATTTTTTAAATATCAAGATAACTAAATTTTCGTTTTGGATTTTATGACATTAATAGGGATTTTATTAAAACTTGAATTATTTAATTATACAAGTTTTAATATTCGTTACAAGATTAAATTTGACTATTGTTCTTTATATAAAACTTTATTCAATAGATTTAATCTAATAAATCTATTGTTTAATTATTTAAATATATATTAAACATGAATTAGGCATTTTTATAAGATCAATAACTTTTTTAAATTAAGCTTTTTTTTCTATTTTTTATATAAAAGCAATGAATTTTATTTAAATATTTTTTGCGATTTGGTCTTTCAGTCCTTTTTTACAAATTATCAATAAAAAATTAAATTTTTAAGACTGAGGAATAAAAAAAGGTAGCTCTTATTTATAGAAAATTTTATATAAAATTAAATTGATTTTCTCTTTTTAAAAACAAAAATTTAATTGTTAAAATCTCTATTATTTAACAATACAATGTATTGTTCATTTACATAGAACTTTTATACTTCAATTCTAATCAATTGTTTTTATTAAATATATAAATGATTCTTTTCTATGTTAAAACATTTTTATTGTTTTTTTTGCTAAATCCATACATTCTATTAAAGAAAATTTATATTATTAATTGTTTATAAAATAATTGTACTTTAATTTATTTCATAAAAATTTTATTTAAATCCATTCTCTTAATTATTAGTTAACTATTTTTTAGAAATTTTTAACATTTTAATGCCTATTACATTTTGAAATCAAAGATCTTTCAAAGAATTATCTTTTATCGTTAACGCGACGCGACTTTTGGATTATATAAACCCATCGGTGTCCTTAAGACCTCAAGAAATCATCTGTAGTGTGTCTATTATTGATAGATAGTAAAACAAGTGATAGAAATTAGAAGAATTTTTGTCTATTAAGGGTTAGGAGGGCATGTCTTTTGTTCTGGGTGTGGCGGAAACAGTGAATGCAGAAAAGTGTCCGTTAGGTGAAATATCTCAGAATGTTGAAAGCTTGGGAGGATCTAAAATAGGAACTTCAAGAGTGGAGGATGTTTTATCTCTTAAGGAGGGGCTGAATGGGATGAAACGAGCGCGTTTGAAATATGAGAAGCGGGAAAATTTTGGTGAGAAGGTATGGCCTGTGGATGTAGAAGAAGCATTCATGGATGGTATGTATTTTCAATGATTTATAGGAATTGGATGACTTATGAATAGCGATTGCTCATATTCCTAAGCTTGGGCGGCGCAAAATTGTTGTGGGGTCGAAGGCATGTGGTAGGAACGAATTAATTGCTGATTATATATATCGTCGTACTGGAAAGATTCGTACTCGAAAACAGGTTTCTAGTCATATTCAAGTACTTAAACATCTTAGACGAGAAGATCCTGAATGTGAGATTGGTGGATTGTATTTATTTATATTAATGTTTTTAGTTTTAAGAATGATTTCTGACACGCCATGTGTTTCTCCAGAGAAATTGAAACCAAATCATACTTTTTTTACACCTTCAAGTCCTCCTCTTGTTAATTTTGATTCATCAGTACCATGTCGGCAATCAAATACATTTGATTTTTCACGATCATTGCCAAACAATTTTTTGCCGTCTAGTATTCCTAAATATCCATATTTTCGTGTTTTAGAGTTTTCTATATGGAAAACGTCGTTTGCTTCAGAACATGTTTATTCTCGGCTGAAAGATTCTTCTCTTACTACTGTTTTTCTTGATTCCTTGCCTAATTGGTCTGTTCGGTTTCCTTACCTTGTTGAAGTTCTTCTTTCTCCTATTGGTATTACATGTCCGGTCTATTATGTTAGTTCTATATTATCGATTCCTTCTATAAATGATGAGAAAAGTGCTTTTCAGGCTCATTTTGTTTTGTCTAAGCCACCTACTACTGTACAAGATGAAACATGGGGTTGCGTAATACGCATTTATACTATGAGTCAATGTATATTAGAGCTTAAACAAAAGGCATTTGTGCATGATGAAAATATTATTCTCCCTTTTGCTATCGATTTTTGGGCAACATTTCTTTCTGGATTAAATTCATTGTCTGCGGAATATCATCCTGCAGATGATTCCGCTGGTGCCGAAAAGTCGAAATACAGAAAAGAATGGGAAATTCGTGTAGCTGTAAGAGGCATCACAGTCGTTTTTGAAGTATTACGTTTTTCTAATTCTTCTTCTCGTATGGCTCTTCTTGCATGGGAATTTGATACTATATTTTCTGATTCAGGTACTACTATCTGCAAGGAAGTTGTTTTCGATCGTTTTTCAAATAATTCTTGTGAAAATGAGCAATTATTTACTCCTTTAAGTAATTATGAGCAATGTGCAACGCCTTGCATGAACTTTCATTCAAGTCCTCTTAGTGTTTACAGCACAAATTGTCCAATTCCTCTTTCTAATTACTTATCGCCTCCATCTATTATGCGGCCTACAAATATTCCTATTTTATATGAAAATCTTCAGCAGTACGCGCCTTCTCAAGCACCTAATATCGCGAATTCCTTATCATTTGTTTCTTCTGGATCTTATGATTCTCAAGATAAGTTTTTAACTGGTTCTATTTCAGAAAATGAAACAGTAAATGCTTGGCAAACAGAAAGTTTTCCTAAATTAGGTTTCTTTTCTACTGATAGCAATGGTGTTTCAACATTTGATGATTCTGGAAATATAAAAAAAAATGATTCTTTATAATAATATGAATTACGGGTTGTGTTTAATGCATTTTACAATGATATTATTTTTGGTTATACAGGAAGAATAAATCTAGTTGGGAACAGTAGCTTCAAATAGAATGCATATTATTAAATTTATTGCTTTAGTAGCGTTTTTATTTTTAATATTATTTTATTACATTTCTTTTTTGGACAACTTGTATATAGATGGAAGTTTGGTTCTATATGCATAAGAGGTTTGGTTTGAGATTCGGAATATAGAAACGTTAGCCGTATAAAAAGATAATTGACTATTTAATTAATAAATTGTTTATTGTTATGAAATGATTTTGCATATATGTTTTGTATTTTTGTTTAAAGTTGAAATAATAATTCGATATTTATATAATTGTAAAAAGCATTTTCGATATATTAGTTTTAGATATTTTGATTAGATATATTGAGATTATGATTGTTATTTCAAATATATATTTTTATTTTTTCTATAGATAGATTTTGTATTTATTTAAGATTTAATTTTTATGAATTTTTGTAATTTTTATATATTTCTCATATTTTTCATATTATTCTTTTAAAAGTTATAAAATTTGTTGTGATAATTTATAATTAATTTTTATCATAAAACTTGAAATTTACATATTAATATTATATCCCTAAAAATAAACAGAATTATGATTTTTAATCTCAATTTTAAAAATAAAATTACGGAATTTAAAAATGTTTATTTTTCGACGTTATCTTATCATAAACAAAAATGAATTTTCTATTAAGTTTTTGGATATTAATTATAGCATTTATTTGGAGAGTTATAAGTCGTGGTGATTTGGGGTTTTCTATTAGCACTAGGAAATTGGATGGGAATTGCAAAAGTACAAAGGATTATTTAGAAGATATTTCATTAATTAGCTCATATTCAAAATTTATTCGTCTTTTTTCAATTAGTGATTGCAATTGTATGAAAAATATTATGCCTGCTATAATTTCAGAGAATATGAAGATTATTCTTGGAATTTGGCCGGGTGGTGTTGATACTGTACAATTTAGAGATCAATTGTCGCTCCTAAAAGAAATTCCTCAAGAACACGTTCCTTATATTTATGCAATTTCAGTAGGATCGGAGGTTCTTTATCGCAAGGATTATTCAGATGAAATTTTATTGGATCAAATTATTACTGTTCGCAAATTGTTAAATGAGATGAATTTTCAATCTATTAAACTTGGAACAGCGGACACTTGGAATGTATATGCTGATGGAACAGCCAATAGAATTATTGGAGCTTTGGATATTGCTTTCGTTAACTCTTTTCCATATTGGCAGGGCTATGCAATAGAACATTCTGTTTATTCATTTTTTGCTGATATTTCCAATACTATTAATGTCATTAGATCTATGAACTATAATATTGAGGTATGGATTGGTGAAACTGGGTGGCCTACAGATGGTCTCACTTATGGAGCTGCTGTACCTAGTGTTGAAAATGCTGCTTATTTTTGGGCCAATGTTATTTGCACGTCTTTATTTAATGGTCTTAATGTTGTTGCTTTCGAATTAATGGATGAACCGTGGAAAGGAAATGCTATTGGTTTAAGTGGTCAAAGTTCAAATGTTGAGAAATTTTGGGGTGTTTTTACGATTGATAAACGACAAAAGTACAGTTTGGAGTGTCCTAAAGGTATTATATTTTGTTATTTTTCTATTATTTAGTTTAGAAGCTAATATTTGTCTAGAATCTGAGAAAGTTATATCTTCTATTAATAGTAAAATTAATAATCTATCAGATTCGGGTAATACAAATAGTGATGGCTCAAAAGTAGATTCTGATAATACGGATAATGATGGTTCAAAAACAGATTTTGGTAATGCAGATAATGATGGTTCAAAAACAGATTTTGGTAATGCAGATAATGATGGTTCAAAAACAGATTCTTGTAATACAGATAATGATGGCTCAAAAGTAGATTCGGATAATACAGATAATGATAGTTTTGATGAAATTTTTCATGATGATGATTTCTTAACGGATATAAAAGAACCGAATAAGTCATTTCGCGTTTCATTTTGTCTAAAAAATACATTTTATTTGAGTTTTACTGCAATTTTATTTTTATTATTTTTTTATTGAAGTTATAAGCATTATTTTGGTATTGAAAGTTATTAGGTATTTTTTACAGGATTATGCTATGAGGGTTGCATTAATGTTATTGTTATACGTAATTAGAAAATAATTAGTTAAGTTTTAAAAAAATCATCGAAAAATAATTTTCAAAATATGAATGAATTAATAAAATATATATAAAATACTTCTTTAAAGACAGTGCCTTATAGGTCTAATTTTCTACTTATGGGTGTAAAATACCTTATTTCGTTTCTTCGCCGATTTACACCAAATTCTATTAAGAAAGTTAATGAGAAAGAATTAAGATATAAAACGTTAGCAATTGATGGTACATTACTTATTCGTCGTATGTTTTCATCGCCTTGGGTCCCTACATTGGATAAATATCGTCATATTGTATGGACACTTTATCTAGCAAGAATTTGTAGATTTTATAAAGTAATACCAATTGTTGTGTTTGATGGACAACGTCCTGTCCCAGAAAAAATTGATGAACGAATTAGAAGAATAAATATTAAGGAGGATAATAGAAAAAATTTTGTAGAAAACATAAATCAAGCTGCTCGCTTGAAAAATTTAATGGAAATTGCATATCAAATGTCAAAATTAAACATACAAGATAGAAAAGTTATTGATTTACTTTTAAAGAAAGCAATTTATGTATATAACAATTTTAAATGTGAAATCTCTGGTTCAGTAAGTTTAGAATAGATAATTAATTTTATAGAAATTAATTTATATTATAGAATTCCTATGGAAGCGATTTAGGAATAAAACTGCAAATATGGATAGAAAATGAATTTTCTATATATAAAAATGGAAATTCCAGCTTAGAAAGTCTTTTAAAACAGATAATTGATTATATTTATAAGATTTCTTTGGGCTCAACTGCTGAACTAACATCTGAACTTTCTACATTAGTTAATTTATTAGATCCAGATATTGCAAACATGGTTAGAGATAACTTAGAAAAACAACAAATGTCTATGAATATGCTTATTGAAAAATTATCTCGTCGTTTATCTGTTCCAACGTGGAAACAAATTAATCAAACAAAAACTATTTTTAAAATTCTTGGAATGACTGTTTTGACATCTCCTCCTGGATATGAAGCAGAAGCTGTTGCAAGTTCTTTAGTTAATAATGGTATTTTTTTTTCATTTTGCATATTTAACAATATTTTAGGGATTGCCGATTTTGTTGTAACAGAAGACACTGATACTTTATTATTTAATGCTAAGATGCTTCGAGGTTTTATGTCAATGAAAAATTTGGTTAATAGAAATGGAAAGAATAATTTTTTTTTATCTTCAAATATGTATATGATTGATCCTATTGATGTTCGATTAAATTTGGGTAATATTTCTGCAAATTCGTTTATTGATTTTGCAATACTATGTGGAACAGATTTTTGTAAAACAATAAAAGGATTAGGATGTCTTGGGGCCTTTTTTCTTATTCAAAAATATAAAAATATAGAGTTGATTTTAGAAAATCTTTCTAAATTTAAGACAAAAGATGGTAGGCAGAAATATGTTGCTCCAGAAAATTATATTCAAGAAGTTCAAATTGCTAGAAAAGTATTTACGCGTGTTCCACATATGCATTTTTTTGATCACAAATTAATAATTCCTGATACTTTATTATTTAATATTACAGAAAATGACTGGAAAGAACTTGAGAATAGTATTATTGACAAGTATAAATTAAAACAATCAAATTTATCATTTTTTTCTACTTTTTAGAAATTATCTTTTTATAAAGCGATGAAATAGTAAAAAACATTCCTGAGAATTTTTTTCATGATTACATTTAGTTATGTATCTGATTTTTTTTATAAGAATGTTATTTGTTTTGGGCAAAACTATTAAATTAAAAATACATAAAATAAAATTATTGCATTAAATGATGATTTGTATTATTGTAGTAATGAGTTAAATTTTATTTTCTTAGTTTCAGATAGGTTTTATACATAAATTCAAAAAGAAAAAAGTATTCCAAGAAATGATAATGTTTTTTTTATAATCTATAAGTAGGAACCAGGCTCATTAATAAAGATATTGTTATTACTGTAATCCCGATCAATAATAGTACCCATAAAGCTCGTTTTAGTAATAGTTTTTTAACATATGGTTCTCGTATACGCATATATGATAGAAATGTTGTTTCTGATAATCCAATAATGACTAAAATAGGGTCGAGAAAGTATTGATGTGCATAAATACAATATATTCCTATTAAAAATGGTAAAAATATCCATGATCGTTCACTTTTTGTTGCACCGAGGAAAATTAGAGTGAATCCTGTCCAAAGTCCTGCAAATAATGATAAAAGACCTATAAGTAATCGAAGAAGACTACTTAATGGGATAATATTCCCTAAAGCTTTGGCCCTTAAAAAACCTGGATATGCATCACGTTCCATGGCCTGAAATACATAATCTCTTGCTTCATCAAAAACTTCTGGATCATCTCTACCATCTGCTTCTATTGCGGTTGCAATTCCCCGAAGAATATGGGAAGGAAGTGCTACTTCTCTTTCTGCGCCTTGAATTAAGTATGCATAAAGTACACGTTCTGCAGATGCACGAATATCTTTACGGTTGATTGTTTGTGTCACTTCTGATGAATTACGAGATTCTTCTGATGATAAATAGGATTCTCTTTTTCGTCCTTTGTTTCCGCTAGTGCGATTATTGTTTAATTCACTGCCCAAAGGCCCGAAGTTGTGAAGATTTGATGTTACAATATGAACATCTATATCTTTTTCTGAATACATAGTAGAACGCAAATAATCGCCTTCTTCTCCATCTTTAAAATTTTTTAGCTTCTCTTTTGCTTCCTTATCAAATTTTTCTGGTGTTGAAACAAGAATAGATTTTCTTAGTTCTCGCACATAAAGGCGACATAATGATGTATGTTGCATAATATCTAACCATAAATCAAGATCTATAATAAAAAATGGTCAATTTCATTCAAAAATACTTTTTATATGCATACAGTCGACACTTTGTGCTTGATCTCGCATATAGATGTAGAAATTAAACAGATCAACTGGAGGTTCTGCTCTCCTCGAAAGCACCTCATGTAATGTTGGCAATCGATCACGAGAATCTTTAAATGACATAATAGATGATTCCTTTATTAAAGTATATATATCAGTTTCTTTTTTTATTAAAATGCATATTTGTTTTAAATATAATATTAGGTTTTTTAATATTTAATTAGTTTAGTATAGGTTTTAATCACGTATGTCGTCTTGGATAAAAAAATAGATACACGATATCTTTGTAAATAAATATATTAAAAAAATAAGTATTTTTTATAGAAATTGTATTTTTTATTGTTTTAAAAATATTTAAAGTAGTATTTTATTTTTATTTGTATTGATTTTATGAAAAAAATGTGATATAATTGAATTTCTTTTAATATTTTAATTTAATTTTTAATTTTTTTGAGTATGGATTTTAGAAAATAGATTAAATATTTTTTGTATATTAATGTGATCTAATTAATTTTGAGTGAAATAAAGTATATAATAATAATTGTTATAAATTGATATTAAGTACTTAAAAATGAAAATTTTAATTATACTATAGTTAAGATTCTTATATGTATATAAAATATGTTTTTGAAAATATATATAAAATATATAGAATTTCTGATTTTAATAGTAAGTAATTATATTTTTAGATTTTTAAACGTAATATGATTATTTTATATGATGTTAACTATATTATTCATAATATTTCGAATAACCAGTACAAATATATTAAATATTATTGTTTTATTTATTCATTATGAAAGTGATTCTCTGCTTTTGTACTTGATAATATCTATAATTTTTAATGAAATTAAATTAAATGTATATTATACTCTGAAATCTACAAAATTATATTTTCCTTCTCCTGTCTCGATCATAAATTGTATACTTAGTACCCCGTTTTCATCTGTCCTTATACTCGCTTTAATTGCTGAAGACATTGCATGAATTGAATGTTGTATCATAGAAAATTTATAACTATAAATATCGTTAGTCATGTTTTTTTTAATTATAAAAATATACCTATTTTCAATAACACTTGAACAAGAAAAAGTTTCAATAACATCTCTTTCATTTGTATAATCTATTATCACACTACCCATAGTGCCTATTGAACTTAAGCGCAGATGTGGGTGCTGTGGCGATGAACGTATTGTAAGCAATTCACTAGAGCTGAATTCTAATTCTTGTATAGCATCATAGAGAGATTCGCTCTATAATATATTTAGTGATAAAAATAAATACATTATAACTTTACTTTTATTATAATTTTCTGGTTTAACTTATTATTTTGTAAAAATATATCAATAAGATTTTCTTTTTCAAATGTAGTAAGTTCACATGTTGTGATCAACCCGCTCTCCTGTATTCTTTAGGGCATTAAATATGTTAATATTAATATTCAGATAATACATAAAAACAAAAGGATGTCCGTAACCAACATAAGATAAATGGCAATTACCCCCTACACGCAAAATATTTTGCTGCTGCAATTTTCTATTGAATACAAAATTCTTTTCTTTCAGGTCGTTATTCATGATATTAAAGCATTCTAACATAGCTAAAAGTGAAACTGTAAAAAATATTGGTGTACTAGAATCATTGTTATTCATAGAGTCTTTATTAGAAGAATTAAAGCGATAAAATGAAAACATGTCTTTATCTAGAAAAGCATGGGCTAAAGAAGTATTAGTTTTTTATATAATATATATGTTTTATATGACCTTGTAATGAAAAGCCATCTTCAACTGTTAATTTAAGTCCTTCTGACGATATTTTGACTACACATCTTGGTTTAAAAGCAATACATTTTAATAATGTAATAATAGGAATGACATTGTCAGTAACTGCTGTGAATATTGGTTCCTCCATTTGTTCTTTTGCCTTTTTAAAATGATAAATCAATACATTAAGATTTATTAATAAAACGATAACATATCTAAGGGTAAATTAAATAAATAGAAAATTCTAAACTACATTGAACTGTATATTTTATCTATTTATTACATAAATAAAATTTTAATAGATTTTGATAATCAATGTTATACATAAACTCCTATGGTACATATTAAATAAACAGCACTAAATCTACATATATTTAATATGATATTTATTACATTTAATTTCATGTTACTTGCCCAAAAAAGATGCAAGATGCTAAAGCATAGCTGATTAGTTTAGCTTTATAAAAATTTTTTGCTGTTTCCTTATATTTTGTTCTGAAAAAAATTAATGTTAATTATACAATTTAACAAACATTACAGCTTAAATAGTATTGAAAATAGAAAGCCAAAAAGTAATAATATAAATGCTATTTTTTTATGATACTTCACGGGAATTAGTGGTAAAAATGTTTCCGCTTCTTCAAAAGTTTTCTAAGTTATAAATAAGTTGAGCTAATTCTCATTCTTTTATATACCGATGTTTTTTCATATAAATAATCCATACTTCTAATGATCTTTTAAAAATATTTAATTTTTTTAGTATTTAAATTAATCGATAAATAATTTAGATAAAATAAATTGCAATGAAGTATGGCATTAAATGAGAATTCTGATGATGCTATTCTAAGATATCCGTTCCCAAGCGATGGCTCCTTATCAATACCTGATATATATAAGTTTATGATTGTTGCTCGTCATTCATCATGTTCATATAATAATTGTGTTTGTATGGGATGGAAACCTATTGATAATCCTAATAGAATTACAAAGAAGGAATGCATGTCATGTAATCATACCATTTATGAGCATGTTGGGGAAATAGATGCTATAGATAGTGCGAGAGATGAATTTATTCGAAAAGTTAAAGTTGCAAATAGATGTGATGAGTTATTGAATGTAGGAACATGTTTTTATTAGACTATTTTTTTAATAATATTTTTAAGGAAAGTGGTATGCTGTTTGATTTTGATTATGTAAATGATGATATTAAATCATTGAGAAAGTATAAAATTCTTTAATATTATTACAAGTAATTTATTTTTGTTAGACAAATGGTACTTCCTAGTGATTCATCTGACTTTAATACAAGTATTTAACTTATGTGTGAAGATTATTTATTTATTATTATATTAGATTTAAAAAGAAGATATTGTGGCGAATCTTTTTCAGAATTCAAAAAACATAAGGGTTTTGAAAAAAATATAAATCATATTAATGTACAGGAAAATGAAAATAATGTCGATTATAATTTTCATCCGTTCTTGACTAAAGAAAAACCTGTTCTTATTGAAGAAAGAGAAGGCCTTATTGAATTTCGTGTAGTAAACAATGATAATTCTCGAGATAATTTAATAATACTTACTGGACTTAAAAATATTTTTCAAAAACAACTTCCTAAGATGCCTAGGGAATATATTGCTAGACTTATATATGATCGGAATCATTTATCTATGGTTATTGTAAAGAAACCGTTAACAGTTGTGGGTGGTATTACTTATCGTCCTTTTAATCATAGAAAATTTGCAGAAATTGTATTTTGTGCAATAACTTCTTCTGAACAAGTAAAGGTTTTTTATTTTTTATTTTTTTTGCATATTATTTAATTATAAAGGGTTATGGATCACATTTAATGAATCATCTTAAAGATTATGTTAAAGGAACTTCCCCTATTATGCATTTTTTAACATATGCGGATAATTATGCCATTGGTTATTTTAAAAAGCAAGGATTTTCTAAGGATATTACATTGGATAAACCTATTTGGATAGGGTATATTAAGGATTATGAAGGTGGGACTATTATGCAATGTAGTATGCTGTCACGAGTACGTTATTTGGAATCTTCTCAAATGTTAGCAAAGCAAAAATATGCTATTCAAGAAATTATTAGAAAAAAATCTAGGTCGCATATTATATATCCTGGCTTAGATATTTTTAAAAATGGTATCACAGCGATAGACCCCCTTTCAATTCCTGGGCTTAGTATTTTATTTCGTGTGTTTAATATATAGTTAACAATTATCTTAGAAGAAATAGGATGGTCTCCAGAAATGGATGAGTTTTTACAAAGACCAAAGCGTGCTGTTTTTTATTCTACTCTTCAGCATTTACTTACTGAAATGCAAAATCATCCATCTGCTTGGCCATTTATTCACCCTGTTAATAAAGATGAGGTTCCAGATTATTATGATGTTATAAAAGAGCCTATGGGTAATTTTTAGAATTACTTTTTATATTAAATTAATTGAATGTAGATTTATCGACTATGGAGTTTAAATTGGATAATGATCATTACGATTCTGTAGAAGGTTTTTTATATGATGCTAGATTAATATTTAACAATTGGTATGCAATTATCTTTAAAGTATTTTTACTTAATAATATAGTCGATCATATAATAATGAAACAACAACATATTATAAGGTTCTGTTTCTTATTGATATATATATATAAATTTGACTTTACATAGAATGCCACGAAATTAGAGAAATTTTTAATTTCGAAAATAAAAGAGACTGAATATAGTTATTTTATCTGAAATTAAAATATGTTATAAATATAGTCTATTACATTTAAGAATTTACAATTCAGAATAATTTTGATAATGAGTAATATTGTTTGTTTTTAGGATTTTGGTAATTAGTTTTATTATGCTTTCTATATAATTTATTAAATTTAATGCGTCTTAGATGATTTTATTTATATTTGGTTAGTTTTAAAATAATATGGAAATTAATCTTGTAAATATCTAATTTTTCATTTATTATATGACTTTAAATTATATTAAAATGTAAAATATAGCAATTAAAATCTTTAATAATATTTCTGGTTACATATTTAGCAATTTTATTTATTGGTTTTAAGATATTTTTTATGAATAAAAAATATATATCTAAAATTAAAAAAAAAACATTTTGATGATTTATAAAAATAAAAAAATATATCTAAAAAGTTAGTTTAGAATTATTTAATAATGTATAGTAAAACATACATAATACATTAGGAAATATTTACAGTTGCTTAAAAATGCTGTATATTTTTGTAAATATTAATAAATATATGTTTGGTATATTTTTATATTAATTTTTGTTTGTTTGGTATTATATTACTTCGGCTAATATAAGATGGTTAATTATTTTGTGGAAATTATGGAATATAGATACATATCCTTTGTCTTTCAATTACGCTCTTTTGTTGTTCATTTCGACTGATTCTGTAATAGTAATCACAATAGTCATTGCAACTCATCATTCTTAGAAAATCTTCATCATGTGTAATAATAATTAATTGAAAATTAGCCTGTTGACGTCGCTGGCGAATAATATTTGCTAAAGATATAGCTAAAGACTGTATATTTTCACGATCGAGGTTAGTTGTTGGTTCATCTAATGCTAAAATACCACAATTTGTACCAAAACATTCTGCAAGTGCAAGCCTTATGATAATACTTGCCAAAACTTGATATTTTTAGTAAATTTTGCGGTATTATTTCACTTACCTTTTTGACCCGCACTACATCTCCCTCTCATATCAAGTTCTGCATCACCTTTTATCATACATACCTTATACAAATTAGTCTAATTCTCAATAAGTTAGTGTAATTACTCTATAATTATATGATCTATTCTCTTTTGGGTTTTCACTATCTGATCTTATAAGAATAGTATCAACATCTGTTCCACAATATGTTTTTTTCCATAATTCATCGATGATTCTATTGATTTCTTCCATTTTGAGACTATGATATTTCATAATTGCACTTTATTATTAGCAAATTGTAATATTTAGCCATTTACGAACTTATCTAATGCTTTCCCATATTTTTGTAAATCATCATTAATTTTAGCCATTGTACGTGTTTTTATTAGCTGTTTTCTATATTGCTCATGTATATCTTTATATTCTTCTTCCAATTCTTTTTCATAATTTTGAAGCTGGTTGCTCATCTCTTTAATTTCACCCAATAAGCTTGCTCGTTCTGTTAACAATTGCTCATGTTTATCTTTTAGTTTAGAAGAATCTAACAAATATTGTTCTTTATCTATTTCTGCATTCTTTTTCTCTAAATCCGAAATATTTTCTATAATTTTTGTAATTTCATTTTCTATTTTTCTACACCTCAAATTATCTGCAATATTTTTTTCTGTAGTTCTTATATCTAAAATTGCTTTTTCGAGATCATTAATTTCTTGAGTAATATCAGAAATTTTTTCATCTAATTCTATATTTAATTTCTGTATATTGGATATTTTTTCCCTGCATAAATCTAAATCTTTTTCACTATCCTTATGTGTTTTGATCTCCAAATTGATATCAATAAGCTGGTTATAATTTTGCTGTAATTCATTTGAATATTTTTGAGCTTGGTTCTCTTTCTTCATTGTCTCTTCTCTTATTTCTTTTAAGGATTTATGAAGTTGAGATATTTGAGGGAAAAGGGTTTTTAAATTTATATCTGTTTCCTAAGAACTATTATTAATTGATTATTTTAAAAATTAGCTACATCAATTTCTTTATTAAATTTGGAAATATCTTCCATTACTTCGTTTTTCTTATTAACGAGGTCGTTTTTTTCCCGTAATTTATACTGTGCTTCGTTCAGTTTCATTTGTGCATCTTTATAAAGGACATTATTTTCTGATATTTGAAGTTTACATATCTCTTTTTTTGACTGTAAAAGAAGCAGTTCATCATCTACTTTTTTCTTATTGGATTTAAAGTTTTCAAGCTCAAATTGTAATTCCTGAAATGTTCTGGAACTACCTAATTCTTGCAAATTTTCTTCTGCGCTTTTAAGTGATAATGTTAAATTATTTATTTCTTTTTGATAATGAGTTATTTCAATATCTAGTTCTTTCAAAGATTGAAGCTCTTCGAGCGATTTTTTCCCTGTTTTGAGTATTTGAAAATTCTAATAAATTAATATACGACTTCTATTATAATATTAGAATACCTTTTCTAGATAATTTATTAATTCTTTAATATTATTTTCAAGATCGGTTATTTTAGTCTCTTGACTAGGAATTTCGAAATTGTTCAATTGTTGAAAAGCATCAAATATGATTTTTGTATTTTTTATATTTTTCATCTCTTCTTCTGCTTTTTTTAATGATTCTGAAAGCTGACTTTCTTTGTTCCGTATATTCTCTATATGTTTTTCTATAGTTTTTTCGAATTCAGAAACTTCATGATCATTAAAAGATCTCATACATAATATACAAAAGTTTTGTTCATATACTTTTGCTTTTGATTCTAAAAAATAATCGTTTATATGTTTTAAATTTGATAAATATCTGATAATATTAGAAAGATATTGTATATAAAGGTATATACTTTGAAATATTGTTTAATTCAAACTCTTTGAATTCATACGTTTGCAAAAAATTAACTGGATCGCATACTTCTTGAATTTGTATTTGATATAAATTCTTCTGGTCTGTTTTGTTTCGAAGATTTTCTTTGGCTATATTTATTTTATTTTTTGCTTCTGATAGGTTTTGTTTAGTAATTTCATATTTTTTTTCTAGTTCTTTAAGTTCATCTTTTTTCTTGCTTTATATGATTAATAATATAAATAAATCAAACACTATTAAAACTTACTTATACTCATCTTTTATAAATTGTTCCTTTGTGTTAAAATTTATAGTATTTCCTATTAAATTTTGAATTTTTTCTTTATTGGTTTTGAACCTTTTAAAATAAGATTTAAAATAAAATAAATAATTGTAGTTACAATATATCAAGAGTATGTCTCTTGTTGTTTAATTCTTCTTTTATAATTTCGTATTTTGCTTGAGCTTCAATTTTATTAGCTCCTTTAGCTAACTCTTCGTTTAATAGACTAATGCCTTCTTCAAGAGATCTTAGATCATTTTTTTTTTGTCTTATTTTTTCATCCCATGCACTATTTTGAAACTCTATATTACAGTTCTTTATTTTTTCATTTATATCTGTTATTGTACTTTCTAATATATTTATTTCAGATTCATCTATTGATAAAGTGTCTAAATTATTTTGAATAGTTTCTATCTTCTTTTCCGAAAGTCTTATATTTTGACGTGCTATTGTTTTTTTTTGCTCAAGAATATTTTCTTTGAAAACAAGTTCTTGAAGTTTCTCATTGAGTTTTCCTTCCTTTTCTCTATTTTCTTTCTTAATTTTCTTTAAACAAAAAATGAATTTTCAAAGTAAAAGAAAATACCTTCAAATTATCCAAAAAAATTGTCTGTTCATTATGTTTTGATAATATATCTTTTAAGAGTGCTTCCATTTCTTGATCAGTTAAATCTATTCCATAATTTATAAATTTATGATTCGAAATAACTTCTTTAATTAAATTTTGTCTTTTTGAAATTAATTTCTGAAATGTCTATATTATATTAGTAATATTCATTCTTCTTTGAAATATATTACTTCTACTTTTGCTAACAATTTTCCTTCTTGTGACATAGAAGTTTCCAATTCATTTCTAGAAAAAATTAATTGTTTTTTCAAATTTTCATGCTTCTTTTTTTTAAAATCGATAACTGTTAATGTATTTTCTTTTTTTTTTCCAAAATTTTCAAGCATATTTTCCAATTCTTGGCTAGTTTCCTCATAATGAGTAATGTTATTTCCTAAATCATTTAATGTATTTAATAGAAGAAGCTTTTCATGCTTTAATCTTTCTATTTCAGAAATTATATGCTCAATTTTTTTTCCTGAACGGAGCAACTCTTCTTGTTCAGAAAGATTTAGCTGGATTTGTTTATCAAGAGCATTCGCTTTAGCTTGAGTTATTGTAATTTTTTCTACGATTTTATCTAATGATTTTTTTATTTTTTCTGCTTTTTCTTTGTCAGATCTATAATGTTCTAATGTTACTTCATCGATTTTAATTGTTGTTGTTTGTTCTTTTCTAAGATTTTTTATTTGGTCTAAAGCTTTCGTGTAGCGAAGAGCTTCAAAAATTTCATCAAATCTTTTTTTTAAAACAGCTGGTTCGCTAAGAGGCCAATTACTATCTTCTTGATGACAAAATATTACGTAATCGAGAACTGCTTTGCTAACTCCTAACGATATAGGAATTTGCGTATCAAGTTCTGCACATTTGTTACTGAGTGCTAATCTTTCCCCATCCTTGAATATTGTCAATTGTCCATCAAGGGTTTTTTGTGAACGTGTTGTCTTTTTTACTAAAAGTTGTAAGGATCTAGTACATATCATTTTTGCTCCATTTGTATTTTTAAAAGAAAGTTTAACTTGTGCAAGAACTTCTTTTTCTCCACATATCTTTTGCAATATTATTAACGTTAAATTGGGTTGTAAAAGTTACATTAGGATCATGAATAAAAGCTCCCCCCTTAGAATTAGGCGGCAAGTCTCCTGTAGTTGAATATTTTAAACATTCTATAATGGTCTAGGGAAAATTATGATTTAGATATTAAACAAAATCCATACTGTTTTTCCAGATCCATTATGACCAACAATTAATGTTAAGGGGCTATAAAATTGGATAGTTTCTCTAACATTAATATCGAAGGATCGTATTCCCATAATACTTAGTCTGAGATAATTTTAATGTGAATCTTTGAATAAAGAAAAAATAACTTATCGATGGATGACATTTTTTAGCTAGAATATATATGTATATCATATATAATTTTTAAAAGTATTAATGATTTAAAAAAATTAGGGTTTTCTTAATGTTTTATAAATCTACAAGTTTTGATTTTGGTTTCCATAGTAACTATATTTTATTTTTGAAAATTGATTTTTTGAGTATATATATTAAATTTAACTAGAAAATAAATGTTTTTATGTATTTATTTTTATTAGGAAAAATGTTTGAAATTTATAATCAAGTTTAATTTGAAATTTGAAAAAAAAATTAAAAAAAATAAAAAATTATTTATATATATTAATTTAATTTTAATCTAAATTATTTTGTTTTATTAATATTATTTGATGTCTTACTGTGATTTTATGTATTGGATTCTGAAAAAGTTTTTAAAATTTTTGTTGGAAATATAAAAAAATTGAGTTAAAATATATTTATAACATATTTTTATTCTTCAATTTTAAATTAACTTTATGATATATTTATGGATTGATTGATTTAAATTATTATTTTTCCTATATCCTAAGGATTATTTGGATTAATGTTTTTATATATTTTTTATTTTTATAATTATTTTTTATTATTAAAATTTTATGTTTGTAATTTAATTGTGGTTAATTATATTATATTTTAATTTTATCCAATGGAAACATTCAATCCTTTGTGATATGGGTTTAAAAACTTGTATTTTTATGTTTTTCTTTTAATATTAAATGAATTTTTATATTTTTAGATAATTTGACATTTTAATTATAAAAAAATTAAGAAATTTGAATATAAATATTTTTTAATTATTATGTTTATTAGAGGTTTTAAATTCCAAAATACTAAATAATTTTATTGAAATTAAAATGATATCTTTTTTATAAAGTTATTTTTTTAATAATTTTTTTAATAGTATTGTACAATTTATTAGAACGGCATGATTTATGTAAGTATTAATATTAGTAATTTAAAAATATATTTATTCTATATATACTATATTCATACATTCGGAAGTAGTTCTTTATAAATATGTTAGAAGAAATATACTATGCTTTTAATAAGTGTTTTGAAAAATCTTATTCATTTAAAAAGATCACCTTTACTTTTTGCAAAATCAGTAAGTAAATTGTTTTTTTCCTTTTTTTTGTATATTTATTTGTCCTTGAAGAGAGCATTTTCTTTTATCTGTATATATAATTGGAATAGATATATCAGATGTAGACAATATATCAGTAATTATAAATGGAATGTTTTTCCAATGCATTTTTAAGCATGTAAGAAAGAATAGTTCTGGATCTTATCTAATAAGATCTAGTAAGACGTTCAGGTGGATAAATATCATGAAAACCTTGTTCATGTTGAGTTTATAATTAATAAAAAATTGTTTTTAAAAAAAAAAAGTTCCAAAAGCTACGTTGATAGAGGAAACTGACTTAATGACAGATCTTTAGAAATAAGATCTGAAGGATCATTTGGCACAAGCAGGCACGGGAATTGATAGTCTTAGATGAAAAAATAGGAACGCTCAAACTAAATCTAATTTTTGTCTGATTAGGTATTAAAGCAGTGAATTGTTATTTTCTAGATTATTATAACTAGACAAATATACCCATAAAAAAATATTATGCATTGTTTCCAAAGAAAGCATTTGTTGGTTACTTTTAACTTGCAATTTTTTTATAATTCTATTTCCAACTATTAAGGGATTATAGCAGAGTTTTTTTTTTTTCAAAGAAAGCAGTTTTTTCTATTTACTCGAGGATGATCTGATGCTTTTTGAAGAGTCATGCGTTCGGATGGATTAATTGTTAATAAACCTAAAAGAAGTGTTTAAAATATCAATAATTTTTACCTTTTTTAAGACTTTTATGTATAGTGTTGAGGAGTTGATTTGATTTCATGGCTCATAAAGATATAATTTGCTTTTATGTTTTTAAAATAAGCAAAAATTGGAATCAAAATTAGTCAGTTCAGACCATAGAGTATTTCCAAAAAATAATGTATATAAAACAATTCCGAAAGACCAAGTATTTTCTGCTTCTCTGTCATATTTGCTAGTAATCTGTAATTTATTAGTATTTTTCCATTAAGCAGAATCTCGGGAGGAATATACGGTGGAATTCTATACTTCGTAGATAACTTTCTTGTTTGATTACTATATCTGAATAATGATACAAGACTGAAATTCGATATTTTAAGATTTCATTTCCATGATGTAATATATTTTTTGGTTTAATATTTTGTAAATATGTTATTTTTATAAGAAAAAGTATATATGCCTCTATGGGGAACACCTTTTGAGTGCAAATGTCCTATAATATATAAATTATATGGCAATATGTAGATTTTATAATTATATTTACTACACTTGAAATTAATTGAGTGGAAAAATAATGTGTAATTTTAAGGTCTACACTTAATCTAGTTCTATAATATAATATATTAGTATAATTTTTTAGAAGGATTTTAGTTATATAGAACCAATTTTATCGAAAAGGTCTCTTTCCCTAGGCATATTCTAAAGTAATCCATCTTCAGTTAGAATTTTTATTAGATGCAATAAATAGAACATTTTGATAGGAAGTGCAAAGTCTATGAAGAGAAACTTTACATGCAATTCGTTTTTTGTAATTGAATTTATTTCAGAATTAAAATCTTAACAAAATCTAATTCTAAATTCATGTCAACAGTACATTATAAAAAAAATAAACTATATACACAGAAAATTCTCCTGTGCAAATAATTTGTCCTGGATAGAATGGTAGGTCTTCTGGAAGTTCTTTTAACAATATTCTTTCCATTATTGAAAGTTTTTTCACGTGATATTTATTTACATAATATTTATTTTAGTTTCTATGTTAATCTGATTTTTAAAGCTATAAACTAGTGTCTGTTTATCGTTTTAGGTTATTATTTTTAGAAATATTTTTTTGTATTTTTTAATAAAATTTCCTCTAAATAGTTTATTTTTATTAACAATATTAAGTTAATATTTTGAATTTTTTTAATGTTAACTTATGCTTATGAATAATGCTTAATATGCATAATTTTATTAATTTAGGGTTTATCTATCTTTTTTATACCATTTCCGGCTGTTGCTAACCTCCCTTTGCAACGTAACGTTGTAAATGCATGTTAAAATGCTTTTTTCGAAATTATCAAAACATTAGTAATCTGAGCAACAGAAATCAGAATTCCAAGTGAATAAAAGTAAGATTAGGTGAGCATCAAGGATAGAAGAAGAAAATTATAAAAAAAAGTGAGTTAGGATAAAGGATTTGAAAAAAGATTTCTAAAACAGAAATCTTGTATTGGAATAAAAAATTTAAGGAGGTAAAAAAATTAGAGGAAAATGTATTAAGCATTATGTTAATTATAAAAAGGGTTATGGATGCCCAGAACACAGTACCTGTAGACCATGATAATTCTTTTACAAAATTAGATAGATCATCAGGAGTTGTTCCTGATGGGCATAGTGTAACAAAACGGTAGATATTGTTTTATATTATTTACTATTGGTTATTGATTTTTGTTTTAATAGGCTTCAAAGTGAATTAATGGCATTAATGGTAAGTCTAATATTAATAGTTTACATTTTCGAGAAATCTATATTTTATCGATATATTGAAATTGATGTTATTTTTAGATGTCAGATATTCCTGGTATTTCTGCCTTTCCTGACTCGGATTCAAATCTTTTGCATTGGGCTGGTACAATTGTTGGGCCAGTAGGGACGGTACGTTTTAAAAATAAAATTACTTGATATGGTTTATCTATAAAATAGTATTATGAATCTTTAACATTCAAAATATCTATGAACTTTCCTCCAAATTATCCATATAGTGCTCCCACTATTACATTTATATCACCAATGTGGCACCCAAATGTAGACATGAGTGGTAATATTTGTTTAGATATTCTTAAAGTAAGTTTCTAAAGATTTATTTGAATATTGACCATGATACATTTAGGACAAATGGTCAGCTGTTTATAATGTTCAAACTATTCTTTTAAGTTTACAGAGTCTTTTGGGTGAACCAAATAATGCGTAAATATTAAGTTATATTAGAATAAACTAAGTATATATTATAGATCACCGTTGAATGCCCAGGCTGCAGAGCTTTGGGCTAAGGATCCTGTGGAATATAAACGGCTATTGATGCAAAGATATAAAGAAATAGATGATTGATACATGTTTTTTTGCTCTTTTTAAGAGTAATTGGAACGAATAAACGCTTGATGCTTAATGCTTATGTCAGAAAGTATATTAGATGAAATATTATGGCTATTAATAGGCCAGAAGTAAGAAGTTTAAATGACATTGTTTTTTTGTTTCTTTGATATGCAATCCACTATTGTTTTATTGGATAGTATTGTGTAAAGATCAGCATAAAAGCATCAAATTAATTTAAAAATGCTGTGATTTTTGTTATATTTCATAAATTTAAATTATCATTCTTTTAAAAAATTGATATTTTATGACGCTGAAGTATCTTTCCATCCATTAGTTTCCCATTGTATTCCGTTTATACAATCTATAGTTATCATCCTTTTGTACCATCTTTTACATGGCTTTCCGCTGCGATCTAATGCTCTTAATCCAGCATTTATCGCTCCAGTATTGGCTTTAGGACCTAATCTAGAGTGCGATAATGGTGTTGACCCGGTTTTTTGTCCATTAATAACTATATTTTGCTGTCCTTGTTTCTGGGATGCGTCCTCAACGCTAAAAACTATTAGATAATCGTTATTTTTTATATTATATTTACTTTATTACTATAACTGTTGCTGCTTCTGCTTTTCTTCTTCGAATAGTTTTAGGTCCCGTATTATTAGAAAGACGAGCTTTTTTCCCTGTTTTCTTTATTATATTTCCATTATTTATTATATTTGAAACAGGTGAACTAGCAAGTACTGGTGATGACATAGGTAGAGGAGAAGACATTGGTGTTCCTACTGGTTCTGATTGTGATGCTAGACGAGAAATATTGACTTTGAGCTTTACAATGCGAGATTGGTATTTAGAATTGTTTGATTTAATAGGGGTTTGAGAAGTATAGTGTTCTTGAACATTATTCATTATAGTTTCTTGTGCAGGTAATGGAATATTTTTTGAATATAGAACTGATGATAGAGGTGGTGATATTATTTTCGTTTCCATTAGATATTTAGCTTTTAGTAATTTTATATACTATTATTATTCTATCTGAAGTTAAAGTTTTTAACGGTTAAAATCGAAAAATTAGTGTCGCAAGTTTGTTTATTTTTCTTGTAAGAATTTCAAACGTTATTTTCCGAATAACATTGTGTATATAGTATATTTAGGATAATGACTTCAATCTGTATATTAATTGGCTTTTAAAGTTTTATTAAAATTTCGAATGACGTCTGTTAATGTTTTACATATATCTCAATCGGAAATTGAAGAGCCTTTTATTCCAGAATATTTACGAGGAACTGCCTTTGCTGAGCAATATGAAACGCGATATTTATCTTTTTCACGTTATGGTAGAAATTTTGGTTATAAAAGCGGGTTATCTGAATTTTTTGGTAATATATTTCTAGGCATTGGTTCTGATTTCTCTGAACTTCCATCTTCATGGAATGAAGATGATAAATGCAATCTTTTGTCTTTGGCTGGTAATGGCTTAGAAGTTAAATTCGTAGGTAAGTGTATTATTTTAGGATTTTTTTTCTTAAATATAATAGGACCTGCTAAGGGCGTAGAGCAAGATGCTGCTTCTGTAAGAGCAAACAATCCTATCCCAACACGATGTGGTCTTTATTATTATGAAATTGAAATTCTTTCTAAAGGCTATGAAGGGTTAGAGAATATTTTTTAGCTTTTTTCGTCTAATAATTTTTAAGGCTTATTGGGATTGGATTTTGTAAATCTACTGTACCCTTAAACAGATTACCTGGATGGGAATCAGACTCATGGGGATATCATGGTGATGATGGTCATTCTTTTTGTTGTCAAGGAATTGGCAAAGAATATGGACCGAAATTTACTAAAGGAGATATTATAGGCTGTGGCATTAATTTCTCTTCTGGAATCGGGTTTTATACAAAAAATGGTGTTCATCTTGGTATACATGTTTTTTATATATAATCGTATCTAATAAATTTCAGGAATAGCATTTCGTGATCTTAAAGGTACACTTTATCCTTCTGTTGGCTTGAGAACTTTAGGCGAGCATATTCGAGCAAATTTTGGAAAAAAGCCATTTGTCTTTGATATTGAGCAATATATGAGGGTAAAAAATACCATTTTCGTTTGTATGATTTGTTTATATATATTAGATGGAAAAATTAAAAGCTTTTGAGAGTATTAATTCCTGGCCATCCTCCGAAGATAAAGAATATAATGAATCCAGTATTTCTACTATTGTAAATAATCTTGTGGCATCCTATCTCTCTCATAATGGATATATGGAATCTGCGAAAACTTTTATTCAGGATGTTGAAAAAAGGGAAAAGATATTTGCAAGTATGGATAAAGACTATATATTGGAATCTATAGATATTGATGATATAGATTCTGTTAATCGTCAACGTTAAGTTATTTATATTATTATTCTGTTAATTTACATTTTTAAGATATTAGAGTTGCTATTTTAAATGGTGATATAGATCTTGCGTTAAAACTGACAAATATTTTTTATCCTGGACTTTTAGAGACTAATGAGTCTGTTTATTTTAAATTGAAATGTCATAAATTTATCGAGATGATGCGACAATGTTCAGAGTCTGGAAATGAAAATGATGATGAAATAATGACAGATATTACGGGAGTTTATAATAATGATAATGTGAGTTGTTTCGATTCACTAGAAAATTCATCTTTTGAATCTCGAAATTCAAAAAAGAAAAATACTAGGTTTTTACTTTCGAAAATACTTGAATATGGACAACAGCTTCAAGAAGATTATAGAGATGATAATAGAAGTGATATTCGGAAAACTTTAGAAGATACATTTAGTCTGCTTGCTTATTCAAATCCAAAAAATAGTGCTGTATCTTATTTGTTAGATGAAAATGCTCGACAGATAGTTGCTGAAGAATTGAATAAAGCTATTTTAGGTAAAAGCTTTCCAAATAATTCACAATTCTAATAGATAGTCTTTCTTGGGAAATCGCCTATATCGCCTTTGGAAAGATTAGTTCAATACACTTCTGTAGTAATAAGTGAACTTGGAAAAAAGGGATCTAGTGAATCTAGTTTCGTCAATATTCGTCGGGATATATTAGGTATTTAGTTGTAATAGATTATTGGTATTAGAATATAAGATGTTTGAAAAGTTTTATACTGTTATTTATATTATATTATTATTACTAAAATTGTTTCATGTTATAAGATTTCTGGTTAATTAAATTTATAGTAAATGTACTATTTGAAATTTTTCAATTTTTGTAAGTTGAGATGAGAATATGTTTTTCCATTGAATTAATCGATAATCTTAAATGTTTTATTGCTAGAAATTGATATTCTTTTATAATTATATATAAAGGGCCTGCTTGAAACGGCCGCGTGGCGCAATGGCTTAGCGTATCGGAGTCCGGTAGGGCATCGACTCTTTTAGTAGTTATCCGGAGGTTGTGGGTTCGAGTCCCATCGTGGTCGCTTTAAATATTGACTTCAATTTTATTAAATGCTCAGATTTGACCTTTTTCTAAGTATGTAGTATTTAAAAAAAAAAAAACTAAAATTTTATATTAGAATCCATTTAAAATATTTATTTAAATTAATTGTAATTTTATATTAATATAAAGTTAAAATTTTTAGTCTTGAAATATCATGAAAAAAAGAATTCTATATATTAAAATTCCATTTTTTTTGTTCTATATTTGTAAATATTTATTTTTGCATAGGAGTCTTTGGAAGTAGGCCAAGAACTTCTTCAAGTTCCTGTTGTAAGGCGTTTTCCTTTTGAAAAGATAAGATATTGGTATTAGTAACATTTTTTGAATCATTAAAGAAAGATTCCATTTTGTTGTCTTCTAGTGATAATAGTTTATAGTTATTTATTAACCCTTTTTTCTGTTCTTGTAATATAGGAGAAATGTTTTCATCGGAAATATTTTTGTCTATTTGATCTTCCCACTCTTTAACATAGTTATCTTTATTTCCAAATAAAGATTTTTGGAAATTTCCTAAAAACTCCTTTGTTTCTTCCCAATTATCATTTAGTTTTTGTATTTCTTGTTTTAGAAAATATATTTCTTGATCTTTTGCTTCTGTTTCCACAAGAGGCGCATTATTTGATCGAAACACAATATCAGATAATAATTTGAGTCTGACTTGTAGCTGAGCTTCTAAAATTGTAGGAGAACTAGAAGATGAAAATAATGGTTCTGAATCTTCTTTTGTTCCAATAAGATAATCAAGATCAGATAATACCTGAAAAATAATATTATTGAGTTGTATATTAACGTTTGAGACTTTTTGAGAGAAAAGGAGAAGATTAGAAAATGCTTCTTCGGATAATTTTTCTGTTATAGTTGTATCTTCTATAGCTAAAGATGGTGTATATATTGGACCTTTATGTAGTGTTGAATTTTTTTGTATTTGCATTGTTGATAAATTCTTATTTCTTTTTGATAATTCTGAACCTAAAAGATATTCTTTTAATCTTAATAGTTGTTGATCTCTTTTTCGAAGATCGTTCTGAAGAATGTCAAATTATATTGGAATTATTTTAAACATACTGCGTATTGTGATTTCATATATACAATAGAATTCTTTATTTTGGATATGTAATCTTTTGTTGACTTTTTTTCGATTAGTGCTGCAGAAAGTTCTTTATTTAGATAACTATTTTTTCTTAGTAATTTTATCAATGATATTATAAATACTTCAGTTTCTTTTTTAATGAATTTATTTCTCTTTCTGCTTCTTCTAGCTTTGATTTTGTGTTATTCTGAATAATAAATTTTTTTATAAAAAAAAATCAGATTAATTTTTTACCAATTGATAAGAGTATTTTTCATTTTGAGCTTGAATTTCTTTTAATTTTCTAAGAGAATCTTAAAGGAATTAGCATATAATTACGAGTAAAAAATGCCTACCTTCATGTATAGCTATATCTTTATCTCCTTTATTTAAGAGATTATAAATGATTTTGATTACTTCATGTGAATCTGAAGAATTGAAATGTAAAATTCGCTGATTTTCATCCGGTAATAAGCCTCGAGAGGCAAGTGCATTATTAATATAAAGTATTCCTGATGGTAAATCTTCTGAAATATTCATATGCTAATAGATTATTCCATATAATTTTATAGTATTGATGTTTTTTATATTTTTAACGAATGATAGAATTTAGCGAAATAACTTATTTTTAATAATTAATATTATTAAAAGTATATTAGGCTTTTATTCGATAGTTTTTGTATGATGTTTTAGATATTTATTGATTTAAAATATTTTGACTGTTATAATGGACGGAAAATATTATGTATTTGGAATATTTAAAATTCTATTTATAATTCTTGTTACAATTAAGTTTTTAAGAACGTAATAAAAAACAGTGTTAATAAAATGATGTTAAAAATACTTTAAGTTATTAAGGTTACTTTATATCGTTTATATAGGTAATATGAGATTACATTTATACAATAAAAACTATAATATAAATTAATGCATATTTAAAAATTATATATAAAATTTCCATTTAATGTTAATATCCTTTTGTTAAATATATGATTTTAGCTTCGATTAGTATATAATCTTGGAGCAATGTTCATTGACATTAATTCTTGAAATCTATAATAAAGATTAGCAGAAGAAGTAAAATAAAATAAATATACAGAAGTTTTGCTGAATATGGTAAATGTATCTAAACTATGAGTAAATATCTTATTTTAATAATATAAAAGTTATACTTGTGATATATTGGTTTTATTATGACATATGCGACATTCAAATTGATTTTTTTTCAAATTTGCTATAGCAGTAAGACCACAAATATCGCAAATATGAAGTCGATATGCATCGCTATTATTAATTAATTCAGTATTAAATAACGTTATATTTGCGATACCTCGCGTCAAAAAGCCTGATTTGTTAAATTTTGATTTTTTAAATTAAAAAAGAATTACCTTTCTTTTAAAAAGGATGAAGCTCCATGACTTATCATACTGAAAGAAATCAAAATTTTGTATTTTATAATATATTTTTTACCAATCCTGATTAATGTTAAATGTTTATAATCTATATAGAAAACATACTCTCTCCATTTCTCCAAAACGTAATCCTCCATCTCTTGATCTTCCTCCTACTGGTTGACGTGTTAAAATTTGTACTGGACCTCTAGCCCTGGCATGTATTTTATCATCCACCTATAAAATTAAAAAAAAATCCTTTTTTTTCAATATTTCATATTACCATGTGTTTTAATCTTTGGTAATATGTAGCTAATTTTTTAAAAATTGTTTAAAAATATTAAAAAAACTTACGGCCTAAGAAAACCTGGGCTACTAGTTTTCGACCAGTATGACCATTATACATCACTTCGAAACCTCTGGATTGATATCCATGTTGACGTAGCATTTTAGAAATAGCCTCGACTGTAACATCACTTGAAAAATTTAGTGTATGAAGGAATTTCTTATTACATACGTAAATGGAGTTGCATCTCCTTCGTAGCCACTTAGGGCAGAAACTTTACTTAATAAACATTCAATTAAATGTGCTACTGTCATTCGACTAGGAATAGCATGTGGATTTATAACTAAAGAATTAGTATTACAAATATAATTGGGATTTAAATATACTAATATCGGGAACAATTCCTTCTGATGTAAAAGGCATATCTTCATGACGATATGTAATACCTATTGTACCCTAAAATTTTAAATAAGTGAAGAAATAAAAAATAAAAAAACCTTCTGTCCATGTCTTGATGCAAATTTATCTCCTATTTGAGGAATTCTTGTTGATCTCATACGAACTTTTACAAATTTGAGGCCTTCTGCATTAGTAGATACCATTACCTGGTCAATAATTCCGCTTTCTGTGCTTCGAAGAGGTGTAGAAACATCACGTTTGGTATGAAATTTGGTCCTTTGACCTAATTCCTCAGCATTTGGAGGAATAGGTGCTGTTTTTCCTATTATAATATCATCTCCTGAAACTCTAGTTCCAGGTGCTATTAATCCGTCGTCTTCAATTTTATCATATGTACCGTGTTTTAATTTTAAGCAGTTATTACGCATTGGTTTTTCGAATTCTTCCATAATTTGCATTCCTATTTTTTTTTCTTGGTCCATATAACTCCGATAAAATATACTTCTAAATAATCCTCTATCAATGCTACTTTGATTCATAATGACTGAGTCTTCTTGATTATAGCCACTATAACATAAAATTGCAACGATTGCATTTTGGCCTGCAGGAAGTTCTCTAAATCGAAGATATTCCATTGATCTTGTTGTGGCAAGAGGTTTCTGTGGATAGTATAAAATATTTGCCATTGTATCCATCCTTACTTGATAATTAGTAAGAAAAACACCTATAGCCTGTTTTCCCATAGCAGATTGATAAGTGTTACGTGGAGACTAGAAAAATTAATGTATATCATTGAAACAAAGATCAATAAAACCTGATTATGATCTGGAAATGGAATTATACTTGCACATATTCCAAGAATCATGCTTGGATGAATTTCACAATGTGTCCATAGATATGTATTAGGGTTAACTAAAGGCTTTACACGACGTGCGGGATCAATTTCATCTGCAATTTTGTATCCAGCCTGTATTTGACGTGTTGCCTCTAAATCTTCTGGAGTCATAGCAATCATAATAGTTTCTTCTTCTTCTGCATCAATATATTCTACAATACCATTAGCAACAAGACTACTCCATCCAAATTTCGATTCATTGTCAAGTTCTGTTCGATTCTTATTATCTATAATTTTTTGTACATGCTCTTTCTTTAACATTAATTGACCTCTACAATTACTTTCTGGATTATTGTCAACAATGAAAAGAGGTCGACATACTCTTCCAGCATCTGTAAATATACGTAATTCTTTTTCTCGTATATCCCTTACTACACTCACTTCTACGCTAATATCGAGTTTTCGTCTAAGACTTTTTATAGTTTCAACTAGATGGTAGGGATCACGATGAACTCCGAGCCAAACACCATTAACAAACACTTTTGTAGTATTCGGAGTTGCACTAGGATTGTAGTCTTCAAGATTTTCCATTCCCCATTCTTCTAAAAATTCAATAATAGGAGCTGAAGCACTGCCTACTGATACATATGACATAAGTGATAAATTCTTTACTAGACCACATGCTTGTCCTTCTGGTGTTTCTGCTGGACAAACTAATCCCCAATGTGTATTATGAAGCTGACGAGGTTTTGCAACCTTACCATCTCTACCAATTGGTGTATTTGTGCGGCGTAGATGAGATAATGTTGACGCAAATGTATATCTATTTAGAACCTGAGAAACGCCAACTCTTGCAGACATAATTTTTTTTTGATCACCCCAATTGCCTGTCGCTAATGAATATCTTAGTCCATGTGTTATTGTATTTGATTTTACAGCAAGAGTTAAGTTAAATTCTCTATTTGTTTCAACACATTTTTGCATATATTTATATACATCTTTTGTTAATTTTTTAAAAAGCATTCTAAAAAGATTTGCCAAAAGTGGGCCGGCAAGATCAAGTCTCTTTTTTCCAAAATGATCCCTATCGTCAGGGTCCCGGCGTTCAAGAGCACATAATAAAAGACGATGAATCATATATCCTAAAAAAAAAGCTTTTCTCGTTTCATAACCCTCTGTAGTAGTTATATGTGGCAATAATTCTTTTTGCAAAATATCCTGAGCATAACGAAGACGTTTCTCGCGATTTATTCCAACAGCACTCCCTCTTTTTCCAATAAAATCCAGAGCTACTTCTCTTTCTTGGATAACGAATGCTTCTTCAATACATGGTTTTAACATTTCTAGCATCTGATGATCATTTGGATCATAACAAATATGTTCCATAATGTCTCTATCAGGTACTACTCCTAATGCTCGAAATACAATTACAATTGGTATATCATTCCTAATGTAAGGAAGACATGCTCTAATAGTCTGTCCTGCCTATGTAAAATTAATGGAATTTATAGAATCGCATTTTTAAAAGCATACTCCTTTTTCTATGCTCTTTGACATAAGTTTTATTTGAAAATTACTCATAAGTTTTGAACTTTTTTCAACCGCACTACGTATTTCGGCCACATAACTGACAGCAGATGGTGCTGGTTTTTTAAAAACTTGTACTGTATTTGCTGCACTTCGTTCTTGAGCAATAATAACTTTTTCTGAACCATTTATAATAAAATATCCACCCTGAGTAAACACAAATATTAAAATTGTTTACCATAAATATTATGTTCAAATACCTGATCATACGGACATTCGTTTAATTCATAAAGCTCAGATTCTGGTAGACCATTTAAAATGCAGAATGTTGATCTTAACATTATCGGTATTTTCCCTATAAATACTTTTGATGGTTGCTCGTCTTCCTCTATTATCCATTCTTTATCAGAACCAAATGGTGCACTTGGATCTGTTGCTATCATGACCTTTTTTTTTATATCAACATATAATGGAGATGAATATCTATTTTAGTTATAAATAAAAATATTTTTTTAACAAATATTTTACGTAAGGTTGCGCAGTCTTGCTTCTTGAGGAAACATCAGTTGAGTAGATCCATCTGCTTCAGTCATGCTTGGTTTTGAAAGAAATATTTGCCCAAAATTAATTTCATATCTACGAGTTACATCTCCTTCAATTCCTGTATGTTGTGCATGTTGATCTAATGTAAGAGTTGCATCTTCGTCGACAAGTTCCTGCATAGTATTCTGGATAAACTCATCAAAAGAATCTATTTGAGTTGACACAAGCCCTTTTTCGTCAAAAAAAGATGATATCACTGTCCACTGATCTTCCTGGGTTATTTCTTCTGATACAAAGTTATATGCATAAGGGTCTTCTAAATTATACTTTATGGTCATTTGATGAATCTATAATAAATGGTTAAATGACCAATAAAAGATATATTTTTGCTGATATTAAACAGTTAGTGTGTAATATGAAACTATGGTGTCAGTATTTTGCTGGAATCTTAAATGATCAAAATTAACTATATATTTTCTAAATAATTTCTTATAAAAAATAAATTTAATCGTTTGTAATTTATCGGGAGTTATTTGAAGTATTCAAAAATATTTTATTTTAATAAAGGAACAAAACAATATACAAATCTATCAAAAATGACATTTATTTGCATTATTTTATGATTAACCAGATCTAAATTTATAATTAGAAAATATAACATATATGGACAATAAACTTAAAAAGAAGGAAAGCAATTTGTCCTAAATAGAAATATATAAAATGTTTTGTTTCTATTAACAATAAATACGGTTATATAATGCTCCGGATGATTACCATGTGTGACATAACTTCCAAAGTTTCTTCCTACAATACAGTGCCATGTTGTTCCAAATTTTTTATCAAACTTTATTAAAAATTAAAATCATTTTCAAAATAAAAACACCTATCATAACCTCATTTTTTATATATGCTGCTATGTCCTAGATCCAGTAAGATATATTGTTTTTTTTAAGATATATATGTTACTTTTTCGACGTTATATTTTTTTATAGCGGAGATTGCTAGTTTAAAATAAGATATAAATATTTGGAAAAAAATGCATACCACAGTCAATTGCATCTATCTTCATATCCTCGTTCTTGAAATCAATGGTTAGAATTTTATAATGTTTTGTCGAATTACCATATCAACTGATTTTATAATAGCTGAAAATTAAGTTAAAAACAATTTAGGTTGTTTAAGTATTACCTTTATTTTTTGAAATAGATATACATTCAGTCAGATCTTTGGTAGAATTGTTATTAATGTCCGCCATTTTTGTCAAATAATAAATGGATTTATTGGTGTATTTTTAAAATGTTATGTAATTTTCGGTATTTTAAAATGTTGGAAAAAAATATTTATTTGTATGTGAATAGCTGTTTTCTGCAAAATAGAGTACGTTGAAGAATGTCAAGGATTATTGTAAAGAATTTGCCTAAATATTTAAATGAGGATAGATTCAAGGATCATTTTTCAGCTTGTGGAAAACAAATTACTGATATTCGACTTGTACGTTCAAAAAATGGAAAATTTAGAGGTTTTGGGTTTATAGGTTATAAAACTAAAGAAGATGCACTAAATTCTATTAAATATTATCATAATACTTTTATTGATACATCTAGAATTAGTGTTGAATATGCAAAAGAAGTAATATTATATATTTTTATATAATAATATTTAATTTTATATATTTTCAGGTTGATTTTGTAACTCTTGGGTTGCGGAATACATTTAAAAATGATAAATTTTCTTTTAAAGATTGTATCCATAGTGAAAATAATAAATTAGCATTTGATGAATTAATGGAACAAAAACGAGAAAATAAAAAGCCATGTATATCTTTAGAACATGTTCAAATAGGATCTTCTGGTGATTTTTTTGGGAAAAATGACGATGTTTTTTCTAAGAATAAACTTGATTGTTTAGATGATTCAATTGATGTTAATAATAATTCATTATATTCACACTCTGTTTCTGATGAAAAAGCTAATAATATGCATTCTTATAATAATTTTTTGCATTGCAAAGAACAGACGTATGGATGTTCTAATTTACATAATTTTAAAAAATCATTCGATGTATCATATGTTAAGACTATGACTAATGACGATTGGGTAAAATCTAAATTAAAACAGATAAAAGAATTAGGTGATGAAAACTGCAATGACTGTAATTCTGATGATGAATTGGATAATCAAAATTCATTTTTACATGAAAAAAATGTTTCTGGATTAAATAATGATAATGTGCTTTCTTTAAAAGAACAGATTCTTTTATCTGGAAGACTTTTTGTTAGAAATTTGCCATATAGTATTTCTGAGTCTGAACTGAGAATTGTATTTGAAAATTTTGGAAAACTTATAGATGTAAGTTTTAAAATTTTAAAATAAAATATGATAATTGTTTATGATGAAAAAAAAATATGATAGGGACAACATAAAAATTAGTTAATATATGTTGAATATTAATGGAATCGTATTCATACCTGATCTTTTTTTGAATTAAATTTTTACATGTTTTTAAAAGGTTTAGCTAATGCTGAGATTAGGTTCATGTTCCTTATGATTCTGTTTTGAACATGACAAAAGGGTTTGCTTATATTCTTTTTGAAAATCCTTCTTGCGCATTAAACGCATATGAACTCATGGATGGGCGTGCTTTATATGGTCGTCTTATACATATTCTTCCTGCACGAGTTAAACGTGCGTCTGATAGATCTGAAAGTTATAATGGAACGAATTTTAAAAATGAGAGAGCTAAAAGACGGAAAATAGATGCGCTCGATAAACGGTTTTCATGGAATTCGCTTTATATGAATGTAACTTATTTTTATTTATGATTTGTTTGGATATGTTCTTATATGATTAGCCTGATGCTGTTATATCTTCTGTTGCAGATAAACTTGGAGTTTCTAAGACAGATATTTTAGATCCAACTTCTTCAAATTCTTCTGTTAGACAGGCCTTAGCTGAAACATATGTTATTCAAGAAACAAAAAAATATTTTGAAAAATCGGGCGTTAATTTGGAATCTTTTTCTGGTTTTGAACTTGATGATTATGTATTATTGGCAAAAAATTTTCCGTATGGTACAACTTTAGATGAATTATCTAAATTGTTTGGGAAATATGGTACTCTTGGTCGTGTTTTGTTGCCTCCTTCTGGAACTATTGCTATTGTTGAGTTTTTGGAATCTAAGAGTGCAGATAATGCTTTTAAGTGCTTATCTTATAGGAGGTTTAAGGATTCTATTTTATATCTTGAAAAGGCACCATTAAACATATTTAAAGAAAAATTTGATTCTACTATCGATTTGCAGACAGCAAATTCCCAAAAATCAAAAGCAATTTATGATATCGATATTAATATTGAAAATGATAATGTGAACGACTCTGAAAGAGCTATTCTTTTTATAAAAAATCTTAATTTTTCTACTACTTTAGATAGTTTAAATAACGCATTTAGTCCGTTTGATGGTTTTGTTAATGTAGTTATTAAAACAAAGTCTGATCCAAAAAGGCCAGGAAATAGATTGAGTATGGGTTTTGGTTTTGTTGAATTTAAATCTCGTTATCATGCTTTATTGGCCATGCATGTTATGAAAGGTTATGTACTTGATGGACATGTTCTTCAGATTAAAGAATCTCAAAAAAATAATAATTTTTCTCTAAAAGATAAGATAAGTCAGAATAAATGCAAAATTGTAATTAAAAATTTGCCATTTGAAACTACTAAAAAAGATATACGAGAATTATTTGGGTATGTTTTGGGATTTTTTAATATTTTATTGACATTCCAGATCTTATGGCTATTTAAAGTCTGTTCGGGTTCCTAAGAAGATTGATAACTCTATTCGTGGTTTTGCGTTTGTGGAATATGTTACGTCTAGAGATGCAAAAAATGCTTTTAATATTTTGAAAAATACTCATTTATTAGGGAGACATCTTATATTAGAATGGGCTGATGATTCTGTTGTGAATGACTCTGATAATAGACAAAAATTAGTTGAAAAAAATTAAATGTTGATGATAATTTGAATAAAAAAATAAAAAAAAATGGGTTGGAAGTTTGTAATTGAAATAGATAATGGTTATTTGACATGATTTTTATATTATTTTTTATGAGTTATTAATTATATTTTTTCAATTATATATACAATTATATTTTTTTGTAATTTATAAATCTCCCTGTCGATTAATGTTATCTATTCGATTGATAAAACTATATGTATCTAAAGTTAAAATATATTATGAGGTTCTGAAGTTATATATTAAGGCTAAACGATTTTATTTATTTGGGTCATATCAATTTTATACGAAATTACGACGGAATAAAACAATGGCTTTACTTGATAATAGAACTTCTGTTTTAGAAAAAATAGAAAAATACGAGTCTGCTTTGAAAGATTCCTACATGATGATTCGTTCTTATCCTCGTAATATAGAAGTAGATGATAAAAATATTATTTTATGGTAATTACTTATGTTTAAGGGATATTTGCGAGCAGGAAAAATATTGCAATTGATGAATAAACATATTAAAGCTATTTACATATATAAGCTTGGAATAAAATGTTTGTCTCATGATTTAAAAAAAAAGAATGTAATTATTACTTTGTTTTACTACACTTAATAATTTTTGGAAGTTATTAAAGAAACTGTTTTTTTCTACATTGAAAAATATTAAAAAAAATAAGGTAAATATTTAGGAAATGCTGTATAAGAGGGCTAATGATGAAGTCATTAGTTTTGCAATTTGATATTTTTCGAAAATTTCCTATGGAAATTATTCTAAATATATTTTATTATTTATCGTTTAAAACTATTAGTTTATGTCTAAGAGTTTCAAGGAATTGGAGACAAATGATTCTATCTTTGGATTATTTATTTTATAATTTAGATTTTTCATTTGCAAAAAAGACTGTTTCTTCAAAAATTATTTTATTGAATATTAAAAGGAGTCATAATCTTGTTCAGAAAATAGTATTAAATCATAAATGTGTTATTAATGATTCCGTAATTACATATATGTCTAGATTCTGCAAAAAACTAACACATTTGACTTTAACTAAAGGTTTTGATTCTAATTTGTTTTTATGTTCTTTTAGTGCATTTTCGTCGCTTTTATCATTAGTATTTCTTTGTGAAATTGAACTTTCTTTTATTGCACAGGTGATGTCTAATGCTCCTGATAGTCTTCAAAAAATTGAAGCGAGAAAACTTTTAGTTAATTTTATTCCACGTTGGGGTCAAAAAATAACATACATCAAAATAATAAAATTAATTCGAGTTGATATTTCTTTCTGTAGTAATAAACTTCGTATTTTTGATATTAGTGATATGTTAAGAATAATTCCAAAGGCTACACAAATTTTTCTTAATAATTGGATAGAAATTTTGGTATTAGATTCATATGGTTTTTCTCATTTGGATAAATTGGATGTTTTAGATCTATCTGGATCTAGGCTTTCTCGTATACCTTTAATGCCTAAATGTTTACTTAATCTAAATCTTTCATATTTACTTGAAACTGATTTATCATTTTCTTCTTTGAATTTTGAATGTCTAAGGTGTTTAAATTTGTCATATTCTCCTAGATTATATTCTGATACGGTAATCACGTTAATAGGTTATTCTGGATCTAGTTTAAAAGAATTATTTTTGGATTACTGTCCATTGATCGATCGACATTGTATAATTAATATTGTATCATCATGTAAATTTATCGATAAATTATCATTGAGTGGTAATTCATGGGTTGATGATTCACTTTTAGCAATTATTATTAGTGAATTAAAAGTGCTGAAATATATTGATTTATCTAATTGTTTACATGTTTCGGGTTCTAGTATTGTTGAACTAGTAAAAACTCATTTGTCTTCTATTATTCGTATAAGATTAAATGGATGTTATAATGTTTCATTAGATGCAGTAACATGGATACGGCAATTAGGTATTAATATTGATTATAGTTTTGAAAACAATTATGCTATTAAATAATTATTTATTAAATTATATAACCATTAAATATTAATAATATCATAAATTCACTAAAATTAATATATGGTTTAAAAATAATAATTATATGAAATATTTTCTACTGTTTTTGTAAAAGGTTGTAAAGATTTAATGTAGATTTAGAATATAAAAATAACGTATATATTTAAATTAGTATTATATTTTATAAATTATAAAATATTATATTATTTAATATTATATTTATTATATAATAATTTCATTGTAGTAATGAAATAATCATGTATATTATTCTATATTATTAATATTTCGAAAATAAAAAATATTATATGATTATAAAATTATATTTCCAATATATTTTAATAAAGAATCTTTAACCTATACGCTTATACTATTTGTATATTATTAAAACATATACAAATAAATAAATAAATAATGTAAAATCCTAATGTAATCATATTTTTATATAATATTTAAATGCTAATATTGATATAATTAAATAATCATTATTATTCAATTTTAAAAATATACATAGATAAATTTATATAATTGTATAATATATTTAATTGTATGTTTTTAGATGTTATGTATTATATTTTTTATCTAAATTAGTATTTTTTTTAAAACTAAATATTATGTAATGTAATTAAACAATTCAATATATTTTTTTTTCAAATATAATTACTTTTATTATCTAATCATCTCTTATCATAATTTTATATTTTTTCTTACATGTTATAGTACAACGTATAAACATTTTTAGAAATCATTATACTTATAAATAATTTTCAATTTATTTTATTAATATTTATAAGATTTACAACAAAAATATGTAATTATTGAAAATCATTATGTGAATTTATGATCTAAATTAACATTATATATAGAAATCTATATATTTTTACATTACTACGCTATCTATTAAAGATGTTTATTCAACACATTTATATTACATTTTTATTAATTTCAATTTAAACACAAAAGCATAAATTTAATATTTTTTTCTAGAATTAAAATGTTTATTGAATATACATTTTAATATTATATATTTAATAATATTTTTTTTATATAATATTTAAATAACCATTATTTTCAAGCCAAGTTCTTACATCATCATAATCTCTAGAAACCCATGATGCTTTAGTTCTAATAGCATCTAATGACTGTGAAAGCGCTTTATCAAACCTATAACGTTCATTCATTAATCATAATAAATAAAATCAAGCAAATCTTACGCCTGAATTTTTTTATCTTTAAAAAAAGATTCAATCTCATGTACACTAGACATAGATGTAAATCCAGAAACCATTAATTGTACAACAGTTGATTTCAAACTTCCAACAGTGCTTGGAATCAAATTATCAATTTTATCCCAATTTTCATTACAAAATTTCCATAAAGCCTTTATACCTTCGGAATGAGTTTTTAAACTAAAAAACGTTAATATATATTACTACTAAAAAATCATGTTTACCCAATAAGAGGCATATAAATATCTTGAAGTTTAACTTCAGAAGAAAGAATCAAATTAAGAGTCCGAGAAATTAAATGAGGCACACGTGTCAAACCAAGTTGTTTCAAAGCAGTATTTTTTTCATCACTAGAAGTAGCATTCTTACTTATAGAATAAACAATGTTCCACTAATCCAAATAAAACTACTAATACGTACATGTAAAAATAATACCTCTTTTTCCAAACCATATTGTATAGAAATTCCAAAAACATGGCTAAAACATATATTAATATATAATTCACATATATCAATTTAACATACGCCCTAAGATCAGGATGTATTGCTGTCATATCACCATCCACATAACGATACAACATATCTTTAGCAATGGAAATTATCCTATAGAAAACAATTATTCAATCTTATAATAAAATGATCAAGATATGATACTCTTCATCTCCGGCTTTACCAGCTGTTCCAAACAATAACGTTTTAAACTGTCTTTCAATATGACTGTTATTCGCATCAAAATCCCATCCAAGTTTTCTAGCTTTATCAGAGACTAATGTTCTTTTAAACAATCCTAAAGCATGCTTAATTTGTTCACTTTCAAAGATAAAAGCTGCTTCTAAATTTTCTAATCTAACGATAGTCTCATTCCACACACTAGAAATATTAATAATAATTAATATAATAATATTCTTTTACACAAAATTATCTTCATTATGCCATCCCAATATCAATGTTAACAAATCACTAGTTCTACAATAACCACTCTCAGCCAAAGAACCAGTATCAGCAACAAGACCAACTCGATCTTCAACAGTTAAGAACTCTGGATTACTTATAGAAATAGAACCCAATCTTTGTATATGTTTTGAAGAATATAAAGTTCTATAAATTCCCGAATGTCCAGTATTGATTTTATAAAAACCTTTCTTTATATTGCTTATAGATATATGAAATTCTCTTTTATCTAAAATCAAATATGAATCAGTAGTTATTTTGCCATCTATTGACATCGTTTTAAACATCAAAGGAACCCAATAAATAGTTGTGTCATCTTCAGGCTTTACATCACCAGACGCAAGAAATCTGTTCTGTCGTACTATTATCGTATCATCATTCTCAGAAACAGTTAAAACAGGGTACTGTTAATTGTTTTTTTTTAGCAACAATAGACCATATAATAATTACATACCCCAACATTCTCTGTCCAACATTTCATAAATTTAAGAATATCTTTACCACTTTCATCACTTAATGCTTTCCATAAGTCATCAGTTGTAGCATTCCCATAAGAATGATTTTTGAGATACTGTCTATTCATAGTTAATTACAATATAAAACATATATTAATTTATAAACCTAATGCCAGCAAGAAAAACATCTTCACCAAGATATTTAGATAACATGCGTATCACAGATGACCCTTTCGAATAAGAAATAGCTATTTATTATCAAGAAAGATTTATTTAATTCTTTTAAATTATACCATCAAAAATTTGATTAATTTCTTCAGAACTTTTTACAGGAACTTGAATAGGATGACTTGAGCGAAACCCATCAAATCTCAATGCATTCTGTAAGCTTCCCTAAAAGAAATCAACAAAAAAAAAAAAAAAATAATAATTACAGTAATATAAGTTTGCCAAACTTTCCATTCAGGATAGAATGTATTACAAGAAAACCAGGACATCCTTTATATATTAGAACTTAGCAAAAAATATTAACTATTCAAACCATGTTGCAAAACCTTCATTGAGCCATAACTGAATTATGTAAAAAAAATAAAAACATCAATAATATATCCTTACACCATCCCAAAAATCCATAGTAACTAAATCCCCAAACCACTGATGTGCAAGTTCATGTTGTACAACTTCGGCTACCCTTTGTTTCGTTGAAGCACTACACGTTTTTTCATTAAAAAGCAAATCCACCACACGATATGTTACAATTCCCCAATTCTCCATAGCACCAGCAGAAAAGTCAGGAATAGCTACCATATCCAATTTAGGTAAAGAATATGGTATATCAAAAGTTTTTGAAAAAAAATCAAGAGTCTTAACAGCAAGTTCAAGAGAAAATTTACCATCTTGTGACAAATTCGATAATGGAGAATATACTCTTACGGGAATTTTAGGCATATTAATTCCAGAAGTAAACATTTCAATATAGTCTAATTCACCGATTACCCATGCAAGAAGCTAATTAAATTAGTCAATAAATTATTTTATCAAAAAACAATATAAAACATAAGTAGACATTAATGGAGTACGACTAAACAAGACTGTCCTTTTATCATCTATAATAGATTCCCTAAAGATATCCATATTTGATAAAATAGTATAACGAACATCTGCAGTAATTTCAACATCAAAAGTCGCCTTGAGAGCAGGTTCATCCCTATAAAAAATTAAAATATTAAAAATTACAAAAAAAAAAAAATACCAACAAGGAAACGCACGGCGACAATCAGTAGCTTCCATTTGAGTGCAAGCAAGCCATTTAATTTCCTTAGTTTTATTATCCTGATAAGACGAACGATAAAATCCACACATCTTAAAAAATGTTTATTATCAAAAAACTAGCTAATTATTATAAACAAACCTTACTATTAATTTCACCTCGAAAATTTATAAAAAGTTTAACATCTATTCCGGAAGGGATAGACTCAAAAAAGCAAAAAGTAGCAGTCTGCTCATCTTTTTCATAAGTAATAGACTCTGAAGGAATTCTAAAAAAAATATTATATTCATATATTTTATATCTTGTTAATACATTCCTTTGATTATTATATTCAAGAAGTACATCAAAGATATCAATATCAACAGAATGAAGAGTAATAGTCTCAGACTTCTTTAAAGTATGTAATGTCACCTCTACCCTCCCATCATAAATAAAATCATCTAAATTGGGATTTAAAGAAACAAAATAATGTATTGGCTTAACATTAGCTGGAAGAACTTTCCTATCTGCCTGAATTGTAGACATACTATATTTTCTTAGGCTATTTAGCTGATAATTAAGTTGTACGATAAAATTCTTTCTATTAAAAAAATATATATATTTTAAAGAAAAAACTAATGGCTGTATTTTTTTCAATCCAAGAAAGCGTTTCCGTGGGTAAAAAATCATGAAATTTTAAATAAATTTTTAAAAAATTAGTCGCAAATTTAAACAGAATAAAAAGTAGATTATAAAAATATTTTTTTATAAAATAAAATGTAATTTTAAAGATCTAAAAAGCACTATAATACTTCCTAATAATTACTAATCTATTTTCTATATAAGATTATAATATATAAATGTATAAATCTAGATAAAAAACAAAAATTAATTTTTTTAAAATATTTTATATAGCGTAAAGAAATTGCCAAATTTTATTTAAAATTTTATCGATAAAACTAATTTTTATTCCGATAAATAGAAAAATAAATTATATTTATTTTTTTTTATTTTCAATAAAGATATAATTTCGATAACAAATTTTTAAGGAAAATTTAAAACAATGTTAAAACTTGATTTTTTTCAAAAAAATCAAATATTTCCATTGGCTTACAATTATACAATTTATAAAATTTATATACAATTTCATTAAATAAACATTATTGTATTTTAAATCATTTATCCATGATATAAAATCATTTTTTTAAAAATATCTAGATAAAATATACATTCTAATGAAATGTTTTATTTTTTTTTTTTGCATAAATATATTTCAAAAAAAAATACTATAAAAAATCTTAAATTGATTTATTAATTATATTTTAAATTTTAGCTTAAATGACATAATAACAATAACATTAAAACCAATCATGACACATATAATTTCAAAATTGTAAAAATATAATTATAGATACATTTTTAATCAGTTAATATTAGATTTATTTCTTACAATATACTATAACATCTCCTTTACGCCTCCAATCATCAATAAAATGTGAATTAAAAAATCTAGCACACTTTACAATATATAAATCCAAAATATTTTTTTAAATTAGTCAAAACTTACCTCTTTGTACCCTAATATATTAACATGACTATCAATTATTGTCAGTAAATTTTCAAAAAAAACAAAATGAGAAGGCCAAAAAAATCCATCCTGTAATGTAGAGTTAAGACTTTCATAAACAAAATACTTTTGAAGAAATAAATAAGGATCATCATAAAATCGATCAGCTTCATCTCTATATTTTATACTAATATTATTTTGATGTAAACTATACCAATTAATTGAAAAAATATTTAATCAAGTTAAATACCTTGTAGGAGGTTCACATGTCAAAAATCTCATTTGTATATCCGGCCTATGTACATAACTTTGCCATGGAGTAGAATGACATGGCATTAAAAATACAACCCCAAATACATCCAGATTATTCCTTATATATCCCATAACATCTATAACTCCACGTTGATGAACCTGATTAATATACCATATCACAATAACATTAATAATCAGAATTAATGAAACCATTTTCTTTATAATAAACATTGGAACATATGAAATCGATTTAGCTGAAAAAATATATAACAAAGGAGACAAAAAGTATATAAATCTAATTTCTTTATGCTGAATCATCGAATAGCAAAACAAGATAAAAATAATAAGTCGAAAATATATCGTTTTTCTATGTAGATATGCCCCATGAAGACCAAAAGGTAGATATAAAAACAAAAGTATAGGTAAACCTTGGAATAAATAATAATGCCACGGGGATGAACCATAATAAACAGATAAATCATCAATTAAATTAAACTTTAAAAACTTAACAAAAGGAAGTGTCCATCTATTATAATAATAAAAATTAAGTAAAAAAAGAAATAAAAACGAAATAAATCTAATTTTAAATAAGAATTCTTTCTATAAATAATTGAAAACATACCCTATAATAAAAACATCAAAAATAAATTTAAAATTACCGCAAAAAAATAAACATCCTAATAAAAATAGCCATATTAGTATATTTGTAGGCCTTAAAATACACGCAATAGAAACAAAAATAAAAGAAAAACGTAATTCTTTCTTTTGAAAACCTTTAAAATTTAAAGGCCAATAATATAATGCGCAAATTATAAAAACTGTTTCTAGAGTATTGGAAAATGTACGATATCCAAAAAAAATATTAAATGGAGATGTAATAACAATAAATAATGTCCAAAAAGATACCCTCTCACCGTGTAATTTCAAAGAAAGTTTTATAGTATAAAAATCAGAAATTGTTGTAAATATAGCTTGTAATAATTTCGGAAAAATAATTATTAAATAAGAAGAATCATATTTAGTTAGTTTTAAGAGCCAATAAACAATAGAAAATATAAAAGGATAAACAAAATCTCTTGCTCCTTCACGCCATTCCCATGTAAGATATCCATATCCATATACAAATTGGTGCGCTGGCTCAAGAGATTGCCAATATTCATCTGGCTGAAAAAATGTTTTAGAAGTTAATGCAACAAAAAAACGCAGTTGTAATAAAATAAAAAATAAAACAAGTTCTTTATAAATTCCGTGAAATACAAACATATCCTAACACTTAACTAATGTCATTAAAAAAGTTGAATAATATCGATAAAAACTATCGAAAATTTATTTTTATATTTGATGTTTACATGGGTATTACACCCAAATCATTTATTATTCCAAAAGAAAATAAGCTTAACAAAATCATTTAATTTATTCATTCGGAACCAAGACTTTTTAAATTCAATATTAAACAAATCAAAGAGATTTTCAACATATCGTATATTACCGTAAATCAATCTATGATTAAATATAATATATATTTAATAATAATCATAAATTTAGATATAAAAAGAGTCTTATATTTTCTGTCATTTCGGATATTGATTCCTATTCAGCCTTTTTACCGTATTGCTTAGCTTCAAAAGTAACTAAACGTGATAAAAATGGTTTACCACAAACAGCCGATTTAAGAATTGGTTGGAAAAGCTATGATGAAATATTTAGTAGCAAAATAAGTTATATTTCACATGATTATATAATAGTAATAATATATAATTATAAAAAATAATTTTTAATTTAATACAGGCAAATGCTTCTAATCATCAACTTTTTCAAAAATTACAAGCTACGTGGTCTTTAAAGGATATACAAACAACAGAGAAATTAGAAAAGAAAACAAAAATATCTCTTATTCTAGATTTTAGATTTTCTAATCCTTTATATACTATAATTAGCATGGCAGCAATGCCAAGAATTTCCAGTCTTATAATTACTGCATTTGAAAATAGAATTAAACAAATTGAAAAAATAAATTAAGTTTTTTTTCAAATAAAAAATATACAAAAATTTATGCATTTAAAATACAAATAATACTCTTATATATTTTTACAAAAAATATTCAAAAAAATTATAATTTAGAAAAATCAGGGAAATTATCCATTTCTTTTAACGTATAATCAATTAAAAATGATGCCTCAATCAAACCAGAAATTCTTTTATAATGACGTTCAGAATATGGTATGATAACGTCTAAATCTTTTTTAATATTAGAAATTTTCAAAAAATAAGAAACATCATATGCTCGTAAAAGGATATACAATATTCTCTGAGCTATATAAGATGTACGAAAATTCGTATTCCAATCTTTTAAACGGGAAATAATATTAGAAAATTCTTCTAAACTTAATGATTCAAGAATTTGATCTATAATATGAACTCCTTCGATTGAATTGTCAAAGCCAGATGTTTTTTTATTTAATATTTCCTTAAAAAACATCAAAAGTCTATACGGCTGATTCAGTGACAAAGCTAATATAATTGCGTTTTTCCAATCCTGACGCTGAATATAATTAAATAATTGTTGTTCACTATTAACAATTAAATAATAATTAAGAAATATATAAAAATATACTTTTTTATAAAAGAAGATTTCTCATTATCAATTCTCTTTTTTTCATCCTCCGTAATATCTTTCCAAAAATTTATAACAGAATCAGCACCTACAGATACTATTATATCTTCTGACGAAGAAATACACAATGACCAAACCTATATTTTTTTCAAAAAGAAAAAAGGCATTAGCAAAACTTACTCTATCTGTATGATTGTCCAAAGTAGTTACGCATTCACTAGTTTTAATGGTCCATAATTTAATCAGACCATCACTTCCTGAACTTATTATTTGTTGCCCATAAGAAACAAAAAGAACTTTTAATACAGAATTCGTATGACCTTCAAAAGTCTCTAAACTTAATTTAGTTCATCATAAAAAAAAAAAATACCTTCAAACACGAATAATCAGACAAATTCCATAATTTTATTGATCTATCTGCCGATCCAGTAATTGCTGTTTTTTCGTATTGAGAAATTTTCACTGTCCAAACACCTCTTTTATGTCCTTTTAAAACACCCAATACTTCTCCATTATAAAGGTCCCAGACTTTACACATTTTATCTTGAGATGCAGAAACAAATATTTTATTATCATAAGATATATCTAATGCATTGATATCCTTCTCATGAGCTTTTCTTGTATACACAGATTTAATAGAATCTTTTATATTTAATATATTCCACAATTTAATAGTTTGATCTCGAGATCCAGTCAATAAAAAATCAGGCATCGTACCCTTTTTTATAGATGAAAAAGCTATTGAACTAATAGAATCTGTATGCCCAGTAAATATGGCAACATTTACAAAATTGTTAGATTCTGTATCAAATTTCCATAACCTTGCTTCATTATCTTTTGAACCTGATGCAAGCCATTGCCCATTTTTGCTAGCAACAAGACAAATGACAATATCCTTATGTCCATTTAAAAAATTAAAGTCTAAATTAAAACAATTTATTATACTAATAATCCGAGAATTAGAAGCAATAGCAATATGAGAATTATCATTTCCTATATATGTACAATCAATTATCTCACCGTGATATCCTGCTATTTTCCCAAGTATAGGAAACTGTAAGGAAGAGAGAGAATAAATTATTAAAGAATTATCTGATAGAATGGAAAGCAAAATATTTCTTTCACTATTATATCTATATAAAATTAAAAAAAATATAACAAATAATCCAATTACACTATTTCACAAATAGTAATATCTTCCAATTTAGAAACACATATTTGGTTAATTTCTAATCCAGAAACATAATCCCAAAAACGGATAATATTTTTATTTCCTCCAGTTACTATCAATTGACTGTTATCTACTAAAAGACCTTTTGGAAGAAATTGAACGGATTCTATTGTCTTTAAAAATTAGTTTAGAAATTTATAATTAGTCAAAATCATAATAAACCTCATACAAGCACACAGATTTTTTTAATTTAAATATATTAAGATCCCAAAAATTTAAAATCGTATCTCTTGATCCACTCACAAGAATTTTTTCATCATATGAAAAGTCTAAACCACGAATAAGACTTAAATGGCCATCGAGGGTAGAAAGACAGCTAAATTATATTATTTTTTTCCGTCTAAATTATATTATTATACCAATTTTTAACTAAATCCCATATCTTTATTTTATAATCATCAGCAGCAGATGCTAACAACCACCTATCTTTCCTTCTCTTAATCTCTTTAGAGAATTTAATAGCACAAATAACACCACCATGCCCTTTAAAATTGTGAGTATTATATCCTCCTTTTATATTCCAAACTTTAACAGAACCCTCTGCACCTCCTGTAGCTATTAAGCTTGAAGTAACATCCGATTCCATAACCATAATAGGTGCATCATGAGCCTTTAAGGAATAAATAAGATCTCCCGATGGAATCTGATAATGATAAAGCATCAACGATCTAGAAGCTATTATTAATCTAGTTCCATCTAATACCAATGCCAAAGAAGTAATTATTTCTAAATCCTATAAAAATAATAAAAACATTATAATATAATAAATATATTCTAAAAACATACTCCATTTATAAGACATATCTTTTCTCTTGTATCAATATTAGTTATTTTAACATTTTCTCCTAACGAACTGGCAAATGTATATCCATCATTGGACAAAGAAAAACCCCCACCAGTATAAATAGGCTCTATGGTTTTTTCAATTACAAAACTAAATAAAAAACTAGGTAAAACATAATTTATTATAAAATTTTTTACCTAGTTTTTAGAACAGTGGCTTTTGATAGTAAAGACATCAAAATTAATATTTCCTCATCAAGACTTGTATACCTTAACACTAAAAATTCAGAAATTTTATTAAAATAAAAAAATTTAATATATTAAAAAAATTTATAAATATATTAAAATTATATAAAAATAAAAAGAATAATTTAGTAATTGAAGATATAAAAACATCGAAAATGACAAATTCAACATGATTTTTAAAAAATAACTTTAAAACTAAAATTAGATACTTCTAAAAGAATTTTAAATAAAAATTAATATACGTGTTAACAAATACTTCAATGTTTAAAATATAATATCCCTAACTAAATCATATTAAATCTTTTACAATTATGTATTTATAAATAATAAATAATTCTAAAAAATAATATGTTAAATCTAACTAAATCATAAATAAAAAAATCATATAAATAATAAATTAAAATATTTTTTCATAATTGTTTAATTAGATATACATATTTGTATTTTTTTATAATTTATACGAAAAACTAACATCTTCAGGATTTTATCAAATCTTTTTCATATACTATTTATATATATACTCATCTAATTATATACTGTTCACATTTTTTATTTTCATATATTATTACTATTTAATAAATTCATTTAATATAGATCATAAAATTCTAAGCTTTATAAAAATTATTCCATAATTTTATAAGATAAATATCATTTATCAAAATCAAAAAGCACAAATTCATAAAAAAATTATGTATATTTTTGAAATAAAAATAACTCAAACCACATATAAATTTTTAAAAAATATGAAATACACATAACATTGGATTTTAAAAGTATATCAACAAATAAAAATGTCTATTTTTAACTTTTTTTTTTAACCGACTTTTTCATCATAGATAACTCAATTATTTTCTTTATCTTTTAAAAATATAAAACTAACAAAAAACAAAAATAAAAAGATTAACTGCATTTTTTTCACAGAAGAAATATATGTTTTTCTTATTTTTATATCTATTCCATTAATCATCATTTTTATATTTATCTACATAAAAAGAACATCCTAAGACTAAAAAAATCAAACAAAATTTATAATCATATTAATTTAAATCTAAATACAACAATATCAATAGAATTTCTATCAATTTTAATAAAAATACATTTACTAAATCACATTATTTAAACAAATTAATTAAAATCTAAAAAAAAATATTTTATTTACATAACTTTTCAGATACATTAGGATCTACAAGTAATGTCTCTTTAGTATCTAATAAATATAAAAATTAAGATCATATTTCTTTAAAAATATACTATAAAATATTTTTTCTAAAGATTCAAAACCGATAATTTCAAATTTTATTTTAATTTCATATTTTTAAAATGCATAAAAATATAGAAGCTTTAAGAAGATTGCGTATGACAAATTCTTCATGTCCAGAAAACGTTTTAAAGCTTTCAAAACCTATAATACAATCGAATAATCCTAGCTTATTTCGTGATGAAAGTAAATTACGCTCATTGTAAATTAATAACCTTTTAACAATTAGTTTGGGAAATATATGAACAAACTTTTCTTGCATCTTTAGAAATAGGAGATGATGAATTAGCTAATGTCCTAATATTTAAAATATTTCATGGCAACTATCTAATTAGTACAGCAATGTCTTACAGAGCTTTTAAAAAAATTCACTACATCTACATCTGTCATTGCTCTAAAAGGATTATATTTAGAAGCTATAGGTAATACTTCGGAAGCACTTAAGTATTATAATGATATTCTTTCAAAGGATGAATCAAATATTGTAAATTGATGTTATTTGTTAATCATTTACTAAATTATTATATATAGCCTATTTTAAAACGACGAATAACTTTACTTCGTTCATTAGGCAAAACAGAAGAGGCTATAAATGAATTGGTAAAGTTCTTAGACATATGGTATTTAGATGCAGAAGCTTGGGCAGAATTAGCTGATATTTATTTTTCATTTCATTTGTAAACACTGATTTGAACTAATTAATAACGATTATATAATCATAATAGGTACAAAAAGGCGTTATTTTGTTATTCAGAACTATTATTATTACAGCCATCTTCTCATTTAATTCATGCTCGTTGTGCATTAGTTCTATACATACAATCATTCACCAAACCTAATTTACTTCATGCAGCTGCCAAAGAATATCTTAGATCTATAGAGCTCAACGAAAATTTTTTGCAAGGATTTTGTGGGTTAAAAGAGGTAAAAATTCTAATTATTATTTTATATAATTTAATTTCATATTAGTGTTGTATATCTCTTTTAAAACAACCATCTTCATTCTGGAATACTAATAAAAAGATCAATTATGAAATAAGTGTTTTTAAAGAAAAACCATTGAATATAAAAAAAGTTAAATCCTTAGATGAAATAGCTTCAAAAATGCTTAGAAAGTTTTTACATGAAGGAAAACCACCTATCAATGAAAAAAATGTACAAAAATATGTTAAGAGTCTTATTGAATCCTAAAGATATTTAAAAATGAAATTCATATGAAATAAGATTTAAAGATTTATTATTATAATTTCAAGGCTTGATAAACTACCTTTTTCGATAAAAACTGGAATATATACATATATATCTTGTTTATTACCTATAAATATAACAATTTATTATATATTCTAGATTTAGCTTTTAAAATATAATTATCTTCAAAATTATAAAAACTTAAAACTTTAAACAAGAAATATATTAACCTTAATAATTATTGAGTTAATAAAAATATATTCGGGACAAAAGCTCAATTGTATCCGGATTCATATATCTAAATATAACATATTTTTCTATTACTTAATACTATAAGGCCATTTTTAATTGTCAATTTAATGAACATAAAGCCAATGAATTCTAAATAAATCAAAATACAAAAATATATATCAATTCTATAGCTGACAAAGAAATACATGTTATTTAATTTTAAGTATGCAAATTATGCATTCAAAATATTAAAATAATTTATAACATTTACTAAAGTTTTTAACAAGTTACCAAAACGTAATAAATGTTTAATAAAACAAGTAGATATTTCATTTTTTTCATAGACATATGTAAAATCTCTAAAACTTAAAATAACTACTATTAAAAAATCATGAACACTTGTTCTAAATAGTCATCATTTAAAGTCTCCAAATAACAAGTTTTCTAAAAGAATAAATTTTTTCCTAAAAAAAAACCAAAACATACCCATCTACACCTGAACTACTTAAAAAAACAGAAGTTTTATTTTCATACAAAGTAAGTTGTCTAAAAAATGGTAAAAAATATCTTAAAATAGATTAATATACGTTATAGTATTTTGATGTACTGTAGGCATAGTCATATCTTCTACATTTCCCTTCACTAAAATTCATTAATTCAAAAATTTAAAAATCTTTTATAAAAACAATCCATATCCCTAAATGAATTTTTTAAAGTACTAAATGTATGACTTTCGGAATCATTTACAGGAGATTTCAAATGACAATCATCTATTTCTCTAACAAATTTCCTATACGATCAACAAAATCACGACAACAAAACTCGAAACAAACCATCCATTAATATTTCCTTGAAATGATGCCAATCGACAACTGTATCCAGCAAAAATAATTTCAAATTCATTAATCCATACCAAAGTAACATAGGGAAGTTGAGATATGTTTACTGTAAAAATAACAGGAGGATTCTCATTACCAGTAGGGTAAACTATTGTAATAGATGAAGAATGAGCTATATTAATTAAAAACAAAATCAAAAAATATATGTATAAAACTTGTAAAAGCCAGAGCATTTCCAGACGGAGAAAATCTGAACATAAAATTAAGCATCAAAAATGCACATAACACAAATTACTTAGCCTCATAAACCCATCCTCCACTAATACTTGAAAATTCTCCACATACAGTATTAAATGGTAATCGACTCCCCCAAACAGTAGGTTCAGGCCTTTGATCTATATCTTTAATATATGCTGAAAAAACTCGAGCCTAAAAATTAAATATAATTCGAATAATAATTATCTATCTAACCTTCATGTCTGAAGATCCAGAAGCGAGAAGAACATTCGCAGGATGCCAGTCTACAGACAAAACTGTGCTACGAATAGGCTTTTTTATATGTTTGCTAATCCACCAATCATTTTGTTTTTCAAAATAACATACAGATATAATCTTAGCACCACTAGCAACAGCAAACTTGTCTTCATTTGGTGACCAACGAACGTATGTAGCAGCACGATTAATTCTCAAAAGAACAAGAGTTGGCTTCCAACACCCATCCTGTGAAAGATTCCAAACATATGCATTCCTAAAAATCGTCAAAAAATACATTAATAAAAAACTGTATATACCTATCTTGAGAACACGTAACAATTTTGTTTGTACGAGGGGCCCAATCTAAACTTGTTACCAATTTATCATGCTACATTATATTAACAAAATTACACAATAAAGTAAAACATACACCTATCAATGTATTCTTATGATCAAATCCAGTACCCTTATCTTCATATATCTCAACACTATTTTTATTAAGACTTAATGCTACTTCTACTTTTGATTAACTTAATTTTTTTAATAATAAAAAATACGATTTTTAGCCCCATTAAAAGCATGAGCATTAATTGGAGACCCAAGCTGTAATATATTTATCACATTATTAGCCATATTCAATCTTTAATACGCCCTTCTAGGACAATGACATATAATTTTACTGTAAATTCTTTCTAAACTTTCAAATAAGTAACGACTTGAGAATATAAAAAAAACGTTTTAAAAAAACTTAATAACATACTTCTTTATTTAAGAAAATTAGATAATATAGTAATTGAATAAAATAAATTAATAGATAGAATATAATTTGTTTTTTTCGACAAGGTAATTAATGAAAATTAACATGAATTTATAAAAATATTCTATTTAAAAATAAAAAAATGTTAAAAATGATAAAAAGAAAATTATATATATCAAATATTATTAACATTTTTAATTCTTTTTATATAAATTTACTAATCTTTACGAAAAATTAGAAATATCTAAGCAATCTAAAGATTATCTAGAAATTCAAATAGATATATTTCAAAATTTTATAAATTTATAATTTTTATTTAAGATCACTATTAAGTCCACAAGACCCATAATATTATAAAAACTATCTTTCGGAGAATAATTAAAAACATTATAGAAATATTATAAAAAATCAAAATTATCTTACTATAATTGTCTTATTTTATTGTATAGATCCATATTATACAAATAATATCATAGAATAATATAAATAAATAAATATATATATATAGCCACCTAAACTTTCAGCTATATATCTTAGAATTTATACAGACTGTTCCATATAAATTACAAATAACATATACGATATATTAAACAAATTAAAATAATCTTAAAATATGTAGATTAATCATCATCATCTTCTCTTGATCTTTTTATTCCTGATATTATACCTCCCCCTACTGCAGACATTCTTATATCATCTAATTCTGGAGCAGGTATTTTAAAGGTTCCATCAAGCTTTGCTATTGCATTTGATTTCTGCTTAGCATATTCTATCCTCTATACCAATATAAAAAACCATACTGTACTACCGATAAAACATACCATTTCTTTCTCAAAAAAACTAAATCCTTGCAATGCTCTCATTGCTGCTGTAGCAGATGCAACATCTCGAAAAACTATATGAGCCTGACCCCTCATTTTCTTAGTTTTCAACACAACAATATCCAAAACCGGACCATAAACACTAAATAAACAATAAAGACACTGTCTTAAATCTTTTTAAAATATCAGTATTCATTAATATACTTTTTTTAACAAACCTTCTTTTTTAATTTTATCATTTAAATTTTTACAATAAAGAGATACATTAGGTGTATCCATATTTTTAAAAATCTTATATTTATAAAAAAAATTCAATAAAAAAACTACTATTTAATCTTTAAATGTCTTTAAATCTCGTAATCAACATAAAAATATTTTTCGATATCAATCCAACAATTTAGCTCTAAATTAAATAAAAATTATAGTTTACTTTCAAAATAATTTCCAAAGGCAATCACCCTTTATATGAAATTAACATGGGATTTTTAAAGACTATTCTTAAAGTATTAGGAATAGAAAATTTTACACTTAGTTTCATAATAATCATCTTAACACTTTTTTTTCTTCTACATATTTTTCCCCAACTAGTAAGAACTCTAATAAAAATACCAAAAATCTCAAAAAATTAGTACCAAAAAGATCCGTCAAAACCTCCTGTAGTATTTCATTGGTTTCCTTTTATTGGGTCAACTATTCAATATGGCTTGGTAATAATAAATTATCTTAAAATTGACAACTAAAGTTATACAAAGGACCCATATAAGTTTTTTCAAAAACAAAAAAAAAAGGTTAAGGAACCATTATTATATAAATACCTAACTTTCTTAGCATGGAAATATTTTTACTTTTATTTTACTCGGAAAAAAAATGACAGTAGCATTAGGACCTAAAGGCAATGATTTAGTTTTTAATGGAAAATTATCAAGTTTATCAGCAGAAGAAGCATATACTCGTCTGACAACACCCGTTTTTGGCACGGATGTCGTTTATGATGTTCCTAATCACGTATTAATGGAACAAAAAAAATTTGTAAAAACTGGTCTTACTATAGAAACATTTAGAACATATGTACCATTAATTGTCGAAGAAGTAAAAATGTACTTGGAAACTAGTCCAATTTTTGGAAAGAATAAACTGTCTGGTATCTCATCTTTAATGAAAGCTTTGCCTGAAATAACAATTTTTACTGCATCTCGTACTCTTCAAGGGAAAGAAGTACGCAATAATTTTGACGCATCATTCGCGAAGCTTTATCATGACTTAGATGGGGGATTTACTCCAATTAATTTTTTAATTCCTTGGTTACCACTTCCAAAAAATCGTCTACGTGATGCTGCTCAAAAAAAAATGGCACAGATTTATATGGACATTATAAAGCAAAGAAGAAAAACATGTCAACATGAAGAAGAAGACATGATTTGGAATCTTATGAATCAACATTACAAAGATGGCCGTAAATTAACAGATAAAGAAATTGCTCATTTAATGATTGCTATATTAATGGCCGGCCAGCATACCAGTGCAGCAACAGGATGTTGGGCCCTATTACATCTTGCAGAAAAACCAGAATATATGTATTACAAAAAATTCTTAACATAATATACTAATCTAATTAGTAAACTATTACTTGAGGAACAAAGAAAAGTATTTGGAGACAATTTAGACAATCTAACATATGACAATCTTAAGGATATGGAATTGTTGTCTTATGTAATAAGAGAAACTCTAAGATTACATCCTCCTCTTCATAGTATAATAAGAAAAGTTAAATCACCAATTCTAATAGAAGACTCACTCTACATTGTCCCTGAAAATCATTATTTGTTAGCAGCGCCAGGCATCAGCTCAATTGATGAAGAATACTTTAAAAATGCATTAGAATTTATACCTGAAAGATGGAAATACGAAAAAAATACAGAAAATCCCGATAAAATTGATTACGGATATGGTTTAGTTACTAAGGGAGCATTTTCACCCTATTTACCATTTGGCGCAGGAAGACATAGATGTATTGGGGAGCAATTTGCATACGTAAGCCTTAAATTCTAAATATATTTTTATTAATAGTTTAGATGCAACTCGGTACAATTATTACAACATTTGTTCATGAATTAGAATGGACTCTACCAAAAAATCAAACTACTATTCCAAAACCTGACTACGCTGTAAATTCATGAAATATACTTTTTAATAACTACTAAAAATATTTAGAGTATGGTTGTATTGCCAGAAAGACCTTCTAACATTGAATGGAGAAAAAGACAAAGAAATTAATATAATGTTAATTAATATTTATACTATATTAACAGCATTTTTTAAATATATTTTTTTTTGTTTTTTTTTTTTTTTTTTCTCAATTTTAAATAAATCTTAAATATATTTACTTAAATCTTATTTAACATTATCAATATTTTTTCCTATGGACAATTTTTTTTAGAAAAAAATATAAATTTACGGCATAAAGAAAATGAATACCAATAATTAAAAAACATTTAAAATAGAAATCTCTATATAATAGTTATATCTCAAAATATCATCTTACTATAATGAAATTCCTTGATAGCATATTTCTATAATTAACTTATTGTATTTATAATCTTAAAAATTCTAAATATATTTATAACTTTTTTAAAACAATGATTTTTAATTTATCTTTTTTTTTTATAAAATCAAATTCATAATTATCTAATTTTAAAAATAGAATATAAAATGTGATTATTATAATAAGGCAACTTACGAAAATACGCTATTTTAGTAATTTTTATCAATTTATCTTTAAAACCTATTTTAAACCAAAACATCGAATAAAAAGAAAAATAACTCCCTAATACAAGTTAGAATTAAAAATTAAAAAATCAACTAATATTCATATATGTAACAATTTTCATTTAAAACAGGATAAAAAAGAAAATCTTGAAACAAAATTTACTAGGAATCTCCTTTTTAACACATTAATTTATATAATTTATTAAAAAATAATATACTCATGGATAATAAAGTAGAATAAATACATTGCCCATTTTGTCAAAATGTTATAACTTGTTATAGGATAACGTGCATAAAGATATATCTCAAACATATATTCAGCATATAGATCCAGAAGAAATTTATGTACGACAAGAAAAAATTGGTATTTAAATATGAGAAAAGATAAATACGTTTCTTAAAAATAATAGGCTCAGGAAGTTTCGGTTCAGTGTATAAAGGGTAAAAAAAGAAAGAAACATTTACGTGCCATTTATTTATTTTAGCTTTAATAAAAAAACTCGTCGCCCAGTAGCAATTAAAATTATAGACTTGGAAAATACAGAAGATGAAGTAGAGGATGTTATGTTAGAAATAAATATTCTAAGGTAACTACAGTGCTACTATTTTTCTATAATAATATTAATAGTCAATTAAATTCTCAATTCGTTACAAGGTTTTTCTGATAAAAAAATCAACACATATTAAAACTACTAGATATTATGGGTCCTATTTAAAAAATACAAAGCTTTGGGTCTATATAGACTATTTTTTTGATAAAATTTACTAATAATAGACATAGATTATAATGGAATATTGCTCTGGAGGATCTTGCTCAGATTTAGTAATACTATTTAGACATTGTTATCATATTAATAGTGTTATATAGATGAAACCAAAGCCAATAGAAGAAGACTACATAGCAATCATAATTCGGGAAATATTACGAGGTCTAGAATATCTTCATAGCGAAGGAAAACTTCATAGAGATATAAAAGGTATTTTCTTAATTCAACCTTAAAATCTTAATTTAAGAATATGAAGCGGCAAATATTCTTTTGAATTCATCAGGCGATGTCAAACTGGCAGATTTTGGGGTATCTGGACAACTTACTGCTACCATGAGTAAAAAAAATACATTTGTGGGAACTCCCGTAAGACAAAAAATATAGTTTTTAAACCTACTAATTTTCAGTTTTGGATGGCGCCAGAAGTGATCAAGCAATCAGGTTATAGTTTTAAAGTAATTAATGATTTTTAAAAATATTTATCTCTTATTTATAAATTAGGCAGATATTTGGTCTTTGGGAATTACAGCCATAGAATTAGCTAAAGGAGAACCACCATATGCAGAATTACACCCAATGAAAGTATTATTTCTGATACCTAAAAATGAACCACCATTACTAGATGGTCCATTTTCACCTATCTTCAAAGATTTCGTGCGCTTATGCTTGCAAAAAGACACAAATAACGTAATTTCATATATAAAGAAATATTTGTTTATATAGATACTAAACATTGTAGCGTCCAAGTGCTAAGGAGCTTTTAAAACATCGTTTTATACGAATGGCTAAGAAAACATCTTACTTAACAGAGCTTATAGAAAGACACGAGCGATGGAAGGTCCAGAGTAGATATTGCAGATATGATGAGGATTCTGGAGCAGAAAATGAAGAGTATTTTAAAAAAAATTCAAAATCATTTCATTTAAAAATTATAGACTAGCACCTAATACATTTGATACATACTGGAATTTTGAAACACTTAAGTGTGAAACAAAACTGAAAAACAAAATACAATACATAAAAGATCCTTCAAACAAACTCCATAATAACAGAAAGGAAACAGACAAACTTCAGAAACAGCAAGTAGATTACCATATATCTCAACAACTCCCTCCAAACAGCTTTATTGAAATAGATGATTCAGACTATTATTCAAATACAATTCGAGAAATATACTTTCGAAAAGAAAATATACCACCAAGTGAACTTATAAAAGAATCGTTTTCATTGGCACAGATTCCATTAAACTCTAAAGAGGAAACTCTAAGTAATCCAAAATTAAGTCCATATTCCAAGAATTCTGCTCAGATGGAATGCTCAGCTAATAGAAATTGTAATTCCTATGATAATTCTCAACAATCTAATAATTTTATTTCACAAAATCACACAAATCTGACAAACTCTTCACCTAATTCACCAAAAAAACAAACGCAATGGAGAATAGCCATCACTCATGCATTTAAAAAAGTATGCATCACATTTAAACAATCCATAATTTAACCCTTATATAGCTGGAAAAAAGACATTTTACATCATCCGAAACCCTTATTTACGTTAGAAAACTTAAAAAAACATTCCAAGAAATAGAGGAAAATTGTCCAAATTTAATTAATATTTTAATGAATGAAATTATTGCAGATGAAAATGTAAAAGAATATTCAGAAAATATACAGAATTTACAATTACTTTAGCTTTAAGAAAAGTGATGCTACAATTATCTTCCTTTTATCACGAAAAAAATTCTATACTAATACTCTTTCAATTACATTATTGTCAAAATCTTCTGTATTCATTTCTAACAAAAACTTTTAAATCGCATATAATTAAAAATCATGATATCAAAATTTTAGACACAATTTCATCAAAATATTATTCAACAAATTTCCTTTTCATCCTAAGTGTTTCTTATAATTTATTTTAGTCAATGATCTATATTCATAAAATTTTACATAAATATGCTGAGCTAAGCAGTTTCATACTAACCTTTAGTACATTTAACAATAATATATCATATATAAAAAATTAAATAAATCTAAGTGAAACTTAAATGCCACATCTAAAGTATAAAATTCATCTATAAATTATTTTTTTTTTTCATTTTTTTGCAAAATATTTTTAATATTTATGATTTTTAAATATTTTTAAACATTTTTTTCATTTTTAATTCATGAACCTTCTAAGCATATTTTCTGATATTCCATATGATTCTTTATACTTTAGATATTGAGTAAATTCCGTTTTATAAGGTTTTCCTCTAACAAATCTCGTTGAAAGACTACTACCCAAAATATTCATATGAATCTTTGGAAATATAACATGCTTATTATACGAATCAAGACTTTCAGTATGAAAATTTTGATTATTTAAACGTCCTAATATTTCATTTAAATCATTTAAACCAACCGGAGAAAAAGAAGAATCCAAAATAAATTGCTTCTTTTGAATAAAACTAGAAATATTTCCTGTTTTTCCATGGTAATTTTTCCCAAGACCTAGCCCAGGCTTCCATCCATAAGATAAAAGATGCTTAAATCCAAACCTATTTATATCTAAAAAGATAAAAAGACTAAAATTAAAGAAAGTACACACACCTTTTACCCATTTCATATTTCTAGGATCCTGCCCTATTTTTTGTTTATTTCTTACTTCTGCCAAACCCATAAAAATAAATTTTTTTATCGTAAAAAAAATATCGTTTCATTAAAAAATTCAACATTTTTATAATATTCATTCATTTTTTTATCTATTAAGTTATATGCCCTCTGAAACATCTATTCATTCCTAATCCCTACAAGCATTGTATATTTTTTTCAATAACTCTGCAATATTTACGAAAATTAAACGCATATATATTTTAAAAGCAAAATATTTACGCTTTCTATCAAATAAGAGAAACTATTGAATTTTTCCGGTTTTTTATATTTAAACACGCTTCTTTGCTTTTAACATATTCTTGACTTATAATGGCTATAAGAAACAGCTTTCATCAAAAAAAAAAAATACCATCATCACCTTCTGGAGACTCTAACAATGATGAGTGATTATAAAAAAGAAAGAAAATTCGAGATTTCTAATTAAATAATAGCCTGTTTTCATTTGAAACAATGATTACAGAATTTAAAAGTTTATATTTACATTTAATGTTTAAAATACTAACTTTTATCATAGACAAATCTCATGAAAGAAGAAGAAGAAAACATAATGAAATTCAATCACTATATTTAAAAAATATGAATTCCATTGAGCAGAAATTGAAATCTATTATAACAAAAAATAAAACCAAAATGTAAAATATATTTTTCATTAACATTAGAAACAAAACTAATAACATTGTAGAGCTAAACAAAATTTTAGAAAAATAGAGCAATTAAAGCATCTTCTTAAACTTAAAGAGGAAAACGAAGAAATGCTATTAAAAGAAGTAGAAGCAATAGAGGTATTGATAACATTATTTATTTGAAAAATTAACAATGCAAGATAATTTTCAATAATGTAAAAGAAAGCTTATCAACAAACTTTGAGAAATCCACATAATATAAATAATTCTTAAATATAGCTGGAATGTAACTATATGATAATAAATAATATATCCAAGACTAATGATTATGCAATATAAACTTTAAATATAATTATTATACAATACTGATATCATATATTCCATTGATTCTAATAATTTATCTAATATCTTTCTATTCTATACAAAATTAAAAAAAAGTAATTTAACTTGTCATTTTTTCTTTATAGCTTTTTTTACATTTATTTTTCCTCTCTTTTTTACAAGCCTTTGAGTGTTTTAATGTCTTCTTGATTTCTTCAATTTTATTTAAAAGTTCAAGATTATTTTCATCTTCATCTATATTGAATTTTTGCAAAGCTGTCGTATCTATTTGAAGAACACTTTTCGAAGATTTATTATTATATAAATAATTTATCTTTTCGCTTTCACTATCCGATATTATTACATTTTCCGGTACTTCATCAGGAATAATCTCTATCGATTTTAAAACAGTATTTCCCTCAACATTTTCCAACTTATATTTTCCTTCTAATTTCTATTAACTAATATAATATTAATAAGAATACTACTTTTTTCCATCAAAGTATCATGTATTTCTAACTTGACAATTGGAATATTATTAGGCTCATTCATATCTTCCTGGGAAAAAGACTGACAAGTTGATATAGTGTTTCCAGAAATATAAAATGAATCATTAAAAAACTTTTCTTTTTTATCTTGAAGATATAAAAATCCATAAGAAAAGCCATTTAAAGAATCTTCTATATTTTTCCGAACTAATAATCTATGAGCAAATGTAAAACCATTAATCAGAAAACAAACCTGGAGGATATATCCAATTTTCTAGATCTAGATCTACAACTGGAATTTTTCTTTGTGCCTTTGGCGCAACTGGATTAAGGTCATCCAAAAACATTGCTAATAAAATATTATTAAAAAAAAAGGATATTAAATGTGATGTATTAGAAAATTGATTTAAACATAAAGACTTATCCATATCATCAAAACTTGAAACAGAGTCGTCGGATTCAATAATAGATTGTACAATCCTAAAAACTTCTCTAAATTCTATTGCACGCTGTGAAACTTCTAAATCTTTAGAAGTACAAAACATATCTAAAAAAGAAATAATCTTTTGAATCCAAACCAAAGATTCAGTCTTTTTTTCCATATTCCAATATACATCTTGCTTAAAAATCCAACTAACAAAAATTTTTGGTATAGCTTGAATATAAATTTTTTGTATATTTGTAGAAAAAGTTAAAACTTTAGGAAGAAGCATACTTTCAAAAATTTCATAATAAGAATCCAACAGACTATAATTCTTTAAAAAAAGAATGATCCAAATTTTCAATACCTTGAATATTCACCTACTATCCAAGCAACAAAAGACAAAACACCAATATTACTTTCAGGATCATAAATACTATCAATCAACTCTGAATCATAAAGAAGAATAGAAAAATGCTTTATGGAATATGGCCTTGCATTTTTAACTCTAACACTTACGTTTTGCATTTCAACACCTAGTATTTCGGCTACATTCACCTTTGAAATTTTTACCAAACTAGTTAACACTGATATATACCAATTAAAATCCAAAATATTAGCATAAGAGTCTTTAGATGAAATTGATATAATCCTATTTACTAGACTAACACGATAATACTTTGGCAATGAATCAAATGGCAGCAATAATTGAGACATTAAATATTTTACAATTTGAGAAAGATTATCCTTATTAACTAGATATCCTACCAAATCCAAGGAACGTAACCGTATATCCATATCATTGTTTTCAAAACATTCTAAAATAATATCCTTAAATCCTAATACTAACGTAGGATGAGTAATCACGAGTTTAGATAAAGCCAACAATCCAACGTATTTCACTTTATATTTCAGTATAATAATAAAAAATAACAATGGAATTACAATTTTGGTCCGAAACTTCAAAAAAAGACCTCAGTTTAGACATACACAAAGCAGTTAACAAATCAGATTCAGGATTATCTTCTAAAAATTTTCCAGATATCATAATATTTATACATTCATATCTAAGGGACATAGACGATGTATCTTGTATAAGTGTTGTCAAAACAGGTATAAGTTTTTTGACTAGTCTTGGTTCTAAAGGTATCATAGACGAAAACTATAATTGTTAGATAAACAAAAGTAATAATCAATTACATACTATTTTAACCAATTTAATAAGTACCCAACCGTCAGAAGATGTTTTTAGTAAATTATAGAAAATAGGTACTAATTGTAAATAATTTTTAGGATTCCTAAAGGAAAGTTCACATATAACATTAATAGTAGCACATATAACAGCTATTTCAAACATTAAATATATTAAAAATGAAAATTAACTTACACTTATTTGAATCTTCTAATTTTTCACAAAGTTTCGAAAATATACTTCTCAATGCATCAGGATATTGTAAAAATACCTTATACATCATTAAAACAACTCTCTTCCTAATATATGGACTGGAATGATTCATCAAAGAGCATAAATCATACAATAAATCTCTAGAAAGTTCTGGAGTAACCACTTCTGACAAAGCATTAATCGCAATTGCAATATCCATATAATTAGAAGAAGTAAGATCCTGAAAATTTAAATAACATTAAATACGCACAATTAAATATACTTTTTTAATAAGATTTGTACTTAAAACTAGAACATCAGTATCTTGACGGAACGTTAGACAAGAAGCCATATAACCAATTCTTTTCTGAAAAAAGTTTGTAGAAGACATAACTTCTATAATATTAAACGATGCCCATGACATATCATGACCAAACATGACTAGCTAAAAAGCCTAGTAAGATACATAAGAAACAAAGATATCCATTTACATATGATAATTTCAAGATTGCCATAGTTTTTATATTAAGATCCAAAGATTTTACTTCATTTTGACACTCCATAATCGCTTTCTGAATATATTTTTCTTGATTCTTATTTGCTCTAAGACAGCGAATAAGATCTGTCAGACTTTTCTCAAACACCATGCTTTTAAATTATCATTATCAAATTATAATTTACAATTATTTTTAACATCGTTTAATTTCAAAATTATTAAAATCTAAAATATAAAAAATATACTGCTCTAATAAAACAAATCCATAATACAGATAAAAAACCTAAATTAAAATTTCCTTTCAAAATACATATATTTATTCAACCTGAAAATATTAATAATAATAAATAATATACACATTAGTATATACAGTAATAGATTTTGCCAAATTTCTAGGATGATCAACATCATACCCTTGAAATATAGCAAGCCAATAAGACATCAATTGTAATGGAATAATATTTAATATACCCTATATAAAAATTACAATTCTATTTATTGAACATATTAACTATACTTGTAAACAATCAACAGTTTCTGGAACACGAACAATTCGATTATCCATATCCTCATATGACGTATCTGATTTACTAAGAATAATAATAGGTTTTCCTTTACGTGATAATACTACAAAATTAATATATATTATAACATACTAGTTTTTTACTACTTTGCTGAACAGTACTTCGAACCTTTGGATAAAACTTATCTTTAGTCATAAATATAATAATTGGGAAATTTTCATCGACTAATGCTAAAACACCTAAAACTATAAAAAACCAATATAAAAAATATTATTCTAAAAACCATGCTTTAATTCACCAGATTGAACACCTTCTGAGTGTATATATGATATTTCTTTTATTTTTAACGCCCCTTCCAAAGCAGTTGCATGTTGATAGCCTCTACCAACCAATAACAAAGAAGAATGTTTAAGAAGTGCATCCTGACTTAATTTCTTTATTTGAAGATTCATTGCAAGTATTTCTTGAATTTGATCACTAAGATATGACAAAGCATCTATAATTTCATGACGACGTGCTTTTTTCGAAATAGAATCTTCAGAAAGAGACAAAGCAATTAAAACCTTAAACCATTAGATAAACTAAATATTCTAAAAATACATTCAAACCATAACAACAAATTGCGAGGTATACGCTTTTGTAGAAGCAACACCAATTTCAACACCACAATTAATATGCACACCGCAATGTGTTTCTCTTGAAATAGATGAGCCAACGACATTCACAATACCAAGAGTTAACGCTCCACGTTCTAAACAATATCGAAGAGCTAAAAGGGAATCCACCGTTTCTCCAGATTGAGATACAAAAACACAAACATCATCGCGAAATACAGAACATTGACGATCAAGAAAATCAGATGCTATTTCTACTGTCACAGGAATCCCTGTCAATTCTTCCATTAAAGAACGAGTCTATAGATCTTAGAATCATTCTTTTATAACAAAAAATATTACAGCCAAACAAGAATGATATGATGTCCCACATGCAATAAAAATCATCCTTCTACACTTTCTTAATATCGGCAAGTATGTCTTCAATCCTCCAAGAGTAACAGTTTTCTTCTTAAAATCTATACGGCCGCGCATAGTATTAATAATTGATTCAGGCTGTTCAAATATTTCTTTTTGCATATAATGGTCAAAATTTCCCTTCAAAACATTTGCCAGTTCTATTTCCAAAGTCTGAATTGATCTAATAGGAAGTTCACCATCTTCACGATGAAGACGATGTATACGAAGTTTACCATCACGAATATGTGCGATATCATCATCTTCTAAATAAATAACACGTTTAGTATACTCAATAACAGACGAAGGATCAGAAGAAAGAAAAAATTCAGCAGATGTAGAAAACTCCTTATCATTTACATATACTCCAGATTGATTACATCTAAAATTAACACTAAAATAGTAAATATGTATCAAAATTTTAAAAATAAAAAAATATTCACTAACTCTTCACTTATAGCATCAAACGAAATATCCTTGATATCCGAAAATTCAACATCTACATAATCAGAATTAATATTTTTTTCCGTTTTGACACCAACTATAAGAGGAGATCCCTTTTTTGTAGCAATAATTTCATGTGGAAAACGAGTGCTCTTAATAAGAAAAGCAAATGCACCTTGTAACTCTTTAATCAACATTTTTGAAAGGGTAACAAAATCTATATTTTTATTTGTATCGTAAATATATTTAGCCAATTTAACAGCACATTCAGTATCAGTGTCTGTTTCGAAAACATAACCTTGCATCTCCAAAACTGTTCTAAGCTCCCTAAAATTTGTTATAATTCCATTATGAACAGCCATAAATTCATATTTATCATCTGATCTAAATAAAAATTAATATACGGTTTTATAATATTAACTTAAATTACCTGTGAGGATGACAATTTAAACGATTTGATTCTCCATGAGTTGCCCAACGAGTATGGGATATACCACAATGAAATAAATATGTCTTAGAGAGATTATGTAGCCCCTTTTGAACAAGTTTACGGAGCTCAGAAACTTTCCCAACTTCTTTAAAAACAAGAACTTCTCCTTCATTATCTCCATCAATAGCAAGTCCAGAAGAATCATAACCACGATATTCTAACTTTAAAAGACCTATATACAACTATATATTAACTTTATATAACACTAACAATATATAAAACATCACCTTCCAACAAAACATTAAGAATATATGACCGTTCACGCTTTACACGGTGATTTACATAACCAAAAATCCCACTAAAATAGATATTAAAAATTCCTATAAATATAAATTCTTTATTATTTACCACATTTTAACAATTATAATAAATTATTTTTATAATTTTAAAGTCTTAATGCAAAATTATCTTACGATAAAATATTATTTTCTGATAAATTATTAATTTACATTACCTTTTCCACAATTTCTTAAGAAAAATAAAATATTTATTATAGCTCAAAAGCCAAAATAAACAAAATATAATTTATAAATACACAATTATTACATTAAACCATAAAAATCTGAATTTACATTTTATATCAAACTAAAAATAATAATAAAAAATAATTAAAGAATGTATAAAAAACTAAATTAAATATCCAAGCGTATAAAAATAAAACAGCATAAAAAACATATGCACTTATTATGAAATACTATTATTTTTGATTAAAAAAGTCCATTTATTTAAAGATAGATTATTATCCAGAGAATTATCTGAAAACCCTAGTCTGGAAATTTCAAGTTCATTACGTATACATGATGATAATGACTACTTTTTTCACTTTTTTCGTTGAAAACGCTCATTCAAAGATTTATGAGTAATTGAAAAAGACTCTACATTTGATTGTTTTTCAGACATCTTTGAAAACTTCTCTGCAAGTTCAGCAACAAAAGTTTCATATAATGGCTGCGATTCATTCCTATTTTTATTAATCATAAAAAAGAATAATAAAAAAAGATAATACATAGATGAAACTTCTGAAATTTGAGGTCTTGGAGGTAACTTAGGCTTTTCCATAGCATGAAACCTTGCATTCGATATCATAGATAGTGATTCTTCCGTATTATTTTCAATACTATCTAATTTCGCAGTACCATAAGAACCCAAAAAATTCCTAAAAGTAGGACTTGAATCAGTTCTTTGCATTGGAACAGTAACTTTTACAGGTATATTGTTTTCTAAAGATATTTCCTCAATATCTATATTTGAAGGTAATGCTATTAATAATATTAATTCTAATAAAAAATAATAAACAGAACATACAATCCCTTTTATTACTTAAATAATATTTATCTTCTAAATCAACAAAATCTCGTATAATACCATTATTATCAGATTCTTCAGTCTTTAATTTTCTAAAATTATATATGTCTTTTCTAAGTCTTTCTTTAAATTCCTCATCTACAATTCTAATAGAAGCCTCAAAATGAGCATACACTGGTTTATGATCAGAAAATGTTAACGGCGAAGAATTATAAGATAGTTGACGTAACTTAATAAAATTATTAACCATTAAAACATTATTTATCTTACATTAGAACCTTTATAAAGTATACGATCTGTCCATGATGGTGTCCTCTGTTTCTCACTAGTCTTATAAGCAATAGTTATTAAACTATACGAATAAGTATTACGAAGTGCTATAATTGTTTGTTCCATTATCAAATTTATACGTTGGAGGAAAAGTTATTTGTGACTCGGAATAATTTGGAAAAACAGAACCAGAATTCATATGTAAGTTAAGCTATTCATGTAAAAATATAGTTTTACAAACAATGATATACTTGATCATTTTCATAAAGCTTTCCAAAATTATTAATTTTTATATACTCTTTAACCTATCGTAAAAAAATTAGACTAAGACAAAATATAAAATTCAATTTACTTCTTCAGTACTCATATTAATTCTATAATTAAAATCGCCAAGCCAAATAATAATACTAACAAATAATATTAAATAATAAAAAAACACATAAAAAAACCTACTCATGATCTGTAATTGCTCGACCACGACGAAAATTTAATCCATTTACAATAGTAAAGTAATCACGATTTCTTTCATCATAATTAAACCTTCCAGCAGCAAAATGAGCAGTTACGAAGCAAATTCGAGTATTCCCATAATCCATACGAATTGCTACAGCTCCTTTATTACCAGACATTCCTTTTAAGCCTGTCTATAGAAATAAAAATCAACTTCTCAATAATAATATAAAAAAAACCTTTTTAACCGCACTTTCAACATTTTTAATAAATGGAACAGAAGACTCTTTAACAAATATCATCAATACTGAACCAACAAGCTGCGCTGAACGCAAAAGCACATATTCATTCTTATCTCTATTAAGAATTTCATATAAATCGGACTCCCAAATTTTCCTATAAATGAATAAATATGAATAATAAGAACATAAAAAACTACTTGCTATAAGGATCTACAGAAATTATCTGTTGTGGAGTTAACTCTATAATTTCTTGAAACCCTATAACAACCAAATCTGACTTATATTTTCGCCCTGAAAAGGTTAGTAATTCCCATTAAATATTATAAAATACCATTAGGAAAAAGCCATGAAGAAAGATCATCAGTTCTTTTTTTTCCATTTAAATTAAATGTACCAACAAAAATAGATATATTTTTTATGGTTGAAAATTCATTGGCCCTATCAAATAATTACTAATATTAACAGAATATCACTAATACATACCTTTTCTCCAATTCCATTGTTACAAATTCATTAATAGGATCATAGATATGAACAGTTTTTTGATTTACTAATCTTCCCTATTCCTTCTTAATATCTCTTTTCCTCATCTAAGTAAATCATTACCAAAAGCAAATCTATATTCAATTGACGTCCTTTATCTTGAAAGTTATTAACATACTATTGCTTTTAAAAAAATAAAATAACAGACTTTTTCATAAAATACCATTCTACTAACAGATTTTGTTGCATCTTCTAACACTCCAACAATGCTCATCTTTCCTCTTCTTGTAAAGCCACTCTTAAGAGCACCTGTTCCTGTGTATATTCTTGAAAGTGCATCTCCATTATCAGCCCATATAGTTGAATGTTCAGACCATGGAAAAATTTCAGGACAAATTTCTAAATATTTTAAAAATAGCATAACAGAATATTTCGAAATAAGTGCTTGAACAAGATTCGTACGATCAAGGCTATTAAAATTATTTTAAATCCTTACGCTTTCCCATTTTTTACCAATCAAGACAATTAGTTCTAAAAACTCCACCCTGTTGCAACATGATGCTTTTTTTCCCCACATCTTCAAGATAATATGAAAAGTTTTTAATATTATCATCAACATAATACAAAATTTTAGAAGCCTGATCATAACCTCCATTTTTCACCTCAGCATGAAAATCAAATTCACTACAACATATCAAGTGAAATAGATTTCCCTTAAGAGAATCAATATGTTGTCGATAAGAATTAAGTAGAAGCCTTTCCCCCCCGTTTTGAGACAACAAATTAACTATATGAACATAACCATACTTGCTAATAAGAGACTCAAAGTGTTTCTCAAAAGAGGATTGAGTTGCCTCAAATGGCCTAGTTACTTCAACCTTTTGTCCAAAAACTTGAATACCCTAAATATATCAACAAAAAACAAAAACATTTTTATCAAACCTCTTGCTCCCAAAAAACTATATAATTGATCAATAAAAATCATAATATCAAATGTAAATATACCTGGTACACTTCCACGTATCTGACAAAAACTAAAACAGAAATTATTTATTGTCAATAATGTCTCTGTTTCTACAAAATTTGCAACATTTCCATCATCATCAATTCCACGAGAATTAAAACGGGTTCCTATATATATATATATACCTTTCATCATAAAATATATAAATATTACCTGCTTTTTTACAACTTAATCTAGATATTAAGGTTAAGGAAGATGTTAATGATCCAATTTTACATATAACAGTACCAACAAATCCACGAATCACATACACCTGCTTTTTAGTAACCAAGAATTATAAATAAATTAAATATACCAGAAATCCTCCTTTATCAAAAACATATTTTTCAGATTCTACCAAACGTGATCTAAAAATAAATAATTCAGAAATCATATAGCTATTCCATAAAAACTGATCATCGAACTTATCAATGCAGAAATCAGACTCAACTCTAAAAAAGGTAGTAAAATATATAAAAAAGAAAATACATACCTATCCTGAATTCTTCTTGTAAGATCAAAATTTGATGAAAAATAAAACGAACCATTTAGTAGAAGCTTACGAATGCTCTCACACGGATGTTCAGGCTCATTTTGTTTAGAAAAACTATCAAATAATTCACCGATGTTAGACTCGGAGTTATTTTCGTTAATATTACGGGAAAAATTATCCCATGAAGAATCTAAACATAGAAACTCAACATCATGAATCCGATTAATTGTTTCCATTGCACGAACTGAAGCAATTTGCGAATAACCGGTAATAAGACATATAAAAACATCTTTTATGTATTATTAGTCATAAATCTCAAAAAAAAAAATATATCAGAATATCCTACTATTTTCTATGCTTATTAACCCCATACAACCATAAATAACTTTCGATGTGGCCAAAAAAAATTCAGAATAATCTATATCATCCCATTTACAAAATTTTGCAATACATGTTTGTGATTCTAATGATTTCCCACATGTTTGAAAAACTAATGCATCCGATCCAACTTTCAAAGCAATAGAACTTGGAGAATTTCTCCTAAAGCATTTCATTGATCGTTTTTCTTAAATACAAATATTTATTATATTTGAATAAAAATTCAAAAAAACAAATATTCGTATAATTACTTTCTTAAAAACACAAAGAACTCTTTAATTAAATATTCTTTAAAAACTCGGGATAGGACCTTATTTCATTCAAAGGCACTTTTTTTAATATAAATATTTAACTAATTAATATGCATAATTTTGTTGTTAAAAATTCGATAAACCTTGATAAGATTTTTATAAAAACTTCTATAGTCCAATATTTGCAAATAAAATTATATACAAAAACACTTTAAAGACATTATTTCAATCTTGATTATTTGTTTTTATAAAACAAGTTTAAGAAATAAAATAACTAATTGAAAAACTGAAAACTAAACACCTAAATATATATTAAAATTAAGTAATTCATACACATAGATATATATTACTAAATAAAGCAATAAAAATGTTATATAAAACCTAATAATTTATTATATACACTTATTTAATACTTTTATATTTTCTATTTAACCAATACATAATCAAACATTAAAATTTTTATATAAAAATTTTAATCGACTAATTATTTCAGACGTATCTTTCTCATCAGCATTTTTAATCAACAAAAAAACATAAAAATTAATAATTTTTCTTAAATATTAAAATAACGTCTTTGTATATTCAATTTATATTTATGCCAAGTAAAAAACATAGTTAACTAAATTTCAAACCATATTAAATTGGCAAATATTTTCAAAAAAAATAAATCTTTAAGAAATAGAATCAATTAAGAAAATTAAAAGGAAGACATGGAATGTGCATATAATTTTAAAGCGGAAGATGTTTTAATGCATTTTGGGGTAAATGAATCTCAAGGACTATCTTCAAAAGAAGTTTTTCTTACCCGTCAAAAATATGGAAAAAATGGTTAAAAATAAATGTTTTAAGATAATGAACATAGCTTATATGTCTCTATAGAATTAGAGAAAGATGGTGGCAGGAAATTGTGGGTTTTAATTATGGAACAATTCAAAGATAAACTTGTAATTGTTTTACTTATATCTGCAATAATATCTTTTATTTTAGCATTTTTTGGGAGTGACAAAAACAATACAGATTTTATGGATCCATTCGTCATTCTCGCTATCTTAATTATAAATGCAATTATTGGTATATCACAAGAAACCAATGCAGAAAAAGCAATTGCAGTATATCAACCCTACTAAGTTTATACATTATAATTTAACTATATTATTCAAGGCATTGCAAAAATATTCACCAAACGAAGCAAAAGTTATTAGAAATGGAAAAATATCTCGTATTCATGCAAGAGATCTTGTTCCTGGGGATATTATAGATGTTTCTATTGGCGATAGAATTCCTGCAGATTGTCGTTTACTCAAAATTAAAAGCAATAATTTTCGTGTTGAACAGTCTATCCTTACTGGTGAATCTGAGAGTGTAGAGAAATGCACGGATAAAATTCATATTCATAACCCTACTAAGCAGGATCAAACTAATATGCTTTTTGGAGTAATAACTACTTTTGAAGTTCATTGATCTTAATTCTTTAAAGGGAACAACAGTGACTACGGGCCATGCGCGTGCTATTGTTGTTTTAACAGGGAAATCTACAGCTATTGGTGATATTTGTCAAAATATAACGTCACAAATATCAGAATTAACACCCCTAAAATATAAATTAAATAATTTCGGAGATATTCTTGCAAAAGTATAAAATACTCTCTTTTTCCCTCAATACTTAAGTTATAGGTTATTTCTTTAATTTGTGTTTTAATTTGGATTATTAATATTAAAAATTTCAATGATCCTCTACATCAAGGATTTTTAAAAGGAGCCATTTATTATTTTAAGACATCAGTAGCACTAGCAGTAGCGGCAATTCCAGAAGGTTTATCTGTTGTAATTACTATATGTCTTGCACTAGGGACTCGAAAAATAGCAGAAAAAAATGCAATTGTTCGTAACCTTTCAAGTGTTGAAACATTAGGTAGTACGAGTGTTATTTGTTCAGACAAAACAGGAACATTAACCACAAATATTATGTGTGTCTCTAAAATTATTATTTTAGAGCAGGATGAATCACTTTTAGAATTTAATGTTGAAGGAACCAACTTCAATCCATTTGGAAATATTTATTTAAACGATGGAACTATAATGAAATCTCCAGCTTTTATTTATAAAAGCATTAAGTATCTTGCTGAGATATGTTCTGTCTGTAATGATGCAAAAATAATATTTGATTCAAACTTAAATACTTATACTAGAATCGGAGAACCTACTGAGGCAGCTTTAAAAAGTCTGGTTGAAAAGTTAGGAACTGATATTGAAGATATCAAACCTAAACATAATTTGTCTTATAATGATAGTGCTAACTCGTGTAATATTTATTACAATACTTTATCACCACGTCTTAAAACTTTTGAATTTTCAAGAGATCGTAAAAGCATGTCTGTTGTTGTAGGAAACATAGAATCACCTCGTCTACTTGTCAAAGGTGCTCCTGAAACAATTTTGGAGCGCTGTAGTTATACTATAATCGGAAAATCAGGACAAAAAATAATACTAACAACAAATATTTTATCTAAAATTAACAAAAAAATAGCAGAATATGGTCTAAAAGGACTAAGAATTATGGCATTTGCTCAAGTAGACTCAAAAGATTTTAAAGCACATCCTTTTCACACGAAAGTAAGCAATAATTATGAGGATTATGAAGTAATTATTCCTCCTTTGATATTAATCTAACAAAACATAGCAAAACATGACGTTTGTTGGGTTAGTAGCAATGTTAGATCCTCCAAGACCAGAAGTGGCGAATTCAATTGCAAAATGTCGAAGTGCTGGTATACGAGTCATTTGTATAACTGGTGACAATAAAAAAACAGCGGAAACTATTTGTAGACAAATCGGTATTTTTAAAAAAAATGAGAATTTAGAAGGAAAAAGTTATACTGGCCAAGAATTTGATAATTTATCCCCTGCTCAGCAATTAGAAGCAGTTAAGCGTGCCAATCTTTTTTCACGCACTGAACCAGCTCATAAAGTGCAATTAGTAAAGTTACTTCAGCAAACGGGCGAAGTTGTAGCTATGACTGGTGATGGAGTAAATGATGCACCAGCATTAAAAAAAGCAGATATTGGTATTGCTATGGGTTCTGGAACGGACGTTGCTAAACTTACTGCTGATATGATTCTTATCGATGATAACTTCTCAACTATCGAGCATGCTATTGAAGAAGGAAGAGCAATCTACAGTAACACACAGCAGTTTATTCGATATCTTATTTCTTCAAATATTGGAGAAGTAATATCTATTTTTTTGACGGTTTTATTGGGCATTCCAGAAGTACTAAAGCCTGTTCAATTGCTCTGGGTAAACTTAATAACAGGTATTATCAAAACACAAAAGTTCAAAACTTTATAATAAAAATTAGATGGCTTGCCTGCTACTGCATTATCATTTAATCCCATAGGATACAATTTAATGAAAAGACCGCCTAAAGATAAAAATGAGCCTATAGTAAACCTATGGCTTTTCATTAGATATTGTATAACTGGCGGATATATTGGAGCTAGTACGATATTTGGTTATATTTGGTGGTTCGTATATTATTTTAAAGGCCCTAGAATTACTTTTAAAGAATTGGTAAAAAAATACATACTTCTAATATCTATTTTTAACTAATAAAGTCTCGTTTTCATCGTTGTTCTGATACTAATCCTTGCTATTGGTTTAATAATTATACATCATCTAAAGCATCTACAATATCTTTATCAATGTAAAACATCATTGAATTTAAAAAGATATATATTAAATTATTAGCAGACTTGTTGTTATCGAAATGATGAATGCAACAAATTCTCTATCACAAACAGAAAGTTTATTGTCACTTCCTCTATGGACTAATATAAAACTTGTATATGCTATAATCTTGTCTTTACTTTTACATTTAGCAGTTCTCTATGTGCCTTATTTACAAAAAATATTCTCAACTATACCTTTAAATTGGATAGAATGGAAAATGGTAACTTTTATTAGTTTACCAATAATGTAATATAAATCAAATTTGTAATTCAAGACTGATATTTTAGATTTATTGACGAAATTCTTAAATTTGCTGAAAGAATATATATTAAGGATTTTTCAAACAATAAAAAAAATCAAAAATATCATTAATTTCAAAATGAAAATTTTAATAAAAAATGTATCGATAGATCAATATAATATTTTTCATATAAGAATAAAACAATCGTGTATATTTAAAAAATATTTAACATACATATAAAAAACTAATCTTGTCTACTTTTCAAATAACTCTTTGTTACTTTATCTTGACTTATAACATAAACAACACCACCCATTCCTAAAACATATTTAATATAAAACAAGACATATCTAGGAAATCAAAACCTGATAAAGCATCTCTGTCTTGAGCATTTAATAATGCTTGAGAAATAGTTTCAAACAAATCATCCGGTTCCTTTTAACATATTATAATTTTCATATATATATATATATTCTTACTAAATCAGGTGTCCAAAGACATTCACATATACCATACAGTTGTTCAGAAGCTGTACCTGATACCACAAAATCATTTGAAATATCAAGACACCCAATATTATCAAGTCCGCATATAAATGGCTCTCCAGTTTTACTATCAAGGCCCGCAAGAATAGGCATCACAAAATAACTTGCAAATCTACCGTCTTAATTAAAAAATATTCAGAACAATGCCACACCTTTTTTGATATAATGTTGTTGACAACAAATTAGCCAATGTTTTCGGTTCAATCACTCGTTCTTCACGCAATTTATACATGTTAACCTTGTAACGAATCAATTTCGATCTGCATCACTATTATTTCAATGTCCATCTAAAAAAAAACCTACAACATAACAATATCTGTTGCAAGACCTGATAAACCCATATATGATTTTTCTGTTACCGGTACAATTTTAGAGAAATTATTAGTAATCATGACACCCCCTTGCCCAAGACGTAAATCTGATGCAATTGCAACACAGTTTTTCCCCATCATGGCCACACAAACACCTCCATTATATTCAAAAATATTCTACATGTTTTCTTCATTATCTATCTTTTTTAAGAAAAAACCTTACCATCTCAATATAAAAAGACTTCTAAACGCTTAAAAACAAAAAATCTCAAAGCTTTTAACCTTTTTTACAGAATCTTTTTACTTTTTTCTTAAAACTCTTAAATCTGGTCCTTAAAAATTAACGACCTATAAAAATTTTCAGTTAAACAAAATTAGCATTAACTTAATTTTTTATACAATTTTTAATAGAAAAACTTAAGAAATGCCAGGAAATATTATTATTTTGTTAGATTCAAAGAGATATACTATTAAAACTACACCAACACAACTAATTAATGATCTTCTTCTTGAAGGATGTAGAAAGGCAGAATTAAATCCACAAGAATATTCACTTAAGTAGACAATATTTGGAATTTTTTAACAAATATCTAAATTAAACTTTTCAAAAGATATGGATCCAATATACTCGATCTTTCTTTACCAGTCAGATTAGCACGACTTCCAGCAGGAGCAAAATTAACATTAGTTAAACAAAAATATATAGAACGTAAAATAATATTTTTGACATGAACTATATCTTAAGTAAGGATTTAGAGGATATCAAAGTGGCACTTCAAGTAGTTGATCAGGAAAAACGATTAATAATGTCATTTCCGGCAGATACAACGCTTTGGGAAATTCTTTGTTATTTTGAACAAACAACAGATCCACCAATTAATATAACAAAAAGATCAGTTACAGCCAAATTTAAAAACCAGGTAAATGAGTATTACGAAACGCCAATTGTTCGTATTATAAGCAAAGAGGTCTGCTATTATGTATGATAGAAAAATAATTAAAAAACACAGTTTAATGGGCCAGAAGTACTTCAAAAGATAACATTAGCATCACAGGGTATTGTTAATGGAAGTGTTGTTCTTCAAGTTAAATTTGAAAAAACACAAAAATATTTTAATGAAATGATGGCTTTGCATCCACAAAAAAATATTAAGTTGCCAGGAAAAAACATAAAAATGGATATTGAAAGCAATTCAGAAAATAAAGAAGATACAAAGCAGACAAAATGTCAAATATCACAAAAACCATTATTTCAAATACCAGAGCATGATACATCCAAAGAAATAAGCAATGATGAATTAATATCTAAACGCGAAATATTAATTCTATCGAAACCTGCATCTTCAAGTCTTTATGCTTCTAAAGGTTCGTTTTCAAATAACTAACTTATTCTAATTTATTTAGTTAATACAAATGAAGAAGACTATGAATTAACACTCGAAATGGCTATATCTTATCAGAATATTCTCTCTTCGAGAACAAAGAGAATCGGAAATAGCAAGAATTCGAATATTCATCAAGAATTGGAGCAGAAAAATAACCTTAAAAAAAAAGTAGATCATATCATAGAATATATCATTATTATTAAAATATTTAGTATAATATAAAATTTAAACTACCTGATGGTATGCAAATTATAAGTTCATTTGAGGGAAATGAGAGAGGTATGTTTCTTTTTTTTTAGATAGGAATACTAAACATTTTTAAGTTGAAGCGTTATATGATTTTATGAGATATGTTATACGATATTCAGATGAGCCATTTTATTTGTGTAATTTTCCTTAATATTATATAATCATTAACAAAAATATAGATATTACACCACCTCCTAAACATCTATTAAACGTTAAAGAAACACTAGCATCTAATCCTAATTTTTCAACCAAAACTACTGTTATTTTCAAATGGGCAGATAATATACAATCATACGTCAAGGGTATCCTTTACCACTATTTTTTATTTATATTTATCTTATAAATTATAGAACATAGTACTCTTAAAGACACATATTTAAACATGCAAAAAGACATTTCTACAATTGCTACATCCTTAAAAAACGAAGAAGAGGAAGAGGAAGAAGAAAAAAAACAGGAAGAAAAAAAACAAGATTATAAACCATTAACTATATCATCTAATTCACCATCTTTATGCACACCCAGTTCTAAAAAAATGCCTAAATGGCTAAAACTTTCAAAATAAAATGATATATATTATTTATCTTAATTAAACGGTTTATGTAATATTATATATATTATCTAGTAATATATTATCCGTTTTTATTTATATTAATACCTTTCAATTCTAAAATACAAAATGCTCATAAAAGAGCCGGAGCCATTTAAAGATGAACTTGACGTAAAAATATTCATAAATACTTAAAATATATTTATTTTTAATACATTTTTAGGGATCTTCTCTAAGAATTGCTATTGTTCATGCCCGCTGGAATATATTTGCTGTCAGTCCTTTAGTAGAAGGTGCAAAAAAGGCTTTAATTAAACACGGAGTAAGACCAGAAAACATATATATTGAATCTGTGCAAGGTTAGATATTTACTTTTTATTCTGAGTAGATTTATATTTTTGATTAGGTAGTTGGGAATTACCATTTTCTATTTATAAGTATTTTTCACTAGTTTAATGGAAAATATATTAAATAAACTAATAAGGATCATTGAAGCGTCAAAATTAAAAGAAAATAAATGTCTTAAGTCCTCAAAAGTTGATAGAAAACCAGAAACATCTGACTCATTATTCAAGCAAGAAAACATAGAAACATTAAGACAAATAAAGGGAGAATTTGATGCAGTAATAGCGATAGGTGTTTTAATTAAAGGAGAAACAATGCATTTCGAGTATATTTCTGATAGTGTTTCCCATGGACTTATGAAAGTTCAACTTGATACAGGGATTCCTATCGTTTTTGGAATTTTAACAGTTTTCAATAAAGAACAAGCACTTGAACGTTCAGGAATGTCTGGAGAATTTCGGAAAAATCATGGCAAGTGTGTCTTTTTATTTTTTTTTTCTTAAAATTTTAGGCGAAGATTGGGGATTTGTAGCAGTAGAACTTGGTGTAAAAAGAAAAAAATGGGAAAATGGTGAACTATAAGAGATATTCATCTATTGAGACAAAACAAGAGTATATCTTATTCATATTTATATTTCAATTGAATATTTTTCTAAAAAATCATTTAAATATTAATTAAATATTTATATGTTTACATTTCATTTCCATTTTTTTATCAAACAATTAGTGCCAAGATAGATACTACGTAATAATCCTTAATAATTCATACGTTAAAAATGCCATTAAATAACAAATAGAAATATTCCATTAAACATGTATATATAGTATGGAATAATACTATTTTTTAAATACCATAGCCTTGAATCTTTTCAGAAAAATTCCAATGAGTATCAACAGATTGATTTGTATCAAATACAACACTCTCTTTAGTAACCGTTGCAACAGAAAACTAATATTTCTAAGAAATAAAAAAGAATTGTGTATTTTCAACTACCTTATTTAGTGAACGTGCATCTCTACAATAAAGAACCCTCATACAGTCATCAATAACTTTGCGAGCATCTTCTCGAGAAAGTTGAGCAAACCGTCCATCTTCTGTAGCCTCTCGGAGCAATGGAATAGCCATGTATGCACCATATCCAGTAGCAATACATGGTGCTGAATAAGCTACACCAAGAAAATCCACATACCCCAAAAAAAATTCAGGTAGACCGCAAAAAGTTCTGGGTATACAAATAGAAACATCTTCAGGATCCAGACCAGCAACAACACAACTATTCAAAAGAGGATTAAGTTTTGTTCTTCTATTATAAAAAACATGACTAAGATATTCATAGATATGCGATGAACAAGGAAAATGACCATCTTCATAATTTTTTTCTTTAATTCTATCATTTCAATTAAATAATAACCTCCATAAAAAAAATACAAACAAAAAAGAATGAAGAAGACGTTTTATATATTGGAAGTCAGAAATTTCACCGGAAATCCCAATAACAGTTTTTCCAAAAGAAAATAACCTTTCAACATCATCATATCTTGCTAAAGAACCATAACTTGCTAAAAAAAAACTTAATCACACAAATAGTCATGGAGAAAACCCTCATACCAAGATTATCTGCTGCTAACATAACTCCTTCTTTAAATTTAAGGCCCAAAATACTTGATCCTGTTAATATCGGTTTTAAAGTATGGTTAAAGCTATTTTGCTCGTTTAAAAAGTAAAAAGATTTCTTATTATCTTTCGAATATGACGGAATACAGCTCAACATTTCTACTATTAAATTCTAACAAATATTTATAATTTTTATTAAAATTTTAAATTTTTAAATTGGCAAAAATCGTTATTACGTTTAATATCCAAAGCAAAAAATCAAAATTTCAAAAAAAAATAATCTCAGAGTAAAAAAATTCAGGTATAAAATAGAGGTCCAATTAAAAAACGAAAACTATACTTTTTTGTAAAGAATTAAAAGATTTTTTTAAAATAAAAATCATTTAAGATTTGATATTATAAAATCAAATTTACTCATTATAATCAGAATCATTAACGCTTGATGGAATATTAATTATTCTACAACGATTCCTTGTTTTGCTACATTGTTTCCTGGGGAATTGGTATTTTTGTAAAGAGGATATTGAGAAATCATCACTTAAATATTCATTAATAATATCATGATTAGAATTAGAAGGATATGTTTCTTGATATTTCGAAGAATTAGAAGAAAGATCTATATAACGTAATTTTTCGTTGCGTTTTTCGGGAAATGAAACCAGATCCGAACGAGAATTTGATAAAGTAGAACTATTTTCATGAATATTTACATTTTCATCAGAATCAAGTAAAATTAGTTGACTTATAGACCTCTGCGTGCCTAAAGATACATTTTTCCCACGTTTTTTAGACTTTTTCGATCGTCGTTCATGTTTTTCAATTAAAGAATCATAACTTATTTCATCAAACCCCTTATCCTCTGCTGTATCAGAATAAAGAGTAGAAAAAGATTGCTCTAATAAATCCTTAGAATCGTTAATTTCCTCAATAGATAAATCACGTTCAATCTCATCTGTTGGTCTATCATCAATAAAAGGATCATCATAGTCATAATCATCAGGTTCAGAGCAAATACTATCTTGGTATAAAGAATCTTGGTCTATTAAGAAAAACATTAGAATAAAACTATTAACCAAAAAAAACAAAATAATCCCACATACCATGTAATTCAGAAGCCACATGCAGATCTGAATAAGAAAAATCATTTAAAGAACTAACTTCCTCATCAGAAAATTGAAACCCACAATGTGCACACACAGTGCCCTCTATCTACATCATAAACCAAACATTCAGATATATTTAATTAAATCACCTCCCAATAACATCGCATACATCGCATAACTCCATCTTCACGATCACATAAAACACTTGTAAATTTCGTTTCAACAAAAAGATCAAAAAAAAGATTATCCCTATTCTCCTCCATCCGCTTACGCTGATCCTCTTGATGTTTTTTTACATGTTTTCCTTCTCCTTCAGGATCTGATGCTTCCATTCGATGAACAAATACATCTACCATTTCTTGAACCTTCAATAACCTTTAGAAAAAAAAAAAATACAAAATATCATACAAGATATGCAAATGAAGGACTCTGAGAAAGAGGATGTCTACAAGTAGGACAAGTACGCTTATGAAATAACCAATCAAGAATACACTATATTTATCATTAATCTCCTTCTAATGTCAAAAAAAACGTACGCCATAACAGAAAACATGTCCGCAAGAAAGCATAAACGGTGATCCAAAGAGTCCCACACAGATTTCACAAATTAAACTCCTTTTCAACTTTGCAATATCCAATTCCAACTCTTCCATCTTCTAGGATATCTATAGGCCTATTTTTCACTAAAAAAAACAAGAAAAAAACAAATATTACTTACAGATAATCAAAAAAACCAAACAAGGACTAATCTTCTAAAATTAAAGTCAATAATATCTACATTTAATCCTTTCAAATCAAAATATTTATATAGTAGGGTTAATATCAAGTTAAAAACAGTCGTTACGTTTATCGATCTTTAAAAAAAATGGTAAGAAAAAAAATAAAAAAGAAAACCTTTAATTTACTTTTTTAGCCTAAACAAATCCAAGATATCAAGTTATTTCTAGAGGTTTCTAGAAGGAAGGATGCAAGATGTATATTTCTTTTTTTTTATGAGTTTTTTTGCTAATTTTAACCTTTAAGCAACTCGTATTGTTAAGGATAAAAAAAAAGTTAAATTCAAGATTCGATGCAGTAGATATCTTTATACACTTGTTGTGAATGATCCCGAGAAGGCGGAGAAGTTAAAACAGAGGTCTTTTCATTTTTTTTGGAAAGAAAGACATATCTAATCATTTATTAGTTTGCCTCCTAATCTTCCCATTATTTAAGTTTTTTTAAAAAATTACATGATTTAGAGGCACATGATAAATAAAACAATAAGGATTAATAATTGTTATTTTTTCTCTGAAATATCGCTAGCTATCTATTCCAACTAATCGATATATAAGATCATAAATCATGTATATATATAGCTTTAATACTTAAAACGTTTATATTTAATATGCTTCGTATTGTTGCCAGTATTTCAAAAACTATTCCCATAAATATTATAGTTAAGTCCTAAAGTATAAATTTATAATTTTTATTTAAAGTAATGTTCCAATAAAAATTTTTATAATTTTAAAACCATTACTTAATACATGGCATAAAAAAGTAAATTTCTTAAAGGAATTATTCAAAAATATTCAAAATAAAACTTTTATGATACATGATATTTTCGCTATTCATTATATGACAAAAAAACAAAATATCAAATAAAATAAAAAATTAATTATCCATAAACCACAAAATTTAAAGCTTTTCAATCACTACGATATCAAAAAAAAACTATATATTCTTTTTCAAAGATACTGTAAAAATATGTTAGCTAATATATATTTAAATATACTTTTCATTTTAAACATAAATATATATTAGCAAAAATACATTGTAATTCTTTAAAATACGCGGCTTAAAAATACTAAAACATCTATTAATCATTAAAAAAGCTTTAAAACTATAAAAACAAAATTCATAATTTATCCAGAAGACATTAAACTTATAACAATATATAACTAAATTAAAATATAAAAAAGATATAAGCAGTATTTAAATATATATCTTTTTGAACTTTAAAAAATATCAATATATTCATTAATATGTAATATTTTCAATTATAAATCATTTCCTAAATTGATAAATTAAATATAAAAAATAATTATAAAAGTTTAACATTTTTGCATTCAACAAAAAACTACTATCCAAAACAATTATTAAAAACAACATATATCTAATATTCATTATATATATACAAAGCAAACAATTCTATACATATTCACACTATTTCATAGTAATCCAACTTTAAAAAAATAACCATCAAATCTTATATTCTTCATCAAATACTATCATTTTTTGTAAAATTGAAAAATAGAATCTTAAATACATAATTAATAAATACAAACAAATATATTCAAAAAATTTAATATATTTTTTCAAAACTTATTTCCTAAAATTTCAAAATAAACATATTTAAATACATATATAGTTATTTCTAAATAAGATTTCTGCATTCTTCAGCCAAACTTTTACTAGGAATTTATAAAAATAACAAAAAACCCATTCTCCAACTAAATATTTTAATCAAAATTAACCATCGTACTCCTCTAAAAAATTTAAATATTTAGCTTAAAAAACATATAAAGTAAAATATCTAAAAGACATATCTAAAAGATTTAAGAATAATTATTTTATTATACTTTAAAAATTATTATTTTTGCTTTTAAACAACTTAATATAAATAATGGAAAATCTAGAATCATTAGAATCAAACAACCAATACTTATCAATAGACAATAATCAGGAAAAAGTATTCGAAACATGCTTAGATCTTGCAAAAAAGGCTCGGCAACAATGCCATCAGCTCTTACAGTCTTATCCAATTGATTCTAAAGCAAAAACACACTTAATGACGTTGATAACACGACTTCGTGCAGCAAATAGAGCAGCATACCTTGAAGCACGCACTTCAAAACAAGAAACTCAACGTTCTCGTCAATCATTGGATCAGAAATATGTGCAACTTCAAAATCTTTATTATGAACAACAACATATTTTAACAACAATTAAAGCATGCGAAACATTTCCGTAAGTTTTCTTTCAAAAAAGTTTAAGATTTTTTAAGGAATATTTAGTACAACGTATGATTCGCTTTCTATGATTTCAGAAGAAGAGTTTCTTGCACTTCATCCTAATCTTAATAACGCTACAGATCAACATATTCTGATGCTTGCTCGTCTTTCCTACGAAAAAAAGGAGAGGGAAAATCTCGAAAAAATTAGACGGGATCTTCTTAAACAGAAATCTGAGTTAATATCTCAAAACAAAACTCACAAAGAAGAGCTCGAAGCGTTAGACTCTCAATTAAAAAATTTCATACGGGTAAGTAATTTTTTATATTCGAATAAGTCTTATTTGTCTAAGAATGCTGAACCTTTACAAGAATTTATGAAAAAATACTAGTATTCAAAAAAGCATACTGACTTTTTCAAATAATTCTAAATTATACATATAAAATACTAAAAAATACAATTTAGGGAGACATGCAACATCAAATAGTACAAATTTGTATTCTCCTAATGTTGTTTTGGTCTTTACTAATGAATTGCTCACTTATTTATGCAAAAATATTCAACCCAATAAAAAGGCAAATATATTCTAAAAAAAACAATAAATGTATTTCATTAATTATTAATTTTAAAGAAAAAAAGCGATAATCACAAGGAATTATTCTATTTTTTTAAAAACGTCTTAGATTAAAACAAATCATTTAACTCAAAATCTCTTCATTAAAAAATATGAAAAAATATCATTAAATTTTCAGATGTCTTTCTACAGAAACGTTTTTATCTATTAAATTTATATTAAAGCCTAAAAATCTAAATCGAAAAAAAAGCGAAATTTAAAAAATTACATTATTTAAGTCCTAACTTCATCTCATTTTTTTTTTCAAATGGCTTCTATTTTTCAGTGTATAAATATCTACAATTTATCAAAAAATATATAAGTCTATGAAATATATAAATATAATATATTCATGTAATCAATGAAAAAATTTTCAAGCATAATAATTACAATTTAACAACTCTCAAAAGACTATATCAGATGATCTCAAAATAAGAGAAAAAAAGATCTAAATAACATCCAAAATGCTTAAGACTCAATCATAAAATTATTCATATAAAGAATCTTAATATGCAGCGATATTAGTATTTATGTTGTCTATAATCATCTCAGATAAAACTAAGATTTTAAAGTTTTATAAGGCTAAAAAATATTGTCATTGAATAATTTTTAATTTCATTCAAATCAAAAATTAATATTTGAATGTATACAATTTTGAAATTAAAGTATTGCTAATTCTAAAGAATTATACTAGAAAACACTTTAAATAAAAATATTTCCTTAATTTTATAAAAATCAATAATTATTAAATTTTTGAACTCAAACATACACTAGAAAATAATATATAGTATAAAAAAAGTATTTTTCAAAACTACATCGTTATATTTTCAAAATTATATAACACATTCAAGATTGTTTTAATAAATTGACAAAAGAAAAAATATTATTCTAAACATAACTAAAAAATTATAAAAAAGTGTTGAAACATACATAAAAAATCCTATACTTTCATTTTTATATATTTAGGAACATGATTCTATTGTTTTCAAAATAATATATACACATGTAAATCTCTAAATATCGAACAAAAAAAAATAAATTATTCAATTTAGTCAAAGAACAAAATATATCCTCTTCATCTTTCATATATATAATATTTTTATTACAATATGCAATATAAAACATTTGTTTCACATAATTGGCTATATCTACATAATTAATATTTAATACACAAAAGATATATAATCTCCCAAAAAAAAATCAGGCTCATTAATACACATTTATAATAAAGAAGATATATATCGGACATTTTTATTATCATTTTTAACATTATTACATTTGAAAAAATAGCATATAAAATGTTTCTAAAACTGCACCTCCAATTACAAGGAAAATCAACAAATCTATCGATTGTAATCAACACATACATCTCACTTGACTTTTATTTATGCACTTACAGACCCAATAAATCGATATATTAGGTTTTAACTTCTTAAGTAGAGGCTTTTCAGTCTTAGATTTTCCTCGTTTTGCAGCCTCTCTGATCGCATAAATCTCATTACCTTGACGTTGTCTTGGTGTTTGTACCTACGTTTTTTAATCAGAACAACCTTAATAAACGCTTCTATATACTACCATTTTTTATTCTCGTATATCAGATTTCTATCATAAATTCGATACTCAGAAAATGTATTATTTTTCGACATATATAAATAAAAAATTCCTAAAATTTAGTGCTAAAAAATGCAAGTTTTCGCAGGAGTTCAATCGGCCTATGTATTCACAAGAAACTGGAATAATGTCAGCAAAAGAACACAATTACGAAGGAAAAACATCTCACGTATGTTTTGTAAAAACTAAAAATAAGCATTTCAAAAACTAATAAAAGGCTTAGAAATTATTTTGGAGGATATATGCTCGACCTTTTGGAAAGGTTTTTCTTTTAGCATCAATTACATATCTTAGTCTTCATTTTTTTTGGTGGCATCTATATTCAGAAGAAAAAAAGAGGGAAAAAAAAGGTTTTCTGCATATTTTCAAAAAGAAAGAGCCCTTTTTATTTACAAGGAAGTAGAGTATCTTTTTCAGCTTGAAAAAACGCTTCATGAACTGGCATCAAATTCTAAATCCAAACCTGTATAAATATATACGAAATATTCCAGAAACACTTATCAAATCTTATACAATGATACATCTATATTTAAAATAGACTAAATATTTTATTTTAAAAGTTATTGTTCATACTTGGAACACCAATCCTATACTTATATAATCATTCATACGAACTAAAGAGATATACATAAAAAATGGAGATTTCAAAGCTAGATAGAGTCCTAAAACATAGCGGCATAGGATTTATATCAGTAATACTTTTTTTTAGGAAAAATAAATACGAATTATATAGGATGCTTTATATAATCACGTGCATATCGCGAATAATCGTGCTTCATACGCGATGGCGGGGTAATTTTTCTAACATTTGATAAGGAGTTTTAGACCTTAAATAAACATAAAAAATGGATAATTACAAAGGATCAGTTCAAAGGAAGCGTTCACATATAAATTCTATAGAAAAAGGTATGTATTTAGTGAATCAATGGATTTATAAAAGATTAAATAAAATAGTATTATCATGTATACCAAAAAAACGAATAAAAAACATTGAGAAATGGGAGATCGAGCAAGAAAATTCAGATACAGAAGATGAGTTGGTTATGTCATCGCCTCATACACCTACTCATCAAAATAAAATGGCTAAACAAATAGGTAATATCTATAATTTGTATGATATTTGGTTGATAAAGACAAAGGGCTTATTCAGATGCAAAAAATTAAATATTCTTTAACACCGCATTGCTTAAGATCTGCTAATAAAGCGCCTATGTCAAGGAAAACGTATACACCTACGACACCAACAGTTTATTCTAAAGGAAAAGCACTTTTTTCTCGAGGAGCTTTGCCAAACCAACTTACAGGACGATCTGCAGAAAGAAAACATATTAAAGAGTATATTGAAAGTCATGTAGAAGAAGAACAAGGGGGATGTCTTTATATTAGCGGTCCTCCTGGTACAGGCAAAACTGCTATCATTACCGATGTGATAAAACAGCGATTTATGAGGGGAAATATTATATCTACAACTATTAACTGTATGGCCCAGGATCCAAAGAGTATTTATTCTGAATTGTATGAAAAATTATCCGGAAAGGTAGAAACCGTAGAAAAAAAAGCATTTGAACAGTTGAAAAAATTATTTTTTCAAAATAACACTATGTAGTAAGTTTTCTTAAAAAAAGAAAAAAAGCATACTCTAATACGCAGCCTTGTATTTTTGGATGAAATTGATTCCTTAATTGCGAAAGAACAAGGAATCCTTTATCAATTGTTTGAGTGGTCTACCATTGAGAGTTCTCGATTAATTATAATTGGAGCTACGAATGCATTAGATTTGACAGAACGTTTTCTTCCAAAGCTTAAAACAAAAAATGGTACTTACACATAAACATATATTGATTCCTTCTGATTGAAAATTAGCTATGCCCAAAATTCTTACATTTAAGCCTTATACTTCACAAGAGATTTCGGATATAATTAAAGATCGTTTATGTTCACTTTCTGGAAACATTCCCAAAGACTTTATACCCTTTCTTCATCCATCAGCAATTGAACTGTGTTCAAGAAAAGTTGCATCTTCTACAGGAGATGTTCGAAAGGCATTTGATCTAGTTAAAAAAACAATTGAGCTTTTAGAAATGGAATCATACATTAATAAAAAGGAACCGTTATCAGAAATCTCTCCGAACAAACTGTTATCGCCGCCTAATACAGATAAATATCCGACTTTTAATGAAAATAATTTTCAAGATATACCAAGAGCAACAATAGAACATATAATTCGAGTTTCAAATACAGTATTTGGAAATTCTGTGATTCAGCGACTTAAAGATTTTACACTTCAACAAAAGGCTGTTTTGTGCGCATTATCCGTCTGTAAAAGAGAAAATTTGAACGGTATACTCATTGGAAAGGTATATATTGATTGTTTTGTAATTAATGTGCTAATATTTAAAATAGTTATTTGATACTTATACATATTTATGTCGTCGAGATAAACTTCTACATCCTTTAAATTTATCAGAGTTTACGGACATAATTGGCACTCTTGAAGTTTCTGCGGCTGTTAACATCATTAATACGACAATTTCATCAAAAACCAATGATATAATGACTAAGAAAATAGGTCTAGCTGTGCCAGAAATGGATATTCTAACCGCCATTGGAGATATTGGCCTCTTAAGGCGTTTTTTTCACTAAAGATTAAAGTGAAATCAATACATGATTAACTTGTTTAATAAGTTTATGACATGAGTTTCAGATTATTTAATGCGGCTGTAATATATATCCTAATGATTCAATCTTTGTATATGTATTCTAATCTTAGATTACCATAGATTTTAATGTCTAAATAAAAACTATTACACGATAGATATCAATGATTTTAAGATTCAAACTTTTGACATGAAAAAAATAATACACTTATATTTGTTTTAATCTTATACTAGAAAATTTGCATTAGGATTAATTGAAATACATAATGACACGCAATTAATCGTTTTATATAAAACGTCTAAGTAGAAAAATTATAAATAATTAAAAATGAAAAAAATAAACGAAATTTCATTAATTTTAACTTATATTTTTTTTTTCAATACCACTTAATTTATAATTTCTATGTAATATATAAAAATAGTTTAGCTTTTGAAAAAAACATTATTAAGATTTTAGATACAAAACCCAAGTTTACATAAAATTAAAAATGATTTTAAACTAATTGTCTTAAAAACTTTTTAAAATATAACGGTATCAGCAAGATTCATGATATTCAAAGTATTATACAAAATTCTGCATACTATTCTATTTATATTTATCCTTACTTATAAATTCGCTATTAAGCCTATTACGAAATCTTTAACAACCAATTGAAGTTTTATAATAGATATCATATATAACAAAGATCATATAATATTGAACTACAGAATCTATGAATATTCTACGGTAATACTGACATTTTTAAGCTTTAACGCTTCAAGTGTTTGATCAAGCTCATTAATAAGCTTTATTCTGTTAAATACAAGTTCGAATTCCTTAGAATTCGCAGATAATTCTGATTTTATATATTCGAATAACCGAGAGACTTTATCTGATAAATTGAACAATCGAACTTTTTTTGATCCATCCGAAAACCGAAATTGAATATTAGTGATGTCCGTAGACATAGCATTTGGTTCAGGTGGAGTTACTGCTGGAATTTTTTCAAATAAAGATAAAGAGTTTTGTGTATCTTCTAAAATTAAACTCAAAATAATAAAATAAAAAAGACAACCATTATGATTAATATTTGAATCATCAGAAATCACAATTACTTCATCTTTACTAGAGACTCTTTTATAATTACTAATTTTATTTTTTTCATTTAATGATGCAATCAATGCAGCATTGATCTGTTCAGATTCTGACATATCTTCTACCTAATTTATAGTTATGAAATAATTCGACTAAGAATAATTTTATACTTTTTTTGTAGACAGTTTTCGAGTAATAGGATTCTTAAAACTCGGATTCAAAGAATATTGTTCAAGAAAATCATGTACTACATATCATTAAAAGTTAAAACACTTAAAAAATATCCAAAAACTTACATTCCATAAGAAAGCTATCTGGTTCTATTACAGAACTATCCCATACTTTTACCCTTTCACCTGTCCTAGGATCAATAATAGAAATATGAGGATATTCTTTTATAGGATAAAATTGCTGATACAATATACCATCTGATGAGGTTGAAATATACTAAAACAATACTTTAAATAAAGTTTAAACAAAAAAAACAATAATACTTGTAAAAAAATAAAATTTTTAAGAATAGCATCTTTTACTCTCTGATCTTTCCACAAATCCCTATTTAATTTTTGACATAAAAAATCAGTATTATCTTGCAAATTTACCATCACCCATAGCATTTTATTTTTAGCCTGTTCTTTGGCGGTTTCAAAATCAATATTTTTTATAATATCAAATGGAGGTGTAAAAAGATATACAGGTCTACTTTTTTTTGAACGTTCTTTTGACGCAGCTTATTTTTCAAATTAAAAATATACAAAAAAATACATAATACTTACCAGAAAATTCATCATCTTCCCACGCTGTTGAAAAAGACTGATCAAAAACACTTTTTCTTATCCCTTTAAAAACAAAAAAGCTTAATAATATACCATCGCAAATAAAGTCTTACTATTTAAATAAAGTTGTGTATATTTAGACATAGATTCAGAAGTATTAGATTCAGAAATATTATTACGTTTTTCCACCACTAAATCATTTACATCATCATTTTTGGATACATCTGAACCCTTGAATATATCCTTTTTTGTATTTTTTTCAATAGCTTCTTGTACAAGATTATCATAAAAAATATTTTGTTCTCCTGGCATTTCTATGCCTTCTTTTATGTTTTTTGACTCATAATATAACGCAATAGCCTGTTCTAGATCCATACATGATGAATACAAGTAATATTTTGCTTCTTTTAAACTTGCATATGTTACTGAACAAAATTGACAAATTGCTTCATCCATTAAAAGATCTATTGTGATTTCAGAAAAATTTCAACAATTTGACACTATGAAATAAAAATAAATAGGCTCTTAACTAAAAGTTCTTATTATTCAAAATATATTTTTATGATTCAGTTTCTAAACGTCAATCCGAAGATTTATTAATTTTAAAAATATCTAAAGTTATAAAAATATATACTTAAAGATTATAATAAACAGATTATTTTTAGAAGTTTTGAAATTTTTTTTAATATTTAAATATTTTTTATAGAAAACATAATTTTATAATATATAGATCCTGTAATTTAATACAAAATATAAAAATAATTTAAGAAAATCTGAAAAAAAACTAAAAATATTAAGATTTTATGAAACAATTTCTAGAATATTTTGAAAATTAATTCGTAATGAACATTTATAAATTATATATTTTTTATATATAAAATAAGACCAAATTATATTTTAAAATATTTTTCAATTTTTTAAAAAAAACAATTCCAAGAATATATATTTTAATATATATTATCAAACATTTCATTAAAAAGTAAAAGAATCAACATATAAAATCAAACAAAACAGATAAGATGCAAATCATATATTCTTCATTGAATACATTTTTTATATAAAATATCAAACAAAAACCTACTGATAAACGTAAAAAAATACATTTTTATACATAAAACATTCAATTATTTATTAATATATTTTATTCCATATTAATAAACAAAAAAATATTCGAAAATAGTTCAAGAAATTATGCTTTTTGAAAAAATACGCAAACATTATATATATATTATTTAGTATTATTTTTATTGAAACCATTTTCATATATTTTTTATAACAGCATTCAACATCATCACATGCCCAACTCTAAAAACGAGGAAAAAAACATAAAAACAAACAAATTTCAGCGAAAAAAAGATAATAAGGAGATAGAAAAACAATATGATGAAGAAATTATGTTTTTTAGTCGAAAAAAAACCTCATTTAAAAGCCCAGAAACTTTTACTGATGTAAAATATAAATACTGTAAGAATTTTCTTTAAAAAATCATAGTATAGTTCTAATTTTAATTTTTATATTTTAGACAGTAAGAAATATGATTTTAGGTACTTTTCTTTTTTAAAGATTTTATATATAAATTTGAAATAGTTTTGATCCAACACAAATATCATCATCAGAAACATTTTCTTCTGATGAAAATACTCTATCGTCACCTAAGAGTATTTCATCAGAAAGTATAGAAAAATTACCAATTGTTATTTCTCAGGAAAATAAAGAATCATTAGAAAAAAATAGATCAATAAACATTTCAAAGAAAACTCATAAAAATACACACAAAAAAATAACTAATAAATCTCATTCAGAATCATCATTATCACCATCACCATCTGATAGAAAAAGAAGTATTAGTCTTACACCACCTCCTCGTTTATCTAAACAAATCATTCAAGAAGGACACCGTATGTATATGTATGATTATGTTTATAGCAAATATATATTAAAAATATTTAGGAATCTAACACAAGAAACAAAAATCAACAAGAAAGCCGCAAAAGAAACAAATAAATCAGAAGAAAAGGAAAATAATAATTTCTACATTTATGATAATTCGAATATTGAAACATATGACCAATATAGCACAAATGAAACAAAAAATACTGATATTACAGAACTAGAAGCAAAAGAATTTCCAGAAAATAATAAAAAGATAGAAATTTTTGAAATAACAGTAATCGGAAAAAGAAATATAAAAACAGATGACATTTTTTTTCCAGAATCCTGGGAAGAACCAATTTTATTTAAAATACATGAAAATCAAGCATTCAGGGTTATGAAAAACTCATTTTGTTCTTATAAAAAACTTAATAAATCATATTATGATCAAGTCGTATTAGTATTTAGAGAAAAAAGAATATTTGAATCAGCTACACCAAAGGGAATTAACATGTTAAAATATGGTTCTAAAATTACAATAAGTAAATAACATCAGTTGAAACAATATAATTCTTAATACTAATGCAGATGCCATGTCCAAAAAGGAATATAAACACCTTATAAGTGAAATAGAAAAAAGAAAAAGACTAAAAGATGAAGATATACACGATTTTTCTAATTCTACAGAAAAAACATTAGAGTCTATGACATATATCATTATTGATGATCCGCCAATTGAACTAATTTTAAGAGACAAAGACAACGAAAGCATAAAATTATCGATCGATACAAATGCAACTATTTCTAAACTCATAGAAACATTTAAAACATCTAAAAATATTAATACCAATACTAATATTACACTGATATTTGAAGGCGAATACCTCGAACCCAATTTATCTATTTCTTATTATGATTTTGAAAATGGAGATCTGATTGATGTACAAATAAACAATTAATAAATATACTTTGTATATTTCGTATGCCAGATCAATTATAATATAATTATAAAATATTAATATTCTCTTAGATTTTCATGTTAAATATAATATTATTCAGATTATCCAAACTATTTCTTCTGCTATCATTTATCTTTTCTAATATCATCTCAATAAAATGTTTATCAATCTATAAAATCCGTGAAATTTATATTTATTTATACTATATTTTACCTTAAATAATTGAAAATTTGGCTCAAATAAAACAACAAATTTGGTAAAATCAACAATAACTATTTTATCTTTCAATGAGGAAACATATAAAATGATATCCTTATGAAAATTTCTGACAATTTCCTCAATTTTTTTAATTTCAGTATGTAATTTTCTCAAAGTCTTAAAAGATCTTTTGATAAAACTTCCAAATATTAATATACTCTTACAACTCTAAAAAGCATAAGCCTTAAAAAATATTGATTGATAAATTTACCTCAAGTAAAAAAACAAAGTGTTCTAATATATTATCATTATAGTTTGAAACATTTACAAATGAAATAACTAAATTTCGTTCAATCCATTCTTTTAATCTATTCTCTTCAATATCATATGCTTTTTGATCAGCTATTTGAATCAAAAAACAGAGAAACACCCTAAAAAGAAACATCATCTGCATTTCAAATTCACTTAAAGTATCAAATTTTAATCCATCTAATAGCCATTCGTCCGACTTAGATTTTACTTTTATATCCTCAATAGTACCAGATATCAATAAATTAACAAAAGACATTTTAAAATTTTGTATTTTAAGCCAACTTTCCTATATAAAATTAACCGTAATATAATAAATCTCACAAAATACATCAGGTGCTGAAATTATTCTGTTTTTTATTTGTTTAGATTTATCTTTAATAGTACCAAAATCAACCATTATAGTAAAATCCCTATTGTCATAATATTCTTCTCGAGCAAAACCTAAAATATAACATTAATTAAAATAAATCATAATACAAATTTCATTACCATTATTTCCTATAATTTCATCAGAAATCTTATTGTCTATTAAATAAGACAAATGTAATAATTCATATCTTAACATATATCTCCATATACTATTATTAAGTCTAGTTGCAAATTCAATGAAATTATCAATGTTTGAATATGAACCATTTTCATAGGCTAAAACAAGCATTTCAGGAACTTCTTTAATATTAGATATATATATATATTTTGCAATCCTTAATTCATTCTGAAAAGATTTTGAAGGATAATAATTTGAACACTTCGTCATAAAAATATAGCTTAATGTATCATATTGAATTTGTTTAATTGATAAAGACTGATAAGTAAAAAGTGCTAAAGAAAAAGCACCTTAAAATGTTTGAATAACAACTCCTGAAAAAAACAATAATTTTTACCTATCATACAATATAAACGAACTAACAACAATTTAAACTGAAAATTATATTTACTATGAAGAAGTCCAAGTTCTAGAAACAAAATCGCTTGTATAAGATAACTCTGATCGTCTGTAAAAAAATCAATAGATTTTAAACATAATATACAAATTCATACTTCCAATAAAAAATGTATTAATAAGAGCATGCACAGATAAAATCAAAAAATCATCTCCATATTGTTTATCAGTGACATTTAAATGATCATCCAAAAATAAAGAATTTCCATACTCTTTAGCTAACTGCAATGAAAACATAACCCATGCATTTTCATCCTTGAATTCGCAATAATTAATAAGATATTCGAACTTCTTAACATTTTTCAACACCTCTACATAATTTTTTTTCTTTATCATTAATATTTTAAATAAAAAAAAGGAAATAACTACCATATCATATATTTTAGCCTTACAAAACTCAAAAATATGGATTAAAAATCGATCCTGATGTTTTTTTTCTAATTTTTCTACAAATGGCCTTAGGTCTTCAAAACATGAAGTTTTTAAACTAAATATTTCAAAATATTGAATACAAGAGTTCAGTTTATCATCAGTCATGCCATTATCAGAGATCAAAAAAGATAATTTTAAAGAAGCAAGAGCCAAATTTCGTAAATATGGAAACTTTTGCTTCTTTTCCTTATAATAATTTGCTAAATCCAAAAGTACACTATTAATTCAATTAAACACATCAAAAAAGTCAAAACAAACCTAGATGAAGAATCAGATCCCGCCAAATTTAATGCAGCATTAATCTGCATATCAAAAATCTTCCAATCATTATTTCCATCATCCAGATAATTACAACATTGAGAAAAAAGAACTTTCCACTTTTTCAATTCAAAAAGAAGATCCAATTTAACCCTTTGAAGATCAACATCTATAAAAGATTTAAAGATATCATTTTCTAAAACGTCTAGTGCATCTTCCAACTTATTACAAAACAATAAAACTCTAATATATAAATGTAATTCTTCAGAAGAAGATAATCTATATAATTCATTATTTTTTTCAGTCGTTTTAAGAATCAAACGATATGAAAGTGTCTGAAAAAACTGTTTTTCACTTTCACTCATCTTTATCATCTAGCCATATGAATTTAATAATAATTAATCAAAATATGTATACTTTAAATAATTCTAATGACATCACTGCCCAATAATAATACTTCCTCTTCCCAAATATCTTCTGAAGGCTCATTGCAGCCTTAAAAAGCATTACTATTCACTTTTTATAATATACTAAAATACCTTTTGCTGTCCACGAATGTTATTAGTTCTTACCATAGAAAAAAACCAATTTCTAACAAATTCTTCATCATTAGGCTTCTTTTTTAAAGCATTTTCAAACATTTCAATAGCATTATCTGCCATATTTAACTCTTGAAATACAATTTGCAAAACATTTAAAACATCCTGATCTATAGGCAATTTTTTCCTTAAATTTTCTGATATTTCTAAAGCCTTCTCATAATTTCCAATCCGTAAAAGAGAAAGAGCACTTAACGCTTGATATATTTGTGATTCTGGTGATTTTTTCAAAACTTTTGTACACATCTGTAATGCCATTTTTGGAAAACCTTCATCCAAGGCATCTATAAAAAAATTACAAAAAACTTACAAAAAGAAAAATCCTTACCAAAAATCGTCTGAACTCTCATTTTTCTTTATTCTATAAACTACTTTTCGAAAATATCTACCTCTTAATATATGCCTTAAATGCCCCTTTGGGATAAAAATATATACCAAAATATATTTACGTTATATGAGCTTCCTATAAACAATTAATCTGTCTATAATTTATGGAATAAACATGTCTCACACTTGAATTTCAAAGCTTCTATTTTACTGTAGAAATCGATAGAACTTTCAAATGTACGAGGTTTTCTAGTTAAAAAGCTATGATTCAATGGAAACAAATGCTTTTCTGCATATTTCAAACTATCCGTGCTGTTCCAAAACCTTATAATTATCTTAGTCTGTCAATTTGTCATTTTTCTACACAAACCTATAAAGCACGTAGATATTTTGATACTCTACAGCTGGTAAAACAACTTGAAAAAGAGGGATTTACAAAACAACAGAGTCTTGCAGTGATGCAAGCTCTCCAAGCGGTTTTGGAGGAAAGGTAAGCATTTTCACGCATGTTTTTCAAGTATAACTGAATATAAATGATAGTTTTCATGATTTAACAAAAACGATGGTTACAAAAGAAGAGCAAGAAAGGGTATGTAATGTAATGAGAAGAGGAGATTAATAGTATACACTTTTTTATAATGATTTCTCTAAATCTCTACCCCAATATAATTTAAACAAGGGTAATAATTAAAAGATCAGTTATACGCAAAAAGTAGAATTTTCACAGCTTCGTTCAGAGCTTCAGACACTTGAAAAGAATGATCTAACATCAACTCGTCAAGAATACGACAGAATTCTAGCAGATCTTGAAAAACTAAAGAGGATTTTTCGGGAAGAAATCAATCATACACTTGCTAACGTACGTCTTGATTTAAATCTTGAAAAAGGAAGAATCAGAGATGAATATACGGCACATGAGCTAAAGATCAAGGAGACAGACACACGTATTGAAAATGAAATCAATAATATAAAAACACAAGCAGAAACAATTAAACTTCAAATCTTTCAATGGCTTATTGGAATTATTACAGGAGGAGGAGCATTAGGTAGGCATTTCTAAAGTCCGGAAAATGCGCTGATTATAAAGTATTGGCATATATACGTTTAATTACGTAAATATTAGCAATTAAAGAAGAAAACAAAGCGCTATAAAGAAAAACTATCATTACTAAAAAATAATTCACGAAGAATTCTTTCAGTGTCCTTAGGCGATTTAACATTGTACCCAAATGTCAATGGACTGTTGTAGATTTCCCAATCATTACCACCCTAAACAATTAATCAACTTTAAATATATCAAATCAACAAACTTCATGAGTTTTATCTCCGAAAAAATAAATCTTGAAATTCTTGTTCTGAAGATATCTCAAACAATACGTTTTATCCCACCCTATAGGAAAAACATCGAAAGAAATTTGACCACCTTAAACATTCAATAGAACACAAAAAAGACATATAAACAAACCAATTGAAAAAGCAAGTCCATAATCAGCAAACTCCTTCTGGAGAACGCATATAAATTTTCTTCGTATTTCACATTTTTTATCATATTCTTCAAATTCATTACGTTCTTGCTTTGTTGAATTACGTCCTATGGGGGAAATATTCATCTTTCCAATGAAAAAAAGAATATTTAGATATTTGCAAATATATTTGATATAATGAATATTACCATTCCATTACGAAGCTCAATAAAAGTTCCTCTAATGAATCATTTAATAACATTGATCATTTTTTTAGGACTACCTTTTAATTGGAATATCTAGCTCGGAAATATATTTTAAACAGAAATTAGTAAACGTTTTATACTTTTCTTCACCCAGGTGACGAATGAAGGACTATTACAGATAAATTTATCATTTAATATTAAAAAAACCAATACCTGGGCTTCTAAAAGTTTTCCTTGTTCATAAGCTATTAATCCATTTTCAGGGAATGCATAGTCAAACATGTCAATAACTTAAATCAATTTATACAATTATTATGTTTTAATAACATTTACCTGACGTTTTATTAAGTCCAAGTTGTTCTTGCTGTTTTTCAAGGTCACCTCCTCCAACAAACCCAATTACCACTTTTTTTCTTAACTGCACCAAAAGGTCGAACATATCTTGACTAATAATCTAATGATTTATTAATATTTAATTATTTATTTAAAGAATATTAACATCTCTTGGAGGCGTCAAAGTGCCATCTACATCAAAGAGCAAAAGTATATCACCATAAGGTCGATCTTTAATATCTAAAGTCGTAAAAGACATTGCAAACTAATTGATTATGTGTAAAGGGTGTATAAAAAATTTAACTTAAGATGAAAAAATTTAATTAATCCGCTTTTTACTGTCAGCGACAAGATAATATCTATAAAAAAAGTGAAAAAAATGCAATAAGTGATACAAGATGGATATAAAAAGAAAAATAATTCAACCTTTTTACAGAAATACATATGTTAGTCTTTTTAGAAGAAAAAAGTATGGAATTTCAAAGGGAAAAGAACTACCAGCAGCAGGTGATCAACTACATGGATATTTAGTAGAAAGAGTGAGTTATATTAATGAGAAAAAGAATATTCTAAAAAAAAGAAGAAAAAACATATTAAGGAACTTGATTTAACAGCAGTTCTGTTAAAACATGAAAAAACAGGAGCAGAACATCTTCATATTATGAAAAACGATAGAAACAATGTGTTTGCAATAGGATTTCATACACCTCCCCCCAATAGTGCGGGTATACCTCATATTCTTGTCTTAATAATTATTGGTTTTATCTTATTATTGATAAAACTGGCAGGAACATACAACATTATGTGGATCAGCAAAATATCCAGTCAGAGATCCTTTTTTTAAAATGTTAAATAGAAGTCTTGCAAACTTCATGAATGCTTTTACATGTTCAGATCATACAATGTATCCATTTGCAACAATGAATCCCATAGACTATGTCAATCTTCGGGATATTTATTTGGATGCAACTTTGTTCCCAAAACTTCGAAAAATAGACTTTTTACAAGAAGGATGGCGTCTAGAAAACGAAGATCCAAAAGGTTTTTTCTTATTTTAGAACCGAATTATACATTTTTTGTTAACAATGTATAATAGATCCACAATCACCTATCGTTTATAAAGGTGTTGTATATAACGAAATGAAAGGCCAAATGGTTATTCCATTCTATTTTTCTATGAAAGCTTTTTTATATTTAAATAGTCTAATTCATCTTATCTGTTTTATATTCGATATCAACAGCAAATGTTTAAAAATACAATTTATCAAAATGAAAGTGGTGGAGATCCTGCAGTCATTACAGATCTTACTCATGAGGATCTGGTTAATTATCATAAAAAGTATTATCATCCAACAAATTCTAAATTTTTTACATATGGTAATATTTATTTATTTACTTTTATAATAACAATTACAAGGGGATTTCCCTCTAGATGAGCATTTACAAGCTATTAATTCTAAAATATCTTCTTTTGATAGAACCATTATTGAAAATGTTCAAAAAAGTATCGAGCCGTTTGAGTCACCAAGAAGAATATATGATATATTTCCTTTTGATCCATGTTAGTTCATATTGTTTCAGAATTCCTTTAATTATATATAGTATCAGATCCTAACTCTCAAATAAAGATGTCTATTTCTTTCTCTGCTAACGATATAGTAAATGTTTTTGAAACTTTTTCATTTCGTGTATTATCTTCATTATTACTTGATGGACATTCTTCTCCTTTATATAAAAGATTAATAGAAACAGGTCTTGGGTCAGATTGGTCTCCAAATTCAGGTTATGATACAAGTTTTAAAACGGGAATATTTTCAATAGGTCTTCAGGGTGTTGCTAAAGATAATATTAAAAAAGTTGAATTAGAAATTAGAAATGTATTGGAGGAGGTGGCAGAAAAGGGATTTGAACAGCATAAAATAGATGCTATACTTCATCAAATTGAGCTTACTCTTAAACATAAGTCAGCAAACTTCGGTATATCTTTAATGCAGAGTCTACAATCAGGGTGGTTCAATAATTCAGACCCATTTTTAATGATATCTATTAATGAGATTATCACTAAATTTCGAGAGTATACACGCGATGGTCAATATTTAAAATCATTAATATGCAAATATATGCTAAATAATAAAAACTCACTTTCATTTATAATGATGCCTTCAAAAACACTTATGCAGGATTTATCCGAAAACGAAACCAAGTCTTTAATGACTAAAATAAATTCTTTATCTTTACAGGAAAAAAAAGAAATTCAAATACAAGCTTTAGAATTATTGAAAAATCAAGAAACTAAGGAAGATATATCGTGCTTGCCGACATTATCAATTGATGACATAGCAAAAAATGTTTCTAAGGTTGAATTATTTCATGAAAAAATTGGGAAATTGAGTGTACAATGGAGAATTGTCCCTACAGAAATTACATATTTCAGAGCAATTAATCCTTTAAACAAGCTTCCAGAGCATCTTAAACCTTACTTACCATTATTTGCTGAGGTGATTTATTAGAAGAAAAATAGATTTTAACTGATATTTTAAGGTTTTAACTAATTTAGGAACTCATTCCCAAACAATGTCGGATTTAGAAGATGAAATTAAACTTAAAACAGGTGGATTAAATGTTTCTACTTACATTAGCACTAAATATAATGGTAAGACTATTATTCTAAAAATTTATTATCTAAATTTTTAGATTTAAATGCAATAGAACAAGGATTATTATTTTCTAGCCATTGCTTGAGCCATAATATACAATCTATGTATAATTTATTTCGTAAATTACTTCTAGAAACAAATTTTGATAATGTCAAAAAATTAAGATCATTAATATCTATTAATAATAGCAATATAATGAGTTCACTTGCAGAAAGCGGGCATTCATATGCACGTGCTTTTTCTGCTTCTTCATTAACTTTAGGAGGAGTATGTGTATAATTATTAATTAAATCTATATTAATTTGTTAAGAAATTCTCGGAAACAATGAGTGGGATAACTCAAGCAAAATTAGTTAGTAAACTTTCTATGAAAGAGGACTTGTTAAGTGTTGTAGATAAACTTAAGGTATATATTATTATATCAAAAGAAAAAACTCATAAATTTCTAGGAAATTTCAAAATACACATTTTTTCAAGAATCGCTCAAAGTTTTCATTACTTGCAATGATAAACACATAAATTTAAATAAGAAAGAATTGAACAAGTTTTTTTTAAGTCTTCCAACAAATTTAGGTGATGATAAACCTGAAGATGTATTTTCTCAATTTATTCCGTCCTTTGGCAGAAAAGCTTTCTTCCCATTGCCATATTCCGTTAATTTTGTATCTCTCTGTTTGCTAGGAACTCCATATATACATCAAGATGGGCCCGTTATGCAGATATTATCCAAATTACTTACTCAACAATATTTACATAAAGAAATTCGAGAAAAAGGTGGCGCATATGGTAGTGGAGTTTCATATAATAGTCTAGAAGGAATTTTTGGATTCTATAGCTATCGAGATCCAACCCCTCAAAGAACATTATCAATTTTTACAAATTCTGGACAATGGGCTATGGAACACAACTGGACCCAGAAAGAACTTAACGAAGCCAAGTTAAATGTATTTCAGTCATTAGACGCTCCTATTAGTATTGATCAAGAGGGATTACCATATTTTATGAATTCTTTAAGCAATGAAATGCGTCAACAGTTAGTATTTTATTATTAATTTATACTTTACTAAATATTTATAGACACAGAGAACGTCTTTTACAAGTAAATGTAAGCGATTTATATCGAGTATTGGAGAAATATATTTTTGAGCCAATATCACGGCAACATTTAAGTGTCACAGTATTAGGAGAAAAAAAAAAATGGATTGAACAAGAAAAACAATGGAGGATTTTTGATCTAAATGAAGATATAGATATTTAATTAAAATGAATAGGCTATTTCTAATTATCTTGTAATCACTGTATGCCTTATTTTTAATTTTATATAGTATATATATATTAATATTTTTAAGCAAAATTTTCAAATAGATAAACTTGTCATAAATATAGCACAAAACGGCTATTCTACTGCTCTTGGATCGCTTTTCTATGCACAATTTGATACTCCTTTATATAAAGTTTATATGGTGAAGGACACTGATATTGTGCCAGAACAAAAGACATATTTTAAGCACTTGCCCAAGCATCAGATCTACTAAGCATAAGACTGAAGCTTACGCGGACTATAGCTAGGGTACATCTTGCCTAAAAGTATTATTTTTATATAAAGAAGATTTTATATTTTGTAATAACAGATATCTATAAAATCTAAATAACACAATAAATATGCAAAAAAACAAAGATATATTAGTAGAAATTCTTTACACACTTTTACTTTTTATATAATTTTATTAAGTACTTTAACTTTAGGATTAATTAAATATTACTATTATATCATTCTAAATAAAATACCATAGAAATATATCCATATCTTTTATCTGTTATATATGTAAAAAACAACTCATGATTTTTTTTTGCAAAAAAAACTTTATGAAACTTTTACACATATATCATTAATAACCGATATTACTTCAGATAATAGCAATACACGCTAATTCGCATTGCTAAATATGCATAAGCAGTTGGATATGATAATACTACAACTCATGGCTTCTTTAATGATATTTTTACTTTTTTTATCAGAACTCCTCTACTATCCGTTTCTTCAAAAAAAATATGATTCTATTAAATACCCATTAACAAAGAAAAATAAAACAATATTATACCTTTTGAAGCCATTCTCTTAACATCTCATCTGACCATTCATCTGATTTTAATTTATTAATATTTTTTTAAAATTTCTTAAAATTACCTGGAGAACAAATTTTATCAGACCATATATGAACAGCGACTGCCAATGTAATAACTACAACAAATGTGTATAAGAAGAATTTCTGATTCAAAACACGATCAAGCCATGTCTGTTTCATACTAAATCAATATGTATGAGTGCCGTCAATACGATATATATATATAATTTGCTAGAAAAAAAATCGAAAAAAACTACAAAGAAATAGCACACCATCATCAATTGGATTCATGCACCATTATTATTTGAAAGTAAAAAATAACGTTATACATTATTTAATGGCGAATCATCCATTTCATTCGTTTTCCATATGTCAGCATGTCGTTTTGCCACAAGTTCCCAATCAATACAATCAAACCAACATCTCAAATATTTTTCTTTTCCAAAAACACCATAATCATGTATCCATGCATATTCCCAACAATTAACAACTAAAAGAGGCACAAGCAATGTCTCTACTTGTATATCATGTTTTATTACATCATTTAATACAGGTTGACCCACAGAAAGACCCATTGCAATGGAACGTCTTTCATGATATGGTTGACCAGCATTAAATGTTGGAAAAATCTTGAGTTGTTGTTGAACTAAATCTTCTACTAGCCATACCCAACCAGATCCAAATATTGAAAGTGCTATATAAATAAAGTTCTCTTTAAAAGTATGAAAATCCCCAAAACTTGAATTAAGATACTCCAAAAAGTGTTTCGGTGGCTCGGTGTGCTCTTTTATCTTGCCTTTCTAAATAATCATAAGTTTTATCACTAATGCTAAATATCTCAACTAAGCCTAAAAAAAAAAAATGATTGTTAAAAGCCTGTGAAGAATGATTATAAATATAAGAATGAGATGCACGATTAGCTGATTGATGCGCAATACTTTCAACATCACCAATATCTTCATAAACAGTACCTAAATCATCAATAAACTTCATTATATTAGTTCAATCTCATAATACCCTTAATAAATTTATTTAATTCATCTATGTGATATTGTTGTTTTTGAAAATAAGCAATTTCAAGACCTTTAGGAGAATATAAAGGAGGGAAACCCTCTTTTTTCCAATTCCAAGACAAATAAAGAGGAGGAACACAATGTGTTAAATAACGAATAGGAAAAATCCATTTCTAAACATACATTATAAAATGATACAAACATCTTTAAAACAGCAAAAACCCTCTTTATTTGAGATGAAAATTCCCAACGTTTTAACAGAGAAAACATATTATTCCTGGCCGCTGTCAAAATAATTACAAGGTAGAAGATAAAAAAATAAATATATAAAATACAAAAACATACTTAACTACAGAAAAAAATAATTCAATACATGCTATAAAACAGCAAATACATTAACTGTTTATTTTTTTTGTATTTTTTAAAAAAAGTAGAAGACCAATTTACCTTTAAAAATAAAAACAGATTACTATGAATCCGTGTTTACTGATGTATTTTCCAATTATTATTAAAAGAAATTTTTTTTGTTGAATATTTTTAATTTAATCATAAGCATTATTAATATTGTTAATGTCAAAATTCTATATTATTTGAATAATCGTTCCTTATATATCCATAATTTAAATAAATAGAAAAATAACAAAAATTATTTATAGTCAATATCAATTTCTATGTGAATTATCTAAAACTATTTTTTTAATTAAAATTACCAGCCTAGTAAACTTTACATCGAAAACATATCCATCATAAAATATTATTATAGATTCTAAAACGTCATTCACTTTCCTCAATATATTATCTAATTAACTACAATTTAAAAAACAAAATGTCTAGAAAAATACTTACACATTATTATAATCATTTCTAATATATTCTATAAATCATTAAACCAAAATCAACAAAAGATTAAACATATAGATATATTTAATTGCTATATATTTTTAGTAGTTAGGTTTTTTTGGAAGCCATGTAAAAATTTGATGATCATTTCCTGAATAAAATTCCTAAAACAAATAAATATCCATTATATCAGTAACAAAGAAAAAAATACAGCTGAATATTTTTTACCAGTAACACATGACACTTTCCCTTGTGTACTATTAAGAGTTTTAATTAAATTGCCATGAAATAAATCGAATATATGTATTTGAGAATCGTTAGAAGGAAACAATATAAATGGAGTTTCAGATTCATCAGAATGAGTGATATATGGATTTGTTTCTTGAAAACGCGTATTTCTAATTGTTTGACCATAATGAATAAACGTATTCAAACCATCCTGTAAATCCCATGCCCTCATAGCCTCATCGTGACCAACAGATACAAGATAAAAACCATCACTTGTAAAAGCTAGGCCATTTACGGGGCCATTATGCGAGCAATTCCTCTGGAATGTAGAATCGATCTGTAAATTATATTGATGAAAACATTTCAAACAAGAAATAGCACGGCGGACATCCCATAACCTTACTGATCCATCACTTCCACCAGATACAAGAGTATAGTCATCTCTAGGAGACCAAAGAACTGTCAAAACATTTCCCTCATGCCCCTGCAAAGAATGTGTAAACGCTCCTGTCTTTAAATCACAAAGACGAATAGATGATGAATCAGTACCACCTACAAACTCAGTCAATACTAAAACAAAATGCATAAATCTAACATGCAACAAGGCAGTGACTTGCAACAAGTGATAAAGTATGAGCATATACTTTCTCTCCAAGATCAAATGAACATACTTCCTTATTATAGTTTAATTTTATGAAATTATCTATAATAAAACAATACCTGCATAGTATCTGTATTCCAAACCTTTACGAAATGATCAAATGAGGATGTCGTGAATAAACCTTGATCAAAAGGCCACCAATTAATATCAGAAATCTCATATTGATGACCTGAATGTCTAACAAAAATATATTACTAAAAAATTCAAACAGAATACAATAACTAACACAGGAATAAATGAAATAGGGCCTATAGATGTTTCTTCAGCATCTTTCTCCGCTTCCAAATCCCATAAACATACTAATGATTCCGTTCCTCCAGAAAGAAGGCTAAAAACACCAATTTTAAACAATTTCTAATAAAAAAAACACCCACTATCTCTCAACACTATTATCAAAAACTAATGCTTGAATATTTCCAAAATGCCTCTTTTTAAACTGTTTAACGGGTTCTGAATCTATTGACCAAATACTCTTTAAATACTGCATACGACGCAAAATAGACGACGACTGAGCTCCAAGTGATCGAAGAACAAGAAAACGATCCATTTATAGAATTAAATACAAGAAAACTTACATAAAGACCTACCCTTTTGATATTTTTTTCTACAGCTTATTGTTTTGCTCTTCATAAATCGTCATAGCAACGATCAAAAAGAAATTTACTAAAATTCACACAAACTCTGCTTTAAAACATAACAATAAAGTTCTTTAAGATAGCCTTATCACATTTTTATTGTTTTCATGTAGATTTTATTTTTTTTAAAACACAAGGAAGGCACAAATTAGATAAATATTTTTTATTTATATATCTATAAACAATGAAAAAAAGGCAAGCAAATGTCTATGACGCAGTTTCTGACAAGCTCTTTGATCCTCATAAGTATACGAAACCATTGAATAGCTCAGAATTTCCTCGTCTAAAAAAACAACGTCCTCGTGGTCCTGATGAACATTTGAAAATTGTTTCAGCAGATCCAGAGGTGCAACTCCCAAATTCAGTAAATTTTTTTAAATAGAATTAAGTAGTTAAAAGTTTATTAATATAATTTAGGATCTTCTTCAATCATTATATCATTATATTTCCGTTTATTGTACAAAACATCATTTTTTATCACTTTTTGAAAGCCTAGATGAAACAGCATTACTAGCATTTGGTAGATAGTTATTTTTATAATGTTAATTAAATAGTTTTAGGATTTTTGATAGAGAAAACAGTGGAAACACTTTTAGGGGATGGAGAGAATATGTTTATTGAAAAAAAAAAAGATATATAGATTAAATTATTTAGGAAAAACTTTATCTCAAAAACACTATTATTTCAAATATAAATATATCATACATATTTATACTAAATATTCATGCGAATTGTGAAAGTTATGTCAATTTTCTAATAAATCAACTTATTGCATGAAGACAGAACGACTTTAATTTTTAATACATGTCGGAAAATTCATATTATTAATAAATATTAGATACTAAAATTGTGCTTAATCAAAAGAATAGCATTTTAAAGCAAAATATTGACTAGAGATGCTTTAGAATTCTATTTATTGTAAATGAAGATTATTCCTTTTAGTAGAAGATATGAAAAAAATGCTAAATTTTTAAAATCATCTTTTTAGATGATTTTCAATACTTGATTTTATAACCTTCTATTCTTTTACTTTCAAAAAATAATAAGCACTTATCCACTTATATAGCAGCTCAAATTTTTATTTTCTTTAAATATAAATCAAAACAAGAATCCTATAAACATATTTAAAATTATTTCTTCATTTATTCGAAAAAGTTTAGCATAATCTTTTTTAGAGAAAAAACTATTCAATCAATATGAAAAAATAGCATAGAATACATATTTCTAAATTCAATTTATTAAAAAGGATTAATTTAAATAAAAACTTCAAAATAATTTATTTTTTATAAGCAAATTTTATAATACTTTAAAATTTTTTTCTAGAAAAAAATAAATAAAATAATCCCTCATCTCTAATGTATTATAACATTCATTTATGTTTTTTTTTTTAAAAAATTATACACTTCTATATTATTGATTAAAAAAATATTCAACCTCGAAGTAATTTTTGCTGATAAAAACCTTAATATTTTGTCAACAAAAATGCTATTTTTCAAAAGAAAATGAAGATTTAAAGGGTTAGAATGTTTTAGAAATGAATAAATGTTCAGAACTGGTTTCTTTATCTTTTCAGCCAACAAAAATAACCCCAAAATGGGAAAAATCTAAATCATTAGCATATACAAAAAAAAAAGTTTTCAAAAATAACTCAGATGAAGAGGAGGAAAAAGTGAAGGATGAATTACTGAGCGGATTTGATGACTCGGGTGCTTTATCATTGAATCCTGAAAAACATTCTAAAAAAGAACCATTAGTTATTCCAACTCTTAGAAATAGAGATTGGCATCAAGAAATTCTAAAACTCCGTGAAAAAATATCATATCTTCCTAACAAAGAATATTTACAAGATGGAAATGTTATTTCTCAAGAAAAGGAAAAAGATTCAAAAACATATGGTTTAACGTTTATTGACAAACAAAAAAAGATTTCACCCGAAAAAAAAGCTCTAGAGCCATCTAATACATCCGCTCCTTCTCTTTCTAATGCAGAGAATACAGAAGAGGAATGTGTTATCAGAGCATTATTAGCAGAAGCAGAAGGACAAAGAACAGAATCAAATCTTATATTACCTATGACATCTAATACAGATTGGAAAACAAATACTCGATATTTGACAGAAGATGAACTATATAAGCGAGATATTATGTATTTACCAGACCCAGCAACTTTGGAAGATTACGAAAATATCCCTGTTGAAGAATTCGGCAATGCTTTATTACGAGGTATGGGCTGGAAAGAAGGTGAAGGTATTGGAAAAAATAAACAAAAAACCGAAATTCCTAATAGGATGATTCGAAGAACTCAGTTTTTAGGTATTGGTGCAAAAGAATATGATGCAAAAGAGCAGGATGAACTGGGAGCATGGGGAAAGGGCATTACAAAAAAACAGGCAGATAAAACTTATATTCCCGTTTTAAAAGTAGATAAAGTAACAGGGAAAATAATATACGAAGAAGCAACTAAAAATAGATCAAAAGAAACCTATGAAAAAAATACCAGTTTCAGAAAATCACAAGAAAAATTTAGAAGTATTCCAACAAAAAAAAGTAACAATTATTCCTTCAAAGAAAACAAATCAGAGAATTTATATAAAGATTATACCGAGGATTCATATCACTCTAGTTACTCAATTTCAAGGAAAGATTCGGATGATTATAGACATCATTATAGTGATAGAAGTAAAAATCAATATTATAATACTTATAAAGATAAATATTAGTTTTTTACATATATTAATACCGAAAACATAGAAATCATATTTCATATTATGATATATTTTTAAATCTTAAAGATAACTTAAAAAATACTTTAAAGCAACACATATCACGTATATAAAAAAAAGCAAGTGTAGGAAGAATCTATATCAATTTCTGGTTTACAATAGATTAACTTTTAATGTTAATAACTACTATTTTTCAAAAAATATATCAAAAGTGGAATATTTATGGAATTTAACAAATTCTAATTAAAAAAGAATACACAACCTATAAAACTCAAAGGTCAATATTTTTCATATTAATTTTCTATTTATAATATTAATTACAAAACTATTAATAACCTGAAAAACAAATATGATTTAACTCAGCTTTAATCATAGACGATTTTTCAGTCGATTTAAATTCATTAAAATCCTTAAGAATTCTAGATTTCAGTTCGAAATCATTACAATCTTTCAATGATTCTATAAATATTTTGGCCGCTTTTACAGCTTCATTACGCACACTCTCATACTTTTTATTACCGAGAGCATAGTAAATTATATTCCAATTATCTAACAATGTGTTGCCATTTTTCAATTGATCGAATAAAAAGGTATTTAAAAAGTTTTTTTTAAAAATCTTTTGAATAGATTTACATATTACTGTTTGTATATTCCATGTTAATCGAATATTTTCCCTCCAAATTCTCACTAATTCTACATAACAAGCATCTGAATCAATATTATTAAAAATAATAGAAACTTTTTTCAATACATGTTCTATCACTTTTTGGATGAAAAGCACTGGCAATTATATTTAGACTATGTTCACGAAGAACTAATCCCCTAGATAATATAAGAAACAATTATCAAATATTTTTTTTTACATTGGCATTGAAATTTCATTATTCTCATATATCTCCTTTTTTTCTGAATCATTAGATATATTTTTTTCTATAACTGAATAAATATTTTCGAAACTCTCAGGAGTTAAATAACGCTCCACATATCTATTGAAATTGCATAAAACATGCCTCTGGTAATTGATATTATTTCTTTTTGTTTCTCGAACCAAGATCTATAAATATTAAAATAAAACATCATATCAAAAACAACCATTACATTAAATATTTTTTGGATTAAATATGCCTTATCCAATAAATAATTTTCATTATAAAGAAGTAAAGTAATAAAAGCATCAAGAACTACTTCTTTACCATCCCAAAGCTTTCCTTCAAGAATATCCATAAGAATTGGAATAAGCTTATCTAAATATTCATCCATTTTAGAAAATTTAATGACTTCAATTAAAGCAATTGCAGATATCATCTTTAATCTCCAATGATTATTCTCAAGACCAAGAAATATAAAATTAAGTATTTTATTCAAATAAAGAGCTATAAATCCACTACCTCCAGCATTTTCATTCCATATCTCATTAAACTGAAAACTAACACTTTCAAATTGATCATGTTTACCTAAAAATACAATTGGAAGAAATAAATAAAATAAAGATACAAATTTTTCATTAGCATAAATCGATATGTGTTTATATACAGAAGCAACAGTTATCAATTTTTTTTCATCTTAGAATGTTAATATTATTTTAAAAAGTTATTAATATACCTTTTTCTTCAAAATAGATTTTTTTCAAATTAGAGTCTAATAAAATCAAATCTTCAATTAATGCAATACGTGCTATATATCCTAAAGAGATAGAAAAAGAAATTCTTACTGTATGATTTCTATCAAAAAGGCATTCTTGAAAAACTCGGAATACATCTTTTGCATATAAAGAAACGCAATCATTTTTTCTTAAAATAATGCTTATAATAACTTTGGAGCATGCCAACTACCACAATTTATAATATTATTTATAATAAAAAAGATAAAATACCTTAGTGGGAAGACCAACCGCCTTCTGTGTAATATTAAGAAGAAGGGGTATAGTTTTTCGGGCTATTTCTTCATCAAACTGATCTATACAGGATTCAATTGCATTCAAAATTGGAGACGTTCTAAGTAAAGAAACCCTTGCATCATTTAACTTTAAGTTCAGAATATATAATTTCAAAAAATCATTGTACTTACTTGTTCTTGAGTTATATCAAATCTTTCTGTGTTTAATTCTAAATAATTCATAACTTGAGGCTCTAATTCAGTAAGGAAATTCAGTAAATTATCAATCAGTTCAGGAATAAAAGGCTTCAGAGATAATTTTGCTGTATCGCATATTTTTATTAAAGTATCTAAGGCATATCCTTTCACTTCCTGAATATCCGAAATTACACTTTTTAAAAGAATAGGAATACTCTTTTCTAAAATAATAGATTGATTGCTTTTTTTATTGTTTCTGTAATCAATATTCTTGATAATAAAAGATGTAATATAACGACATAAAACAGATGCAGCTAACCGAACAGTTTCTTTTATCTAATCACAATTAGCAACAAAATAACAATTTTAATACTACATCATCAACTGCTCGAAAGCTCATTATTATAATATCTTCCAGATAAAACTCTATATTTTCAACTGTTTGTGTTCGAAGAAAATGCGCAATTGCATTACAACTAGCCTCACGAATATACCACGATTGATCACCAAGTCCTTTTAATAATCTATCCATAATATCTTTATTGAATTCCGAAATTTTTTCCGAATTATTAACAAAAATACTGAATACATTTTCCATTACTTTTTTCACATCTGATATTGGATGAAATTTATATAAGAACAAACAAGATATCATTTTTTTAAATAATTCAGGATTATTTTTTATAATATCAATTTTTGTATTAGTTGAAATAATTTCATTAATACTAAAAGCAACACCTTTTCGAGTTTGCCAAATAGTAGAGTTTAACGAAATATTAAGAAATTGATATACCAATTCAGGATTTCCTAATTCTGTCGCCAAACTACAAACCTAAAAACAGCTTAAAAATGAAAATATTCCGGAATATATTATAATACATCACCATATGTTGATATTGAAGTATTGTTTTCATGATGAATTTCATGATCAAATAACTCTGTTTCGGATGTAATAGTTCTTTTAATTTTTTTTTTATTTGTTAAACATAAAATAAGATCATGAACTAAACTAGATTTTACTTCTTCAGAACACTTTTCATATAATAATTTTAATCCTTTTGATGCCAATTCTTGAATAAAACCTAAAAAAACTATTAACTAGCGTCAAAATGGTCAAAGCTTACTATCTTTGTCTGATAATAATAGTATAAAAGCATTTTGCATAATTAAAATATTATCCTTAATCTCATTTTAGCAAAATCCATAATAATATCATGAAATTACTTGAATACTTAAAGATTCTCCACAATATCGAATTAAAGACAAAAGCCATATTATTGACGCCTTACAATATTAGGTAAAAATTAGTAATTAAGTTTTCCTACCTTTCTTAATGAAGGCTTTGAACTTATTATATACTCTTGAAGTATTTTTTTCAAAATAAAGTCCATATGTTCTGGTCTAGACGTTTCTGGAATACCTGAAATAGACATATCAACAAACTTATACAGAAACTTGGATTTCCATCCAATTGCAATACATGAAAGAGCTTCTCCATCAATAAAATATGAATAAACATATTCAGTCTGATAATTTTCAAATATACAATTTAAAATGGAGTCAATTTCAGGTTGTTTAGGATCCATAGTAGTTGCAATTTTTCCTAAAGTGATAGTTATAATTTCTCGAAGTTTAATATCTGTTTTAGATTTTTTATATAAATCAAGAATTGTCATAATTAAAAAATTAAATTTCTCTTCATTTGAACTTTTAAAATCAGAAAGAGTATCAAAAATACATAATTCGCCAAGTGCTACCAGAGCAGAAATATTTTCAAGTTTATTACTTGAAGATACTTTCTCAATAATAAAACTATAACATTTATATAGTAAATCAATATTAACTGTAGTTAAACGGCCTCTAAGTTTTAAACGACTTAATAAATATCCCAAAGATAATAAAGACGAATGACTTGACAAAAATTGTCGATTAGTTTGAGATATTTCAGAACGAGTAAAAAACATTAACAATTCTGTAATCTTTTCAATTGATATATTAAAATGACTGCCAACAATCCCTAAAATATGAGGTATATTGTATTCCAAATTTTCATTAGAAAATAATAGAAAAGTTTGAAATAAATCAAATTTATCTGTTAGCATTACTGTTAGATCATCAGGCCCAAGTGAAATTAACTCAAGAACATCATATGCAAACTCTAAAGGCGTTTCATAAAAATTCTTAAGAACATATTGAAAATAATTAATTAAATATTTTTTGAACTTAGTATTATTATTCCATGCTATATCAATCTTTTTTTTATATGTTGTTCTAAATACCTCATTATCACTAATAGCAATATCAAGCTGTTCTTCCCATGTCTTATTTAAAGGACTAAAATTTTGAATATGTTCATCATTTTGCAAAAGATTCATAATTAGAGTCTGCCGAATAAATTTTATCATATAATTTTTAATACTAGGCGACAGTGATTCAAAATAATGACTAAAAAAATTATCGCCATCACCGTTCAATCTTTGATTTTCCAGTGTTTCTATCAGATCTTCAAAAACAGGAAAAGAAAAAAAATTATAATTATTTTCTGAAAAAACAGTATTTGGATTCTGTTTTATATCTTTCATTTGATTAATTACTGAAAACCAATAGGGATTTAACCCCTTTTTTGCCTCTTCTTTAACTTTAGGGATACAATTTTCTCTTAAACAAATTAAACATAACATTCTTGCCCTACTTTCATGAAAAGGAAAAATTGCTAAACAATAACGAAGTGCAGAAAAATGTGCATCAGTATGATCAGAGGTAATAATTTGAAACAATAAGGAATTTAATTCTTCTAAGAATTTCTCTTGAATATTTTGAAAACAAGGCATTATTAAAAAAAGAGACTGTTCTATAGAAAACCTAACTGATTTTGTTTCCCTCTTAAGAGAATCAAATAAAAATTTTAAAACAGAAATATCTATATAATTTGTTTCTATAAAATATTAAAAATTAAAAAAAAAGTATAATTAAAACCTCTTCTAGCAATAAGTCCAAAAGATGTAAATAATTGCTCTTTCAAATGTTCATTTTTATCTTCATCATTCTGAATATAATTTATTATTAAAGTTAAAATGGGCTGAATAATAGGCTTTAAAATATCATCGGGTGATATTCTATAAAATTAAAATCATGTTTTTCAGTCTAAAAAAAATATACCTTGCAATCCAATTAACAAAAGCAATTGTTGCCTGTACTATTTTTTGCACATTATCTAATAACATTAAATATTTATATATCGATACCGATATAATACTTTGTAAACCATAAGTCAGTAATTTAAGCATATTTTCGACATTTTTTGCAGCAAAATAGCTTTTCGTCAAAAGATATATTAAATGTATATAGATCTGAGCAGAAACAGGATTCCTCTTGGCTGTCTCTAATTCATTATTGTTTCCAATCAAAAGGCTATATATTCTATTAATTATTTTTTCATTTTCTAAATCAATAGATAATTTTTTGAGACAAGCCTCAGCAAAAGAACTAATATTATAATCAGCATCAAATTTAAAAATAATAAATGTGACAAATTTTTGATCTAATGAAAAATAAGATGTAGAAAGAAATTGGATAACCCCTATTTTTATTCTATTGAGTACATCTATGTTAAACGTATCTAATCCTTTTGGAGTCAAAAACTTAAAAGAATTAAAAGATAGCCCTGGACATGTTTTTTTCAAGATAGATATTTGTAAAGAGAAATTTGCATCATCCAATGATAAATTAGTGTTATTAAGATAATTAAGAGATGAGAGTTCCTGAATTTTTTCTTTAGATAATTTTTTAGACAAAGAATGAAAATATGATAATGAAAATAGCGATAAATCTTTAAATACATTTGCCAAAAATGCAAAATCTTCCGAGAAAGCGTCAAAAACGGATTTTAAAAATTGATCATCTTCAAATTCGCATATTTTTACTTTATGAGGATCACCATATATTTCTAAAATATGAAAAATCAGATATGTAATTTTTTTTTTATGCTCAATGAAATAAGTCGAAAGCCTTGGTATTAATTTAGATAACATTTTCTTCTTTTTCTAAAAATCTTAAGAATATAAAATGTAAAATATGTTATTCTTTCTTACTTCTTCATTTGATCTAAAAAAAGCCATTTCTAAAAATAAAAGAGTAAAATTTTTCACAAAATTTTCAACAGTTTCACTATGAAATTGCTCCAGCAACATATCTATTGGAAGTTTTATATCTTCATTTGATTTAATCCGCAGACGAATATGACTACAAATTTGAAGAACCTAATATCATGAGATCTAAAATTCAATCTTTTGCAAAGTTAAAAACTTTTTTTCGAACACTTTCATAAGGACTTGCTAATTTTAAAAGTGTAGGACATAAATATGTTTTTAATGTGTTTTCTAATTCAATATCTGTATTTGCCAAACCCAAATGAAATTCAACTTTATTAAGTCTATTTTTATCAACTTTTCCTTACAAAAAAAAAAAAAATAACAATTTTAACTCCTTATCTGCCATACTGAACAAAAATGTATATCAATAATATGCAAAAATGAGCTTTTTTTATAATCTTAAAAAAATAAACGATAATACAGAATGCATATCTATAAAATCAATATATATCCATAATTACTCAAAAATAGAATTTATTTTAAGAAATTTTACAAATATATAAAAGTTCTTGATTAAATATAAAAAAATGGTTTTTTTAAAATTCAAAATGAGATCAAAAACCAAAAATATTAAAAATCCACAATATAAAACTTCATTGACCCGTGCCGAAAAAAACCATTTTAAAAGCACCGATTCCTATATTTATCTTTAGAAAATGGAATCTAGGGACAATGCTAAAAAAGCCAAGGAATAAATACAAATTACATAAAAAAACAAGCTATATATTTTCTATCAACAGATACGTATGTCAACAAAAATGATAAAACAGCCCATCAAGAGCAACTGCTGAAAAACTCAATGAATCCATCTAATCAAAAAGATGCAAGAGATCCTATAAATGCCAATATAACCAAAACGAATGTACCAGTTGCAATTGAAACACGAATCGATCCATTTGGATCAGAACCACCAGTGGGTTTAAGAGCTGTACCATTTGATGTATCCAAAGCCACTTCAACAATACTCCCATGGGATCCACTTTGATTCGTAGCATTAAGTAGTGGCTTCAAACCAGTATCATTTGCTATTTGCTTCACAACCTCTTTTGTATCTCGCCTAACTAGACTTCGTTAAACCACTTCTATAAATTCCTCCACGAACTTACCCAGCTGTACCCCACCAAATGCAGCCCCCCTAATCATAACAAAAAACATTGCAATGGTTATGCAGATGCTAGTAATATGAAAATGCATTATAATAAATTCTTTAACTCAAAAATATGCAAAATATCTTATCTATTGTCTATTATCTTAATCAAGAGGAATAAAGAAAAGGTGGGGGCTGGGCCCCTTTATATTTTTTTTGTGACTTTTTTTTTATGCATTATCGAAAAAAGCAAAATATTTGTGGCGCATACTTATGATATTTAAACATTCTAGAAAATACCTTTTTTGTATTCAACGATTATCTAATCAACATTTTTTAAATTCTAATTGGCAAATTATTAAATAAACAACATTTCTAATTTTTAAGAAAACAGGGATACCCTTTCTTATTAATTGTGGCGTACAGGGATTTATTTCCTATTTTTGATATATTGTTATCAATTGTATTAAAAGATAAAATGATAACAAATATCAATTGATTCAATCAAAAATATTAAAATACCACTTTTTTTACAACATATATAGAAAATAGCGCATAATATCTAAAATATTTAAAGATTAAACTTTAGAACGAGTATAAATATAAATGGATATAAGATTTACATCTTTTTGAAATTATTAAAAAAGAAAAAACCCATTAATAAATTGAATGTTTTATATTTTTTAAAAGATCATGTGTATTCTATAAATTATATAAATGGCATTAATAAAATAATATAGAATACTTATATCTTGTTAATATTCCACATAAAGAAATTTATTAAGAACTAGTAAATAAGTTGTAAAAAAATTAAAATTTATCTTTTTTTTAAAAAAATTCTAAGGAAACAATCTATAAAAAATAAATCTAAGGTTGTACATATTTTCATAGATATTTAAAATATGTCTTTTCAAGATAATTATTCATCTGGGTATTTTTTTATCATTAATTTAAGTTTTTTTTCATATTTCATAGTAATTCAAATAATATAAATAAACCATATTTGATACGTGAAAATCCACCATTTTCTTTTCTCCATCAAGATGATTACATTATGTGAGTTTTTTATGACTTTAAAAATTATAGATTTAAAAAAAATAGAAAAAAAAGAACATATCAGCAACAATATGCAAATATCTATTTTTTACGTCTTGTTCATATTAGACCAAAAATTGTTCATAAGGCACAAGAAAAATGGGATGGTATTTTTGTTAAAAAAAAAAAAGTAAAACGTGCAAGTCGTTTATTAGATATTGTTCATGGGGAAGTATGTTGGATTATTGGAACAATTTATATTGATGTACCCTTGAAACCAAATATTTTAAAGGATATTAGAAAAGATGTATGATTTTTTTTTTAATTTTTTCTAATATTAACCATCCTTTTATAGTACTGGATGATTTCATCTACAAATGAAAAATATATTGATTCTACAAATAATGACGTGATATTGGAAGATGAATATGGAAGAATTCGTCTTATAGGTCCAAAAGTACTTGAAGAATTTTTAGTTACAGGATGTGTTATTGGTGTATTGGGGTTTGAAATTCGAGATGGAAATTTCCAAGTAATTGATATTTGTTTGCCTGAATTACCACATCAAAGTCTAATACCTAAAAAAATTGGTATATATTCCCATATTCAAAAGTGTATATAATTTTTCTCTAGATACTAAGACTAATAAATATGTCGCTTTCGTTTCCGGGCTTAATATAACAGATAAAACTTACAATTCATTAGCATTATTTCTTCTTAGTGAATATTTGAGTGGGGAAATCGGTAGCTGGAAAGTACGCTTTTTTCTTATTTTTATTTGGATTTAAATACTTTTCTAGGATCAAATAGCTAGCTCTCAGATAGTTCAACTTATTATTGCAGGGAATTCTATAGGTTTATCAAAAAATGATAATGAATCTGATAAAAGGGTAAAAATGATTTAATTTAGAGTATATTTCTGACATTCTCGAGAAAACATATAATACTTTTACATATAATGCCATACCAACAAAAATGCTAGATACATTTCTTTCAAATATATGTATTACAACATCTATAATACTTATGCCTGGGGAATCGGATCCATCAAATGTTTTGTTGCCTCAACAACCAATTCATTTTTCAATGTTTCCAAATGCTAAACATCATTTTGGGTCTACATTAACAATTTGTACAAACCCTGCATGGATGGAGATAGATGGAATAAAGTATTCTAGATTATTTATTTTTAATTATTAAATAACAGTTTTTGCTAGATTTTTTGGATCAAGTGGACAAACAATTAATGATATACACAAGTATACCAATAAAATCGATAAATTAACAATTATGGAATATACATTGAGATGGCAACATTGTGCACCAACTGCTCCTGATACTTTATGTTTCTATAATAATATTTTTAAAACATTTCTTATGAACTATTAGGGTGTTATCCATTTTCCGAAAAGGATCCTTTCATTATGTCGGAAGCTCCTCATGTATATTTTCTTGGGAATCAAGAGAAATTTGATACAAAATTTATTGAAGGTTCATATATAAACTTTTTCTTGTAATACTTAAAATTATTAGGTGAAAACGGACAAAAAATACGTTTAATCACTCTTCCAGTATTTAGCGAGACTGGATCTATTGTCTTATTAAATCTTTCAACACTTGAATGTGAACAAGTGAAATTTGGCATTCATAATATAATGTCTAATATATAATATATATATGTTTAGATATGTACATAAAAGCTAAATTTTAATTATTTTATTTTTTCAAATACATTGAAGATAATTTCGGAAACAAAAGCATATTTCTTTTACATTGAGTTTGTAAGTATGTCTTGTCTAAACCCAATTTACAAAACTTAAAACTTCTCCGAGACGGCTGAACATCTAATTGATCTAGTATTTCAGATGCTTTTTCAGGAATAAAAGGTTTCAAAAGAATTGCAGATAATCTTATCGCTTCTAACGTTCTATAAATAACTGGATCGACTTTATCGGGGTGATTACAATATTTCCATGGTTCAAAATCTTGGAAAAATTTATTGATGATGGCAATGAAGTGAAATATAGACTGCAAGGCAGCATGCAACTGAAATTTAGACATATGGTCATCAACTTTTTCTGCAATTGTATTAATATTCGTGTCGAATTCCTGAAATAAAGTATTTTTATCTACATATTCTTTTGAACAAAGCAAAGCACGTTTTAAATCAAAATGAGGAGAACAGACTCTTAATAAGAGATTTCCCAACTTCCCTCTAAGATCTACATTGTAATTTCTTATAAAATCAGATAAATCATAATCTTGAAAATATTAAAAAGAAATTAAATAAAAAATATACAATTTACTTTTATCACTTTCTAATCTCCCTTCTTTTATAAGAAAATATCTTACAGGATCAGCCCCAAATGTTTGGATCTTAGTAAAAGGGTCAACAATATTTCCAAGTGATTTAGACATTTTAATATTATTCATTGTCCAATGTGAATGTGAAACTATTTGATATGGAAGAGGTAAATCCGCTGCAAGTAGAAGTGCTGGCCATAATACACAATGAAATCTAATATAAAAGAAATATAAACATAAATATACAAAATATAGTATAGGAAAAAAGTACCGAAGAATATCTTTACCAATCAAATGAATATTAGCAGGCCATTCTCCAAGCATCGAATTACTCCATGGATATCCAGCGCTCGTTATATAGCTTAATAAAGCGTCAAACCAAACATATATCGTTTGAGATTCATCTTCAGGAACTCGAATACCCCATGAATAGCGAGAACTTGGTCTAGATATACTAATATCACTTAATCCTTGTTCTATTATATGATATAAATTATTTTGCTCAGATCTGGGAATAATAAAACAAGGGTTTTTTCTGTAATGATCCAATAACTGATTTGTAAATTTAGATAGTCGGAAATGATAATTATTTTCAGAAGTCCATTCAACATGGGCACCCGTTTCGATAGAAATCTACTATAACTAAGAAAAAACACTTAAAATAATAAAACATTTACAGTTGACATAGTACCATCGGAATTTTGTATTTTCTTAACAGCTATAGATGGATAAAAAGTTTCATCACGAGAAGCATACCACCCTTCATGTTTGCTTTCATAAATATATCCTTTATCCTTCAAAACCTTCCAAAAACAACGGACAGATTGACAATGTTTAGGATCAGTTGTACGAGTAAAACCCTTATGATCGATATTTGCTAATTTAGCCAGATATTTAAAACGCTCTGACATTTTTTCACAAAATAAAGGAGGATTTAAGCCAGACTTTAAAGCTGCCCTCTCTACCTATAAGATATTGATATCTTCATACAAAAAAAGTAATAGAAGATGCACTTTAATACCGTGTTCATCAGTCCCAATTCTTAAAATAACAGAGCGATCCTTAAGTTGTATATATCTCTGAATTACGTCAGCCAAAACCAAAGTATACAAATGGCCTATGTGAGGATCTAAAATAAAGCGACATAAAGTTAATATATATATATATTACCATCTTTACCTGAATTAACATAGAAAATAGGCGTTGTGATATAATAAGTTTTTCCAGCAAGAGAACTATTTTTCCTAGAAAAAATAAGACGACATTGTAATAGCATATATAAATAGGGATCCATATAAATAAGTTTCATATAGTTCTTAATAATTTTTTTCCTAAAAATTAACATATTTAAGATTTTTTTAAATTTTTAAGGTTAAGATGAAATCGAATCTTTTAAAAATGCTAAAAAGAAAAATTTCAGAGGATTTTGAGACATCAATTCATAAAGAAAAATTAGAGTATCAGGAGAAAAATAAAAAAGAAAAGGGAGATAACCTTTTCCTTGGGAAAAAAGATGATTTTAAAAGAGATAATTTAACAGTTTCTAATAATCTTGAACAAATAGACGAAAATATAAAAAAAAAAAAGGAGAAAATAGAGTCGTTACCTACTCCTCCATTAAATATGTATCTTGATACGGTATTTTTTTTGAATATTGAGGTATTTTTTGTAAAATTAGGAAAGGTGGATCGAACACGATTGGATTTTGATTTTGAAAAATTATGTTCAATTTCTCTATCGAATCTCAATGTTTATGCATGCCTTATATGCGGGAAATACTTTCAAGGAATTTCTGTTATTTTTTGCAATTTTTTTTCTAATTGAATTAGGTCGTGGAAGATCTTCTCATGCGTATTTTCATAGTTTGGATGAAGCACATCATGTTTATATTAACCTTCATAATCTTAAGATATATGTACTCCCAGAATCATATGAGGTACACACGAATGCATTAGACGATATCAAATATGTTTTAAATCCGACATATACAAAAGAACAGGTAATTGCAATGGATATGAATATTGAACCATCTTATGATTTGGATAATAAAAGATATCTTCCAGGTAAATTATATCATGTAAAAATGAGAATTGGTTATATGGAATATTAGGATTTGTTGGTCTTAATAATATTAAACAAAATAATTATCTTAATTGTGTGATTCAAGCGTTATCACATATAACACCATTTCGGAATTATTTTATTTTAGAAAACTTTGACGGAAAAAGTGAACTTGGTAAAAACATGTTTATTTATTTTTTTTTCTGAAATATCAAAAAAAGTTCAAAGATTAAGCATTCTTATACGAAAAATATGGAATGCCAAAGCGTTTAGAGGACATGTATCTCCTCACGAGCTTCTTCAAGAAGTGTCATCAGTGTCGGGCAAACAGTTTAAGTTAACGGAACAAAGCGACCCTCTTAAATTTCTTTCATGGCTTTTGAACATCATTCATCGTGATCTTGGAAGATCTAAAACAAAAGTAAAATCAAGTATAATTCATAGAATATTTCAAGGGAGAGTACGAATTCAAAGTCAGCAGATTATCGCTAAATCAGATGCAAATGACGCAGATCGATTAAGATTCGAAATTGGAAGAGAAATTAAAGAAAACATATTACCATTTCTATTTCTGACATTAGATTTACCTTTACCACCTTTATTCCAAGATGAATTTGAAGACAATATTATTCCACAGGTCTCAATATTAATTAGATTTCCAGAAATTTCTTACTAACATATAGGTTGCATTGTCTACACTGCTTGCAAAATATGATGGTATAACATCACAAGAACTTTCTGGACAAAGAAAGCGTTATAAAATTGTAAAATTACCTCCTTTCTTAATTTTTCATATTAAAAGATTTACCAAAAATAACTGGAGAAATGAAAAAAACCCAACAATTGTTAATTTTCCTATTAAGGATCTAGATATGCGAGGATGTAAGCTAAAACATAATTCTCCATCTAAATACTAAAAATTCGAAATAGATATTGATCCTATTCCACCACCAAATGTATCTACAGTATATGATCTTTCTGCAAATATTGTGCATGAAACTGTTTCTTCTATGGAAGGAGATAAACGGGTTTTTCGAACACAAGTCCGTAACAAATCCAATGATACATGGTATCAGATCCAAGATTTATTTGTTGAGGAAATACCGAAAGAAATGATTTTTTTAGGTGAAAGTTATATTCAAGTAAAATACATATATGTTATTAGCAAATTTAATATTTTTTAGATTTGGGAACGACGAAATCACAAGAAAAAAGCAAATGATTAAAAAAGAAATTTGAATCGTTTCAATTTGAATAAAAATAATGCGAAAAAACTTAAATTATGTTGACGTATCATTTTTACAGTGATAATAAATCAAATAAAATACCGACAATATTTTAATCTTCAGCCTAAAGTTAAGATCAATTTATAACAATTTTTCAAATCAACAGAAAACCCTTTTAGAGTCATTAATATTATTTCAACCCAATTCTAACCAAATAATATCAATTTTATATTAAATCAACAAATACTTTAGTAATATTTTAAGGATCTAATGAATTTAATTTTTAGTAATACATATATCGAACCAATTAATAGGAAATTTATTACCAAAAAATCAATAATAAAATGCCAGTTTTTATTATTTATTCTGGTATAATATTTGAAATGACACGCATCCAAAAACTACATCCATTACAAGAAACAACTACTTCACCTACTTGAATTTTCTGAGGATTTAATACAAACATATCTCCACAACAACTCAAAGAGAATTCACTATTACAAACAGAATAAGCCTTCAAGATAAACAGTTTCATAAAAAACAGAAATCATAGATTTTTTTTCAGAGTTTCAAACAGTTCCTGTTGAAGTTGGTAAAAAGAATAACGAATATAATCTATTAATAAACAATATTCATCAGAAAACTCTGGTTTCAAGGATAACTCAGCTTATATCAACTTTTTATATTGTTTATCAGGATGAACTTGCAATAACCGTTTTCTATATGCCTCTTTAAGTTCTTCATTTGTAAAATATGTCTTAGGATCAAGTCCTAATATTAAAAAAGTATTGCACCGAGAATTACAAAAATGAGAATCCAGTCTTAAATAATGATTTATAAAATTGTAGATATATTCAGAAGAAATATCAGACCATTTATCCTATTGCCTACAACGGCTTTTCTAAATAATAAAGGCACTTGTAACGGAAAATGGCAGATTAAATGACATTCTTCACCCTCTACTTTTTAAGGTCGAGGACTAAATAATGTCTACAGGGTTAGGGTAAGGGTTAGATTATCAGCCTAAAGTTTTCGGTTTTTTTTATCGCAATCCGATAAAACTTGCCAGTTTACGATCAATACTTCTCCTTTGCTTAGCATTTGTCTTGATAACTGGATATTATTTTTCCTATTTTTCCATTTCTTTCTGATCTATAATTAATGAAAAGTATATCTTTTGCGTTTTTTGCATATTTAGGTTGTATTTTGGTAGCCGCTCTAGAAAATGTAATGATATCGGACATAAATGAACAAGGTAAGCTTTTTAAAAAATTTAAGTAGTTGTGATTCATTTTCCCATTTTCATTTTTTTTTCCTAGAAAGAGTATTTAAACAAGATTTAACTGAAAAAGCATTCAAAGTGAAGCAAAAATGATATTTTAGTTAATTTTAACTGTTCACGTGAAATCTTTTTATCACTTTATTGCTTTTTAATTTAGATTTTATACCTTATTCATCTAACATAACATTATATTTTCCTTTTTGAGCCTTTACTTATTTTTTCTAGAACATCAAGTGGTAGAGTTATTTGAAAATGAAAGACCATTAAGATTGAGAAAGATAAGGGGTTCTAAAGGTACTTGGAATAGTAGATTCAATAAGGATTCTAATATGGATTACTTTGAAAATTATCCGGGAGTTGATTATTTTAGAAAAGATGATTATGAAACTTTTCTTCCTGAAGACTATCCTCAAGATAACCAATGGGTTGAGGAAATTACCCAGAAGAGGGCGGTTACGGTACAGCTGGTTAAGAGGCAAGCAGCAGGACAAGCAGTAGGAAATGATGAGATTAAGGAGGAACACATTTTGAGTTTAATTGTGAAAAGTGATTATAGTAATAATGATAAATGCAAGGAAAAGCTCGAAGAATATTGTGCTGAATTGAAGAAAATAGATGAAAAATTAGAGAATGTGGATGCTAAAGTTAAAGAACTTTGTAAAGATGGAAAACAAGGAGAAAAATGCAAAGAATTAAAGAAAAAACTTGAAACTGAATCGGGTACTTTTAAAACAGAAGTTGAAGAAGCATTGAATGGTCTAACAGATGAGAATTATAGAAAATGTGAAAAAAAATGTCTATTATTAGAAAATCTGGATAAAGATTTTATAGAGAAGTGTAGTCAGTTGAAGAATAAATTTTATAAAAAAAAGCGTCAAGAGGTAGCAGAAGAAATTCTTTCTAGAGCTCTTGAAGTGGTGGGGGAGAGGGGGGGGGTTAATGATACAAATAAATGTGAAGAAAGAATAAAAGGAATTTGTCAAAGATTAAGTGAATATAGTGATGAATTAATGTTTTCATGTCTTAATCCAAATGAGACGTGTAAAAGACTCAAAGACAGGCTGGAAAATGTTTGCCATTTAATAAAAAAATCACTTCAAAATAATGAATTAATAGAAAAATGCCCAGAATATCTTGAAAAATGTCATTTTTACAGTAAAAATTGCAACGAAACAAAATGTAAAGAGGTTAAGGAACACTGTAAGAGTAAAAAAATTACATACAAAACTCAAGAATCAGATTTTAACCCAATTAAAGCAAAAGCATCATTTTTAGAGAAGATTGGACTGGAAGATCTTTATAAAAAAATGGAAAGTAAAGGAATTATTATTAGAAAACTACAAAAGAAGACGTTGCAGGATGTAATAATATTGTTGAGTAAAGAAAATAATGGAAAAGATAGAGAAGAAAAATGCAAAGAAGAGTTAAAAAATTGTGATAAATTTAAATATCTAGGTATTAACCTAGAACTTTTATGCAAAGAGAGTAAAAATAAGGACAAGAAATGCAAAGAATTACTGGATTTGAAAATCAGATGTCGAAAACTTAAATTTAAACTTTTCTTTGAAAAATTATCTACGGAATTTGAAGAAGATAAAGATTCAAGCCTTTTTTCATGGCAAGAGCTTCCAAGTTTCTTTACTATCGAAGTTTGTATAGAACTTGTGTCGGAATGTTTCTATTTAGAAAATTTATGTACGAATAAAATTGATAAAGCATGTGAAAATGCGAGACTAGCATGCTATAAAAAGGGACAACATAGGATATTGGATAAAGCATTTGATAATTACATTAAAAAAGAATATGATGATGGTGTTTTTGGAAATATGTGTTCTAAAACTCTTTTAATAAACCATCATAAATTTAATTATGATATAAGATACGTTATAAAGTTTCTTCGATTACGTGAATATTGTTTAGAACTTTTTTTTGATGTTTCTCATAATTTGGAAGAATTAAAAAAAGCTTTGAATGATGCAAGAAAACATCTACAAGAAAAAGATTGCATTGAACTGAAGAAGCGCTGCAATTATCTTAGAATTTATTCAAATGTTATTGATAGAAAATGTTATATGCTGGATACACGCTGTAGATATTCAAAACTTATAAGAGAATTTAGAACGAATCTTTTAAAAAAAAAAAGTAATATATTAGAAAATCAAAACAATTGTAAAAAGGCTTTGAAGGAAGAATGTGATAGGTTAATTAGGAGAGGAGAGAATGCATTTAATATTTTGTGTGTTTTACTAGAAGAAACATGTGAATTTATGGTAAAACTGACTAAAGGTGATTGTGCTTCTTTATCAATTAACTTATCGGAAGATGTTATAAATAAAATTAAAAATGCAAATGAAACATTGATTGAAGAAATGTGCAAATTATGGGATCCATATTGTGACCAATACATGGAAAATTGTCCAGAAATCTTAAAAAATGATCCCACTAGCAATGGACAGGGGGTCTGTTTACAACTCAAAAAGAAATGTGATCCATTCTGGAAAAAGCTGCAATTGGAGGAAGAGTTGATATATAAATTGAAAAGTAGTTTACATAGTCTAATTAAATGTAAAGAAACATTAAAAGAGTATTGCACTAAATGGGAAGAAGAAAAGAATCAAACATTCGATAGTGCATGTAATGATAAAAATGATCCAAGTAATTATTTTAAGAAGACAGAAGTTTGCGATGAATTAATTAAAAAAGTAATCAAGAAATGTCCTGCTTTAAAAAATAATCTAGATAAACTGAAAATCGATTTAAAGAAGAAGAAAGACAACTACGAGAAGATGAAACAGGAAGCAGAAAATTCTATTAAGAAAGCTAACTTACTGTTATTAAGACCCAAGAAAAATGAAAATGGACAAAGTGCAGTATCAATTCTACAGAATATCAATGCTTTTACGCCGGCAACACCCTCAGCAGCACCAGCAGAATCAGCTTCTTCACAAGACAGAACGACAAATACAACGAAACTTAGATTTCTTCAGAGAACATTTGCAGATGAAAGGATATCAGAATCAGAAGTAAAAGCCTTTGATGCAACGGTAATAGCATTGGAATTGTATTTAGAATTGAAAGAAGAGTGTAAAGCTCAACAACCAGACTGCGATTTTAGAAAGGTATGTCAGAACTTCGGAACAGTTTGTGAAGATATAGAGAAGTTGTGTGAGATAAAACCATTAGAAGTTGCGCCTTATCATACAATGACATCAACAATGATATCAATATCAACAACAGCAGCAATATCAACAATAACAACAACGCTGACAACGCCAACGGCAGCGATATTGACGATAGCGGCAACGACAACAACAACGACAACAACAACAACAACGACAACGACAACGACAACAATGACAATGACAATGACAACAATAAAAGGAGGAAAAGTAATAGAACAATGTACATTAATTCGAACTATAAATACATCGGTGACAAGTACATCCTTACATACGAGTACGGTGACAAGTACATCCTTACATACGAGTACGGTGACAAGTACATCCTTACATACGAGTACGATGACAAGTACATCTACACTAACATCTACGGTGACATTGAAGGAAAAATGCAATCCTACAAGATATGCAACAGATTCAAGTAAAGAAACAAAAATGAGGGAAGAAGTGATACCAGGTGGAGGAATGAAAATAAGAGTTCCGGAAATGATAAAAATCATGTTGTTGGGAGTGATTGTTATGGGAATGTTGTAAAAAGGATGAAAAAAGAGATTAGAATGAAAAAGTGCATATATCCATTGTTTATATATAATATAGAAGAAGATGTAGAAGAATGAGGTGTAGATTTTTAATCTAGAATAATGAAATAAAAATTGAGAATTGCCGTTTAATTATAGGAAAAATGGAGAAAAAAGCCCGAGAGTTAGTGGAGAATTGTTAAAGATGATAAGAAAGTTTAAAGAAGTTTTTATTAGAGATGAGATTTTGGAAGAATTTATTGAAGATGATAGATTAGGAGGGGGTTTTTATTAAATTTAAGAGATTAGAAGGAAGTTTAGAGAGATATTTATTGGAAATGAGATATTAGATAGAGATTTAGGGTTTTTTTATTAATAAAAATGATAAATGAATGTTTTGGATGATTTTATTGAAGATAGTAGATTAAAGTTTTTATTAAATTTAAGAGATTAAGTGGAAGTTTGGAGAGGATTTTATTAGAAATGAGATATTAGATGGAGATTTAGGGTTTTTTTTAGTAATAAAAATGATAAATGAATGTTTTGGATGATTTTATTGAAGATGATAGATTAGGAGGGAGTTTTTATTAAATTTAAGAGATTAGAAGGAAGTTTAGAGAGATATTT